AGAGAAGCGAAGTAAAGGCGTACTACGCCGTAGAAGGTCTAGTAGTATGCCTTCGATGGTCTAGTAGTTTGCGCCTTCGTAGTAAGATGTAGCCTTTCACTCCTTAGCGCTAAACCTCGTAGTAAGTAATAGCTAAGGAGAGGCTTTGTCCTTACACTACCTAAGTAAGCGCCCTACTAAACACTAGCGCAGCGTACGCGTAGTGATGTAGTATAACACCACATTAAATTACTATACTATACGCAATACTATAGGATTATTTAGAAGCGCCGCTATTATCTACATCCTCTATTTCTACCTTATAGGTGTAAGAGTTATATCTAACCTCGCTGCAACGGCCGCAGCGCCTCTCTACGCGCACCTTCTTTATAGGCGTCTTACTGTCCTTACGCCTACTACTGTCTGTTTTAGTAATTAAGTTAGATACCTTACTAACTATTAGAGTCTAATTGTTACGATCTGGACTAGGGGACACCCGGGGGTCAGCGTAAGCACTTTGAAGGATCATACGGCACGGTCGAAGGATTGCGGCACAGCAACTACGCCGCAGTTACGTGACTGATCGTCTAAGAGCTGATGACGCCAAACTATAAGCAGTTTGCTCTTCTACGAGCAACAATAGTCAGCCAATAACTAAAACACTACATTATCGCTCTTCTACGATTACTCACACGCTCGTACAAGAGCGTAACACTTATTAGTATATAGACAGTAGACAATGCACCCCTATAGTTATTGTGTTTAACTTAAGTTTTAATCTAAGGTTTACTACTTAATTCTTAAACCTCTGTGTTATTACATCGATCTACTAATCGTGCTAAGACACCTCGTACTATTACATCGATCTACCAATCGTGCTAGTATAATCCTCTCGTTTATCGTCGCCCATTCATTCCCCGAGAACTAACCCTAGATTATCTTCGGACGATCTTCACACTAATCTGCGCGTATATACTGCCTTTTACGAGTCTTGCGCTTTATAAGCGTGTTAACAGCGTCTTAAAGTTAGCTTATTTCCTCTTGCACTAACACCATACTATAAGCTATCTACTAACCGCCTTTACCTAGCTACTTAACTTACTTATCTAATAAGCTTCCTAGTAACCCTTAGTAGTGATATTTATAATCTTAAATTAGCGTAGATTACGCCACTATCTAATAGGCGTCACGTAGTGTTTACGCCTCCTAGGTAGTAGTACCTAGTGTAGGTAGTGTTAGCGTACGCAGCTGTATATCTAGCTTTAATAATATAGCCTCTAGATTATATAGGACTAGTCTGGCACCTTAAAAGCCTACGTAAACATTCTTAAGTATAAACGTCTTCTTATAAGCTTCTTCAAAGGCTAGTAAGAAGGTTTCCTTATTAATATAGTAGATATAGCTACGTGCTAAGAGTAAGATTATATTACTATAGTAGCGCTTTAATAGTAAGTAAGAGATAACGTTAAGAGGCTATAAGAGATGCAATAAGTAAAGTAGTATATAGAGAGCCATACTCTTATTCTCCTTATATTAGTCCTAGAAATCCACTAAGTAGTAGCTATTATAGCCGTTAATAATAAGTAGCCTATAAACCTTTATATAGGACGCCTTTATATAAGCATTAAAGTGCTTTAGCTACGTAAGCGTAAGACTATTATTAATCTAGCTAGTAGGAGAGATGTACTAGTACTAATCTAATTATAAGGTAGATCTATAATCTAATAGGTAATAAGGACCTTCTTTATAAAGATAAGGAAAGGTAAGATAACGCGCCTTATTACAAAGACGCCTTATACTAGAGTTAACTACTTATAATTGCTAGGTAATAGTTTTTTCTATTTACTAGGTTTCTCTAAGCCTATAATAATAAGCTAAGAAGATACCTTACTTATTATAAAGCTAGACTTATTAATGTTCTAGGTATCTTTATTTATACTACTATACTTAGCCTTTATTAATCAAATAAGTGTAAATAAGGGCTTAATATTTACTAGGTCCTTATAAATAGCTTACTAGTAATTATATTAACAGCTTTATTACGTTTAGAGTTTAGGTTTACGCTTAATAAAGTTATTAATCTAGTTCTTACCTATAGGCTACCTACTACGCTCTCTTAGTAGTTTATTAGCTATATTTTATACGTATACCTTTAAAGGCAGTATACTACGTAGACAATCTCTATGTATAGACTGTATAATTACCTCCTCTTCTAGCTTTATATTTAGCTTATAGTTGCGTTAAGGGCGCATCCTAGCGCGTTAGTCTTAGAGCATAAATTAAGGGACTTAGTAGACTACTATAGCGCGTCTTACGCTTTAGTACCACTTAGATACAATATTAGAGATAGTTATTATTATATCTCCTTTAGTATAGGTCTTTTGCAGGTTACGTTATTAAGACATAACGCGTTATTATTGCGTAGTTATTTTAGTAGAGTAAAGTAGCTAGCTTAGTTAGGTAGCTAACTTAGTTATAAACTACGTTATACTTAAATTAATATTTACTATAATATAACAAAGCGTTGATAATACGTAAGCGCAATACATTTTATAATAGTAATGCACCCTTATAACGTAAGCGTAACGCCTACTAGGCGTACAGTATCTAAACACGATATTCCTAATTTTCTCTTTAAGGGTTCAGGTTTTTATTAATGCTAGAATTGTTAAGGACGCTAGCCTAGAAGATAAGGCTTTAAGCTAGCTGACCGGGATGTTGATCACCCGGGGATGTTGATCACTCACAAATCTCAGCACTCCCACACAAAACACGTGTTTATTTTCTCAACGTAGCTACAATTGCCACTCTGTACACATAGACTGAAGCGTTTGAGCTGCTGTTTCAGCTGCTATATTTTCTGCAGCCTTTTCCTTAGCATTAACATCGCGCTGTGCCTTAAGAAGCTGTAAGGCCTGTACGGCAACTATAATTGTCTCTACATTTGCAAAGCGTTGATTTAGGTCAACACGAATCTTCTTTCGTGGCTGTTGAGGCTTAAGAGCCTTAAGTTAACTATAGAGTCTTTTATTCTCTGTTTTAAGCTGTGCTGCGCGTAGATTTGCTGTACTAAGTGCCTTGCCTGCTTTTTGAAGGAGCTGGTGAGTCTTACGCCCAACACTCTCGTTCCTGTAAAGCTCTCTTCAAGCTATAAAAAGATCACGAGGACCGTGAGGGGTAGAGAAGTAGCTCTTAGTAGGTTGAGGCTAGTTCTGACGTAGCGGCGTGACAGGCCTCTAGGTTACCTAAGATAAGTTGACTACCCGGTCAACATTGAATAGCCAGATACCCGCAGTAGCCCATCCTGCTCGTATAACTCTCTTAGTAATTGCTTGCTCTTGTGCGTGATAATAAGCTGTAATAGAACGCTCTTTTTTAACACGCGCTGCGTCGTTAAGGTACGAGAGAGCCTAGATTTGCTGCTGATAGAATCTCTTCACGAGTAAGAATACTAAGAGGTCTAGAGGCTGTAGGACATGAGAAGAATAAGGAGGTAGAAACAGAAGATAGACTTTGTTCTGTTTGCAAGCCTATAGGAAATTTAGGCTAATGTGGCTGCTGTAGCCATCTAGGATTAGCATCCTCTAGCTACCGTCTAATGGAGCTGTCTCGGGCAGATATACACACTGCAACCACTCAACTCCTATCTCATTCGATGTCCAGCTATTCTCTGAGGTTGTAAATAGCTATTTAGGAATTATCGTAGGAAACTAAGAGCTCTGTAGGTGCTTTCCTTTAAATATAACCGAACAGGGTAGTTTCTTGCCCGTAGCCGACACGCACTCGATTATTAATGCCCACTCGCGGTTCTCTAGGGACTAATAGTAAGCCTTCTTCTTCTAACTAGATGCGAGCACTCTGGTGTTAGCACATACACCTAAGGCCTTCCCAGTCTCATCCATATTCCATATATCCTCAGCCCTTATGCCTAGCCTCGTACGAGTCCTCTCAAAGAGCTCCAGGAACGCGCGTATCTGTGCTAGGTTTGCTCCCTCAGCTCGAGCTGCCTCAATCTTTCAACCTACAACAGATGCGACGCGTGGGTTACGCTTAAGGAAGGCAGCCATCCAATGCTTGCCTACGGGTCTGTAGTCTCCATTCATCCAGAGGATTCAGTTCGCTATTTCTCGTGCGCGTGCATAGGAGGGAGGAAAAGCTCGTGCGTCTTCTTCGAGTATCCATTGTACGAGAAAGTCCTCCTGCTCTGGAGTCAACCGCTGCTGGTATACGTGGCTGGCTTGGTTGCTTTGTCTGCCGCGTATGCGCGTTGAGATTGTGGATTGCGGGATGTTGTACGCCTTTGCAGCTGCCCTCTGACTTAGGAAAACACCGGCATCGATATCGCTGATAGCTGTTCGTATAGCTGCTTCACGGTCGCCCATTTTGGTTGAGTATGTAGAGAGATAACACGTGTTTCGTGTGGGAGTGCTGAGATTTGTGAGTGATCAACATCCCCGGGTGATCAACATCCCGGTCAGCTAGCTTATAACATTAGATAGCAGAGGCTAAGCGAGGAGGACGATTATAGTCTAACATGTTTGCTTCTCTCGCTTACGCCTTAGCCTCTAAACCTACTTATAACCTACGCTCTACGCGTTAGGAGATAGACAAGAATTATTCTTACAACCTCCCTACCTAGTGTAGTAATACAAAGCTTCCCTACTATTCTCTTGTAGCGTAAAGCAAATACTATAGCCTATAACTACCCCTTACAAACACTCCTTACATGTAATAGTGTAAGGTAAATGATCCTGCTTTATAGGGCGTTTTTAGCTACTTGTACTACTATCTATTGTCAGGCCTGGCTGACGATATATACTATCCTGCACCCTGATCAGTAGTTTACTCATCATACGTACCTTTTTGGTTGCAAGGCGTAGTGGTGCAGGGCTGCGTTCTTGACATCTATACAATCAAAACATTAGGCTAAGTAGGGTCCTATTCTATCTAATTTTTACTATACAAGACTCTACTGTTCGCAATCTACTTACAGTACCAATGCTAGATGCTACAGTGCAACTTTAACCAGCAATAAGGATCCCTAACGCTCTTACATGCGGATTGATTAACGTTAGATTGAACGGCGTAAGATACAAATTACTATCCGTAACTGCTAAAAACACCGTCTCATTAACCGCCGGGTCACCTACATATACCTCATTTGGCGGCTGGTAGCTCCACCCTCGATTCGGACCCGTGACTTCAAGCGGTGTATACGTTAGATTGAGTTGCGATACCCATGCGACGTATTGAGGCTCGGTAGCTGTAGTCGTCGTGATGTAACTGTTGTTGGGGCCGACAGCAAGACCGGGTTCTTCCCATTCGAGGAAGATTTTGCGGCCAGGGAAAGTAAGAGGTTCAGATCGGTTACGTGAGATGCCTGGAGCGCAGTTGTAGCCTGTGGTAGTATTGCCCACGCATGACTCGTCTTTAGACACGGTGGAGTTGCTAGGATCGGCTACACGGGGACCGATAATCTCAGCTTCTCGTGTGTCATTTGGAGATCCCCTGCAGAGCTTAGACGACGTTGATACTGAGACTTCTTCAAGAGGCGTACCTATTTGGGTTGGGTTGATTCAGAATGTGCAAAGCAGGAAAGTTTTGCCATGCAATGCGCGTATTGTTTGCGGGACATGCAGATATGTAAGGAGCAAGAAGTGTCCAGTGCCAGCTCTGTGGAACGCCTAAAGATTGTTTAGCTTACTGTCGAACTAAGTAGCATAGATACCTACCAGGAGTAAAGGAGACAGGCATAGGATGAAGACCTAACATTTGCCGGAACGCCATTTGCTGACGTGATTCGATAGCCTCAGCCTGAACTAATAAGGTAGCTACTTCCCGGGAGTCAAGATGGCTCAAGAATCCCCATGTCCCACTCTCACCGTAACGTGTTAATTTCACATTGAAATTAATAAACTCACGAACGGTCGTGAAGGGATAGTCGTAGATGCACTGTTTTGGCGCTGCCTCTCCAAGCATGTTCGTAAGAAGGGTTGCATGATCCATTTCTTGAGTGGCCATGAATGCAATAAATGCCCGATCCTCGGCGGTGAGCCCTGCATCAAGAAACTCTTGTTCCGAAAACTTCGCCAGTCCATGGTTGAAGAGGTCTAGTTCGATGTATTCTTGGTGCAGACCCAAGTTTATAGACTCAAAATCGAAGTCGCTCTCCACCATGTATCTAGGAACGGTCGTGCCGTTCGCACCAACGCCACCTAACAAAATTAGTCGCTGGAATATATATCCTATACAGTGGCTGCACATACCGCCAGGTACGAATGGAAGCTGCGCTGGAGCCCTCAGTTCCCCATTGGGGTTGTAGTACGTCGCTGTCGGGTTTGGAGTTGCCGGTCCATCGAACTTTTCAAGTAAAGTGGTTGGGGCTTTTTTCTGCCCAGTCGTTGTTGCCTGACCAGAGTATGGCCCATGAGTGGTTGGACCTGTTAGATCTGAGGTCACACGTGTTGGAGCTGCACCTGGCTCTGATCCTCGCGGAGGCGCTGTTACGATTGCAGGTATGTCTGTCGCAGGTCGTGGTGCGGCTGCTACTAACCCACCGAGGGCGAAAAGGGCAAAAATACGAACCATCGCCTCCGATACAGAACGTGAAGGAAAAGGGCTGCGGTAGGTTATCATTTTCAAATGCTCAAGACGTGATCATATACCATCAGAAAGCTTTCTGCTCATCCACGAAGACGGCCGAGAGCCTCATAGTGCTGTCATACTTCCGTACCACCCTTAGCGTTGAGACAGGGGCGGTCAGGACGCAGCCCCGCATCTCTACGTCATGCAACCAAAAAGGTACGTATGATCAGTGAACTACTGATCATGATGAAACATAGTAAATATCCGTTCGCTAGGCTTGGCATGGGCCTTATCGAACAATCGCTCATGATCGCTTAGCGTATTCACGATAACAGGGCAATAGTAACGATCTCGGATAGTCCTTTGCGCACCTACTGAATAATTGATACGACACAAAAAAGTCAAGCATCCTGTCTTTAAGTGAAGATTGGACAGGCTAACTGGCTGCCCGCGTTCAAATAATCCATAAACTGTAATGAAGTTCTTAGTGTGACGAGAGATTGATGTAACACAGCAGGACCCCTGCAATCACAAATCACGTGTTCTAGTTTTTGTTCTCCACACCGTTAATCGTTAGCACGCTATTCGTAGTACAATATTGCTACATCAAAGATCCTCGTAATTCTAGCTACTTACTAAAACTGTGCAGCAACATTTTGGATGGTAATTTAGTAGCGCAATAACTAGTTCACTTCGCTCGAGGCGTTGTTCCGTCCGCCACGGTAAGCGACCAGAACCTCGAACCGCTATAGTAATCCTGTCATGTTACACGTTAATCAGCTGACTATAGAAAATGTGACGTTAGTGTTATGATAAAAATCCGACTGCGAGGAGCTTTCTATTGGCAGACAGAAATAAAGGTTTCATCAAGCTGAGATCATAGTTAGGTAACCCGGATGTCACGGAACCAACATTCTTGATAAACTTGCTTTGTTACCGCATGTGGTGACTGCACGAGATGTCACATGAAATGTCGTTTTGTACGAGTTCGCATAAGAAGGCTCGGAACGCCTCCAGAGACCAGCATCTCAGTGTTTCGAATACGATTCTTCAGTCCAAACGAGCATCGAATTCTACAAGCTGAACCTTAGATAAATCCACAATATCTCCAATACCGGAAACAATGGCTCCTGGAAACACTGTGAACGATTACGGTGCTCCGTCCACTCACTCGAGCAAAATTCTCCGTCCCCTTATCCTTGCCAACCATGCCCTGCATTGGATATCTTCCATCATCGTCATGTCTATTGCTGCGTACTTCATTGCGCACTACAGGCACAACACGCATCTCCGGTACTGGATCTCAGTAGTAAGTCCCTTTGTACTCGTTTTTAAAACTCCCCAGACGCTGATTATACATTGCAGGCTGCTATCGATGCGTTCCTCTACCTTCCCGCGCTGGCTCTTCCCCTCATTAAGTCCTACAAGGGCTACCTCGCCCCACTCGCCTGGGTTTTCTCCTACCTCTGGCTCACAGCCTTCATCTTCGCCGCGCAGGACTATAATTTTGACAACTGCGCGCTAAACTCTCCCGGTCCGTTTGTCAACAAATGCTCGCTGAAGAAGACGCTTGAGGCATTCGCTTTCATTGCTTTGTAAGCACCAACCAGGTATAAATCGACTTTGAAAGTACTTTTACTAATGGGGCGTAGCTTCACCAACCTTGTCGGAACGTTGATCGAAGGAAGGCTTTGGGATATCCAGCGTTTCAAGGGCAACCACACGGCCCTTGGTACTGAAAAGCACCACGCCGCTCCTCTTGGAAGCGCGCCAGCCATGACTGCGCCGCAAACCACCACGTCTGTCTAAGCATAACAGCTTGACTATTTTAAGCACGATAATACTCGATGCTACTAATTGGCCTGTAGGTCTACACCTGCATGAGGCAATGCCACGAGATTGTATAGTTTGGATGATAGTATTAGTACATTCGAGACTTACTCTAACGAATTTTGTTTATTTAGTACGACTAGACGTTGTTGTGGATTGTTTTGGTACTTTTCTATTATAATGGGTGCTTAATGTAATTAGTTGTTTATATAGCTGTATATTATTAGGGTAGTATTTGTTGTTCGAACCCTGTTTAGACCACTTTCGTGCTATTCTATTTCTATCAGAACATAGTCCTGCACCACTACACTATGCTACTAAAAAGGTACATTTGATTGATGCATTACTAATTATGGTGCAGGACAGTATATATCTTTAGCTAGGCCTGACAGCGATATAGAGCGAGGATTGATCAATGGGCAATTATCTTAGGACATAACGTTTGTTGCTGGCATGAATTCTCTGTTTGCAAATATTGAGAATTTTCCCTAGGAACTAGAGGATCCACTTCCTCCACCACGAGATATCTTGTTCCGTTAGGTTCACAACCTCTGCCTTCTCGTGGTCTACATCAGCAATCTCCGTCAGGCCAACGTCTTGCAGAGCAATACTTCCAGACCTCACATAGCAGAGACCAATATCCCATAGAAAGACGAAGATAACAATATCGACGTAATACGTGAGAAAGGTGCCTGCATTCCAGTGACCTGGAAAGAAGACGCTGTGTCCGGAGAATAAGACGACAAGGACGAGGGAGCCTCCAGTGACCCAGGCGAGATATGGCTGGAAGGGACTCTTGTATGCGAGACCTGTTCACATCAGTACGATATTTATCAAAGCGAACAGTTTACGTTTTGTTGCGCAACTTACGGTCTCGGCTGATACCTTGGATTTTCGAAGCAGAGTAGAACCCAAGGTAAGTAACCTGAATGGCAAGCCACCCAATAAGCCCAGCAATGTTTGTGATGTTGACAAACCATTCCAACACTACCGAAGAGCTGCTCCCTAGACCGAGGTATACAAGAGGCGTAAAGATGAGCGAAGCACCTATTGCCAAGTATGGTGTTCCAAACTTGTTGGTACGAAGCAAGACTCGGGGAGCTTGTCCGTCCTCTGCTGGACCGTGTAGAGTACGTGATGCAAGGAGGACGCATGCCGAACCACAGCTGAAGGCCGAGGTGCATACTAAGGCGTTGATGATCGAGGGCAGGACATTGATACCAGCGCGCTGGAACGTAATGACGAAAGGATTTTGCTGAGCATTACCAGTAGATGTTCCAAGATTCGGGTCGTTAAATGGCACAAGCATGCCAACGATAAGGATGGACCACATAGAAGATCAGCGAAGGCCAGAAGGTCATACGTATCGTGTTTGGGATAATGACTCTTAGGTTCTTTGTCTCGGCGCCAGCTATAGCGACCACCTGGATGTTAGCGTAGCTATAAGCCACGGAAATCAAGGAGCTCCAAAACCCAAGAAACTTGCCCGTATTACCCGGAACCATGAATTCGTTGAACGGACCGGGATGCTTCCAGTATCGAAAGCCGATTTGATCTCCACTAGGAGATTCTCCGAGGTCAACTACCAGGCCGGCGATAATGAGACCTATGATAAGAAGGATCTTGAGAGCTGAGAAAAAGACTTCGTTCTAAAAACTATGGGAAAAGAGGCCACAGGGAGTTTGTGTCGGGACATACCTCGCCATAGACCTTCACGCCGCAGGAATTGATAATCACAATGATAACGATGAAAACCGAGTACCAAATGGCAGGATTGATACTGTTGTCCCAAAATTTGATCAAAGTTGCCGCAGCGGCCAGCTCAGCTGGCGCTGCGATTGCCATGGTGTACCAGAAGTTCCATCCAGTGGCGATGCCAAGTACAGGCTGCACGAATCTGATGGCATGGCGGAACGAAACCTCCAGTGACTGGCATGGAAGTCGACATCTCTCCTGCAGACAGCGCGGCACCGCAAGTGATTAAATCCATGAATAGATACCCAATGAGAGCGCAGACTGGTCCCGCTGTAGTGATTGCCTAGCCGGAGGCCAAGAAAAGTCCTGTACCCTGTAGTTTGTGTGCGTGAGTTCAAGGAGACGAGAGATGGGCTTGAGGAACTTTTGACCTACGACCATGCCAGCTATCGCAATCATATTGATATGGCGACGCCCAAGGTTGCGTTTGACCTCGTAAGTCGTGATGACTCCATCCTCGATGTCCGAGTTTGACGCAAAGGACTGGACGAGTTGCGTAGCATTCTTCTTCAAGATATCCATGATGTTACTCTTAGCATTGGAGCGCCCAACGGGCATTGAAAGTAGCAAAGCCCGGACGTAATAAAAGCGTGTATGACGAAGATCACGCACTTAGGCCCTATGTAGTGATCATCACATGTATGATCGTTTTGTATGATTTCAAGGTCTAGGGTCCTGTATTGTACCAGATAGATAAGAGGGGATATCTAGTTAGCTACATTCACTAGGTCAGGGCCTATATACCCCACTTCCTTCACGCCCGTATGGCTGCTCCTAACTCCCCTCTCTCTCCTCCTCCTCCTCCTCCTCCTCCTCCTCCTCCTCCTCCGTGTAGCTTATTATATGTTCCTTATGCGTCCCTAAGGCATATTGTTGTAGGATAATCTTGTAGTATACAGAAACAAGTCTAATAGGAAGAGAATAGGCTAGAAAAGCTGTATTTTACTTCCTAACTTGTATAATTAAACACTTTAGCTTACTATAATCTCCTCTTCTGCACACGAGTCGCTCTTCTTACATCTAACTTGCCTAAGCTCCTGTTAGCTAGCTAAATCATTACATGTCCTACAATTTCGTAGTACGATCACTACGAAGGTCCTTAGTTGTGTGTTCTTGATATGACAACGACCGGGCATTGATTTTAGGTGAATGTTGTTAACCAAAGCGGGATGCTTATCTCGCATGTCAGTTCGGCATTCTATGCGTGATTCCCGCATTAGTCACTGATATTCTGGGGTCTACAGGCTAATAGCGGCAGAAGGACTGGAAGCGGTGATAAGCTCGAATGTCGTGGTGCCGGTGCTACCTGCCCTGCAAGGATGCCAGCAGCCTCACTCCACTCTAGCGGGTCATTAGGGCAATTGAATGCAAAACGAAACGAGACGAGCGTGCTATTATTTGCATAATACCACCCAATCGTCAAAGTCAACGAAAATGTCATCGGCGAAGGACGATTTGTTCCAATTGTACGACTTACGGATCGAAGTGGTTTGCCCGCCAGGCGAGCGCATTTTGTGCGGAGCCAAAGAAGGATACTACTTCACCGTACGAGGTGGATGATGCATCTTCCCGACGGTCAGGGTATAAGCTTCTACAGCTTAGATGAGTCGTGCGCATAGACGCTGCACACTTCCAGGGCTAATGAGCTTGTATTACAGCAGCAGTACTGCCTCTGCTAACGCCCAAACAGCGACCAACTCGCGCACATGATTGGATATCCACAGATGCATTGATCGCATGTCCGGATCCAAATTGAAAATGTCAACTCAAGATTATACGAACCGGGTTGCGGACCTTCAGCCATGCGAATACCACGGTAGTTGGTCTGAAAGGGAACTCTTGAGCGTCGGAACGACAAGCGAGAGTTTTGACCGAGATATACGGCTGGTACATTTGTTTACTTTGCTCCGCCCAGCGCATGGAGTAATGTGAAGGTGGTCTCCAGGAGCGTTGGCGAGGTAAAGGTTAACTTGTTTGTTTGCACGTATGCGCTCCACGCGCACTATAAGGAAGTGTTCGTAGACAGATTGTTACGCTCAATAACACGATGGTGATGTCGAAACTTCTGGCTCTTAACGCGACGCTGTGTCACCAGAGGCTCCATGAAGCCCTTCAAATTTTCCCAATCAGTCTTGTCGAAATAATCGCCGTCCTCATCATCATACCCATTCTTATTCCAAGGGCCGATTGCAGCTGCTGCACCAGCCACGCTGATTTCCATAGCACAGCTATCTATGCCTCTAACTGTAGCTCTAAGAAACGCAACTCGAAAGTTTGTAGGGGCTCGGTAGTATGGCTCGCTGCACCTAGGACTTGACGTGGCAACGACAGATGCTGAGGTGATGGCAGAGATAGGCGTATATGTTTGGCGGTAATGTCAGCCGTGACAATTATAGTGGGAGCTCGTGAGAGAATGGGCATTACGGACGTTTGGAAATATGAAGAATCGCGTCCGTGTAGGTGGTGACTGCGGCGACCTGGGCATCAAACGTTGTTGTGTAGTAGGGTGCAGGGAGAGGTTGTACAGAACCGGCACAGCAAGAGGGAGCGCACGGACAGGTCTAACACAAGTTGAGTTGACGTAACTCATCATCAAAAGAAATGGCTCACAGGCTATAGCGGATCTGCCAGCTATCCTAAAAGACCTCGAAAAAAGCTCCTCAATCTACAATTCTCGAAACACGCGAACAATTGTGCTTTGCTAGTCCATTGCCAATACTCACTGCCGCAATCGCCCACGACTTGAAATACCTCTTCCCTCCTGCTCTTCTCAAGGACTTCCTCGATGCTCCCTTGATCTTCATAGTCAAGCGTCCATCCGTATGTCTTAGCTTTCCCTCTGTGTGCTCACTAACACCCATGCGCGCGCCAATAATGACCGCACCCACGTATTGGAAGTCGGGCACCCATCTTGTAGCGACGTTCGAGCTGCAGACGTTGTGCTTGACCGCTATAGCCTGCAAAGTCTGCAATAAGATCTGGAACAGATCCCAATCGCCCCATGTCTGTATCATCTTGAAGTACTTTCTTTACGAAGGTGTGGAGTCGGGACCAACCAGCTGTGCCTCAGGTTTGCCGAGCCACTTTTCAGCAAGGAAGCCCACAAAGAGTGCCATATGTGAGGAGTTCCACATTGTGCCGTGCACGGATCTCCGAGATCCGTATGAATCCTCAAGGGAACCTTCAGGTATGCTGATATCTAGACCGGCCATCACTGCATCGACGGTACTGCGCGTGGAAAGATACCAATCGGCGACAACAAAACTTTAAAACCCCAATCTTATCTCAATATAGATTTAGCAGCCAGTCATTTTCGCAAGCGAAGAAAATGTTCAACTTGTTGTAGGAGCACATGAATGAAGCGGCATCTGCCTCATGAACAGATGCCTTGAAGGCGGGTAAGCAAAGCTCATGCAGCACTCGCTCGTTGATGTGAACGTCAACGGCATCCCAATCAGGGTCTATTCCAAAGCAGCTCGTATCTTGATTATACCCAGCAAGATGCTTAGAACATGCTAGAGCTCCTTGACTCTGAACGCTCATGATATCCGCTACGGCCATTCGGGTAGTCAACCACGGGTTTTCCGAGAAGGTTTCAGCTGCGCGGGCCCATAGTGGCGATCGGAGGATGTTGATCGTCGACGACGAATAACATTGCGATCCTATGCCATGTGCTCTCGGGCTGATGCTTGGCCGTAAGCATATTCGAGAGCGGTACCCCAAGAAGCCGCGGCAGCAACTAGAGCGGGGAAGACGGTAACATTATGTATATTGTTTCCAACTCCAGCTGGACCATCTCCCATGCAGATAGAGGGCACTCCAAGTGTCTCGTTACCAGAAGTGTGCCCTTCGCATGGATTGATACCGGTTCCGTTATCATCGAGCTCGGTATCGCCTTGTAGCATGGCATATTTTTGGGTACTGTTCAGCTGGTCCAAGAACAGCTGCAGTTGCTGCTCGTTCGATAATTTTGGATCCAGCCATGGTCGGTCCGCCAAGATCCGTGATGATGCATATACCTGGGTCAAGGTATAGAGCAAGCCTGTCCATATCGGAGTGGGAAAGTACATCTCCCAGAGGAACGCCTGTCTTTTGAATGAACGTGGTAATCTTGAAGATGACCAGAGTCAACTCATCAATATATACCCCAGAATAAATTCACTGTGTACAGACATCAGCTCGGCCACTTCGCAGTTCATCCCTAGGATGTCGTAGGAGGCCGGTAGAAAAAACAAGATACCGGAACCGAGACCGTTGGTCCCTCCAGCTACAAACTTCATTATCTGGAATCGCAAAATCAATGCCGAAATGCTGATAAGGTCGTCGAGTTACATTTCTTAGACACTACTCTAACTTTGGTGATGATCAGACAGCCGAAGTCGGCTAAGGCGGGCTTGCCCGGGAAAATAAGTTCCGAGCTTTTGTTATCGCCTAATGACACGTGCAGTGCTGCTAGCATTAGAGTGGTTCGTGGAACACCGACGGTCTTTTTTCAATGCTGGCCAGATGCAAATGATAAAAGACCTAAAAGGGTGTCCTCCACAAAGGTGTGGCTATGTAACATAGTTAGATAGGCTTTGTAGAAAAGTAGACGCACTATGTACCTTGAATAGCATACAACCGTAGAGTTATTTCTCAGGTCTGGGTTTCACAGATTGTGTTGCCAGTGGCGGCAGGATGAATCCACGCTGGTAAGTAGAACTGCGATGCTACACCGTTATACATCTTTACTGCGACTTGTTTGTATTTTGCGTCTCTCACTGGTTTCATCAGCGCTTTCGGCCAATCTGTACGTTTCTTCAGGGCGAGACGCATTGCCAACATTTGACGAAGTAGATCTTCGGTCTGTTCGATGCTCCTCGAAGGCTAGCCATGCACGACTCGACACGCAGCGTTTGATATTGGCGGTCTTGCTGGCCCGAGATGCGGTACGTGAGGAGGCTACGTTAGCAAGTCGTACCAAAAACAGTGGAATACCCGTTGTTGTGTTACAGCATCATCTCTCTAGCCGTACACGGTTCCGCATTGCCTTGACGCGCTAAGGCACCCAAGCAGACGCGATTTGCCGCCGTGCACCGCTTAGCTGCATCAAGGCTGCACGGCAACAGGCTTAACGCGTACCAACCAATAACAAGCTCAAGCGATCGACGCGGCACAGGCGCACGTCTCTGCTAGCACCCATGGCACCTGTCCTCTATCAATATCATGATGTGCCTCGTTGCCGTTTGTGCCTTGCTACTGGGGCCGCTTAGGGAAGGCGAAATACACTTGCGGCAAGCGGGCATCATGATGCTTGCCCGATACGTGATGGAAATTGGAAGGATCGGTAGCTTGCTTCGCAGGTTTGTTTGTGTCGACGAGCGCCTCTCCTCTTCCTTGTTTCGACTGATTCACTTTCTTTGCGCTGTCTTTCTCCACGACACAGTCCCTCACTCGTTACTCACCGGCTAGTGCGTTTGCTCAACATTTGTTCAGAGCTGTTGCGACACAGTTCCTCTCGCAACCACAGCAAAGTATCCAACAACACAAGCAATCAATCGAGTCGCTATATTACACCATGGTTCAATTCCTGTCACTTGCCCTGATGGCAGGCTTGAGCGCGGTCGCATCGGCTATTCCTACCATCGAGGTCAAGGGCTCCAAGTTCTTCACGAGCGAGGGCAACCAATTCTTCGTCAAGGGTAAGCACACTGGCATGTTTGTATGTCAAGACGATTACTGACAGATGCGTGCAGGTATTGCGTACCAACTCGTTCCCGACGACCCTCTTATCGACGCGACACAATGTGGTCTCGACTCCGCACTTATGAAGACCATTGGGGCCAACTCGATCCGTGTCTACCATGTGGACCCCGATGCGGACCACACCGATTGCATGAAGACATTCGCGGACGCTGGAAGTACGTAAATTGCGGGCACGAGAAGAAGGTCGCCTTTACAGGCTTGTACCGATAGTGTGTACCTTCAGGGTACACTACGCCTCTGGGTCCAACTCACAGACGACGGGCCTCTCACACTTGGCTGGCGCAAGGCGGCTACAGCCCTGCAAACTCATTTCCTCCAGCTGTATCATGACTAATACATCTCCCACAGTTTATATCTGGGTCGACCTCGATACCTTCGATACTCAAGTCGAGCAGAACACTCCTCGCTGGGAGACCGACCAACGCGATGCCTTTGCCAAGGTCATGGATGAATTCCATCAATACGATAACGTAGCTGGCTTTTTCATCGGCAATGAGGCCATCACCACTGCAAATGGCTCGGTCACTGCCCCTTACATCAAAGCCGCCGCCCGAGACATGAAGGCCTATCGTGACAAAAAGGGCTACCGTAGCATTCCCATTGGCTACTCAGCTGCCGACATCGCATCCCTCCGACCTATGCTTCAAAACTACTTGGCTTGTGGTAGCAATGCGTCCGAGCGCTTAGACTTCTTCAGTCTGAATGCTTACTCTTGGTGCGGAGATAGTACCTACCAACAGTCTGGTTACGACCAGTTGGAGAAGAACTCTGAGGACCTCCACATCCCCATCTTCATGTCAGAAACCGGTTGCAACACGGTGAAACCACGCGACTTCAAGGACCAGGAAGCGCTTTTTGGAGAGATGTCCGATGTCTGGTCTGGTAGTATCATCTACGAATGGATTGAGGAACAGAACAACTACGGGCTCATCAGCTATGGTCCCCACGTCGACCCTGCCAGCCCTTCTGCACCACCGGATGGTTTCCCTCGCTCAGGTAAGTTCTATATACGACACACTCCTTGCATGCACCGCGACTGACAACATCTACAGGAACGCCTACCCCAGTTGAACCTGACTTCCCCAATCTCTCCGCTGTGTGGGCAACCTTGAACCCTACGGGCGTCAAGGCTTCGGACTACAACCCGACAAACTCGCCCGTTGCATGCCCAGACTATACGGCATCGGCCTGGGAAGTTATTCCCACGTCACCGCTCCCCACATTGGGCCAGAAACATGACTTCAGCGGGTCGCCTACATCTGCAGGCTCCAGCGCAACGGCGACTGGAGGTTCCGGTTCCGCAGGATCTGGATCTGGTGGAGCGGAGACATCTGCATCTCCCTCCACTGGTGCTGCGACGAACGGTCTGGGCAAGGAGCTCAAGGGGATGGGTGCTTTCTTCACGGGTGCTATGGCCGTCTTTGCCTGGCTCTGAATGCGTCACACACCGCATCTTCATGCACCCTGCCACAACACCACGCGACTTTGATATCGCAGAATCTTTGATGAACAAGACTCTCAAGGCTACGTTTGAAGTTTCGTGTACATATTTTGGTTTCTAGATTATTGGTACGGCTTTTATACACGACACAAGACGATAGATAGACGACAAATGCTTTGGAGCTGTACATACTCCCAACCTAATAAATGCTTCCATTTTGGTGGTGCTACTATTTAGTGCCGTTCTACTGTGCACTCTAAGTGAGCCTTAAACACGGATAGGACGGACTCGATTGATACATGGCATAGGATTTCACTCAGTCTCAAACGGAAGCGTGTCAATGGTGAAAAAATGTAGTCATGGTGCAAGGTTCGCATTGAAGGATTGGGCGCCAGTTAAGTACAACCCGATCGCCAGCACAGGGCTTTCCCCCATACCTCAAAGAAGCATGGATATCTTTCCCTCATAAGCGCGCAGCATTGATCGTATCCCTCAACACGTCCCTCTCCACTGAAAGCATGGTATTCTCTTGAGTTGTTGTCAAATGGTCTCATTTTTTTTTCCTTTTCCGTTCCCTACTCCTACGCCGACATGCCAGTGGTTGTCAAAGACAGGGTATGTAAGAGAAGAATTGACGAAGCTGCTCAAGATGACATCTACCACTGGGTAGTGGTAGCAGGGGCAGCAGTCTCTGCGCCCCAGCCCTCGTTGCCAGTCTGAGCATCGCCAGACGCAGCCCAGTCGGCAGTGTCAGCGTCCCAGCTGGTACCGGGGGCAGCGGCGGCCTGGGCAGTGAAAGCACCAGCAGATGCGCCGGAGACCTCCCACTCGCTGGTGAAGCCATCAGCGACGGCACCAGGGCCAACCTCGTCGGCACCAGGGACCTTGGCCTCCTCAACACCAGCGCTGTCCTTGTTCTCCTCAGCCTCGGGGTCGCGGTAGAAGTACAAGTCAGTCATGACATCCCACTCAGTCTCGCGGTTGGCAAGAGTACCGCGGAGGCGGAGGACCTCACGGGCAAGCATCCACCAGATCAAACCAATGGCGTGGCGACCCTTGTTGTTGGTGGGGATGGCAACATCGACGTACTCGGTGGGTGAGTCTCCGTCGCAGAGAGCCTAGTCCATGTTAGTCCACCTGCTTCTCTCCCCAACTCCAGGCGTTGGTATGCTTACAATGACGGGAATGTTGACGTAGGAAGCCTCCTTGATGGCCTGGGCGTCGGTGCGGGGGTCGGTGACGATAACCAGGCGGGGCTCCCTGAAAGAGCGGGTGATGTAGTTGGTGAAGTTACCGGGGGTGAAACGACCAGCGATAGCAGTGGCACCGGTGTGCGACGCGAACTTGAGGACGGCACGCTGTCCGTAGGGACGAGCAGAGATGACACAGACTACTGAGTGTCAGCCAAATTCCTTATTCGCGAATAATCGCATCTTCCAAGATCATGCATCTCGAATTGCGCGAGTAAACGTACTGTCGGCCGGGTTGTCAATGGCGACAATGATACGCGCAGCAAGGACAATCTTCTCCCAGGTCTTGCCAATGTTCAAGACGTTGACACCGTCGGGCCTGGTCTTCCACAGGTAGGGCTCCATGTGCACCTGGAGGTTCTTGCTGCCGAGGTGGCACTGCGCAGCCAGGAGCATCTCAATGTCCTGCTGGGTGGGGTTGAAGATGGCGGGGAGGTTGGAAGGAGCCATTTTGACGGTTTGGCGCTGTACAAGCTGGTTGGTATAGAGAAGTTGTCGTGTTGCGTGCGATAGAACTTTTGGTGGAGGGACTTGACGATGCGAATATCCTGTGGGAGCCGCTAGGCCACGACGGGGTTGGCGCCACAATGCTGCCGGCATCGGCAAAACCAGTCGCCGGCGATGGATCCGCAAAAGATTCGAGGGTGGTGGCAGCGAGTGTGTAGCCAGCAATGCCGCCGCGAATACCAGCCTTGTCGTGCCTGCGGGTGCCGACGTGTATGTACACCATCTTACAGACCAATTGCTCATACTAACGTTTCCCCCCAGCTTCATCCGTCACAAACCAACTCACCCTCCCCATTCGAACTTTCGCCTCTACATCGCGTGTTCATGCCGAGTCAATCGAAAGACAGAAGAAGCGCCTCGCCAATGACCCCTACATAGTCGCTCAGCGGAACAGAAAGAAAGCCGCCAACCTCACGCGCCGCGCTGAGCTCGAACAAGGCCGAGTCGCCAGTCTTGGAGACCCAGTCCGTGGCGTTTCAACACCATTCGTGCAGTCGTTCGACACTGGGAAGCCGATTACGTCCGAGGAAGATAACAAGCTACCGAAAGACCGAACACATCTCAACTATGCCTTCAATCCGAAAACTGTTTCAAGACAACTCGAGAAGAGCAAAGAGTTGGCTGTGCCGCTGAGCGATATTGGAAAGCAGGCAACAACTGGATCTACCAAATGGGGCAAGGACATATTCAGTGCAAGGATACCGGAGATCGAAAAGTCGGCTGAAGAGATTGAAGAGCAAAACATGAAGGACCATGCTCGAGCTGCTGAGGCTATCGCCCGCATCACTGCCCTTGAGAATGGGTCTAGCAAAGACCGTATGCGCGTGAATATCACACGTTGTGTCGAGACATTTGGACGCCACAACACCGACAGGAAATTCCCACCCAAAGCGCCATCGCTAAGCCGGTCTGGTGCTGACGAAACGCGTGTCGTTCGCCCAGAGACGAACATTGCAGCAGCCGCAAAGCGAGTAGGACCCGATACAGGATCTTCCGAAGTCCAAATTGCCATCTTGACCGCCAAGATCAAGACCCTGGCAGATTTTCTACAATCACGAGGAAAGGGCGACAAGCACAACAAGCGAAACCTGCGGTTACTGGTGCATAGGAGGCAGAAACTGTTACAATATTTGAGGAGGAAGGAGAGAGGTGGTCCGAGGTGGCAGCATTGCATTGAAACTCTTGGGCTAACTGAGGGCACCTGGAGAGGCGAGATCTCCTTGTGAGAGCATGGAGATGCACGCATTGCACTTGTGGATAAAACCTGTAGAACAACTTGCGACTCTGTACTAACACATTACGTTTGCATCGTCAGAGTATTTGCTCTCCCATTTAACTCTCATGGGCGCTGTCACACATGTACCAGGTGACTTTCGTAAGCGCTGTCTCTAGTGACCCACTATCATGTGAGGTGGGTCGAAGTATGCCATGATTTGCTTGATCGCACTCTCATCAGCCTATCTTGGCTAAGCCTGGTCTCACATTCCTTCACTCGGCCCGTGGCTAGTAAGGGCGTTATCACGCGCAGGATGATAGTGAAGGGCGTAATCACGCTGAACCCATGATTACAAGCCCCCAATCGGATGCATGTTCTACCTGGCGACATATATATCACTTGAAATCCGCGATATTGTCAAGCTAACTTCGCATTCACTACACTACCGCGAGCTCGTCCATGCGCTCTAGAACCTCTTATGCCGTTTTCCCTGGTCAAACCAGAATAGCCTAAATCATGTCGACAAGCCCCCCACACCAGGCCGACCCGTGGTCTAGTAAACGACTACAATACCGCGCTGTTCGCCCCAGCGACATATCTGTCTTCCACGCCATAAGCGCCGATTACTCTGGCTTCGCAAACAGTAACTTCAACAACATCAAGCTGCCAAGCACCTCCGATTCAGAATCTTTCATGAAAGGTTTGCTTGACGACTGCCTTCTGGGTGCCATCATCTGGCTACCCCACCCAATAGAAATAAGCTCAATGAGTGACGAGGAAAGGGAAAAGGAATTTGCGCGTAGAAGGAAGACTGGTGAAGTCGTGGACGAGCAATTTGGTACCGCTGTCGGTGAGATTCATTTGAGTGCGTTGCCAATGCATAAACAGCATCACCGGAACACTGAGATTGGACTTGATATCTTGCCAAAATATCAAGGCAAAGGGTATGGCTCTGAGGCTATCTATTGGGCACTTAATTATGCCTTTAGACGAGCAGGTCTGCATCGAGTTAAAGTTCGAGCGTTCACCTACAACGAAGGTGCTGTTCGGTTGTATGAGAAGTTGGGATTTATGGTTGAGGGGAGGGAGAGGGAGTGCGTGTGGCATGAGGGACGGTGGTGGGATGTCGTAACATTGGGTATGCTGGAGGGAGAATGGCAGAGATTTCGCGACTGAGAGCGAACAGAAGCCGGACGTTTAATAGAAGCGAAAAAGTGGAACCAGGGTAGATAATAATTACAGAAGGTTCAAATTGATGCCAATAGTGTTCGAGGATTCTTCCCCTTGCTCAGGACATGTCGTACTGCAGCCCCTCCATTTCTGCATGTCTGATGACCATCGTAGCGTTATTGGCCCTTTTTTCTGCAGCGTCATAAAGGGCTAATATATCCTGCTTCCACATTGTCTCATTCATTCGAATGATCTTCCTGTCATAAGTCATCATTCCGTTGACTTCCCCTTCCACGTCTGTAGTCTGTGTCCATACACCCCCTGAACAAGCGAATAGATCGATCTGCTCGCGCAATTGCACGAGCAAGTCGTGACAACGATAGTTCCACCATTCCGTTCCATTAGTAAGCTCGTATGCAGTTTGCTTCCCCAAATCTTTGAACCAGGCGTGGGTAAAGTTATTTTCGGGAAGTTGCGTACCAATACCACCGAACTCGCCTTGAAGGCCAATCCGTGAGCTATCATAGGCGGAATCATATCCGCTGCCTTGATTGGACCAGAATGGCGTCCCGCATTGGGGTGTGGAGTAGTGGTGGTTATCGTCGAAGTCACCTGCTCGATGGTCGGTCCAGCCGCTTACAGCGTTGACTAGACGGGTGGAATCAATCTTTCGGACCATATCCGTTAGTCCGAACTCGGGCCACGGAGGCCCCTGAGTATCTTGACCCCATTCTTCGTTGTAGATCGTCCAAGCAAAAATACTAGGATACGACTTTAATTGCTCGACCATCAAACCTAGCTCCCGATCAAACTCGTCTTGCGCAGCTTGGCCTGCTAAGCGCTTGCTACCACAACCACCATCCGGTAAGTCTGGTCGTAGGGAAGGCATGTCCTGAATGACCAACATACCCATCTCGTCGCAAGCTCTGTAGAACAGTGCCGGTTCTACCTTGATATGTTTACGCACCATGTTGTAGCCAACGTTCTTCAGTACCTTGAGATCGTACACCATGGCTTCTACACTTGGTGGCGTGTATATTCCGTCCGGCCAGTACCCTTGATCGAGCGTACCGAAAGGAAAGATAAATTTACCGTTCAGGAGCGGGCGCTGTATGCCGTTGACGGGACCTCGGGAAACAGTCCTAAATCCGGTGTAGCTCTGAACGGTATCACTGCCCATCTTGACCGTGATGTTATACAAAACTGGGCTGTTTGGAGTCCATAGTTCTGGTGAGCTAACAGTGAAGGTAAACTCTGATCCGCTAATACTCGTAGCTGTCGCCTTGGCGTCGACAGAGTTCAGCTCGTGAACTGTGATCTCATATGGAGTGCTAGTTGAGTTGGTGCTGCTGTGCACAAATACGTTTACTACGATGCGTCAGTAATGAGTTACCTGGGAAACATGCTCTACATTTACCGTTCCCGTACATGTCCGCCGTCAGGTCGAGTTTGGAGATATGCTCATTTGGAGCTGACTCAAGCCACACAGTTTGCCAGATGCCACTGCATGGAGTATACCAGATCATTCCACCTCGGTTCAATGTTTGCTTTCCGATCGGTATTTGAACGTCATCCACATCTGTCGGATCAAAGGTGTACACTAGCCTGCAATCTCGTCAGCTTTGCTCCCAATTCTTGGGTGGCCGTACTCACAGCTCGTTTGTTCCATTTGCGTTCAGATATTGCGTCACATCTACACTGAATTCGAAGTATCCACCCCTGTGGAAGCCAGCCTTCTGGCTGTTCACAAAAATAGTGGCCTCATAATCAACAGCGCCAAAGTTCAAAATAACACTGTTACTGCTAGGCCATGATTGTGGCACTTCAAATGAGGTCTGGTACCAACTCCACATGCGACCCTTACCCGTCACACCTTGGTTGCATTAGTAACGTGTCTGGTAGGACGCTTGGAAGAACTGACCGGAAAGGGCACTCTCAAGACAGAATGGGACTAGAACAGGGTTCTCAAGTCTCTGTCCGAATGGAGGTGACGTGTCTGAGCCATTCGTAGTGTTCATGTAACCCCAAACGCCATTGAGGTTTTTCCATTCTGACCGTTGAAGGCGTGGTCGCGGATATTCAGGCCATGGGTTAGTTCCTACCGTATCTGTCCAGTCTGTCTTCAGTGGAGTATATCCAACTTTGTACTCTGTGCCGTTGCTTTGACGTGGATAGATCTTGCTTTCGGTAAGTGCGGTGGTTGACCATATCAAGAAGCTCGCGACGATACCAAAGATGGGTTGCATGTTGGCGGGACCAGGTAGCAGGTGTGCATCCGGCATGCGGTAACGAACGGTCGAGATTGAGAAGATGATGGCTGCTTTTAAACTGTGCGTTGACTAATAGCAGCATGGTTCAATGGTACCTAGGTACTTTTGATGGCTGTGTAGCTGCATATTGATGTCCTTAGGTCTGGAGATAGCGGCGGGATGATCCTGGTGGCTGCACGCCTAGGACGATCACTGCAGTATTGACGTAGCTCGGCGCAGGTTTGCACAGGCCAGAGTAGTCGCGTGGCCGAGCCGGCTGATCAGTTGCATGGCTACTGGCATGCGATTACGGTACATCCAATATTTACTACAAGAGCGTGATGGCTTGGAGATGACGAGGTTGATAGTACGAGGCGACGATATGGTCGTTTAACAACGCTGTGGATGCATGTCTATCTGCAGAGTGTCATATGCAGAGGAAAGGTACTAATCAGCTGCGGTCTGCGTCTTGGCTGTCAGACCGATGGATTCCCCGCACTATTCGGATCAAATGGGGCCGGATTATCGAGTGGGACTGGCGACCAACGGCCAGAAGTCGAGTGCAGCATCAAGGTTGCGCACAACAGTAAGTCGAGAGGTGGGATCGCGAAATCATTGAGATCTGTTGTGAGTGGCTGTGAAAACGGCTGGCGCATGGCGAAAAGGATGTGGCAGTGTTGCGTGGTCGCTGAGTTCTGCGCAAGGTGACATCAACATACTAGTGACAGGCTATCCCGCATGGAGTGCAACAGCATTGAAGATAAGCAGCATGGCCTGTAGTCGAGATCACCGGCATTACAACTTCGAGTTAAAAGCAAGTGAGACTAGGCGGGATACCGGGAAGCCCCGCTTCGGCAACTTTGGCTAATCAGAGGCAGTTTGTGATAATTTTGCGTGCAAGCAAAATGCTCAAAATATTACTCGAAAGAAACACAGGGTCTCGGCATCGTTGTTGACATGTGATAGGCATTCTTGTGCTATGGCGTGGTGAAGTAGAAAGTATCCCTGCTGAATCCTGAGAATCGTATGGGGGATGCACACGTCCGCGGAAGTGCGAAGCACTTTCGACGAATTATCATTTACCACAGCCTTGTGATTCCTGCGGTCATCATCCCCGTGCGTACCCCTCGTTTGCACGACAACAATATTCAGTTCGATGGCCACCTTCCTGTTTCTCTTGTCCGGCTACCCCGCGGTCGTAGAATTAGTACCGCCACGTGCATTCCAAGCTTGCCGACACGTAGAACCCCGCAATCTTGCAAAACATTGTGGGTGTCTAGCTATTTTCAGCTGTCGAGCATGCGATGGAGGATCAAAAAGGATGCTTTTGAAAACATGAAAACTAGGGGTTCGAGTCCTGTTGTATCTCATGGCAATAGCATAAATGGCTTAGACCATGACTTTGCCTTTGACGAAGTCGGTCTTAGGGGGCTAGAAGGGCGCGCAAAAGGTGGCGATGTAGGGGATCGTGGCGATACCAGCGAGATGGGAGAGCCTGGCGGCATGGGCGCTTCCCTCGGTGACTCATAAGATTTACCAACATGACCTGATGTGATTATTGGCTCTAGTGTTTTTATCGAAGAGCTGTCGTCTTCCTCAATTCCATGTAAGGTGGTTCGATCAGAATACGAGTTTAGTATCGAGCTCACCCGCGTCGTGCCTGATCGTATCGTATCCGTATCTGAGGTGCTTGAACTCATTGAACTCATCGTTGACATCGTCATTAGCGATGCCCTGTCCGAGCCGGAGTACGAAGACGCTGCAACGCCGGCATCATGCTTGTGGGCGCCACAGTGGATATCAGGTATGGAAGTGTAGTTGAAGAGGACATCGAAGATCTTGTCGCGAACATCACGCGCTGCAGGGCGTACCATGGGCGCTCTGTCAAGCATACTTCGGACAACCTGCAAGATATGAGGAACTGCACGAAATGCGTCATCATCATGCTCAAAGGAGGCCTTTTCTAGCAGATTCATCCAGATCTCGACTTTGTCAAGATTGACATGATACGATGAATCTGTCCTCGAGTTCTTGCCGCCAGTATTGGTCCTTTGCTTCGATGTCCGGTGCTTTACGAAATCATGTGGTTTCTTCTTTAGCATGAAAGTAATGATCTCCAAGAATACGCAACCTAGAGAAAACACATCTGCCTTCTCGGATTCGTGTACTCGCGATCGCTTCTTCGGCACTGGCTTCTGCTTTGACTTTTTAAACCCGAAGTTGAAACCGGAGAAATCCGTCGTGGGTGCCTTGGTGAGCTTCTGACGTTGTGAGCCACTGCTATTCGATGATCCTGACGAGCTTTTGCTCATTATTGAGGCATGTCGAGTACTTGGAACGATAGGTGACGGTGCAGGACCATGCGGGTCGAATGGCTCTACACTATTGTTTGCCTCTGGTGCGCTGTATATGTAGGCATCCATAGCATCGGGTTTCTTGTCCTTTTGGAATGTCTCTAGACTACCAATGTCGCTAAAGGCTATCGCATTTTGCTCATCGATAAGCATGTTGGAAGGTCGAATAGCGGAATGGCAAAATCCATTTTGATGTAGTGTTGCAATGGCATCTGCCAGACAATGCAACCAATTAAGCACCAGCCATCTCCGATCGGGCTTCGGTAGTTTCTGATACTGGGTGGGGTTACGGTGGTCGATGAAACTGCGAAGGGTGTGCTGGCCCACGAAGTTGGTGACGATATAGCCAGCTCCTTTGGCGGTGTACGAGGCCCAGACCGGCGCAAAGTGCTCATGCTCCACCATTCTAGCACTCTCGACGTCCATCATAAAGTCCTCTTCAAATGCATTTGGTGTTTCTGCATCACCTAGCGGAAATCTCCTACGAACGAAGATCTCCTTGGGCTTTTTCGGTAGGTGCATACGCGACCAAGCCTGCAAGCTTACCGCCACGGGTAGGGACATGACGTTCTCGATTGGGATCTCCTCATTATGGGCATAATCTACATGTATGCCCTCTCGTAGTTCTCGTAGCAAGAATGTGAACTGGGTGTGATAGAAGCGAGCATTGGCATGATTGTCGCGGCGATTCGAGAGGGAAAGCTGTTCGATGTCGTCCATTTCTAGAGGTAGATCATCGTCGTCCCATGATTTGTCGACGACGGCAAAGATTCTGTCTGCTTCGCCAATTTCTACCAATACCAGGAATAGTCGTCGTGCCTTCTCCAGTATCCATTCGATGTAGGTATCGTCGCTCAGATCGCCGAAGCCTACAGGCTGAGTGAGACGCTCTCTTTCTTTTGGCTGCAGCCTCGAAGTCACATATTCATGATTGACCTTCTCGTTGATTCGCTCCTCGGTCCACCATATTTGCTGGAGAGCGTGCTGCGGGGTGACCAAGCTGTGCCCCGCATATCCGTAAATCAGTGCGTTCAGCGCGACCGTTTGATCGTTCACGACATTCGTTAACGTCCTCGCGCTCATCGTGTCAAGTGGTGGGATTGGGTGAAGCTCCTATGTTGGCGAATCGCGTGTGTTGGTATAAGACATGAGTCGCGTGTCCAGTGATGAGCTGGTGATCATCTCCAGTGATCTCCAGTGGAAAAGAAATTGGGTGACACGGAGTGACGCGGAAGAATGGCTTTCAGGCTTCAGGCTTCAGCAAATAAGACGATACTGTTGTTAGGCGTCAGCGGGGCCAGAAACATCGGCTTTTGAGTGTGGTACAGAATTTGATCCGCCTCTCGGAACGCTTCTCGTTGTGGCAAGCGGCATGGCGACGAATACATGGCTTCGGGTCACCGCCTAAAAGCCAATCACCAGAAGCATGGCAATAGAAGGCGCATGCTCCAGCATCGTTGGCATAGGGCGAGGTAGGGCCTTTTGCCTCGAAAGGTCTGCGTGGCCCCGAAAGCGGCCGCCATGTGCAATGTGACCAGGGTGTTTCCAGGTGGGAGGTCGATAAGACATGGTGCAGCAAGCGAATTACAGACGCAGGGAGACGGATGCTAAACTAGAACGCCAATGACTTTTGCGGAGGGCCGTTCCTGGAGCGGGGCGGCAGCGCGTCTAACAGTAAGTGGTGTCGGGCTTTCTGCACGCCAACCCTCCTCAAAGGCGGGTAAAAGGTGTGATAGTAATGACTCTCTATTTACTATTTTCTCGTTTGGCAGTGGTCTTCCCCAAGCATTTCACAGGGATCTGAGTGATGTCGTGAAAACTAAAGGGTGGGCAAGCTCCACTTCAAGTCTATCGCACTCGAGCGAAAGCTGATCGAGCTGACAGAGGAAGGATCAGCACCTAGATGCGGCTCCATTTTGCATCACCCGATGCTCATGGCGCGATACCGCCCGCGTTCGCTATCATACAGTAGTATCATGCAGGTGACAGACGGCGACTGGGGATAGGATGCAGCCGGTTGGATTCTCAGAACCGAGGCTACACAAGATGCCAACTCGACAGGTAAGATGAGAAAGTGCAGTGGCTAGATGAAAGCAGATTGCGGCATAGCATTAGCTGTGAAGGCTGTGCGGCAGCATCTCGGTTCGATGGCAGCATCCATGATAGTCGGCAAGCGAAAACGGCGCAATGACTCGCGACCATGCGACTGGAGCCTGAGCTGGGTCAGTCTGGGCGTAACGGGACGGCAACACGGAACAGTGCACAACAGAGCGCGGCGTCACACAGACAGCTGTCGGTCGCCATCCTTTGGCACGTTGGCATAATTCGCAGCGTCGGTGAGGCTTTCGAGAGAAGACAATTAGTGTTGCTGGAGGAAGGTTAGTACTTGAATTAGCTGGGGCGCTTGAGAATGTGGCAGTGCGCGCACAGGCCGGCCCTAAAGACGCAATTCACCTCCAGAGTACGGCCAACCCCACGCTTCCCACGCTTCCCACGCTTGACGCTTGACAGTTCGTCCACATTTTCTGCGACCACTATCATAGATGATTCTGGACGGCTACTGGATTCGGCAGGAGCTGCCGATTCCCACGTGCGCTGTCGGTCATCGTATCGAGTTGAGTAATGATCGCCCAACGTACGTCTGCTAATTGTTCGAGTATTGAACTACTTTCTGGGCAGTTTCAAGGCTTATAAGATGGGAGAATGGATACGAAAACCCATGTCCTTCTGTTGCACTTATGACAACTGCTATCTTAACATTTTTTTCTCCATCATCAGGCATTACCCTCGCGCGAGTAGTCAGACCAGCGACAGGGTATCAGTCTGGTCCACCCACTCTCGGGCCCTCTAATCCTCTGCAGCTTAGTTCTCAAGCAGCAGCATCGATAGACAAAAAGATGTTTCCCTCGCTCGGGGCCATTGCAACCTGGCTACCTCCTGGATGGGTCCCATTCGGCCAGACAATGACACCACCATTATCTCCAGCGACATCTAAACGGCTACCGGCGAACGGTTCCCCGAAGACAGTACTGAGGTCGTACCAAACCGAGGCACCATCCAGATTGTATGCCCATACTTGCTGAGGGGCGCCGGTGTATAGACCATCCGCGGTTTTTGTTATCTTAATCGCAATACCGCCAGACTTCTCATCGCGGCGCATTTGTTCCCAGTAGATACCGCCTATGCGTTTATTAGTTAGGAGCTAATTCGAAGCATGCGCTAGTACTGACCAGCCTTGATATCATGACGGGGACCGACTGAGCCGCCGACAGACCAGACGTAGATAGGCTCTGGTGAATTGTTCGAAACGACAGCGATACCAACAGCCTTGACCGAGGCCGCCAGTGCTAGGACCTGTAGGACGATCAAGCGCATGATGTGCAATTTGTCCGAAAGGAGTGTGGAGCGAACGACCTGGCTGTAACGACGGGATTCAAGCAAACGATGCCTTCACAGCCGAGCTATGGTGCATTTCGAAGATCACAATACCGCGTTTTATACTGCGCCTCAGCCGTGTCCAATGCCAATCCACAGGTATCACCGCTCAGACGCAAGTCATAATACAACATCGATTATGCGCCGACTATGCAGCTGACAAGCTCACGAACCCATGTCTGAGATGACAGATTCGAGTTGTAGTATTGCCAGACCAATCCTGAGATGCGCTGCCTGACGAACAACCTTACTCTGCAGCTCAGCAAGCAAGTATATCGTGGCTCTGTACTGCGTTCGGATATTTTCAATACTCCGATAGATTGCTCCGTTGGCGGCGTACGGCAATATGTTGGTAGAGACAATGCATCTAATATGGCTATTTACATTGACTATGCGGGCATAGATTTCACCCGCCTGTCAATAATTGCATAAGCCGCACCTCGGTTAATAGTCGCAGCATTATTGCTACACGAGGCTCATTAGACTGTACAAAAACTTCAGGCTTGTCGACTCTGGTACACAGGCCGTAGTACAATAGCCGAGTCTTCATAGAAGTCGGCAGAACACCGAACTACTACGCGAACATTCGGAGAGCACCCACTATACTCCAAAACGTTGTTGGAACTAGATCTTGGAAGAGTACTTTCTAGGATACTCTTGATAACTCCCGGGGTTCCTGCGTTCAGGTCCTGGTCACGAGTTCCCTTCTCTCTGCACTCTTTTATTGAATTTCCCATCCACTCTAACTCTTTGCTAGGAGTGTAATACACCAAGAAGATGGGCGCTTCCATGTACAGCTGTTGAATGCTCCTCGTAAGAACATGTGAATAGTCTTCCGCATATCACCATCATCATCATCACCACGTAGACTTTTGTGCCCAGGGTGGGGAGGACTCAATGGATCACCAGCTGCAAAAACAGTAGACAAGATGTTTTCTTCCGTGGCGAAATTGTGAAGTCATGCCGGTCGATACATAGATGCCTGGGAGCGTTAGCCTCTTGGCGCTGTAACCAGCCATCACGCGTTCTTTGTCCAAGTGCTCATTTAGTTCGCACTCAACAGAAGAAAAGGTATCCGTTCCGAGTCCTCAAAACACTGTCGCCTGCGTCAATTTTTGACGAACCGGCCTTCTACTTGCTCGTACGATGCCTTTCCAGATGTTCAGAGGCCAATATCTATGAAGGATGATAGCATCGAGCCCCTCATAACACTTGGCTAAGGCGACCACGACTGCCACACCAAAAACCAAGTGTTTGACGGGAAAGTCAAGGCACCAGTATTCTTACGATTCCCATTCGGTTCTCGCTGCTTTGGCCCCATAGGTGCTTGTTCGACGCACGATTTCTTGCACGTGGCAGCTATACGCGAACTCCGCTCCGCTGCTTTGCGTTAGGTTAAGAACGCCCGTGAGGCAGCTTTAAGGCCTAGCTTTGGCGTAGGCCACTCACAGCTATGTACAGCTGAGCATACGACAGCTGCACGAGGCTGAGGGCTAGATTTTGGTAGCGCGTTGTTAACCGGAGTAGTCTATCTTTATCGCTATCTGCGCGTTGTCCTACTCTCATATATCATATCTTCAACGGAAGAATTGTCCAGGTTGTCAGTCATCAACAGCTTCCAATATTCAATTCGTACCTACACGATGGCTTGTGGGGATGACGACTACGATTGTCCGACTCAGGCTCTATGGACCTTCCCAGCGCCAGGTGATGAATCTTTGATGCCTGACAAGTACCCTCAGAGATCTAGCTTCAAGGTCGAGCAATACCTCGAGACATCAGCCCATCATCCACCTACTTCTGGCTTCGGTGCAACCCCACTCTACGTCAAAGACGTTGTCGAGCTGACATGGCCTGCGGATTTTGAAGTTCCCTTTGCGTTGTATCGAAATCTTTACTGCAAACCCTGCCAGCAGAGAGTTGAGGACCACAATAGAGAGGAAGAATTTGACTGGGAGTCGTGCTGTAAGTGGATCTCACCGCGTGGTTTGCGTCGCCCAACACGTTGTTTGGTGTTTGGAATTACACGAATCTGATCATCATGCCAGACAGGAGACCAGGATCTGGTGGGATATGGTCTACCAGCTTCGACGTGATGGGCTCGGGCATGGTCAAAGTTCCAGTCAAGCTCCCTTTCACTGCGCAAGCGGATACCATGGTCTGCGCATTCGGGTTCCCTGGAACGATGTCAGGTGGCCTCTCACAAGCCTTTCCCGTCATCAACAAGACGCCACCTCCTGGCAGAGGAAGGCTCGCTTTCACGTCTGACGCTCCTCAGGGGTTGCCGTACAGGGTTGACGAGGTCAAGTCATCGAGCCTGTATTTCATCGTTGGTGGCATGGTAGTACTTGGGCTCTGCATGGTCTTCTTCGCTCGAATCTTCTGGCAAAAGAGGAAGGAAAGGAAGGCGTTGCAAGCCCTCAGGTTTGACTCTGAAAACCATGGTCCTGTAGGCGGGGCTAAGACGACAAGATACACTGACGACTTGTAAGCTGTTACATGCTCGAGGGAGTGGGTTCACAATGCGTCCAACACGCTTGAGAGGCGCAGTCCTGGTTACAACATTGACGCACAAGATGTGGAGATCCAACATCTTCTTCGACTAATACATTTTATTTGACATGCAGCTATGACCTGAGAAGACAGCAGTAACGACGAGTACGTGTAACATTGTTTTCTAGCAGTTGCCACCAGTCTAAGACACGACAGTGTCAGGTTGGATGAGAGACGAAGAAAGGCAGAAGTGGAGATGGGAAGAAGCAGACTAAAATTAGTGGTGCATGTGTGGGGATGGGCTAGCTGCGGGAGGACGGCAGGCGGAGCATCCTAATTCAGACCAGCCGGCGTCGCGAGTTGTCGTGAACATCAAACCTCGGACTCAGCAAACAACAGTCATTCCATTTCCGGGTCTCTTCTTGGCTTTCGCAGCGTTCGCAATCTTTACCTGCTTTTCCCATCCTTGGTTTTCTGTTTCTGAGCATACATCTTGTTGGTGGTGGACGCGTCGTAAAATGGCGTCCCCTATGCTGGAGAGCCGTATCGAGCCTCACAAGAAGGCGCACTTCAGCCTACACATAAGCGACCGCATAGGGAGCAGCGACGATGCTTTAGGAGATTTTAGTAGCGTCAAATGTGAGTCTTCCTTGCGATCTCCTTGTCTAGGACAGCTGGCTGATTCAACGCTTAGACAACCACAAGCCTTCGCAAACGTCGGAATCGCGCTCCACAACGCTGACATCGCCCTCGTCAACCAACCTATACAATCTCCGCATCGACGACACGAGCAATTCGGGCGACAAGGATGTCTTCACCTTCACAGGGCAGAAGTCGCAACTCAAGAAGTCGTATGTCCTCGTCTTCGATGCTTCGAACCAGCAGGCCACGCTTGAGCCTCTTTCCAGCACTTACACGTTCAATCTCGCCACCAAGAACGGCAAGGACGTCTCGTCGCAGCACGCCAAGATCTACCCCAAGAAACTCAAGGACGACGCACAGAACAAAGACGACGAGGAAGACCTGTTTGGCGAGGCAGCAGCAGACGACCAAGGAGGGGATCCTGATGCGGACAACCCTTACGACTTCAGACACTTCCTGAGCAAGGACAAGGAGAACCGGGGCGACGAATCCGAATATCGCTACGCGTCCTCGCCAGACTACAGGACAGGCACCGGCAGTGCTGTCAATACACCGCAATTTGGGGCTCGCGCAACTGCGGCTACTGCCCCCGCACCCAGGGTCACCACTGCGCCAGTGCCCAAGAAGCGCAAGACGGCGACAGCGAACCCCATGGTGAAGCCCAAGAAGGCCCAAGCCGCACCAGCCGTCCGCCTCCAACGCCCCGCCACCGATACGACGTCAAAGCCAAAAGCCAAGCCCACGGCACCGCCCGCATCCAAGATCAAATCCTCCGAAGTCATACACTCGTCTGACGAGTCCGACGGCGAAGTAGCCTCCTCACCTGCACGTCCATCGCCCCCTCCTGAACAGCGTCAACAACACCACGACGGGGAAGATGATGCAGAGGGCGAGTCAGACGATGACAGTGGTCTGGAGATTGAAGTGCCTGATGCCCGCCCGCCACGACGCAACAACGGCGCCTTGGCCTCGCTAGGCCTTGGTCAGAGTCTCGGTGCCGGCTACTTGCGTTCACCCTCAAACGGACCAATATCGCTTGCCAGCGCAGCAAACAGCGACGTCGAAGGCTCGCCAAACCCGCACACACGCAATCGCAACGCTCAAGAGGAGATTGACTTTGGTGATCTGGGTGGCGACGACGCAGAAGGCGAAGACGATGACGAGGATGATTACAATAACAGAGATATCGAGCCTATGGACATCGGCCCACCTGCGCGGCAAGAGACAACGGGCCACGATCGAAAGTCTAGCATGGCTGGTGAAGTTGCGACAGCGGATGACGACGATGAAGATGATCTCGAAGCACTGATGATGAGAGGGTTGGAGGGCGGAGACAGCAGTGAAGAGAGTGAAGAGGAGTGAGATCCTTTTCGAGTGATGAACCTGCCATTTATCTATCTGATGAACCGTCTTCCTAGCACATCGCACGTACGACCAGACATCTCATCTCAGATTGTCCTGCAGGCACCACATTCCCGCTCACGGGGCCCCAAGTCTCGTTGCTTTGCTCTGTTGGGTGTGAAGGTGGTCATTACCTCTATCACTGATGAAGACTCTGACGACGTTGGTAAAATCATTGGTTCTACCCTCTCCGGCTGCGATGCTACTTCCATTGTCTTTTTGTGTTTGTTGGTGCTCGATCTCCCGATCTTGCTGCACAAGGTTGCAACAACGACAACATTCAGGGCAAGAGAAATCCTTCTTCCACGGCTATAGCAAGGCAGGGCAGAATACTCGGCCCAGCATGTGACAAAGGATGGAGCAAAATACGCCATACACTTGGGTTATGCAGTCAGCATGAGATTCACAACAAAGTGAAAGAGTGGCTTACATTACGGCTGCAGCATGCATACTCGTTCATATCCCCTTCATTGTCCTCTCGATGTCGGTTTCTGTCATACAGCATCCATGGACAGCAGCACGAGAGGCAGCCTTCAAGAACCTACCAGTCGACGCCCATACTTTAGGGCTGACTATTGCACCTGTATTGCACGGAGTACAGCATTTGTGTCCCTCCTGAAATCAGTCTGTCATTGTGATGGTTGAGCTATCGAGCTGATGGGGGCCTGGGAGGCTGGTAGTTGAGTGAGGTATCACCATTGATGAAGAATATAAAGCTTGTATGACTCCATACTGTGCTCGAACCAGGTCGATCATTGAAGTGTCATGCGACGTTGACCTGTTGGTGCGCTTCCTTGTAGGGTCTCAGCACCAAATACGCTCGAGCAATCTTGGAGTTGATAAAGAGACTGATGGAACTTATCTGGTCACATTCTTCTACAAGTCAACACAGGATTCCCAAGGCGTTGGTGGCAGTATCGTCATCCAATGAGCTATATTGTACTTTTAAATCATGAATGATGAACCAATAATGAATAGCGCATGCTGTGTACTGAATGGACTTCGCTGGGAGCAGATATAGCTGCGCATACAAATGCCACCGATCGCGAGAACCACGCAATCTAACAGGCACAAAGGATAGTATCAATACCGTTCATCGTAGATGGAGAACGGCTTCTAGAATTAGCATTCCCCACACCGACGGTCCCTGCGCTAACGTGCCGTAGCCCGAAGCTTGTGTACGCGTCGTCCGGCATCGTCGGCCATCTCCCGCCTCCTTCTTTGAACCTCACCTAAACCAAGCATCGTATTTTCTTCTTTTCTCGTTTTCACTCAGCATATCCATGCGTCCACTCGCTCTTCTTAGCCTCTCGGCCGTGGCTGCCGCAGTCACCACGCCCCCAACTATACCGAATCATGTTGAAGTCATCGAGAGGGAGGCAGGCCGGGATTACACAGTGAAGCTGGAATGCATAGGCTGCCCGGTTCGTGCCTGGACAAGCCCCAACAAGGCGGAATGGCTGCATCCGTCTCCAAACAACTCTCTAGTGAGTATATCACATCGCATTGAGTAGGCATCGCTGACTAACCATGAATTAGTTGCTCAGGTTTGACATGAGCGAGTTCAGCGATGCGTTGCTCCTCAATGGACATCGGATCTTCCCTCTTGACCCGATGCCGCTCCACATCAACGCCATGCAGGTTCCTACCGAGACGGAGCAGGATGAGACGGATCCCGCGGACGAGGAGGATTTGGAGCTGAACAAGCACAGGAGAATGATGTTTCCGCTCCAATATCAGCATATCATCTTCCGCGCTGATGAACCCGAACACTTGTGGCTTCAATTCAATGTGACAGGCTTGCCCTGGGGAGAGACACCTGAGCCGATCAAGATGGGTCAGAAGGTCGTTCAGATATTGTTGCGCAAGGAGTATGATGAGAACTTTGAGTACGATGGGAATTTGGGCGGCAATTACATCCTCGGCATCGAAGACGTACAGATCGTCGAGGCAAAAGACAAGCTGCAGCCACCTAGAATGAAATGTGGAAAGCTGGCCATGGTGCAAACGACATTTGATCCCAGCGAATGGGACCAGTACGGTAGAGTTGGCACGTGGTCGAGGACCTGGAGCACTCTTGTTGGAAAACTACATCTTGGAAAGAATGCCCTGCTTCTTCCGCTCTTTGCATTGCTTGCGGCTAGCCTCGTCATGGTCCATCGCCTGTTTTTGCGGAGGCAGCAGGAGAATTTTGGCACAGACTCTGATGCTGAGACCGCTCTGTTGGGCCGCGATGCGCCTCCACCGTACGCAGACATCCCGGTGATCAAGATTGAAGAGTATGATTAGTTCGTTGAGTCTGGAGGCTGGAGCGCAATCAAATCAAGCGGCCCGGAGTCTTGCCCGTATCTCCGTGTTGCATTCGCCCTTTGTGCGCAAGCGGCATCTTGGCTGTATGTACAACATCAATCTCGCATATCCGCTATCTTGTTCGTTCCTGTGCACTCTTCATGCTTTTTGTTACACCGACATTCTTGCTCTGCACCCCTCGGGCGCACCCGGGTGAGAAGCAAGATTGTTTCACAGCTTGGTAGGTTTAGCCGACACATTCACCTGTTTAACCTCTATCAGGCATCGCCAGCTTGACCAGTCTTACCTTTTACTTTTTCCCTTCATTAACAAGCATGTCTGTCATCGTCGAGCAATACAACAAGGAATGGCCGCAGCAATTTGAAAATATCAAGTCAGAGTTGGAACATCACCTGCAAGGCGTCGACTACCTCTCGATCGAGCACGTGGGTAGTACTTCTGTGCCGGGACTTGTCGCTAAACCTATCATCGATGTCGACATCATAGTCACTCGCGACAATGTTCAGCCTGCTATCGACGCTCTCACCGCGAATGGAAAGTTCGATTACCTTGGAGAGCTCGGTATTGTGGATCGCCATGTCTTCAAAGACCCCAACCAGTCCTTGCGCCATAACATCTACGTGTGCGTCGACGGTGTCGCACAAACGCGCAACCACCTCAGCTTGCGAGACACGTTACGCTCCAACGATGAGTTGAGGGACGAGTATGGGTGTGTGAAGCTCGAACTCGCAGCCAAAGCAAACAACATCATCGACTATATGATCGCCAAGGGAAACGTTATTCAGAAGATCCTCAAAGCCTCTGGCGCGTTGACCAAGGAAGAACTCACAGCTATCGCCCGCGCAAACGTGAAAGGCGAGCGCTTCGGCGCCATCAAAACACCGCGTTTGCTCCTTCGCGAGTTCGTAATGAAGGACGAGGAAGGTTACTTTCTTCTCGAAGGAAACGAGCAGAATGCACGTTACCAATATTGGCCTCCACGCACACGCCAAGAAGCTCGTCAGCTCGTCCTAGAGAACATTCGTAACCATAATGATGTACCACGAACCATATACGAACTCGCCGTTGAAAATCTCGACCAGCAGTTCATCGGCCGCGTGGGCGCCAAAACGTCTCAAGCAAACTCCGACTCCCTCCCAGGAGAGGCTACTATCAAACCAGTTACCCACGCCAATCTCTGGTTCTCCTTCCTGCCTTCTATGCAAGGCCAGGGTTTCGCTACAGAGGCCATGACGGCTTTCATCGATGCCCTGAAGGATCGACTGCAGGATCAAGGGAAATTGGAAATGGAGATTGAATGTGATCCAAGGAATGAGGGAAGCTGGAAGTTAGCCGAGAGGCTAGGATTCGAAAGGCATAGCTTGACGAAAGAAAAAGAGATGGTCAAAGGGGAATGGGTGGATAGTCTGGTTATGAGGAAGGTCGTTGGAGACGTGTAAGTGTTCCCAGTGTTGGTATGTGTATGGAAAAAAAAAGATGCTAACCTGTAACAGGGCATTTGCATCGAAACATGTGAGAAGGGGCAGTAAAGTCAGCAGTAGCATGCGCTTGAATGCGACTGAACTGTTTGAGAGTTGTCATTAACGGACTGCCGAAAGCTTATTGCATATCGCTCATAGTACAACTTCTCGGCCTCGTTTACTCCTCTTACTTTATCTATAGCTGACCTTCCATACGATATGAGACTCTAGACGAATGTTGGTTCAAAGTTCCTGCTCGATGCTTCTTGCCCTAGCTACTTCCTTCGATCATGCCTTAGGTTATGAGCAGCTTCAATGTGAGCTGGATCTAAGGACACTTTTGAGATGTCAGGATTGATAGTATTGTCGAACGAGCAAAATATATTCATGTATCAAGAGAGTGTGTTGAGTTACAAGACCAAAAGAAAGGCAATATGTACTACGAAACAATCTCCACCACGAGGCGAACTAAATCAACTCTCTATCCATGATGTCCGCAATCACTTCAATCCAACGTCAGGTCCTACCAGCCTCTCTCGGGCATTCGTGTTTCACTCTAATGATCATTTAGATCGAACCCACAGTGCTGATGTCGATCAGCGTAATTGGCTCGATATCATTTGGCGTAGGTGCTGCCGTATCCTCATCACCAGTTGCCGTAGTAGTTGGAAGAACCGTACTGATATCAATCAATGAAATGGGCGCTAGGTTATCGTTGGTCTCCGTTGGCGTAGCCCCTTCACTGGGAAGCGTGATCAATGTGATTGGGGCAAGGTCATTGCTGGTTGTCACTGTTGCGCTCGCGTCTGTGGTAGCAGTGTTTGGAAACGTTCCGTTGGTTGTTGGGAAGGCGGTGATGGTTACAGTGAACGTTGTTGTTATGGTGATGGTGCGGGTGCCGGAGCCGTGGGTCCAAGACTTCGTTCCCCAGTGTGCGTCGCGCTTCAAGACGTTGGGTGTGAGGCGCTCGAGCGGTGCAACGAGGGCAAGGGTATATGGGATCAGAGGAAAGAAGAGGAGAGATTTCATGGTGATAGTAGAGAAAATGCGCATCTGAATAGAGGCTGGAATGATGTGAGGTGAGGCAACGTAACAAGACCGTTAAGACAAGATATATAGCCCTACGGACCTTCATGCCATACATAAGATCGAAGCTGGATGCCAAAGAGGTGTGTGTCTTGACGCGTACGCCCGCAGTCATCTTCCGCATCGATAAAGCCACAGAAGACGCCTGTCCTTTGCGCGCCTCGCTGACGCCTTCCACTACCCAAAGCAGATCCCAGTACAAGTGTTCAGTAACATCCGTTGACTGCCCACAGGAGTATGTGTCCCTAAGCCACGCCATTAGAGTGTAGCCTTGCGTCGAAAGTTGAGCGATACACTCAAACGATGCGAAGGCCTCCTTACCTCTCTGATAGACTTGTCCGATACTTGCTATAAACGACACAAACATCTTTCCGCCGACATTAACAGACTTTCTGAAATCTTTTCCAACGGTGCTACGGTCTCCTGCGACGTACGTGTTTCTTCGACTCGCTATCATCCCATGCAGTCGCCAGGGCTACGTACGCTGGGCGGGCATCGGACTTCGCGTGCACCAGCATCTATGCGCGCACTCATGGCCCACGAATTCAGACCTGCGAAGGGCCACCTAACGGAATTTTGGCGAAGTCCGTACTCTGCACAACAGAACCTTTGCTGACACAGAGAGTCCAAGCTTGTCAGCAGACAAATGATGAGTTCCTACGTTACTGAAGAGACTTCGCAACACGACCTGGCCATCAGCACTTGATGTGCCCCCATGTGAAATTCCAAAATCCACTGAGCGATGCAGGTTAGTGCGTACGCATATCACTGGGGAAAAAAGGAGTGTAATTCGTTGTAGTATGCGACAAGCGGTCGACGTTCAACATATCGTGACGCTGGCGCGTGGCTGGGTTCGGGCAACTCTGCCCCACTTAGCTGGTGGCTAGTGGCTCACTGCGCACATGAGGTCATCAACCCCTTCAATCCACTCTCCACCATCTTGAGTTCTACCTTGACCTTCGAACCACGGCGAACGAGAACCAATGGCGACATGATTCGAATGGCCTCACAGGTTTGCACGCATGAGTGCCGTTCGCGAAGCTACATCGTGACGCCTACGCACACGATGAGACACTGTGTCTCGTCTTCACTCTCTACGAGTAACGTTAGCCCATTTGCATACACCAAGGGGTCGTTACCTAGCTCTCTACTACTCTCTTGATGCGCCAACGGGTTGCAACTCACCTTAATTCCATAATAACCTGTGTAGCTCGAATTGGTTTGCAGAGCCAGTCGTACGGCGCATTCAGTCGATGGTATGAAGCGCCATTGGCCACGGACCAGATCTCTCCTCACATGGTCTTGATCACCTGCTTCTTTGAAACTTGTCTGTGCAGGTTATGGCCATGACATTGGTTAACCTAAAAATCTTGGGCTGTAGGATCTATTTGCATATGCACACAGGGTGCATCTGTCATCGTTGGCGTACTGCAAGTGCGTTGGATTGTACTAGGGCGACAAAGATGGCCGCGAAGCGCAGCTAAGACAGCGTGAACAGCGTCTCGGAAGGGAACGTCAAGAGCTGCAACAGCGACAACGAGAGTTTGACGTTTTATCCGAACAGGCTCGACAATTGACACATTGTTGCAAGCAGCTTTGCCAAGAGATATGAGCGCAAGGTGTCGTCAGGATTTTGACAGCGATGTGCTGATCGCATTCGTAGGAATCCTGGCACGTGGGACATTTGGGATCGGATACATTGGATACGTCAGACGCTGACGACACTGTATATCGTACGATATTAGCTGGAGAAGGCATGCGGAGTGTTGGTCTGAGAGCTATGACACGTTCACCCGTGTCGAGCATTTTGTAGACCTTGAAGGCTCAGTGGGAAACGGCTCCATGACCCACCAGCCAATAGTAAAGATCCGTGGGTAGACCCAAGTGAAGGTTGACTGGCGACATCAGGTTAAAGTACCATTGCAGTATGCCGAGAGGCACCAGAGATCAAAGAATCATTCCCGAAATCCAGATGTTCGTGATTTGGGCGACTGCCAGATGCATTTGTGGTGGCTGAATCTGGTATGGTGAGATAAAGTTCGTGATTGGATAGAAGACAACCATACAGATCACGTTTTCTGTAGCTGGGTAGACCGCTTCGGTTACTGTCGCCATTTGGGATTGCTTTGTTGATGAGACATCTGGGGCTAATCATCGGATTTGAGACGAATCAAAGTTGACAAACTCTATATGAGTTATGTGATAGGTCTGCTGGGGGTTCTTTTTGAGAACTGTTTGTTATGAAGTGCGCGTGGTTGACGTGCTTTGTACAACTGCTATTGTACACCAGAAAAGGGCAGGGGAACGGGAATTGAGGCTCCTGCTCGGTCTTCGTCGCGGGGAAGGTTGCGCTATGGGGAGCGCCCACCCGATAACGGACGAAGATCCATGGCACTATTCACTCAAACGGCAAGGCTGCCAGATGTGGGCAAGACACTAGGAGTGACTATACGGGGGGATTATCAGCGAAGAATAGCTTGGAAAAGACAAGGAAAGAGAGCTTGCATCAAATCACGCATATGCGTTTCAGTGTGCTACCTCATCATCCCCAAGAATTATGAGTCCGGATAGAGACGAGACCTGCGAAGTGAGCTGATTAGCTGTAGGACTCGGAGTTTCTTATTCTCCTTACAACTCTATCGTTCAAATGGTTGCAATGAAGTTAATAGAAACAAACGCTAGAATCAGAGCGGCGATGCGTGACTGCTATGACTCACTTTGCGAGACATCATGTTGCACGGTCGCTGTGCTCTGGCAGCGTACATGATGTTGGAGACCGACGCTTTCCAAGCTAGGACGAACTGGTCTAGTCCCATCGCTTGCATTCTATCCCTGCAGGCACAATGTCGATCGCATTCAACTTTTGGCGTCTGTTTAGGTGAGTCCAGGCAAAGCACGTCGACATCACAGAACACGTTTGGCAACTACTACAATCATTCCCTGGAAGAATTCAGTTGTTCACTTCTCAAAATGGCGGATTCGACGGCCGACCCGAACGTTATGCCTACCACACAGCCGGAATCATCAAACTCCACAGCATCGCCACAAACACGCAATGCACAGCCAGAGTCTACTTCGTCGTCGTCATCAGCACCTCCTCAGGCATGTGCACAATGCGGAAAGTCCTCAGATTCGCTTAAGCAGTGCATCAAGTGCCATAGTGTAACGTATTGCAACAAAGACTGCCAAAAAGCGCACTTCAAGGCGCACAAGAAAGCGTGTCCCATCCTTGCGCAAGAGTATGTAAAGTTGCATGAGCCGAAAATGGCGTCAAAATCTAGCGCAAGTGCGGCTGGGGGGAGAGAAAGGGGATTGCAGAAGTGGCAGGTACGTTGTTCCATGTTACATTTCCATGTTTATGTGGATGCTAATGTGGATAGTTTGATACTTGAGTCTACGTGAACGCAGTGGTGGCGTAGTGATTAAAGAGAGAAGTGTATGGGTGGAAGAAGAGCTGAGCCAGTGAGGAGTGAAGGATGGGATATCTGAGAACAAGTCAAAGCAAGCAAATCTACCAAAATATATCGCGGGCAGTTGTAATACGGGTGCAAACAGCTTGGCATGGTGTTTACGCTTCTTCGGCCAACTCTTCTATGCAGGCAGGCGATGAACAAGGTTACTCGCTGGACGGACCTCGTGAGCAATGTCTTGCAGCTGATGCCTGAGTGGATCGGTCGCGCATTTGATGGCGAGCTTTTACGTTTGTAAACTATGGCTAGGATTAAACCCTGAATTCAGTAGCGGCAAGACGGAAATGTGCGTAAACGGAAGATCCCGTGACGAGTAGCATAGCGCTGATCATTAACCCAAGACGCATCCAGCTGAAAAGAAGTTTTCCAACGCTGTCAGTCAAAACTGCGCTCGCTAAGCAGAGTTGAGAGACATCTCGATGGAAGCCTAGACTCGCATGGCCCTTGTCCTTGTAGGGCCAAGCGTGTCGCGGCAGCTGAGTGTGGCTGTTCTGTATGACTGCGGGTAGATAGCCCTGAAGGCTTGTCAGACCATGCGCAGGGAAAGCCAAGGGAGTAGGGACACGTGCTGTAAGCTCGCACCAAAATGCTGATGAGGGATAATGGCTTGTGGGACTGCTTGGAAGTCTCTTCAGTCTGTCAACTAGTTGGGCAAAGACAAAGACAGGCTACATGCGTATAGCGCAGCGACAGTGCAGCAGTCAAGAAGGTAAGCGCCGTACTCGTGTACACTGGCTCCCCACGGGAGGTGTGCGTTCAATTCGTATCGAACAGCTTCAGGACTAGCCGGCCTTATTATGCAGCAAGAAGTCGACCCACCGAACAGTCGGTGGAAATAATCAAACAATGACACCACCAAGACCGATGGACGGGTTTGACGGTGATTGAGCCAAAAAGGCCATGTATGCAGGGAGTACCAGGTGCGGTCAGGCCATTCTGCTGGTGTGAAGTGTTTGTGGCCGAGGTCTAGATCTCTGCTCACAAGACCCTGGCCTCCAAAACACGCTAGTATCAACTGCAGCGAACATCGGGTATTCACTCCGCGAACCCAACCTAGCCCACCTAGCCCACTGACTGTGTTGGCCTGGTCTGCTGCTGTTGCTTTCAGGTATTGGAGCCAGCAACGGTCCTCCCCAGGCCTCCATTCACTCGTTTACCGTCAGCCCCTTCTACCTGTCAGTATTTCCACGCGGCCGTTACTGCCGCGGCGCTACCGCGTTTGTACCTGGACGCCAGATCTTTCAGCCACGTCTCCGTGCGTCTGTTCATCCCACTTACCCAACATAGCGTGATTGTGCGCGTTACCGGCAAACATCTTGGACTTTGTTGGCCACGATGACGGACCCCCAGTCTCCTTCACATTTCATACAGCAATTCCACGCTGAGACTGCCCCTCCTCAGTTTCAGCAACCCTCCCACGAAGCGCTTCAGCCCAACTCCATCCCACCCACGCCGGATGGAGGCATAGATGCGGGTCCCTGCTCCGACATAGCGGTCCCCAACGACATCTCTTCGTTTCTCGACGCTTCTCTGCCGCAGCCTTTCCCGCTGCCTTCCGTCTTACCCCAGCCTCTTAGAACTCCCACCATCGAGGACCGACCGTATCTTGATCTGACCCTCAACCTTCCTCACAGTAACTTTTCGCTTCCCACATCCACGGTCCTTAGAAGCACGCACAATTTGCGTCTACCCTCGTTTGATGTCCTGGGCATTGCTGCGCCCCACCCTGATCGTATTCCGCCTCAAATACATCAATCTTTCTCTCCACTAGGCGCTGGTCCTCTCTCAAAGCCAGAGGATCCTCTCCATGCACTCAGCCCACCACTCGACTTCTTTAGCCACGCCAACAGGGCCAGCCATACCCCCGTTACCAGTCCCAAGGCAGCTAGAGCCCGCGCTGGATATCTTGTGTCCACTCACACGCCTCCCTCGGATACGGAGCCGGGGACGATCAGTTGGGGATCCTTTGTGAACGTACGGACAGTTGGATTGGGTTCGCCTCCGAATTCTGAGCCGGGCGTGTCGCCAAACCTCCACACCACTGCTAGTGCGACAGCTCCCCCTCAAGCGCCTATTGTCGTACCAACTCTCGACGAGTTCAGCGACGCGCTTAGAATGGCAGCGTGGATAGAGGAGGCCAAACGCACCATCAGTGAGTACTTCTGGCAACCGGGTAATGCGTAGTTTTGTGTACTGAGCAGCTTAGTATCCGAATCTGGATGCCTGAACTTGGAGTCAGTCAAGATATTGTCTCACGCGCTCCCTTGCCCATCGACATCAGGCCATATTTTCGGTCAGATAATCGCCTCAATTCACGACAGATCGTCAACACAAACGTCATGGATCAACGTATTCCACGCGCTTCCCGGCCGCTACACACTGATGGACCTACCCAAGTCTCCACCATCTACCCCTGGTCCTGCTGTTGGAGGAGACTCGTACTTTACCAGCAAAGTTTTTGACAGCGCGGTCGCTATTCCTGACTATCAACTCGATTCGAAACTCCTGCCTCCATCGCCTCGACCCGTTGTGCCACCTGGAAGCATTAATGTCTCAATTGTAGAGCGATACATTCCACCTACCAACACGAATGAGTTTGCTGAGATGTTCACGTTTCGGGGTCGATCTTTGTTGTACGATCGCCTAATTGAGTTGTCTAGTGACGATGGCGTTCTTCTCTTCATCTACCCGACGAAAACAGGCGCGAGAACCTTCATGCAGCAGTACCTTGGACCCATTCTTGACCCACTTTTGCGAACCGTGACGGTAGTTCACGATCTCCACTCTGAGCTAGGGAGGAGTCTAGGTCAAATGAGTTCAGTCAACTATCTGGACGAATATGGCCACCTGGAAGCGCAAGTTCGGAAATACTGCGAAGCAATGGGCGAAAGACATGCGAATCTCGATAAAAGAGCAAAATATGAGGTCATTCATGCGGCGAAGGAACAGATCCTATTACAACGATCGGCATGGGCGGACGATTGGTGGATCAAACAAGAGAAGCCTCGTGTGCGGGAGGTTATCACCAAGTACTTCAGCAAGTCGAAAAAGCTCCCAAGTTCCGAGATGAGTGCCGCGACCCTGATTCAGGCTGTCTTGGAGGGGGTATCGGAGCGAGACTACCACGACGGTGAGCCCAGCAAAGGCGTAGAAGTTGGTGTCTTTATGGTAAAAAAGACAAGGGTTACTGTTGTGAGGACACAGAGAGAATCATGACAAAGAAGTATCCCAGTGAGAAGGAATGAATACTGGGCGTGAGTCAACGATGTCACGGGTGTACGAAGATCATGATCTCGGGTTGCGATGATCTCAAATTTCGCATAACATTGCGTGGCGTTAGCGGCATCGGTTGAGACCTGTCTGGAACAGCACAAAAGGAAACGAGTGATATAGTAATAATACCCAGTAACGACGTCCAATTAATATCTATTGTGTATAGTAGGTCATAACTTCAGCCCTTTGCTGCCACAACGGCAAGTTTACCCTCGCTCTGCCAAGCCGCTAGCGCGAAAAACTGCCCTTGGCTCACCTTTCGGGTCTCACTCTGGCTCCAACACTATGTAGACGTGACTCTAGTACCTGGCAGTAGACACTGCCACCGAACGTTAAGACACATTTTTTCTCTCGAGAACTTACTCGAAAAGTACGACCACTCATTACAGGTACGCGCTTCTGTTACGCGTTTTCACGGCTCTAGCCTCTTTGGTCAGTCGAGGGTGAAGCTCAAGATCTGAAGAGATCATGAACAGCTTTACAATGATCACTTACGCACTTCCTTCGATTTCCCTGTTGTCCCAAAGCTCTCAAAGTGACCAAGCAACATACGTGCAGGAAGGTTGTCTGACTTGGATATACTAGCAGCGTACGCACCCAAGGTATATCCGCCACACGAGTCAATCGCGTAATCACTAGTCCTGTCACCTTTAGTTTGGGAGGCTGCGCAAGCGCTGCGTGATTGCTGACATGCATGTAAGTTCAAAAGTTGTGGCTTATGTTTCATTTTCTTGACTCTACGTTCCAATCATACAACAATCGTATTGTACTCGCATCTGGCCCTTTACAATCCACAGGGGAAAAAAACCATCTCACAAACTCTATAAATCCTTCTTGCATCATCCGTGTATCTTGTACTAATACATCTGCTAGATCAAAACCCCCCAATCCGCCCTCCTCTCCAACCATGAAGTCCTCCTGCACCTCCGACAAGAAGATGCAGAATACACGGGCGCCGACGAAACGGGTCGGAAACGCAAGAAGCCATCTGGTTTAAACCACATGTTACGAGACGTGGGTACCTTATGATCTGAACCATAGTGCCGTTTGAGACTGACAGCCGCTAGGGACTCGCCTACCTTCAAACTCCAGACTACACGACTTCATCACTCGCTGATCAACATCCCAACCGGCCCATGACGTTGTACCGAGGACCAAACAGTCTGTTCCGCGCATTGGCGCCAAAGTACCGATTGAACAAGGCAGAGTATCTTCAGATGTACAATTTGAGGCCCACTACGCAAGTCATGCTCGAGTTGGTCATCGAAGAGGTATGTTTTATCACTGACTATTCTCTTTCATGCTGATGATGGCTGACGCTCAAACAGGCGGGTACACGTTTCACTGAGGATGAACTACACGACATTTTAGCCATCATTCAGCAAGTCTTTGATGAGGAAGAAGGCAATATTCCTGCTGGAGTGGAGAACATGGAGATGCCGAAGATTGCGAACAAATTGTTGGGTGCCAACAAGAAGAGGAGAAAGGCTAAGCGTAAGGCTTGAACTTGGTGCTGATGTACGATGGATGGAGGTAGGAGGAAGGGATGAATAGATGGACAAAGGGTTTGGTGACACCAGCATAGAAGAACCACTCACTGCCTTGACTGCGAGAGGAAAGTCACAACTACATGACACGTTCGATGGACACTAGACTGCGACAGACCGTCATACAAATACACAAAGCACGATTGAAGTTTATAAACATGTGATCGTATGCTACCAACTGGCGGGTATCCATCCACCGCATCCCCATCATGCAACGTAAAAGGACTTGGAAAGGTAAAACTACAGAAGCCCGAACCCTGATGCGCCACTCGCCTGAACATAGCAAGCTCAAACCCATACAACGCCGTACCCTCTTTTGTAAGAACATGGCTACAGATACATAAGTCTCCGTGGGGTCGCGACGCATCTAGTCCTTGCTCTTCTTCTTTTTCTTCTTCTCTACCTTCTCGTCGCCATCATCGGCTTTCCGCTTCTTGCTGTCCTTGATCTCCTTTCCAGCCTTCTTTGCCTCCTTGGCAGCCTTCTTCGCTTCCTTGGCCTCGCGCTTTGCGGCTCGCTCTGCTTTTCGTGCCTTCTTGGCCTCCTTCTCAGCCTTCTTCGCTGCTTTGTCACCCTTTGCGGCAGGCTTGTCTTCAGATCCAGAGTCTGATGAATCCTCAGCGCCGTCGGCGTCTGCCATCTCTTCGTCACTGTCAACCTCTTGTACCAGCTTCTTGGGTGTACCGTTGGTCTTGGCAGACTTTGACTGCTTAGGGGCAGGCGCGTCAGCAGCTGGCTCATCGCCAGTGAGACCGTCAGCGTCTGGGTTGTACTTTCGTGCTTCCTTGACCTCCCACTTCTTCTGTCCAAGTGTTGTCTGGTTTGCGTTTCCGGCAGGAATGCTCTTGAGCGGCTTGCCCTCAAGGGCGCGCAGTCTCCTCTCGATGGTGAGGCGCGCATCACGACCAAGTTGGGACTTCTCCTCTTCGGTAGGCTCCTTGGATGTGTCCTCGGATGAGACACCCCAAGTGCTGAGGGCGTCGACGCGGAGACCCAAGGCGGACTTGGCAGCGAGCATACGAGCGATCTTGCCCTTGTTCTTTCCAGTAGCCTGGCCAATAAGGGATGCGTGGTAGATAAGCTGGTAACATTAGTATAGGCAAAATACATGAGAGAGGTGAGATACATACACCGTACTTGGGTGTGTCGTGCTTGGTCTTCAGGGCACGGAAGAGGGCCTTCTCAGCACCGAGAATCTGGATGGTAGAACCAGGCGACTTGGCGAGGTTCATGAGCGATCCGGCGTGGGCGATGAGGCGCGCACCAACAAGCTCGCCAACAAGAGCTGTCAGGTTAGGAGCGAGGGCCTGCATACGGTTGGACAGGTAGCTGCCAAGGTTTTGACGGTGCTCGGTGAGGTCAACAACCTGCTCGGCAAGAGCAGAAGTCGCCTCCAGATCTTCTTCTGTGATCTCAGTACCCATAGAGATCTCTGCAGCCGCCTTGACAGCCGCCTCAATCTCCTCGGGCAGGATCTCAGAGAGGTCGGTCTCACGCGCATTGGTTCGGAAACCCATCTTAAGAACAACACGGGAGAAGGCAAGGTTGTCATTGAGAACTGTCGCATTGGTCAATAATGTGGTCGCGGAGTGGTGGACGTCTGAAGGGCAGAAACTTACTCTTGGCGAGCTCTGGGAAGTGCCAGCCGTACCATTCCTTGACACGCATGGCGTAGGTGTTCAGCTGCTTGTCGAGCACATCGAGAGAAGCGATTGACTGGATAATCATGGTGTCGACCTTGTCGGGCGAGAAGCGCAACTTGTGTCTCGACAGGGAGTGGGCAAGACCAAGTCTGGTCGCGGCTTCCTCAGAGGGAAGGAGGTCGGGAAGGAGCGAGGTCAAGTTTTCGCGGATGGCACGGAATACATCTTGAGTGGAAGAGTCTGATACAGTCTTGAGAGAGAGACCCGGGAGTTGCGCAATCGAGTTGGAGAGCTTGGGGTCGGCGACGGCCACTTGAGACATATTAGCTTCCACGTTCTCTTCGCGATGTCGAAATGTTCGTACAGGTAGCTTTGGTCTCATCCTTCAGGTCCTCCAAAAGGGACGACAGCATGGGCGTAACTTTTCCATCGTGGAGCGCGGCCGCCTGCTCGAGAGCGTCGACAGCGCTTCCAAACTTGGCGAACTTCTTCAGCTTAAGCTGCTCGACGAGGCTCGAGGAATCTTTGCTCTCTGCGCCCAAGAGCTTCTTGTCCTTTGACTTGAGCAGGACATAGCCCGCCGAAGTTTCGGAGAGGATGAAAAGACCCATTTTGCGAGTCTTCGGTCGTGGGATAGGTCCAATGGCGATCGCGAAACGCAACTACCCTCCGTGGTGAATTTGGACGTGGTGTGGGAAGTCGCGATGGGAGTTGTCGCAAGCTCGAACAGTGCGGAATCCCAGCTCGAACTTTTTCCTGAGCTCGGGCCAGCAAGCTAGCGCTAACCCGGAAACGCATAAGCTCCGTTTCTGGCAGCTAGTCACCAACGCCAGGCACATGCAAGCGAAAGCGACTCTGGGCCATTGAGCTTGTGACGAGGGCAATGAACTAGGCAGTTCCAACATGTCCTCTGGCGGCGAGCGAAAAGTCTCGGGCTCCCTGAACCGCAGCACCAGGGGCACCACTCCACGCCTTGCTGATCTTGGAGAGTCACCACGAACACCGCTCCTACGAACCATCTCATCCACCTTCGGCTCGCCCGGTGGCTCCTTCCGCACCGAAGACGAGTATGTCGTCATAGAAGTCGGCTCGCGATTTGTACGCTGCGGCTTTCCTGGCGAAAGTGCCCCGCGATGCACCCTCCCGTTTGGGCCCGACGACCAGCGCAGGGTGGGCGACTACAGGCAGTGGGATCCCGAATATGCTCAGAGGAGAAGAAAGCAGAAGCGGCGTCAGGACTGGGGACAGGAACATGAGCTCTACCGTATGGACTTGAGCAAGGTCGATTTGGGACTGGTCGAAGACAAGTTCGAACGAGCCATGAGAGAGGCATACGGCAAATACTTTTTGTTGGACACAAAGCCACGTCGGGTTCTGCTTGCAATGCCGCCCCGTATGCCGCATGCACTCATGTCGACGGTCCTCGATGTGCTGTTTACAAGCTTCCAGGCACCGAGCATCACCCTCATGTCCACTCCGGTACTATCGACAGTGGCTGCAGGACTACGATCCGCCTTGGTCGTGGACATTGGATGGGCCGAGACACTTGTCACTGCGGTATACGAGTATCGTGAGGTGTCAGAGAGACGCAGTGTCCGAGCAGGCAAGCTATTGAGCGAGGAGATGGCGAAGCTACTAAACACCGAGCTCGACGACGCTGAGCCTAGCGCTACCCAGGCAGACGTATCCTTCGAAGAAGCAGAGGAAGTCCTCACGCGCGTCGGATGGTGCAAGCCCGTCCCCAAATCAAACCGAAGAACCGTTTACTTTCCCGCACGAGAAGCGCCTGTCCTAGAGGAGTTCGAAGACGCCGTCGAATCACCGCCGCCTACCGTTACCATACCCTTCCCAAAACACACACCACCTACCGAACTCACAATCTCCTTCGCATCACTAGCCAAACCCACCGAGAACGCTCTATTCTCACCGGAGTTAGCCATACACGAGTTCGACGATGAAGACCTCCCACTGCATCACCTCATATACCGCGCCCTTGTCCAGCTTTCCATAGACGTCCGCCGACTATGCATGTCGCGCATCGTAATAACAGGCGGCGTATCAAACCTACCCGGCCTCAAAACGCGCATACTGAAAGAGTTGGATGCTCTGGTACAACTCAAGGGTTGGGATCCAGTGAAGAGCTATGGGAAAGCAAGCGCACGTCGCGAGGAGAAGCTGCGAAACCAAAGGGAGGATGTGGAGATGCGCCGACAAGAGGGCGAAGATATGTTCCCGTCATCGCTCGATACAAATGCGCCGCCTGCCCAAATACCCGCAGCTCTCCAATCGCCTCAAGAAGATCCTATAGATACCAAATTCGACCAGATGGCGATACGTCACGGTCCACCGCCTGCTAGCTTGGTTGGTGGCACCATCAGAGGGGTGAATACATTGGGCCCCTGGGCAGGTGCGAGTTTGATAGCACAGCAGCGCATCAAGGGTATCGTCGAAGTGGAGCGCGAGAAGTATCTCAAAGATGGTTTGCAAGGCGCGACCCGGGAAAAAGACGTCTCTGTCATTGCGCAGAGGCAGAGCATGGGCCCTGGACTGTCTAGCAAAGGTGGCGAGAGGGCTAGCTGGACTCTGGGTGTGTGGGCATAGGACGTGATCCTGCTGCTGTGCTGTGCATATCGTTTCTTCTCTCTTGATACCCCGTGAACTCTGTCGCTTTAGCACGTCTTCGATACCCATATTTTCGGATCCCTTCTAGTATTGTCCTTGAAAAACCGTATTACAATCATCTAAGACACAGCTCCAAGAAATTAGTATCAGGCATCAGGAGCATCCAACCTTATTAGCGCTCTTAAGAGTTTCGACACCCGTATCGCTTCCCGATGTTCACTTCAATCATAGAACTCACACTATTATAACTGGTCATGGCAAAACAGTACATCGAATAGCGCCTATTGTTGACAAAATCTGGAGTATCACCCAGCGATTCCCTTTGTTATACGTCGGATATCCGACAGCTGGTGTGCCTCGGAGCCTTCTCTTGAAGATGAGTTGATCCTCGGGACTCTAAGTGAGCGATAGCTTATACCAAGTATGCAGAACTATACATGTACCGATAGCTAATTCGGTACCCACTTCGTGATTCGCACGTTGGCCCGTATGTACTGTTGCCGAACCCCATTCATTGAACGTGGCACTCCAACTGCTCGCACGCATGTGTACGTAGATGCGCAGATACATCGTACACCCAGTAGCAGTGCTTCGCCTACCCAAACGATATGCAGCCTTATCTGCCCAACCCGTTTGGACGATTCACAGCCTGCGCTCGTCAGGCCATAAGGCAACTAAACAAGTCCGCAAGTCCGTAAGTGTGCATATGTCCAAGCCTGCATTCATGCAAGCCAGTCTCGCACTAGGCGGCCCACGCACCAATGGGAGAGTGCACTATGCTGGCTTAAAGAGCTCTGCTATTCCCTCAAGGGAAGTCCATCGAGTCGTCCCAGAGTCCTCCGTTAGGTTTCAGACGCTTACGCCACTATGGACGGCCAAATGCAGGAAGGTCCTTCAGATCTCCCCATTGAGTTCCTTGGGTTGACGAACTACCCCGGAGTCCTCCACAACCACGATCTCAATGTTAGCCCAAGAACATCCCCGGGCGCACAGTATTCGGAAGAGGATGAAATTTTTTTTTCCATATGTATGTAATGCCCAGTCGCATCCCTTTCACGTTCAACGCACGTCATCTCACGCATTCGTAACGGCAATGTTAATAATCCACTGCAGAACCTTCGCCTAGCGGTATCTTGTCTAGAAGCTGGTATCGGAATCGAATTGTGGGCTTTAGAAAAAGCATGGCCTGGCATATGTAACGAGCTATGGTGGTTTGATCAATTTCACCCCGGTATCCTTCATCCTGCTACGATCGCACCCATAAACGCCATGCAATACAACGAAGACGTCGGCAGCCAAAAGTTCACATTCGACTGTCCTGTCTTCGTTGCAGAGTCTCGACATGGCTGGCCACGTACCTGTAATAATGTCAAGAGCCTGAACATGACAGACCTGCGACGACACTTAACAGAACGAACGGGTCGTGGATACGCACCTCAACTAACATTTCTGAAGCTTTGTACTACATGTAACGAAGACTTCATCGACAGAAATGTTTTCGAAACTAGACATGGCTATCGGGGAGAACTCTGCAACGCCCGCCGACCTCAGCGTAGGGGGGCCAACGCGAAAGTGCAATGGGAACTGCTGTATCGACAAGTGGAAGCAGCAATGGCTGTCCAACGTCTTTCAACACGTATGGTACAGCTTTCTTTCGGTGATGGATGCCGAACTGACGTGGCAGGTCAAGAGCAGGTCAACACTGACCCGGCACCTTCACAAACTGACCTTAGCCTGGGTCCATCCGATTCACCCGAGCAATCTACACCTCAACCTGCGAATAACCATCCAGACGAAGCTATGCCTTATTTGACACCATATCAACTTATCTACGGCTCGGATTCCGACGAAGGAGAAGTGGTGAGAAGTTCACACGACGTAAGTTTTTGGTCGACCTAGGCATATTCCTATCTGATTGATATTGCTAGTAGACGTTACTGTCCTCTCCAAGTGGTCTTTTACATCGAGCTCCAAGCACTGGCAGAATACCTGACCGGCAGTCTATGTCTTCACTCGATACTCAAAAACAGTTGCCGGCACAGTATTCGGGTGGAGATGCGAGCTGCACGTTACGCTGGACTAGCCCCGTGCGAAATGAAGCTCGGGTGGATCAAACAGATGCTTATGCGTCACAAAATTCCTTCAAGTCTAGAGAATATCTAAGCTGCTCTCCTGCTACAAGGGAAACTTCAATCGCTAGCTGGAGAGACCATATGGAAACTGATGTTGCTGTGGATACTTACCTTACAGCTATTGATCAAACGGACGACTGCAGCTACGACTTCGTTCAAATGGATATTCCAGGGACGCAGCAATTAGCTGGGACTTCAGGTCAAGATTTGGAGCAGCAAGACGGGGATCAGCGAAATTTATCTCAATTCAGGGGCGATCCACCACTGGAAGCACAGCCCGGGGCGCAACGGGGCGCTGGTGAGCTTGCGTTACCTATGCGACGATGCTCTTCCACTCACTCTTCCATTTTCGAGGCCTCCTCGGTCGGTGCCCCGCACACCCACACACAAGAAACTCTATACTGTCTGGAGCAAGGCTGTAGCCAATCTTTCACCGGTCTTTATCGTCGAGGAAACTTAGCACGACACAGAAGACTAAAACACGGTAAAGGGAAACCATACGTTTGCGAAGATCTAACTTGTGCGAAGGAATTTCAGCGGCAAGATGCTCGACTGAAGCACTATAGGAAATGGCATCGTGAGCTCGCTGCTAGTAGTCCGTTCGTGCCCCGTTCGACGGCCTCAAGAACGGCGGCAAGAGAACAGGAATTCGACCTAAGCAATGTCTCTAGTTGGGTCGATTAGTCTCTCATTGATGCTCTGCTGTTCTCTAGCAGGGTGTTTGATGCACCAAATTTATATTGCCGTACTTATAACAAATTTCAAAACGAGTTGTTGTACCTTCTCATCATTATTGGTAAGGATTTCACCTTTCGCAAGTCCATCGGGGTATTTCAAAGTGCCCTTGGTAAGTTTCGAGTGTTGCAACTGTTATAGAAGTGGATGTAACATCAGGACGCGAGTAGGTAGGAAAGAGGGTTGAGGGTCACCATAGCGGATGAGAGATGTTGTTGTCGTCTCTCATACAGAAAACTCTCGACGATTCCACTGGACCAACACATGTCCCGAGCTTGATGCACGATGCGCAACTGATTGGACAGGAAGCTCTGGAACCAGCGAAGAGCCTACATGTTTGCCTGCTTACTGGTATTGATGGCGCGAAGAGCCATCTGCTACTGGACGTGCATGATTTGAGATTCTTGTCCCTCTAATAGTGGTTGAACTGAACCATTCACAAACCGCCACGAATTTGCCAAAGAAGCAAGACGGCCTGCAACTCCGCACAGTCGGTTCTGATGTTCGACGAATCAGCAGGCCTTGATTATCTGTACATCAACTGTTCAACCTTGTACATATGCGTCCAGATGAGTGTGCACATCCCTGGTAATCGCGCTAATTTAGATTACAGTTGTCTTGACAGGCTCACAAAAAGCAGCGAAGGACGATGGCTAATCGTACTCTTTTTAGAGATCATGTATCACTAGTACACTGAGTTCTCCCACGAACGTGATATGACCGTCGGTTGTCTCCTCCAATACGCAACATGTTTCTTACCATCGACTAACTCCCTTTCCTTCCGCTGTCCATCATGTGACCAACCCACAGCACTCCCCCTTCCCATGATACCCATGCCCACACAACTCTCCCGTCCAAACCCACGGCACACACTGTTCTACACTATCAGCCCACTGCACCGTACCGCAGTGACCACACCGCCAACCAGTTGATACACCGCCGCTAGCACCCGACGTGGCTTTCTCATTATCCCTTTCAAGACTCTTCTGTAGGGTGGAGTAAGGGTCGTTGTTGCGTTTTCGCTTTTGCCGAGATAGTGCGAATGAAGCATTATCAACAGTACCGGTAGAACCGGAGCTGGAGCTGGAGTCGGAGTAGTATGTCAAGGGCGCGACTGCAATGGGGCTGTTACTCATACTCTTGATCTGGGCTGAGTGGGGAGTTTGCTCAAAACAGTGGTGTAAAATCGCCGGGATTGGACTGCAGTGTATAACGGTCAGATCAGGGAAGTTCGGTTGCTCAAAGGGACCTTTCCCGTGTAACCCTGTAAGTGCCAGTGCCGGCATGGAAGAAGTTGCGATGCGTCAGTAGTGGTATCGCGAAGTACTGATGGAGGAGTTGTCGCGTTCCCAGTAGTAACCATAATTGACGCGTGCTTAATCCATTAAGCTCGGGATTAGTTTGGATAACATATTAGACGTGAATAGAGTAGGACCTTGGTGAGCGAAGGGGATAGATATAAAATATAGGAATGAGGGATGCGAGAATGGATCAAGGGAACCACAGCATAGAGACAGTATCGGATGTAATGGAATTGCAAGAAGGTGTTTAAAATGGACAAGGAGAGAAGAGGAAGACGAAAAAAACCTCTAGAGGAGCCTGAACGAGTTGGCTCTCCACAACATCCACGACCATTTATTTGGTTTCTCTTTTGAATAATTTCATTTCATTTCATTAATCGGGAGGGTCTTTTCTTAATTAACCTCTTTCCCCCGTTCTCATAAAACCATCTTAGTTCCTGACATTGCCCCTGATCTCATCGTCACCACCGTGGTTCTTGATGTAAGTCTGATTCCTCTCCTCGGGCGCGCCAACACCTCCGTGAGCAAAGTCACCCGCCTTGGTAGGTTGGCCGTTGGCCTTGATGGAGCCACCCTCGTTGAGCGGGATCTCGCGGTTGTTGCCTGCGCCACTGGCAGCAGAGCCGTATGTGACTTCTGCGCCGGGGAACTTGCCCTCTACGTTTGCGGTGTCGACGCCGGATTCAGTGGCTGTGAGAGTAGGTTAGTGAAGGGTTCTAGGGGAGAGTTTAAGAGAGAACATACCGGAGAGACCAACGCTGTGGCCCTTGGTAGCGCTTTGGCTGTTGAGGTCCTGCTCAGCCTTCTTGGCGATCTCGTTGACGTCGGTGTTCTTGTATTCGGCAGACATTGTGATGTTTGTTGTTTGGAGAAGTTTGAACTTTGTGTTTGAAGTGTGTATTGAAAAATAGAAACTTGGGTATCAAAGAAGTTGTTTGTGTGTATGTATTAGGAGAGTAAGTCGAGAGGGGATGTTATAAAGGTTTTGTGCACACTGCTAGCTTCATCGTTCATCGATGATGATGAAAGAGTGGTGGACCCTGATGATGTCACGACGACCTCATAACTACGGGCCGACATGTGAAGACCTTTCGCATTTTGGAAAAGACTTGCCGATTAGTGAAGGATCTTGTGAACGGGACCTTAAGAATCGTAGGGGCTTGTTGGTAAGTTTGCCGTGGTGGTCGCGTGCTGGTGGGGTGCAATGTAGACATCCAGGTACCAAATCCGAGCCATGACGAAACAGATCGTGAAACAGCACACCGCACGCTGAGGAAAAAACATTTCTGCCGGCACATAATGATACATTTGTACCAACATACACACCTGCATACGCCGTCGTTTCTCATAAAGCATGAAGTTCGTCCCTCATCAGCCACTCAAGACTCCCTCCAAACTTCATGCCACAGAAACCATGTCGAAGAACGCTATATAAACGCCATGCTCGCAAAGTGATATATGCGCAGGTATGTAAAGCGAACGAAATCCATATAACCAATGAAAATTTTTGTGCACATCCCGATATTACTGCTCTTCCTACTCTTCATTCAGCAAATGTCACATGACTAAGCGGTGACCGCTGTTGCAAATTGGTGCTTGGTTGTTGATGAGAAAGGAAACGCGCGTCTCCTTTCTGACCATTACTTTTAACCCAGCTCTCGACTGCAGTTTCTCTGGTGCTGTTGAGTACGATGCTGGGCTTGAGATTGGTCGCCTAGAAAATCTCGGAATCGAGACTGCTGCGGTAGCTCTGCAGAGACTCTTCATCGTCTGTCGTACTTGTCAGTAACTTTTCTCAGCCTCTACATGAAGCAGCGTAAGACTTACCAGCAATAGGCTTCCTGCGAACAACAGTATCCGAATGCTGCAGCGGACTCTGTGGCTGCGGGCTCTTGCTGCCCATGGGCCTAGGACCCGTGACTCTGCGCTGTGGGGTGCTCATACCATCCGCGGAACGGAGGTACTGGCTGCTCGGACGAGGCGAGACTACGGGTGTCATCTTTCGCGTAATGTCAGCATTGTTCGCCATCTTCTGAGGCGCGAGCTGAACTTACACGATGGCCCCGGTCAGTCTCAAGTGAGTAACGCACCTCTGCAATGGGTGCAAGAGGTGTCAAAGCACCTTGGCTACCGAATTCATTCGGAGAGCTGTACATCTGCCTCGTCTGGCCGTAACCGGCAAGTAGCTGTGGCGGCGGGATGAGAGGGCCATCATCCGGAATCTTAGGGGGCCGGGGTGGGCCGGCTTGCTGCTCTGAGGCAGATTGCTGGCTGTAGCCATCAGACGAGATTGGCGAGAGGTTGCCAGCATTCTGTTGAGCCGAAATACCAGACATTCGGTTCCGCGCAAGTGATGGCATACTACCCCACTGATCAAAGTCCGGGGATCCTATGCTTGAGCGAACAGGGTTGTAGATTTGCGCTTGGCTCTCCAACTGGTTCTGGTGACGACCGGTTGGCCCTGGTCGCGGCTGGGGGTGTTGCAGGTTCAACGAATTGCGATGCGCCTGATATTTGGGGTCTTCCATCTCATATTGATGCTCCTCAGGGATAAGAGGCGATGGAGAGCGTGCAGAGCGGATTGATGCCTGCTCTTCCCGCGTCAGAGATGTGTTGGACCGAAGCCTATCGTCGACATGCTGCTCGTACGGCTCTTCGTCATCATAATAGTCATCCAGAGAGGAAGACCTAGAGTGAGTGGATTGAGGTCGCCTCTCTCCAGACCCGCTGTTACGCGGTAGACTCTCAGGATTGGTAGAAGAGGTTGTCTTCGACCAGCGGGAGATCTTGGGGATACCAAAGATGGACGATGAGTTGGACTTGTGCTTGCGCTTTGGCGTGGTCTCGCTGCTCGATTCTCGCATTGTTCTTGACGCCTGCGGAGGGGTTCCTAGAGACCCACGCTTTTCCTGGAATGCTTCCTGGGTTGGCGTCGTCATACGCTCTGTGTTCTCGTAACGTGGATCGCGCTCATCGTACTCCTCATCGCTCTCTTCTCGCACCGTGCTTATACGGTTCGTTGGCACGACATCGTAGCCGGAGTGGAGATCTTGAATGCGCCGTGAGGAAGAAGGATTGGAGAAGTAGCCCGACTGGTCGGGAGAGGGCGCAGTGTTGGCACGGCCTTCTGGCTCATAGCCCGCATCATCGCTTGCTCGCAAATTCTCGTACGAGTTGAGGCTGTTCGTCCTCGCCTGCTGATCCAACGAGAGTTGGTTGACTTGCTTCAAACCCTCGACTTCACCGAGCAACTGAACTAGCATTTGCTCGATGTGCTTGATATCTCCATCTCCCTTACCAGAGCTCAGGCCCTTCAAGGCACGCCTGAAGACATTCTTTTTCTTGGTTTCAATGTCATCGTCTGAAGATGTGCGGTTGATACGGGGTGGCGTCATAGGTTGAGGTCGAGGTCCACCCAAGATCCTTTGCTCCGCCAGGTTGACTCGCTTGTCAGTGGTGTTCATGATCATGGTATCTTGGGTCTTGATAAACTGCTTCAGGTCGTCCAGCTGGTTGCGCATTTCCGCGGCGCTTCGGACAAGGGTCACCAGAATCTCGGTGTCGCGTGCATTGCGCTGCGCGTCGCGAACGGTAAGATGATCCATGAGCGCCACAATGTCTTTCGATTCGATGCGGTCCATGCCTTTGCCGGTAGCTGCGTCGTAGAGAGGTGAAGTCATGCCGTGCGAGTTGCCACTAACGTGTCGGTCATGTTTGGCACGAGCAGCAAACATATCAGGACTGCCAAGATCCACGCCATTGTACTCATCACCGTACCCGTCATCATCAAATATCTTTGAATGATTGCGGTTCTGAGGCGTGTACGCTTCACGTTGATTAGCCGACTGGTAACCCTCGTCTTTCCAGCCGGTCTGGCCTGACAAAGGAGTGCGGTTACTCTGCGCATAGCCTGCCTGCTCGTATTGTTGCTCACCTGGATAGGGATGATCGTATTCATCTTCTACGGTGGCCTGGTGTCGTTGATCAAACGAATCCGGAGTCTGCTGCTCTTGCCTTTCATAAGCAGCGGCAGCAGCCATGGCAGCAGCTCCAGCTCCGAGTCCGGCGGCACCTTTGCTGAACGAGGTGGGTGTACGCTCCCGCTCTTCTTGTCGGCTCAACAGCTCGTCGGTACGATCGTGGTAACCGTCTCCCCCTCCGATGGGCCCTTGGATGATCGATGGGTTGGTGGTCACATCTGAATCATCATCCATACCGTAGCCAATCTCGGGCATCATATCATCGTTGCCAACGGGATAGGCACTGTGATGCATTTGAGGTGCTTCAGATACAACCGATTGGCCATCTTCAGACTGCGCAATGCTTTGCCTAGGAGAATTCTCGCGAGCAATGTTTTGCTTCGGAGACTCCTCAGCATGTCGTTCCTGTGCCAGTGCTTCCGCCTTGTCGCGGATGGCGGCCCATCTCTGACCAGCAGGTACTTCTTCGGTTTGCACGTAAGCTGGGTTAGTGCTAACCTGCGATAGCATGCTCTTCTTGATCGGGCTGGAGGCCATTGACGATCGAACACTGATGGTGGATGGGTCGTGCAGAGACGCGACGGCTGACTCTACAGCTAGTGGTGTATGGACGTATTCAGGATTCGAGCCAACCTTGCGAATGTCTTGGAGATCACCTATCTTCTGTTCTTGATCAAGATACTCTACACCCGTGCTGTCATCGGTATACATAGTCATGCGGTTGTAGTTCACAGAGCTATCCTCTAGTTCTCGCCGGTACATCTCGTTTTTCTCGTGGTTGCGTTCGAAGAACTCGTTTGTGTCCTTGGGTGCCGTGGACTCATTTAGGATAGACCTCTTGCTTTCAAGAGTGACGCCCTGAGGCCGTTTGCGGGTACGTGCCGCCTTGGTACTAGCTGTTGAGTCCATTGATGCAATGGAGAGGTTAGACTCCCGTCGCTCGAACTGATGGCCGAGAGAAGACACGGAAGGTCCACTGCGGATGGAATGAAACCTTCGTGGTGAGCCTGTAGTCTGCGCGTCCCCCCGATAGCTAGCCTCGCTTTGTATCGGGCTGACAGTGTCACCACGTCTTGATTGCGTATCGCTCTCAATTTCATACTGTGATGCTTGAGGTTCAGATCGCTCGATCGCGCGGGCTTTGGCCGCAGCTGCAGCCGACAAACTAGCGTCGGTGACTTCTTTCGAGCGTGAGGTGTAGCTGCGATCGCTCTTCGGGGTTGCTGTGCGAACCTCGTTGGTAGATTTGTTACTATGCGAAGTGCCGAGTGTTTGTTGAAGCGCATTAGGTGTACGGGTCGGTGTACGTGGAGATGGCGAGATGTAACCGCGAGGGACCTGTTGCAGAGGCGTCTCAGCACCTGTACCTGTAATACCGGTGCTGACCGATGACCTCGACTGTGGTCTCTCCTTGGTCTCGGTTTCGGCGGACAGGATGGAATCGCGAGTGAGCTCGGATCCTCCGATAAGCTCGCTGCGGTTAAATGGTAGAGGTGGAACGCGTTCCTCATGCACACTTTCTGACACACTCTCAGATCGACTGCTGCGAGAGGAGCGATGCTTGCGGTGTTTGCGTTCTTCCTCCTTCTCTTCTCGTGAAGTATGGTGTTTGAGAGCGGCAGTAGTGAGACCAGCTCCAGCAAGCCCAATTAAGGCGGAATCTCGTTGGGACAGGGTCTTCTCGTCCTTGCTCTTTCTCCGATGAGACTTCTCATCACGGGTAGTCGACTCTGCGTAGCTTGAGATGGAGCCTCGACTGGATCGTCGCTCGCTTTTGCGACTTGAGCCGCCAGTCAGTGTAGTCCCTGGATTGTCACCATCCCTGTTGAGGACGACCTTGGGCTTGTTGCTGTGGAGCTTGGGTGCGCTCGATGATTTGGAAACACGGCGTCTGGATGGGTCGCGAGAGCGGTCGGATTCCATAGTCTCGAATGTGGCTATGCTGTCACGGTTGGCGCGGTCGAACTTGTCCATGTTCCTGGAGGTGCGGTTCTCTTCTTTCAGCGCATTCAGTTCGGGAAGAATGAGGCGCTTGATGGCATCCTCAACTGTGGCCAGTAGTTTGGGGTTGTTGATAGAGGAAGTCGCAGAGACGTGAGAGCGACGGTCGGCATTTGAGGAGAGTAGACTGGATTCAGTGCCGCTCGCTTGATCGACCTCTTTGCTCCTTCTGCGATGCGACTTGCGTGGTGAGGCGAGTTCGTCCTCTCGCCGCCTGGAAGCCTCTCTCGACTTTGTGGATCTGTCCTTGGACTTGATTGTACCGCCTTCTGCGGCCTGCTGCTGTAGCTTCTCCATGACGCGCTGTGTGATGCGGTCTTTGCTAAGGCTTCTGCTTCGGTGGTGGCGGGGTGCTTTTAGCGTGTCCTGAATGGCCTCTGATACCATGGATTCGGTGACTGCGTCCCGTTCTAGGCTTCGGCTCCTGCGCCGCGCGGGCGGGAGAATCTCTGTTTGGCCTGTCATACTGTCTGCGGGCATGGACGATATGTCCGAGGGCATAGGGAGGTAGCGTCCGCCGTCGCTAGAGACGTCGCTGTGGTCGGGCAGCAGTTCGATGTCGACGGGCGGGAGAGATGAGATGTTGGAGAGGTCGGAGTAATCGACTGTAGACCGGCGCGCGTCGTAGAATCCGTCGTGCGATTTGCTGTGGAGGGAGATGCGCCGGGAATAGGATGCGGCGTGGGAGTGGCGGGTGGTCTGGGTGATTTGGACGTGATCGCTCGCGGTGCTGTTCCTGCTCTTGCGGGAGGAAGGGGTGACCCTTACGCGCACACTGGGGCGCGAGCGGACTTGGCCTTCGGTCTCGCCTGCTTCGAAGTACTCGATGAGCAGCGAAGTCTGCGAGGGGAACTTCTTGTGGAGGACGCGGCTGCCGCGAGGCTTGGTGGGCGAGGTGGTGTTGATAGTAATGGGAGTGCCGTCTTCGGGGACGGAGTAGGATGTTCTGTCGGTGCGGTTTGAGACGTTGGTATCGACGTCGTCTGTATGGTTGTTTTCGTCTGAGGAATCGAGAGTCGAGGGTTCAGTAGGTGCCGGAAGAGGAGGTCTGTCTGTATCTAAAACCATCGTAGAATCTGAAAGATTCTAGAAGGTGGGGTGGGTGACGGAAGACATGCCTGGCGCCGTTTTCCTCGAGGACGTTATAAGAGGGAAATGTTGTTGTTTGAGGTGTGGGTGCAGGACCGCAATGTGGCTAGTCCACGTTTGCGCGACCTGGATGTTGCTGGTGTTGGGTGCGAGCGCGAACAGCGATCGTGGGTGTGATAGCGACCTGAGCGCGCGGGTGAACTGCGTGTAAGCGTGAACCAGGACGTGAGGCCGCCTAGTTGAGGTGCACTGCGTGCGACGCTCTGCGACAATGGCGAGCTGGGCGCCGACGGTCGTAGCGAAGCTTGCCAGCCAGTGTTAGCAGCTGGACGTGCTACCTGAGGATGCAAGCCCTTGGTGAGAAGGGGCAAGTCACGGGACTCACCAGACCAGACCGCGCAGACAGCTCAAAGCCGTCTCTCTGGGGTAACAATGGCTCTACAAGCTCCGTCGAGCTGGTGGAGAGGCTGTCGTGGGAACCAACTCCAGCTGTGGTGGAGAGAAAGCCGGGCTGGGTCGAGGCTAGAGAACAGCAATCCTTGTCGGCGCTAACACGGCCGAGGTGAGGCTTATTGACCTCGCAGATCGATGGGTTGGAATTATTAAAATATCCTGGTTTATTAGACAATAGCCAAATAGGAACATGTATATTACGTAGAATGGTATAAGAAGGCCAAGTCAACAGACATGCGACAGGTCGCGTCGTATCTTTGGGCTACCGTCGATACATCATGACTTGTCCACAGCCCAGCCACCCACCCGCGTCAGGGCCATTCAGCGTGCCTCAAGTCCCTCGTGGACGCCGTTGGCCATGCATATGCCGCAAAGTAGGCGCATGTTTCGAACCAAACTCTGCCCTCCTAGACGAATGCCCAACGAATGCCAGCCTTTGCCGTCCCTCCACCCGACTTCGCGCAGTAACGAGATGGCTGGTATCGCCAGAAGCAATCACGCCGCTTATTCTATTCTTACCCCTCCCGTCCCGCACCGACATGGTCATTATTGAAATCAGGTGCTGGCAATTCCTGATTTTTTACTTCACACTCTCATACCTAGATAGCCTGTCACTTCATATTTCAGTCTCACCGCCAGACTGTCAACACCGTCATGTAGGCCGTCTCGATACTACAACCAGCTAGCTTCTAGCACCCGTGTCGTTACCAGGGGTGATGTGCCGATTCCCCCGGTAGGCGGACGCATCCGCTTGCCTGTCTGGGCGACGTCATTGGTCATTTCGCTAGACTGACTTGCCAGCGCATCCCCCATACAATCTGCGGCATAGCTTTTTCAAAAACTCGTAAGGCTGGGCTGCGGCTACAGGTCCGTCAAGTAATATGCCAGAAGTGCGCTATGTTAGAGGATAATATTCCGAAGGATGCAGACGTGGTGAACTGGCAGTTGGCGCGACCTGACGATATTGCTCTTCTGCTGTCTCAGTGGTTGCTGCCCAAATGCCCTTAGTGCTCACCGGTTTCGTGGCGTCGTACTGCCAATTTCGCAGAGACATTCATTCATTCTACTAACACATTTTGTACATCAAGTTTGCAAGTTGCGCATCTGAAAGGTTACTGACGTCCTCGTGGGTGCTCAATTAGATCATGCAAGTAAAGCTATAAACCCTAGATCATTGCCCATATGTGATTTTGTACGCCAAACTCCCGTCAATGCCGTTCAACCACCATCTCAGAACCTCTTGCCTCCCCTCATTGGTCGTCGTTGCTGCTGGGGTTGACTTCCATATGCTCTCCGTCCCTCTACCTTCTTGTCGCGACTCAAACTTGCTCCAAGACTGATGTCGATGCGCGGCGGCGCTGAGAAGCCGAATGACTTGGCCACCTTGACAAGATCTAGCTTATGCACATCAAACACGGAGCGCAAGCTGTGAGAAGCATACGACTGGAGGTAAGACCGGTAGCCGTCCTTGGCGCTCTTGTTGAGGTAGTAGTTCTTGTTGATCAACGCTTCCAGCTGTGACTGAATGTTGAGAATCTTGTTCGAAGGCAACTCAAACTCCACAAGAGGCACTCGGTTTTCTTTGAGGAGCTTAAGGAATCCCACCTCGGAGGGCAAGAGGAACATCAAACTTCTGCCTTTGCCGTTGGCACCCCGAGCTGTTCGACCGACTCTGTGGATGTAGTCTGGGGAGATGTTAGTATATGCTCTGCATGCATTGCGTACGTTCAAGCTTACCTCGCGGATCATCAGGTGGGTCAAATTGAATGACCCAGTCTACCTCAGGAATGTCTAGTCCTCGAGCAGCAACATCGGTGCAGATGAGCGTGCCACTCTGTGCGTTCACAAACTCGAAGAAGCGGTTCGTTCGGGCCTGTTGTTTGAGCTTACCGTGCAGTCCAAGCACCGGCAGGTCGATGTAGTTGAGCAATTCGCTGTAAAAGTCGACTGATGCGCATGATGACAGGAAGACGATGACCTTCTTCTTCTGATGTTTCTTGAGGAAAGAAAAGAGGAGCCTGAATCTGGTGTCTGAATCGCACAGAACGTAGCCCTGCTCCAGTCCCTGGACCGTGCTGTGCTCAGCTCGGTGATCGACGTTGATGTACAGAGGTCCTGGCTTGAGCGAGATCCTTGCGAGATCCTCAACCTTGGTGGTCTGTGTTGCGGAGAACAGCATGGTCTGACGCTCCGTGGGCAAGATCTTGATAATCGACCTCATCTCATCCTCGAAGCCAACCTCAAGAATTCTGTCCGCTTCGTCGATGATGAGTGACCTCAAGTTCTTGAACACGAAGCCCTGTGTGTTGTGTAGATGATCGAGGAGACGCCCGGGAGTAGCGATGATCAGATTCAAGCCCTTCCTGATCTTCTCAGCTTCTGCGTTTCGGTTCGCGCCGCCGATACAGATACCAAATGTCTGGCTGTGTGACTCCATGAGCTCGCGGGCTACACCGAAGATTTGCAACGCAAGTTCTCTCGTGGGCGAAACGACTATGACTCCAGTTCCATTGCGCGGCTTGAAGCGCAATTGTGAAAGCATCTCGATTGCCGGGATAAGGAAAGCCAGCGTCTTTCCGCTGCCAGTCTTTGCCGCTCCAAGCACATCTCTTCCAGACAGCAGAGGTGGTATAGCCTTCTGCTGGATCTCTGTCATATTCTCGAAGCCCATGTTCTTGATGGAAGACATGGTTCGCTCGCTCAGATTAAGCTCGTCGAATCGCGTCGGGTTCGCCGAGGGCATGGTAGTGCCTGAGGGAAGGTCGAGAGCGTTGCTACCCGTTCCAGAAGGAAGTTCAGGAAGCTGGTCGTCGTTGCCTTCATCGTCTTCCTTGTCGCTATCATCGTCATCGTCGTTTGCCGCACTGGCCTCGGCGACAACCTCCTCCACTACCTTCTCATCTTCTTCCTCGTCACTTTCTACCTCCTCAGAAACATCCTCGACAACGGGCTCGGCTACGATGGCTTCCTTTTCCTTGCGCGCCTTCTTGCGCGCCTTGGTAGAATCTACGCCATTATGCGCTGGTGCGGCTTCTGCCTCAGCGCGCTTTTTGCTCTTGTGAGACCTCTTCCTCTTGCTGCCTGACTCGATCGCGGCGGGCGACATGGTGTATTGTGCGTCTTGGGGTACTGTGCAATGGCGCGAAAAGTTCGACTTGGAGCGCTGCGGCTTGCCAAAAGTTCTAGGACCGAGAAATAATTGTCGCGCTAGAGGACCCTGGTTCAGCGCACAGGCCAGCGTTACTGGTTCGTATCTTCACCGCGATGCCGAGCACACCACCTTTAGCTTTGCTAGCTGCGCTTTGTCAAGTATTGTCTATTCCAAAGAATATGTCATGGGCATCATCTGCATCATGGCGAATCACCACCCACGCATATATCTGGGGAGCTTTCATATCTCCGCCTACTAATATTCAGGAGGAAAAGTCCCGAGGCTGCATACGACGCGTGACATATACGGTGGTACTCAATGAACCTCATCCTATGTGGACTGACATCTATCTTCGTTTTTGGTCACTCACATGTGAACACTTTGTCTGCCTATCTATCCGTCTCTATCGAATTTGTTCTTCCATGTGCGCTAGAGCGTCATGTAACACACTTTTAGACTAAGGAGGAAATGATGCAAAGTTGCATTACCAATCAGTGCGGAGACGCGCAATGCCTTATATATGAGCGGAGCCTTATGAAGCAGCATCAAGCATTTTGACTATTTGAGTCTTCCAATCATCTCTGTAGAACCTCAAACTTGTTCGGTACAGAAAATCTTGATCATGGCACCCAAGATATTCCTGTACATTTCTCACCTTCATCACTTCCTAGATACACTGCTAATTCTCCCTTAGTACAGGAGGAACAGGCTACATTGGTGGCTCTGTGTTGCATACCATTGCAACCGCCCATCCCGAATACAACATCACTGTCCTCCTCCGCAGGACACCCGAAAACTTCAAATCCACCTACCCCCACATCGATGTCATCACCGGCGACTACTCAAGCGCCGATCTCATCACCTCAGCTGCCGAAAATGCCGACATTGTCGTTCACAACGGCGACTCAGACCATGAACCTAGTCTAAGCGCCATCATCACAGGCTTACTCCGCCGCCCAACCCCCGGCTACCTCCTCCACCTCTCCGGTACAGGGATTGTGTCAGACTGGGCCGACGAGCAGTACCTCGGAAGACTGAATCCAAAGATATGGTCAGATATTACTTCCCTGCCTGAAATCCGTCAACTGCCCCCTGCGGCACTACATCGCAACACAGAAACCATTCTCCACGATACTATTGCCAAGCACGGTGATAAGATCAACATAGCAATCATGTGCCCACCTGATATCTACGGCAAAGGCAAAGGACTAGCAAAGACCCAGAGTGCTTTCGTCCCGTTTTTCATCAAGGAAGTGAAGAACATTGGCGGTAAAGTGGTTTATCACAATCAAGGCACGAACACGAGGAGTTGGGTGCATGTTGACGATTTGATGCGTCTGTATCTGCATGTTGTGGAAGCTGCGGCGTCCAACTCGAAGGATTTCTTCAACGAGAACGGGTACTACTTTGCTAGCACCCAGGAACATTCTCAGCTTGATGTTGCGAAAGCGGCAGGAGAGATCTTACGCAGGCACCGTGTTATTCAAAACCCAGAACCTGTGCAGATTGGTCTGGAACAATTAGACTCCATGGCTAATATCCCCGGGTTCCCCAAATTGGCCAGGTATCTGTTTGCGAGCAACTCGCGCACAAGAGCTGAAAGAGCGGACAAAGCTTGGGGATACAAGGGTAAGGCACCGGGCTTGTTGGAGTGTTTGGAAGCCGATATACTAGATGCTGTACGTAGTTGAAGTCTGATTAGTGATGGGATGGTTGGCATACATATAAGTGAATAAATTTTCGAGAGAAATTACATGGGGCTCAGATATTACCCAAATCCTTCCACGCTTTGACTAATGAGAAGTTTCTTGTATCCAACACCATCATCTGAATTCAATCATCGCATACGGCCGTCAAGGCCCTGAAGGTCACGCTCTAAGTCGCTGCCGTTCCATCCACCCTGGTTGAACGCTTCTTGTGGCCTTGGGTCTTCATAGCCAGCGCGGTCGTAGTTATTGGGTATTGGGACCTGCGGCGCCTGGTTCGCCCCAGCGCCTGCACCGGGTTGTACGCGGACCATCTGGCGGAAGCGGCTGACCTCATCCAGAATCATCTTCTTCATCTCTGGAATCTCCTCAACGACCTCAAACTGGAAGTCGAATGTTGTCGGGCACGAAGGCTCGTCGGAGGCATCGTGCCAGATTTGTAAGTACCTGTGCTCTAGGGCTTCCTCGACTGAAATACGGCTCGATGGGTCGAAAGCGAGCATGCGGTCGAGCAGATCGAGGGCGTCCGGGTTGGCGTTCCTGAAAAGCGATTGGAACGAGATCTTCTGCATGTATGGTAGGTTGCGAACGTAGTCCTGGGCACGAGGCGAGCCGATTCGCGAGAGTGTCTCTTCGTTTGGTGTTCCAAGGTAGTGCAGAATTTGGTTCAGCTGGTCGACGTAGTCCCGGCCCTTGAAGAAGGGCTTGCCTCCAAGTAGCTCAGCGAGGATGCAGCCTACTGACCATACGTCGACTACGCGAAGTCAGCCATGAATCGAAATGTGGGGGTGACTAAGTGGGGTCCGCCCGTAGCTACGCAGACCCAGAGTCTACATGCCACCAACGAGGAAATCTGACGTGCACAAGCGGAACAAGAGGGTAACTACTTACTAGCTTTCGTGTAGCTCTGGAAACTTAACATAATCTCAGGAGCTCTGTACCATCGGGTGGCGACATATTCAGTCATGTAACCTGCGTTTTCCTCGGGATCCATGGAGAAACCTCTTGCGAGACCAAAATCGCAAATCTTAAGCTCGCAGTCGGCGTTGACGAGAAGGTTGCCAGGTTTCAAGTCGCGATGGAGGACGTTTGCCGAATGGATGTACTTCAGACCGCACAGGATCTGGTAGATGAATGACTGGAAGTGGGCATCGGTAAGCGGCTGACCAGAGCGGATGATGGCTGCCAGGTCGCACTCCATGAGCTCTGCACTGTGTCAACATCTCCCTACCAAATTGAGAGGGGAGAATCCATACCCTCATAGAGGTAACATTCGTTGAAGTTGTCTGGGCGGGGAATATCCATGTCGTAGAGACATGTTATCTGTGCGAGGGAATTTAGCATCGTGTTGGGTAGTCTACTTGTGGGACCGGGTGTTTCTTACGTTGCGGTGGCCTGGCAGGTGTTAGTAGTGTCACAGCCGACGGGTGCAATATAGACTTGCCTCTGAAGTGCTGGAGCAGCTTGATCTCGCGCAGGGCTCGCTTCGCAAGGATCTTCTTGCTGAAGACGTTTGTGACCTTCTTGATGGCGACGCCCTCGCCTGTCTGGTTGTTGGTAGCCGCACTGCATGGCACAATCAGTATTCGTATGCGTCGCGCCGCTGCTCGAGTCGTACCAGACGATGCCATAAGCACCCTGTCCTAGCTCCTTGGTCACATTGTAGCGCTCGTCGACGATGAACTCTTGGTTGAACACCTGAGACCTGTCAATGCGCATCCTCGGGTCTGAATGGTGGATATAACGCTACCTTGAACACTTTGCGGTTGGCGAGGTCGCCCATGGTGGCAGATGTGGCGGGGTAAGGGCGAGGGGTAACCAAGGCAAGCTCTTTCTATTCTCTCTCAAGGAAGGAAGTAACGATCGAGGTGGTCGTAGGAGTCGAGCAGCAGAGAGAAGGTGCAGGCGGCAGAGGAAGGTATGATATAAGGCTAGGCGCGCGGCCAATGTGATGACTGACAGGAGCTGCTTCAACACAAAGCGGGGCGGGCGGCTCTGGAAACCGGGCTGGCGGTGGGACGGTCAAAGAAGGCGCAGAGTCTTCACCGGGAAGTATGAAGCAATAGGAAAGCGATTGACAAAGTGACGATGCAGAAAAGCGGTCGTCCTGTGCCTCGTCGCGGCCTCCGTGAGGGTTATGGTGGGGTTGGTATCCAGTCGCAGCGCATACGAGGGGTTCACCTTGGCCCAAGGCGGCAAGGCGCTGCTATAGCCACCTTCCTCAGACCGCTTCGCCCGCGCCGCTGGCTCTGCCCTACAATCAGGACAATTGCCCGTTGCAGGCCCATGACCGTTTAGCCAGCCGACGGCCAGACCGGTTCCTCAGTGGGTGCATGCCAGTCAAGATGAACGCGTGAGCCTAGCGCTGCGAGCAGCTTGTTGTGCATTTCCGCCGCACGGACGGCTGCTATGTACGTGAAAAGAGGGTATTTACAGCATAGACACTAACAAAACGTGGCTCGACTCGTGTCTACCACGTGCCTCCGTCTAGATGGGTATTCAGCCTCTGGCATGCACAAAATCAAAACTATCGTCTCTCAAACGCCATATCCGTGGTAAACAACGGTGCCGCGTGTCGCTAAGCCAAGAGACCCCCGCCAATTATGCCAAACAAAGTAAACGCAAGTCGTAATGTCGCTAAACAATCAGCTTTTTTGGGGCTCATGACTCGTAGGAGAACCGCCGTCGGGAGGCATCCGTAGACCCTTCCAGAGGCGAGACGGGGGAGAGGGGATCGTCATCCGATTCGGTGCGTCTTCCATCGCGAGCACGGTAGGGCGGCAGTTGGAAAAATGTGTCCGAAGCTTCCAAGAACGCACCGTCTCGGGGTGTCCGTGGTGTGATAGGCGACACGTTGTCAGCCGGTAGTCGATCACTCACCATCGACACTTCTGAGGGAATGATCGGTACGAGCCTTCGCGACTCGTCATGTGCCACGGGTGGTGCGTCTGGCGTACCGGTTGGATCTACGCCGTTGTATATCCTCTCACGTACCACCATGGACTCCTTTTCCGACAGTTGACGGCCGCCTGCTTCCGGAAGCACAGGCATGTCGCCAGGCATCTCGTAAATCTGACGCTCCTTGCCGTCTGCCTCATGCACCAGCAATGAACTCTTCTCTCCTACGTTGGAGCCCATCTCGTGATGTACATGAGATGTACCAGGGAGCTCAGCTTTCGGGAAGACAGTCATACCTTCGGTACTACTTCGTACTGGAGAGGTCGGAGCCTCCTCCAAAACGGGTGGATCCATCTTAGTGACTGCAGCCGCAGCGACTTCGGCCTCGTATTTCTCCTTGATAGCTTCCAATTTGCGTTTGTGCCGACGATGCCAGAACCACCATCCGATTGCGCATAAAACCAAAGCAACGAAAAAGCCACCTCCCACTGCAATCCCAATAACTGCTGTGGGCGATAAAAGCTTTTTCTTCGGGGGAGTGTAGTGTGGAACTGCATAGGTAGGCGACACGATGGGAAGGATCTCTGGTGCTTTTCCAAACGTCCAGTCAACAGCCGACACGGTAAAGTTCTGGCGTTCCCAATCTACAGTCAAGTAGGCCTCCTGCAGAAACGTCCTGCCTAATATCCACTGGCGCGACTCATCACCTCGCCTGATCGGAAAGTACTTCGTCTTCTCTTTGAGTCCTCTATAAGGAGGTGTTGCCTCCAAATCCAAGGCAGCATAAGGCAAAGTGATCTGTAGAGTGGCATCGGTGCTGTATTTTTGTCCGAGAGTAAACGTCACGCTGGGGTTCTGTGCGAGGAGACTCCGGTGAAGGGTATCATCTACAAGGTAGAGATCAGTCGCTTCGTCGTACTGCAACCCAAACGCATCTTCAAAAGCTTGGCATATTTCGACTGGCAAGTAGAGTTCTGCAATCGTCGAATCAATGTACATGGTGACGTCGTCCGTCTTCAGGAGGTCAATGTTTGCTTTCGACGTGGTATTTGCCGTGATGCCAACGACACCAACCACCAGGTCACGCTCATTGTCCGGTGCGAAGATGAAGGTAAGGTCGTTGGGAATGAGGCGGGAGGCGTCGTAGCCGCCAAGCGTAAGACTTCCGAGGACTGTCTGATCACCTAAACACACGAGTCAGTGATATGTAGGGAGGAATTTGGGACTGTCTTACGGTACTGTGCGCCTGCAGTGTAGCCAAAAGACAAACTGGGAATACTCTTCTGCGTGAACAGAGTCGTTATGTAGCTTGGGACTGGCTCATCGAAGACAGAGAAGTTGGTCGACTTAGAATGCACGCCTATATGCCCGAGCCAGAAGTTGGCTGTAACCAAGGTGCCGATCGTAGTGTTCTGGACAGAGGGCCCCATCTCCCCGGCCCTCCCCAGACCCACCGAATCGAAGCCGTACAATCCATTCCCGACCAGTCCGAGATATTTTTCAATCCAGAGTTGATAGAAGCCCTTCTGCTGCCAGGTTTCCGAATTGCTGCTGTTAAACAAGTAACCGCGACTAAGCTCACAATCTGAATCGAAGACGTTGAGTGCCGTGATCTCTCCAGTTGCGGGGTCCGTGGTGTTGGAAATACAGGCCATGCGATTAATGGCCCATATCTGCTGGCTGGCAGTTGACACATAGACTTGTACGCGCTCCTGGGGCTCGCCTATGGTCAGAGTGAATGTGTTCCATGCGCCATCAATTCCTATCCAGTTTTGGTCCGGCGCAACAGTGACGGGTGCCGGCACCGAGGCGATGCCAGGAAGCAACTTGAAGTTGGGCGTCTCAGTGATGTTTGTCTGCACATAGTCGGCGGCAGCAAGGAAGGGCAGGAGCAAGGCGGCGGCAAGGAAGGCGCATCGGGACGTGTGGGAGGCGCGATGCCCTCGCAAAGGGATCATGTTCCGTGACTAAGCGGCGCGCGGAAGGACGCACGACTGGGGCCACTCAACCTCGAAGATTGTAATGAGCAGCATCACCGAGGGGCATTGTCTATCCCCGCCAGCGCTACGAGAGAGGGGAGGAAAGAGAAGAAGACGCGGACAGCATGCAAAAGCACTCTCAGTCAGAAGTCTGGAGTCGAGCCAGATTGGCCGGATCCTGGCCTGGCAGCCGAGCGAGCAGGCCAAGGCATATATTGCACCAAATGCTCTAACGAAGTTTGTCACTTGGCTACGGCTCCTTTGGACTTGACGTACCCGCCATTCTCCGCGATGGCACTTTTTGCGGGAACGCCTCAACCGTCGCCTTTCTCTGCGAGTCCTCTGTTGTGCGCCTTCATCATGCTGCTTCGATACTGCGCGGCGGACAGAGAGGCTTGTGCCTCAACTCCGTGAGACGGCCATTCTCTTCCCGTCGCTTTCAGCCGGTATTCTTCCGCAGCATCATTAATGAAGGCAGCTGAGTGCCGTGAGGCACCCGACCCCTCGTTTCATCCTTACACCGATTGGCACATGTTCGCGCAATCTGGGGTGGGCCTCTGGGCTTTCTGGAGCTCCCATCTGCCACGGCAAGGCGCTGGGCTTTGGCCACCATGGCATCCACTACCAACGCACGACGCCCTCGCCCGGACTTCCAGACAGCTACGCCGAACATCAAGCTTGAAACAGTAGATTCTGGAGCGCTTGAGCGGCGCATTCGCTTAGATTTCCTCTCTTCAGCCTGGCAGATCGGCGCGCTTGCCAGGAACTTACCAAACGATCGTCATGCTCAACAGCACAGAACTACGAGCGTCGAGCCGGCATTCGTTGTCCATAGTGCTGGCGTGGATGCTTTTTATGCATCTCTCATGCATCGCGAACGTGGCGTATCGATGTCTACCAGAGCCTCAACAATGCCTGCACGATGGGCAATCAAACCTTCAGCGCGAGGAACAGGAAGGGATGTCTACAATGGTATAGAGGCGTGTCGCACAAATACAAGCAATCGCCTATGCCGTGATAGGCAGGCCGGACTTTTAGTGGCTCCGCCCAAGCCGCAAGAGAACCGGCAGCAACCTGATGCAGTAGTTGGGGTTCTGCGCCCATGGACCTGCGTGGCAGCCACATTCAACGTGTTAAAGTGCTGGCCGAGGTTCTCATGTTCTGTGAGATGAGGCCATACTATTGGTGTCCGCCAGCAACTCACGTGCCACCAGCCTCTAATCCCTGTCTGGAATAGGAGGAAGAAGGAATGCAACCAATGTACAAGCAGGTGTCGGACTTCGACCAGGGGCCTAGTCTAGCGACCTCCCGCGCTGATCTTCCGATAAATATGCATGCCTCTGCTCGGGACCACGCCAGTCGGTGCCGTCGATAGGGCAAAACGCGCTGGACCCGCTCACCCAGATTGCCTCTGCTGCACTCTTGTATGTCCACCACTCTCTCGGGACGACTTGAGAGCACGACGTTCGCTATCCGTAGAGTGCTGCTCACGCAGACACTTTACAGCCACCATGTATCTAAAGCACTCGCTTCTCACCGTAGGCCTCGCTTCATCCGTAGCGGGAGCCGTGTTCCGTCGTGGTAAAGCCAAATCCCATTGCGCCTCGCGGCTCTGTATCGCTGCGTGCTAACCAAGCCATCAAGCCCCATACTCCAACGTCACCATCACAACGAATTTGCCTGTATATGCTTCGACGCTCGCAGTCACTCTCCCAAGTACTCTGCCGCGGAGCGTTAGCAGCTTCGTTACAGGGATTTCTAGCGAGTATGGAATCCTTCGGCCAACTGATGCGGCCTCGACTGGACCACAGATTTCTTCTGATTTATCAAACGCCACTTCGCCAGACGCTCTTAATACAACACTGGCGCAAGCCCAACATGTACCGCTAGCAACTCCAGAGACCGGCCTGTCCTTTACCAATGGCACAGCAACACAGCAAACCCGCATCTCTAACGCGACATGTACAATCAACATTCCCAGTGCGAGTGCGGACTACTGGTTCGTCCCAACTTACAGCCACGTGGTAGGGATCATGACAACACAAGCATCAAATTTCAGTAATGTCGATTCGTATACACTTGTTCCTTACACCACGACGTTTGATGCATCTAGTGCATTGGCCTCGGATTTTGTGTGTAGTTATAGCACGTCATATTATGCCGCATGGGACTTCACGCTTACGATGTGTGAAGAGTATACTGCAAGACCCAATGCGGCTACTACGTCTGTTGCCTATCGGTCTGCAGCATACTCACCCTTTCCCTCTGGAGGTGTCATTCCTACGTCGGATGCCGGACTGTATGACCTCTACTACCCGGATACCTTTCCCTCGGCCACTGCTACGATCACCTTTGGGCCAAACAGCACAATAGTTCAAACTTCCGCAACACCGTTTGTCTATTTTACAGCTTATGAGGTCGAATCAGGTAACAGAACAGTCACGGTACAACTACCTTCTGCACTGGTCTATCCTTATTGGTTGAAAGGAATAGAAGAGGAACCTTCGGTAACAGGCCCAATACCAGATGGCTTTCTCGAGCAGATTTCGCAGTCTGCTTGTGATGCTGGACAGCTCCAGGCTGTCGTAACTGTCCTTGTCATTGTCGACCTGTACTACCAAAACTGGCCCGGTATGGCCCCAGCTCTCATCCACGCCGAGTCTTCTGTTCTTGGATTCGACGATCTGCCTATTGTTGTAAACAACTGGGGTACTGGCACCTCGAAGCCCCCTCTTACAGTAGCCGACTGGAATCTCCCGGGCATTGACAGCGAACCGACGCCTACCACCTTCAAGCCAAACAATCGACCTGACTCGGTTCCTAAAACCCAGGTACGTGGCGATAATAACAACAATGCTGTGAACCCTCCTGAGTTCACTCGGGTTACCGTTGGTTCTGTGGGCACAAAAGCTGTCGTGGTTGGTCCGTCTTCGGAGGTTATGGTGGGCTCGCAAACTTTGCGAGCTGGAGGGCCTCCTGTCACTATAGGAGATGGGACTATTGTTTCGCTTGCTCCATCGGCTACAGCTATCGTCGTGGGTAGCAGGACGTCTATGCTACCACAGGTTGCTCAGTCACGCCCTCCACCAGTGCTGACAATTGGCTCGACGACACTTACACCCAATGCTGCTACTCAGTTCTTTGTCGGCCCAGGGCAAACACTCTCTCCTGGAGGCGTTGCCACTATTGATGGCACCGTTGTCAGTCTAGCCCCCTCAGCTTCCATCGTAGTTATAGGAGACTCCACCCAGGCTCTGCCAGGATCATTGCCAGCTCCAGGCAGCCCGCCGCAATTTATGCTTGGCAGCTCGACAGTAACGGCGCAAGCAACTCAGGACGGGTCGGATAGTCTCAATCATCAGAACCATCATAGGCCTAACCCGACATTCGTCGTGTCAGGGCAAACGCTCGCCCCTGGTGCCCCCGCCATTACCGTTTCGGGCACTACGCTGTCGCTAGCATCTTCAGGAAGTGTTCTGGTGGTTAACGGGGCGTCCTCGACGATACAGTCTCCAGCCATTCCCAACATAACACCGCCCGCCCTCACTGTTGGGAACAATGTGTTCCCTGCTCTTGATAATCCACGAGACACATTCGTTATCGCTGGTCAGACTCTGGTGCCTGGTGGTTCGGCAATTACTGTATTTGGTACTACGCTTTCATTGGCATCTTCAGCATCTTTTCTTGTGGTGGATGGTGCTACCTCCGTCATTCCGAATCCGATTGCACCGACTATCAATCTTGGCAACGATGTTTTCGTGCCCCTTCCGCCCACGTCTGGGCCGTCGTTTGTTGTTGGTGATCAATCCCTCATTCCAGGTGGCCCAGCTATCACCGTCTCGGGAACTACGTTGTCGCTTGCGCCTTCTGCCTCGTTTGTCGTCATTGATGGAGTTACTTCCTCATTCGCTACTCCTGGTCCGCAGGTCGGCAGCTCTCCTTCGATCACTTTTGGAAATGATGTCATTAGTGCTCTTCCAGAACCATTGGGGCCTACGTTTGTGGTAGATGGTCAGACACTCATTCCTGGTGGTCCACAAATTACTGTCTCTGGCACCACATTGTCGCTTGCACCGTCAGCATCCCTAGTCGTGGTCAACGGCGTTACGTCCACCTTGACTACCCCAGCTCCTCCACTTATCACGGCGCCTCCCTTGACTATCGGACATGCGACGTTCAAACCGCTTCCAGGGACGGGTACAGCATATCTCGTCGGATCGATGTTGCTCACGGCAGGTGGCTCTATCGTTGTTTCGGGTACTACGGTTTCCCTTGCGCCCGGAGCTACAGCTCTGGTCGTCAACGGGAAGACCAGCTCCATCTCACCTCAAGCCCAACCCATCATCACCAACCCGCCGTTACTCACCATCGGTGTGCAGACGTACACCGCAGAATCTGGGAGTGGAACGACATTCGTTATCGGAGGGCAGACATTGACGCCAGGTGGCACGATTACCGTCGATGGAACTACGATTAGTCTCGCGTCAGGAGCGACAGAGTTGATTTACGGAAGCTCAGGCCGCACCACAAAAAGCGCCCTGTTCCCTGCTACAACCACTCGGCTTCAAAGCGTCACAAGTAGTGCAGACGCAAGTGCAGGGGCTAGTAGGCCCGACGGACAGGCGACAACGACAAGTCGAAAAGAGGGTACAGCTTCGCACTCGACCTACCGGAGGTTGATGCTGTTTGCATCTGTTATAATTTCCTGTTTATGCTTTGCTTGAGATAGCATAGCAAGTTATTTGGTCCTTGGCATGGGCTCGCGATCTAATAATGAGTATAAAGAGCATTGAAAGGGCGTTCCTGGGATGTTACCAGTAAGGGATACCACGTGTACAACAAACTAAATATCGGTGTTGGATCCATCCGCGGCGCCGGGCCAAGGGACACACCGCAGCGATGCAATTATTGATGAATATTTTCCAGCGAGGGGATCAAAAGTACGATAGAGTGCATCAACTTAGAACTAGTGCACATCCTTGATTGCCGATACCCATAGGTCAGGATAGTTGGTAGACGATGAGAACTATTGAGCATATTTTGAGGATCCAGGAGGTACTTAAAGCTCGAGGGAATCCCGCATGTTGCTGGAGTACGGCACCACAGCGGGGGCGACATTCCTACGTGCACGCCACAATACAACGACGTGCATCGGCACAACGCCTTCCCTACCAACCGTAAAAACAATATACAGTGAGAACGAGCGTTTGGTAATGCAAGCGCCTCATTCCTGATCCTTCACCAAGTGGGTGGGTAGTTCACAGCACCTCGAGGCACGGGCTGCGGCATTTTGGCTGTTCATGCGAAAAGATTGTATAACCGGTGGTTCTTTTCATTTTGAGAACCATGGGAAGAAAGCGTCACGACTCAAACGGAAAGCGTTGTTCTTTGATGAGCGCCTCGGAAGTGTCGAAACATCACCATTGTCTTGGCAGGCACAGGCGCGCAATCTCCCCCACTAAAGGATTTCGTTTCATGTCGTCTCGCGAGCAAACACACGCTTCGCGGAATAATTGGCCCCACCACCGAGGCTGCTTCCCCTTCGCACTGCAGGTTCTAGAAGATTAGATCATAAAAAAACGAGAGTCATTGTAGACTGGTGGCACGAATAATGAAGAGTAGGGAGATTTCCTAGTGCAGCCTTGCTGTCTGGGAGGAACTAGCAACACACAACAATTGGTTTTCGAGAGAACGTTATGGCATAAACAAACCTTTAACTGTAAACATTTCGATGCAGTATGCAGCAAGTGGCATGAACCGAGCAACATGTTGGCGCTTCATCGCATGACGTTTCGTTAAACGCCGCGGTACGATGGCAGACTTCAACCGCTCAAGCTTTCCCGACATGGTTTCACGTTTCCCATGAGGCTCTCGCGTCATTCGACGCTCAAGATGTCGTGCAGGCCATTTCCAGGCACATGCATGGAGGCGGCGCCTTCAAATCTCTCCCCGACAAGAACTCACCACATATTATGGGGCGTGGGAGCGGACAAAGCCTCGATTCAACGTTCTGCGGCAGCTAGACGAAGCCACGCATCCGCTTCTGGTGCTAGTGCAGCGCGGAATAGATTGACAGGTGCTTGGCATCAATCCACAGACCCGGGTTTCATGTCGTTGGCGCTGTCAGGATTCTGTCAGTGAAGACACTAATCTTGTCATGGCGCGAACGTGCCGTGTAGGCGGAAGGAGTATAAGAGATACAGAGGCCATCGCCGTTGGAAGGGCATCAAGCTTGACGCTGACACTCATTTTCACACGCTCTTTAGCATTACACTCACTTTCGATCCATTCGTCTATCATTCATTCGTTCTCATTCTATCTTTGAAGATACGCTCAACTTTTTCAATCCAACCAACCAACCAACCAACACAACAACCGCAAACATGTTCACCAAGACTGCTATCCTCCTGGCTGCTGCCAACCTCGCTGCTGCGCACACCACCTTCCAGAGCTTCGTCATTGACGGCAAGGACCAGGGCCAGCACTTCGCTGTCCAGACTCCTTCCAACGGCAACAACCCCATCCTCGATGTCACCTCCACTGCCATGATCTGCAACGGTGGCAAGGCTACCGCTGACCAGGTTGAGGTTGCTGCTGGCTCCAAGATCGGCATGCAATGGCACCACAACGACCCCTCTTCTGGTGAGGGTGACGGTGACGAGCCCATCGCTGCCTCCCACAAGGGACCCGTCATGGTCTACGTTGCTAAGGCCGACACCAACGGTGAGGGTGCTGTCTGGACAAAGATCTACGAGGACGGTCTTACCAACGGCAAGTGGGGCGTTGACAACTTCATTGCCAACAAGGGTCTCGTCGAGATCACTCTCCCCGACCTTGAGGCTGGTGACTACCTCATCCGCCCCGAGATGATCGGTCTCCATGAGGCCAGCGCTGAGGCCAAGGCTCAGTTCTACAACGGCTGCGGTCAGATCAAGGTCACTGGCAGCGGCTCTGCTTCCCTCCCTGCCACCGGTGTCGACATGACCAAGGCTTACAAGGCCACCGACCCCGGTGTCTTGTTCAACATCTACGGTGGTGCCACCGACTACACCGTCCCTGGTCCCAAGGTCTGGGACGGTGCCTCCACCGGCGGCAGCGCCCCTTCCACCCCCTCCGAGCCCGCTGCCTCTGCGGCCCCCTCATCGGCGGCTCCTTCCCCAGCCTCCAGCGCCGCTCCTTCTGCCACTCCCTCTCCCGTTGAGGAGGCCGAGCCCTCGACTCCTTCCGCCACCAAGCCCGCTGCCACTCCTGCCGCTCCTTCGTCCGGCAACGAGTCTGGCTCTGCTCTCCCCGAGACCTTCACCATCGAGCAGTTCATCCAGTGGCTCAAGACCACCACTGGCAGCTCTGCCTCCAAGGCTCGCCGCCACGCCCGCGCCTTCCACTTCTAAGCGCCTTCTTTGACGGTCGCAAGACGATCTCTCTTGCATGAACTGGTGTTCATGGTTGGACCCTTTTTGAGACATATCTTCTTTGATGGGAAACCCCCCCCATATCTTTCTTCTTAGTAGACCGCGAGATCGGCTATCACTTCTTTTGATGTAAATATAGCATTCACGACGAATGGATTCCGAAAAGTCACTGTAACTTCCCTGCTTGTTTGACATGTGCTACTTGTGACTCAGTGATGCGACTGGAGACTATTCATGAAGTCATTGGCATGGTGAGCTCTATACTGCTTGTCTTTTGCCCCTCATTCCAGAACTTACGAGGTTCTTCTAGATTCTTGCACGACAGGTACTGAGCGAAGTGCGAGAGGGTCCTAGGCGGCATCGCTAGAATTTACAGCCCTGCGTTTGCTAGGTCACAGGGTTGCTCTAATGACATCTAGGCCAACTAGACCCAAGCAAACATGTACATAGCTATTTTGCTTCCTCAAGTTAGACGCACATGGCTCTAGGAATGTAAATACTATCTACATTTTCGTAAAGATGGCATTTGGGGATGCATGCCCACGCGCGCAGATGTGGGTGCCCCACTAAAATCAATAGCGCAATTCCGTCTAATTTCGCGCCTTCACATCCATCTCAAACAATCCTCCAACAACAGTCAACACACCATCTCAACTCGACCTATTCTCCGACCACGAACAAGCTTTTGCAAGCTATCTTGGCAGGAGCAGAGCTAAGCATACCTAAGTTACGAATATCGGCCATCACCTATCACGAACTTCCTATATTGTACTAGCAGCACCACACCAACCCTTGCCAAGTGCACGCCAACTGATAAGCAACAACAAGCTTCTGATGCAGTTAATATATCCTGCATATATACGCTACATGTTCCTTCCGTTGTTGCACTGGGTCCTCCCGCACTAGTAATTGCGAAATTCGATGTGGATGAAAACCAAGGTTCGGTGCGAGATGAGTTTACACCGTAGAGCAGAAGAGAGCTCGAAAACCTCGAGGTCGCGATTTCTACTATACAACGAGGACTTGCAACGTTCTCAAAGGTCTTGTGATTTGGTTGCACAACATACCTACTTCTCCACCACACCTTTTCCATTCGCAGCCGTGGTTTCAAGAGCGCGTTCGGATGGCTTCCCAGAAAGGCAGGAGGACCTGTCGATGCAAGCACTACGACCGCATGGTCGGGAACTGTCTTGTACAGTTGTTGAACATCTAGGTGACTTGATAGGTGGACTTTGACGCATACACCAGAAGGCTCCTTCTCAGAGGTCTTCTGATACCGACTAATCCAATACACATGCAGAATGTCCTTCCATACCCTTGTACTCTCCGGAAATACACCGACCTTGAGATGCAAGAGCGCTTGAACAGACGACTAGAGCTGCCAATTAGTGATCTCTATCTCGGCATTTGACCTGATTGATCTCGTGGCCGCGTTCCAATCCACCAAGAAGGGCGCGTCCTGCTGGATAGCTATGCGCCTGACCAATGAATATCAGGAAGGTATCATCGGGTATCGAGTCTGGACTATCGCGCCATCGTGTACCGAAGCCGTGCGAAGGTATACAACAAGGGGATTTGAATTCGAGTCTGAGCAGTATATAAGGGGCGTCAGATGCCGCTATTAGAATCAGCAACGCAGCAAGTTCCCTCAGTCCATCGCTTCCTCCTAAATATCCTTACTCTCTTCGACTCTCGTTCCCGAGCCTCAAGTTCGTTCATTTTTCAACATGAAGCTTTCCATCGCTGTCATCGCCGCCATCACGGGCGCCGTCCTGGCCCGTCCCTCATCCCTCGCTGAGCGTGTGAAGTCTCGCGCTGAGGGCACCCGCCGCCACAGGACCCAGCCCATGATCTTGGTGGGTACTGCCGCTAAAGAGAACTCCAAATTTGTCGCCGATGTAGACAACACCACCGCCCACGTCGACTATTCGTCCAACTGGTCGGGCGCCGTTCTCGAGCAGCCCTCCTCCGGCTACTTCAAGTCCGCCACCGGACGCTTCACCGTTCCCACGCCTAAGCACGTTGGTTCTGGTGGAACCGAGTCCGCATCAGCCTGGGTCGGTATCGATGGCGATTCATGTGCCAGCGGTCTTCTCCAGGCGGGTATCGACTTCACCGTCAGCAGCTCCGGTGCTGTATCTTACGATGCTTGGTACGAGTGGTACCCCGATTACGCCTACGACTTCAGCAACTTCGCCGTTAAGGCAGGTAACGTGATCCAAGTCGACATCACCGCTACTTCTACTACCAAGGGTACGGTCAAGCTCACCAATGTGAGCACAGGAAAGAGTGTCAGCCAGACACTTAGCGCACCCAGTGGCTCCGTTCTGTGCCGTCAGAATGCAGAGTGGATTGTTGAGGACTTTGAGTCTGGAGGCAGCTTGGTTGCGTTGAGCAACTTTGGTACTGTTGTTTTCACACAGGCTAGTGCCGCTCTCAGCACTGGTGGAACGGAGGGTTTGAGCAGTGCTACCATCATCGATCTCAAGCAGGGTAGCACCGTTTACACTGATGTTACTATCAACAGTGGATCTCAGCTCACTGTGCAGTACATTTAAGTGATGGATGATGGATGAGAGGATGAGGTGTTCTGAGGTAGGGATGAGGTTGGGGTCACGTGTGCACTATGCATCAGGAAGAAGGATTGGGTTCCAGGCAATGTCCGATAGTCACATGAATGTATCCATTCTAATTCTGTTTCTGTCGTGTTCCTTCACTTCGTTCAATTTGCGTCATTGTGATCGGCTGTTGCGCCGTGTTGTTCCGGCGTTGCACTCTGAACATTGAAATGGGAAACTGAAAGAGAAAGTGTTTAGAAGCCAGATGTTGATCGCAAAGCAGGGGCAGGTACACCTGAAAGGCTTCTCCCTGTGTTCGAAGTCTCTATGCGTGAAACAGGCGCAGGCTGACCATCTTTAGTGCCTGTTGGTGAGTATATAGTCCTAGGCGTGCAAAAGCCAAATCTAATACCTACGACGATAGAACACTCAAGAATAGTTCTCTGTCCTATCCGCTGGATATGAGGACGCTATTTACAGCTTATCTACTGAGCTCACTATCTGCGAACAGTAAACGATTTTCTTCTGACCTGATGTTTCTAAGAGTCGGAGGCTTTGACGCCGACTGCTGGAGGTAACCCGGCGGCTATCTGTAGCTATCCTCACTACCCACCCCTGCACAAACGCTGATGAGAGTACCTAGACAGCTGAGAGCTATCGATTGAGCCATAAATCAGCCATCTTGGATAGTTATTGGGTGAGTTATAACGTTTTGAAACCTGTAATCTCGTGTCACCAATGTGCGAACGGCTTTGCCCTGTTGCCTTGTTGCCTGTTACTAGTCCTCCATACATTTACACTAGTACTAGCGTTCGTGACAAATGTCACCAGCCATCTGCACTTCTCAGTCATTGATAGTGTTGTTTTGATAAAAAGCATCAAGAGTGTCTCACTTCGCAAGTGTCCCGCCATACAGATAGGGGCGTTAAAGATAGCTAGTCTACAGCTGCCCGGGAGTTAATTGGTCGCTCCCATTTGGACCTCAAGAGAGACTAATTAAGATCACAGCCAACCAGAAGTTGACTCATGAACGGACTGTACTCAAAGTGGCAGAATATCATGATCATTGCGCGATCCAATTTTGTCCCTTTGCCTGTCAATAGTCCTCCGTATGCACGATGCCTCGACTGTCAGCCAGTGGATGCTCCACGGTGTCGTATGAGATAGAAGGCTGTACAGGTTTCAACCTCAAGACACAATACTACCTAGGTATATAACTCCTCGTTGCCAACGTTCTTTTCACTATATCGAACTCCTGTTTCCATCACGAACAAAGCTTCTACTTTCTCCGCATATCATTCTGTACTCTCAGTCTATTGCAAACATTCTTTTCTTCGTCAGATAGACCAGCTGTTTCACCATGCAATTAATTTGGACCATGATCCTCGTCGCGGCTGTTTCGACTGCGGCCGTAGTCGTGCCTTGGGCAGATCAGACGTTTCCGTGTGATTGCCCAACATTTGGGCCGAGCGGCACCTGCACACTTACTCGAAATCCCTTTTTGGCTTCTAATGCTCCCAACTCAGCAGTTTGTGGCACTAAAGGCTTTAACTATGTCTGCCAAGGTACCTTTGGAAAACCAAATTGCGTGAGTTCATCTCTCGATCACATCGACAAATTATGATTTTAATCCTTACCAGAACGCATGTGCCCAATCACTGCTCGGAAACATCCCCAAATCAGGCCGCATGCTGCAATGCGATGGAAGCAAGGTACGCACCCTCCATAGTGTCATGATGATGCCCGCTGACCATGTCCACAGTTCTGCTCAAAAGACAATGGCCTATCATTCTACACCTGTGCGGCAAACGAGAAACCCTTCATTCCGGCCTACTCAACATCTGTAGAATTCTCTACCGACAGTACTGCAGCAGTGGTGGCTTCTGGCTCAAACAATTTGAACTGGCTACACACCACCATCTCTCAATGGCTGGATAAGATGTGCTACTCCACTTCTTGCGCGGCCTCTCCCTCGTCTCCACACAGCCAAGATCTTCTCTACAAAGGTGTAGGATTCGGTCTGGCGAAAGGGACACTCACATTGGGCGTCTCTGAGGCACAATTCGACCAGAACTCTCCAGCGGAGCGCGAGACAGCCATCAACCTAGCTTCTCTGGCCATCATTCGTGCCGCAAAATGCGAGACGCAGCATTACAAAGAGAAGTGTACGGCGTATAATAGCGATTGTGATCTGCAAAGCATTGTGATGTGCAAGGCACCAAGCGATATGAACATTCAAATGTGGAGCATTGATGAGCAGGGACATTCGTCGCTCCACACTATGCTGCATGTCCAGTTGAAGTGGGATGACAAGTCTACGCCATTTGATTGCTCCGTGTTGGATACCCCGTTGGGCATGCTCGAAACCCTGACTGAATATGAGCCAGAGATGAAAAAGGCGACGGAGTTCGCAGGTGCAGTTGTCGCGATTTGCAAAGGCATTTCTAGTCTTTTCAATGGCGGCAAGTAAACGGCTGGGATATTGCAGGGCGCTAGGAAAGATTAGTAGCATATTGCTTGAAACTAGTTCAGACGTTTGGCAACTATCAATTTAATGCCACTTACAGTCCTCAACATCATCAGTGATCCCCTCTTTGTAGGGCCGGTTTATGAAATCAATGTGCATTTAATGGTGTTACTTGCTGCGAGTTAACATGTGAGTAGTGGTTGCTCTGATGCTTTAGTTTAGAAATTGAAGCAGGACATACAAAAGTAATATGCTTTAAAACTATGAGTGAACTACTAAAAGGTGTAGATAGACCCGGATGGTGTCTGATGTTGTGTTCGAAGTAGCCTTAGAAAAGTGGCTCCAAGACAATCTTGGAGATTTATGCATGACGTTGTATTATGACAAATTTCAAGAACTTCCACATACGACCATAGGACACTGAAAATTAGTTCACCCTCGCCATCCGTCAAAACTCACGGTGCCGTGTTGAGGTCAATTAACTGAGGTTGGTCTTCGGTTACCCGTTTCAGGAATCGCGACTCCGTCCGCAGCCCCCACCACCATAGCCCCGAATAACCATTAACAGGCATTCACCATTCCTGTATGCGTATAACAGTACTCGCTGCAATAGCAGCGCACTGGTTTAAGGATGAGTTGCCGCCAGGATCAGGCTCACAACCTTCCTGTCCTCACATTGTCTCCGCTGCAGTGCTACTCCCTCTACGGTCCTAACTTCTCCGTGTGCTTATTATGGCGCCCAAGAAGAAAAGTAAAGATCTTGCGCACTTGCACTCTCTTGTTTAGCTCGAGGAAGAGCTAACTCCGCTTACGCAGGAAGACGTGAAAGCTATGTTGATTCCTTCAAGCTACAAGTCACACAAGTACACTATAGATCTCTAGATAGAGTAAGTTAAGGACTAGCATTAGGTGCAAATCTTTTGCTAACAAGCTAGATTCTTCGAAACCTTCTACTCTAACGAACCCGTAAACCCTAAGTTTGGAGAAGCACCCGCTGTATACCGTATTAAGATGCACCTGTTCTGGCTTACTGCAACAAGAACTGGCTAGCTGGACGAGAACATCACAGACACTACTCTTCGAAACCGCCTGTCTTTACTTAAACGAGCTATTAAGTTATACACTTGTTACTAATATAGCTCCGCGTAGAACAAGGAGCTAGAGAACTACATTACGAAAGAGCTCGTACATAAAGAGAAGATTAGAACTAGGGCTTATATTAAGCTAGTGGCTCCTTTGCTCGTCGCTAAGGATTTAATCTAATTTATGTGGGTGTGCGACGAATATTAATTTGCGCATCCACGTGCACGTCTGCAGTTGGCTTTCTCCATCGTCCTCATAACATATTTAGGCAGTCGCCTAGGAGAAATTATTAAATTAGCAGCCTGGAAACACAGTAATGAGGGGCTCCTGTATGGTAACATCACTCTTGTACGTTTCTAAAATGAAGAATACGTAGGGTTTCTTCTTTATGTCAAGTTGCGCAACTGAAAAGGACACCGCAACAACAAAAAGCACTTGTAAGCAAGGATCCTCTAAGCGCAAAAGACTTAACTCTAAGAAAAAAAAACAGACCTGTAATGCTTCTCTACGAAGAACCTACGCGAGCTCTATGTCTAGTTACACATTTTTTGGCGTTAGCACTGGCAGACAGAGTGTTCGCGGACTGTCAGTCTTTCTAAGACGTTGCAGCACAGCAACTGCTACTAGGTAGTAAGCTGTACAAATATCGCTACAAGCCGGAGGCGAAGAAAAGACCTATCCTTCGAGGTATCTGCCACAACGGCATAGTCTCCGAAAACGATATCCTCACATACAATTGCTTTAACAACATGATTAAGGGTCTTGGACAACAGGCTAGGTACGAAGACAGGCTAAGTGCATATTGCTTCCGCAGGGCTTATGCTGTAGTAGTAGAGAGTATGTATCACACGATAATATGATGCTTGCTTTTAACTAACCATCTAAAAGAGACGGCAACTCCAGCTTAGAGGAGGTTACTTATAGGTCATTCCAACGATAATACGGTCTTGTATTACATTTCTGGCATCGTGGGAGTTGATAGCTAGTCTATAATCTATAGGCGAGAGCAAAAGACTAAACTTATTGACGAAAACACTTCTATAATGTTGAAAAGGAATCTTCTTGCACTAGTGCCTCCTGGATCTTAACTTACCGACCGTGTTATACTAAAAGCTAAGGAGATTAGTAAGACTGTTAAGGAAGTAAGTTTATTAGAACGAACTTTAAGCTAAGAGTATGCTATACGACGGCAATTCCAAAAAGTCGCGTACTGTAAGCAACGGGAGGCTTTTTTTAGGGGGGAGAGTACTAGTTCTTCTGATGCTGCAACATTATCGACTTCTAGACAAACTACAACAAAGCCTTTGCGTACTCTATTGCGATATCTGCAAGCTCTATTAAAGTTTGAGCCTAAACAGAAAGCTATGTCGAGACTGCTTTACCCTAGCTGCGCTACAGCAGCTAATATCGCGGCTAAAGGAACTAAGATTTCGCTCGATGTCATACTCGAGCTAATGGTAAAAATCTCTCGTCTAGAGAAGAAACGGTACGCCTATGCTTCTGCTTCACCCACTAAGGAGAACCGTTGTAGTGTGTGTAGACATTAGTTTCATAAGAACAACAAGAGGTACGTACTCTGCATTATGTTGTGTGCTTTACTAACGATGGTAGATCAAGGCCGGATCGAATGAATGAGCACTTACTTTATTGTGCCCGCAAACAACACATACAACATGCACGAGAACACATGGACCGTTAATTCGCCTACATTCACCGTTGTGCTTAGTACGACTGCAATTTTAGCTTCCGTGGAAAATCTTACAGGGCCAACTCTTCTCATGTGACGACGCATATCTACGATATACGCAGTTACTAGTGTCTATAGAATGCGTGCCTCTAGATTTTCTAGAGTTACGAGAAGCTTGCTTATTACGTCTCTAAAGAGCATCGAGTCCCTAACGATTAGACTATGCTGACAAAGATGCACTACTGTTACGAGCACGACGAATAGTGCCGTTTAGACGAGCTGTAGTCACAGCATCTTGAACTATACTACCTCTCGGAACTCAACAACTTCTGCGGCATTATCTAGCTTAATAGTGTAATTATAGTTGCTGGGCATTGCCTCTTATGCTTAGGCGATACGAATGCGCCGTTGCCTGATCGCTTTCTGCAATTTAACAGCGCTTTTAATCTGCATACCTATATAAGAAAGCATCTAGCTTAACTAGATGTTCCTCTAGCTGTTTATCCGCACCCGCACTGCTAAAGCACACTTAGCTCTAAGAAAACGTTCTGGAGCTACGCAGAAACCGTCCATGGCATGCCGCCTTTTAGCCCTCGCCGAATAACAGGAAAGCGCAAAACACCAGACGAGCTTGAGGATTCTAAAGATAACACGAACCACACAGCTGATAGCATGCCAGACCTGCCCAGCAATGACATTGATACATTATGCGGAGTTGCGGCGGGCTATAATTTAGCGGCAGTTTCGGGTAAGGCAGTGTAGACCTCGTATGACTTGCGGCGCTTAAAGTTGGCGGTATCGACGGTGATGATGGCAGGATCAAGACGCAGGCGCTTTGGTAACGAGGCGCCTTGGTGACAGGATTAGGAACGCAGAAAGTAGCCAAGCCTAGAGATACATAAATGACATTGTAGAATTTTTATTTGAACATACAAGCACTTAATACCCAAAAACATGCTCACTACTAAGCTAGCGGCCACCGAAGCTGGCCACCCACTGAAGCTGGCCACCCGTCCAGAACTTGGCCACCCACTCCACGCTCGTGATTTCTCCATAACCACGCAACCAAAATGGATCCCCGTGAAGCAGCAATTCAAGCAGCTATTAGCGACGTTGTTTCTAGTGTTTTTACTAGTCAACGAGCTGCTGCAAAGGCGTACAAGATCCCTCGAAGCACGCTTGCGGCCCGACTACGTGGTACACAGACACGTCAATCTAGCCACGAATACCAGCAGCGATTAACTCCACAACAAGAGGAATTTCTTGTACAATAGATCCTTGAAGAGGACGCACGCGCGTTTCCTCTATCCCACGCGCGCGCGCGAGAAATGGCGAATCGAATCCTGAGGATGAATAGTGACAACAATCCTGTAGGCAAGCGTTAGATATCCTTCTTTCTTAAGCGTAACCTACGCGTTGCATCTATTGTTGGTAGAAAGATAGAGGGCTCGCGGGCTAAGGGCGCAACGCAGGAACAGATACGCGCGTTTCTTGAGCTCTTTAAGAGGACTCGCGTACGACTAGGTATACGCACTAAGGATATGTAGAATATGGACGAGACTGGCAAGGCTATAGGGGTATGTGCAAACACTAGAGTCCTCGCAGATAGCTGTAAGAGTAAGGCTTACAAGCAGTCGCTAGAGAATCGCGAGTAGGCATTAATAATCGAATGCGTGTTAGCTACAGGCAAGAAACTGCGCTGCGGGGTGATATTTAAGGGCAAGAACCTACAGAGTACTTGGTTTCCTGCGATAATACCCGACTAGCTTTACACAACCTCTAAGAACGGCTGGACATTAAATGCGATAGGCCTCGAATGGCTGCAACGGATATTTCTGCCTGAGACGGCTCTATTAGACGATCGTTAGAGGATGCTAATTCTGGACGGCCACGGCAGCCACATTGATCTGGAATTCCTGTGGACCTGCAAGCAGAATAAAGTTCAGCTTCTGTTTCTACCTGCTTACTCATCTTATGTATTGCAGCTACTAGATCTCTCAGTTTTCTTAGTAGTGAAGAGATTCTACTAAAACTAGATCTAGGAACTATTGCATCTAGATAACGCAGCGCCTGTTAAAAAAGAACGCTTTATTACAGCCTACTATAACGCTAGAGAGGCTGCGATTACTAAGAGAGTAGTACGAGCTAGATAGGCTACTGCAGGCATCTGTCCATTAAACATTGAGCGGGTAGTTAACTCCTTACAGGTAGCTCAAAGGCCTGTTACGCCACTACGTTAGAATCAAGCTCAACCTGCTAAGAGCTATCTATCTACCCCCCGTGGACCTCGTAATCTTTTTATAGCTTAGCGAGAGCTGCACAGGAACGAGAGCGTTAGCCGCAAGACTTACCAGCTTATTTAAAAAGCAGGCAAAGTGTCACGGTAACCACCGTGGTTCCCTTGACACTGAACGCGCTACAGAATCCGAGTGCTCCGCCAAGCACCAGGATTCTGCTGATTGGCCGGCCGGGCCTAGCGCCATGCGCACGGCCCCCATCGATAACTTCTTACCGCCTGTACATGCTGATTCTGTTTCCTTACGCAACGTCTTGTATTACACCAGATATCGTACGTAGCCACAATTAACGCTTCTAGTAAGCTCTTAAACACGTGCTCGTAGCATCTCGTGACACAAAGCTATTGCAGTAGCAAATACTCGCGCAGCACAGCTAGAAGCAGAGAACAAAAGACTATATAGTTAACTTAAGGCTCTTAAGCCTCAGCAGCCACGAAAGAAAGTTTATGTAAATTTAAATTAACGCTTTGCAGATATAGAAACAATTATAGTAGCAGTGCAGGCGTCTGCTCTTTTAGAGTTACAAAACAATAGTAACGCTGCAGAAAAAGCAGCAGAGAGAGCAGCAGCTGAATTAGCAGCTCAAACTCTTCAGTCTATGTGTATAGAGTGGCAATTGTAACTAGGTTGAATTAATTACGTTGATTTTTGATAGGTGGCCGAGTTCTAGGCGGGTGGCCAGCTTCAGTGGGTGGCCAGCTTCGGTGACCGCTAGCTTACTGCACAAGCATGACTACGCTGAATGAGAGGCCCGCGCGTCACCGCGCCAAGCTCAGAAGGCGCACAGCCGCAAGAACTTCCCGGAGCCTATCGCCCACCGTCAACACGATCTGTACACGCATTATTTCCTTCTCTTTCTGCTTCCAGCTTATAAATTTTTGAAGATCTTAAGATATCTTTTGATAATATTAAGTACATGTGATAAAATGCGCAGATGAACACAGTCAACAGTCGATAACAGTCAACGTGAAGGTGGGGGCATAGTATGTTGAGTGTTCCAGACGTGCCATACAGTACTAAGTCAAAAGTCTGTTCGCACCACGCGCTCGGGCCACGATCACCATTTTTTCTCCCAACTTCAAAGCAATGCAACTCCCCCAAACCACGTCCAAATTTTAATTTGAAATAAGCAATTTATAGCTACAAGTCCTAATATTTTGTTTGATACCCATTTGCCCGTGCAACAGCGTTGAGGCGGCGCGGCATACTTAGAATCAGTTTTTCGACTAGCGCGTCAGATATAGCAGCCCACGCCTCTACTGTTCTGTTCCACGTCCATTCCGTGTATCTTCTAGACCTGGGATACATTGGGCACGCATACATACTCTCGCACATGCGTCTGGCATTGACCAATCAACCGCCTTGGACGTCTCCGCCCATTCACTGCATCAACCTCCGGTCAAGCTCGATACCGGTGTGGTGTCACGACATGTCAGCCACATCATCGTGCCGCCGCAGTCAGCAATGGACCTGGCATAAATGCGCCCAATAAGAATAAGGATTTTAATTTGCGAGTTTTGCTTTCTACATGTCAGCCTTGTACCACACGACGATGGCTCAAGTTGTCAAAGCGCTCTGGGGCAAGCTCCGACAGCCATGACAGTGACGAGCATCACCATCCGCAACGTCGAATCGGTAATGCTCCATCTAACTGCCATTGAGCCTTGACTTCATTTCACTATTTTTCATGATGTAAGTGACGTCACGAGCTGTCACTGCAGTGTTCGTAACAGTGGACCCGAAATCTCCAACATCCCATATATCAACCATTGTAATGCCCCTACACAGCCTCAATAGTTCGAATTCCTTCATCGCATTTTGCCAACCATTCCAACATGCATGCCATCGCAGTCACTGAATACGGTCCACCCACCAATCTCAAAGCAATCCAAGCCCCCAAACCCTCGGATCCACAGGGCCATGACATACTTGTCCACGTAAAAGCGTGCTCTATAAATCCGGTTGACACTAAAGTGCGTGCTGGAACGTACGACGATTACCCAGACTACTATGAGCGTACTCCCAGCCTGCCCCAGATCCTCGGCTTCGACGGTGCTGGGGTGATTGAGAGCGTGGGGCCCGACGTAACAGACTTCAAAGACGGCGATGAAGTCTACTATTCCGGCTCACCCATCCGCCAGGGAAGTAACGCAGAGTTTCAGCTGGTAGACTCACGAGCGGTTGCACTGAGACCAAAGAGCTTGGACTGGGGCCAGGCTGCTGCTATGCCCCTAACGTGGATCACAGCTTACGAAGCCCTGGTTGAGCGGCTCGAGATTCAGCGAGGCGAGAATGCCGGCATCCTCATCATCAACGGAGCTGGTGGTGTTGGCAGCGTCACCAGCCAGATTGCACGCCATGTCCTCAATCTACCCGTCGTAGTGACTACAGCATCAAGAGACGAAACAGTCAAGTTTTCAAAAGACGTTGGAGCTGCTACACACACCATCAATCATCACGAGGATATTCCGACCGAGATTGAAAAGCTGAAACTGGATGTGCCCATCAAGTACGTGTTCATCACACACACTCCAACATCGGGCTACCTGGCGCCCGCAGCCAAGATTTGCGCTCCATTTGGAAAAGTCTGCTCCATTGTCCAGGACAAGGAAATGCCCATGTATGCAACAGAATTTATGGCAAAGAGCCTGAAGTTTGTTTGGGCTCTGATAGGCACAAAGCCGTATTACGGTGTTAATGTCGAGAGCCATGGCAAGATATTGAAAGACTTAGCGAAGATGCTAGACGACGGAACAGTAAAGTGTCATTGTACGCAGAAGCTCAAACTCGACGAAGAGGGCGTAAGAAAAGCCCATGAGATCATCGAGGGTGGGAAGGCTGTGGGGAAAGTAGCACTAGAGTTTTGAAAGTCCATAGACTCGCAGTTCATACATTAAATGCAAACATGATAACTATTCTACACAATGAAGAATTGTACACCAGCCCAACCCACAGCACTCACACTCCGTTCCCCTTCCACAACCCTACAAGCCCCTCCTCACTATCCCCCAGCACCGGATCCCTCTCAGGAATACGCACCCCCCAAACCTCCTCCCTGTCATCCTCCCCACCAACCTTAAAATCCCACACCTTCCCCACCGGATACGCCCCCATCATCATAAACTCCCCCTGCATCCTGACACCCTCAAAAAACCGCCTCCTCTCCCTCTCCACCTCCTTACCCCCTTCGGCCGCCCTCCCCTCCGCAATATCCCTCGGCTGATAAAACGCCAACTCCCCCGACCGCGGCACAGGCAAAAACGTCTTATGCGCCACACCCGCCGGCACAACAAAAACATCGCCTATCCGCGCCTGAATCTCTATCCCGCCCTTTTCCCCTGTGGCGCCCCTCTCGCCCGCTGCGTACTTGCATGGCGCCCAGTCCGGCGCGTCGGCAACGCCGAACCGGATTGTGGCTGCTTCGCCTGAAATCACGGCCATGGCTTCGTGCGTGCCCGAGTGGTAGTGGGATTGGATGTCTGGGCCGTATTTGGCGATCCATTGGGCTTGTCACCCGTTCTCAGCGTATAGGTCGAGAAGTTGGGTTGGTGTGAAGGTTGGGGATGTGATTGTTTCTTTGAGGAGGCCTGGGTAGTGGAGGAGGGATAGGGGAGTTGGGGATGAGAGGTGTGGGAGGGAGGGTGTAGGTGTGTACTTTTATGGGCATGGTGGTTTTGGGGAGGATGGGATTTTCTTTCTAGGGAGAGGGAAGGTTTATTAAGGGCTGTAGTGGTGTTAGTGGTTTGGTTTGATGTGTTGAAATGGATGTGATTACCCGTTTAGGAGAGGCGCGTGGGGCGGGGGTTGACGTCAGGAATTTTGGACTTTTGGGGTTACCATTCGGGAAAGGTAACACGGACGTTTTCCCTATCGTGTTTGGAGGAATGTGTGTGTCTGAACAGAATAATTTTTTTTTTCTGGGATCAAGAATTGTGGGTGAGCATGATGCCCGTGTTCTGATCACTCTTTTTCTTCAAAGGTAGAACAGATGATGTTGCTGTGTAGAGTCACGGCAAAGTAGTGATTGCATCTCTTAGGTTTAGGAAATTCAAAGGTGTATAATACACTTTAAGGTCATCGGATTGACGTCTGTTGGTTTCAAGTACAGTAATGTTATCTTCACGAGTCTGCTGTGAAGCCGCCCCCAAAACATTGAGCAAAACATCCTTTTTGATTTCTGTACATAGAAAGAAATATATAATATACAACGACTCGTACTACGAGTAATGATCTCTTCTACTCTCAGAACGGGCCCGCTGGTCCATTGCCCCACAAGCTGTCATAATTACTCTGCGCCCACAGTACAGTTGGGTTATTGTTAGAACCAAAGGGTCCGTGCTGATTCCGAGCATGCAAGAAGCGCATTGTCGTTGGTGAAATTGGTCCATTTGTATTCATGACGTTCTTGAGCCACTTGATGCCATCGTTGTCGCTTCCGTAGGAGGACTGGCGGTATGCTGGCTCTGCAGCATTCCACCATGCTACACCCTTGGCTTCAATGTCTCTAAGAAACATGTCGATCCAGTAGCAATACAAGTCTCGCAATCCTGCTACGGGTTGGCCGGCGGCACGTTGTGGGATCCCCGGCTGACCGACATTCTCTGCGTTTTGGCCGTTCCAGTTGAAGTTTGCATCAAACTCAGCCAGTGTTTGTTCCATGTGTTGTGACGAAGCGACAAATTTGCCCCAGATGACTGTGTTCCGCATGTAAGAGAAAACGCCAGCAGTGTTGCGGTGCCCGAGTCGAGTTTGAAGATTGTTGAAAGAGTTCCTGGAATCGGGTGTTCCGCCTTCGAAAAACTTTTGCTTGCGCCCATTCATGCCTTTCTGGGCGAGTGCGAGTCCGCCAGGATTATGGTCGCCACCTAGGCCAAATGTCATTTGAAAAAACGCAGTGTCTGCGTCCCAGTTCATATCCCTGGGTGGGACAATGGTACTAGTTGGATTGATACCGCCAATAATCACATTGGAAACCCAGTCTAGAGATGCTGCTGTATACCCTGTGGGATGGGGGCCTTTAATGAGCCATAACATGAAGACCTTCAACATTTGGACCTCGTAGATATGCTCCGCTGCAAGCCAAGTTAGTAACAAGTTTCTTCGAAAACATGGAGGTAGTGTAGGCATAATACTTACTGACAAACTCCTTAGGGTTTACGTCACGGATAGTCATTTTGGTTATCGCTGTCTCGCATTGTTTCTCGCCGCCTCGGAAGCCGAACCACTTATTCACACCACCCGACTTGGCTGCCTGTGAGCAATATTTGTAGGTTCCGCATGGAAGATCATAGCCTTCCCAATCAAGCACCTTGGGCTCGCGCTTCATAAGACTGCGTTCTAGATGATGCTCGCTCCTGAGCTCAAAGGGTATCGGTTTGCGGACCACATCTTCATAGATGGTTTCATTGTCCATTGCGAGCATGGAATCGAGATCGCGCTTTTCGGTCACGTCCGACGAGCAGGGTACTCCTGTGGCGTAAGGATCCAACCAGCATGACTCTGCACGCTTCTGGAGATCGCCGCTGTCGTCTGAACACAGAGGACATGGTGGTATATCACCTACATCAATGGCTCCAGGACAGCTCAGGCCATCTAGACGAGGAATCAAAGGTCCATAGACTTGTGCTCTCTTGCCAAGGGCGTTGAGATGGCTTTCCCCATCGTCGAGTGTCAGGGGGCGCCGACGCTGGGACCGACCCGATGATATCGTGCTCGTATTCTCTTGGAGGTAGTTGCTGTCGAGTCCGCGCTTCAAAGGTATATCGATACAAGCTTTCTGATCTCCAGTAGGATAGAGTTGAACATCATCGATAGGAACTATAGGGAATGGCGAGTTTGGAAGAGCCCAACTGAACTCCGAAGGTGCTTCGATCGTTGCATAGAGATCCGCGCCAGCGTCGACACCGTAACAGAATGAGGACTCGCTGTTGAGCTTCAATTCGGCGTGGAAAGTAACGTGACCGTCGGCAACAAGATTGACAGCACAAGTGTCAATTGGAATGAAGTCTTGGTTGAAGTCGATACCAAAGGTGATTGTTGGCTTGACGTGAGCAGTGAGATGGCCTTCCAGTGTTAAGCCGTAATCAAATTCAGGCTCCAGCACATTTTGTGTACCCTTCTTGTCTGGGCTTTTGGATGCTTCCGGATCCCAGTCGTTGTTGGCCACGGGGTACGTTTGGCGAATGTCCCACTCTGCCAGCTTGACTTTGCTCTCAAAATTGACGCCTAGAGTTGCTTCGCCCTCTAGTCTTCCAAAGAGTTTGAAGTTGGGTCCGATAGTGACGATACCAGGCACGGCAAAAGCAGCCCCAAACTTGTCGGCGGAAAACATCATAATGTCGCCCGTATCGAACATGGCCGTGACTACAGCATCGACGACGAACTTTGCATCCACTTCGCCCTTGGTGCGGAAGTACAAAAACGAGTCGCTGAGATCGATGACACTTCCGGGATTTCCCAACGTGGCAACGAGGGTAAATCCGTAGTTGACGTCGACATCAATGTGACACTCGGCTTTAACTTCCAACTTGGCCGCTACATTGGGGCAATCCAGACGCTGATCGATAATCTTGAGGATGAAATCGTCCGAATAGGTGTGACTAATGTCGAGTCCGCCAGAGACACCGTTGATGATTCCCTTGAGCCAGGCCACGACGTCACTGCCAAACCATCGCTTGTGGAGTTCTTCAGGAGAGTGGGCTCCAAAGTGTGCGTCTTCTCGCCACTCTTCCTCCAGCCAGCGTTTGTGACTACCGCCGACGTCCTCCAGGGTGCGTTTTCGGTGTTTACTGCTAGAGGCTGACTTATTTACGACATTGTTCCAGTACTCCGGCTCGTTGCTGAAGTCGATTCTCATTTGAGTGTTACCCAGGTCTCGAGGTACTCGCTTGAACTGATAGTCGAATGTTAAGTCGTATATGGGATCAACCACCGCTAAACCTCTCTTCACAAGACGGTGGGGTAAGCTCTGGTTCCTGCTTGGCTCGAGAGTTTTGACCACGGCGTATTTTCCTGGTCCGCATCCGTCTGGCATCTGAATGATGGTGCCGGGAGCGCCATGACCAAGGTGAATCTTGTGACAGTTGGAGTCCTCGCTCTGGTCTGTACACATCATCCGCACCGTGTGTTCGCCCTCCGTAATGGGATCGAAGCAATCAAAAACCTCCCAATGAGATCCGTCACGTTTGTCTAGAGAGACTTGTATCTCGTCTGGACTGGTGAGGATAACAAAGCCGAAGGGTGCATTGTCTGGCTGTTCCGCAAATGGCACAGTGTTGCTTCCACCGTATGTTGGATCCGTCTTGAGGGTGAATTCTGTGTCTGCTTCGGCTTCATCGGGTGGATTCGAGAACAAGTACTCGAGAGGTACTGGCAAGAATGGTGACTCTCCATCTGGAGGGTCGCAGCAATAGCTTCGCTGGCGTTCGGGGTGCCAGAAGCCGCAGTCTTCGCCCTCACCTTCATACAAGGTAGTGATAGCAACTTGCCAACCTGTATCGCAGTGGTTGTCGAAACAGCTGCCTGGCTTGCCGTGCCACGCGCAGTTCTTCCACCCTTCATCCTTGTTACAGCACAACTTGCGTTTCTTGTTCTTGCTGCAGGTGTCGTATGCCCATGTCATTTCATTGTGAGTGTCAGGACAGGAACCACCACAGTCGGTCCAGCCACAATCGGGCATTTTTGCCTCAGCCTTGCAGCAGTAAAACTTGCGGCCGTCGATGCACTTGCCCCCGTCGCCGTACAAGGAGGACATGAGCGCAGCCTCGCCACTGTGGCACTGACCTTCCGCTTGTCAGCGCACCAAATGGAATGGTTGTGTAGTTGTGTACTTACCGTTGCAGGTTGGGTCGCCGCCCCTCCACTCACTGGCAGGTTGGTTAGCTCTCTGAACATGGAGATTGTTTCGAGCGACTCGAGTAATACAACTGAAGGGAAAGTGCGGCACTTTTCTCAACTGAGATCCTCCATAGAGCTGCTGTGGGAAATAATTACTTACCAGTCTTCCGTCTTGGGAGCTGATGCGAGAGGACAGCATAGTGTATTGACCTTGAATGATCCGTCCCAAAAGTCTTCGTCCTCACACTGAGTTTGTGTGATGGCAATTTCACCGATTTTGCAACTGCCAACGCCGCAATCGGTGACTCTGCACTGGCCTGTGCCAGAGTCCTGCCAGTTGTCCGCCACGGTCGCCTCTTCAGCTCTGGCACCGAGCTGTTCGGGATAGATGACTGCTTCGAGCGCGTCAAGTTGTTTCGTGTCCAGATCTATGGCCCAGATGAGAATACCTCCAAGGCCTAAAGCGTTGAAGAACTCGATTTTCTGTTGGAAAGTCTCAAAGTCGTCAAAGGATACCCACTGATCACCACCCCAAGTGACGTATTTGACGCCGTGTTCCTTGTCGTAGTACGGCGTCAACTTGTTCTGTTCAATGATATCCATGATCTCGAAATACGAGAGAGTGCCTGAGTTGGCTGTACAGGGGCCTGGAGAAGCACCTCCTTTGAATGGGCAACCCGGTTGCGAACAGGAAGGATCGGCGAGCTGAAATGATCGACCATAAAAGCCCAGCCCCATGTTGACTTTTTCAGCTTCGACGCCATTGCGCCACAGCAAATCGAGCGCTTTGTTGATCTCTGTGAGATTAGTGTGAGCCAGAATCTGTGCCCCGATAGGATTCTCAGCATCCCAGATTCCATGAAGATCATAAGCCATCACATTGACGAAATCAGCAGCTTCAACACTGGCCTTGATATCGAAGTGTCGAAGATACTAAATGGCGAAGTGACAATGTCAGCGGATCTTTCACGATATTCGAGGAGGAAAGAGACTTACCCAATAACTAGTAGGAGCGGTGAATGAGATCTCCTTATGAGACCCTCCTGACTTATCAAACTCAGAACGCATCTCCTTTATGAGCTTGGTGAGATTCTCGCCATCATCGGGTTTTCCACCACGATCAGGCGCTCCAGGGTACTCCCAGTCCAAGTCTACACCGTCGAAGCCGTAGCGGTCAAGGAACGTTAGGAGTTTCTTGGCAAATTGGCTTCGTTTCTCAGATGTTGAAGCCAAGTCACTAAAAACGGGCTGCCAAATGGTGCCATTGTCGTTGAATGTCCAGCCACCAAGTGCAATGATCACCTTGAGTCCCTGATTCTTCTTTTTGAGACTCGCAAACTCAGTGAAAGTGTCGGTAGATAATGGCTGACCATCGTCCATGGGAACGATATCGTACGTGTCAGGCTTGACATAACCGAAGGAGTAGTAGATGTGAGTCAAGCTGCCCACGGGGATGTCTCCCATTCTCATGCCAATGCACTTCTTTTGGTAATTCCAAGCCTCATAGTAGCCAATAACACGTTTCTGAACATTTCCTCCTGATGCACCGCTACCAGGCTGATCGCAGTTGCTCTGGCAGCTGGTTTCTTTATCGTCGGTCACCTTGCAGAATTCGTCTGACATTCCACAGAAGCCGAATTGACTGCAGCAAACGTTGAGCGGACATTCCTTGTTAGGGGGATCTGAGTCCCGACCGCATTCTGCATGGGCATCGCAGTTGCTCCAACATTTGTCGTTGGGGGATTGACCATTGGTACCGCAGGATTTCGCGCCATATCCGCAGTAGCCAGTTTTAGCGCAGCAAGCCCCATTGCTGCAGGGTTTGTTCTCATTGCAAGCGTACGGATCATCTGCTTGGCGAGCGTAAAGACCGGGTAGTCCTGAATTTGGATTCGGGGTTGTTGATTGAAGTAGGGATCGGGGCGCAACGTGCTCGTCAGGGTTGCAGGTGCCGTCAGTGGATCGGATCTTGGCGACCACATCTTCCTGACGGCTGAATACTGTCGGCAGAGACAGACATATGGGCTGATAGCCAGCGTCAACGGGATTCCGTTTTGAATGTATCGCCTTGTGAGCTGCTGATCCGTGTCTGTCGTGTCCGAAAAATGCAGGGGACGCCGCAACCCTACTATCGAAAAGAGTGTGTAGTAGGAGAAGACATTGAACGAATAACATCTTGATAACACAAAGTATCAGGAGAAGTCTCCCACAACAGTCTAAAAGCCTTTGTTAGCATAGATTTGACCATATGTGATTGGTAAACCTAGGGTTTCTTACTTCGTGGTGTTGGGAAGACACTCCTGGTCTCTCAGATCCGTCTGCACGACCACAAATCTGGATTATTCCATATATATAGAAAAAAAAGGTGCTAGAGAAGGTATTTCTGACACCAAGAACACACTGTCATTTCGATGAAGTAGCCAGCAACGCTCTAATGGAGTTTCTTCAAGTCTTCAAATGAGTTAATTTAAGATTAAAGAGATCCATTGCCAAGTCTCTCTAGATTCGACCCGCATGAGGACGGCAAGTTAGCTCAGATTCTTGCAAGGCCAATCTGAAAGTCTCCTATTCTTTGCAGACATAACGGACATGTTGCCTCGGCTAAGCAAATTCCTTCAACCTCAAATACCATGAGCTTGGCATTTCAAGACCTACTAAGGCGAGGAGTGGAGCGGCGGGTAAATCCAGGCTTAGTTTTTTTCGTTTCTCCGTTGCAGCAGCCTTGCGCTAAAACTCGGCCCGCCTTACCACGGAGCCGCCTGCCTTAAGCCTACCGGGGACAAAATTATGCCCCCAAAGTTCAGGGTCCAGCGCCACTCGCTCACCACTTGCATTAAAAGCGGTTAGATCATCGATAATCAAGATTAGATTGTGGTTTGCCTTAACTGCAGCTAGGAGCAGGTGAAACTTAAGGCCACCATCTCCACTAAAAATGACAGAACTGGCTGCCTAATCAGGTAGGTTTCGCAAGTTTTAGTCCTATCGTCTTTTTTTTCGGGCAATCTCAAGGCGGAAATTGGGTCTCGTGGGATTTCATCAATTTGTACCTGCGTTTGCATGCACCTGCATATGACTATCCATATCTAGTTGTACTATCTGCGATCCCCTTGTCCATCATTGGAAATAACCAGCTGCTACCAGATCGATAGTTATCTTTCTTTCCTCGTGCTGTGTTGTACGATGAGAGCTTCATTCCAATAATCATAATCATGACTTTTTCAATTGGGTTACGACCAATCTTGGTCCAAATCGCCCTCGCCTCCAATTGTCTAGCCTTCCAGTTTATCACCAAAAACACACTGCCGGCCGACAACCTTTCCGCTGGTTGCATCACTGCTCTTACGGCGGACATCTCCAACTGCCCACGGCAAGTCGGTAACTTCCCAACAAGATCGTATTACGACGTTGATGCACTCGAGGAAGCATGCACAGCGGACTGTGCTGCATCACTAGCAAAGTACAATACGGCCACGGCTGGCGCATGTGGTACTCAGGATGTCTACAACGTCTCATCATCACATGTTGCTCCCGTCTCCTTCGTCCCGACACTTCTTCATTATTATTACAACAAGACTTGCATACAAGATGGAGATCGTTGGTGTAACCGTGTGGCACTTGAGATGTCAGACGCCAATGCCACGTCTTCCAACTTTCGTTCGATGTCTGTCGGAAACGAGACTGTTGCCGGTAATGGATCAGCTGAAGCCATTCCATTCCCAAACATAAGTAAGTACTGTTCTTGTAATATTCTTGAGCAAGTTATCTTAGCATTTTACAAATCGTCATCAACTTCGATATGCACGCTGACTCAATGGCTTCAACAGGAAGACAGGAGCAAACGAGTCTCGACATGTGTGACAATTGCATCATCAAGGCATATCAGTTTCAAGCCGGCTCACCCATCAACGGAGGAAATGCACTCCGAGAGAAATACAGCTCTTTGACAGCAAGTTGTTCAAAGACGGGGTTTCCGCTAGCAAGCTCAACCACTCCTTTTCCTGGGTATGTGGATCACCATGCGTTGTCTGAGAGCTGAGACTGACTTCCTTGAAGGGCGAGTCCCACGAGTACTTCGCCGACCGAGTGTTCTGGAAAGATTTACAGTATCAAAGCTGGCGACACATGCCGATCGATCTCTGAAGCTCAGGGAATGGGTACAAGTTGGCTGCTGGCCAACAACAATCTCGCACCTTTTTGTGCTAAGTTTCCAAAAAGTGGGGATCTCTGCATCTCAAACACTTGCAAGACATATGTTGTTCAGGCGAATGATACCTGCCTGGATATTGCTAAAAGCAACAGACTGAGCCAGGTTCAGCTATATACATGTAAGTCTCTGCTTCCTTACTCATGTGCTGAATACTTGCCGCATGGAAGCTAACACATTTTCCTTTGTGCAGGGAACCCTGTCCTTGGATATCTATGTAATAAAATCGAGAAATCAGTGGGCGATTCCATCTGCGTGTCGCCACCTGGCGATGCTGATTTCAAACCTAACCCGACGACTACTATGGTTACTACACCAATCCCTACTGCGACGCCAACTATGGCTCCAGTGCCTGGTGATCTTGCCAATGGTACAAACAGCCGCTGTGCGAAATTCTATCAAGTTCAACCGGATGAGTATTGTAACCTCCTCATCCTCAAGTTTAGCATCAGCCTCGTCGACTTCCGATTCCTCAATCAAGGCATCAACGATAACTGCACCAATCTTTTCGCGTTTGAAAGCTATTGTGTAGAGTCTCTAGGACCGATTAACGAATATCCCGGTCACCCCGACTACATACCGCCGCAATCATCGGTTCCAGAGATCCCTTACAGCAATCTTCCAAAGGCAACCTTCACTGCGCCCAAGATTACGGGTCTGCCTACGGCCGCACCGCTCGCCAAGGGAACAAGAAGAGATTGTTATCTTTTCATGAACGGCGCAGATCTCGCCGTGAGTGAAGATATTCTGCCTAGTTTCAAGTCTGCATGCGACGCTCTTATCCAAGGATGGTCGATAACACCGGAGCAATTTGCCAACTGGTAAGTACCATTTCATCCTTCGATCTCTGATCGAAGTTGTTCCCATCGCGAATAGAACTAGTATTGACTATCGTATCCAGGAATCCTTCTCTTGACGTCAACTCTACAAGTTGCGCGCCATCGAAAGACTTTCGCTATTGCATGGCAGCTTATAACGCTGCATCGGTCACTAAGCCTTCTTTACCTGAAGAAACTGGATTGAGCTATCCAATAAGGGTATGTTGTCTTTATGCGACTTGGACTTGCTCGTTTCAACAAAAGACTAACGAATATGCAGGAGGGCGCAATCGAGGGATGCGTCGAGTACAACGCCGCTATCGCGCCGATGACTTGCAAATCATTCCTGGCTTTGAACAGAATAACCATAGCACAGCTGTTCAAATGGTACGCAAACCGCCCTTTACACACTCACGCGAAGCTTGTGCTGACGTTATGCGATCTCCAGGAACCCTGCTGTCGATGCTGACTGTAGTAACTTATGGCTTGGTTATCAGTACTGCGTTAGTACAGATGCTGTGCCTACCGATATCGCGTCTAGCACTGATACGCCGACTACAACACCAACGCCAACGCCAACTAAAACTACATCAGCAACCCCAAGTCCAACGGCCCCAAGCGCTCCAGGCCCAACGCACCCCGGTACTGTCGAGAATTGTGATGAATGGCATGTTGTTGGAGGTCAGTACCACTCTTTCACCTGCTTACCTTGAGATGCACTGCTAACAATTGACCAGACAGTGATACGTGTTGGTCTATCACGCAGGAGCATGGTATCACGCTCGACCAATTCTACAAGTGGTAAGTGTTCTCTCCTTTAAACAATCTGAGTTTGGGCGGAGTTGAAGATGCTAACTTATTGAAGGAACCCGGCGATTCAAAACGATTGTGGTACCAATTTCTGGCCGACGTATGCGTACTGCGTAGGGGTTTCGGCCTGAGGCAAGGCTCATTCTGAGGATAATTTTTATCGACGATTTGTTATTCTTGTACATTCTTAAGGTGAGAGTTTTGCAGACAATGATTGTAGCGTATATAATTCGGTGGAGCACGATCGGCGAATACGTCAACAGTCGTGTACACAAACGGAGCACTTGCTAGAAGACTTTGATGCGATATATAACTACTGCTGAGTAGATCCCTTCGGTTCACAGAGCGAACAAGTGCAAACATAGTAGTCATCACCATGACTTCCAGCCTTGCTCCCGCGCTTCGTGCCACCAGTGACCAGTCTCGTTTTTCACTCTTGCATGTGCAACGTCAAACATAGCCATGCCCACAAATGTCTCTCCTAGATAAGTAGTGTCGCTCTCCTGGAACGGCATAGGAGAAACGTGTACCGGAGGAAGACGATGAAATTCATCGTTTCCCTCTGTTGCGCGAGCATATTCCTCCTCGGAAATTCGATCAAAACAAATGCGGCGTGCTGGACGCTTGTCCGTAGACCAATCCGCGCCTGGATAACGGAAGATGATTCCGTGATAATAGTCAGAAAATGGACTATCGATGTAGCTAGGCACTAGACCAGGTAGTTGTCTGGCTTGGTCGTTGCCATGAACGCTCGCTCCGCCTTGCTGCTGCTCTTCATCATCATCCGTGGCTGAGTTCTCGAGATCTTGAATGTGACGTATATAATCTCCCCGTGCGGCCTTCTCTTTGCGATAATGAGCGATACAGTCGTCATCACTGCTATCCACGTCGGGCGCAGAAAGAAAGTAGAGTTCCAGACGGATCGGACACGGGTCCCACGGCGTTTTGCGCATGATAGCTTCGAGAACCTCGGCCGGCTTGACAGTCTCCGGGGTCACTTCGGGATGTGTGAAGTAGATGGCGAAACTGTAAAGCGGTGGGAGCGGGCAGGACACCACGCCACGGAACACCATAAGCGCTTCTTGCCCAGAGTGATCTGTGAATGGGATAACATATATTTTGGCGCGTTCAATACGTCCTCCGGCCGCCGTACCCCCTCTGGGGAATCGCATGCTAGGGCCGCCACGCGATGCCATGTTCAAATGGAGCAGTGTGAGTCGATGGATGTTGTTGAGGAAAGTGTAACGCAGGAGAGGTGGAGCGGCGCAGGCACAAAACACGGGAAACGCTAAGGCGCTCGGCAATGCGCCCAAGGGCAAACCATCCATGCTTTAAAAACCCGGGGGGGGCCGGGGGGTTGGGGGTTACAAAAACAAGAGCGATGGAGACTGACGAGCGAGATGAGTTATTGGATTTTCGATGAGATCTCGGGAAAGGGTTCGAATCAGTTTCTTTCATTCGAAGTTGGTTTCGACAGCTATCATAGGGATCGACCATTGCAAAGAATAACCAAAACCCCTTGAAGAAGGGAAAACAAATGTACAAAAGGGGCTGTTGCATTGTTTGGGAAGCTAAAAATACTTTTTTCTATTTTGACTTTGATCTTGGGGAAAGTAAAAAATGTTTTACCCCAAAAAATGATTTGGGAGAATTTTCAAAGGAAAAAGCAAACCCAATGCACGCAACCGGGATAGGCGTTGACCGTTTAAACAATCTGGCATCATATACCGTACCGCCTCGCTATATGCGTTGAATCGGCGTGTTATCATAGTCGTGTTGAGAAATATGTTTTATAAACAATGATAACTAGCTATTCCTTAATGGTCTAATTAATTAAGTGAAGCATAGAAAAATTACGCAAAGTGGGGGCGGTGAACTACGCGCGGGTGCAAAACCCGTTCTCTGAAACCCAACCGCCCCACCCGGAAACGGCTGCAAGCCCGGGGGTAAAGCTGTCGGGAAGCCAGAAAATTAAACTGGCAAAACCAGCCCCACCCCGTGCGCACCGCCCTGCGCAGACATCTCAGCACGCTACTGCTGCGCAAATGTCGCTTAAGACGCACGGCCGGTGGGACGCGTTTTGACGGTCTTGCCGCCAGCAGGAGAAACTGCCGGGTTGTGCAGTCCACACTTTGAATTAACCTTCTGACGCTAAAGTCTTTAGCTTTGCTGTCTTGACTTGCTCTCCAGCCCGCCGAGCATTCCGCAGTTGCATGCTGTCGCGAACGAACAGGGGGTATCAGAGACGAGTCAATAGACAGCACTGACAGAACGAGCGACAGCATGATTAACGACGCGCTTTTCAGCATTAGAGGCTAATGTGTTAGAGGAGTGTAAGCTCTAGAATAATTGTGTCAAGCAATAGAGTCTTTATAGATACGAGATGCACCGCGATAGTGGAAGTAGAGGTATATTGCCTTGTAAGACTAGAGACGAACCGCTGTCGAGCCACAACAGCGGTAAGGTAGGCTAATATACTGCGATTGCTTGGCATAACGGCCCGAACGGGCCCGGAGTAGCCTGGTGCCTGACAATAACCTTGTCAAGATCACCACGGATCGCATCGAAGGTGCTTCCATGAGCTATATCACCTGCATTACCAGATACGTGCTCGTGAGGTAGCATTTGCGCAACTTGTAGTTGAGGCGCGGGTTGCTCTGGATAGTAAATTGGCTGCGGGAGATAAACTTCGGGGAGAAACAGGGGTTGAGCGGCAAAGATGTCCAGATTCGTACCGAGAGTCGTAGGATCGTGTTCGGCATTTAAATAAGGAAAGAATGGACTTGTGGTTAGGTTAAAACTAAACAAACTGTCCCAAGCTTCGTTTTGAGAGGATGTTTGGGGAGATTTCGAAGATGACATTATAGTATGTTTTAATGTAATTGATGAATAACTTTAGTATGTAGGGTTTGAATGTGATCTAGTATGCTGCCTGCATTGCCCTGTCTTACATATAGTTCCTAGTTTAAAGGCTTAGCGGTGCTGTCTAGAGCTTAACATTTGCCGACAGTAGCGAGAAACAGTGATCTATAATTACACGCGGCCTTAAAACACACTAATCTAGCTCTACGCTACTCTGCTACTTAACCGCTGCTGCACGCCAGAGGGAGAAGCATTCGAGCGGCACTAACTCCAGAAACGGAATCAGAATACTATAACCTAGCTCGCGCTTAACATACTGATGCTGCTATAATCAGCGCTATCGAGACGCACAGCAGTTAGTACTTACGGGTTTTTCCAGCTTAGCAATAGCCGGAACATACACATTAAACAGGTTGTCGAGGAAGTCTACAAGCAACTTGCAGGCACTCCATTGTTCTCCGTTATCGAGCCCAAAGGTCTTGTTGGACTCTCGTAAGCGTCGCACCTCTTCGAGATTTCGCAGCTCCTTTTTTAGCAACCTATTCATACATTTAAGCACTACCAGTCTAAGACACTTAAGATCTTTGTTCGGTGTGTGCTCGGTAGTTGTATATGAGACATCGTCGAAGTCGGTTAATACAGGCTTTCCAGTGTTGCAAAACCGTATAGTGGCGATCGAAATAGCGTTGTGTATCATGCCAATCTTTGCTATGTGCTGTACTGCGAGAAAAATCTATATCGTTAGCTTCACACATACACGAGTCGCAAGCTAACATACTGCACTCGCTATTACTCGAATATGTGGGTCCTCGAGGCGGGTGTGGACATTAAGAACTTCTTCGAGCGTGTACCTAGAGTACTCCAACTAGAAAAAGATCAAACCGTCATTTTCGAAAGCTTGCTTAATAGTAGAGATGTGTAGATAGTCAGACAATCTCTTCAGCATCTTAAGCTGTCAACGACCTACATTATTAGCTAGCTCCCTAACCATAACAAGCTGTCGCCGATGCACGCATATAGACCGTACGTGCTTACCTTGCACTAAGTCGCCTTGTCGAATCAATGTTTTCCAGGGACTTTCCCGAATTTCCTGATATGCTAAAGAACAACGCTTGTCATCCTCTATTGCTCGCTGTAACAGTGCTACTTTCGTTAGTACCGTAGGCCGCTGCGAAGGTCCTAGTTTTATAGGCACCTAAGGTCTTAGGTGGCGTTAAAACGCTTCCTCAACAGCCTTTGATAGCATGTTGCATTACTTAACTAACGAAAACTAGGACTTCGTTTTTATTGTATAGTCCTGCGAGGACAGATAACGGATCATGGTTAATACTGGAAGCTGTGTACGGGCTCAGAGAAGAAACTTCCAAAAACAGGTAACAAATCCTCGAGTCGGTTAGCACTCACTGGCGGTCGTGTACCCAAGTACAGATACGGGAAACTGCCCAAATAGTAACTACCCAGGTGTGCCCATAAAAGCTTCAATCGAGGACTCTACCCATACTATCGTCTATTAACGTCGTCTCATCGCTCGTTCCTCACATTATCGATTAACTCAATTTCACAATTAGTAATTATAGACGAAGTTGAAGTTACGTAGCCCACTTTACACCCGTTACGTTATCCTCATCATAAGGCAACCAATCGGCTTCCAGAACATCTCCGTACTCCAACTTGGCCATTATTACTGCAAACACCAAACAATCACTCCGCGCCTCAACTTCAACTAGACCTCTATCTGCAGCTGTCGCAAATCCTGGAGTGGGAAATTTGGAATCATAATCAAACGCGTGGTGGATTATGCTCGGAACTAGCTCGTCGCACGGATCTCGAAGCACAGGTGTACAAGCTCAACCAGGAGCTCGCACAGTGGCAAGAGAGCTGTCGCATAGCTTACAGCGCACTCAATAAACATAGGGCTGAGAGTTCAAATCTCAAGCTTAATGTCGAGGCTTTGACGGACGAGCTCCGCCATCTCCGGGAACTACAGGTAGGTAGTGGCGGCTTACCCGAGCCCTAGCTTACAGAGTGACAGGTCCAGCCGATCCCCAGAGGTTCACCTCCGCCTTCGGACCATGACGAGGAACAGAAGGCCGCAGATGAGATACCACAGGACAATCAGCTGCCTCTAATCAAGAAGGATAATGCGTGTTCGTGGCGTCTTAGGTTCATTCGAGACATCGAAGAACATCGAAGCAGTTTTGAGTAACTGGGGTGCGAAGTTAATTCAAATTGTTTTATCTTATAAAATTGTATAAAGAAATGGAAAGCAAATAACCAAACACCTATTCGACGCGCCTTCGTTTGGGTTTGGTGCCTAGGGTCCATTCCATGTCATCGTCATTATCTCCCTCCATAGCAAAATCTTCTTTCTGCAGTCCTCTTAATGCCAACCCGAGCTCTTGTAATGTTATCTTAAACTGCTTGATTTGCCTTTTGTGTTGTTTTTCCTCAAGTTGCGTCAAAGCTACCGAAAAGAAGACCCCAAGATTTTTCCCAATGAAGCACATCAGGGGCGCAAAAACCGCCTGATAAGGACTTGTAAGCATGGGGTGGTCGTAGTATATAGTCTAAAGGTAGGTGTATTCTTTTTGTATGTACAAATGTGTGATCTGAGTTTCCCGAAGTCGGACGCATTAGTCATGCCTGCAGAGCGTCATGTGATGTGGTCCGGGGTTTGGGATTTCTTTGCAGCGCTGCAAATTTTCTTGTCAAAGCTGATCATAAGAGGTCCTGTGTACTTTTTCGTGTCATGGTGTAAGGAAACCCATTCAGTTTGCGTTTTTAGCCACAGATTGTCGAAAGTTTCTAGCCTGCTGTCGACGGGGCCCTTCTACTAAATGAAGCCTGGACGCAAGGGTGATGGTCGTGCGCGTTTTAGCAAGCGTCTCTGGTTACTGTTAAGCGTCGGCGGTCCTTTTTAGGGAGCCTGCCCTTTTATCCAGAGGGGGAGTCTATTAGATCTGGGATGTTCACCCGGGGTCTTGCTGGGCCGTCTCCCTATAGTCGTTGTCTGCTGAGTCATCAACTACGATTGCATTATCTAGACTATCGCCAGGACCTTAAAGTGAGGACCGATCTTTGGGTAAGGGTCTGTTCTTCTTTATGCGGTGACCACCTGAAGATCCCGACAGACGGCTGCGTACGTTTCCCGACTCAGACATCATCGCCTTGGATGAATCAGGATCGCTTGCACTTAGCGTGCTACTGGTGGATGATGTGTTCTTCGAGAGCCTTGGAGATATTCCTTGTGCAACTGTTGTGTTGTCTGCGCATGCGTCGTTAGAAGGCTTAGAGATCTTGGCTGCGGCGGCCGTTTGCTGAAGTTCTTCGAAGTCAATAGTCCTTGAGTTTGTTCGGGTTCTACTGACATGAGGCTGGGTAGGTGAAGTCGAGCAGAGAACGTTCGAGTGGTCTCGGACTGTCGGAGGAGCTCGGGTAATCTGTCCCGAGCCAGCCGTATGTTTCGACGTAGAGCTCGTGCTCTTCATCGTTGGCTCGCTATGGATCGGGCTTTCTTCTCGTACGGCATAGTCCATAGAGTCGTCGATATCCACGGAAAGTGGCGTGGGCTTGACGACTACATTATCTGTAGATATGGGTGGCACTGGTGAGGCTCCCACCGGGTCGAGCCCGACGCCCAGCGATGTTATCGACACACTAGGGACAGTGTCTTTACGCTCTACCAGGGATGTGGTAGAAGTATCAGGCTGTGAAACTTCCTCATAACACACCGAGATGCTTGAAATTTCTAGCAACGGCGTTGGCTTGTACTCATAACACACCGAGGTTCTTGAAATTGCTAGCAGCGGCGCTGGCTTATACTGAATAGAGTGGATGCTCGGCATAGCCAGCGAGGGACATGATCGAGCTCGAGATGGGGGAGACACAATCGTATCCTTCTGGTTTGATGACCGAGTACCATCCGCAGAACTCGGGCGTCGAGCCGTTATGTCTGATTCTACTCTGGTCGAGATGCCTGTCGTCGACAGTGGCGTGTACAGTTCGTGTAACGAGTTCCCGAGAATCCTGAGACCAGTGTTATCTAACGAGAGATCATTTAGAATTTCATTCAATAAGTAGTTCGTAGCCTTATTGGAAATTAGTAGTAATAGGGCAGGTCAGATCATCGGTTCGTGTACCTCTGTGTAGACCAAGCCAGAGCTCTCTTCAGATTGCTAAACACCGTCAGTGAAACCACGGAGTTCTTCTGCAGTCAAGTTTTGCAGGAAGTCGAGTGCGTCCATAGTAAGCGTATATTCCTGAGGTGATAATAAATTGCAGGCTGTACGGACAGTCACTTCTTATACTATGGCATCGTGCGGAAAGTTGTTGACAAGCCCACGGCGAGTATCTAAAACTAGCATCAGCGGTTATTGCATGAATATTGGAAGCATCATCAGGATTCGCAGGCCGCAGCAGCGGCAATCTTGTGACGACGCTTAACCAGTGAGAGTACTCCAGGCATGAACACCTTACCGCTAGGATGATCACGAGTCGTTGTCCTAGGTCTCGACTCCATGTAGCAACCTTATGCGGGCGAATCTGTTGGCTCTCATAGTTCCAAGCAGAGTTACCGCAAGGCGAATATGCTGTGATGCATGAAGTCTTTGCCGCTTTGCCGCTGATCTGTTGGTAGCATGGCCAAGGATACCATTTTTCCCATGTCACAAGTTTCATGCCGCTGAACCTGTTGGCTCTTGTCGATTAATACAGAGCAGGTACGAGGCAGACACGAAGCGGTGCATGAAATCTCTGCCGCCCTGGGGCCAGGCTGTTACTAGTATGTTTGGAATTCTTGTTCTCCCAAGTCTTGGACGTCACGATATCAAGACCTATTGGCTCTTGCGGCACGGAGCATAGTGTTAGCAAGGCAAAGAAGCTGCGCTGCATAAAAGCCTTGCTACCCTGGCGCTCGATTGTTGGTAGTATGTTCAGAAATAAGTGTTTCTCCACACTCTGAGCTTTATGCCACCTAGACCTATTGGCTCTCGTTGCACTAAGCATATTGTTGGTAAGGCAGAATTCTGTTATTGCATGAGTCCTACCGCTTGTCGGAACGACAGTGTACGGGCGGTATGTTGGGTAGTGTGACGGTTGGTGTAGGATGCGATGGGGGGGGGGGGTTTTAAATTTCCTCGTCCAATGTGTTCGAAGCAAAGTTTATACTGGAGCTCTATATAAAGGGGGGATACTGTCCTTGACAAATTTCAGCAAAGATGAGTCTCCCTCAACGTTCACACACTCCCGCGCAAGATGACCTAGAGTAAGTAGTAGTGGTGAGACGTATGATTAAGAGACTGACATGCAAGCAGCGTCTACTTCGAAGTCGATATGACTTCCGATAACAAGTCGACTACCCTCACTCGGATCAGCTACCAAGGACGTCCCACTCAGCACCTCGACAGAAGTCTTCCCAGCCAGCAACATCTCCGTCCGATATCTCAAAAGGACCTCACGTCGATTCCAGCCGTCGACGAGCTGCTTTAGGGGAAGCCGACCATACCGAATGAGGCAGTGAAGTACGCCCAAGACGGCAGTGGAAGATCTGAGCCATTACCCGAAATGACGTCGCAGTCCGTTCCCTGGACGCATAAGCCCGAAGACCTCACGATTCGAAATGCGGTAGCTTCCTGCAACGGTGTCACAATTGGGCGCAACAACATCCGATGCCGTATAAAGTACGAAAGCCAAATCCTGTCCGCCCGTGCAATATTGGGTTTTGCAAGCCGTTATAAGCGGCCTCTACCAGAATTCATATCCTCTTTACAAGTGGTGGACGGAAATACAAGACCTCAGAAGCACGAGGACTTTGCAACGATATTAACTCAAGCGCATGAGCGCAAAGAGCATTTGGAAGTGTATTGGAAAGATAGGGTCATGGCTTTTGAGGAGGTGATAGCCGAAGGTCAAATCTCTCTCGTATTGTCCTTTCTGTAGCGAAAGAGGCACTTCATTACACAACCTCTTTCACGATTATTGTACAGAGAGATAGTTATGATTGTGCATTTTAGCCTTCTAGCGAATTGCTTTCTAGTTCTTCTTTTGGGCACATATGTCATTATTCTAGCCTACTTAGGTAACATGCGATCAGCCTCGAGTCTCTCGACGGCTTCTTAACGAATTTTATTTGATGCCTTTACATGACGACGGCTCTTCCACAGAAACCAGATAATCAGTGCTACAAATACTACAAAGATAGTCACAACAACTCTAATGACTAGAGGCGAATTAAATCTAAGCTTTTTACCGCTAGTAGGCGCTGCGGTTGTCTTGAGTGACGCCGAGGGAGCCATCTTGTTTCCGAATCTTGACTTCTAAGGTCACGTTAGTTGTATACCACAGTTTAATTATAGTTTAACTTTCTATATACCACGACTCGTTAGAGAACTGCTTGCAGCCTTTTCAGCCACAGATCTTGTAGTTCAGGACGCTCTAGTGTGTGTGGGTCCACTACACTCTAGGGAATTAGATAGCTAACGAAAACACAGGGGAAGGTACCTACGTGTAAGGGGGCAGATCACTTTGCTGCCTTTTCGCAGTGCTTCTCGGCGAATATCGGATGAAGACGATGCAGCACATATTCATCACAATGCTGATTCGTGCGGCTAGAACATTTGCTTTATAGTTCTCTCTTCTCTCCCACGACACCTCCCCAGAATCCCGGATTCCGTAGTAGTGCCCAAAGCAGGAGTATGCAACCTGTTTCCGCGTCGCGCGACAGTAACTGAATCACGGATATAGTAAACAGTCGTATGATTGCACGGTCAGACCTGATGATACAACATTAGGTGCGAGCTTCAGTAACTGGGCGCAGCATGAGTACATTATTATGAGCTGATGAGTATTGTCAAACGCAGAGCAAATACACACTATAAATGTACAAAAAGGTTCTCACGACTACGAAATACCGCAGAAATAAGGAAGGCACACAGTCACATATATGATACGATTTGCTAGAGTATGAACATGACCCACCTAAAACCATACACAGTCTAAGAGTCTAAGCAACTAGTGCACTCTTCGTGATTGTCATGAGCTCGTGCCCACACCTGCCTAGAGAGTGAGTTAAGCTCTAAGAAGGCTAAGAAAAGCTTACCTCCTCGTCTCGATAGCAATTATATACAAGTATCGCTCCTTCTCGTTCGACCGTAATGTAGACTGGAGTTTTAGAAGGTAGTATATAACACTCAAAGGCTTAGACACCTCCTTTGTAGCAAGGCATAGATTAATAGGGTTTGTTCTAGATATAAAAGCCTATGTGGTAGCACTGTGACTTGTTAAAACTAGCCTTATCGTTTGCATGCCAAAGACCTACATTAGAAGGAACACTATGCATATGCTAAATAACTTCTGGAAATCCAAATGGTAGCTCGAAAGTCTCTTGCTCACCACGCTCCACGCCTCGGTGATGACATCTATGCACCGGAACGCCGGCGGTTGTAGCTTCGCAGGCAAAAACCCCGGTTATTAAGGGGAAAGACTTGGCAATCCCCCGTTCGGGTGTCTCTGTATTTGGGGGGACAACCCCATTTGCAGTAGATGCTGAGGTCCCGCAGGTGCTACCATAAGCATTTCTAGAAAAATTTATGGCCACAGAGCAAAAGAACTCCCAGCGGATAAGGGATTTGTGGGACCGGGATGTATGGGGGTCTCTGTCAGACTACTTCAAAGGATAGCTCTGGGAAATCGGCCCGGGGATTATGCTAGGTGGGACACTATGTGCCCTGGGTAGACGACATGTGCTGGTTTTACTTAACGTACATATAGGGTATACTATGGAGCTACTTTTTCTGATGGCCGACTATAGCTGAATCAAAAATTTGGGCTTCACCTTGGGCTTTTGATTTCTACATACACGCAAGCCCCAGACGAGCGCGAGTATCGGCTCAGAAGAAGAAAGAGAATGTCCTCTTCGTTTAGTGGTTTGACCGTATGTAAAACATTCTAGTATTCGCATATGAGCTGTTTAATGTTTGGAAAAGCCTAGCTTGATTAGACTTTAACAAAACGGTTAACACTAGAAGCAGGAGAGCTGGCTCCCTAGTTTTGGTTAGTGTAATTCCTTAAGCTATGGTATTACAAGGCCCTACAATGCCACACTCTAAGAAAGAGTCTTTAATGTGCTTTGCGTAAGTCTGATAATCTTCTATGTTTGGCGGACCATTTGTTACAAAGACAGAGCTGTACTTTGTGTTTCTAATTTTCTAATAGGGATCGGGCGCGCTCTCGGCATACGCCGGAGGTGCAGCTTAAGGGGATGATGGGTCCATTATTAATGCCGAAGGTGTAAGACAGGTACGAGAAGATTTACAACAGGTGCGAAGGCGGGGCGGGCCCCCCCCATTCACTAGGCCCTACGCCGCTTAGAGCTGTTGGTGAGTCGAAAACGATTAGATGCCCCCCGCATTTTGAAAATTACCCCAAAGGGGCTTCAAATTTTAAAGACTACTATCGTGCGAGAGATATGTGTCCGGTTTACAGAATACTGAAGTCTGTTTATTGCTTGTTGAGCTGTGCACCGCCTATCCAAGTGAACAGGTTCCAGGATTAGGATTTGGGTATCTGCATCTAACCTGGGATACGCTTACACATCGTGGCTGTGCTAGCGCGCTTATAAGTATAACGCTTGTGATAACTAGATCGCTAATTCTACGCGCTTTTAAGAATAGACGATGTTGAGCTTCGCTCTCCCTCTTAGCCTCATTAGCGCCGCAGCCTGTCTGCCGCAACCTACCGTCCTACCTGCAGCCGCTGCTTGCTATACTTTACCTATCGACTTTGCGGTAAACCTCCAGTTCTCGATCTATCGTCCGTGCTTCTGCATTCAAGGGTCACAATGCGCTTGTTACTTTCCCTTTGGCAAAGATGAGCCATGTCTAGTGTTTTAAAGACCGTGCCTAAGGAGGTACCTTTTTTTTCTAGGGAGTAACCTTTTTCAGCTGGTATTCCCGGCGGAGGGGAAGCCCAAAACTAGATCTAAATCAGTACAGTTAATAGTTCTAGGGACAACTGAAAGGGTACTGTTCTCGTATGTTTAATGCTGGGGGGATGATATCCCTGTTTCAGATGGTTCTTTGGGAGTTAGTAAGGAAACATGTAGCTAGGCTAGTAATGCAATTGCGCTAGAACCGCGACATTAGCGGGTTCTGGTCGCTCAGCTTCCTGTTAACTGCGTAGCAGTATACAGCAAGCCTATAAGTATGTTCTTCAGTCTGTGTAATACCTATCTAATCCTATCTACACCTATTAACATAACCATCCTTGTTGCCTGTCGTCGAGTTTTTGAAAGGGGGCCCCGTTAGCCCCCCAAAAACTTCAAAGGGAAAATCTTTTTGCGTAGGGGGAAGAGGGTGCGACGGCCTATTGAGCGTTAGGTCGTGGGATTACTATAGTAGATCGCCCAGCTTGATAATAGACTTTAAGACTAACAATCGGATAGACACAGGTATTTAGGTACATTTGCAACCTCTAGTACGTGGCAACATTATGTGTTCATTCGCTCTCGCCTATGACCTTGACAATTCCTTAGTCCTGATATGCTACAACGCCGCTCGTGACTGCGACGTTGATCACTCTCTCGCGAGCCTGCAGAAAATTAGCAGTTGTGGGTTGGTAGACGAAGAGCGGCAGACCTTGGGTTCTAGTGCTAGCTGGGAAGTCGGGTCGACTAAATTGTACACGTGAAACTGCCGGTCGATACGAATCAACATATATATCTCGGCTTCTGCTGCTTAACAGTCGACTCGCCTTGCAGAGTAGGGTATTAAAACGGCCTTGGTGGTTCGCGGCGGGCAAGTATGCGTTTGAAATGCTTGTGGAGTTCTGCAGAACGGGTTAAACCAATCAAACTGTGCAACGTCATACCACTGCAAGCATGACCCTGTTGTCGTTCGTGCCGATCCTGCCATCATTCGTCCAGATCCTGCTGTTGTTCTACCCGATCCTGCTGTCATCCATCACGACCCTGTTGTCGTCGACTGTGGCTCCAACCGACACGTCTCGGTGGTGAGGACATGGGCATGGTCTAGACGGAAGATCGTCTAGTAACTAGAGGACGTTGCGCGCTTGCGATTCGAGTCGCTTTCGGGAGGATGCGGTATGAGACAAAGTATCAAATTGCTTAAGAGTATTGTGCAACCGTGTTTCAAGTAGTTGACGCTGGTCGTCCCCAACAGGAAGTTGTCTAGGTGATTAGGACGGATGTGAGGGGCTATGGCGAATTGGACTCGATCGTTTAAAGTCAAAGTTGAGTTGTGCTTAATGTTCAAGTTCCAATTGTAGCGGGGAAGGGAGGACTAAGGGCCATGGGGAGCGCGACGGCACAAAGGGTGATGGAGAGGATGGTAGAAGGGAGAACGTGATGCGATAGAAAAGATGAGAAACTTCCAAGCGAACCTTAAATCATTTTAATACTAGAGAAGACTTTCCTTTGAACAGTTCAGCCACTCCTCCGTTTTTGTAATATTCTTAAAGTCATTCATGGAGGTTGCTTCCTCTATAAGTTCTTGCTCTTCGTCTGAATCATATGTCATGAACCATTCATGCTCGAATATCGCTTTTTCGCATGGTGGGCGCCCATCAGAACGCAACCAGCTGAAAATGTTACGCGTGGCATTCTCTGAAATGGCCTCTTGTTGACGGTTCAAACCTTTCCACACAATAGGGACTGTGTATTGAACTTCATGTATACTCGGCTGACCATGGATTCCGTGGGGACATTGTTGTAATGATGGGAGCTCTATTTCTCCTTCTGTGCAGTCCCAGACGAACGCTTGATATTGAAGTCCATGGCCTTCATAATGCTCGTGGACCTTTACTTCGAGATCGACGTCGTCCTTAGGGGTTTTTCCAAAAGGTTTCCATTGGCAGATTGGGGTTCGAGTGTGGTTTCTCGACTGGCACAAGAAAAGTAAACGACATTCATCGGCGCGCTGTATGTATCCGTCAACTGCAAGTGGCCTAGACACAGGTTGCTGTATGAATGATTGGATTGTCCCCGTCCACGCCGCGGAGTTCAGGTCGATCGGTATCTGTCCATATTTTATATCTTGCAGGAGTTTTTGTTGAAGACCTAGGATAGCACTGCCTAGCCAGATGCACGCTACCTCGGGTCTTTTCTCCATGCACATGCGCCCAAAAATCGACAGCTTTTCTCCAGCTAGTGATTCGATAGCAGCGACTGTTCCTTGCAACCAGGGTGTTACAGCGTTGCATTCTATGTTGGCTTCGTAAAAGACACTGAGGAGTAGGGGACGTAAGCCATTGATGTTGCAACTTAACGTGATAAGTCTGTCGAGGTGTTGCCCTTCAGGCATCGCCTGAGTCAGTGAACAATCTTTGTGACCATGGACCGGGCCCCCGCTCGATTCTTTTCGTGCACTGAAATTAGGAGACCGCAATTGTAGTGTTTCCCCAGCCATATACGGGAGTAAGAGTACGGCAGCCAAAGCGGCATGGCTTTGATCGACGATGTCGTGACGTGTTCGTAACGTCTCGAAGCCGCGAGGTAGCTTTCAGACTGACGGGCAGCCATGACACGATCTTTGAGGTCAGGGCGATGGAGGAGGGCGATGCATTGGCTCTCTTGCACAAGAAGCTGTTGCGTGTAGGTGCTGATACAGATGTAGAGAAGGCAAGGGAGCTGGTGCAGGCTCTCGATCGCATGCCGCTCGCCATCACCCAAGCTGCAGCCTACATCGTGCAGAGGTCACCGCGCACGAGCGTGGCGCGGTACCTAGACGACATTCGCAGAAGCGACCGCGACCGAGCGCGGCTGCTAAAGAAGGACGTAGGCGACAGCCGCAGAGACGGCCACGCGTCCAACTCGATCATCGCGACCTGGCAGATCTCGTTTGAGCACATCCGTCAGGAGGTGCCAGCAGCTGCGCGGCTGCTGTCGCTGATGAGTCTCTTCGACCGCCAGGGCATCCCCGAGTCGCTTCTTCGCGATCAATACGCAGCGGAAGAGGACAAGGTGGATGAGGAGGAGGGGGCCAACTTTGACGACGACATCAACACGCTGGCCAGCTACTCGCTCGTGGAGATGAGCGGGGCGGACGGGGGGTTTTAGACGCAGCCGGGGCCCTTTCTCAAAAAGAAGAATGGCTGGAGCTGTCTGGCGAGCTAGAGGAGTGGAAAGAGCGGTACGTGGCGCTGATGGACCGTAGCTATCCGTTGGGCCAACACGCGAACTGGAAGGTGTGTCAAGCGCTGTTTCCACATGCACAAGCTGCGGCCGATAGTCAGCCAGACAATGCAAACACGAACGCGCTGAGAGCATGGGCGTCAGTGCTGTACAAAGCAGCGTGGTATGCCGATGATATGGGGGATGGGAAATGGAGAGATGAATCAGAGTGCGCTAAAAGCACGGGAGAAGGTGCTGGGGCGCGAGCATCCCGACACGCTGATGAGCATGAACAACTTGGCGCAAGTGCTGAACAAGCAGGGCAAGTACGAGGAGGCAGAGGCGATGCACAGGCAGACGCTGGCAACAAGCAAGAAGGTGCTGGGGCGCGAGCATCCCAACACGCTGACGAGCATGAACAACTTGGCGCAAGTGCTGGACAGGCAGGGCAAGTACGAGGAGGCAGAGGCGATGCACAGGCAGACGCTGGCGATGAGTGAGAAGGTGCTGGGGCGCGAGCATCCCGACATGCTGATGAGCATGAACAACTTGGCGCAAGTGCTGGGCAGCCGGGGCAAGCACGAGGAGGCAGAGGCGATGTATGAGAAGGTGCTGGGGCGCGAGCATCCCGACACGCTGACGAGCGTGTACTGCCTAGCCGATCTGCTTGCAAAGCAACATATGTTCGAAGAATCTCTTAGCTTGTACAAAAGGGCGTGCGACGGGTACAGTATAGTCTTAGGGGAACATCACCCAACTACCCGTGCATGCCGGCAACACTACAGCGAAGTGCTTAAGTCACAAGAGCAGTCTCCTGTCGTCTTCTCTGCAGCTGCACTAGACAAGAGCATAAGCGCGCCTACTCGCACAATTTCGAGGTTGTCGCGCGGGCTAGCACATCTAAGAATCAGGAGCTTAAAAGATAGAAAGGGTTAACAGGGCAGTATATAAACATAGATGCAGTGCCTCGTAAAAAGCAAAGTGATTAGAACTTAATACCTACTTCTGTTACCTTGCTATCGTGCAAACACCTAAAGCGTCGACAAAAGGGCGCGACTAGATTTAGACGCTCGGCTACAGCTGCCTGCCACCGGAAACAAGAGCTGTTGATGGTCAGGTGATTATTGAAGCTGCAGTGTCCACAGCGTGCAAAGTCCCTCCTAGACATCTCAGCACGCCAATGTCGCTTAAGACGCACGGCCAGTCAAGCATGTTTTGACGATCTTGCAGCTTGCGCGGAGAAACTGCCGGAGTGCACCCTCATTACCTTAATCTGGCTTTCTGCAGCTATAGTCTTAACTGTCGCTATCTCAGGTAGCTTTCAGGTGTACCGAGCCTGCTGCAGACACATGTTGTCGCGAATGAACAGGGGGTATCAGAAAGGACTTAAGAGACGTCGCTGACAGAACGAGCGACAGCGTGGTCAACAACACGCTTTGCGGTGTCGGAGGCTAGAGTACTAGGAGAGTGTGAGCTGTAGATTGGATGCACATCGCGCTTGTCTGTACATAAGGGCGCTGTGAGCGATCCGGACTGCCGAGAGCAAAAGTGTCCCGTTATGGGGTGCGTCCTGGCACGCAGGGATTGACATTAGCCACAACGACTGTATTTTTCCTGCTGCAGTATAGAAGGTGAAAGAGCTGTGGCTAAAGTACAGGATAGTATTTAGTATGGCTCTATAGATGTGGGTGGGAAAGATTGAGTTGTCTAGAGGGTCGGTCCATCTCGCTGAGGGGCATTTCTCGCTTACGGGCAGGGGACGTTAGGTCTTGCGAGTGATGGGGCAGTTGAATGCTGCAACGGTCATAGCCCATTGCGTCTATAGTCCCTAGCAGCCGTATCAAGGTCCGTTATATTTAGTGTGTAGTGAGAGTAATTCTTGCGACGGGGGAGGATGCTAGGGTAGTAATCGAAGCTGAAGGCTGACTTAAGTGCCTTGTGGGTATGGGCACTTGCTCGTAATTTCAAAACGCTTTGGGGTTCTGCGATAGCGATTGGGATGGGTTGCAACGAAGATGGGCAAACGCCTAGTTATGATTTTCGCTTGCTCAGATCCACATTTTCATTCGTGCTACATGCCTATAATTAGCGACATTGAAAGCGCCCGTGGCCTGCGACGTCCCGAACTAGTTCGTCCTGTGCGATCGGACCTAGCTGCCTAGGTGTCGTTTCTCGTAAGAAGGCGCTTGCAGTTGCGGTAGCTAGTCCCACAAACTCCCGCAATTTGCTTGGTCTTCTAGTACCAGTCAACACTTGAAGATTAATGAGTTTGAGCTGTTGGCGGCGCCTGCGTAATCGGTGGCGTTGACCCTCACAATCCTCACGATCCTGCAGCTGCTGTTGCAGGTTGCACGCCTCTACGCTGCGTCATTGCCCCTCGCCCCCTCGACATCCGCCGCACGCTGATTGCTGCCATTGCAGGTTGCGCGCCTCCGCACTGCGTGATTGCTGCTCGGGCGACGCAGTCGGCCGCTTTCTGCGCCAGCCAGCCCTGCCCACCGGCCTCGCCCTCCCAATCCCACCTCCCCCTCGCCGCTCTCCCCTGCCGCCTCAACAGGCTTCAAAACATACAATCACAGTCGGGCATATCCAAGCGACTGGTAATCCTCCTCTTTGCGCACGCGCGCGCGCTGCTGTGGGTTAGCTTCCTAAGCGTCCATCGCAAATACTCTCTCGAGTCGGTAGCCACGTAAACGGAGATTTCACGGGCGGGTTGGACAATCACATTGATGCGCCGATGTGGATAACATTAGAAAACACGCGTTGCCTGTTTACCTACTTCGATCGCCTTCATCCTCCGTGAATGGCAGAGGCTCAGGCACAGGCTCCGTCGTATGAAGCCCATCACAAGAAGGACAGGAAAACGACCCAACCAGCCCAACTTTGTACGAGTGTCGTTTGGACGTTACTCCAGTCTGACTCCCGCACTGTGGGCAAATCCTCTCATGAAGGAAGCTATTTCGATACGCCACGTACGCGCAATCGCGAGATCCCACATGAGCATATTGACATTTGCCACATGTGAAAATGTAGTTCGCAACGTCTCCTATCTTAGACATATACGGCCCACTGAGTAGAAGATCGGTCGCCAAATCCGCGTTTGAACGGAGGAGTCCTGCTGTGCTTTCCAGTCGAAGGATCACCTTTAACACAACAGGGCGATTCGCAACAGCAGCAACGACCAGACCTCGCAACTCCTCATGAGCTGGGAAGTCTGTTGTCGTGTGGTCGTAGATTAAGGCAGCAACGGCGAACCAGTCATTGCTCTCAACGGCATTTACAGTATCCGCGAATGAAGTTCTTGCAAGTTTGTAGAGCGATGCGCAGTCGTACTTGTCAGCGATAGTAGCGACTTGTGCATGAAGGAGGGATTCGGATGTGTCGTATTGAGAGACGTTGTAGCCGGCCTTGTAGAAATACGACACCATGCAGTCGATGGCATCAGCGAATTCTGGATCATCGTTCAACGTAATCACTCCGCTCTTCGACTCCTACAATACAACGTTAGCTAAGGCTCAGGTCTTGCTGACTGAAACCACTTGCCTCGAAGCCGATATTGACAGCCTTCTGAAACCATATAGAATGACAGCACGCGAGAGCTTTGTGGATCTGCCAGCTCTTCTCGCCAAATGTCAAGGTGAGATCCGATAAATTACCAGCGAATAGATATCTCCGACGTATTAGCAACAATAGTACTTATTGCTAGAGACTTCAACCAAGGAGCAGGCATGTCGACGATAAGAATGCAGTCGTAATCGCCCGCTCCTTGCCTTGAGGAGCCTCGAAGGGACGGACTTACCCTGAAAGATCGTGGATGAAGTTTTCGGCGGCCATGGCTGTCTTGGGATTGAGACTGGTCATTAGCTGGGAAAGGGAGGAGCGTCTGATATACCCTCACGACACTTAACCTAAGACTGTAGTTGGTTGACTGCTCCCACACGTCACTTATGTTGTGTAACAGCAACGCTTCTTTGCAGTCCAATAAGCAAGCGACACGAGCCCTGACCTGCAAGCCTTCATTCCAAGAGCTCTTAATAAACCTCGGAGCATGATGATCGCGAAAATATAAATTCTGACATTCACTCTCAATAGAGAATCTTACCATGGACGCATATGTTTGTTCCAAGAATGATATTCCCGATGAGCTTTATCGCGTGAACTATCCAGGCAGCCGAACAGCTTTCTCTACCACCAAGGGGTTCAGCGCTTCGGATACGACCAAGGTCTACGACACCAGCGAGCTGGTCGAATTTAAGCGCGCTATCGTGAATCAATTTACATGGAGTTGCCGAGCCAGTTTGCCGTTCGTCTCTCTCTTCTCCGACCGCGCGCATGCTGAGAGTTGGGGTCGCAAAGAGCCTTGGCACAGACATAAAGGCCCTAGCGATGACTGGTCTCTGCATGTGATCGATACAACCAAATTGAAGGACACGAACCGCTTCTTCAAGCTCAGCGACTTGTTGGAAGAGCTTGATCTAGACCTTCCCGCCGGCGCCGGTCAGCATATTCGTGGAGCCTTTCTATGCCTTCACCGCATTCCGATCGATGCAATTGTCGAGAAAAGGAGCCCCGGAGAAGTCAAGGCGGGTGAGATTCTCTTTTACATCTACAAAAGCTGGCTTCTAATCGATAGCAGATCAAAAAGAGAGACGTGAGCAACGATACTGGGAGGTTCCAGATCTTGACTACCTAGCAGAGTACAGTGGCAGCGAACGGGAGGCAATGCAGGAAAATTACAACACAATTTTCGAAAAGAACATAGAAGATAACTGGTAGCGATACCACCATGTTCTATTACCTCATTACAGGGTAGAATGTTTGTATCGCTGTCTGAAAAATCACCTGCTACTATACATTCATTATTAAGTTAAGTTGAGCTCCTGCAGTCTACTACTAGTTTTTCGGGATACGTTGTCTCTGTCGATTTAGGAAATTTCCAAGCTCGCCGCGCTGTCTTGCCATGCTGTTGCACCACATTCATTCATAAATCCGTGCACTAAGAGATGTTAGTGTTCTCGGTAGCGCTACAATTAGTACAGGAAGTGTAGTCCTACCGTAAGCTTGAGAAACATACGTGTAGCCGTTTTTTCCACGTCGCAGAATACATGGCGCTATGCTTCCACGAAGGCAAAAGATTAGATCGCCATCCTTCACTTCGTCAAAGGCTCTGCCGACGTAGCCCTTATTCGTTTTGAAGAGAGTTATCAGACCATTCCTCGCTACGTAAACCGATTTAGACGTCATGATGCCCTCGTGGACTTCCTCGACTTCTTTTCCAAGGTAAAGAACGTCTAATAAAGCATCCTTATACGAAACCCCCCTCTTGTCGGCGTAATCTTCATACTCAGGTTCATGTGGACACAAGTTTTGCTGAATGCACTCTTTCAGAACGTCATCGTCGGACTTTTCTGATCGTATGTCCCCTCCTTCTACATTTGCGTGATTGTATATCATGCCAATGCAGGTCCCACATGCTGTTAACACGTTCGAGTCAGAAGAGCAAAAGTATTCGGAATGTTGGACGCGCCGCTCATGATAGGTTCGCGGGAGGAAGTGGTGTCTCTCCCAATTGATATGGGTCAATGTCCAGTCAGGACACCAGGTCGGAAAGCCTTCCTCTTTTGGGCTCTCTGCCTTTCCAAGACGCAGTGGCTCCAACGAATCGACCTCGTTAATAAGGCATTTAGTGACTCTCTTGCATATCTCTGCTAGAGGCTCCGTATAGTCCACTTCCACTTTGCAAGCTGTCGCAAGGCCTACAAGAGAATATATCTTATCCTTCTTATTGGTAGCATCAGCCTCAGAGCTCTCAACCAACAAATCATAAAGCCTGATGGTATTCTCCGGATGCTGCCTTAACTGTACGCGGAAACCTAGGCTCTTGTTTTGAAGACCGCAAAGCTTGACTAATGCTGGGATTTTTCCTGCAGGGATTGAAGTGCCTCCCATAATATATGGCAATGATTCCATGGCTTCTTGACCTGTACGACGAATGATCAAATTCCTCTGTGGAGATACTACATCGTTCATAATTTGGCCAATCAGCTCGACTATTCTCCGCCAGACCTGATAGTCCACTGTAGAATCGCCACACTGGATTAAGAGTTGCCTCGCAGATACGAACTCCTGGAGGGTCCAAACACGGTTCCAGTATATATTGTTGAACGCACATTCCAGCCATGGTAGTAAGGTATCATCTGCCGCTACAAGTTGTCGAAATTTATCCAAAACTCTCGCGCGTATCTTGCAGGCACGACTGGGCTCTGCTTCTAAGTTCCCAAAGTCTCCCATATCTTCTGCCTCCTTTACTAAGATATCCAGTGCTTTTGTTATCTCTGCTGACCCCCTTTTTGTGCCCCCATGTCCAGTAAGCCAAACCACCACCACCTCGGCCCTCTCATATATTTGCTTCATAATCTTAACCTGCTCAGACTGCTCCTCTTTGTTCGTCTGGTCTATACATATTGCATCAATCCAAAAATTCCGAGTTTGCCCTGTATCACGAAGATGCCGGAGCGCAGCGTAGAGATTTCGGGTGACGTCGAAGGGATCGTTGTCGAGGGTGATCCCTGAGGTGTCCTTATCATCGCCCCATACGTATGAAAGCGCGTTGTACTTGGGTGGTCCATCTTTTCCTGTAAACGGGACCGAACGGCGTGTGCAGCATATTTCTTCGTCAGGATCGCCCGGACAGATTTTGACAAGCCGTATGGCTTCTTTTGGATTGAACGCGTTGCTAGTCGAATAAGCCATAATTGGAAGCTGCTAGCAGATATGTCGGTGCTGGCCGATTTGCCGTCAGCACAGGTACGAAGAAATTTGCCATTCAACAATCCTGCGAGGCGACAAATAGACGGGCGGTGAATTACGTCGTTGCACTAGGTAGCAGCCTTCCAGAGTTTAAGAGGTATCATCCCACGCATGTGACAACATCGCTAAGCCTCTTACCGCGTTGGCAAACAGTTGCACGTGGTCCGCAACAAGCAAGCGATAGGCAGATTGATTGCTACACCAAGCGCCGGAACATCACCCTCCGATTTGTGACAGTCTTAAGAGAGTAATCACTCTGCCTATCGCTTGCTTGTTGCGAACTCTAATTGCATGGTATCGCTTGGTCAGTTTGTTATGTTGGGGAGTGTCTGTGGCGTCCCGTCACACAGGGTGTCCCGTTACGCAGGGACGGACATTAGTGATACAAACAATGTTTGGGCAGTTTGCATCGTGAAGTAAAGGCAAGATCTTTGTCCGAAGAGTGCCCCACGACATGACCGCCCCTACGTTTACATGCGGGTAAATAATCCGCGCTACCTCATACAGTTGCAGTGCGAGTGCTGTGTTCGCCGCGTCCATTCAGAAGAAACTTAAGCGCTAGACCGCTGCTTTATCAGTAGCGCTTACGCGGCGCAAGCCACTAATACAGGAATGTGTGCTAACAGTCCGCATACGGAGAAGAGGCTTACTGCATACAGAAAAGGGGCTTACTGCAAACAGAAGAATTAACGGATTTTGTGACAGTCGCGAGGGAGAAAGGTAGGCTTCCCGTCCGCTCAGCCATATACAAGCAGTGTACCGGCGGATTAGTAGTTAGGTGGGTGACCACTAGCGAATCCCCGCTGTTGTATGTTTTTGCGTTCTTTTTGCGATCTGCTTTCTTTTTCTCTTTGGCTTTAGTACAAATGGAAAAATGAAGTCGAACAACAACACATGGGCTCTCCGGGCACGTCTTGGGTGGATGCAGAGCAGCGTACGTTGAAGACCAACTGTACTTAGCGAAATTGTCTCTTTAGTCTCGATGCGCAGCGAACATGTTCCAGTGGATGGTTCTATTGTCCTAAGATGCGCTCCACTGGCCGTCAGCCATCTCGCGAAGACAGTGCCGAGGTGGACAGGGGGGGCTCGGTCATTTTGGCATCGTGCAACGCCTATCTATGAACCATGTAGAGTTAAACGGCTCGTTCGGTCCTGTTGAGTCAAACTCTGATAGAAGAAAGAAAAGTCCATCGGTTTTTGAGGGATCGACAGGCATTCATGTGGTCTGATGCCGCGTAAAGATGATACTAACGTTCCATCGGCTGGATGGCAATGCCCAAATACTCCAGGGCTACCTGCAAAACTCTAGTCCATGTTTTAATTGAAATAATACCTCTGCGCTTGCCTCAAAGCTATCGAAAGGCCGTGGATCGTAGCGCAATTTGTGCACGTGGTATTCGACTCGGCAAGAAAGAGGGGTGGCTGATGCCCCACCGAGAAAGTGGTGTGAACGTGTGGCGGTGCAGCAAAGAAAAAGCAGGGTCTGAGAGCTGCGCCACGTCAACCTGCATCTGTAAACAGGGTTGCCAGCTGAAAGCATTAAACTCAAATTTTCTCCAGTTCCTCTTGCGTGTCACATGCCGTTGGCGTGAGCGATTAGGGGATAGGGTGCATGCGCAATTTAGATCGTAGACGTAGTGAGACGGGATGTGGCTTCAATCTAGATCGTCGGTTCGCACAGGGGGGTAGAAGGCTGTCAATCCTTCCCGCTGTGTGCGAGGGGCGGCGGCTGCGTGTCAATCAAGTCAATTGATTATGACTATCACTGCGGGATCAAGATGTCGTGGGGATGGTGCCCTATGTCTTTCTGTAAGGTGATAGGGTGCGCCCAGAGTACGGTGTGATGGCATCGTCATAGTTGCGGTTTGCTAACCCATAACAACGCATAGTGTCTTCTGTGCCGTGTAGGTTCGCGTGTATCACAGTCTTGTCGGTCGCTTTTAGTCGAGCCTTGCTTTATTATAACACGGAGAAGGGGTAGACCGGCAGAGGATATTCAAAGATTGACGTAATGTGCGTACTGCTTGCAGAACGATCGCCAACGAGGCTGGGTGTTGGCTGGGAGCTTGGCAATGTTCTGTAAACTGGATTCGCGCCGCATGTCGCGAATCACAAGGTTGCTTTTGCGCCAGCTCGGTAATTTCCCTGTGCCCTGGTCGCGCATCTTCACATGGGAACGCGTTTCGTATGCTGGCCGATAAGCGTGGCAGTCGTATAACCTCAATCGACGGCATCGCTGAGATGCATTCACCGCCGCACAGTAACAAATCCACCGCGATTGAGGCTGGTGATGCAGGTCGACGACTGCGTCCAGGGTCCAGATGCTCGATGCACGTAGCCATAGCTGAAGTTGCTAGCGCACTGACGAGTCGCGTGTTAGGGCCGATTTGTGGAGTGTGCTTGGACCATACGTCACACTAGAGGCTTGTGGACTCCTTGTATAGCGCCCGCAGTCCTGTTTATTTGTATCTGGTCCAGGGAGCCTCCTAATTTCCTGTCGAAGCATCTTCCTTTCGCGAATCCTACACTCTCACCTCACGGGCGAGCGACCGCCTATCAGCCCAGCATGTCGTCTTCTGTAAGTTTAGAAAGTATTGCGATAACAAACACGAGCCTGCGCTGACCATAACAAAGGGTGGTGAAATTGGCAGTGCCAAAGAGGGATCATCCAATTCCCTTTCCAGTTTGGTATCCACCCTGGTACCGACTGCTCTTCTCGCGTTCGCCTTCGTGGCCGCTTTCTTTATCGCGCGCAAATACTTCCGTCGCGTCTATGCGCCTAGAACCTACCTTAACCACCTGGGACAGCAGCGACAGACGCCCGCACCGAGCCCAGGCTTCTTTGGATGGATAAAGGACTTCAAGAACCTCAAGGACGAATACATTCTAGACCACCAGTCCATCGATGGCTACCTGTTTGTGCGCTTCTTCAAGGTCCTTATCATCACCTGCTTCCTCGGATGTCTCGTCACATGGCCTGTCTTGTTCCCCGTCAATGCCACTGGAGGTGCAGGCCAAGAACAGCTCGACCTACTCTCTATGAGTAACATCGACCCCACAGGCACCAATGTCAACCGCTACTATGCCAATGCCGGAATCTCCTTCATCTTCCTCGGAATGGTCATGGCCATCATTGCCCGCGAATCGTTCTATGTTGTTAACCTCCGCCAAGCATACCGCCGTTCACCATGGGGAGCCAGCCGTTTGTCCTCGCGTACCATCTTGTTCACTAACGTCCCTACAACCATGTCCCAGTCGGCTCTTTTCGAGATGTTCCCTGGCGTCAAGCATGCCTGGGTCGCTTCAAACACAAAGGAGTTGGACGACTTGGTTGAGGACCGTGACAAGACTGCTATGAAGTTGGAGGAAGGTGAGATCCAGCTGTCACGCGATGCCAACACAAACCGAATGAAGGCTGAGAAGGGCAAGAAGCACTTCGTTGCGAGCGACGTGTCTGACGGCACGAAGTGGATTGACCCCAAGAAGCGACCAACACACAAGCTAAAGTTCCTGATTGGCAAGAAGGTTGACACCATTGAGTACGGACGATCGCACCTGGCTGAGCTCCTTCCCAAGATTCAACAAGAGCAGGACAAGCACTGGAATGGCCAGGGTGACTTGGTCGGAGCTGTCTTCCTTGAGTTCGACACCCAGAAGCACGCGCAAGATGCTTGGCAGATGATGCAGAGCAGAAAGACCAGGCCCGACAATAAGCTCAAGGCGCGCCAACTCGGTGTTATGCCTCAAGAGGTCGTTTGGGGCAATCTGCGCATCAAGCCTATGGAGCACCTTGTCCGCTGGGCAGCTGCTACCGGTTTCATCTCCGTCATGATCATCTTCTTTGCAGTTCCTGGTAAGATTCACAACAAATGTTCTATAGGATTCCGCTAACGTATGCAGTCGCCTTTGTCGGTTTGATCTCCAACATCAACTACCTCGCTGATCGTTTCACCTGGCTCGAATGGATTCTGGACATCCCCCAAGTCATTCTTGGTGTGGTTACCGGTCTCCTGCCAGCTGTCATGCTTGCCGTCCTCATGGCTCTTGTACCTATCGTCTGTCGCCTGATGGCCAAGTTGGCCGGATACGTTACCTACAGTCAGATTGAGCTCAAGTGCCAGAGCTGGTACTTCGCTTTCCAGGTTGTCCAGGTGTTCCTTGTCGCAACTCTGTCTAGCGCCATCACGTCCGTCATCAACCAGGTTCTTGCGGACCCGGGCATTGTACTCCAGCTTCTCGCTACCAACCTTCCCAAGGCCTCTAACTTTTACATTAGCTACTTTATCCTGTTGGGTCTCTCGTCGGCCGCCGGTACTCTGCTCAACATCGGAGGCTTCGTTGTAGTCGTGCTCCTTGGCCGCATCCTGCCCGGCAAGACACCTCGCAAAATCTTCGACAAGCTTACCAAGCTCTCGGCTCCATCGTGGGGATCTGAGTACCCCAAGTGGGTCAACTTGGCTGTCATTGGTATCACCTACTCTGGCATCGCACCTCTCATCCTCGGTTTCGCGACGGTTGGCTTCACTCTCATCTATATCGCTTTCAGGTACAACTTCCTCTACGTTTACGAGACCAACCTGGACACCAAGGGCGAGGCCTATCAGAAGGCTCTTCGCCAGTTGCTTACTGGTGTTTACCTCTCTGAGATCTGCCTGATCGGTCTCTTTGCTATCGCCACCGCCGATAACATCCAGGCTGTTGGTCCTTTGGCCATCATGTGTGTTCTCCTCTTCCTCACCATCGTCTTCCAGTTCACCCTGAAGTTCGCCCTGAAGCATGAGGAGGCACGCCTTGCCTACACTGACCCGGCCCCTACCCACGGCGGCCTCAAGAGTCACGTCGAGGACGGCATGCACGCGCAAAACGGCGAGAAGGTCAACACCACCGATGCCACGCCTAGCTACGCACCCAAGCCCACACGTATGCCTATGTTCCTGCGCAAGATGTTCAACCCCGAGAAGAATTCGATCCACAACCTCTCAGCCTCGCTCGACCAGTTCTACCACCAGCCGCAGGAGCCGCTGCCAATTGAGATTCAGAAACGTGCTTTCTTCAACCCATCGGTCACTAGCCCTACACCTGTCCTGTGGATTGTAAAAGATGACATGGGCATCAGTGCACGCGAGATCAGGGACACGCAAAAGGCTGTCCCCAACCTCATCATAACGGATGAGCAGGCCACCTTCAACGAGAAGGGCAAGATCTACTGGGACGGTGTCGAGAACGGCCACTCGCGAGAGGCACCCGTCTTTGACGAGCGTATCGTTTACTAGTGGAGGATTATCTTTTACCTAACGACGACGGATTACTGGAGTTCGATACCCAAAAAGGATGATTGGAACGTTGTACTTTCCTTGTATTTGCAGAGTTTCCTAGAATGAGCAAATCAGCGACGGCGAAAAAGGCGTGTTTTCTCCAACACTTTTCTCTTCTACAAACGAGTACCCCACTATTTTAGCTATATAATTAGTAATGATCACCGAGATGTGCATTCAATATTGCACTACGAATACATGTGAGCGATATCGATGGCACTGCGGATACACACAACGGTTCTGTGTAATAGATGTGTGTGTATATTGGGTATCATGCTGCTTTGCTCTTCGCCTAGATCGTACAACTCAAGCTTCAAACCGCGCCTGCCCTCCTCTGCTCAAGAATCTGTAACTTCAACCCTTCGGCAGCGACTTCCGTCTCCAAAACTCTTCCTACGCCCTTCTTCCATGTCTCCTCGAGCGTCTTGATCTCACCGCTTGCGCTATCCTGCTGCGATCTTCTCAGTATCTCTATGTCCTCTTGTTGCTTTCTCACATCTGCCAGCTCAGCCTCGATCCCCTTTAGGATGTCTTCTAGTTGCGAGTTGCCCACTAGCCACGCATTCTTGCCAAACTTCTCCAAGAGACCCAACTGCGTCAGCCTGCCCTGCACATACTCGGAGCTTGTGTAGGCCTGTTTCAGTGCCTTGTTCCACCGCTCCAGCAGCTCTGGTCTCTCCTCGTCGCTGGTAGGGGTTGTGTTCTCAGGCGCATCGAGATCCTCGTAGCGCTTTAGGTCGACGCCAGATAGCTTAGAAGTTGGGTGATCGTCGAGTCGCGCATGTTCGCGTGCGATGAAGTCGGAAAAGGTAGGTGTGTACTTGGCGGCTGCTGGTATAAGCGCTGGGTGCATGTCTGAAGTGTCTACGCCGGCGCTCCTGATGTCGGCGTCGATAGCGGCTTTGGCAGCAGCAAGGCTTCCAGCATCGAGCTCCGTATCGACATCTACAAGCAGTTAGCAGGCAATACTGGTTATCGTCACGCGCGCTCGGCGAAACTGCGCGCATCGGACATGGGGCTGTTCCAGGTAATCGCAAATTGCACGTACATGGAAGATGGTCGTAGGATTCTTGGATGAGTGGCATTGTTGCAAGGGACCTGCAGAAGGAGGGGAAGATGGTGTATTGGCGAAGCTGGTGTATTGGCAGTGAAGGGTGTCGCGAAACTAGAGGCAGACCCGGTAAATTTAGGCTACTGGGTCCGTCCGGGCTCCCCACCAACCAGCGCACGAGGAACCCCGCAACGTCATCCTAGACTCATGCATGTGCTACGCGCGACTGTCAAGCTTGTGGGAGCTCTGGTGGCCATTCGTACGACACCAGAAGCGGCGATACTTTCTTTCTTTCCCCTGCGCGAGGCGAACGCATGTGCAGACACATACACGTCCGGCACGCGTAGCTCCATGTGCTATCAGTAGCGTACAAGTACTTCTTCCTGCCTCCCCACAGAGGGATTCTGCTTTCCTTCCGCACACATCCGTTCGAGACATCTTTTCGCGTCAATGGCGCGCTCACACATCGCCGTGGCCTTGGGCGCTGCTCTTGTCGCCTCATTGATCATTGCGCAGCTTGTCATCAACCTAGGATTCCCTTCGGTCGACTTCTGGCATGGGAGGCTTGATAACATCTACAATGGAGCGCAGCAGGATCGCTTCAATAGTGCGAAGCAGGATGGCGGCATGGCCGATGACCCGTCTTCCTACCTCATCGGTGTTGGCAAGGCGGATATCACTGGGTGAGTGGCGCAAGTAAACTATACGTGACTCTACTGACGACAGCACAGTCCTGTCGTCGAGCTCAACATGATGGGCTACGCCAACTCGTCGCAAGTTGGCTCCGGACTCCGCCAACGCCTCTACTCCCGCGCCTTCATCGTCGGCAACCCGACCGAAGCCAGCGAACGATTCGTATACCTCGTTCTCGACACCCAGTCTGGAGACTCTGCGATCCGCAACGGCATCCTGGAAGGGCTGCAGGCTATGGGATCCGAGTACTCTGTTTATGGGAAGAATAATGTAGCCGTGACAGGCACACACAGCCATGCTGGGCCAGGAGCTTGGTTGAACTACCTCCTTCCCCAGATCACAAGTCAAGGTTTCGACAAGCAGAGCTATCGTGCTATCGTAGACGGAACACTTCTGTCCATCAAGAGGGCACACGAGGGTCTCACCCTGGGAACTGTTAGTGCTGGGACTGCGAAGATTGCTGATGCGAACATCAACCGCAGTCTGTTCGCCTACCTGGCCAATCCACAGGCAGAACGCGATCGCTACACAGATAACGTGGACAAGACCATGACACTGCTGAAGTTTACAAGAGCTAGTGATGGAAAGAGCATTGGAATCCTGAACTGGTTCCCTGTTCATGGCACAAGCTTGCTTGGCAACCAGACGCTCATTGCTGGAGACAACAAGGGCGTGGCCGCCTACCTGCTGGAGAAAGACATTGAGGCGAACGCCGACGACTCCAATGCCGCTGAGGGCTTCGTGGCAGGCTTCTCCCAAGCCAACGTTGGCGACACGACTCCTAATGTACTAGGCGCCTACTGCGAAGACGGTTCAGGCCAGCAGTGCCGACTCAACGACAGCACCTGTGGAGGAAAGAGTCAGGACTGCCACGGTCGTGGACCATACTTTGGTCTAAATGACGGAGGCCACAAGTCATGCTACGAGATTGGCAGGCGTCAGGCCCTTGGTGCCAGGAGCATCTATGACTTCAACGAATTCACGCCTATTTCTGGCAAGGTTCGCTCGTTCCATACATTTGTCGACTTCTCCAATTTTACTTTTACCCTCAGCAATGGATCTGTCGTTCACACATGCCCAGCAGCGATGGGTAACTCCTTTGCCGCCGGTACATCCGATGGACCTGGCGCGTTTGACTTTGTTCAGAACGACCCTGGTGCGCCATCGAACCCTTTCTGGAACATCGTTGGTAGTGCTATCGCACCACCAAGTAAAGAACAGAAGCAATGTCAGTACCCGAAGCCCGTCTTACTGAATGTCGGACAAGCCAACACACCGTATCCTTGGTCTCCAAACATTGTCGACATCCAGGTTCTTCGTGTTGGCCAGCTCGTCATCATTGTCTCGCCTGGTGAGGCAACAACTATGTCTGGTCGCCGCTGGCGCGAAGCAGTACATAATTATGTCGTCTCCTCGAACATTGCCTCCTCTCCTATTGTCGTGCTAGGCGGACCGGCGAACAGCTACACGCATTACATCGCGACAGAGGAGGAGTATGGTATCCAGCGCTACGAGGGTGCGTCTACCTTGTATGGTCAGCACACTCTGAACGCATACATCAACTCCACCTTGACATACCTTCCCTATCTCGCCGATGACGCAACAAGCTCTCCCCCACCCGGATCTTCCCCTCCGGACAACCGCGAGAAGAGTATCTCCCTCATCACCGGCGTCGTCTACGATGGCGCAGGCTTCGGCCGCTCATTCGGCCAAGTCACTAAAGACGTCCTACCCACCTACGCCCGCGGCGCCACTGTATCTGCTACCTTTGTCGGCGCCAACCCGCGTAACAACCTCCGTCTCGAAGGCACCTTTGCCTCGATCGAGAAGCAAAACAGTGACGGTACCTGGGTGCAGGTAAAGAATGATGAAGACTGGGAGCTGATCTACCAATGGAAGCGCGTCAACGGACTCACAGGAACAAGTGATGTTACAATCACATGGGACACCGGTTTAACAGGACCAGAAGCAGGCACGTACAAGATCCGGTACTATGGCGATGCTAAGAAAGTTGGTGGAACGATCACAGAGTTTGAAGGTCAGAGCGCGCCATTCAGACTGACGTAATGCTTTCCTGTGCTTTGGAACGATGTACGACGGTCATGTGGAGATGCGCGATTAATGAAAGGGATTTGTATTTTATACCCAATGTTGGCCAGAATGAAGAACAAACATCATCTTGTTTTCTCCGTCGTTCCAAAAATAACACACCCTCTCCTTACATTTACATCCAAAAAGGCAAAAGAATAGGACCAGGCACTACTACGAATTCGGAAATAGCTTTTGAATCGATAAGCAATGTTAATCACTGGACAACCAACCGTTAAAACTGATAAGCAGTTTATATCTATTGGCCCGATTCAAATCGGTTCACTATGCTTACACACAAAGGTTGGGGAAACTTTGAGGGTTATTGTATAGGTTGGCTCCGAGACCATTAGGCCGAGGCTTTGGTGGTAGTATTAGGCATTAACAGATAAACAGAATGGTGCTGGGTGTTGATAGAGACTGATGCGATGATAAAGAGGTGAGCTTGGAGTCAGATTGGAGGTTACGGGATTTGAGCGCGATACGAACTCTGTTTTGAGAGAGGGTAGATGAGAATATGTATGCTGCTTGGCTTCTTGCACGACCAAGTTTGAGATGCTTCGTTGTTACTGTTGCCCGTAGGTCTGACTGTTTACAGTGGTGGTGGTGGTGGTTTGTGTCTACATGCGCTCTCGTGGTATGTTGATTTTTCATCACGACCATATCCATGCGCATTGCCACAGACAGGCGGGTCCTTCCAGGTCTTCTCTCCCGTAACTCCCCTTTTTCCGTACTGCTCGTCCCATTCAAGTTTCAAGCACTAATCCTTGCTCTTGATCATAGATGCGCTCTGTCCACCCCGACCATACATGCCCACTGCTCAATGACTTACACAAGAGCATTTGCGCCTTTTCGCGCTCTGATATCTCCTCCCTGAGCTTTTCTTTCTGATTTCTGACAATCTTCTCTAACCTGCCAACTGTCGCTCTATTCTCCACCTTCTCCTCTGCAAGTTCACGCTCCAAGGCCTTGATTTTAACCCTGTGTTCCTTCTGCGTGATGTTGTTCTTGTAGGCTCGAAGACTCCTTTTCGCATCCTTGCCCTCTCGAAGTGCGCCTCTTAGTTTCTCTTCTAGTTGGAATATTTCCAACCTCCACCTTGTCGTAGTGCCAGGTTCGCCCTGCATAACAGCGTTATCAAGTTCTCGGCGGAGTTGGGAGTTTTCTTCCTTGAGGTGATTCATTTCCATGCATCTCGTTGCATTAGTTCGCTCCGTGGAGGTCTTTTCGAGTTCTTGTCGGAGAAGACTGTTCTCCTTCCGCAGGTTATCTCTGTCACGTTTGCCGGGTTTTCTTTTTCTCTTCTCTTTCGGTGACTTCATGGATGCAATGGTGATCTGCTGATGTTGTACTTAGCGTATGCTATACGGTCGGTAGTGCGTCCATCACACGAGCTTAATTCGAGAGGAGGTGCACTTACAGCATTAGACAGATCGAACTTGGGGACAATAGCGGGAGTGCATTCCTCAGCTTCCTCATCTCGCTCCACTGGCATGCGGTATTCCCCAGGCCCACCTGCCGTGACCCGCGCGCGGTACTGTTGCGGCCAATCCATTATGATAGAGTTGCCGTCCCAGTTCGAAGTTAAGGTGTTGTTGAGAAGTTAATATTGAGAAGGTGGAATGTTTGTTGAGGCGGCAAGCGCGCACGTGGTGAGGTTCATGGATTTGCAAGGAGCGAGGTGAAGGTGAGTGCGTTGCGAAGAAGGAGACGCGATAAAGACGAACTCCCGAGACGCGCACCAATGAAGGTGAAGATTCATCAATTCCTGCTTGTGTAAAAGACTCAAGGTTTGTAGCCCAACGCAGGGTTTTAGCTCAAACTGGCTGACTGCCTTGATGTGTAACATTCATCGTCTTTTCACTCGTCTCCAGACTTCTTTGTTGCACTAGTCTGGAAACAGAGCCGCCATACCAACCCATTGCCTCTACACCTTTGCCAATCGATGCTCGAGCTCGCCCTTCTCACGCTCCAACACCCGAATCTTAGCCTCGTCCAATAGATTTCTCGTTTGTGCTTCTTCTTTCATCTTCTCCATTTCGACTTGTAATGCTGACCTTCGCTGCCTTTCAAAGATCCGGGATAGTTCATTTGGTCTTGGTCTGTTCATCTCGCACCGTAGCTTGACCCGCGTAAGCTCTTCGTTGTGTTTCACATCGACCTCTGCAAGTTGATCAACATGATTCTCGTTGACGATCGCGAGGTCCTTCGCATGGGCTGCTTTTAGGTCGTCAATACGCTTCTCATGATCTGTACGCATTTTCTCAAGAACGCTTCTTAGACTATCAACCTGCCGCTCTTGCGTTCTTAGGTCTTTGATCAAAGCGGTAACTGACGATCTTGCGGCTACAGCATGGGCTGTAGATCGTGGCTTGTGCCATATCAGTGTTGTTCGCGTACAAATTCGCATTCTCAACTTACAGTGCTTGCCTGCGCAAGTGGGCGCGTGTCGCGACGGGGAAAAAGGGATTCGAACGATGGGTTACGATAGCGTTTTGTTAGTTTTGCTTCTTCCATTGCGCATTCATGAGAGTATGACTGTCCAGCATTTTGGTATCAGTAGGAGTTTGCGATAACACAATGAGAAGGTCTTTCTACCTAGGCTGCAGCTCTAATGGATGGTAAGAGTTGGGACGAAATTCTGCAAACGGAAGAGATGGAGGATGATCAATAGCGGGATGATCACGGAAGCAAAAATGAAGGCAGAATTGAAGCCTCATGCTATTTGCCAGCAGCCTCACATGATACTGCTACGGTATTGCTGATAGTGAGGTCCAACACTTTATTTCCTAATTCCTAAACCTCAGCATCTGATCTCAACCTCCAGCCCAAACGCCTTGCCTCACCACGATCAGCCAGCCTGGTTGTGGAGTATAGATGTAATCATGTCGACCAAACTTGACTCAGAATCGTAAAGCAAAGCGATCACTGTGCCTAACTGCTCCTTGATGCGCTTCAGCTCCTGCTGCGCTCCAGCATCGTCCGCATTTTTAGCTTTTTCATTGGCCAGCTCAATCTCAAGCTCCGCTATGTCTTCGTTGTCGCTGTCGTCGTTGTCACTGTTGCCGTTGTGGTTGTCGTGATCGTAATCGAGAAGTTAAAGATTTAGTATGTTCGTCTCCAACCTTTCGGTCTCGGCACGTAGTTGTTCGTTGCGAACCTTCAAAGCGTCGACTTCGTCCTCGAGAGTAATGATCTTAGTGTTCTTGCTCGCAATAGCTTCGGCATGTGTAGCTTCCAAGTCCGTAATATCTTTCTGAGTTTGGGCGAGCTCTGCCATGAGACCGTTCGACTATATGGAGTAAGCCGTTTTATTCCTTCTGTGTGTGGTCGGGGTCTCACCAGCTGCGTAGCGATGATTCTGAAACGAGTAGACCGAACCCCGTGACGCGCCGCAAGCGACTGACCACTTGAAGGCATGGCTTGAGGCTCACCTGTTGCTGTTGCTGTTGGAGCCATTGCGATCGAGAAGAGAGTGAAGAATGTAAGACCTTGAGTGCGCAAAGATATCGTGATGGGTAATCATGTGTTACCCAAAATTCAAAAGAGGGTGATAGGACGATCGGGTTAAGGCCGGCGTGTCGTCAAACACCAGAGTAAAGGTGACTTCGACTTCAATTTGCTCATCAAAAGCAGTGAGTTGTCCCGCGAATGCGACAGATTCGTAACGAGTTACTCCCATTACCAAACTTTATTGTAGCAGCTTGGGCATACATACAGCGCCTGAGAGAAGATAGCAGTAGGGATAGTCCGGAAGCGATAAGCTTTGGAAATGTGAGTGACCCTGCCCAGATCAGTCTTCAGATCGTCCATACGAAGCACCCCTTTCGAGAGGCATCGTTTCTTCCACGAGCCCAAAACCTGCTCTTCTCACAAGCCCATGCCGCTTCATCCCCGAACATTGCCCGACGTTGTCGATTCTCGTACCTACTCTTTCCACATCATCACTAGTATCTACATCCCGTACCCCTGTCATTGTTTCTGCACTACTGTCGTTCGCTTCTTCAAGCGTAATCGCGACCTTCGCGATCGGAAGTATACGTTCACTTTCCACCATCTCCCTGAACCTTACCCTTATCCTCTTCATTTCATTTGATACATTCTCCTCTCCGCCCAGGCACCCTGATCTAACCGCATCTTCAATCTTTGTTTGGCCTGTCGTTGTCATCAAGAGTTGTACAAAGCCTCCATCAATAGCTGTCACGCCATTGTGGCGCAGTGCTAATAGTCCAAGCACAAGTACCGGCAAAGAAAATAGTAGGCAAAGGCTGTACGGGAGGAAGAAGCTGAGTCTGTTTTCGAAGTGATAGACATTGAAGACGCTGGTCGAAGTACCGTTGACAAGGTCAGAGCGTTTATTCAGTGCGAGAGATGAGATTGTGATGTTCACCAGGGCTTCATTGAGTAGCTCTTCGGTCACGGTGAAGTTTTCGGGCTTGAGTTGAGCAAGATCGCTGTTGTTGAAACGGATCTTGTTAAACGCCGAAAGAGCCAATATGGTAGATCCTGTGACTAGTCATATGATGGTCTTCCACTACTGTTTCCTAGGGAGTACGGATCCCTCACCGAACATAGGATTTTCATATCTGACTTTTGCGGTGCAGCTCAAGTAACTCTTGAACTTCACACTATACTTCGTCGTGCTGATCCATTTTGGATGCTCGAGAGTTGATAGATCAAACCAAATATCACCTAAGAGCTGTCCTTCCAGCTTGAAATTGACGGTCAGAACTGACCTAGGAGGTAGAAACTAACTATGCCGAGCGGCACCTTCCAGCCTCGCCGCCAGACTGTCGTTCGCGATGAGATGCGAAGGAAGGTAGAAATACCGTTAGGTTTTCCTTCATTCGATGCTCGGTACGACTCCTTGAGGGCACCTGCGAGCACCAAGTGCGCCGATAGATTGTGGTCTGTCCCGATATCGTGATTTCCATCCTCGAATGACGGGCGCGTGGACGGCCTGTTCTGCTCATGGTCTGTAAGCATACTTCGATAGCGTTGGATTTGATTAGGAGCAATAACTACAGCAATTGCGTAAACCCCATCGGGGCTTGGGTTATGTCTGTGTTTCGAATATATTATACGATCCAGCACGATGCTGTACTGCTCAAGACTGCAGATGCACGCAGTCACGTAGGATTGGATCAACAGGGCGCCTGAACGAAGGAAGCTGATGGGTTCTGGTCCACGGCAAAGCCCAACCGCTATCGAGTGCTTCTTGCGGTATTCCAAATGGCCATAATGGTATGCGTGAGGCAGTATCTTGGGGTCCAAATACGCGGAACAGCTGGTCATTGGACGGGTACCAGTTCTGGCATAAGCTTTGCAGTCTTGTCTGGCTGCAGGGCGTAAGCATCGAGAGTTAGTTTTCGGGCGTAATAGAGTAGACTCGACCATCCTGTAGAGCGTGGACCAAGCAGCTATCCAACATTGAATGGCTCCGAGTGCCCTAGAACAAGATTATTGCTCATCTGGCATGCTTGCAGCTGGCTTGTCTCATCGTAGTGCTTACGGAAAGCTAAGGGTTGTAGTAAGGAAAAAGTCTTCGAAGCAACGATACCAAGTGTGAAGCATACTGGGCAAAGACACAAAGCGGTTTTGCGAACACAATATAACAGAAGCTTGTCGAATGATGAAGGCTGGTTCGTTGTGGGAGGAGCGATCTTTGCGAGACCTGTCGCGAAGAAAGCGTTAGTCCATTCACAAGCTAGTAAAGTTTCGTTACGTCGTAGGTATTTTAGACGCGACACGTCGAAACGTTCTTCCCTAAAACTGCAAGGTAGAACAGGGTTCGTCCTAACCTGATCTGAGATGGGAGAGTGCTTTCTCTTCCTACACGGCTGAGAGCCCCGCAGGCTAGATCAGGAAACCATTCCCAACTTAAGCACTTCTAAGCTATATTCGTTGCCTTGGGTCCCTAACTTTGGCGTCTAGTATAACTCTCTCAGACTATCTAGACTTCCTCATCAAGTGTAGTTCTTCCACTCGTGCCTTCATCCAGCTTCGAAATCGATCGCGGTGGCGCCGCTTGGCTGTTTCCGAAGGGTTGTTGTCGCCCAATTGGGCCGCTTCGACAAAGGTATCAAATGTAAGCGTACGATTACACTCCAAAGTCTTTCCATCCTCTCCGGTATCATGAAGACTAGCGTAAGACGAAGGACTCTCGGTGTTCGGCTGGAGAGTGCAATGGAACGGATTCGAAGGGCCATTGGCTCCGTCGTTGAGACCTTCAGTCGCATGCGAACTCGAATGGAACATAGCGGCGTTGGGTCGGATCGTAGGGTACTTGCATACGGTTCGCTGGCCATGCTCCTTGCTGTCACCAGATATGTGCACGAGAAGGGTCCATATGCGACCATAGTCCGGCGTCTGCGACACCCTCGTGTTGTATGGGCTGCCGTCAGGTCGCTGGAGAGTAGAAGTCGAAGGACTCGTCCTCGACTCGCCAAATTGGTCAGGGAAAGAGACTTTGGGTATTTGTGCATCTTTAGCTGCCTCCGCGTATGATACGTCGCCTTTTTGAAGGGATACCGAAGGCGACATATCGGCGTGTGATGATAACAGTAGATGAATGAGTGGAACGAGGAAGGAGTACAGCCAGAAGCATAGAAACTCCGCCTTTGTTGCAGCTACGTTGGTATCGTACCTGCGTTTACTGTAAGATCTGAGGCTGATTGGGCAATTGCTGAGTTCGCAGCTAGGCCAGTGCGATCTATTGTCAAGTTGACTTGGTACTGAGACGGAAAGAAAGTCACTTCCACATGTTCGACCGTGGCATCACGTTTCACGGCTTTTACGACATCCTCTTTGCATGAAATAATTCAAGACAGCTAATACCAAGGGTAATGTATCCAATCATGGTCATTAAGTACCGGGCTACCAACGAGGCCAACCGCATTTTTATATAAGCGAAGTCGGCTATGCATCGTCAAAACGTGGTGATAGCAGCGCACACATTATCTGCCCCCAAAGCCAAACCTACCCAGCCTCCGACCCACTGCCACGCTTCCGCAGTAACGGCACCGACGGCATTTTTGTCAATCTCCTAGTCTTAGCCTTTGACTTTGGACTCGGGCTTGGACTCGCCTTTCGTATCTTGACCTTCTGTGCATATTTTGAATCCTTCAACACCTCGCCCTTCCCAGATTTATGTGGCGCGAGGAGGGAGTCGAACGTCGTCTCTGGGTTAGCACGGAACTGGACTTCCTGGGCGAGAGGGCTGCGGGCTCGGATTGAGGAGTTGGATGATGATGGTGCACCTGAAATGGATGCTAGGGGTGAGATGCGGCGGGCGTAGTAGGTGCTTGTCCGAGGACGCGGAGGTTGCGAGAAGTAGTCCTCACTGCTTGCTGCACGGGCGTGTGCAGCGTGATAGTGAGGCGTATTGTCCACGAACTCCTGGGACGATGGTGCAAATGTTGATTCGGGCAGCGGATGTGGCTTTGCGGGTGATAGAGTAGGAAGGCGAAGATCGTAAGTCGACTGAGAAGCGCGCGGGGACTGTGCATGAGCAGACTCGTCGTCCTTTTCAGTGTCAATTGTAACCTTGATACAAGGTCGGCCGAACACTTTACGCACCTTCTCTGTTATCTTAGACAGAGCGCGCTGACTATGCTGCTTGTCATGCTCGATACTCGCGAGAGCATTAGACTTTTCCACTTTTGGCATTACGTGTGGAACCAAGTTCTTGCGCGCCTCATGGTGAGTGATGAGGTTCTTGCCCGACCACTCTTGAAGGTTGTGGCTCTTTTCGCCTTGCGCAAGCGCTAGCTTTTCTTCTACGGACAGTGCTTGAGGGTAGTAGCGCGACTCCTGTGGGGGCTGCTCGAACGAAAAGACCGACATGGAGGAGTTTGGACGACGGTGTACGCTGACTTGCCCGGATAAGTGCTGAGCTTGCGGTCTGGTAATTGCAACCCGGTCAACTGCGTTGTTAGCCTCGAAAGATGTCAAGAAATGGGGATCGAGTGGTTCAAAGGGCTGTCGCGGGGTGGCAGTGAAAGGGGACAATGAAGCGTAGCAAGAAGACACTGCCACTGGTTGGTCAAATCGCTCCCTCAGATTTGCAGCAGGATTGTAGGATGTAGAGTCATCTGTACAACCTGAGCCTGCATGGACAAACGGATCCCACCTCGTCGCCGCGAAAGAGAACGATGAAGCCCCATTTTCATTGCCTGCGATGAGCGGCCAATGGGTGTCGCGAACATCGTGGTTTGCTTCCATCTTCTGTAGCGAAGATACCGCAGGCTGTTGGTAGTCCATAATGCGCGATTGATTTCACGTTGATACTTGCGACGAGGTGAACAAGAGGATGCTTGTGATGCCTGAGAATCGCCTATAGTGATGCGCAATAAGTTCCAGAGAAGTGTAAGCTTGATGTCAAGTTGCTGTGGCTGCTGGTCGGTATCGAATCAGTCGGAGTAAACAATATACGCGCACGAGGCTAGTCATTGTGAAGACTTGTTGGCTGTATAATGGATGTGCTCTGTAGCACAGGGTGTATTCTCGCTTTACACTGGCGGAGATCATGGTGAGTAAATACGCAAACATGAAAACTGATCTGTTGAATATTCAAAAGTGGTTCATTCACTCTTGAGCGGCGCCTCAGATCAATAACTGATCCCACCCCTCCTTCCCATCTTGTCATAGGCTAAGCCTTCTTTCTTCGTGTCTCCTTCTTTGCATACATCTACACTCGTGCCTCGAGGGTCTGCAGTTTCTTTCAATGGTAGCACCATGTAGGGCTGCCATACTACTCGACCTGGACGTTCCCTGGCTCTGCCGTTTTGTCGAGCGACGCCTTGATCGCAGGAGTATCGAGCGAGCCCAGAGAGCGGTCTGGAGAGTCAGACGCCTCAACAGAGCCTCGTCGTTTTGGATTGTACACTACGCCTAGCGAGCGAACATGATTGTTGATTACTGTCGAATTTTCCGTCACTACGCTCACACGTATACCCATTGGAAGAAGCCCAGGGTCATGATAGCGACACCCAGATATGTTGATGTAAAAGGTGCGTACCGACTTCCGAGAGATGTGGGGTCGGACGTGGGTCTAGGATCATTGTCAGCGTTCGCATTCCTAAACTTGGCGTGATTCTAAACGGAACTTACTGCTTCAGATGCAAACCCATATCGTCGATGGCATCACATCTCTGCCACTCCAGCTCGGGAACTACCTCCATGTTTACTTTGTTGTTGTCGTTGAAGCTTAATCTTTGTCCGTCGCTCGCGCCAAACGAGTGCCAGTCCGGGCTCTGGAGCTCTGAACCTTTGGAGACTAAATATTCTGCAGCGTGCGTGTTGGGATCAAAGCTTCGGATGAAGGACGCCCAGTATGCCTGTACAAAAACACCAGCGGCCGAAGTAGCGTTGTTCCAGATTGGCAGCAACTCGCCAACATGCGACGCGGTTCCGACGTTCCATCGGTACTGCCAGGTTGGGGTTGTTTTGTTAAGGGAGTAGGTATCGGTAATGTTAAGAGCGGGACAGGTATAACGGATGTACCCATAAACATCAGCAGTCAGTGATCTCCAACGAGCATCCCCAGTGGTCGCCATATTGCCATCCCAAACCTGACGAAGGGTATCCCAGTTCAAAGCGGGATACTGGTCCGTGAGGAAGTCCTGAGATCGAGTTTGAGACATGACGCTCTTCTGTACAAAGTTGATACCGTCATGTGTGGCACTACCGAAGATGGTAGGTACATTGACGAAATGGCCAGCCTTTAATTCGTTGAAGGTGTAATCTTGCACGAAATCGTAGTCCAATGTTGGGTTCCAGAAGTAAAGCGGCGGATTTTTGCCGCCCGGGAAAGGCTTCTTCAAAGTGCTCACAGCATCCTGGAAAGTGACCGCATCTAAGTTCGCCATACAGTTGAGGTCGGCGCATCCAGTCTGTTTGAGTAGCTCGTCGAATTGCCATTGGCTATCTGCTACGTCTCGAAGTGATGGAAAGGCAGGAGACTCGGCAGCAGCAGCGTGGAAAAGGCCGTCGTCTCGGCCACCATATGCAGTAAGTTGAAATACGACGGAGCCTCCTCCAGCACTTGCCCCTCCGATGGTAACGTGTTTTGGATCGCCTCCAAACTGCTGGATGTGTTTTTGAACCCATTCAAGTGCTTTTCTCTGATCCTTCAGTCCGTTGTTCAAGCTCAAGCTCGAATTCGCAACTATCTCACGGCCAGCCAAGAATCCATAAGGCCCTACTCGATAGTTGAAGTTCACCACAACCATGCCGTCGTCGCCAGCATCGATCAAGTCTGCACCATTGTAGTTGGCATTGCCGTTGATGTTGAAGCCACCGCCCTGGATGAAGATGTAGACCGGCAACTTGCTCTTGTTGGTGGCTCTTTCTGGCGCGAAAACATTGATGAATAGGCAATCTTCCGAATTGCTCCCTCCAAGTTCAGCTTTGATTGGCTTCTTGGTGCCGATACATACGGGTCCAAACTAAGGTGCTGTTAGCGTGGTTTCGATACACATGAACGCGCTCTGAGTACCTCTGTAGCGTTGACAACATCGCGCTCCTCTTTGGGATCCTGAGGTGCGGTAAATCGCAGTCCTTCTAAGCGGGATGGGCTACGCGCATATCGCATCCCAGCCCAGCGTATAACACCATTGCCGATATCTTTTCCGCGGTACTTTGCGTATCCAAGGTCGATAGTTTGTTGCAGCGCTAGGGCATGCTGAAAAAAGAGTGCTGCACAAAGCAGCAGGCGAAACATTGTCGACAATTGGGTGAGTGGAAGGCGAAGAAAGGAAATCAAGTCGCAAATAGGTACAAACAATGGGGTATCGTATTCGGTGGTGTTTCCCCTGGTTGTCGCCGAAGGGTCGTTCCGACACAAGCTATGCTATAGTGCGGCAGGGCTATGCGTAGATCTTTGATCTAGGGGAACGGGACAGAGGTACAAAAGAAACTCGACGATTGCATCATAACCTCATTGCAGGGAGTTTGCGTGAAAGTATGCTATTTCCGAAGCGTTAGCTTTCGCAGGTGACGTCTGTTGGCGCCGTGGTAAATAGTACATACTGTGGGGGAACAATCAGTGACATTTGCACCACCGTGCTACTAGCAAACGTAAGCTCGAGGGCTGAGTCGATGGAAGTACAACAACGGGGATCCACGTCACGAAAGAGCGGGCCCACGTATATAAAAATGCCTGAGTGATTTGTTGTTGCTTCTAGTTATCGCTGCATCGGTCCTATCCGCACCGCCGCACTGCAGCATTGAGCCAGGGTTTTCTGAGATCCAGACCATTCGCATGCATGAGGGCGTGAGTGACTCTGTGACTGGGTGTCCCCAAGCCTATGGGAAGTGGATAATGCTAACCAGAGTGATTTACCGACAGGCGGTAGCGCGCGCTGACGGTATAATTACACCGAAACCATTCCATTGCTGTGCCTCCTTGAACTCCTGGGGTGTCCGCGGATCCTAATTCTGGGATCAAGGACGGCGATAGGGGGAATGGAACATGACGACTGGCGCTGCACGGAACGGCAGACGATGATCGACAACAACAATGAGATCACATCTACGATGGAAAAGCAGTTGGCAGATGCCCAGCATTGTTGATCAGAAAGCCATGTGGGACCTGCAGCCATATCCATGATGACAAGCCTGATCATCTCAAGGATGGGAGGCGACATCCTTGCCGGCGTCCTATCAAAGGGCAAGATCGGTCATGCCAACGTGCGACCAGGACGGCTGAAACCTGGACACAAGGATGAAACCACGACGCCTTGCACAACAACTATCCGCCCTCACGAGATTTTGTGGAAACAGTGAAAATTAGAATTGCCAGCTATTTTTGCCCTTCGCTTGGCCTCATCATTGAAAGCGATGATGCCGTGCAGGTTCATCAGGAATACTCGGCTCCATCGCGATGCCCGGATGGCGTTAAAAAGCCACGTCGAGACGTGCTTGGTCAGGCGTGTTGCAGCAATCGCAAGTACTCCTCGGCCCACGTTGTCTGCCGTCAGCTTTGAGCGTGTATTGGTGTTCATGACAAGCACTTGAAGACTTGCCCAGCTAGGAACCTGCTCATCCTGGAGGCTTGCTTTTTTCGGGTCTAAATGCGTCACTTCTTAACTGTCGGATCAATACATGCCATCCATGGTTACAACACGGTCAACTTGCGAACCTAGTAGTCCACTGTGCATCCCAGGTGATCCCCGCGTTCACGCACACCATCGTGCCGTTAGATTCGGTGATCCGGAGAAGCGCCAGCGCCGCGGTATTTCCAAGCTATCCGAACGCCAGGCCTGCAAGCCACTAAGCCTTTGTTCTAGAACTTCCACCACTCTTACACCTCACGAGAGGTCTTTGAGCATCCTTCCGAAGCCTGTGAAGAATATTCGGCACGTATTACACCTTTACTAGATACCGAGGTCGCAGCGAACTACACGGGTTCTTAATTGGAAGCCGTAGTTCGTGCTACTCCAGCGCAGCTCCTCACAAAGGCGAATTGCATTATGGAGGCATTCTAATACACTCTACCTCTTAAATCGAAACACCAGCACGATACTACGGATCTCGCTGACATGGTGGGCTCGCAACATTATTGAGTAAATCTGCATGATGATGATGATGATCGCAGTCAGGTGTATGTCCCAGGCTGACATGGTTTATTCACTATTTTATATGTAAGACAGACCATTGCAAATACTCCGCGTATAAAAATATGTCGTGGGTGTTCAATGTGTAGCGGCGACGGCATTGATTACAAGCGCGAGAGCCCGGGAAGCAATGTCAGCAAAAGGCGTCGACTTCCCTTGTTTCTATGTAAGACTGATGTTTCCGCTGTACAAACACAGGACTAGTTTATGTCCAACTAATACCTATCTCGCAACAACATTTGCGAGACTTCCGGTATGTGACGCCATATTTCTCTGAATGTTTGAATGTTCCTTTCGAGATGATAAATTAGGAGTTGCCACCATTGCAACAATAATAAGAAATACTAAGTTGTCAGTTACCGCTCGACGGAACATATAGTTGGTCGGGAGGAAGCAGAATAAAAATTACAAAGCAATGTACCAATCGTATGGCAGGACACTTTCATTGCTTTCGGATATATTGGTCTTATTATTCATCAGCAAATAGTTCCAGTACATCGAGAATCAAGTCTGCTTGGAGATTTAACGGTGTATGAAAAAGGTCGTTAGATCCAGAGGAGAAAGGACAATGTTTGAGTGTTGCATGGAAAAAGAGCGAAGAAATGCGAGAAGCGTTCAAGTTCCAACTCATCATTCCTTTCCTTCAACACTCCTCCCAGCTTGTACACATCCGAACCACCCGGTATCTTCCTCGAATCAAGCGTGCCGCTTCATCTTTACCCATCCTCCAGTGTCTTTCTCTCAAAATCCTCCGGTCTTTCCTCTCAGAAATCAGTAACCCTTCCGTTATAACTCCAATCCCCTCGTGTAGCATCGCTCCCCCACCTAAGCGGTTCATTCTTCGGCCCCCCAACCTCGCCCGTCTTGGGATTAACATCGCCCTCAAACTCCGGGGGCGCCCCTCTCCTCATATTCGGATGGAACTCCTCTCCCTTCTTAATCTCCTTGCCATTTTCAAATCTTACTTCCGGAGCCGAGTCAGGCGATTGGTTGATTTGCGGTCTTGACGGTGAGGCGGGGGAAGCGGGCGTAGGAGACGAGTCTGGAGATTGGTTGATGCGCATGCGGATGTTTGGTTTCGAGGTGGGGGTTTCGATGTCCTTGGGTGTGCTGAAAGCGCCAGTACTTTGCTTCTGGAGCTTTTCGAAGAGTTCTTGTTCTTCTTTGGGGAGGCGGGGTGGTGCTGGGCCGGAACCAAAGGGTGCTTGTGCGTATCGGGTTGAGGTGCTGAATGTGCGGCGGGAGAGCTGGCGTGGAAGGCGCGTGATGGTGCGCATTGAGGCAGCCATTGTCGGTAACTGAAGTCGATCTAGATGTTCGAGAGATGTATTAGACTACACAAAGTTTGTTGCGAGTGTAGTGGAAAGCTGTTTGTAAGTCGATGGTGAAGACGACATCTTGACTGTAGATCTGGGCCGCGGCTTCACGGAGCCAATCGGAGCCTTGCAGTGGCAACGGAGGTCGCATTTTCGTAGATCGTGGATACGCATCACAGTTCTCTTGTACAAACATCCAATGTACCATGTTCCGAGTTATTATCGTAATATCAAAGTCCCAGTACATGTTGCGTCTAACTTTTCAGAAAGCTATCGTCCCTTCTGGGTCAGAAACGCCTACCGTCCTCTGCATCCAAACGCCAGGCTATTGTACAAAACTACAGCACACAATCTAAGCAATGTATCCATTCGTCTCGCCCAGTGCCCGCGCGCTCCTTCCTGCATCCAAGAACAAGTTTTGACATTCCTCCACGTCGTCTACCTCGATTTGCTTGTTCTCCCGTCCATTGACCTCTGCCAATACGCTCGCGGGTGCCAGAAGTTGCAGCGCGTATCGCAGACTAATCTTCTCACCCAGCGCGCTGACCTTGTCCTTTGCTGGTCCTGAAATGTTGAGCTTCTCGGTTATGACGCGTGTGGAAATGATCGACTTGATTTCAGCAGGTCCGTAGGGGTGTGTTGGGATGATAAGGAGGCGAGCGAGCAAATCGGTCGGGATGCCATGCGCCGAAGGAGGCAGGTTCTCTCCACCACGAATGTGTGTGTTGCCACGGTTCGATGCGAGGATAACAAGAGGTGAAAGAGGCGACTCGAGCGCGCGGTTCAGGAACGTGAAGGCCTCGAGGTCGAGCATGTGAACCTGCGTATGTTAGTCAAGCCCATGTCCTTGGAAAGTCGTGTCTTACCTCGTCGATGAAGAGCACACCAGGTACTAGGTCTGCAATACCTTGGTCGATGTACCTATTAACGACCTTGTTGATCTCTAACCGCAGCTTCTCTGTAATCTCAGTCTTCTTAGGCTTCATCAACTGGCCCATCATGCTCATGATGTCCTGTCCACCTTGCGGCCGCGCGTTGGCGACATCCAGGTCATGCAGTGTAACGTCTTGAACAATCTCCTTCTTCTTGTGCACATCACCCTTTGGTATTGGCACGTACTCCTCGGCTTCAAGATCAAACTCAGTCGCGTAAGCGTCGGATCGTCCGACGCGCTTCACGGCACCCGTGTTGGCTTCAATGTAGATAACGTCGCCTAGACGGACGCGTTCCTTCTGTATGGCCTCGTATATGGATGGATCGAGTCGCAGCTTCTTCGTACCCTTGGCGGATTTGAGGTTAATGAGGAGATGCGAGATGGTGCGGCCATAGCCTCCGAGCGGGTTCTCGGCTTCTTCAGGAGTGAGCTCAGTCACTTCGCCTTCGTAGACTTCTTTGGTTTCCTTGACGCGAAGACCTATCGTGAAGTATTAGTACATGCCGTGACTACAGATGGAGTGAATGCGCACCTATTGCCCTCCTGAAGTTCTCCATGAGCGCCTCGGTCTTCTTCACTTCCGCAGAGTATATCTCGCTGCCGACAATCGGACAGAAGGGCACCTTGGTACCCAGCTCCTGGCTCACAGCCAAGGCCAATGCGGTTTTACCGGTTCCAGGTCCACCTGCGAGTAGCACAGCTCTGCCCGACATCTTCTTCGCCTTGACAAGGTCGACGACTAAACCACATGCCTGCGCTGGTTAGTACTGAGGCTGGAACAGAGTGTAGGAGAGTGGTCTACCTCTCGTGCTGCAGCTTGACCGACGAAGCCACCAGCTGCGGGAGTTGCGCGTCCATCACTTGATAGACCTAGTCCTTTGATGTGGGAATGCGCCGCGGTTCTTGCTGAGCGATCGTGCGTGCTCTTGACTTCGCTGACTGGCACCGTCGTCATTTTCGGCGTCGCAAGCACTCAATCCTACTGAGTGACAATGAGTATGTATTGGAAAGTCGATTATAGTCGTGTAGGCGGGGTGGCGATGGTATGTATAGCTGGGCGCGCGTTGTTTGGGGTGTCTTGAGCTCGAAGTTTTGGGAGCGATGGCAGTTCGCGAAAGGCACAGCTAGCGCGTCGACCGCAGCGCCGGCGCTCTATGTCAGTCACCCGCTTGAATCCCCACCCTCCGCCTCCACTCACAGCAGCAGGGCATTCACGCTCCCAGGTCAGGCTATACGTCTGCCCAAGATGATGTACACATTCTTATTATCGCTTCGACTTCTTCGTTGCAGTACTGCTATCTATTTGCTTTTTCCACCATCGCACCTTCCTCCATGGCGTCGCTTGTCCGTTGTCGTCACACGGCGTCGCAGTCAGGGTCACTGCGTGGGCGAGACGGCCAACAGAAGGTACAGTATCTGATCTTTCACTCACTGCGCCAGACACTAACAGTATTATAGACCACCTGGACACCACCTCCAGAAGCACATGTTCGCGCCCTGAGTACCGCCATCCATCACCGATGCCCCCCTCCCCCTTCGGAACTTCGTCTCCCGAACAACTGACGGCCGCTCCTTCACCCTGAAGGAACACGGAAGACCTTACCAAACGCCCCCTAAATCCGATAGAAATACGCATGCAAAGTGAGACGCCATACACGACACGCGCAACAACGATTCTCGACAAGTCACAGGTTGATTGATTAGTCGCATCCACTCTCGAGTACACTACCGAGCCAAGACCAAGCACCATGGAACATCACACACCGAGGCACAACGCACATTTGGCAATATTATCTGGATTTTATTCTGGCCGCCAACCCAAGCAGCTTATTCATACAGCAAAAGGCCTACTCGTATGTCCTCCATTTTCGGCAGAACCACCACGCCAAATGCCTCTTACGGCGGGCAGCCCACGCCTTCGACCAAAAGGACCTAAAAAGACAAACCTCGTCACTCGTAATCCATTGTCGGCATTGGTACCATGATCATGGCACCTCTAGGGTGAGGTTGGTGGGCAAGAGAATACTATACAATCGATGTGTGTTGGTTGTGTGTGTGGGGGGGTTTGGTACTCAGTGAGCGCCCGCAAACTCGAGCAAGCACCCATGTTTGCCTGAGATCTCTGTCGCCATCGATGCGCACCGACCGCATTATCAAGAAGCAGGCAAGATGCCCACGTTCGATCATGTCGAAGGAGAAGAAATGAGATTGGACCAATCATTGAACCAGGACGTCACGCGAAAACAGGAGGACTATTTGCCCGAGAAGATTACTCTTCCTCGCTCTCGGAGCCACTTGACTCGTCGTCGTCGCTTGATGCATCATGCACTGAAAAGGTTAGTTGATGATTGAAACATGCACACACTGACAACTCACCAGGTGGAGACTGGCTGGATCCCGATGCACCACCTTGGAACGACTGCAGCTTCTCCTGAATCTTGCGCATGTTGTCTTCCTGCTCGCTTTTACCCATGGGCTTATTCTTCTTCGGTCGGGCCGCCGCCTGCTTCGACACCTGCCTAGGCGGTTCAAAGTCATCATCGGCTACGGCGCCTCCCTTAGGACCACGGAGAGACTTGATGAACCTCAACAACTCTCGGAGCGTATCATCGTTGATCTCGTCCATATCGAGCTCCATCTCATCATCGTTCACGGTAGCGAGGTGCGGGCAGCCGTTTCTTATAATCTGGACTGCCTTGCGCATATCTAGATCGCCGAGCGTGCTGATACCCTCGGAGATCTCCTGTTTCTGGGCGAAACTCAGAGGCGCTGGAGCCTTCACCTTCTTGACCGGTGCAGTCTTGATAGGCTTAGCAGGAGGCGGTACCGCGAGAGGAAGACTCTTCCTCTTCGTCGGTGGCGCTACAGCCTTCTTCTTCTTACCAGGCAACTTGGGCGAGGCACGCTTGCTACCTGTTTGCTGTTGAAGAAGTTGTTGCGCTGTGGCGTTCAGTTGTGCAATCTGTTGCTGGATTGCAAGGAACTGCGCCTGAGCAGGGTCTATCTCCTCCTCCTCTTCGTCTTCCTCATCGTCCTCATCGGAGTAGAGGTCGCTTGGTGAGTGTTCGGGAGCAGGCGCATGCTGGGCAAGCCAGTCCGCCTTCTCCTTCCACAGGCTCTCAAAAAGGTCCTCCATCTTGTGTCCCATCTGGTTGACAGCATCACCTTCAGGGTTGAACTTGTAGCAATTGTGGAACACAAGTTGCGCATCCGCGTAGAAGTCCTTGGCACTCTGGTAGACACCATTCTTCAAGTTCTTCTCGATCGTTCCAAAGTCCATCGGCTTCTTGATGATCTTGAGATAGGACGGAATGTTGAGTGCCACGGGGTCTACTGGTGCAATGAACGGGTAAGTAACTGCACTGTACTTTGGCTTCATCAGCTCGGTAAGAACAGACTCGCAGAACTTGAGTTCTTGTGCGAATTTCTTCCTTCTCGGCTTTGCGTTGGTGTAGGGCAAATCTTTCGATGGCCTGTGAATCTCGCGCTTTGGCCGACCGTCTGTAGTAGACGAATCACGTCGAATCAGTGGCGTGCCGTCTTGCTGCAGAGGCCAAGCAGCCTGAGGTGAGGTTGCTGCAGGAGTCGCGACGGCGGGAGACTTGACATTAGGCGGTGCAACACGAGACTCACGTCGAGCCTTTGACGAAGTGTTGACCGATGGCTTCTTCACCTTGGCTGGCTTCGGTGGCTCTTCAGCAGCAGCACCTCGAGGCATCTTACCCATGCCTTTCAAGAAGTAAGCGCGAAGGTTGTATCCTGCCTGAGTTACAGGGTGTTGCTTGTTGTTGAATAGCTCGCTGTTGGTAATCATTTGATCGAGATCTGCCATGAAATCCCTTACGTATGTGTACTTTTTGTCCTTCAACTTGTGCTCCATGGTCGACAAGTCCATGGGAGTTTTGACGATGTCGTGGTAATTAGGGATGTTGAGGGCTATGGGGTCAACAGGATCCTTGAACGCTAATGAAACCTTAATCTTCTTCGTGTTCCTTATCCGCTCAAGAAGAAACTTGTTCTGTGCGTCCGTCATCGGAGTGGTGGGCCATTCTTCCCAATCAACAGCCTTGTGAACACCTGATGCCTCGTGCGCAGAGTCGGAAGCCGGTCCCGGAGTACCTCCATTCGTGCTGGGCAGCTCGGTCTGATTCGGCAGCTCGGGGAGCTTGAAATCGGCCTGAGCGCTTGTCTCTTCTTCCGTCTTCGTGCGCTTCGCATCTGGAATGTCGTCATCGTCATCCTCGCGTGGGCGGACTTTGCCCGAGGAGGGAGCATCTTCCATCTCGCGATCTACGATTGCTGGCGATTGAGCGGCAACGGACGGGGGCGCGGTAACCGCGTCGCTATCCGTCATTATCGTAAGATCGTTCATAGGCTTCGTAGGCGCTCCGGAGGACTCTGCAGGTTTCGACTCGACAGGCGCATCAACAGTGGTGTCCATGCTGTCTTCAGCCAGCGCTTCCTCCTTGGCGACAATCTGGGTCTCGGGTACTTCCTGAGTGCTAGTGGCTGTTGCCTGGGTCGCTGTAGAGAGCTCTTCGGCAGTCGCGGGTTCGTCACGCACATCTGAAGTCGGCGCCTCTACGGCATTAGTGACCGTGGCAACAATGTCTTCATCCCCAAACAAGGAGTTGTTATCTTGCTGGTTCTCAGGCAGAAACTGTGCGACACCGTCGATTCCAGCAGAGACGTTGGTAGTGGGCTCAACGGCAGGCTCAACTGCAGGCGCTGATGTGTCCATGTCGACGTGATTGCCGTTGGTAGTTGGTTTTGATTGTACGGTTTCGTCGAGAGTTGGTTTAGGTTCTGGGTCGTCAAAGAGCATATCATGGACGCTACTAGGCATTAATACGTTGCGCGAGGTGAGAGAGGAGGCGCGATGAAAGGTGAAGGGAAGAGCGACTTACCCGTTTGCCTCAGTATCTACAGCCATTGCGTCTGCCGGCGCAAAAGCACTCGCCTTAAGGTCCAAGGAGGTTTTGTCGACAGAGGGAGATGTCATTACTGCCATAGGGCCATGAAAGTGAAAGGCGGGTTTGCGCGCGGCTGACAGAGGATATGTTGTGTTTGATGTTGTTGCTAATCTGGGTTTGTTAGCAATTGCCATTTTGGGCGCACGCGACTGCGCAAGTACACGCGTGTTGACGACGGACATGGCAATAAGAGGGGTGAGCGTGGGCGCGTGTTTGCGGTAGAGGTGGGGTCGGAGAGTGAGGCTAGCGTCGGTAAAGTGACGCGAGGGATGAGGAGGGGCAGGTGAAGAATATATGCTGCAGAGGCTGAAACGCACGTGATTACGTACCAGATGGTGGCGGCGGCGAGGTATCAAAGAGTGGATATGGGTCGGTGATGAGTCAGACTTTATAGCGCCGACGCGTTTGTTATCGTTAACCAAGCGCGTAGAAGGCAGAGGCAATAACGGCGTGGTGCAGCTGTGCGCCCTCTTTCAAGATGTGCGACAACAACACAAACGTTGGTGATGTAGTGCACGGATGGTGACGGCGGGCTGGGTGCTCAGACGGGCGGGCGGTGAGCGCTAGTGTCAAGCGGAATGCCGACAGACGGGGAATGGATGCGCAAGATTAATTATGGCGGAGTTATTTGGTGCAGTAGCCTAGACTTTTGTCCTGAAATGACGGGTCTTGGACAGGTGACGAGCGTGTGGCGGGGGAGTGCGAGTAAGGTTGGGTGATCGGGAGCAGGCGCGTATTGATTGGAGGCAGATCAGGAAAATGGACTCAAGAACGTCGAAGACAGACGCGAGAGGAGAGGCATTGGGGTTAAGTAGCCCGGCCCTTCCATCTCCGAGCCAAGCCTCGCAGCAGCCCCTGACCTGCCACTAACCTGGACGGGTACGTGTCCTTGCCGACCACTTGAGTATCCGCGCCCGCAACGCCGCGTTTGAACATTCTCTACCTCTTTTCTGGAATCTGGGCACTGAACTTGGACTGGCATACTGCCCTCCCGATGACTCTGTTGCTGGAAAAGATGCCATGGACGCGTCGCAGCGAGCTCGACAGCTCTACACCATGATCCCTGTCGCTAAGGCCCGTGCGTGCAGGGGTGGGTAATTCGCTCTTTCCAAATTTTTTGCGACCACTTGCGTCTTGCGCATTGCTTCAGGCTGCAGCATCACAGCCTTGAACAAACTTCCGGTCAAGGCATCCACGCGCGCAGTCAGCGACCCCTCGACATATACTGTCCCTACGAAAATGCCCGCCGCCGTAGCAACCCCGAAGAATCACGACCGCCGGCCGGCGAAGAAGGCCAAATTGGCGCAATCGCCTGCGACAGTCCGCCAAAATGGTCTCAAAGCTCTCGTAAATGGAAATGCGGCCAAGCCCACAGCAAAGACAAATGGTCTAAAGAACGCGCGAGCAGACAGAGTCGACGACGCCACTGCTGTCGTCGAAGGGCCGGCCGATGCGCACATGGTGGATGCAGACGTCATTGAGATCAGCAGCGCCGAGGAAGAGAGTGACGACGACTCGGAAAGCGAGCAGGAGGACCAGACACAGAATGGTGCCGCTGCCGAGGAAGAGAACGGCGCGGAGCCTGAAGACCTTACATTCGGAGACCGATTACGCGCAGAAGGCCCTGAGCCTGTTCAAGAATCGCGAATTATTAGCGTCGAAGATGCATTCGACCCCAACCCCGAGCGCACAGTAACAACGACCAAGAACCGCCCTCTTGCACCACCGAATGCAAACTCTCTCGGCACTGTCCTTACTCAAGCCCTGCGCACCAACGACAAGGAGCTTCTCGACTCATGTCTCCAGGTTGTGGATGTAGAGTCAGTATATGCCACTGTAGAGCGGTTGCCGTCTCCGCTGGTTGGAACATTATTGCAGAGGCTGGCCGAGCGGCTACACCGAAGTCCCGGCCGGGCAGGCATGTTGATGGCTTGGGTACAATGGAGTCTTGCTGTAAGCAATCCGCATCCCGACTAAAGGTAGCATTGACTGACATATCATTTGATAGGCCCATGGAGGATACCTCGCTTCCCAGCCACAAATCGTTAAGCAACTCGCCGCACTAAACAAAGTCTTGAAAGAGCGCTCCAGCGGTCTTATGCCTCTCATGTCGTTGAAGGGGCGCCTGGATATGCTCCAAGCTCAACTTGATCTCAGGAAACGAAACCAAGCCGCCAACGACGATGCGGACGAAGCACTAGTCTATGTTGAGGGTCAGGACGACTACGTCTCCGATGACGAATCTGTTGACGGGGCCACTGCAACCCCGAAACGAGTGCGCGCAGAGATGGAGGACGACGATGATAGCTCGTCAGACGACATGGGCCTGAACATGGAGATGGAAGACGTTTCCGACGAAGGCAGTGAAGGTTCTGACGAAGACCTCGTCGACGATGAGGCGGAAGAGACGGACGACGACGAGGGCGAGGACATGTCGGAACCCATGAGCGACGACTTGGAAGACGGCGATTCCGAGAGTGGAGACGAATCGAAACCGGAGCGACGATCAACCGCTGCCCGGGCTGGACTCAAGAGCCGGCGTTGAGTGTTGAGGAGGAAGTTCGTAATATTTGTACAGTCTACGACGGCCCGCGAACCAAACTGCTTGGCGCGTCCGATCATCCAAAATGGGATTCACGCATAGGCGTTCATCTAGGTGGCGTTGATACCTTACTTACGGCAATCTACACGAAGTTTAGATCTCTTCCATACATCGCTTATTGCAGACACTATTGGTATGTATGTCATGAATAGAAGGTTCTGCACATTCTTAGTTGGTTTGGTAGTCTCAGACACGTCCTTGCTTTCTGTTTAGTCAGAGACACTTTCCAGTGTGAAGGCTAATCACATCTGACTATTACAGCGTGCTGTAATCTCATGACACAATGTTTTTTCGCTGCCGATATTATATCACTTTCATAACTCTCTCCACTCAAAACTTACCAGACGCATGTCCAACACACATCGCATCGACGCTACAATCCTGGAACTCAACAGCCAACTATCCCAATCTGAACTTCATCCGCCGCTTCGCCGCACAGTGGACGGACAACTCTACGATCCTCGCCATCCTACCCAACCAGAGAAGATTCACGCTACAATCTCGGATCTCAAAGGCGATATCATCGACTGCAACAAACCATACCCAGTCCTGCGCCGTACAGCTTCAGGCCACCTTTTCCAGCCCAAAACACCAGCCGTTCCCGAACATGAGTCGCGCGCCCTCGGGTCTTCCACATCGGATCTCATTAATCCCAATAGTGTGAACCTACCTGAAGTACGACTTCAACCATACAAATATCACACTGCTCGGTCTCTTGGCATAGTAATTGCAATGGGACAAGGACCATTAAATCCAGTACATCTCATGAGTGAGACACTAGAGCAGAGAAGTGTAGTTCCTGAACGAGACATTGTATCTCCAGAGTCATCGCCACGACGGCCTGCACAGCTGATCGGAAAGGCGCCTCCGCATACGCTGAGGAATGTAGGTCCTACGAATGATTTGCGGGGTCAATTTGCTTTACATGCAACTATGTACGATGCTGACAATGAAGCTAGTCCGAAGGCGAAGAGATCGAGTGAGTTATCGGTCAAGACTAGCTGTGCAGTCCACCGGACCACATCAAGTGACAGGAAGGTGACATTGCGTCAGTGGGAAGGGAGGAACAAGGACCTTGCGAAAGAGAAAGCTGATAACAGGCGTCTATATGACCTTCGCGATGCAGAACAAAACGAGGTTGGCTATGTTAGTAGCTGTCATAATCTCCGCGCTCATGCTAAACTCGATCAAGAACTCACTGGGGAGGCACTGAGGGAAAGAAGGCGTGAACCCTTGCCTAAACATGTATGCCATAGGTTTGGTCAAGGTGACTATTACGACAGGTCTCATGGCCCGTCGAGCACAAATACGATGACAATCACGAATTTAATGGCGGGTGCTAAGAAGTTGGTGCGTTTTGATTTGTACACGCTTCCTGGAGAACCGCTGGCCAACAAGGAGAAGCAGACGACTGAGAGTGAGGATGTTTCGACGCAAGTTGCTGATGGTTAGGTGTATCCGAACATCTCTTTCCCCTCTTTTGTCTTTCATACATCTCATGCTCTATCTTATAATTTTCATTGATGTTCTTGTCCCAGCTCTCACCACCATGATCTTTGTGATACCTGAATTCTTCTTCCACCTTAAGCTAGTATAATTTCGATCTTTCACTCTGCTTCTTGCGTCAAATCTTTGCCTTCGCAATGTTGTATGCATAACGCATTCACCTTGAACTGCCCACATACATTAATGCAGACAATATGGGGAGCTCCCTACAACTGGACTTTGGTACATCTTTTGATGAGTAATATGTCAACTCAACAATGGAGTTTGATGGCTGCGGCACGGCGACGACAAGAGATTGTGCAGATGGAAGCATGTGATGTCCCACGTGCGTCGCGGAACGGAGATCTCCGCGCTGCCTTCCAAGCAGGTCAAAGACAGGAAGCTGAGATGGTGGTGCCTTCCTCTACAATCCCTAGGTATGTTACTACTGCAGGCAATGATCAGCTTACACCTGTTGGAACACATCCTTCTACCTCATTTGGTCAACCTTTCAGTCGCCATGATTCAGTCATCATTGAGCAGCGCCAGCGATACAACACTGACCGCCTTCGTCCAGTGCCTTCACAATCCTTTCGAAAACCCGAATCGATCCCAGTACACCGGACTAGAAAACCCATCAATGAATCGTTTATCTCTAAAGAACACGAGTGGGGTGTTATTCCAGCAGAACCCCGTCTCACGTGCTCAAATGCACAGGTACACCCTCCGACGTTAGGGTACATCTCTGACGATAGCTCAGTAGAACCAGAGTCAACTCTAATTGTATACGAAGACCGGAGCACCCAGAATCAAAAGCTATATCGGTGCAACTCGGACTCTGACAGCTCGTACGTGCCGTCGATACACATGACTGTCAACAAACTTGCCCTTCAGCACAACCATAGGCAACGTCCACAGACGCCCAACGAAGAAGATGAAACATCCTTCGATGGTCTGCGCAACCCCAAGGAGCATATAGATAACTTCCGGCGTTCATCTTACTATTCTGAATGGGAAGAACTTCCTGGACTATCCGGAAACATTGTACCAGATCCGCCTGTCGTGCGAAAGGTTGCATCATGGGTCGCGGACAAACTGCAGAATCGTGCTTGCCAAGTTGCTGGCGCCTTCGGATTACGGCCTACAAGGAGGTCTCTAGGAGACTGTTGTGACTCACATTGTAAGCTCGGCCGCGGTAAGTAGAAGAGGCATCGACCACGAGTAGAGCACCTCTCATGTCTGGACTCGCTACCTAGATAAGCTCCAACCAGGTAAAATACATAGTGAGTCGGACTATGTATCTATATTGAGCTATATAGGCACAGTGCCTCAATCTCATTAATGTTTATCTAATCAAGCGTGATTACGGCTTTGTCTTCGTCTTACATCATACTACTCCTGGCATACCTTTGTCCAGCACATCTTCCCCAGAACAATGCCCTTGTCAATCTCAACCTTTAGTTTGCTACTTATGTGATGAGATCACCACAGGTACTCTTTACCACATAGCACAGCTCAGATATACTACTATGCAATACTCATCCTTTGTCGGTTGGCGTCTCTTCCCTGGAAACCAACACCCAAAGCAACGCCAGTCACACTCATCATATACCGACCCATCATCTACCGACCCATCATCTACCGACCCATCATCTACCGACCCACCATCTGTCGGCCCACCGTTCGTCGTTCCAGAATTCATCGACCCATCGTCCGTCGACTACCCGCCTCCAAGCCCACGTCAGGAGCGTCGACGATGCCACGACCACGTCCAGATATGACCATTACCACAAATCTTCCAGCCCAACAGACCTTCCTCCTGAGTCCAACCCCTACAAGAACACCCTTGCACATCAATCCACCTGCCCTACCTCCTTTTCCCAGCTTCCAAACATTCCTGCTCAGACCAAGTCCATCTCCGAGCCCAACAAGAATCCGCGTCGATTCCCCTATCCTGCCTCCATCCCCTATCCTCCCTTCCTTCCATAACCGTCGTCTCTCCACACCTACATCAACCCTCCCCGCCTACCCAACACCCCATAGCTTCTATGATGACAGTCCTACCTCCCTCCCCTTATTACCTCCCTACTCATCAAGCAGCTCAGACTTGTCAACCGCTCAAACAGCCGTAGAAGACGCGCTAGCACCACAAGCCACGCGGATGAGCGATATCCTACCCAATGACATGGATCTATATGTTAGAGAAGAAGAAGAATATAGCGAAGACGAGAGACCAAATGCTAGACGGTGGAGTATAGCGCTTTCTGATGGACTGCTGGATGTTGTTATCGAGCCAGATGTCGCTATTGAACAAGTTGGGGAGTTGGAACAGGTAGAACCAGTACCGATACAGGAAGGAAATGTGGACGAGGTTGTATTGGGTGCAGAGATTCAGGGTACGCTGCCGTTTATTAAAGAGCACGATTATCCTTACTATCCGCCCCCGTCGCATCTCCTACCGCTGAGAAGGAAGACGAGGAGTGAGGAAAGGGGTCAAAGGTCGAGTCGTAAATTAGTGAAGAAGAATAGGGGTGACGGTAGTGGTGGTGGTATGAGGATTCTATTGAAAAGAATACTTCGGAAGGTTGGGAAGATGAGGAGGAGGCCATAGTCACATATGTTCTGCTTGCTGTTAGTATATCCCATGAACATAGACTCCCGATGGGTTTCGTCACTTGCGACCGAAATCAGAACCAGATTTCGGTATCTTCAACACCAAGTTCCATGAGTTCGTGACCCTTTTTTTTTTCCACACATGCCCAATAATCACAGTGTGAAATCAGTTCAGCAAATCTCATACAAAGCAAAGCCACACCCTGGCTTAAACAACATCCATTCAAAAAGCTACACAAGGAACAGTATTCAATCCCCCAGGGTATCGTATCAACAATCTCCCTTCCCCTCTCCTCTCTTCTCCTCCCTTACACATCTACTCTCTACAAGAAGAGAGCAGCAACAGCACCAACACCGGCAAGCGCACCACCAACCTTGAAGCTGCTAGCCGCACCAGTGAACTCGGGGTAAGGAGCACCGGTTCCGCTACCGCTGGGGGCAGCAGTGCCAGAAGCGATGGGCAAGGTACCGACGGAAGACGCGTCGGGGACCATGGGGGGAACGCCAGTGCCGCCCATGACGGGAGCAGGGGACGAGGGGGTGGCGGCCATGGGGGTGGTGGTGGGGTAGTAGGCGCTGGACATGGAGGGAGCGACGGGGGTGTGTGCCAGAGTCCTGGACAAGGTGTTAGTGGTGGTGATTGGAGATGGATGGGTAAGGTGGAATGGGATCAGAGAATAGTGCTAACGTATTGGTAGAAAAGGGTAAACGTACTCAGTGACGGTGACTGTGACGGGAGCAGAGCAGGACTCCTCAGCAGCAGAAGGGTACTGAGCAGCAACAGCTGCGATGAGCGAAGCGGCGATGATGGAGAAACGCATCTTGATAATAGTTTTGTTGGAAGGTTGTTGAAGAATGTAATGAAATGGGTATCAAAAGAGACAATAAAGTCGAGTTGGTGGTAGTGAGCTGGAAGTAAAGACTGTAGTTGGACTTGGCTTGCAAGAGAGAAAAAAGAGTGGCTAATAGTATACTAGGTACTATTGATTATCTGTGATCGTGGGATGAAGAAGAACTGAAAGGGAGGATACGAGGGTCTTATACAGGTCTCATATTAGCAGTCATATGACGGAGAGATGGAAGGGTGGGATTGTATGTGGGTTAGGACGCGCCAGCCTTGCTCAACGATCGACTGCAGTGATTCATTTTATCGCGGTTGGAAGCCTAGATTGGATGGGAGATCCTTGCACGACAGGTGTGGCGAGCTACGTGAAAGGTCCACAGGTTGGGGTGGGCGATAGCGGAGATTGTGTTGGTTGATCGACGGGTGGTAGGAGCGCGATGGTTGAAGTTTTGAAAGCCTTGCTATTACGTCGATGGTAGTGGGGGAGTGTTGCGCGTCTTTGTGGGCTTTTTGTGTTTTTCGTGTCGACGCATAACTTTGCAAAGTGCTTTTTGATGTTACAGAGTCGTTGAATTTCATCGCACTGAGGCACGCGACCTCTGTTGAACAGACATGTTGTTTCGAAACGTCCCCAATCACAACCCCCAACTAACAAAGCGGCCTACATATGAAGGTCATTTTGATAGGAGCGGCACGATATTAGCACGCGGCGCCTTCCACCGTTGTGAGACGCTGGTGGACCCCTGACGCTAGCCGTTTCCGTTTAGACTGTTTTCTTGAACATGAATGCTCCTGCCGACGAGGAAATGTGCCTGTCGATCTTGTTGCTCATTCTCGCTCGTTTCTGCTTTTGTGCATGATAGGAGCGCGCGAACTGCGGATAGCGATTTGCAGACGTCATATTCGAAGAGGAAGGGTGAGGTGATAAGGAAGCCATAGTAGGCTTTTCGTCAACTAGACAGAAAGTGATGTGAGAAGCTTCGTATTCGCTAATCTAGTAACGGGCAGAAATTCGGGGTATATCGTATTGCTCTGGAGTCGTTAGTGATACCGCGTTCCGGTGGCTGCAACACTGACCCGGTATGAATACACCTCCAACGCCAGACATGCTTACGCCTCAGCAGCCAAAATATGCCAAAATCAGCTCTACTTCACCCTGCCCATGATGGGGTCAGGAGGTGCATCTTCCGCAATAGCTTCTGCAGCCTTTGCTTTAACCGCGTTCAACATGCCCCGGTCAAAGTCATCCCTAGTCCTCAACACAGCTTCCACCCATGTAATAGTAACATCCCGATAAGCAGTCTTGAACTCAACATACGCGAACTGCACTTGCGACTTGTCGCATTCCAGCAGTTTGAGAAACTCCTGCACAGCGCGCCATCGCTGCATGATGTCGGCACCTTGCTCACCAAACGTCCTAAACCATTCAAACGCCGTGAGAAGGTCGTCTTTCATCTTTGCCGCAAACTGGTCCGTTCTCTTGAACTTGGCACCCTTGTTACGCACGGCTCCGAGGTACTGAACGAGCAGCTCGTCGGCGAGAGAGTCGATGATGAGATCCCGCAGCGAGCGGTGAATGCGAGGGAGGAATTCCTCCACATAGTCTTTGAATGTCGTGATGATAGAGGCCATATCAGTCCGTGAGTACCACTCTGCCGTGAAGAACTTGGAAAGAACAGGCTTAAGATCGACAATAAAGATAAGCTCGCTGAAAACTTGTATGCAGTGAGATGAAATGTCGATGTAGCCGTTCTTCGCTTCATCCACATTCCTGGCCAGCTTGTCGATCATGTAATCTTGCGAGACAATGGGCGTGACTTCGCGTTCAAAGACAGTCAAGAAGGAGGCTTGACCACTACCATCGATATCATCGTCAATGCAGATGATTTGGTCATTTGCGAGCGCGATAAGCCATTCTTGCAAAACATATATCTCATCCTCATCTTGGACAAAATTCGGTCCAAGATATTTAGCCTTCTCTTCATCGATGAGCTGAGTCCATATACGCTGGCGAGACAACAAGGCACGGAACATGGCGTCGACCACACCGTCGGCAACGTCAGAACGCTGGCTGCTGGCCGCGACACCAATGTTCTGACTGAAAAGGGTCCACATATCTCCCAGCGATCTTGTTTGAGTGATGCCGTCAAAGTTGGTCTCGTATGCTGTTTTATCTTGCTCCAAGAACCTTTGTCTGTCCTGGTTGTTGATACGTTCCATGAATTGGTCGACGGCCTGAATAATGACAGAGCGGTAGGTACGTATCAGCTCGGGACTGCGATTGTCGATGACATGCGGTTGCAGTTGTTCTTCTGAGTACCCAAGCTTCTGCATCTTGACGTAGTACTTGTCCACCCAGTTGATGACAGCCAGCAAATATTGCGGTCCCAGGGCTTCATCGTCGGCAAACTCCATGAGGAAGTCGTGCATCTGCTTGTGGTAGATGTTTGTATATGTGTCAAAGATCTTCCACTTCTTGGGCATGAGGTCGACCATGCCCAGCTTGACCGTGTTGAGGTTGTTGAAGTACCACTTGAAGGACTTTTCAATCTTCTCTGGGTCTTCCATGAACTGTTCTCTCGCTGCGTCCATTTCCGCCTTGCAAACATATTCGATAGAGGTGATGAACTTTTCCTTGTAGCCGCGAAGCTCCTTGGGTCCTTGGGTAATGGACTTGAAGCGAGAGGCAAGGTCTCCAAACTCCCTCTGCGCATCTTGCAGGGCCTTGATCTTCTTGTCTGTCTTCTCTTCTTCCTCGACTACGACGGCCAAGCGAACCACCATGCCTACGTTGTCGGTCTGTACCAACTGTATCAAATTTATGCATGCCTCTCCAACGTGCCTATCGAACCACTCTACGACATCGTCCAAACGCGCAAAGAGGTCTTGTACGGTGACGCCGCTCTCTAGTGTGAGGTTGTCAATGAGCTCGGTGGAAGTATCGCTGTTCTTGATCTGGCCCATGGCTTCGTCGCGGATGTCTCGTAGCTGCGTCAGGCCGTAGTGGACCTGTAGCAGATTTGGCTGGTTGGCGGGGTCTTCGTCGTCCTGTGCCAGCAGGATCTCGAGGTTCTCCAGACGGTCTTCAAATGCCTCGATGTCATTCCGCATCTTCTCGACCGATTCAAAGTTCTTGTGTGTCTGCGCTACTAGGTTGATATGCGGAAAGTCCTGAATCATGTTCTGGGCCTCGGCGCATAGCTTGTCTATCTTCATCATCTCTTCCTTGATTAGGTTGACGGTGCGCTGGCCCTCGGTGATGCTGCTCATGCCCGACTGGGTCAACTCGAGCTGCTCTTTGAGTCCATGGCGGAGTTGGCCGTCTACAGCCGCCTTCTTTCGCGTGAATTCGGCCTTGAGTCCGGGTATCTTGTCGAGGTCCTCCGGGTGTCGCAGCAGCTCCGCGAGCTTGACCGTCGCCGACTCGACATCGCCCATGGTTCTAGACGTGGATCAATTCGGCAGGCACGCGCCCATGGTAGGGTCAAGGTCGCAGACGGGGTGGTACGGTGGGAATGCGGGTGGCCTTTGCGTTGCTATACGTGTTCGGAGCTTCTGACGATGTGAATGGACGGGTAGTAGTCTGGGGCTGATGCAGGTCGAGGGCTAGCGTGCCGGAGGTGCGCTGCGGGCAAAAGTTCCCACCCCGCCACATGCTCACAGTCGCCGGCAGACTCATTCGCTCTTTCGACACGCACACCGACTCAACATGGCCGACGAAGAGCTAAACCTCTACGACGAGGTCGAGATCGAAGACTGCTTCTACGACGAGACTCTGCAAATTTACCATCACCCATGTCCATGCGGCGACCGCTTTGAGATTTCCATCTATGACATGCGCGACGGAGAGGACATCGCGCGCTGCCCCAGCTGTAGCCTGATGATACGGATTATATTCGACCCAGTATGCTCGTCTATTTTGACATGTTGATATTGAAAACTGACAAGTCGCAGTCCGATCTTCCACCAGAAAACGACGATGCGCCCAAGAGTGTTGCGATCACCGCCTAAATTCCCCGATTCCCACTTTGATATTATTTTTGGGAGGTTTTAGTTCTGGTCCTCATCACCTACGGCGTTGCAATGCATATATCGGGCGTTTGGAGGATGTTGGTTATACTTTGTGGTTGTAGTCTGGCAAAAGACGAAAGAGATACCACACACAATAGCTAGGGAAGCAGAGTTGAGCGTGCACAATCAAAATTTGTTGTTGCTATTCGCTATTGGCTACCGTTCAATCATGTATGCCCTTGTCTGACCAGAGGGGCCGTCCTTGGAGACGTGTTCCACGGCAACACGGTGTGCTAGATAGAGCATGTGCTACCAAGCATGGCCCGCTCAAACTAACGCGGGACCTGATCGTCGACACTGACGTCAACGCCCAGCTCTTTCCTGAGAATCTCAGTGAGCGAGCTGCCGTCCCTCATGTACACCCAGTCGCCGATGCCACCACCCTCCTTGAAGTCCATGCCCTCTTGTGCCACGACCCAGTCGAAGCGCTTCGGTCCGGAAATCGGGGAGCTGAGCCAGATCTGCTTGTTCGGGGGCTGCTTGTTCAAAACGAAGGTATTCTGTTGCGAGGTGACTTCAAGGACGCCGGCCTGCGGTGGGATTAGCATCGAGTCCTCAGTCATTGTACAAAGAAGCTTGTTTAGTAAAGACTGACAGAATAATCTACTTCGATCGTGGGGTCGTTCTCCTGAGCCTCCTCTAACCTCTGCAGCAGCTCGCCCAAGTAGTGGTCTGCGCGCTCATGGAACTCCTCTATTGAGAGGTCCGTCGGCTTGCCAGGTTCGTCGTGGGCTTCACTCTCCTTTGGCTTCGGGTCTTCTGAATCAGGCATAATACCCACCCTCATGCCCATTGATACGTGGAAGCTGCGAACTGGGGTAGCATTGCCGATAGCTGGAGCTCGGCCAGCGATGATGCAATTGACGGGCGACTGGACGCGAAGGGAAGTGCGAGCGGCGCGACGAATGGCTGTGCCAGCGAATCGAGTGACTGGCTTCATTGTGCGTGGTGTGAAATGGGTAGCAAGTAATTTGGTAGAATTGATGGTGGTGAAAGTTGCGGAGTAGCGGGAGAGAGTCTTCTGTTCCTGGGCTGGAGCAACTGGAGCTGGAGCATGGACCCTCGCCCATCTCCCCGCATCCTTGGGTGGGACAGGTCCAACACCAATAGCATCACCACCAAACATCACCACCATGATCAACGCCGTCCTCGTATTCAACAACGCCGGTCAGCCGCGACTGACCAAGTTCTACACACAGCTGGTATTCAGCACACGCCATCTAGCATTGCGCTCCCACACTGACCAGTACCCAGGAAACGAGCGTCCAGCAGCGACTCATCTCCGAGATCTTCACCCTCGTCGCCAACCGCCCAAACTCGGCATGTAACTTCTTGCCGTATGTCGCGCCATGAGCTCAACCACGCTCCTCTCTGATATACGTCTAGCTTGCCACCGCTCCTCGCCAGCAGCTCCAAATCTAGCACACCCACGACTCCCCACAACGACACACCTTCCCTCGTCACCTACCGCCACTACGCAACCCTCTACTTCATCGTAATATCCACATCCACTGAATCGCCTCTCGCGCTTCTCGACCTCATTCAGGTCTTCGTACAGGCCCTCGACGGCCTCTTCGAAAACGTATGCGAACTAGATCTGATCTTCAACTTTGAAACCCTACATGCGACACTGGGCGAGATGATAGTAGGTGGAGTCGTCGTCGAGACACAACTAGACAAAGTCATCCAAGGCGTCAAGGCACAAGGAAGAGTAGCGAAGAGGCCGGTGAACGAAGGAAAGAACATTGGCGGAGGAGGAGGCGGTGGTGTTATGGGCGGACTGACATTCGGCGGCCTGGGAAGAGGAGATGGCATGTGGGCTGGACGATGATCAACACATCTGAGGATGAAGCTCGCAATGCCAGACCCCTCGCGACCAAACCGTGCGACGCCCAGCACGGCTTAACATTCTGCGTCACGATGCTTCGATCATACACCAAATAACAAACAACGACGGAACTAGAGCATGTCGCTCGCACAGGACTTATTCCTCAAGCTGGCCCATGCAAGGCTGCCAGGCTTCTCGGCCCTACTTCAGACCCGCTGATGCCGTGTACCTCGAATTGGTGGACCTTCAAACAATTCTTCCATGCATCACATGGCATCTGGACATGCATTGCGCTCGTTTGTGCAGTCTGTGGGGTACATTTAGAAATTCCCCCGGGCCGGGTAAACACATGGTAAAGGTCAAGGGTCGGGAGATGTTCGAAACGTCGCGCGTGGAGCCATTGCCGAGCTAGGATTAATAGAAACAAGCTTTTAATCTATAGGTCATTAGTTTCCCTCCGAGTACAATTAGAGGGGCGAATAACAAACGTCAGCCCTTCATCTACGCTGTGGCGCCGAAGATGTGGGGAGAAACACTTTATGCCAGAACTACGTGACCTCATTTCCGCTACTGCTGATTGCTGGATAGTTTCGGAGAGACTCTTCTAATGCAGACCCCATCCCTTGAACCGTACACACGCTCCGGCTGAAGACAAGCTTTATAAGAGGGGCAATGTCCCTAGGCAATTGGAACTATCCACCCCGTTCGTTCATTCTCAAGTCAACACCATGCGCTTCCTCACTGCTATCACCAGCTTCCTGTCTGTAGCCGCAGCGGCAACTCTCGGCAAACGCGCCGTGACGCCTGGCACACTTTCACAAGTTACCTCCTTCGGTGCCGCACCCACCCAGGCAGGCTTCTACATCTACGTGCCCAGGAAGCTTGCCGCATCACCAGGAGTTATCGTTGCTATCCACTACTGCACCGGTTCTGCGCAAGCATACTACAATGGCAGCCCCTACAAGACGCTATCTGAGCAGTATGGCTTCATCGTCATCTACCCATCTTCGCCTCACTCTGGTACCTGCTGGGATGTGAGCAGCAAGGCGACGCTTAGCCACGAGGGCGGCGGAGACAGCAACACCATTGCCAACATGGTCAAGTGGACTCTTAAAGAATACAAGGCGGATACGTCCAAGGTCTTCGTTACCGGTTCCAGCAGTGGCGCTATGATGACCGTACGTCCCTTTAAATCCCAATTCGATTTACATGCTAATGTCTCTCCAGAACGTCATGGCAGCGACCTATCCCGACATCTTCAAGGCCGCCATCGTCTACTCAGGTGTAAGCGCTGGCTGCTTCGTCTCTGCATCAGGTGGTGTCGATGCCTGGAACAGCACGTGCGCCCAGGGTAACTCCATCGCCACGCCTGCAGCCTGGGCCAACGTTGTCAAAAACATGTACCCTAGCTACACTGGTGCCCGTCCCAAGATGCAGGTCTACCACGGTAGCGCCGACACTACCCTACGCCCGCAGAACTACCAGGAGACGATGAAGCAATGGGTAAGTAGTTACATGTCCCTTCACAGCCTTGTCTGATGCTAACGATCTATAGGCTGGCGTTTTCGGCTACGACTACAGCAAGCCCCAGAGCACAACGGCCAACGACCCCCAGAGTGGATACACAAGGACTGTCTACGGTCCTGATGTCCAGGGTATCTATGCACAAAACGTTGGACACACTGTGCCTATTCGGGGTGCGGACGACATGAAGTTCTTCGGCTTTGCTTGAGACTGTAGCAAGTGAAGAAGAACCGCCGTACAACATCGCCAATGCATTACCGCGATCGTGCCTACTGCATCCAGACAATTCAATGTAAATATTTCAGCATGACATCTTTCACGGTGATCTTGCACACGTGTATATCCTCTTGTAATGTCCTTCTTGATGTACCTTTTTCGTTATACTTACCGCAAGAAATTTACTCATAAAGCCAGCCATTCAGCCCAACTTCCCTACTCCGGCGAGGACGCCTCATACGTCTGCGCTTCGGCGGCTCATCCTCATCAGAACTACTCCAGCTAAACGTACTACTGAGTTCTGATGTCGGTCCATAAACAATACTTCCCCCAGTCCCACTATCATACCGCTCTCTGCGCGGCGGCGTAGGCTCCGGGTGTGCTAAAGGTCTAGTATCACCATACATGGCTGAATACGTGCTGTAATTGGTTTTGCGATACCGAGCTTCTCTAAATCTTCTGTCGTCGTCGTCGTCGTCGTCCCAGTATCTCTTACTGAGTTCATGAACACGGCGTGACGGAACATAGTCTTCGTGCCCACTCTCGTCGCGATACCTACTACTTGCATATCGATTGTTGTCTGCTGCCTGTGTACTTTCGTACCCTTCGTCAGTGAAATCAAAACTCGGCCCTAATGCTGCACGAGTAGCACACGCCGTCTTAGAAATCTTTGTGCGTCGTTCGCGGCTCAAGTTTTGTCGTTCTTGGTATGCTGTTTTTGGAGGGGATATATAAGAGGAGGAAGAAGAAGAAGAAGAAGAAGAAGAAGGGAGAGAGGGCTGGGCGAAATGAGCTTCTAGACGCGAGCGGTCTTGTAGCTTTAGTAGGTAGCGATATTCATCGTCGGGGAGGTAGTCTGAAGGAATCGTAGAGCGGTAGTGGAGGGCGGGATGGTAGGATTGGGAGTAGTGGGATGTTGATGTGGAGATGTAGGAAAATTCTGTTGGCATTGTTAAATGTTTTAGGGAGTTGGGAAACTTGTTATGCAGGTGTTGTTGTATGAGTTATATGTGGAATAGAGGGATTGTTTTGCATCAAAGGGAAGTCATCTCTAAAGGCTATGATGGGAGATGTTATGTATGTATAGTGGTTAAGAACTGTAATGTTAGGTTTGTGAATGTCGGTGACTGAGTGCGAAGGAAGTGCTGACATCGTGAACCCACGACATTGTCATTCTGTATATCAGAGAATTCATACTTGAAACCCGTCGACAGGTACTCTATAACAGTCCCAATGGTATCCTTACCTGATGCCAGACAGTCGGCCGTCTCTATTTCTCACAATTAGCATGGGTTTCAACCTGTTCATGTTTACACCACACGACAACTCCGTCAACGCATTTTTCGTATTAGCCGCTATTAATACAATCGCCGCGGCCTCGAGGCCTAGCTCTCTCGGTGACGTTGGAGAATGTGTCGGACATACGCTTTGATCGCTTGGGAGGATGATAGAAGTTGTGACATGAAGCTTGCAGGTAGGTCCAGAGCAATGACGTAATAATACGCCGCCAACCTCTTCAGTCGGAAGCAACACCGTCTTCCATCTTCCAGCTCGCTTTGCATGATAGTCACAACGCACCTAGACGTGTCGGCAGAGTTCAACGCAGGTGTTGTTACTTATCTCGATGGCTGTCGTGAAGAAGCAAAGTTCTCGTGGTGGCGATGAAGGCTAAAATTCGGCTGCTTCGGTAACCTGTACTCAACAACACCACTTGCAACAGACTGCGCAACATCTGTCTAACGTACTGCTTCCCGGGCCTATTCAAACGAAGGCATAAAGTAAAAATTTAGGGCTACTTGATCCAAGCCACGAGAAAATCAAATATGGCATCTGCGGCGATCGACGGCGATCGAGCGCCGGATCTTACAGAGGCTGTCGTGACGCTTCAGCAGACAATACGGGGGTTTATGAGAGACGTCAAAACTGGACGTGAGGGTTTCGTGCTAAGACCAGTAGTTCCTGCTGACGGTGGAACGAACACGGCATACGTAAGCATAACGTCTGCTGACAAGGAGACCGAGACTCAGCTGGAAGCTTTAGAAGCGCAACTACGAACTTTGGAACAACAGCTAAGATCCAGAGGAGATTGGCAATTACCAGACCAATTACCGAACTCATCGATACCGACTGTCCTCGACCTCGCTGACCTTTCCAATGCTATCACGCTACTCGACCATTTGATCGAATCTACAAAACCAACTCAACAGAACACTCCTCAACAGACCTTATCAGCATACTCCTGGACGTGGGATCCAGAATGGCATGAGTTCTACACCTACATACCCTCCCAGGAAGTCTGGGTCTATCTTTCACGATGGAAGTTGAATGAGATCAGGAACGTTTGGGAGCATGTGAGCATGTCTGGTGCCAACCTGATGCCGGATACTGCGGCAGAGATGCTTGGTGCTTGGGAAGACTGGGTTTGGGATTCGACGTGGCGACGATGGTATCTGGAGGTGGATGAAATCGACACTGGTGAGAAGAGCCAAATCTTTGCAAGTCCATGGCGCATCCATGCTGATGGCGAATGGGTTTATGTCGGAGGGATAGAGGCCGTAGTCTAGCACCATTTGGCTCTGGTATTAGTATGAGATCGTGGACGACGTTGGAGTATCGCGCACCAGCGAAAACCTGTTGAATATTGAGACACTTGGGCACTGTGCGTGAACCACGCATGCGAGACCAAGAGATCAGCTTGGTGTGCAAAAACAAAGCCCAAAATTTCCACCTTCACAAAGCGCGCCTACTATTACATCGCACAATTCCTGCAAAACTTCGCTGTTTCGAACCGTCTTTTAATAGATGTTTTGAGAACAGTAACACGGACGATGGACAGTCTAACAAACACAGATGTGATCACATGTACCGATACACACGCAAAACTCCGGCCTATACTCACAGAAGACTATTTCTCTTACCGACCAACGCCCCATTGCAACCGTAGACCGGCTCTTCGGCGTGGGCGTTATCCCGCCCCGCTGTTTCTTAGTAATAAAGAACCCTGCTTGCCACTCCCTGCGGGTCCTAGAGGATGGATTTATACGCCACTTTCTACGCGCTCTCCTGCTTTCGAGTCGTTTCGCGACGACCATGGTGTCAGGTTCAAGCAGCGTCTTTCCATCAGAGACTTGCTGCTGGGGGTTAAATGGTATCTGTTGTTGGATGAAGGTGCACTGCCGTCTAGGATTAAGTGCCGCTGTCGGGCATATCTAAAGGCAATTCACAAATGTTCAAAAGAGGGTACAGTGAGGGTTGAACGGCGTTTGCGCAAGTACTGGGATTGGCTTTGGCGGAAGCTAGTCTTCTGGCGACCAGAATTGGACGAGTTGGATGATGACGCTCCATATATCTATTGGGATGATGTTGAATCTGGGCCGGCGTGCGACACGGAAGATATCCAATCCTTTTTGCGGCTTAACATATGAGGGGACTGGATTACCCGCCAAAACATACGTTTGCAATTAGTAAATGAATAGAGTGCAAAGCATACACTTGACCCTGAGTTCAACTAACCTGCCCAACTTGTCCGGTGCTTGTCGTTTCACCCACTGTGACGCTGTTCTTCACTGTAGTTTCTATTGTACAATCCTATTGATCAATAGATCAAAACGGCTGATTCCTAGGATCCTCGGGAGCCAAAATCTTCCGACCACGATCTAGCACCGACGACTCGGGACGCCTCAGTCCTAAGTGGGACATGCTTTGAAGGACCGGCTCGCTAGCGGCGATGTATGGCCGTGAAGTGTACATCACGCCAAGTGGCGATGCGACGTCACTATACTACTACTATACACACTCATATGGTACAACCTCCTTCTGTCCATTAGAAGAATAAAGACTAGTAGCAGGAGTCTGATAATAATCATGTTGCGCTTAATGAGGAGCGTCTAAGCTCTCCGCAAAACTATTATAAAGATCGCCAAAAAACCTGGATTTTCGAGACACCTCTTTCCCTCGTTCCTTCCAATTCATTCCAGCATCGGTAGTTACCGCCCATCATGAAGATTGCGCCCCTCCTCCTCGCACCCATTCTTGCTGCAGCCAGCCCACTGAATCAAAGAGCTGAGAGACCAGAGGGCAGCATCGATGCACTCTTCAGAGGCGTCCGCGAAATTTACTTCGGCACGGCTACGGAGTTCGCTCGACTATCTGAAGGAGGAATCAAAACATCATCAAGGCAGATTTTGGCTAAATAACACCGGAATACACAATGAAATGGGCCGAAACTCAACCAGAAAGCAATGTTATAACTCTAGACAATGCCGGCAAACTTGTCGCCTAGGCTGTAGAAATGGAGAAAAGTATTCGCGGTCACAAGTTATTGTGGTGGGACCTGATATCGGATTATGTGAAAGCTATCAAGGATAAACAAAGCGTGACGGCTGGAAGGGCAAGATTCGGGCGTGAGACATAGTCAACGAGGCGATTGAAGGAGACCACATGCGCAGTAGCCCATTCTACGATATCTTGTAAGTACACTCGATATAAATGACGCAGGCGACAAAAGTTTCCTAACTTTGACAAAGGGGAGATGAGCACATCAAAGTCATTTTCGAAGCTGCTCGCGCCGCCGACCCGGACGCTAAATTATACATCACCGATTACAATCTCGAGGATGCGACCTATGCAGAACACAAGTTCATGGTCGCTAATGTGAATGAGTGGAACGGCAAATGGCAAGCCGGTGGAAGACCTTTGATCGACGGGATTGGATCGCAAACACATCTTGACGCAGGTATGACCTACTCCGGCCGCCCATCTGAATCTCGGAAGCGTACTAACGACGATCTATAGGCAAAGCCTATGCTGTCGAGGCAGGGCTGAAATCTTTAGCAGCCGCTAATGTTGCCGAGGTTGCAATCACGGAACTGGATATTGCAGGTGCTAACCCGCAAGAATACCAAGCTGTCGCACAATACTGCTATTGGGTGCCTCATTGCGTAGGCGTAACCACATGGGGTGTCCGCGACAACGAGGCCTCTGGCAAGAACACCCCTGCCCAGACACCGCTTCTTTTTGGTTCGGATTGGGCCGCAAAGAAGGCCTACTTCGCAATTCGAGACTACCTCCCGGATCTACCGAAGGCGACATGAGCCAGCAAGGGAGGAGGAACTTCGTATACGACAAGAACAAGTGAGGAGTATCCGACTTACACGCCTAGTTAGCTGTAATGAGAACAAGTTGATGAGCCGCCTATATAGAAATCCTTCCAGCATCACATTACTGTTCCTCATACTCGCAAACATCTAATCACCGCCACTTGTTTGGTAATCTTACATAGCTTCGATCTCATCGACCCAAAGCCCCCAGCACCAGATCAGTGGAGGTGAGGTCTTTGTTTGTCCGCTCATAACGGCGAGTATCTCCCACGAAGCGAACATTACGTGTTTTGATGCAATACACCAAAACCTGCCGACGGTTATTACCTCCTTGTATGATTCGACGAGCTAATGACCTTGCCGCAAGTGCAATGTTTCGAGGTACATACGAAGCCCTACCAGCGATGTGAAGTATGACTAAATGATAGGAGACTTTGCAGTTGGTATGGAGAACGAAGATGATCGGAGCATGGGTGGTTCTAAGTACTGGGGGTTGTTGCAAAAGAAAGCGAGAGGGGATGATGCTTGCCAGTTCGAGACGATGACGTAAGCTCTCCGCTAGTCTCTATTCCTGCTTGATGCACGCCCGCGTTCCTCACTTTACTGTACGACATCCTTACAAGTACATTGGCCGTCGAGCGCGAAGGTTTCCTCAAAAACCTAGGCGCAAATACTGGCGACGATTGTTGTAGGCCGACCAGGCAATCGTTGTTTCTCAGAATTTCCCCCGCTTCCGGCCAACTACCGAATACGTTATATTAGATGACCCATCTGTTGAGCCTAATCCGCAATCTCGTCCAATATTGCTGACGACTCGCTCGGCAGAGACTCTCAGTTCCTAAAGCATCTAGATGAAGATAACTACCGACATGATCTGGGTACCCAGAGTAGGTTGCCGAGAGACGGGTACTCGGGCTAGTGGGTAATCACCAGGAATTCACCCACGATATTGGTTATCTCTCCTCGCGACAGCTGCACCCCACAATGCCCTTTCGCAGATATGAGCACTGCGGAGGTCTGGTCACATGTTGTTAGAACATTTAATGATAACAGCATATTGTTTCACTGGTATCAATCTTATTCTCATCGGATTACACGGCGTCATGTTCGCTTTCCTTGCAGTCGTGCTATATGCACCAACATGTACGCATGCTCTTCTGCACCATCTCGCAGTCGGTACCACTAATGGACAGGCTTTGTACTCGCTGGAGATGGACGACGAGTCGCGGAAAGTGTACACAATCCAAGCGAGAGACGCGGGTGGACCGTCGCCGTCTTTGGTTCTCGACGTCCGTACTTCGTTCTCCAATACGAAGCGTATCCGTTGACACAAAAGCAAGCGTTCAAAGCAGCATCTCTTCAGCAGTCGTCCACAAGATGGAACCTTGACCCGCCACTCGATTGCGCCGACATACGAGCTCATTAGCGAAGGAACTATGGAGATACCATCATCATGTCAGTTTACCTCGTGGCGTCTACATGGATTCATCTAACGATATTCAGGCAACACTACTAGCTTCGGATCCCTAAAGCTAAGCTCTTCGACTCAGAATACGGCAATATGGGGTACCGCTAGTACCGGCACGTGCAGCATTGTCTTTGGTCTGTCGCCAGACGGTTACGACACCTTGCGCTCGCAAGAAATCGCCGGCGATGTGCACTCTATCGCTTGGAGTCCCAGCGGCCGTAATCTGCACGCACTAGACTCACGCACTTCTCAGCAGCTTTCGACGTCTATTTCCAACTTCCGTATATCGGATGATCCGACTTTGCAGGACGTGGTTGGTGTTGATGTCCTCATCAACGTCACGGACGCTTCGCAGATTGTCGCACATCCTACTGAAACATTGATGTACATCGTTACCAAGGATACGAACGAGCTAGTTGTCTTGTCGTTGGCAGGTGACACTCTTTTGAACACTTCTACTGTTCTTGTGCGATACAGGTTGCTCCCATCCTCTCTGGACGCGACAGAATTCCATACGTCGTCGCTCGCCATTTCCGCTTCTAAAAGCACTCTGTGGACACTTTCACAGTCATCTCGCCAAGCTATTATCACTTCTTTCAACCTCAACGTCACAACAGGTGAGGTGATAAATGTTGCTGCGCGAGCTAGCTGGCAGGGATTTGGCGAAGGTCAGCTCACTGCAGCGCCGTTCAATGACGGCGATGTGGTCGCCGTCGCAAACTCCCCAACGGGTTATGTCACTTTACTCGGCCTTGACCAGTCCACGTTGGATACCGTCCATGTCGCCGAGGATCGTGGTATTCACGACTACTTACATCCAATGGCTGTTGACAAGAACAGACGCGAAGACCTGCACATGGCTGCATCGAAGATCAGAAGTTACGGTCGGGCTCTGATAGATGATTACGTCACCTTGGGCGACAGTATCTGGATCGACTAAGACCCTTCAAGTTTCCTTTGGTGCTTGCTTACCAGCGCATTGGTTAAGGCAATCTCCTGTTCTCGGGTGATGGGCCTTTGATAGCTCCATCTACATAAAGCCATCATTGTTCCTCGTTCTCATACTCGTGTCTCTTCGTTGAAAACATTCCTTGTTCGTCAGTCAAGCATGTCAAGTTCTTTCGGAATATTGTTACGATAACCTAAGCTCCCCGCTTCTCTATCCGACGGCTCTCACGAATCTGTACAGCGTTCAGCCAGCTCTTACTGTTTTATATATCCTGAACAACCTTTACATGCCGTAGGTCTCTGTGACACTATGTCTGAAGGTGACTAATTCTAGTAGTCCCAAACGTCGCCACAATGCTAGCACTCCAGCTGGCCGCCGAGGACGCTCCAGAATTGAGATGAGAAGAGTAGCAGCAACCAACTTGGGAAGTCCACTACTGAGGCTTCCAGGAGGTTGGTAAGGCCTCTATGCTACTCACGCAAATGGTAACCCTAGGCAGAAATCAGGAACGGAATTTATCAGATCCTCCTCGATCAATTTATAGCCACCCATCGACCGTTTAAGCTCGCAGGTAGAGGAGCGGATCGCTACGGTTACCCGACTGCTCGAATGCTTGACGCCCCATATCCTCTGGGTTTGAGTGCCCCGCATCGGTACAGACTGGAGTGGCCATGATGGCATGTTCACAGCATGAGAAATGCTAAGACCCTATTACTATGCCCACGCATGAGACGTATTAGGCAAGCTGATAGCAGGCACGTAAGACTTCATGGCTGCGGATCGATAGGTGCGCAGCCGCGAGCCCCAGGCGCTTGCATATGGCAGGGACGCGCGCATAGCTAACGCTAACGAACAGCACAAGCTCAGTGTGCTTAAGCACAAATCCAAGCTGATTACGATACACATATATGCAAGCACGCTACCGAGGCAGCGGAAGCCAATCAGGCGTCCGAAAAGTGGTATTCCTCCCACGCGTACTAGACTCCTAGAACACAGTACAAAAGTCTATGTGTGCTTTGCTCGTCCACGTACGTATCATTTCGCATGAAAGCTTTCGACATGTCAGCAACCGGGCACGAAACCAACCCTCCTCCAGTCAACCACGATGTCGAGATACACATCAAAAACTTCAGAAACTTCACGGCCGTGGCTCTTCGCAACTTCACTGTTCTTATTTTCTTTGTGGGAACGTTCTGGGGTTGCACTCGAGTCGTTCCATCTACTATCTTTATGCCATTCCTTTCACGCTGGACCTGTATTCTATGTCTGTGCCTCGGGGTTATGGTTAGAATTGCATTGTTCTTCTGAACCATCAATAAGATAGTGAACCGCTATATGCCAGCGGTCGAAAAAAGACAAGAGTCTACGGGACCAGGACTTGGGAACACGCACCACCGACCTGGAAGATTGGATGCTGGCGAACTTCTGCGTTATCGTTGGTCTGGCAACCATAGATTTTGTGGTACGGTACTGGGTTGAAGTCATTGAGCTCACTTTCTCGTCATTTTTCTATGATTTGCACAATGGGTGGTCTCTTGTTACTATTCCAGTTGCTCAAGCAAACATTACGTTACTACCGGGGAGTCGTAGGGCTTAAACACGAAGAGGCATGGGGCATCCTAATTAGTGTCAATGCTCAAGGTTCTATAATCAATTGGGGGAACCCAAGGCTGAAGGAGCGTTCGGACCACTTCTTCACGTTGGTCGCGTTCCGTTCGAGTGCCTGAAGTTCTTGGTTTATGTAGTTGGATTTAGGATTGGTAGAGGGCCACTGTTTGGTACGTCTGTAGCACAGTCAATATGGGATCATAATCTGACGCGCTATAGATCGCTTACAACATGAATGGAAGGTTGCAAGAAGAGTTTGTAAAACGTGCGATGCTATCGTCAACCTTTTTGCAGTTTTTGCTGGGCGATTGGGTGAAGAGGATGACAACAAGGGAAGCCTGTTTTCCTCCGTCGATGTTTGAGTGGGAGCCAAATCCTGTTATAATTCCCCATCTGCGAGGCGGACGTCTCCAGTCACTGGATTCCGGTTCTTCCACAGCCAAGGATACGTCGGATCGCCATCTCGTGGAGATAGTTGGGGAGGCAGAAGAATTAAGTCCGGATATGGCTGTCGCTTTCGACGACAAAGGCGCCGTCAAGCGCAATTCAATGTCTCCTGTTGCACCAAGATACACCGGTCTAACAACAATGTCCCCATTCTATCTACTTTTGCATGCCCTCAATGCACATACGTCGCAAAGAGAAAGGTTGAACTCAAGTATGCAATAGCTATCTTCTCAAGTCTACATCTGCTATATTATGGTAGCAAGCATGTTACTCAAACGCACAATCACCAATTCAAATGTGTCCATTATGGCTACAGAAAGACATTCGGCCTTCGGACAAATCTCGAGTGTCACGAAGCGACACACACGGAAAGAAAGGAATTTGAGTGCCCGAATCCGTGGTGCGAAACACCTGGGCAACCTTTCACGCGCGGAGTTAATCTTAAAGGGCACATGAAGCCATGCGTTACTCCTAGTTGAATACACACGGCACATGTTTGTTTTTCCGTCGCATCATGCATTCATCATTTTATACGTTATGTCAGCATCGGTCAGCTTGATATACTACTGTCGAAGCAGGATAATCACAATGAAGCAGCAGAGATGATGCGTCAATGAGCACTAAAAGGTAATGAAAGCATGCTTGAACGACGGCATCCTGACACGCTTGTTAGCATTAGTGATGTTAACGTGAGGTGGATACGCGGCTGTAGTAGCGATGTATTACTGGATGCTAGAAGGCAAAAAGAGTATAATTATGCCTCAATACTCCGTGACGCGACCACCTTTCTACCTCTACCGTTTATGTCCCGTATTGCAGCCAGAACAGGAAGGTCAAAGTATTAGCAGCGGCATGTAAGGCGTTATCAGATCCTGCTAGGCAGCAGTCGTTAAAACCGAGATTTGCGAGCTCCGATCTGATAAGATTTTAGATCCGAACCCCGAGCGCGTGTGATATAATAGTACGTGATGGAAGTTTAAACTGACTGAGATCAGATCTGGATTCGCATGACGAGGTCCACTATGATGACACGTTCCAGAGACCTTGAGAAAGCAATCCATCCAACGGTTTCCAGTCCATCCAGTACCAAATCTCGGGACGAGCATGGAGACTGCAACGGCGAAAACCCGGAGATATCGTCCCCAACTGTCGACCGTATCAATGACCGTCTAGTGCGTTTAAACAACCAGCACGGGGTATGTTATCGTTCTCATCTGGTATACCTTCGCTAATAACCTAGGCAATATGGGCCTCGCCAACAGATTCGTCCGATCCTTACAACTGGCAGCCTTTGCGCAAGTTCATCATTGGAACGATATTCTCCTTCGGCCAATTGATTCCCATCATGTCTGCAAGTATGATTGCGCCGTCGCTTCCCGCCATCGCTTCGGATCTCGCTATTAGCGCTTCTACAGCCCAAATTACCATGTCGGTATTCTTCCTTGGTATGGCCTTTGCGCCGTTCTTGATAGCGAGTGCTAGTGAGGTATGGGGGAGGAAGCCGGTTTGGATAATTTGTAATGCCTGGTATGTGGTTTGGAACGCGCTGTGTCCAGTCGGCAGAAACACGGGGTTGATGATAGTTGGGAGGTTTATGGCTGGAGCCGGGGCGAGTGTTGGCGTCACGGTAAGTGATGAGTCTGATGAAGTCTGGCATACTGATACCTAACGTCTTGCAGTTGAACGGTCCAGTGATGGCGGATATGTATGGCGAGAATGAGCGAGGCAAATCTCTGGCCATGGTGTCCTTGCTTCCCTTTCTTGGCCCTGCTCTCGGACCGATTGTTGGTGGACTGGTTACCCATTCCATACATTGGTCATGGATATTCTGGATTATGAGCATCTTCAACGCCGTCATCTTGATTCTTGGCTTCGTCTGGATTCGCGAATCATACACACCGGTCTTGCTACGTCGCAAAGCGTTAGCCGAAGGTGGTAACGTCCCGACCGCCAAAGCTGAACGTGTTCGCATTGCGCAGCACCTCCTGCGTCCAGTCCGAATTCTAATGGAAAGGCCTATTATCTGGCTCAATGCACTGACCGCAACATTGTCCTTCGCTGTCTACACCCTCATGCTCTCGACATATGCGTCGCTATGGATCGAGAAGTATGGTCAATCTGAGTTTGTCAGCAGCTTGCACTACATGTCGATTGCGATAGGCGCAACAATTTGTGGCCAATTAGGTGGTCGCATAATGGACTGTTCGTATCGATATTTGATCAAGCGAACTGGTAGTAAAGGTGTTCCCGAGTTCCGCATCCCCTACATGGTTCCGGGGATGATCATCATGCCAGCCGGACTTTTCTGGTATGGATGGTCGGCTGAACGCACACTCCACTGGATAATGGTTGACGTCGGAGTTATCATCTTCACACTTGGGAGCTTCATCGTGAATCAAGCGACCATTGCATACATGATCGAGGAGTTCGGCCAATTCGCAGCTTCCGCTGGTGCAGGTGTTCGCTCAGTTTCGTATGGTCTTGCCTTCGTGTTCCCGATCTTTGCGCCCAACCTATACAACACTCTGGGATATGGATGGGGTAACAGTACGTTAGCCTTTGTTACGGTTGGTTTAGGATTGCCGGCGTGTGCAGTCCTGTGGTGGTGGGGCGATAGGATAAGAGCTCTCGGCAGGTCAACGTGAGCATAGAGACGGATTGGACATGCTAATACAGGATGATAGAAGAATGATAGATCAATAGCAATCCTTGAAACACTTGAGATCTGTAAGTCCTATGCAGTGCTATGCGAACCTGATCCGCGATGCCTTTTGTGGGGATGTAGGTGCATCGCCATACCTAGTGGTCTAAATGACCGGAAGCACACGTACCGTGTACGCAGAAAGGCTTCAAAACACCAAGCCACAGTTTCCTTAATACAGCACCGCAAAATACACTCTAAAGACCGTGAGACTCTTCCCCAACATGATCAAGTATATCTAGTTCACTTGGTGCAGTATCGTGGCAGACATCATTTCGGTAGGCCGAGCGTGAGAAATAAGCACTGAGGTGGTGTGGGGAAGGAATAATGGAGGTAGGAAGAAGTACGGCAGTTCTCGTGGGTGGTGATGCTATTGGCGATGCATCAGAGCCAAGACCCCGAGGGGCCGGCCTCATGTTTGCAGCCCTCAACTGCATCGATGTTGCCCACCGTTTGGTAAGCCGAATGATGTCTGCACCTCACGTTGTAGAACAATATGCTCTCAAAGTTATCCACATTGGAAGGAGTAGCCTGCAGTTCACATATAGAGTCGTCGACGATCACAATGGTGACATTCCTTGTTGAATACGTACACATCGAATCGCAATGATCAACGGCCCCAAATATCATTTTATCATCCCATAACCTTGACCATAGCTTCCCTCCACTTGGAACCCCATCTTCCCATTGCATACAGCGCCGCACACCCCGTGACCACACTCCAAATGCCAAGAATCGTCATCAACCACCCGTTTCCTATCGCGCTCAATATCGGCTCTGCGACTACCGCGCCCGTGAACGAGAAGATGTTCCTCACAAAATTGTTCAGAGCGATCCCAGACGCCGCGCGCCGAGGCATGAACTCCGTGAGCATGGTATTGACCAGCGCAAAGATAAGCATACTACCTATACCAAAGAAGAAGTTGCTGATCATTGGCACGATCCAATGGAGCCCTTTCTCCGCCGTCCATCCATAGATTATAAGAGCTGACGGCCAAAGAATCGCAGCAATCCACGCATTCTCCTTCATACGATCTTCAGGGCGAAAGATGAGCTTGCCTCGATCGTCGTAACGTCCTGCTTTCCGGGCTTCGCGGTGCATGATACTATCGATCCATTTACCGCCGAAGAGCGAGGCGAGGAGATAGCCGGCGGAGTTAGGGATGTAGAGCAGGCCGATTATGAGAGTGGAAAAAGAGTAGGGTGGGGCGGCAAAGGTGGATTGGATGCTGATGTTGAGGATGTAGAGACTGCCGAATGTTATGCTAGCATAGTAGACAGTAAGAAGAACGGGTGGGAAGCGGAGCCATGCTATGATGCGTAGTGGGTCGATGAAGATGTGGCGTAGGTGGAGTAGGATACTCTTAGTCCTCTGAACAGTAGAGGCGTGTGTGGTGCTTCTTCCGAGCGTTGTGCTCTGCTCTTTCTCGGTGTCGTTGCTTGGCTGTGGTGCTGTCGGGTCGGCAGATGGTTTCTCTTTCCTGTGCAAGGTTTCCGGAAGAGCGAAAATGATGAAGATAAGTGTCATGCCGCCGTATATGACCAGGAACCACTGTGTTGACCGCCAACCTAGTCCTGAGCCTAAAGCACCACCAATGATGGGTGCGAAGAGTGGACCACAAAGTGGCCCAAGATAGAAGATGCCCATCGCTCTTCCACGCTCTCTCGTTTCCCAGATATCGGCGATAGTTCCTGCACCTACCGCTTGTACGGATGCTGCTGCGCCACCGGATAGGACACGGAAGACGATCAGCATAGCAATGCTGGAACTGATGGCGGAGAGAATGGCAAATACGACGAAGAGTATGAAGGAACTTATGTATATCGTACGTCTACCCAGTCGCTCCGAGAAAGAGCTCCACCACAACGGGAATATGGACATGCTAAGCATGTAGACAGCAACGCTCATGTTGGTCACCGTCTCGGTCGCGTTGAAGGCTATGCTTATCTCCTGCAGTACGGGCATAACAATTGCGCTACCCATGGGTGCTGCCATGGCGCAAAAGGCGACGATAAACGTGAGGAACCATTTCGTTTGCCGCGCGTAGTGCTCTGGGTTTTCGACTTCCGGGATAAGAGCGAAGCGAGCGAGGAGTCCACGCCGCTGTGAGCGCGGGACAACGACAGCTTCGGGCAAGACTGAGGTAGTTCTGGCTAGGGTGACTGGTCGTTGTTTCGGCGTCGATGTTCTCTGCTGATCGGCACTGGTAGAATGCTCTGATGCCGTCGAGGCTCGAGATGATGAGATTGACATTGTTTCTTCTGCATCTCTGCGATCTCTCGTTTCCATGATGTCTTTTTCTGCTACGCCTTCCTCCTCAAAGTTCCTGTCTACGTTAGTGCCTCGGTCGGGGTTATCCTCCTGTTTCAACATCCTTGATGGCGATCTCGGCCTGTCATGATCTGCCATCATCGCCCGCCGCAGAGATTGAAGAAGAGAAACTCTGATAACGCAGCATCCGAATCTTTCTTGCAATCAAAAGCTCGCCCCGATTTCCGCATGCACTGTCGCTTTTCCGTATGCGTCGTAATACCTCGGTTGTCGACAGCCGCTATCTCTAGCGCTTTAGCATGTTCCAACGCGTGCCTGTACCCTATGTTCACCACAGTGGGACCTCAACAAGTGAGACGCAAGCGAAGGAAAGCTGAAGCTCTCCATGATTCCAGACGAAGCCCAGCGAAAACGCCGCTGTCGAACGATAACTAAGCAAGACGGATTACCGAAACAGGAGTTTTGCTATGCGGAAACAACTCGCTATAGTTATATCCGGAACCATGGTGGGGCCAGAAGGATACATGCATGCGATCCGGGTAATTGGGAGCTTGATTGTACGGGATGTCACGTGGATCATCATACCCGTCGTATGGCGGGCCGCATCGAGAACAAACTTTCCGATGCTTGTGTTCGAGGAGCTGTCAGCTAAGTTTAGAGACCCTTGAAGTTAACATCTGCACGGCCGTTAACGTCACCGTTAACGTTGTCGCATGAGCACGTTTTTGGCGGGGTAAAGATGGGTTAGCTTGACAGCTTGGAGCGGCCTCGGCTTCTCCATTTCCAGCTTCCATCCCATCATCATTCAGAAGCTACCACACGACACAGTCAAGCCACTGACTTTCAATACTCACCCATCCAAACCCATCAAGTCCTCCATCGCCAACTACCGACACAATGGCCACCCAAAATCAAGACCGCCTCCGTTCACACTTCTCTTCAGTTCCCGACGCAGAGCACAACAACCGCTGGGACGACCTGTGGAGAGAATCTACATTCCTGCCCTGGGACCGCGGCCACGCAAACCCTGCGTTAATCGATCTGCTCCAAGAACGTGGTCGCCCACTCTCATCTCCAGATCCCAATCCCTCCCTCGGTGCTCCACCACCAAACAGCGAGTCCGCAGGCTACGCGTCTCTCGCCGGACCATTGAAGGACGATGGGAAGAGGAGGAGGGTACTTGTGCCAGGGTGTGGGAAAGGCTACGACGTAGCACTATTTGCGGCGCATGGCTATGACGCTTATGGGCTGGAGGTGTCCTCGCATGCTGCCGACGCTGCTAGGAAGTACTTAGAGGAACCTGGGAAGGGGCCATTGGAGGGAGAGTATGTGGTCAGGGACGAGAAGGTTGGAAAGGGGGCGATGAAGGTTGTGTGTGGAGATTACTTCGAAGACGGCTGGTTAGGGGATGTGGAGGGCTGGGAGGGCGATGAGGGGTTTGATATCATCTACGATAACACGGTGAGTAAAGTATTGCATGTCGAGTGTGAAACGTGTCTGGAATTGTGTACTGACACGATGAACAGTTCCTTTGCGCACTCCCTCCATCTCTAAGACCGAAGTGGGCATCTCGTACCACTACGCTCCTCCGCCGTCCCTCACCAGACACCACTTCCACTGGTGGTGTGCTTATCTGTCTCGAATTTCCTACACACAAGCCTGCATCCTCCGGCGGACCTCCACACTCGCTCCCTCCTCTCGTACACAACGAGCTGCTCAAACGACCGGGTCGGGATATCTTGTATGACGACCAAGGTGTCGTGACCAAAACGGATCGAGAGGAGACAGACAACGCGCTGGTCAAGATCGCGCACTACACACCCAAGCGGACCCACGAGATTGGTGTCATCAAGGGCCTCGTGAGAGACTGCGTGAGTATGTGGCGGCACAAGGCGGATTGTCCGGAGGATCAGAGATGGCACTGAGTACAGCAGGCTAGGAGGACGTTGTATAGCTCTGGTAGACAACTTACGAGGTTGCCAAGATTCGCATCGTCACTCCCATGCTCAGCCTTCCTTGCGCAACGAGTTGTAGTGCTCGCCCAACCCGTGACTGTGCTTGTAGTATCCCAGCCAGATCTCCTCCTTTTCTTTGACCTCGTCTTCAACCTCTATCCTGTCCACCTGCCCATCGCTGTGTAGTACACATATCCGGAGGCCGTATGTCCTAGCCAACGCAAGCAGCTCCAAGTGTCCACCCCATTCGCCCGTCTCTCTAATCTTGCGGACGTGCTCGGGCAACGGGTCTTCCATGAATCCCGAGAAGTCGTCGGCGTGACCTTGGATCCAGTCTGCCGCTGCGTGCCTGACTGTCTTGTATCCTTCTAGCTTCTTGTCTGCTTCTTGTTCACCCTGTCCAACGATAGTGACACCTATCCTTGGCTTCAAGCTCAGTTCTCGTGTCTGCAACTGATCCGCAACTGCCGCATACAAACAATGACCATCCGCTCGTATCTCATGCAGGGCCAGCCCATGTTTTTGTAACTGTGTCGCCATGCGCTCTCGTTCTAGTTCGCGTGGGTTTGGTGCATTGGCAGCCTCGCGCTCTGCTTCGGCGATCATGGAGGCTTGTTCGGCGGCGCGGCGGGCGAGGCGGGCTTTTGCGCGGTTCGGCTTCTTCTTTCTGGGTTCGGTGGAATCACCATTTGTACTGCTCTCTTTGCTTTCTGGGGTAGAACCATTTAGCTTGAGGCTGGCCATGTCATCTTGTATATCCTGCGCCTCATCCTCAGAGCTCCGTGGACCCTGTTCATGTTCCTCGACATCTACAGCCTCCCCGTTCTGCACGGCAAGTTCATGCGCCTGCCGCTCCTTCAATTCGCGCTCTAGCTGCTCGCACTCGTCGTTGACACCCTTTCGTGTCTTTTTGCTCGCTTGCTTCTTCTTTTGCGTTATACGTGATACGAGGTCGCGTTGCTCCTTGCGGTGTCGAGATTGTAGCGCTTCGAGGGTTTCTGGCTCGGGCGTTGGCGACGCGTCGCTCATGATGACGATGCAGAATCTTCAAGGATAGAAGAGGGGCAGAAGAGCTGAGGAACCGATATGGGGTAAAGACAGTGTGTGCTTGACTGTGAGACCAACGTACTCATGGTGGGGTGGTGGGGAGCGTGAGATTCTTTGGCGCCTCGGCCGGTGAATGGTTTTGCCGACGTAAACATGTCAGTCATACTTCACTTCATCTCTTTCTTCCACAAGTTTCATCTCCTGGCAGAGATGCTATCGCCTCAGTACCCAGTACGCAATTCAAACATCGTTCGATTACTCGTAGAAAGGCCATAGAACTCCTACGCGTCGTCCCGACACAAATCTCGCTTCCTATGTTTTCATCAGTCTAGGCTTCAAGAGACGGATTCAGGCAGGCATTCATCTGACTTCTTCTCGTTCTTCTCTTTTCCCCATTCCAAACGTACATAAATTCCGCTTGCTTCTTGCTTGATTGATGGGATGGGCTCAGTGACGTTCAAGCTTTCTGCTGCTCTGCTCTTCGGACATGGATCAGAAAGATCTAAGGGACTTACGATGTCAAGGTTCAAAATAACACTAATGTTGTAGTACAAAATAAGCTAGGTCGTGGTGACAGATTGCTTGCTATAACGATAGTCAGGTGTGGTAAGACCTTCGTGCCAACTCGTTCTCAGCATTACCTAGCTTGATTTACGACGGAACTTGATAATCGTCGAAGAGACGCCATGGGCTGCCGCCTAGCCCTTTCAACACAGGTAGTCAAAGCGCTGTTATGCAACTTGTATTGCAGAGAGTACGGTAGGATTGAAGTGAAATCCTGATATCCCGCTCTTCCACCGCACCTTCCTCGCGGCCGCGCACCTACCGAGCGCTCGGAACCTGTCTCTTACCCACAAAACCACCACTGCCTTAACGCTTCAGGGATTGCACTATCGATTACCTGATATCCATCGACAACGGACATCTCTAAACATGCCTTTTCGCGACCAGGAATGGGAGGACCTGCAGCGCGACTACGACATCTTCCCCGCCTATAGCGACTATATTTACGGAGCCGATGGGCGCCTTGTCGTGACCCAGGAACCCGGCCTTCACCCTATGATATATCCCAGAGACATATCTGCGCCTATTCGTTACACCAATAGTATGCCATCTCGATCTTGGTCTCACAAGACCGCCGAGGGCCTTGAGAAGTCGAACAAAGCGGCTACGCAAACGCTGGCGGCAGGACAGGACGAGATCGGCGACAGCGACAGCGACATCAGCGGTACAAACAATGGTAGTAGTACGCCCGGCTTGGATGTGCGTTCGCAAACTGGTAGTCCTCTAAACCCGCTGCTACCTCCGCAAGGCGTTCACACTGTCTCTGAGAAGGAGATGGCGCGACGGAAGACGTTGAATGCATCGCAGCGCCGCCCTCGGTCTAGAATCGTAGTTCCTTTCAGTCCATTACAGCAGCAACAGTCGGTGAGATTGACCAAACAGCAGACGCAGACCAGGAACACATCGGTCGCACGCAGGCCTGAAGGTCAGCCACACCAGCCATCCCTATTGCGCTCACCGTCTACTACCGATATCGATGAGAATCCAGCACCGAGAGCGTTGCTTCAAAAGCGGGGCATGCTTTCACCTTTCGCGTCACCGGCGCCAATGCTAGATCCGCCAGCAAACCTGTCTCAACAACAACCACAGCGTGCCACTGACCTGCCCAACAACTTCCCTCTTCCTTCCACTCCAAATGATCCTCCAAAATCGAGCCACGAGATCCCCCCTCTCCAAGCGAATGATATATTACATAATCCACGCTACGACTACCTCCATTCCGACAAGCGCATGCAGATTGCGAAGATACTCGTCGACCGTTGGGTCGTGGTGCGGGAATCTCCTCCACATAGTGCTCTACGAGCAAAGGCGATATTGGATATTCGAAATGTCACCATGATGGTCAATAAGTCAGTACCTAACCTACAGGCCGTGACGGAGTTGCAGAAGCAAAGGGCACAGCAGCTCAAGACGCAGGCGGCTCTTGAAGTGCAGACGCTCCAGGTAAATCAAATTCAACAGCCTCAACAGATATCTCAGGCTCCACAAGTGTACATCCAACCTCGCCTCCAGCCAGATGTCTCATCTCCGCAACCCACCCAATTGTCTCCGAGCCAACCTCTCCAGCAGCCCGCTCCTCGAGAACCATACTACAGTATCCCTCAACCGGCACATCAGATGCAGCTGCCTCAGCAATACACACCTGAAGGTTATCAGGCGCACTCCCAAGCACAGCAGCAAACCCACCAACGGTATCAGCAGTCTCCAAATCAGAACTTAAATCTGAATCCCACACAACCGCAAGCATCCGCCCTGCTCCGCGCGAACATCAATCGCCATATCCCACAGGTTTGGCAGTGCCTACAGATCGCGCGAAACCCCCCACAAACCGCACAGAACAAGGAGCATGCGAATCAGTGGCTGGGACAATTCAGGAACAGTCTGTCAGTTGAGGGTCGTGAGTACTTCATGCAGGTTATGCAAAGGGCGTTGCTCGAGCAGAGACAGGGAAGAGATGCGTTGGCGTTTCTAGGGCTTCACGATTGGACAACCTAGTAAGGCGGTTTGAGCAAGGAAACAGAAAAGCGTCCGGGACGTAATACGGACGGAGAGTGGGACTAAAGGTGAATGCAGAGGGCGATTTGGCTGGCGGCGATGAGAAGAGACACATTGTTTACCAGATGACGTACAATGATGGTTGATCATCTTTGATGTGCAGAGAGAGCATGTTAGTATGGGTTTTGGTACAAAATGTCTTGCAGAGAAAAGACGCACACTGTGACGTGCAAAGTAGTATACATGTATCCATCAAATACTACGGAAGAACTTATCGCCCGCTACTTCTAGACTGATTTTGATGTAGTTGAACGAAAGCTTCATTTCATGACATATCAGGTTACACATCGCATTGCCTTATGCAACGAAGTATTAGGATATCGATCCTATCACTGTCTACTCTCGCTGACAATGAGAAGTCTACCAGTCCACACTCTGTTTATTGTGGCCATCACCCCTACCGCGTAGTTGACCCGCTTCAATTAGAAGCTCCGGACGCCACAAATCGTGGACCATGCCGGCAGTACCCAGAATTTCGATCTAGTCAGTGAAGGCTTTCCAGGTAACATCGCATCGGCCTATATTCCATGAAATGACATCAGCATACAGTTTCCTCGGCAGTCTCGTCTCCGCAAATTATCAAATCTATACAATCGCTACCATGTAGCTTCGTAGATGAGAATTCGATGTCACAGCGTTGAGATCATAACGACAGCTGAAAGTAATAGTAAAGTCTAGCATTAATATCCTATGAACAGGCTATGGTGTGAGAGAACCATGCTCTTTTTACTATTCAATCGTGAAGTTCCTCGAACTGGAGGTTTAGCCGCCCAGATATCGATCTATGGTGCTTGGTTCATATGCATCCAGTACCACCTATTATAAAGGTTTGCACTCTGACCCGCAATGGTTGCACTTGTTGCAGTCAAACCGCTTGCAACATCCTTCGCAGTCCATCCAACCACGAACCATGCACTTAGTCTCCCGGAACTTGCCTAAAAAATACGTATACGAAGTCAGTGTATGTTTCAGATACAGTTCGTACATTGGAGTGTTCACCATAGTCTGCATGAAAGACGGTAGTCATGCTATCATGTAGCTTGTCAAGCTGCGAGTCGACCTTATCGCGCGTCTCACAACAGTGGAACTCGTGATTGACATAACCGCCACCCTTTAGTTCGACGTGCATCCAGTTTGTATGAGTTTCCTTGTCGCCGCTAAGAGGGGGGAGGTTGACACGAACCCCATTTGGGATGTTGCAGAATTGCCGACCTGGAAATTCCCAGCAGTTGGGGCTGTTGTAAGAGTCATCGGTAAATCCCACTGCAGATACGAGTTAGTAGTATGGCTTCGAATCAATGGTTACAAACTTACTGTATGTAGCAGAAATAGTGTTGATAAGAAGCTGACGAATGGTTTCGTTCTCCCACTGGCCGTGCACTTTCATACAGAGCTTAGCTAGCCATAGAATCAGCATTCTCGTTCTCATATTTGAAAACAAAACTTACCCCAACCTAGCTCAACAGGAAATGGGTTGAATCTGGAGACGTATTGAACATTGATGCAGCGGCCTGGCCAGTTCTCATTACACCAACCACGCGTGTTAGGACATAGATGGCCGAGTAGATTCCAGATTGCCGCATTCATTTCTGCGCCCTTGAGGTCACCACCATTGATGGCCGGACGACCTACCCAGACCTCCACAGTGGCGAGGCCGTGGTGACTGAAGGTCGGCGTCCAGTCGTTAGGGTCTTCGGCGGCAGTGACATCTACTGTTGTTAGTTAAAAAGCAATCGAGATAGCTTCTAAGAGATGATCCATACTTGAGTAATCGTAAGGCATGACATGGTCGTCGCCGACCGTGGGAGCAGCAGCAATGAGTAGTGCGAGACCAATGGTCAGACACATGAGGATGGTGTTGAGCAACTTCATGTTGCGCGGACGGAAAGCTATTCGTACCAGCTTGGTAAGAGGTTGAGTTGTAGTTGCCTCAGGGGGTGTTCGTAGTATCAGGTGCATGGAGGAGCAAAAGTTTTCTTTTTGTACAGAAATGAGGGTGACTTGAGGGGATAGTCGGTCTAGGATCGCAGAGAGAGAGAGAGAGAGAGAGAGAGAGAGAGAGAGAGTCAAAGCTTCTTGAAAGCGAGAATGAATGTCGTCCTGGCATTGACGCAACCACCTCATGGAGGCAATTCTTCTCTCTCACTTGTGTTAGTTGCTACTACTAGCCTGATACCGAGTGTTCGTGTTACATGATGTGCAGAGACCGAGTCTATGTAATACTCCGTACTGCGTATCGAAGATATCAAAAGAGACAGAGCGAACAGCAACTTCACTCCTGCTTCAGTAGTTTTGATGTATATTAGAACCTGTCCCACGTGGAAACCTACTTCTGTGTACTATAAGTCTCGGTTATCCAGCTCGATCCAACGTCACCTTTATTTCTTGATCTTCCTTGTCTGTCTGCTCAATTCTTATGTTCCGCTTTCGACAACGACATTCACTTCCCCCTGAGGAACATGATTCACTTTGAAGCTATTATCCAATAGTTGTATCGATACTCTCTAAGCTCCATAAGAACGAGAGGATATAGTTAAGAATGGCGACAACGATGGTTGTTTGACGTATGTCCTTGACCTTGCGATATTCCACAGTTCTCCCGACACATTGCCAGCACTACGGTTGGGCGCAGACAAAAGACCTCGAAAATGTAGAATTTTCGAACATTGGCGACTTGGTACTGAGTCTGCTTTATCGGCTTTTATAGTTCAGTTCAAGGCTGCATATATAGACGTCAATGGAAGAACATATTAATCGTCGACGTTGATGGCTTGGCGAATACGGTACTAGACGTGGTTCGTGAGGCGCAGGCCGCACACACCGCTTTGTTCAAGGAAAGTCATTTTGATCTAATACAGGCGTCTGAAGGATGTCGTGCTGATCAATGAGAAGTGATCAAACACGACGTGCGAGAGAATGCGTCTTTTGTCGCTCGGTCGATAATCAAATTACGTATCTTTTAGCGGCCCATGATTACGTCCTGCCTATTACGGCTAGCATGCTGATCCTCCGCCCTTCACCTTCCTTAATGTGCATCTCTCCACGTCAACTCCCAACCACCGTGAACCCCCAAGAAAGCTTTTGTTTTGCGCAAAAGCTTGTAGCAACATTACAATGAGCGTTACAATGTCTTCGAACCCTTCCACCGTGACCCATGCGAGGTCTCCAAGCTTTAGCGACCTTCCGCAAGGTACCATAAACTACCTCGGCATAACTCGTTCTCAGCTCACAGATGCGCAGAGGTGCGCAACAGGATATACATGCTTGCTGCGAATGACAAGGAGCGCCTTATTGAGCAGCACGTCAGCCGGCGCAACACCGCGACAACAAGTGAAGCTTTTTGGGCAGCACGCGGGTATTACAGCTTGACCCAGGCCTCTCGACAAACACGGCGGGAGTTTCGCGAACTGTATCTCAGGGACCGTGCTATATCGGTGCACATTCGTGACGCGCAAGACTACCTAGAGACCATCTACCCGTCGTCTGGCAAAAATGCGGTCCATCGCAGCACTATCAACGCATGGCTTACAATTCGCACTGACGTCGAACGCCGTGGCAAATATGATACACCCATCGAAATCCGACCTCTGTTGCTAAGCCTCTTCAATACGCCTGGTCTCGACTATGAATTTACGGGCAAGGGTGGCGCAGTTTTCAACGAACTGTTTGTCGGTTACGAGGGGGAGTGGAGGGCTGCAGTGGAGAACGTTTTCAAGAGCGTGGAGCTAAAGGAGCCTAGTGTCTTCGGATTGAGGCTAGTACTGGACCCTAAGAGTCGAATGCCTTGGGTCAAGCAATGTCCTATCTCTGTTACCAGGTTGCCGCACGTACCAGAGGATGCATTAGAGTGGTTCAGTGCACTTGGACTGGATACGGAGAACGACATGATCTTCGTGAGGAGAGGCGCGCCAAGGTGGCTACGCGGCGACTTTATCAAGGGTTCGAAGTAAAGCCGGTGAGGCAAGGTCATTGTGCACCAGGAGACTTATAACTCTGGGTCTCAAAACATGTTTGCATCATAAGTTTTGAAAATTCGACTTCTGCAGTAGTCCTGTAAGTTCAGATGGTAGAAGCACGTGATCATGGCGTCATCGCTTGTAAAGCGCCACGGTTACTAGGCAGCAACTCACATCATGCAATGAATCGTCAGGAAGCCAGAAGCCGCGCAAACACGTCGTCCCATTATACATTTTTCTTGATGCCGGCGGGTTGCTCGCTTGCACTAACTCATAGCGTCCGCGTCTTTCATTTCGCTAAAAGCCTGTCCGGCCCTGACGGCGACTGACGTTTCACGGCGTTCCAGTACAAGTCCTACATTAACAAAAAACTTCCGAAAGCCGATACAAACGATCATCATGCCCATGTCAAATATGCTCCTTTCTCTACCACCAAGTACGACAGAAACTACTTAATAGACATAAGCCCATATAGCCCCGACGCGCAAAAGACCTAACAACTGCAGTCGTTTCGTGTACGCAACGATCAGGCATGTACCCAAAGCTACATGCCAAGAAAGTGCGCTAATACGGACACTCTATAGTGAATCCAAGCCTATTGTAAGCATGCCGCAGGTCACAGCCGCCGATCCGAGCTCTCGAGCAGACTGCTTTTCGCACAATCCGCCGAGTTGTCAACTACTGCCACCTTGTTCGTTCGTGGGCCACCCTGCTGATCAGTCCTATTGTCTTCATACTTTTGGGATACCGGAGATGTTGAACAACAGAACTGCGCAACAGTGTTCACGCTTTCGTCGTCGAGGATGCCGAGGGAATCCCAGACGCGCGTTCCGCTCCGAGCGTTTCCGTCTGCTGCGTCGATACGAAGAGTGCATGTGTCTACACCGGCATTATTGTGGTGGTCTAACCGAGCTCTGTACCTAGCTACGTAAGTAGTGTCACCCGCTGTACATGGGCATCAAGCGGCTTGATGATGCTCTTGACTACATTGAGATATACTGTCCCGGCGAAGAGCTCGAGAAACCAGTCTTAAAACCAGAAAATGAAGAGCACATACCCATGGTGCAGTACCCACGGACGTATTCCATGAATCTCCTCCTATCATGGAAGCCATATTCCCGAAGCGAATCGCGATCAGCTTCAGTGGTGATCGTTCAACGTCCTTGCGTACGGGTAGTGATGCCGTCGACCTGGATGCATGGGTTTTATACAACAAACAGATCTGGGAATTGATCTTCCAGAGGTCTTCTCCCGGATCATCTGGCGCTACAACGCATTTCTTGAGCTTGTGTTCCAGCCAAGTCATGCCCAAACATGCATATCGCTTGGATATGGCCCTGAAAAGCAAGTCTGTCGCACGTCACTAGGTCTAAGATTACGCTGGGATCATCCGAACATAACTATTGAGCAGATGAACTGGTAAAATGCTTTTTCTCATCGTTCTGATGATATCCTTTTTTCTAGCGTGGCATCAGACGACGACATAGGCTTTCAGTAAGAGCTCAGAGATGAGTGAATAGGGAGGTTTCATGGCATCTTAGAAGACTGGAAAGAAGACACGCAAGAATCGTATGTGTCAAACCAGGGATTCTGGTAGCTGTCGGCAATACGAAAAGTTGTTGTCACAATTCTGGCTGTCGTATGTGCCACGGAAATCGGCAAGCTAGCCGGCCTTAGCCGACACGCGAAAGCCACATGATGCGAGCCACAGTTCCGCCTTTTCCGCACCCCCCTGCTTTCACCAATCAGGTTGCAACCTGCACCATACAAGCCGTGCTAAGCTTGACAATTGTGGCGCCAGTTTGATGAGATTTCTGCAGTGTGATGGCGCGGCTAGTCCTGCATTGTGAGGTAGAGCAGGTAGAGCAGTTGGCACCATGTGGCTAACGAGTGGCTTACGCATACCGTGGGGAAGGGATTGGGTACAGTATATATAGCGTGACGCCCCCATGTGTGGCTGTGTGAAACACACTACAACTACCATCGTCCATTACCCTTTTAGTCTATCTGTGTTGCAGTGCTGAACTAGCCTTATCGGGATCTGCAAGACGATCACCACCATGTCCTTCGAAACCTACATACAACGCGCAGACGACTACATCACCAAGCAGATCCACAAATTTGAGCAGCAAAAACGCGGAAATAGATCACCACCCCGCGCACAGGGATATCATCAGATGTCTGGATACCAGCAGCAAGGTCGGCCGCCGTCTCAAGGCGGCTATCCTAGCAGCCCTGCTCCACAAGACGGTCCACGACCAGCACCCCAAGGCTGGGCACAAGAGTATGATGCAAGAAGTCAGCGTTGGTATTACGTCGAGAGAGCTACAGGGAGAAGCCAATGGGAACCACCATCGTTTGCACCGCCACGCGCCGCTACATTCCAGCCTGACGTCCGCATGCCCAGTCCATACCAACGGTTCAACCGGGAAGACGAGCAGAGTCAGCGGTGGCGCGAGCGATCCAATTCTCAGCCTCAACGGCCAGGGTCAGGTGTAAGTGGACATGGTCAGTTCCTGGACCCCAGACAAAATGCTGCAATTGGAGGCGGTAGTGCTAGCCCGGCTGGATTGCACACCCAGTTGCCACCAGGATCGTATCTGGATATGAAGACTGGCAAGGTCGTTAGTAGTATGTTCCCAGAGGGCCAGACACATCAGAGTTGGCAACAGGAGATACAAAGGATATGATATTTGAGGAGGGTACAGAGTAAGGGATCAACGCGATACATGAGGGTGGACGGGTGAAGTTCGCACGCATAGGAAAGAAGACCTTCGGCAAGTCGATGTGTCTTGGAGTTATGGGTGTTGGATATAGAACCTTACTATTAATGCGACTATGATACGGATCGTTTTTACAACAAGCTTGCCTAATCAGTTCGTCGTGAAAGAAGATCCTATTCAGCATTGCATGTGAAGTTAAAGGTAGAAAATACCATCCTGTCAAAATTTCCATCGCATCGTTCACCCTCGATGAGACTGTGGATATGAAGTGCTCTCGAGCGTCGTTCCAGTTGTGCTGGTTGCCTGTCACTGTGTCGTAGTTAGTGGTAGTCATAACGGATCTAGGTTTTGCTTACCTCGAGGCCTACCACAAGCCAAATCGATCAGAGCCGGATGGTTGAGGATGGTAGCCAGGTATCTTTGTGTATAAGCCTGTATCGTGTTAGTTGACTCTTCGCAAAAGACAACGGGATGTAAGTAGTTACAGTAAGATGTGAGAGAGAAGAGAAGGTAAAGACAGACGCGATTATGAGATGTCGTGGTGACCAAAATCTGCAACACTAGCACTTGCACGGATCAGTATGGAACATGTGTACTTTGAGGAAGCAAGGTCAATGTCACCTTCACCTTCACGAGATAGATAGCACTTCATTCTGAAGCAGGAGCATCTCTCGGAACGAAAGATGTGCTTACTAGATACCACTCAGCTACAACGCCCACTCGACTGCAAGCTTCAGGGGAAACGGCTCGAGAAATCGTCCAGTCTAGGTTGCGACCATGTCTATTGCGTCGACACTGATACCTGGACTCAAGTACCCCGTAGCCGTCTTCCCCGAGATCACAGAGATCTTAAGTAGCTGGTATTCCCTCGCGCTGTTCACCCACGCGCTTGCTGGAACGCTAAACTCATAGACGTAGTTGTTGCCGCGATAGGTTCCAACTGTTAGGCTTCTGGTATCGCCTTGTCCCTTATCAGCCTGCAAAGGAGCTGTCCAATTGTTTACCGCAATTGTCGGCCGTCCACCGGCCATACCTTCTGTGACACCGACCCTGATCTTTGCACCCTTGACTAATTGCGCATCAGTGAGGCGAAAGTAGACGATGTGATCATTGTTGATGTCCTTCCAGATGTAGCCGGGAAAGTTGGCTGCAGTACTGGTACCCACGATATAGTTTCCCGTATCCCACTTTGCAAGGCGCGAATCTGATGGATGCATATATGTAGGTTTCATAGGACTGTCGCCGAAGTTTAGAAAACCCTTGGGTGTGCCGTCCCATTCACCAATCCGCCATATGACGGATGTATCTGATGGATCGCTGCAGGTGATTGTATTCAACGCAACGGTCCCTCCGGCAGTGATGGTAACAGTGATAGTGTGGACTTCAAGCTCCTACGATATCGTGTAAGTATTGACTACTTTGAGGTGCTGAGCTTTGGCTATGCTTACACCCTTGTATACATTCAATGTGTATGAACTCGGAAGGACTTTGTTGATCTTCCACGCGCCAGTTGCTGCAGTAGTCCAATATTGCGCTTGCGCACTCTTTAGGCCGACAACATACTGGTATCCATTCTTCACATTCGCCAGACCAACGCCAGAGACAGCGCCGCGCTTGCTAGCTGGAGTCCAACCATCAATTTCGAGAGTGTCGAGCCAGTCCCAATTAGCATTGCGTGCAAAGAGGGCGGTGTTCGGTGCAGCGCCGCTATCTGTGAAATGGATGACAGAGGGACCTTGAAGCCCAAAACGCATCACGTCCGTATGACCTGCAGCACGTTAGCACCTCTCTCGACTAGGAGCAGAGAGAAAGTTAGACGCACCCATGTTGTAGTGGTAGATATCGTATAAATCTGGTCCGCCACTACCTCCGCGGCGAAGCAAGCTTCGGAAGAATGGCCCGCCCGACGCCTTCTCATGATTCGAACGAATCATATACATGCCAACATTCTTGTTCGTGTATCCGACCCAGTCATAGTCCATGGTGCGACCGTATTTCTTGCCAGAGTAATGTTTGGACCACGTCTGGCCGTTGAGACCATTAATGTCACCAGATTCGATGGCCGTCGCACCGTCAGGGATCCAGTCGGTGTCCTCATTGATGTTGTTGGTAAAGATGTTCGGAGGGATGCGAAGGATGTATCGCGACACAGTGATGCTGCTATCTTTTTTATTCATAAAGATGTAGACATTGGGATTGCCATAGCGAAAGATCAAAGTGTGAACAAGAGTGCCCACTTTCATCGTCACCTTGATGATGTTGGCTGGGGTAGTGTATTGCTTGATCGTGACAGTGCCAGGCGCAAGACCAGATTCGACATGCGAATTTTTACCGTTCTGGCCGTTGTACTCAATGTCGCGGTACTTAATCGAGGTCATGTCGCCGTTTGTCTTGCTGACTTTGACGATAAGGTTCGCATTTGTATCAATGACATAGTTCTTGCCGTCATCAGTGTAGCCCCAGGCTGCGAAAACAGCAGTCGGGGCCAGGAACAGGGTGGTAATGATTGCTAGAAAACGCATCTTGAACGACTGACTGAGCGCAGGTGGTGCTATGCTCTGCGCACACCGACTTTATAGTGATACATTCGCTATCCTGTGTGGAGATGCAGATGCCTGCACACCATCACAATATCACCTTTCCCGGTGGTAATACTGTAGCAGTTGCGTTACTTACCCATATCGAGCGGGCTCCGCTATTAGAACAGAGCACCTACGCCTTGCGGAGTAGTGTATGGATCTTATTGTACGAAAGCCGAGCATGGGTATTTATTTGCCAGAGGTTTGGAGTATTTCTCCGAGTTTAGCACGTTCAGTACCAGTGTGCGCATCGTGTCATTGGTGGGGTTGGTTGTGGGTGTTTCGAATCAAGTCCGGGGAAATTCTAGAGATCATGAAGGAAGCTTGGGATGCCAAGCATAAGCGCACAGGTGACTGTATGTATCACAAGCCATCATTAAATGAAGGACGACGGAATAAACTTTTCGCGGACAGGAGTCAAGAAGTAGCTGAAGTGGCTGAGGGGCGAGAGCACGACACGAAACGGGGGAGAACCCGCGTTGCGGGCCGATGCGGCTCCGATTGGTGAGGTTTTGCAGGATGCTAGATGCGCTCGACTCTTCCCCATCACGACAGACACACGCCCACCGTGGTCAATGACAATGTTCCTCTCTCCTTTCGTTCATCAGCGCGGAAGGCTACGCTTATAAAACCAAAGTACTATACATCAACCAGGCAACAAGATGAGTAAACTCTGGCATATTTCAGACCGGAGGATTTCGCGAAACTGCCGGGCGCTCGGGCGTATACTAATCGGACGCTGGCGATTCTGTTGGCAATCTGCGAGGGCATTGCTACTCTGAGCACGAACTCAAAACTGCCATATGCCTCAGTCTTTCAAAGCTCATTTCTCACTCCTATGGAGTAGCTTGTCATTTCCGACTTGCTGTATCAATGCCAATACTTATCCTGGAAGTCTCCGTAGTGTTTTACCAACACGAGCCAACAAAGCAGAAGTAGCCGATGTTCGGGACCGCCGGCAACTCCAAGTCGAACTGTCAAGAATCTCCCTATGCTCCTAGAGTGTCCACTCTTTCTGCCCACGGAGGAGCCTGATATGGGGGTGGCTGAGAAATCTGCTGGGTCGCTGATGTGAACATCGTCTGCTTCATATGCGACGCCTTTGAGACGTGACTCTTCCTCTCCCGCGAAGGCTACTGCTTCTATCAGTTCATCTGAAAGCTCGGACGTTTTCAGCCCTTCCTCGCCATGCAGAAACTGCACATCGATTCCGTAGTCAAATAGTCGGCCTACTGCGGTGACAGTATCGTCCCATGTTTCTGAATCGGCATCACTGGCTCCGATGATGATAGTCGGCCGGAAGTGCTCTTTGCGAAAACCGAACCCAATAAAATCGATGGTCTTCCAAGCCCGGCCGCGCAAGGCTTTCAAGAAGAGTGGGTGTCTATCTCTCCACTCTTGCACCACGTCTGCGATAGCAGGTCCTTGCAAATTAAAAGTGAGAATTCCTTGGTATGCGGCATTGTCGATGATCTCGATGTTCTCGTGCAAATGACTTCTGGACAAATAATCTACTACTGCCTGGGCGGCTGAGTACCATCGATCAAGCTGCCTCTCTTTCGTAACTTCTGACCGAGTGAGAATCGTGCTGTGGCTGGTTCCAAGCTCGTTTGACCCCGTACCGACTGCATACTGTATGTCTCGAACCAAATACGTTGTGCCCCTCTACTGTCTTTACCAATGCGGGACGATGGTTGTGGAGGTGTGCTGAGGAGATTGGCTGAGCGAACTTCGAATCGAGACAGTATCTTGCAGAGACACCGACTCTTGTGCTTCTGTCTTTGGCGCCGAGCTTGCGCGACGTTATGGCGTTGTCTTTGATGCCAGCATTGCATACTTACGGTCTTAACACTGGGAGCCATCTCATAACAACAAAATCACGCATCGTTCTTGTTCCATGGTTCGCGATATAGATCAGACTCATCTTACAGCTGTTTTCGTCCTAGCTCATTCCATCTTCGCCGTAATCCTTTCGCTTCGACATGGGTTTACTGAACAGTTACGCACCCGCATTCTGTACAGTGTAATGAAGAGTTCCCTAACGTTCAACAGCGTCTATAAATACTTCAATACGAGGTACAACTAATTCGGTAAAGTTTATCGAGCCTCGGGGGCCATCTCAACGGCGATGTTGTTCCCACGCTTCGATTCACGACAGCATCATGTTTCACGTTTCGCTTCCAAGGATTTTCGTAGTGACGGCTCAGCAAATACGTCTCGGTATCTTTTCAAAGCTATGCAGATTTCTTCGTTGCCCGATACCTGCACGATGACTCTTGACCCGTAAAGATTGATCGAACTGACATGAGATTATACATCAACTCTTACGAGTGCGCTGCACGTTGCAGTCTCCAGGACGACTGGTTGTCCACGTAGATGTCGCACAAATACAGTCGTAGCCATGTCCGTTTTACCACTCTCTTGCAGAAACTGTGTCTGCGTATTGCAACGTCATTAAGTCAACGTCGGACTAGAAGGGGGCCATTCGCGAAGATAATACACGCACCTGTTGTTTGATCACTCACAACCCAATCCAAAAATGCTAAACTGCACAGATACCCTGGGTCGTGGGTCGATCCAAAGTCTCGCAAGACGAAAAGAGAACGCTTCGAACAGCTGATATACCTGGGTGTAGCACGCCTTCTTGGAAGTCAGCTCCAAAATATGGCCTGACGTTTGCATGTTGTACAGGTTGCACAAGACTTCTGGAGATCAAGTCTCGAGGTTGGGTGGTTTTCCGAGCAGGAAGAGTGTCGGCTTTCTCCTACTAAGCAGGATCATATACTTGAACACCAAGTAACCTTGCAATCAGGAACGAGCATGGGTATTGGATTTCATTTTACATGTTGCACACTTCCGGATGCGTAGTCCACGACCCAAGAAGTCGGTCACAACATTAGCCGTGAAACAATCCAGACGCTTGTTACGACCTGACGCGACGGCTCTGTCTTTCGAGAGGCCTATCGGATCAAGTAGAAAATGACTGGCTTGCAATCTAAAGAAGCGGTCAAACTTAGCGCGTTCTTTATACGGTCTGCCGGATTTCCTAGTCAGCGGAATGAAACCTAACCTAAGGATGTGACGCTTCATCTGCTTATCGGGAGCATCTACCAGCACATTGGTATATGTGGAACCTGACCGTACAAGGTATACACTAGGTGGCCAGGAACCGTTCCCTAACGTCATGCAGGGTCTGATGGAAAACCGGTCCGCGTACTCACCGCTGTATCGGGAAGGTCAGTCTGCAGGCACTATCCAAGCCGTACACGAGTTTTAGAGTTACACATCGGTACAGACAAGGAAACTCGTTCACTCAGCCATGTCGCTAGAGATGGAGTGAGCTCAATTCACCGGTTCTAAGGCGCGCTTCAAGAGTGGGGTGACCATGTCGCTACAACACAACGAGGGTTAACGAGACTGGGTTAAAAGCACGAATACGACTAGCGGACGTTCGTCCCTGCTTCTGGATGCGACCTCACTGGCCATTTTCCTTGCTCTGGTCCTGGGCGACCACGATAGATTGGACCCTCCGCCGAACCAGCAAGTGAAACGACAAAAACAGCAGCTGCTTCCAATCGAAGTTCGCCATGGACACAGCCGCGCGTGTCCCCTTATCTAGTCTCCTGATGCTGCGCAAGTGACAGCGCGACAGATGGCTGGGCACCAACTCGGAAGCTGTTGCAATACACATCGAGATTGATGACGAGGCGTAAGCATGCAAATCATCAACACTGCATCAAAGTGGGTGTGGTCTGCATGCAATGGCACAGAAAAGACATCAATCCATGACCTCTTAAGTCAGTGGCCGTTCCACTACACACTGTTTGGCTTTCCACCGAATCTCATTTTCATCCAAGGCCAAAATTCATCATCGATTCACATATTCGGCGTATTTTACAACGTCAACTGGAATGCCCTATGTCACGAATGGGATCTCAATGGCGAGCCTGAGCCCACCGTCATGCTTCCCCGATCATCCACAAGCCGTGGTGACCTCTACTTGTCCGTTGTGTAAAGGGAATCCGTAAGGATATGCAGTTAGCCATGTCACTATTGAGTTTAGAGCGCTGACTGAGATGTAGTCACCGCAGAACAACCTGCACTACGTGCAACGCCCAAGGCTTCACACAGAAGAATCGTGATGCCTGCTTACAGTACCGTAATACGCTTCAGATGAAGGTCCAGATTGTCCAAGCGTAGCTGGTCGTCTACTAGATGGTGGCGCCCTCCGATTACGAAAGCCACTCGAAACTGCGCCAGAGCTTTCATTCTGTTTCCCTACCTACGAGATTCGATATATCAGGTATCTCCACATCTCGAGCAACGCCAAAAGCCTCCTTTCGCTATTTCCCTTCACAACACTCGTTTGGGCACTTCGAAACATCTTTATCTTGGCTGTCGGCCTAAAATTCTTGTTGATGAAGAACTTATGAATACACACCTGTAACGACATAAATGAAGAATACTACTACTACGAGAACTGAAGATTGCAATGTTTTCCGCACAATATCGGTGAACGGAAGCAAAGAATAGTGAAATTGAAAAGTGTATTAACACAGGTTAATAGAAAGTACAAAGGAAAAGCGGGCAGTTGTCTACCAGGAAGACAAGCCGAAACACCCAGTCCATGTGATTGGCAACCCGTTCCCAAATCACAGCCTCAAACTCCTTGATACCTGATTACCCCACTTCTTCATCTCGCGAACCCAGCATCCCTAGCCGAATACCCCCTCGCACTCCCTACATTCCCCGGCCTACTTGCAGGCCCCGCACTAATCTGCCTCACCCTCCCCTCAATAACCTCGTAAACACCATCAGGGAGGTACGTGTCCCTCTCACTCTGCGTCCTCACAATACCGCTCCTACCTCTTCCGCGCTCCTCGCCACCTAGCATACCCGGATAGTCGACACCATCAACATTCGTGGCAGCATCAGATCGGTAGTCAGTAACCTGGTGCTGGAAGGACGAATTGGATGCTGCTCTATGCGGTCGAGGTTGCTGCTGCTGTTGAGCCAGTAGATCAGGGTTTACGAGGCGGTTGAGGACGTTGCTTGATAAGTTTCTTTGGGAGATGCGAGATTCGGGTCGGCCACGGGTTTCCATTACGCTGCCTGGTCTGCTTGAGGATCTGCTGCGCGTGGACACAGGAGCTGGGGCGAGGTCGTCGGTCCACCATTCTGGTCGCACGGAGTTTAGTGAGTTGGAAGATGTGCTGCGTGTGTGGCGGTGATGTGCCATGGTGGGCTGATGCGTTTCTGCAGGACGGTCGTTGTTATAGAGACCAAAGACGGGTGGTGGTGGTGGCTGAGACTGGCTCATGTAGCTGTTCATGCTACTGGCACTACTGTTGCGCTTTTGTAATTTCCTGCGGGGTCGGTTTTGGCTAGTGATAGTTGTCGTCATTGTCGTTGCTGGACTCAACGGAGGTGAACGGTGGAGTCGAGGATCCACGGGTGATTCCTCTGATCTCTTCCGGCCGCGCAGAATTGTAGGTGCCTCAGCAGAGTCTGGACTCTCACCGTTGGTCCATGGTCTCTTTTCGGTGTTGTCACTGTTGGTGTTACTTCCACTACCACTCTCACGACTGAGCATACTTTCGACAAGTCGTTTATGCCACGAGCTGTTTCCGTAGTTGAAATTGAGTCGCTTTTCGGGATCCTTCTTTCCAAACCAGAGCGGCTCGCTTTGAGAGAAGCCGACAGCGGTGAGCCAAGGATTACCGGGCGCATCGTCGGCCAACTGGAAGATGACATCGACTTCTTCAAGCGAGCGGAAGGCGGTTTCGGGGTAGAAGAAGTAAACCAAGGGAAGAATAGCGAAGTTGGTGACCGCGAAGATGATCCATGTACGGTAAGAGATGCGCTGGAATGCGATAGGGGTGATGAAGACGATGCTGTAGCAATGTTAGTCGTACGGTCAACGTCCTGAACTTATATAGTGACATACACAAAGTTGAGCAGCCAGTTGGCACTTGTCGAAAGCCCGTTGGCAGGCCCGCGGATGCGGAGGGGCACAATTTCGACCTGGTACAACCAAGCCATACCCTGCCATCCGATTGCGAAAAAGACTGAGAAGATGAATAGAAAGACAGTACTGGCGATCCTTCCTGCCTGCATGTTATGCTCAGACCACAAGTACTGCAAGATGGTGATAAGAATCATGCATCCTGACATACCCGCAGCACCGAACATCATGAGCGAGCGACGACCCCAGAAGCGATCGATACCGACTACAACGATGAAGGAGGCAAGAAAGTACACAGTTGCTGAGAACGAAGCTAAGAGGCGAGCCAGCCATCCCTCAAATGACATGCGTGTGAGGAAGATCCAGGATAGGTACTGCAGAACCAAGTTGATGCCGGTACCTTGCTGGAAAACCTGGACAAAGTACGCCAGCACGACACGGTGGAAGCCTCTGCGCTCCTTGTTAGAAAACATGCCAGCGCTAGATCCCTGAGCCATGATCAAGATCGCATCCTTGATCTGTAAAAATTCGTCTTTTGTGTCGAAACTATCGGGTTCGTCGTCGTTCAGCGCCGCAAGCACGGTGAGTGCTTCTTGTTCGCGTCCAGTAAGGATCAACCATCGAGGAGATTCGGGTAGAAAGAAGAGCATTGCAATAGCTGGAAGCGCGAACATGATCTGTAAGGCGATGGGGACGCGCCATGATGCCGAGGAATTGGTGATGTATGCGAAGCCAAAGACGAACCAGTACGAAAGCGCAATGCCAGCAGAGACGAACGCTCCTGCGCTGATCATAAGAATCGTTCCTTTACGATGGGATTTGACGCATTCTGCCTGGTATGCGGGGGCTGTTGAAGTGGTGAAGCCATTGCCTATTGCAGCGTCAGTTTTCGCGTCCGGAATTCCACTGTGCTAGGTATGGGAGAGCCTACCAAAACCTGCGATCGCGCGACCGACGATGAATTGCGGAAAGCTATAAGAAGATGTTTGGATGATCTCGCCGATAACCCAGAAGCTAAGACCAAGGATGAGTGTGCGCCGGCGTCCAAGTAAGTCGCCAATGAAGATTGTCGCGATAGCTGAGACGATACAGCCCAGGTGCCATGTTCCAACAGTAAGACCTGCGCATTTCAGTCAGGACCCTGCGTTTCCCAGTGCCATATTCAGACGTTGATGCACGGGTGAAGAACGGTTCGACATACCTGCGACCCATGCATTGTGGAACGAACTCTCGTTCACGATATCAACCTGAGGGAATCTGTCCAAGAACTGCTGAACGGTCAAGAGACCGCCCATGACACCCTGGGCATAGCCGAAACATCTTTGACCGATTAGTCCACGAAACAGTCTGCGTGGCACCCAAAAGGGTGGTAACTCACAAAAAGCAAAGCCCACACGTGATGCTGATGGCACTCGCTAGACTCCGACCTCTGAGACCTAGAAATCTTGCCATTTTGATGAAGCCTTGACAAGTCACGCAAGAGGGAAGAAGGTTGAAAATACCGTCCTGCGGGCTGTCAGATGCAAGGAACGACCCAAACTCATATCAACGCAGGTGTTGCAGCCCGCAGCGACTTGCCTCCTAAATTTGAGATTTGCCCATGTTTCCCGCCCGTCCAGACGCCCTGGTCTGGCCATCACCCTAACGTCATGCCTGCAGGATCGTTGCAAGCGTGCCGTTCGGAGGTTCATGGCATCCTTGATGTTGAAATGATCAGCTAGACTACATAGAGATTAGCGAGCGTTGTCAAGATGCGCTACATGTCACTAGATATTGAAGTTATGACTGACGGCCTGTCAGACAAGGTATATATGTGAGCATGCCAGCTGAAACCAAGTAAAGTTCGCATCGTAGGTTTGATTACACTTACAATAAGGCTCACAGTCTTCTTTCAAAAGTCTTCTCTGTTCTCAGTACGAGTCAAAGTCAGCCTTTAGACGGACGTCATGGCTGCGCACTTTCCTCAAGCGTACCGTCCGAAGTATTATGCAACCCATGGTCCAGTATCGCAACACCAAGCTGAAGACAGATTAGCGAGAGATTGAAGCTGCGCTAAGGACCGCTAGAAATCGTTGCTGTCAGGTACGCGAGCTGTAACGCAAGCCGAGTGGTTCGTGAGAAGAGCCGATACCTGCGATCTCGATGACCCGCTGATGTCATCGACCTGTTAGCGCCGATCAAGCACGAGATCGAGGACGTTGACACGCCGCACGGGCTCAGCATTCCTCCAATTGTTCGGGCTCGAGACGACTCGCTTCTAGCCGAAACGGCTGAGGAAGATACATGATTGCGATTCTTGCGTGATCGGAAGGTTTGGCCGGCAAATCACTGCTTGCTTCTAAACGGGAAGGATGTATTGCAGTAGATATGAAAGTTCCGAAGCCGACAGATACTCAGTACTGCACTATTGTGACTATGACATGTCGGTTAGGAACCATCGGATATGCCGCCCTGACGAACGCGTGGGCGTCTTGGCTAACGGCGAGTTCTTTCAAGCGCCCGCAATCAGGAGTCTAGCGCCGAGAAGATGAAGGTCAAGCGGATATGAATATTTGGTTTTACTATTTGGCCAAGAACTTCTGGAATGCTTCCTGCTCAATAACAACGCTGCCCACAGCCCGCAGCTTCTTCCTACCCTCCTTCTGCTTCTCGAGCAGCTTGCGCCGCCTGCTGAGATCACTAGCATGCAGCTTGGCGAGGACATCCTTGCGGTACGGCTTGATGGTAGCCCGCGCCACGATCCTCCTGCCAGCTGCAGCCTGTATGATGACCTCAAACATCTGTCGCTCGACGTGCTCTTTGAACTTCTCAACCCATGTACGACCCACCTTGTCGACCTGCGATGTGTGCAGGACGCGCGATACGGCATCGACTGGGGAGCCGTTGACAAGCAAGTTGAGCTTGATGATGGAAGACCTGCGGAAGCCTGCATCTTCGTAATCAAGAGATGCATAACCTTTGGTGGAGCCTTTGAGTTTACCGAAGAAGTCGTCGACGAGGTGTGACAGGGGAATGTCGTACTTCAAGATGACTTGGGTAGCAGTGAAGAATGTAAGCTCCTTCTGCTCACCGCGATTGGCCTCGCAGAGCTTGATGACCTCACCAAGATATTCGTCAGGCATGGTGATGGTTGCTGATACATAAGGCTCATGGACTTCCTGCACCCTGAAGTGCGCTTGGTCCTGATCGGGGAACTCGTTGGGATTGGTGATGATGGACTCGGTGCCGTCTTTCCACACCACCTTGAAGGGTACGGACGGCGGCGTGATGATGATGTTCGCACCATGCTCCTGACGCAAGCGATCCTCGAACACGGAGCAATGCAGCGTGCCCAAGAAACCCAAGCGCCAGCCAGCTCCCAAGGCATCGGATGACTCCTTTTGTAGGGTAACGCTGCGGTCGTTGAGGATGATCTGCTGGATGCTGTCTTCGAGATGTTCGTGGTTGTCCTGGTCCGTGGGGAAGGCGGAGACGAAGACCATGCTCTTAGGCTCCTCGAAGCCCGGGTATGGCTCTACCAGCTTCTCAGATCCAATAGTGGTGTAGGTATCGCCGACCTTGGCCTCTTGCGAGCGCTTCATGCCGGGATTGAAGTAGATGTAGCCTACCTGACCAGCCTTGAGTACCGTCTGGGGGGTCTGGTCAGGATACATGATGCCCACCTCGCCCACAATGTACTTCAGCTTGGTTGCAAAGGAGCGTATAGTATCCCCAGGTCGCACCTGCCCGTCGAATATGCGCACCAGCAGAATGACGCCCTTGTATACATCGTACCACGAATCGACGAGGAGCATGCGCAGGGGCTTCTTCAGGTCGCCGACTGGGGCGGGTATCTTGTCAACGACGGTAGGAAGGAGCGCTGCAACGTTGAGTCCGGTCTTGGCTGAGACGAGTACGGCGTCTTTGGGTTCGAGCTCAAAGGTATCGTGCATCTGCTCGAGCACTCGCGGCGGGTCGGCGTGAGGCAGGTCGACCTTGTTCAGCACCGGTACCAGCGTGAGGCCCTGGGCGAAGGCGAGGTAGAAGTTGGCGACTGTCTGCGCCTGCACGCCCTGACTGGCATCCACCAGCAGCAGCGCTCCGCCACAACTGGCATAACTCCGCGACACCTCGGCCCTGAAGTCGACGTGACCGGGCGTGTCCACCAGATGCAGCAAATAGTCTTCCCCTTCGTGGTTGTATATCATGCTGCATGTCTGCGCCTTGACGGTGATACCACGTTCCCTCTCTACGTCCAGCTTGTCGAGGAACTGCTTCTGGCCGCCGGGCTGGATAGTGCCCGTGATCTCCAGCAGACGGTCCGACAGGGTTGACTTGCCATGGTCGACGTGGGCTACGATGCAGAAATTGCGGTATCGGTCGATGGGGATCTGGGCGATGCGCTTCTCAAGCTCTCCCTGGGGGCGGAAAGCTTGCGCATAGTTTCTGGTGAGGGGCGGCAGGCGCTCAAGCAGGCGTGAGGTAAGCGGGAAGCCATTGCAGCGGGCAGAAGCAGAGGATGTCCGCCAGCCGTGCACAAGGCTGCTCGCAGTTCGAACGCATGATCGCATGAGTGGGCATGAGGTCGAATCCGTGCCTGGCCTGCTGGTCGCTCGGGCGATGGGTGTCGACGACTTTTTTGATCCATCTTATCTTATCGGCAACCGGCGGTTCCTGCATCTGCACCCAAGGACCCACTACCAAACCGAACCTCGCCCATTCCAACTACGACCCCACAACCATACTAGGCCTGACTCTGGTCTTCCGACGTACTCGGCTGCTAATTACGCCTCTCACTGACCACCCTCACTGCGCTGTCTCGTTACTTCCTCCTCTGCCAGGCTCCGCAGGTCGCAGTTACCCTATCAACAAACCCCGTAAACAATACCACGCCATCCTTCACCGCCCACCACTGCCACCATGTCTGCACCCAAATCCTCCTCCAAAACCTCCTCCAAGACCTCTTCCAAGTCCAAGTCTTCCAAGAGCGATTCTTCCAAGGTGCACAAATTGGCTCTAAAGGGCTCCTCCAAAGTCGTCAATGAGTTTGTACGTATGTCGAGCCAAGCCATGCATCCTACGCTTACCCCGATTAGTTCGAGTACTCCGTCAACACCATACTGTAAGCACAGAGATACGCAGCATAGCCCATTGCCAGCCCACTGACTCTGCCAAGCTTCCAAAGAGGTGTTTACCCCGCCGAGGACTTCACCGCGTAAGACTGTCCCACCGAGGCGCCAATCATCCACTAACGACATGCAGAGTAAAGAAGTATGGGTTGACCATGATGGGTACGTACTCAACAGACGCGCCATAAGCCTTGTTCTAACCTTCACAGTCACTGCTGATGACCAGGTCAAAGCCTACATCAAGAAGATCATGGGCCAGCTGAAGGAGTGGATGTATGGAGGCAAAATCTCCAAGCTTGTTGTCGTCATTACGAGCAAAGAGACTGGCGAGCATGTCGAGCGCTGGCAATTCGACGTACGTTGTGTTGAGCTACACGGGTTCCTAGTTTCTAACAGCGCGCAGGTTCAAATTTACGGGAAGAACACCAAGGCGAAATCTTCCGGGAAGACGGCAGACCAAGAAAACTCCGTCCCAGAGTGAGTGCGCAAGTTTAACGAGCTCGGCAACATGTTAACAGCTCTCAGCGCTAGCGAAGCATCGGAAGAGAAGACCGAAGCTGAGATCCAGGCCGAGATCCAGTCTGTATTCCGCCAGATCACAGCATCCGTAACATTCCTGCCCATGCTCGACGGAAATTGTACCTTCAACGTTCTTGTTTATGCTGATGCTGACTCCGAGGTGCCTCTTGAATGGGGTGACAGCGATGCCAAGGAAATCAAGAATGGCGAAAAAGTGCAGCTGCGAAGCTTCAGCACAAGTAACCACCGTGTAGATACTCTGGTGAGCTACAGGTGAGTGACATCATGACACAAGTTGTGGGGGCGATATGCTAATTCTTCAGGCTTGCCGACTAAATCTCGTCGTCCGTGAGCTTCTGGCCTCTTCTTTGTCCTGTTTCAATATCTCGTTTTACCAATTTGTTTGGTCAGGCGCACGGAGTACGCGGGTTGCAGCATGTATTCCAGGAATTGATGAAAACATTGCAGCATTTCTCAGCACCTCTTGAGCGAAGGTACTCATACGCCAATGACAATCACACAGCTGTCCTCGTGTTTCTTCAAACGTAACCCTATTCAAAGCTGATCATGCGCCTAGACATCAAAGGTCTTCGTCGACGGTCCTGCTGTACGAAAACCCATCTCGGTGGTGGGGCGGAGACTTTGTGGTCGTGGTGACTCTGTAGGCTCGCACATAATTTCCTTTCATTCTCTTTGGGTCTATGCTTATGTTGATGGTATGACAGCTTTGACCGTGCGAACTCAGGGATGCGGATTCGTCAAGCACAGGGTCTCGCTAACAAAACCATTAGTTCTTGTCACTTAGAATTGGCTACCAGAATGATTTTACGGTCGACTTTGCAACCATGACGGGACTATGCAAATTTTTCGATGCGCATGGTCTTGCGTCCACAGAATCCACATTTCTGTAGGCCATTGTGCGTAGTTGGATCATGGTGTGGTTCGATATGTGGAGGACGGGTGCCTTCTCATATACGCGCTAAAGTGAGTGTATGGCTTGTTCGGATGCGCGGTATCTTGTTATCGCACCGTTACCCACGCTACCTTCGTCGGTATTGTCCCACACTACGCACGGACATGTGTTGTATCTTCGTCTTCTCGTTCGCCAGACCATTGGAGCTTCTTTGCAGACCTCAGCTGCAGTTGCCACCTCGACCTACAAGCGGACCTTTTGTCGGGACAACTTCAAGGCTACTGACTATCGCAAACCAACAAAGCCTTATCATTACTCATGATGGCGTACTTTTTTCTCAAGTGCAACTCTAGTGCATGCTTAACCGCGTCAGCTACTGGCTCTGGACTATGAGAATACCATGTAGTAGCGCACTTGTAACGGAACACAAACGCGACTCCCTGTCACAACCCAGCTTGACTGTGTTTATCTTGGGTACTGAGGCACCTTGAAGCTCCAAGCCCACCTTATCCCGCATGGTTCATCCAAGACATCCTGAATCCCAGCAACTCCTCCAGTACGGATTGGCTCCCGACACATTACACTGTTCTGATAACAAATTTTTCGTTGCGTCTGAAGTCGCTTAGAATTCTGTGGGTGCCTCTCCAACTAGACGCGTACCGGCATGAGAACTATGCCATCTCTAATTTCGACATGTGCCCCTTCTTCCCTCTTTGACCTCAAACGTCTTACCCTCTCCTCAGTCGTTACCCTGTATCTGTCTAGATTCTTATTATTCTCGTTTAGACGCGCACCTCACAAGCATTTACTACACTAGGTTCGTATGACAAAACGCAGCAATGGGTTTACAAGACATACTTTTCCGAAAAGAGGGTGAGGGCTCTCGACCGCGCGATGACACTGGAAAACATGAGGGACTACCGCCAGAGAATCCTCTCGCACCGAAGACCAGGACAAGCAACGAATCCACAGGCTCTGGATCCAAACCCGCAAGCTTCACACCTATGCAGCTTGGCCCATCCAGCGTTCACTCTTCCGGCTCGTCCGGTAGCATCAAGTGCAGTAACAGCACTGTAAGCTCAGATGCCGTTAGAGATGTCAAGGCCGAGATCTTGGCGAACTGGCTCCATACCAAACAAGAAGAGCGAGTATGGACCTTTGGTGACACTGGCGAAGGCGTGTTCATGAAGAAGTCCAAGGGTAGCTACTCCTGCGCGCCTTACGCGCTTCAAAGTGATGGCACAGGTCTTTATGAGGCAGTCACCGAGTTGAATGTTAGAGTAAGTTGAGCATATGCATACTGCATGCAAGTCATTGTTACTAACACGTGCAGTGCGCCATGACTGTCAACACCAGGGTCATCAAGTATATCCTCGAGCGAACCCAGACCCAGTATGTCCAAATACAAACTGGCCTCCGCTTGCAGGTCGTTCCTGACTTCGAAGCCCTCCCATATTGCCAAAGGGGTCAGTCCGCTGCCTTCGTCGCCTCGCGAGGCATGTTGATAGTGTGGCAAGACGACCCCAAGTTGACGCTTGAACGCGCAGAATTCATCATCAACTGCTTGATGAGGATGATGTGTGGAGCTGAATATGGCTATGATGCGCAGGACTTGGAGTTGGAGAAGGCACTAGGCAAAGCCCCTATGGTCGTGATCGAGGAATATGATAACGCGTCTCTGTCCAGTGACGGCAAAGACGATGAACCCAGAGACATGAAGATGTGGCAGGCTGCCTATTGTGGAATGTCGATTCTTCTACTAACGACTGCCATTGGCTCCGGATACAGGCAGATCGCTATCGAGGAATTTCAAGCCCCCAAACACTGGCTTCGACTACTTTTCGTGATCTGCCTACCTGCCCAGGTTTGGCTCTCATTGGTAAGCCAGTCGTGTGCACTCTGTTATTCCACTGCTGACTTCGCTAGTTCTTCTTCCAAGCTCTGGTTGGTAACATTGCCCAAATTTGCGGGCCCACTAGTCAGATGAAAGCGAACAGCAGATACTATTCCGGCAGAGCACCTAGGAAACTCAACCGTGATACCTTCGGCAAGCCGCTCCCACACGTGACAGTTCAAATGCCCGTCTACAAGGAGGGCTTGCATACTGTCATCGCGCCCACGGTTCGATCGCTGAAGCAAGCAATCTCTACGTACGAGTTGCAGGGAGGAAGTGCTAACATCTTCGTCAACGATGACGGAAGTAAGTTTACGCCCTTCTGCATGATTGAGCCACACTAATTTGCTGCAGTGCAACTTCTCGGAGCCGAGGAGGCCCAAGAACGACAAGAATTCTACGACGAGCACGGCATTGGCTGGGTCGCGCGCCCAAGGCACAACGCCAAGGGCGAGCACGGATCCAAGCCCTTCATCCGCCCCGGAAAGTTCAAGAAGGCTTCCAACATGAACTACGCACTCCGGATCAGCTGCAGGGTCGAAGAACTCTTGGAGCAACAGCCACGTGCAGAGGACTGGAGTCAGCTGGAAGAGAACGCTCTTTATAAGGGTGTCATGGAAGCAGTTATGGCTGAGCATGAGGGCGAAGCTTGGGCTGACGGCAACATCCGTATCGGCGACTACATCCTTTTGGTCGACTCCGACACCCGTGTGCCCAACGACTGCCTGCACGAGGCCGTCAGCGAGATGGAGCAGAGCCAGGAAGTCGCTATCCTACAGTACTCCTCCGGAGTCATGAACGTCACCAACAACTTTTTCGAGAAGGGCATCACCTTCTTCACCAACATGATCTACACCATGATCAGGTTTGCCGTCGCCGGCGGAGACGTTGCACCATTCGTTGGACACAACGCTATTCTGAGATGGGAGGCGGTACAGAAAATCGCCTATGAAATCACGGAAGCCAACGGTAAAACGTATGATAAGTTTTGGTCCGAGGAGACGGTGTCAGAGGATTTTGACATGAGTCTGCGACTCCAAAGTGTGGGCTACATCATTCGTTTGGCCGCATACAAGGGTGATGGCTTCAAAGAGGGTGTCTCTCTCACTGTATATGACGAGCTTGCTCGATGGGAGAAGTATAACTTACCTGCTCCTGCCATCTTCTCGAAAAAATACTAACACAAATCCTTCAGATACGCATACGGCTGCAACGAGCTCATTTTCAATCCTTTGGTCTACTGGTTCATCAAAGGTCCTTTTACGAAGCTCTTCCGCACTTTCATCTTGTAAGTAGTTTGCCACAGGCTACCGCGGGTTTCGCCTTCTGGTACGTCTCCAGCTAACCCTACGATATCAGCTCCAACATGCCCCTTGCATCCAAGATTACCATCATGGCTTACATCGGCACTTACTACGCTCTCAGTTGCTCATGGGCACTTACCATGCTCAACTACTTCTTGATCGGTTTCTTCAATGGATGGCTAGATCATTACTACATCAACTCCTTCCGCGGTAAGTATCCGACCATCCTTCATTTCGCACATTCCTAATAATTCTCAGTATACTTCGCCATCGTAATCGTCTTCAGTGTCCTCGGAAACATCGCCCTCGCTGTCCTCCGCCACCGCATCGAGGAACAAAATATTTTCCGTGGGCTCTGGACAAATATGAAGTGGATCCCTCTCCTCACCATATTCCTTGGCGGCATCTCCCTACACGTTTCGCAGGCCCTCCTCGCGCACTTCTTCAGCTGGCCGCTCGAATGGGGTTCCACGTCCAAGGAGAGTGAACACGTTAGTTTCTTTGTTGCCATCAGCAGGGTGCTGAGAAAGTTCAAGTGGAGCTTCATGTTCTGCACTGGTATGACTGCTATCATGGTTACCATGGCTTTTGCATTGCAGGAGGACTGGAGGATCACGGAGCTTATTGCTGTTTGGCCCATGGGTACGGTGATTGTTTTCCACTTCTTGTTGCCTATTGTGCTTAATCCGCAGTTGATGACTTTTACATGGTAAGCGTTGACCGATATCGTCGACTGGAATATTGGGAGATTGGTGGGGAAATAATGTATCACCTGTGGGTGTTAATATATGGAATGTGTTTGGCTTTTCCGTATGTATCGATACGATGTAGTCTCCACCTCAAACAATAAAAGATAAAGAGCTAGCTTTGTGCTGTAGTTGGAAGTTTTTATTCTCTTCAATGCTTTTTTGAGACACGCAACGGACTTCTACTCACCCACACCAAGTGACAAACTTCTCGACAACGAATTCATCTAGCCCCCACTGCCCATTCTGTCGCCCAAAACCGCTTCCCTTGACGCCACCTTGGCTTCCAGTTGGTGAAGTGTATACCGAGATACTGTTAGCGTGAACCTGGCCGTATTCTAATTCTCGTGATATCTTCATGAAGCGTGCCATATCGCGTATCCAGACAGTGGCGTTGAGACCATATGCGGAGCGGTTTGCCAGCGCAATAGCTTCTTCGTCAGACGAGACGATGTACAGCGACGCGGAAGGCCCGAAGGTCTCTTCGTCGAGGATACGCGATGATGGCGAGGGGTTGAGGATGACTGTGGGTTTAAGCACAACCCCACCGCTCGACGTAGTCGTGTCAACGCCACCAACAAGAACCTCATTGCCCTTCTCCTGCGCATCTCGAATAACATCCTCAGCATGTTTCGCAATACTCTCCGACACCGCCGATCCAGCTGGCCCCTCCACTCCCTTCATAGCCTCCACAAGCAATGTCTTAAACTTCTCCGCCACACTCTCCATCACAATAATCCTCTCTGTGCTGAAGCAAATCTGCCCATGATGTAGTACAGCACCCATAGCACACTGCTTCGCCGCCTCCTCCAACTCCGCATCCTCAAGCACAATCGCCGGACACTTTCCGCCTAGTTCCATCAACACGGGTTTGAGGTACTTGGCCGCAATCCCCATAATCTTCTTTCCCACCTCGGCACTACCGATGAATTCAATCTTGCGAATCGCTTCATGTGCTATCAGAGTCTCGGTGACCTTCGCTGCATCTTCCCGCCCGCACTGAATCTGATTCAACACGCCATCTGGACATTCGCTTTGGAAAAAAGCTTGCGTGATAAGTCCGTGGGTCTTCGGACATAGTTCACTTGCTTTGAAGACTACGGTACAACCCACCGCGATTGCACTTGCTATTCCCCTCGTCGCTAGGACGAGCGCTGCATTCCATGGTGCGATACATAATACCGGTCCAACTGGTTCTTTGAATACGAAACCTTGGGTGTTGGGTTTCTCGGTTGGCGGGATGACGCCGGTTACCGAACTTATTTGCGCGGCGATTTCGTTGAGGTAGGAAATTGATAGATTGACATTTTGACGTGCCCAGGCTTCTGTGCAGGAGGTTTCAGCGATTTGCGCGGCGATGAGCGAATCGGTGTGGGTGCTAAAGTGGGTGGCGACGCGATGGAGGAGGGACCGCCGGGTGGTGTGGGATGTGGAACGCCAGGATTTGAAGGCAGAGAGAGATGAGGTTGCTGCATGGGTTGCTTCGGTAGGGCTTGCGGAGGATGCATGGTGGAGGGTGCGGTCGCTTGCTCCGGCATGTGTCACGGGGATGGTGGTTTGGGTGTGGATGGGTTTGTTGTCGATCCAGAGGGGGATTGTGGGGCCGGTGCTTGAAGACATAGCGGGTAGAACTTTTCTCCTGACTCTCCCAGCGAAGCGTATATGTTTATACTATCGAGTACATGTACTGCTTAGAATTATGACTTCCAAGTGGAGGGGCGGTAATGTCAACGGCATTGAAGTACGACCGGATAGCGAACATTGCGTCATCGCAAGCCTAGCGTACGGAAATGTTGGTGGCGTCGATCGTATGTCGGCAGATGCTGGAAGATGTTGCAGCGTCGTACGTACGAAGAAGCTAGTGTTTCCTAAGTTATATCTAACGTTCGACGTCTGCTCTAGAGTCATGCACTGTTACATCCTGTAGGTGCTTTGATAAGAATCATAGTGAATAAGTCTAGAGTGTCTTTAGGGGTAAGTAAGCTACAACTCAGAACAATTGAGCTTCTTCGTTAGAGACATTCTATCGTTACAGACAAGACGTAGTCAACATAAGTATGGTAGTAGAGAAAGGACTGTTATTATGCTGAGACGCGTGCCGCTGCACATGCGCATTACGAGCACGGCCATGGTACCTGGCGGTGTGAATATCTTTACGTCTAGGTATTTGCCTCAACAGACGGCTACCTTTAACCACACATCGTTCCGTGAGCTGGATACTCGACAGATTGACTTGAGAAAGCACATCTATGTACCCCGCCTTGGTGGCCCGAGATCTCTGGAACCCCAACGATGCCCCACTGCAACGGGTATTGGGCTCGCAATTCAGGCTCCGGCCGCACACCGCAAGGATGACACGCGGCCGCGACGACCAAGCTACAATTGGCCCCGACAGGCATGGCGGATTTGAAGCGACGGAAACCAAGAGCAAATATAACGAGCAAGGCGGCAGCGACGGCGCAGATAAAGATGAGAAGGGCTAGAGGTGAGTATGCGCACGTGGCAAAGTCCCAAAAGTCATCGTGCTCCCAAGCACCTGTCTCGTACGACTCCTGCCACTGTTCGACTGTGACGATGAAGATACTCTGCGATGCAAGCCAATGCAGGATGATGCCTATCGTAACCGTAGGTATAGCGTAGCGCCAGGGCAGTTGAAGGAAGTAGGAAGAGCGTTGCTGCCCCTCTGGACGACAGGAGACACGCAGAGCCTTACGCTTGTGCGCATAGCTGGACCACTCGTGCGATAGCAACATCGAAGTGAGCAGCCCGTTGCCAGTAAAGTACAGTATGGAGAGGATGACCTGAGGCGAATTGGCGATAAGAACGTTTGCTAAGATGCCTGACACCGTAATCATGCGGCGCCGGACGCCCTGGAACGTCATAAGAGTATGTTGGGTAGCCTGCCCAAACCCGAACGACCATATAGCAGAGGGCGCAGCGCCAGGCATAGTAAAAACTCCATATACGAGAAGGATGGTACATATAACGACACCGAGAAGACTCGCGAGGTAGAAGGCTAGGCGCTGGCGGCGACTCACAGCCGCAAACCAGCGCTTTCTTTCCCCGTGGAACGGGCGTGGGCCCAAAACCTTCTGATGCCCTATGTTGCTCTGTTTCAGATCGTCCACAGATAGCAGACAAGAACCCTCGGTCATCTCGGCTGGTTTCTCCAAGAAGCTGGCGATGGCATCTCCAACATTCATTATACCCCGCTCTTGCATGCGAAAACAGACTGCAAACATCAATACCGCCTTGACGAAGTTGAGCACAGTGACGATAATCGCGATGGTCGCGCTAAGCTGCAATTTGCAGTTCTCATCCGTTCCTCGGCTAAGGCAATACTTCACTGTGCGATTCCCAATTTCCCACTTCGCCGAATCTTTTAGAAGCCCCAGTGATTCTGGGTGGCAGAAGGTGTTTTTTGAGCGCGACTGGCCACATATCCATGGGTATGGGTCAAGATTTCTGGCGTCCATCCCTCCGGTTATATGGATGGCACCCCCTCCAGATGCAAAGAAAACTTCTGCATCCCTGGTAATGTTGTATGGAGTATCTGCAGTAACGATGAGAACGTTGGCACGATTCGAGACGAACGGAAGCATATATGCATCAATGCATTCTCGGGACTCGAGGCGCTCTAGTCGACCCTGCTGGTATTCCTCGAACAATCTATGTTCCACCTCAAATTCAGCCATAAGAATATCGTAATACTTGACGTCCAAGGTCGGGGGTGAGGGCCCATCTGACAGCCAAGCTTCGTTGATGGCATAAACTTTGTACTGATTGGCAGAAAGTGTTGTAAAGACGACAGAGTTGTAACTGGAATATGGTTAGACCTCTGTTTAGGTTGAAGGATTAAAAAAAAAAAAAAAAGTCCCGAATTTGGGCTCGTTCTGCAGCCCACTTACAAAAGATGTAGCGGTATTGATGACACTCCAAGAAGTATCCAAAAGTACACTCTTGTTTTTGCGATGCGTTTGAGGTTGCGAATACTTGGAACTCCGACGTCTAACCAGGATCCATTGGCATGCGCATCATCGATTTCTTCCCTTGTGGGTGCAGCCAGACATTGCATGGTGAAGTTGCTTCCGCTCAGGATGACCGAGCTGAAAAGGTTGATAACAAAATGGATGCCAATGTTGAGCTGCTTGACCGTATGGCACGAACCTAAATACAATAAGCCGTTGCCATTGACAATGTCATGTGCGGCGAGGGCCCATATAGTGATGCTCAAATTCAGTAAGCCGACAAGTGTAGTAGCCACCGCTGCCCAAAGGACAGCGGTCCGCCATACACGTCTTTGGTACCATGGTCTAGACTGAGGACTCGTGTTTTCGAAGCCATCGGGGTCTGAGTGGGCTGAATAAGTCGAAGTATGGATTTGGGCGTTGTACATGATGGTCGCACAACTGACACGACCTAGGTAGGCGTACTCAGGTGGAGATGCAATCTCGAAGATATGCTCTTGAATGTATTAGGCGGAAACGTGCGGAACGGCGTTTATACATCGGTGATACGAGCCATACAAGGCTGAGTTTGAGACTACCTAGGTAGAAGTGGCTGTGTGGAGATCAACATTTGGCCAAGATGACCAGACGTGTCACGCGCGCTACGCTAGAGCCAGAACAGTATAAAGTAGACGACTTTCGCTAGTCCTTGCTCGAGAGCAGGATGTTGCCAACCTATACGCAAATTGTCAGAACGCAGCCCTGCATCACTACGTTATGCAACCAAAAGGTACGTATGATCAGTGAACTACTGATCATGGTGCAGGATAGTATATATCGTCAGCCAGGCTTGACACAGACGCACGCTTACAGCTATCGCAAAGCTTAAGCAGTTTCGAAATAGTGGTTCTAGGCGAGTGCCATTCTGAGCATGTTGTGGCGGGGTTAGGTATGCTGGCCTGGGCGGACTGGGGCCTGCAGTCTGGCCCCCAATGTCGTCGCATCAGTCCTGAGCGCTACATGAAGCGTGAACGTCTTCCATAGTTGATAACACTACAACGATGCAAGCGCAGGCTGGTACCGAAATGATACGATACAAAACAACCTGGGCGAGCATGCGGCTTGAACCAGGCGACTTGCAAAAGAGTCTACGCCGCATGCAACACCCACACCGGTGAACCAGCGGAGCAGTCGAGCTTTGACCGCTGTTGTATGCAAGGCGTATCCTCAGCCTTGCAAGTATAGGGGGTTAACCAGCCCTCCGCTCTGAATACTTTATACCACACTATCCTACCTCAAATAACAGATTCTGCGAGAATCTGAACGTCTCTGCGCCAACCTCATCAAAGCGACGAAATTCATGTCACAGAGCTCAGTCGGAGAGCTGTATCGCTCATTATATCTACCCTCAGCGTCGAAATGTATACGCGTTCTCGACATCGATTCAGGGTCAACGAGTACCGCTCCAATAGTTGGAAGTCTCCGTATCGTAGACCTAACCACTTCTCCTAACTTTACCGCCATCTCGTATGCCTGGAACTCACCGGAGCCTGATCGAGCAATATCATGCTGCGGCAGGGTTATTCCCATTTCCGCCAGCGGTCACTCGGCACTGCAGCATCTACGTACAAGTCTTGGGACTTTCACAATGTGGATCGATGGAATATGCATCGATCAAGCGAACAAGAAAGAAAAGGAACACCAGATATCGCTGATGAAGGACATCTAATCACAGGCAGCGACCGTATACGTGTGCTTAGGCGAGGGTAACGACTACAGTGATCGGGCGATCAATTACCTGAAAACTGTTGGCTTCCTTGACTATTACCATGCGGGGGCGAGCAACACCAGATTCGGTTGTTGGCGACCATTCTTCGCAGCCGTATCTGCTGCCATAGCACAATATAGTCTGAGAAAGTATCCCTTTCCGTTCAAAGGTATAATTTGCAGTCCCATTTTCATATCCACACTGATTGGGGAAGGCTCCCCTGGCACATGGCAAGGTCCTGTGGGTCCCGCAGTCGTACGCTTTTGGAACGGGAACGCAGACTATGCAACAATCGAAGATATCGAACATCTACTCGACCGGAAGTGGATCGCTAGACTCTGGACCTACCAGGAAATCCTTTTTGCGGTAAATCCTGTCGTAGTTTGCGGCAATGCTCATATCTGCTGGGATTGGGTTGCAATGAGTTTGATCTTCCTTGACTCTGCGATCCCTTGTCTCGGGTTGTGCATACGTCCCTGGAAGCGGGTTGCTCTGAGTAGACAACAATACATGGCCCCAACGTCTAAACCTTCTAGGCTTGCAAGAAGTTCTTCTTTGGAACTCTACGCAGAGTTTTCGAAGGGCGTATGTCGATTGCATAAGCACACCTTAACGGCGGTTTACTGCCGTAACCTTACATATTTGTGCTTCTTTCATTTTTCCTGGATTCAGCGAATCCCGAGAACGGTATGTTCGACGAGTACATGTTATTATGCAATTCGATGGAACGGAAAGCAGCTTGAGTTATTCTAACACTGAGCATCCTCGTTACCTACATGAGTTTGGTTCGACTATCTCGGACATGTTTGCGGATTGGACACTTCGATGAAGAACATAAGGTTACAGTAGACGATCTCATCGACAGTGTTTACAATCGAGACGCCACGCGCTCCAAAGACATGGCTTTTGGCTTGTGGGCTATCCTGCAACGGCGCACTCAGCTCGCTCTACCAAAGGTGGACTATGAAGAATCTCAAGAAACGATTTACGTGGCGTTCTCTCGCGTTCTTCTTCAGATAACTGCTTCGCCAACCTTACTTCTGGTGGCTGGTATGAATAATATGGAAGGACAGCCATCATGGGTACCAGATTGGACACCAAAGACGCAACGTGACTGTGACTGGGGAGATATTGAGGAATTGATTCGCGAGAACAAGGATGCGCATGATCTCTAACGCAGACAAGCGGACACAGTATCCATCTCGATGGTGAACCAGCTTGCTGTATCTGTTTGGGGTCGTAGACATGGCGTAGTGGTTGCAACATTCGTCTTCCAAAAGACGCAATCCTCTTACAAACAAGCGGAACTCCGTAAACACGTCTACAACCTAAGCCGAATGCTAGAGATATGGAAGGCATTCGAAAAGTTTTGGCGGTACTTTGAAAAAACAAACTTGAAAGCCGTTGCGTCCGATCGTGTTGACCGTTGGTCTCAATTTTTTAAAGGAGAACTGCAGGTTCGAAGCTTCGGCACTGCTGCTTTTCTTGCGCGACGCACCTTCCGACATGAGTTGCAGATACTCCGCAACAAGACGCTCAGAAATACTCGAAACTCATATCACCGTATGCAACATTCTAGCCCAAGAAAGAAATATTCTATTCCAGGAATCATATCCCAAGTCGTGCACCGCACCCATTATGGGCTGGTGTCGACGGAGTGCCGGAGATGGTGACCTCATTTTCAGATGCCCAGGCGTCCAGATTCCACTAATCGTCCGTCCTTATTCCTGTGTGAGAAATCGAGTTCAGATCGCGAGCATTGCTAATACTCCATGGAGATTCGACTGGTCGCCCTACTATGAATATAAAATTCCATACAGCATGGAACTGGACAAAGATTACAACACAATCGAACTGGAAGAGTTCCATGTGTATTAAGATTTTGTTCAACGGGCGTACAGTCAGGATAAATTGAGATCTGCCGTCGCGTCCCCTATCGGCACGAGTTGGTTGCAGTGAATAATACTCTACTCTCTCGAAAACGACCTGTTGCTAAAGTCTGAAGGCTCGGCCAGTAGACAGCCACCGTGGGTCTTACAGATGCTGTCTGAGCACGGCAAAAGTCTCAATCGGCACCTGATGAACTAAAAGATTGTTCAAGACCACCGATATACTCCGATAGATTGTTCATCGAGCAGTCAGCTCTTGACGTTCTCGGCAGTTTGAGTTCTTGTTTAGCGGCCGGCTATCAATGAGGCATCTGGCATACAGATCACTTCAATGCATGATCAGTCGTTCTAGATGCAGTGACATTTCATCAACGAATTACGAAATTCACGAAAGGTGTGTCGAGCAATTATAAATCCAAAATGCTGTTGTTATTTGATCATTTTTTTTTGGGTTGGGCGCCGACTGGTTCGGATACAAGCCGTAACTCCGCCTCAGCAATAGCTCTCTACTGCAACGGTTCCTTCACGGTCATCCTGATCATCGGCGTGAGCGCAGCAACTGTCAAAGCCTCATAACCTTGCACCAATTGAGAATAATCGTGAATGCGCAATGATCACAGACTAGTGTCATCGTCGAATTTTTCAGCAGCGTCCCCATCGGCTTCCGCCCTTCTGCACAGCCATGCGCCCTCATTCAGCGCGTAAGGGCGGAACTGCGAGGATGATAGAACTTCTTTGGAAGATGCATCCAGGATCGCGCGTAGTCATCAGAGATCGCTATAGTGACGGCTAATATTTGAACAACTGACACAGCTAGACGCCCAGTCCGCGAGTCGCTTCAGGCCTATCCTCCCTTCGACGCGGCTTTCCTACGATGAAGCAGAGGGCACTCGAATGGGCAGGCCCTTACGGTGCCTGGTGCTCAGTCTGCTCCCCCGAGCCCGAAGAGACGCACATGAACCTCCCCTTCTGCTTCATTACCCTGCCTTCAGAACCGGCCATGAATGCCGCTGGCCGGACTTCAGACCACCCATTCAAAGACCTTCGTTCAGCCCGCCGCACACACCAACGTTCTAAGAGATACCCGGAGCGCATCTACAGCGGTAACAAGCGTCGCCGCTCCGATAAATTCCGTCCCGCACGAATAGCAGCACTCAAGGATACGTACAAGGGGATCGAAAGCCGAGAATGGGAGGGCGACTGGTACGCCGAATGGGCGCACAAGGTAGACATGGAGCACATGGACGATATAGCCGCGTACACACTTTTCGGCAAAAACGCGGCCTTCTTCGAAGGTCGAGACGAAGGAGAGACCACAAAAGGCGAAGACTTTGGCTCCTGGGCCCGACGCCGTATCGCAGAGATGCGCCGAGTCAAGGAATATCGCATGCACAGCTATGGTATACCTACAAGCCCTACGCCGCTATACATCCTACCACATACCATGCGCAATGATTCGCGTCCAGGTCGTACCAGCGCCACCATCCTCACAGCACCCCTCGCGAAACCCCACGAAACCACCCTACCCGCGACCCTTTCCGATATCCGCGCCCACCTCGCACTAGCACGTGCCCTCACACCGTCCGCGAACCTCAAACAACGCTGCCGAAGCCGCAACATACCGGTCTTGCCCGTCATCCAGGGTTACAGCTGGTGGGGCGAATATACCTGGCAATGGCATAGGAATATGTCTGGGTGCTGGTTTCTCGGCTACGAGTATGGGTGTCGTGAGGAATGTGTGGGGCAGTGCACATGTCTATGCTGGGGAAGCATGGTGGATAAATGTTATTGTGAGGAGTTTGGGGTGGGTACGGAGTGGGAGGTGCCGGCACCGGAGGATGTGCAGAGATGTAGTCTTGTGGAGTGGGTGAGGGGAGAGCTGATGGAGATATTGGAGGAAGATGAGATTATTTCGAAGAGAGAGACGAGAAGAGTGGAGGAAGAGAGGAGCCTGGATGAGTTTGATCGGGATTGGGAAGCTGGTTTCGATCACGAGTGGGAGTGGAGGCAGTGCTTGGATGACGACTATGTTATACTAGAGAAGAACGAAGGGGATAGTGAAGCATGGAGTGCTGTTAGCGGAGCTGACGAGAGTCCGTTGGCTGACTTCGATATGGCACTTCAGAGTCCGGTCGAAGCGGAGCCGGAGAGATGAACCAAAAGGTAAGACAGCTAGTCAAATAGTGAGAAGAATGATACTCAACAACACAAAGACTTCTAAATGAACAATAGTCTGAATGATGCTTCAGTGACTGTCGTGCATGCGACTCGATCAAACTTCTAACTTTTTCTCATCAAGCATACCGCCCTTCACTCTCTCCACCCTTTCAGCAGCTTTCCTCTTTTTCGCATCTACTCTCTCCCTATCTTCTCTCATTTGCCTGATCAGTGCGCTCTTTTCCCTAATCTTGTGCCCGTAGAGGTAGAAGACTACCGGGATGGGTATAAGAGCGAACTCGATCAGCGACAGCATTGTCGCACTCCAATGAGGGCCAAGACTCTGGTACATTTTGGGACCAGCGAGCGGAAGAGCTCCACCCATAGCCGAGCGCAAGACGGCATTTCCAGCGAGTGCAGAAGCGGCGTAGATGCCATAGGAGTGTACGAGGTAGTTAGACGCATAAATGAAGACGCCACAGTTTCCGGCACCGAAGGGTATGCCGGCGAGAAGAGGGAAGATCCAGTGAACGTTTGGTGTGCATGTCCTACAACATACGTGTTAGCGAGGGTCACTTTCGAACCGGAGACTGATCGTGTGACTGTACATACCAAGCAAAGATCATCTCGCCGACAGGAACGCAAACCGCGGCGATGACGACAACACTGACCATGGCTTCTGGGTAGGGCTTGCCGGTCTCTGGATCCTTCTTATGACTGTTGATCATACGGCGAAGGAGAGGTTCCGCAGAGATTGTGATGACACCTCCAATACCGATACCCATATAACCCAGTCCGACAAGTCCAGGCGACCAACCTCGTAGCTCACCGAAGACGATGGGGTAAGAGACGAAACACAGATACAAGACTCCATAGACCAATGCTATATATACGTCCCAGAAGATGCAAATTGGTTCGTTGACCGCCATGCTAAGGGGTCGGTAGAGGTTCTCCCGTAGCAGAGGCCAGAACGATTTCTTCTCATCGTAGCGCGAGTGGTATCGTGGATCAGAGGTTTCCTTGCGCTTCTTTGCTGATTTGGCGCGCAGAATTGCTGGTTTATAAGTTTCTGGGATCAGAAAGACCATGAACCAGGATGTACCAGAGCCGATCATGACTACCCAGTTTGTCCATCGCCAACCTAGGGCTTGGAAAACGAATCCGCCTACCAGAGGGCCAACAACGGGGCCGTTCATTGGCCCTAGCGACCAGATCGAGAACGCCAGAGCGCGGTAGTCTTCTTTTGATATGTCGGAGACGGTACCTGGGGCATTGGAGATCATGGCCGCGCCAGCAATGGCACCGAAGAAGCGCATGACGAGAATCTGAGCTAGGTTGTTGGACAGAGCGCATGGTATAACAAGTATCGTGAAGACGGCAACTGCGATCAGGTAGACGGGTCTCCTGCCGTACATCTCACTAAGTGGTGCTAGGAGCAGCGATCCAATTGCCAGACCACACAGGTAGGTTGTTATCCCTAAGATGACCAACGTCTTCGACTGTATGCCAAATGTCTCCATCATGCCCGGTATCCCACTCGTATAACTCGTCGAGTACATAACCACGACCAGTGTCGAAAAGCTCATGAAGAAGATGACAAAAGCCTTCCTCAACATGGGCCATTCCTCTGGATCCTCTCCCTCATCGTAGTCGACTTCGAAGCGCGGGTCTTGCGTCGCATTTGTAGTTACAGTTGTAATCGCGTCCTCCTTGTCGCCAGGCCACGAGTGGCCTGTATTCCTACTCCAGGTATGATGTATCGACGGACGTTGATCTGCTACCGAATTGATGGAGTCAGATCGCGTCGAGACTGATGAAAGGGAGATGCGATCATCTGCGGTTTCGATGTCTTCGATGACGCGAGACTTGTCTGAAGTGTGCGACTTGGTGGACGGCGACGTGGTGTGCCCATCTCTCCCTGATGCTGTTGCGACGGCTATGTCTTTGGTAAAGTTGCTATCAGACATGGCGCTGATGACGGCACCGATAAAGATCCCACGCCCCACTTATAGCGAATGAGCACTGCAATTGAGGAGCTCACACTGCTGTTATAGTAGCACAAACACGATGTATCAATGATTGAAACGAGTGCGTATCAAGCCAGCCGATGGTGATACATGAGGAGGGGACCCAACCTCAGCCTCCAATGTCGCGCCATAGAGCTCAAGACGGCTAGTAGCGAACGCCCTTTCGCGCTTTCCCGTCTTTAATGTGGCGATAGCTAATCTAGCGGGAATAAACCCACATGGAATAGCGGTGCGGTGATAACTGCTGAGGGTGTAGCGGTTTAACCGAGGAAGGCAGGTGCTGCAGCCGACATGCCGTTTGCGGGTCATGTTTAGAGCGAGATCGGTGCCGACTATCTCAAGAATTTGTCGTCCTTTGATGGTCTCATTGGACGATTTTAAAAAATGCAAATTGCTGTGATTGGAGAAGAGGGGTAAGTACAATGAGAGTGCGAGGCTTTGGATAAGTGAGGGGAAGGCGCTATGTTGCTAGCTGCGGAGCTAAACAAGGGGCCGGGTAAATATACCTCACGCGTCGTCAAACTTCCCACCACCACATTTCTTTCAGCTATAGAGGCTCCAATTTCATCGTACATTGTCGTAAGGCTCGCACAGGACTGCCTGAACATTCATCGAGGTGCTAGGACGTGGAATATACTTCCGATTTTCTGTCAACCACTCATACCACGCCACGACGCGCTCTCTCGACGCGCCTGCCGGAATGTCCTTGATGAGCTTCTTATCGGCAACGGCTTCATCCCCCAGGCGCTGAAAGATTACCGACGTGAGCCTTCGCTCTGGGCTCGAGACAAAGCGTGATGCACCTAGATTAACATGCACAGATTCTCCTGGCAACTTGCAGATTGCTACGTCCAAGTCTCTTCATGTCATTTCAGTACCATTCCTTTCGTCTAGTCTTTATACACTTATTGCATCCTCTTCGCTTTCACTTTCGTTGCGTTACACAATCTCGTCGGCTTCTGCTGCTCTTTACTTGTCTTTCAGGTCTCAGCCAATTGATGATTGGATAGTAGAAGTTGTCTTCGCTGCGGGTGTTGAAATCGGTCGAAGAGAGGTGTCTGGTGTGATTTGAGTGTTGCGTCCAATGGCGAGACTCAGCCTTGTCTCTTCTTTCGGAGCTGGCGAGGCTGAGGGCTTCCTCGTAGCGCCATACAAGGTCCCGTTCACCAATCCGTCAGCTCGCACTTCCTCTCATGCAGTCTCCTTCACCGGAAGTATGGGGGCGTTGCGAGGCTGCGCGTCGTTCCCAAACTCCTGGTAGGGCTCACTGGTCATCGTTCATCGTTCAGAAAGGCTGGCTGCGCGTTGCTGCCGCCTAGCACGGCGATGCTTGGCACGCGAATCAACCTTGGTACCGTGCCTCAATTGAGTAGTCGCGTTTTAAGCAACACCGCGACCACCTGCCAGCTCTTGCAACGTCGCAATACCGCACCTTCGCTGTATTGCAAGTATTTACACCCGTGAATACCCCCGCCCGCTGCCTTGTTGCAGCAGGCACTCCGACTAATCATGGCAGCCGCTGCGCGTGTACCATTTCTCGAACAGCAGTACAATCATGTCGCGCTACCTCGCAAATTGCCTGGCAGAGAGGATGGAAACCTACGACGCGTCGAAGAGGCACTGCTGGAGCGCATGTTGGATGCCGTCACAAAACTCATTCCCCATGTCGCTATAGATCTCGCTCGCCATGTCCAGGGACTGCGGGAGACATTGCTTGCTTGTCAAGTACTGAACGTCGACGGGACTATCGGCAAGGCGGCGCTTATCAAAGAGCTTCGCAACTTCGGCCATCGCAAAATGCTCGTTCTGCACATTGCACCGCAAAACTGCGCTTTGCTAGTATATCCCCAGGAACTGTACGTAAACTCCACATGCGACTTTCTGCTCCACTGACATTCATAGTTCCTCCGGAGAGCCCAGCATTGTATTCGAAGCTTTCGAGACATCTGCGACTGCCGACAAGGTACTTGCTGCCAAAGGCGCGCTACAATGGGACTGTAAGTCACGAACGCTTTTCTTCAATGCTGCACACATACTAATTAGTGATCCTACGTGTAGTTCCCGGCTGCGCGGTATCTGTCCCGGCTTCGAAGTTTTACGAAGAAGCTTTCCAGGAAGCTCTCGCCGTCTTCATTGAGCAAGCCAGCAGTGAGTCTGTCACGAAATTTGCTGCTGTTACTTGGAAGGCAGCCGCTATGATACCCGAGATCCGAGATACCAGTGACCCCGCGCTCATTTCGGGCTTGTTGATGACTATACTGGAGGCCAATGGCGCTGCGGTCTCAGTACCACATTTACGAAAGCGTGTGCGCGACACGGTCATCTTCGATAATGCCCGGACGCCCTGGAGGAGATCTGCGTTTTATTTGGCTTTACGAGTAGCAGTTCAGCGCTACTTGTATCGTTACTTAGGTGCAGAGACCGGAAGACTCTACTACAAGACACTGATATGTCTCCTACATGCACAGCTACTGGAAGACGTACTCAAGAGGATACCTCTCGATGCAGCCTTTTCACTGAGGCAAAAATTAGGTCGTCGTCTCGCCAAGCTCACCTCCGACATGCACAGTGCCAACACATCAGCCCCAGGCAGATATCCCAATCTCATGCTGTCCTTGGAAGGTGGTTTTGAATCCATCCTGGCGACGACTGGCGGATACTTGAGGCAAGTCTGGAAAACTCATAAGCAGTCGCGCGAACGCTTCATCCCAAACTTGCGCCAGTATGCTCATCCTCATGAGTTCAAACTTTGCTTGATGAACAGCGGCAGGTTCCTGAAAGGCATCTTAGCTGCGCAAATCTCTCTTCAGCAACAGGAAAAACGAACAGCTACCGAGCTTCTGCAGCTGTATGAACGGTCTGCGGCTTCCGTCAAGCCCTACATGAGAGCTTTGGACTGTCATATTGCTTCATCAAAGCTTCTCGAGGACGTTGTCTTTCCTGTCAAACAGTCAACACAACCAGAAGGTCTTCGCGCCATCCAACTGAGTAAGGTGATTCGTGAGTATGTCGCTAGAATCATCGCCGTGGACCAGGCGTATCCCAACCAGAAGAGCCAGCAGCTCCTCCTTCTAATAGAGCTTTGGGTTCTAATGGACAGGGACGCGGTGGCTTGTTACCCATTGCTCGAAGAATACCACCCTGGATTCGATCCAGATTTGTTAGATCCCATCCAGCTTCTTACACGCGAAGAGATGATTCGCAGCCAAGAGATACGCACGTATCTTAAAGCTCGTTATCGTGCACGGCCGAATGCAGAATCTAGGACTATATTCGATGATCCTGCCGACGATTGCTTCGCTGCGCAATACTATGACCGCGAGGACCATCGGGGCGAGCTCTCCACCATACGCGAACATATTGAAAAAGAGGCAAATATTGCCTTTGATGCTAAGCATGCCGAATGGGAAGAGAAGAGTCAGCACCATGCGCAAACCATCGATAGGCGAAACGAGAAGGAATGCATATGGGATGCCTTTGTTGCTTGGGACGGCATGCCTGAGTCGCGCCACCGAGTACCTTGCGGTTGGCATGATCTTAATCACGAAGCCAAGGGTATCAGGATTCAGATTTACGAACACCCGTTGCCACGCTATGAGCCAGCAGCCAAGGCAGCACTATTCGAGCTACAATGCCCCGAGGTGTTTGCTGCTTACCGGGATGCAACCTGGTTCATTCTTTCTACCTTGTGTCGTCAACCGACTGATAAGCTCGATCGGATGTCGCTCATTCGGGAGTACTCGCAGCTTCGCCCATACGTCAACGGAACCAACTGTCAAGTCACTTTGGGCTCATACAAGAAAGCTCATCTAGAATGCCATTACGCCAACTGGGGCTTTCCTATCGGACTGGACGAGGTCATCCGGACCTGCGGCCTCAAGCCCAGGTACTACGACCGTCGCGGCGAGGCATGGACGGATCAGTTCGGGAAAGCTTCATTGTGGCACCACTTTCCTGTGAAGCTTCCCCCTAGCTCACCTCTCGTGTCGCTTGACCTCGACTACTCCATGTGGCCAACATCGAACGAGATACAGGCGAATCAAGCTAGGTGTCCCCAAGGCGTTGGTGTTCATGAGTTCACTGCACTTCAGGGTCTCTTAGTTGGAACTCATTCGAGGTGGCTCGACCTTCTCAGAGAACTGGGATCAACCAATCTCAATTTCTCTTCGGATTCCACGTGGTCCCTCATCCTGCGTCTGGTATTACAGCTAGGGCCAGACTCTGCGGCCGACTCTCAATACACCGAAGTCCATCGCCCCCTGTCTGACAATGCTCTATGCCGCAAGCTATTGCAGCAAATTTGCTATCGGCTAGAAGCAATACAGCGAAACTGGCGTGAGCCTGTACAGATGGATATCCTTATCACTATTTTGCTCAAGGTGACATCCCTAGCACCCAGCAGGTCAGTACGCGACGAAGGCATGCAACTTCTCCACGAGGCCCGCAAAATCACCGACGCCTGGCGTAGGGAGCTACAACCCATGGTCACAGAAGATCCGAACGTGTTACAGTCCGCTATATGGGCTTCCCTTCTATGCAAGCGAACAATGCACATTGATGAACAGCAATTCAGGGACCCTGAAAGTCTTCGGATGTTTCTTGACGCCTCGATCTCATTACAATATAACCTGACCGGAAGATTCGATACACTGCCATACACTATGCGCAACACCATCGTGCAGGACACGCTATTTGCGTACGAGCATCGCGAGACCATATGTCGAATTATACTAGCAGATGCGCAGACTTTCAGATCATCCTTGGACGCGGTATGGCAGATCCCTAGAGACTACGACACTACAGAGGACGGATTAGAAGTCATTTCGGACACCTGGTATCTGTCGTACACGCTGGTGTCGAAGGACGAGCAGCACTCCTACTTTGTGCATTACAACTATGTCTACGGCACCTTGCTCATTGATGGGCAAGAGATGGGAACTTTACCTCTGGCTTATCGTTCGCATGCAGACTACAAGCATTTATTTGGCACCAAAAACCCAATTGTCTTCCCTTCTCCGCTCCGAGGCATGGATTTTGTAATCGCTGAGTCGATGCCATTCAACCATCATCGGATTCATCTAGGCTATCGTAACGGTCGGCTGATCATCCGTGCAGACCATGACGGGCGACTGGCCGAGTTCGTTCCCCGCAATGCTTTTGGTTCAGATCTTCCGAGTCCATTAGTCGAGAATTGCTACCACTGGCTTCATGTCTACAATGGCCACGTTGAAATTCGTCAGCACAGTCCATGGAAGTTCAAGCCAATGAATTGGTGGATCCGCTGGCATCCCTCCGGCTTCTACCACGCCGTTCGGCGGTTCGGAGAGCCAGGGCAGACCACACTTTTGGACTCGGCAAGTGATCTGGTCAGGAACATCACACAAGTTTTCAGTCATTTCGAAGACGCGACCCAAATAATGGTGTTCGTATCCAGTGTCGGCATAGTTACTGTGGAGTTGAAGCGAATGGAATTGAGCTTTTACATCAACCGCGAAGGCTTGCTGCAGTCGTCGCGACTCGGTGCCATTATTTCGCAGAGTCAGGATGCGGGAACCTGGTACGGGCTCCAGAGTAAGCTCGTAGTTCAATCTGTGTCGAATCGACGTCAGAAGAGTGTGCTGGTACTCCAGGGCGGATTTCGAGTCTCGAAAGATGGGCCTCATGTGTCTGTTGACATTGAAATAGGTTCAGGCGAATACCTCAAGTTTGCGATCAATGACGTCTTGGGTCGTATCGACTGTGCGCCTGAGCCACGTCTTCTCTACACCAAAGCTCTGCTGCATGCTTACACGTCGCACGTCATTGCCGATCCACTCACGCGGCGAACAGGAACCGAGGAAGCGCTGTACCTTCTCCAAACAGGTACCTACCAACCCTGGAATCCATTGCCAAGCGACTTGATAGCCAAACTGAACTATATCGCGGAACTTTCTCCCAAACGAGGGTATTATCCGAAAGACGCCAAAGTTATGGAGACAGTCGTCTGGAACCCCGAATGCACTGTCTCTATGCAGGACGATCGATATACCACTGCAGTCGCCAGAATACTGAGGAGATCTTCCAACTTGTCCCAGTTCTTCTTAGATTTCGATGTTCAAGCAGCGATCAAACCGGAAGCTGACATGACTCATTTGGCTGCTCGCGCGGTTACGAGATCCAATGCTCATAAGCAGAAGAAAGGTAGCAACCGGGATGTTGTCTACTCCGCACGTGATGCTCGCAGATCTTCACGAGACCGACTAAATGTTCTTGAAGTATCAAAGCTTCTGTTGAACTGGGAGTCAACCTGCTCGTTAGAGACTACATTAATCGCCCTTCTTCACGATGCTCCAGTTTTGGGTGGTTACGACAAGTGTTATCGTAAATGTCTGCTCACTGATCATCTCGCTGTCGACATCAAAGCGGAGTGGGGTGCGCTTGCTCAGAAGTCACTCCAATCCAGCGTCGATGATAGGTTCAGTCTGATGTTTCTCTTAGCAACTGTCGCATTCTCGCCAGATGTGGATCTTGACTTGCTGCGCATTCTCATATCCTTCGCGATGATCCCGGAAATCCGCGTTATACCAGCTCCCAGCTATGCCGCCTACTTCCACTTTCGTGCGGATGGAGCACCCCCCGCCTCTTACCTGATATCTTTGATGGAGAAATCACGCATGCCCTTCTCTGAGACCGGTTTCCGTAAACGCTCGCAATTAGTTAAAGCTGAGAGCTTGCATGGTCCAAATGTCGATCAATCTTGTGAAGCCTTGGCTAGCTCGATATTAAAACAATGGCCCGCTCCTGAGGTTGAACCGCAGAAGCTGGTAGCAATTGACACGACATATCTGGACGTTGGTCGGGCTTTAGATGACATCGGTCAGGAGTGGACTCGCCTCACACGGAACCACGAGCTGGCGCTATACCTGGAGCAGGTACAGCAGATTCTCTTCCGTATGACCGCTCACGAATTGGTTGCTAGTCCCCTCACCGAAGCAATCTCAGATAACAAGTCGACTCCTTCCCTGTATCCTACACGATCGAGGGAACAAGACGATCTCTCACTCTCAGCTATTTTGAGGGCTCGGGTCTTCAACAGTAAATCACTCGGCATGAGGACGTCTCCTCAAACTTCAAAGTCCTACGCTGGAGCTTTGACGGCCAGGTCGGGTAACATAGTGCATCGTCCTGCCAAGATATATAGTGCTGTGGGTATGGGTCGAGGCACAAAGGCTCCAGCCTCTCCTCACATCTCGCAGTTGCCACCACCACAGGAGATCGGAGCACTTAGAGAGATCGTTGCCAACTTCAAGGACCCGACCTCCTTCGTGCAGAGTAGGTATGCGAAAGAAATGGACGCGAGTATCAACGCCCTCACGAAGCACATCTCCAATGTACAGAACACGTCCCACGGCTCGTATCCCAGAATATCGGGAGAGGATATCACTTCAGCGAAAGAGGTCGCAGCAGCGGCAGTTGAGCATATTCGCTATTCACTTCAGGCACAGCATCCACAAGCCAAGTGGCTCCAGCTGGTGGATGCATGGCCTAAATTGACAACCGTTGAGCTCCTGACAGAACTCCGAACTACTTCAGGTACCACGTTTGGCACGGGCACGAAAGAAGCGATCGTGTCTTTTGGAGTGGCTATTAGCAAAATACAACGAATACACCGCATTCAGGATGCGCAGAAGAGGCACAAAGAACAACAAGAGCGGGATGATTGGGCGAACGAGGGCCATAGAAATTGGAGCCCTGTGACCTACCCGGACTGGCTGCTGTTGGAAATTGACGGCGACATTCTTATTCGAGAAGAGCAGGTACAGGTCGCTCTAGCGACAGTCTCACCACGGTCGAATCAGAACTCAGTCCTGCAGCTCTTGATGGGTAAAGGGAAGACGTCTTGTATCCTTCGTAAGTGCCTGGGTCAACTTCTGGGCCATTAGTAACTAACTCCTTACAGCTATGGTAGCGGCTCTTCTTGCTAACGAAGCCGACCTTGCTCGCGTTGTTGTACCGAGAGCTCTTCTGCTGCAGTCGGCACAAGTGATGCAGGCCAAGCTCGGCGGCTTAGTCGATCGTGAACTAATGCATATTCCCTTTTCACGAAAGACCCCCCCTACTGAGGCGTTGATGGACCTATACACGAAGATGCATGCACGATTGCGTGATCGTCGTGGTGTGCTCATCGCATTGCCAGAGCATATTCTCTCGTTCAAGCTGAGTGGACTACAACAGCTGTGCGACGAAAATCTCGAAACAGCTTCCATAATGATCGAGACACAACGCTGGCTCGATCAGCACGCTAGAGATGTTCTCGACGAATGCGACGTATCGTTAGCGATCAGAACGCAACTCATCTACCCGTCCGGTACTCAGGCGACAGTGGATGGTCATCCAATGCGCTGGCAAGTAACGCAGGCTGTACTTCACCTGGTCAAGGACTTTTCGTCAAGTGTTCAATCACGCTACCCTCACAGCATTGAGGTGGTCAGCCGCGGAACTGGTGGTTTTCCTCTTATCTACTTCCTGCGCAGAGACGCCGAGGATTACCTGATCGAGCTTTTGGTCAGGATTATCTGCAAGGGTCAGACTCCGTCGATACTTCCTTGCGCCGAATACCCATCCGATCTCATGAAGGATGTACAGGCCTATGTCTCGAAACCAGTCGTTCGCAGTCCAACCATATCCAAGATTGCCAGCTTCTTCCGGGACAAGCCAACCCTGATGCGGGCAGTCAATCTACTTCGTGGCATGTTTGTTCATCGCATACTGATAACGACTCTCAAGAAACGCTGGAATGTACAATACGGATTGCATCCGATACGCGCACCGATAGCGGTACCGTACCTAGCCAAGGGCGTACCTTCACCTACAGCTGAGTGGGGGCATCCCGACGTCGCCATCACCTTGACATGCTTGTCGTTCTATTACCAAGGTCTTGGCGTTGTCCAGTTCAAAGAAGCATTCGCACACTTGGTCAAGACTGACGAACCAAACATCCAGTACGAGAAGTGGTTTCCGAAGGGGATCGATATTCCAAAAGAATTGGACGACTATGCAGCAATCAATGCGGAAGACATGCGGCAACTGGGAGAGCTTTACCAGGTCGTACGCTACAGTGCTTCCCTTGTGGACTTTTACCTGAATAACTTCGTGTTCCCCAAATATGCTAAGACCTTCAGCCTCAAACTCCAGGCATCAGGTTGGAATCTTTTTCCATCATCTCAGAACAACACGGGACCCCGTGTGACCGGCTTCTCTGGTACAAACGATTCCAGGCACCAACTTCCCCTATTGGTTCGACAGCGAGATCTTCCACAGCTAGCACACACAAATGCCGAAGTTCCATGCTATCTATTAGCATCTCGCAACCAATCCTACTTTCGTATGACCACATCACATGGAGTCCGTTGGACTGAAACAGCCCTGATCGAAGATTTTGCGAACCGTTCCTGGAGGAGGCAATACAACGGCCAGTACCAGTCTTTCCGTCTTGCACACGGAGCAAATAACGTTCATTTGACCGGCCGGATCAGGATCCTTATCGATGCGGGTGCACAAGTTCTCGAGCATTCGAATAAAGACTTCGCCAATGCTTGGCTTCATGCGGATGAGGGAGCAGCTGCAGCTGTGTATTTCAGCGATGATCACCGTGCATGGGTGTTATATCGCACAGGCAAACGTGTACCATTAGTAGCATCTCCATTCGTCGATGACCTAGATCGGTGTGTCGTATACTTGGACGAGAGTCACTGCAGAGGAACTGATATCAAATTTCCACCGCATGCAAGGGCCGCCTTGACTCTTGGTCAACACCTGACCAAGGATGCATTGGTGCAGGCTGCCATGCGATTGCGGCTTCTCGGTCAGACCCAGTCAATCACCTTCTTCTCTCCGGTTGAAGTCCACCAAGGTATACTGGACCGGCTACCAAAGGGGACGAGCGATCTCCATCAGCCTACTTCAGGCGACGTCCTTCGTTGGGTATTCGGTCAAACTTGCGACACCATGGAACAACTTGAACCTTCGTATTTTGCTCAAACGTTGCAATATCTACAGCAAGAGCAAGCACGGTTGGAACATCCTGAATTCTTGCAGGATGTGTCGTCACGAGAGGCTTACCTCGCAACGATCCGAATCAAAGAGGCTCTTTCGCTGAAACAGCTCTATGAGCCCAGAGGCGAGCGTCACCGGCGCGCTGGTCTTAATATTGCCATGATCGCATGGAAACCCTCGCTGCATAGCATCTACATTGACCTTCTGGATCGCAAGAAGCACTTCCAGGATCGAGGTTCGGCTGTTCATGCATCAGCACTAGAGGAAGTGGAGATCGAGCAAGAGCGCGAGGCAGAGCGTGAGGTGGAAATCGAGGTTGAGAACGTCCGCGAAGTTCAACAAGCTCTTCTATTCAACGCCCATAAAGTCAAAAGACTACACGAAGACATCAAGCATTTCGCAGCGTTTGGGCGTCTCGTTCCTGGAAGCGATGCTTACCTACCAATGTTTTCGGTGTTGGGACGGACGACTTCACTAGGCGTCAAGCATACGGTCAACCCATCGATGAAGTCAGGTCTGTGGATCTCAGCTGAGTTTTCCCGCACGATCGAGACTTATGCGCCCAATGACAACTATGTCCGATCTTCTCACTGGGTTCTTTGGAGTACCATCAGCCAACAGGCGCTGCTTGTCAGCCCTGAGGAAGCTAACCAGCTCATCCCAATCATGCAGGAGCAGCAGGCGTTCGAGGATAGTGGCAGCGTTCATCTCATCATCTATGCAGCACCTGTCACTCGAAGGATGCTCCATTTCAACCAGCTGAAATATTACGCGATGCCGGCTTTGGCCACCGACTTTGAGGCGCCTGTCTGGCTTCGGGTCGAGATGGGCCTTTTCGCTGGGCGGCTCTACCTGGAATGGGATGAGTACTATCAACTGCTGGAATATCTCGGTCTTGACGAGAATCTATCTCAGCATCCTGAGAAGGACGCATTCGCAAAGAAGCCTCTCACTTTCGGTACGTGTTTCTGGACATGTAGCACGTAGTGATTTACTAACGCATATATAGTGCATGAGTGGCTCGCCCTCCGCCGCAAAGGCCAAGATTTCGAGCACACTCCCATGGGTTTCGTTACTACGGGTAAGCCGCTTACGGAGAATCATCCATTCTTCCGCAAGCTCGCTCACGGAGACGATCCCACTCTACGACAGCATATCGCCCGAGCCGTACCCGGCCAGCTCGACGTATTGGAAGAGAATGAGGACCACGATGATCACGATGATGAAGAGTTCGTTCCGGCCGTTGAGCATGTCGATGACTCGGAGGGTGAGGACAAAGGGTTTGATTCGAGCGATAATGAGGACTTTGTTGATGCGGAGGACGGGGAGTAGACTTTAGCGCTCAGCGCGCCAGTTGACACATGTATAATAACACGATAATAACAAGAAAAAGCCTGCACACGTTTCGTAGTGGGCTCAAAACTAACTTCTCTTGTGCATAATGCTACAGGTGCGAGGCTAATATATTGTGATTTGCCGAACCAGTCGACTGGTAGGTAATAAATATTGCTATATCCATATAGTATGGTACAATGAAGGGTATCTCCGCATAAAAGGTAAGGGTACATAAGTTGCACGTCCTGCACCAAGGACTTTCCTTCGCTTCTTACTCTTCAGGACCACGTTTCTTCTTTGGTGGCAGTGTGGCACTGCTCCTTCATACCGGTTATGCGGCTCTGCTACGCCACACTTTATCGCGCCAAGCATGTCCCAAGACATGTAGCGTGTGTCCAACTCCGGTCCAGCAATGGTGCTGCGCTAGTGGTACCTCATACTGTTTCGGTCGAGTTGACGCGGGTGTACATGGGGAAGCGCGTGGTCTTCCATACGGCGAACTTCCTCACTGCGAAACTGCACGGTATAAGTCTACACTCTTTATAATGGCAATCCAGTCTGCATAACGCCAACCCGTCTATCGCGCTTCTATGGAACCATTGCAAATGTATGGAAAGAGACTTACTAGATGGCGAACAGCACAAAGATGAGGACGAAGATGTTGGCGATGGGATGCGAAATGGTCTGGTGCAGCATGCTCTTTGCGCCCGACGTGCGGTCCTCTCTCTCGGCTTTCTTCGCGAGGTCAATGACCCATTGCGCGGCCTCATCACCGAACAGGTCGAAATAGTTCAGGTGCTTGGACATGTCTTTGTTCTCGCTTTGGGGTGCACAGATCGGGTCGCCAGGCTGGCAGTATTCGCGGAGCTTGCCGGCGTCTGCATAGGGTTGGAGACCTGCATTCTGCTCGGCTGTCCGTGGTGCGCCACCGTTTGAGATCTCGCCGCCGCCGTGGGTAAAAGTTTGGTTTGCGGAACGTCGTGTAGGGCCGAAAACGACTGCTGCTGCGACTGTGAAAGAGTCAATATGTACCTCGGAATTGGCCCAAGATTGGGAACGCACCTTTAGAACCGGGCGCGCTTGTGATGTTCATGGCGGGGTTCTCCTCCTGAGTGCACCCCCAAAGCGGACCGCCGCCACCACCAAGCACGTCGAGCATGACACTTCCACCCTGGCTGAAGCCCATGACGATCAGATGGCTGTCTGGGCATCGAGCAGTGTAGTTCCTCATCTGCTCGGCGCCGTTCATGGCACCCTCGTGCGAGGATATGCACCATTTCTCTCCACCGTTCATGGCCCAGTACTGCACATCTTCATATCCGCAGGCCTTAGGGTTTTCCTTGGTATTGAGGGCGTTGCATACTTTGCCGACCGTCTCAATGACGTGACCCGGGTAGGGCGAGGTAGAGCCGCGGGCGAGGAAGTGATGGTAAGTCTGACATTCGTCGGTCTTGAGGGCTTCGAACTGTGGGCAGTCTTCGAGCTTGGTGCACACAGCAAATGCGGCGGAGGCGTAGAGAAGCGCCGAAAGCGCTATCCGGGGTATCATCGTGAATGTGGAGAAGCGAGAGAAGGGAAGAGCACGCGACGTAAGAATGAGCGACTCGGTAAGGACGGGTAGAGCGGTAGATGTCTCGGAGACGGCCTATCGCAGAAACAGGGAAACGGGCGGGCAGTTCGCTCCAACAGACGATAAGGGCAAAGTCGACGACAGAAGGTGAGAAGAGAGAAACATGACATTGAAGATGGGGTGGGCCCGCGCCATCGATCTCTCGTTTCATCTCCTGGCATTCCTGGGGAAAGGCATGCGCGTACTAGAAAATGCCAAGAGGGGAGACGGCATGCTTGACACTCGTACGCGGCTCCGAATGGTTTGAGAATGGCGATGATAGTCGTCGGCCAAGCCTTTTGGCGCCTTCCCGCTCGGAAAGAACGGCTATTAGTGCACCCGTGCCACCTGTCAGCCGCCTCACAGCCACACCAGCGCCGCACTTTGGGGTCTCTGCCGAGCGCGCAATACGAGCTTAGGGTCCGCCAGACTATCGCGGTGAAGAAAGAAACGACGTGTTTTGTGAGGCGAGTAGAACCGTTTCCGTTGCAAAAAAAACCACACACGATAAGTAGGCCGCGTGGGAATTGCGAAGGATTGATGGGAAAATGAAGTTGCATGACTCAGCTTGACGCGTAACCAGACATGTGTGTCCACGCGATAGGGGGTCTGTCATCAGCCCTTCCCCTTCACCCATGCGACCTTCACCCATGCGACCTTCACCCGAGAATACCCACGACCGCATCCCACAATCATCACAATCTCTTCTCGTTTGACCTACTCACTCGAAATGTTGCGGGGAAATACTCGGTATTCTCCACGATAACCTGACTGATCTGACAGCTTTCCGAGCCAAGAAGGCTATCCAAGAGCGACACGTTTCGTCATCCAAAGCGACACAGCCAGCAGCAGAACACTGCGCCTTCCTATGCGACTTGCCATGCGACTCCACAGATGCGCCCATTCGGTACCTTGCAGAGGAAACGGAGTGATGATTGATGTGTTGCGTCCCATGGGAACTGTACTGCCATCTCTTTCGATCGCAATTGTACGCTGGTGGCTACCTTATGCGACTACTTCTCGGCTTTTACGACCCAGTACCTGATCACAGCGACGTCGATGAAGAAGAAATAGCCCCCTCGTCCAAGTACGGCGATCCCATTTGCGGTGCCTGGCTCGGTTTGGAGGTGGTTCTCGACCTGCCTGGAGAGCTGTCAAAAGGTATCGCCAATATCTGGCCTTGGGATTTGTCGCGCGACACCAGCCTTGGCCCACTACCACTCCTCCGCCATGCCAAACGTCCGTGCGTCTCGGCCTTCAAGTGCCTCACTTTCACTGGATGTAACATGGTGAGATTGATGGATGGCGGCCGATGTTTTACCGCGCGAAATTTTTGCATTCACTGCCAATGCGACCCAGCATAACCTTGTCCCGGATGTCTCCTTCCTATCTTCTGGAGAATTGGCGCAAACCACTGACACAACGTCCGTTCACCGTCTGAATACTCGGAGAGTTACTGGCATTTGGAGCATGCTCGCACCTCTCGCTATTTGATACTTTGAGATCCATCGCGAGGCGCCCAGACCTATGACGATGGTGGCCAAGCTGCCGGATGCCATACCGGCCTGCTTCGGCACGGTCCTCGCATTATCAAATGCGGCTCTCACTAGCGCCTTCGCTCCCGACGTGGATGAACATCAGACGTCACCACCACCCTTCTCCGCATGCGATGTAGCTTTTGATAGGAACGGGAGCGTGGGAGGGCTGCGCATCGTCCGGAAGGACCCTGCCCGCCCACTTGCGCGTTTGGCGAAACACCATCTCGGCTCCTTTACTAACAGCTTCATATATACGGCATCTGGGGAGGCCCACATGCCTGAAGTGGATAAAAGAGCCATTTCGTCTCCACGCTTCCAAGAGACCCTGCCTCAAGTGCCACCAGTTATTGGGTGCACAGTCCCCATTAGAGTTCGGACGCATTTCTCACCACGCTACCACCTGCTACTGTCCTTGGTCCGAGTGCGATGTGCGGTAGTACGTAATTTACCATGTCCTTGGATTCCTCCACATTGCGCTGTGACCATTTCATCTCTCTTTCCCCATCCATCTCTTTATCTTCTCAGATTAGCCTTCATCAAACCTCTCCATCAACAAGCTCGTTTCCTGAGTGCTTCCTCGTCATTCCTTCCAGTCCTCCCATCCTCACCACCTACCACTCGAAAACGATACATGCGGGCGTAAGTGCTTGTCAACTCCCTAACCATGGACCACAAAGATCTCGCTTCTGCCCACGGCGACGTTCCCATGCAACATACCAATGAACCCGACAACAAGCCCAATGCTCTCAATGCCCTACCCGTATCTGCCCAGCGACCTACTATTGCCCTTGCAGCAGACCCAACCTACGACCCACAGGACCCTTTGCAACAGAAGAAGCACGGAGACCCTGAAAAACTCGAAACCTACTCCGAAAACGACACAAACCTAGGCGATGTATCCGACATTCAGAATGCAAGCAAACGACCCACAAGCAGTGCCGGCACCAAGAAACTCAACACTACACAAACTGTCATCATCTTTATGACAAATGAGATCGGAATCGGCATCTTGTCATTGCCAGCCGCTCTCAACACCCTTGGATTCTTCCCAGGTATCGTAGCCATCATCGGCATGGGAATGCTTAGTCTGTACACAGCGTACAATCTCATTCAGTACTGGCGCAAGTACCCTTACATGCTCAACATTGTCGATTACGGACGCGTCCTCGGCGGCCCCTGGCTCGAAGCCGTCTTTGCCATTGGCTTTTTGATCAACATGGCTCTCATCAGCGCATCGGCAGTCGTCACCATCTCCATCGGTCTCAACACTGTAAGCGACCACGCGACCTGCACGGTCGCCTTCACAGTCGTCGCGGCCATCGCTATGTGGGCCATGTGCGTACCCCACAGTATGCGCTTCGTATCATGGGCATCGTGGCCCTGCACAATCTCAATCTTTGCGTCCGTAATGTTCGTCATGATTGTCCTCGGTGTTCAGGGCCCCCGAAACGCGGGAGCACCCCTCAACCTGAAAGCCATCGGAAGCCCCACTTTCACAGAAGCTGTCGCTGCTTTCTTGAACATTGCCTTTGCTTTCAGCGGGAACCAGGCTTTCCCAACCGTCATTGCCGAGATGGAGAACCCCTCTCGTGACTACCCACGCGCTGTCACTATTGAAAAGTGTGCCTCTACCACCATCTACTGCATTGTCGCTGCGGTTGTCTACGCTCTTTCCGGCGAGTCAGTCGCCTCGCCGGCGCTCGGATCTCTCCAGCCCCTGATGGCTAAGGTCGCTTACGGACTTATCTTCATTGGACTTCTTGGAACAGGTTTGGTGTTCGGTATGACCGCCGCGCGCTACCTCCACGTCTTCTTTTTGCGCGAGATTGGCACTCGCCAAGCCAAGAAGAATGGAAGCTTCAACGAAGAGGTCTCATCTTCTTCCGGATCATCGCGTGGCCGCCGCGCCTCCGTTGCTATGAGCCACATGGGCCAGAAGACTGAGTGGGCTGTCTGGATCTTCTCCGTCACCTTGTTCTGGGTTGTCGTCTGGATTCTCGCCAACGCCATTCCGGTTTTCAGCTCCCTTCTTAACATCTCTGCTGCTCTTTTGCTATCATGGTTCACCTGGGGTGTTACCGTACTTTTCTGGTTCCATCTCAACTGGAACGGCAAGTGGCGCTCCAGCACGAAGAAGATTGCGACGGCCGCGTTCAACGTGTTCATCATGTGTGTCACCCTATTCATGATGGTTCCTGGTATGTACGCCAGTATCGACGCACTGCTGAACGTGTTTGCCACTACGGAGGTCAATGGCGCATTCACATGTGCGGACAACAGCATTTTGTAAACCATGTACATACTGTAAGATAGATGAAGCAACTTTCCATTTTTCACCCACTACGCAATAGTCTACTTGAAGAATCTCTCCCATATTCCTTTGCCATTTTGCTAGATTGTTCACCTTACCTAGCAGGCATAAGCTCTACGCGACGCAAACCAATATTTACCAGGGGCTATGTGTGTAGCACTTCAAGTGACGTTGGCGTCGGCGCCGAACGCACACGCCTTGCCCGAGGTTTAGCTCCGCCACCACCGAAAAACGGCTGCAACTACCGGACTGCAATCCTTAGATTCATATCTAGGTCCCAATATATACCTCTGGATCATAAGAGACGTTTCTTACACTTGTGACACGGATTCGACATGTCCGCGTTCTGAGTACCCACATAGCAAAACGTGGTCGAGGCATGACATCACTTGTACATCATCCCGACACCTACTTCAAACATCGCGCCGTTTTGCCTCCTACACTTCAGGGTCTTGTATGTCTATTTCCGAACTTGTGCTACCCATGCAGGAACAACGGCTGCGCATAGGCTAGGAAATAATGTAAGAATCATTGCCGCATCATACAAGTCGCTCGCCTCTGATGCCGACAACTTGCCGTCGCGTCGATCTGCCAGTCGCGCGAGTATAACAACACGCGTTAGGACGCGATGTACCAAAATTATTTCCGAGCTCTGCTTTTTCTGCAATACTTCAATTCCAATTAATAAAAACACGCGCAAAAATGCAGCACGTCCTCCAAGCCGGTCTCTCTTCTGGGATGTCAGCCGTCGCTGGCATCCACAGTGGCAAGCACACCAAGCCTAATCCAGTTGACCCTTCTTTCGACGGCCTCGCCGCTGTGATGCCAGAGGACTGGGTTCCAACCGCAGACAAAAAGGTCACATACAAGGGCAAGAACGGTGATGTCCACGCACCACCACTATGTATCGGCGCATGGTCGTGGGGTGACACCTCCACCTGGCATTGGAAGCCCGAAGAAGAACCACATGTAGTCGCAGCCTGGAAGCACTGCCTCAGCAAAGGCGTCAACTTCATTGACACAGCGCAAGTCTACGGTACGGGAATGAGCGAAACAATCTGCGGGAGACTATTCCAGGGTTTACCAAGAGACAGCTTCGTTATACAAGACAAGTTTTTCGTCGTACCTCAAGCAAAAGATGTCCTCCACCCTACAATGGCGCCCCTCAAGAAGCTCGAAACCTCCCTTAAGAACTTCGGCCTAGACTACATTGACATCTACCTCGTCCACGGCCCCATCCATGTCCAAACCATTTCCATGATCGCCAAAGGCATGGCCGAATGTGTGGAAAAGGGCATGACCAAGACCGTCGGCGTAGCCAACTACAGCCTCCAAGACATGATCAAGATGTCGGACGAACTAGCCAAATACGGTGTCCCCCTCGCCATCAACCAAGTCGAATTCTCCGTCCTCCGCCGCGAACCAGAACTCTCTGGCCTCCTCCAAGCCTGCAAGGAACGTGGTATTGTCTTGCAATCATACTCGTCGCTCGCGCAGGGTCGTCTTACGGGAAAATACACGGTTGACAACCCACCGCCAAAGACGTACCGCTTCTCTAGCTACGATATGAAGGATATCGAGCCTGTTAACGTTGTGTTGAAGAAGATTGCGGATAAGCACGGGGTGCCGCAAAGTGCCGTTGCGCTGAACTACAACCTGTGTAAGGGTATCACACCAGTTTGTGGTGTGAGGAAAGAGGAGCAGGCTGTGGGCAATTGTGCAGCGCTTGGATGGAGACTGAGCAACGAGGAGATTAGGGAGATTGATGGAGTGAGCTTCCAGGGACATACCACGAGTTTGTGGCAGCAGGGTTAAGAGGGTAATGTGTAGGATAAGGAAAGTGGAGGATAGTGTGTAGGGCTAATTTGATGATACCTCTTGTTTCGCATCTTGTTGACTGGTATATGGGTTCGCATCATGAGTTTGTTCTCAAGATCGAGAATCAAACCAGGAGTATCGCAGACACAACGTCTCCGTGTGGTATTCTCTATGAGATGGCTGGGTGCGATGGCACTTGGGGTGCACTATCGTACCAAGTGCGACCTTGCGCCATGTTATGCTCAGCCAGCTGGGGACCGAAACACATTCACCACACGCACCATTCCTAGGCCACCATTCCTGGGCCACTATACTCAAGCTTTGCTCGCTGCTTTTAGTATGTGTACATCGCGATGCGCAACTCTACAGTGAAACTTAGCGCATTTCGTTACGTCAGGTTTGACCTTCGGTGGCTCACCTCCGGGTAGATCGATAAATCCGATCTTGCTCGCGTCTTGCTTGGTACCCAGTTGGCGTAGTAAGTGCATGTTGCTTGCCTCCATGGCGCCACGGAGCGTGCTTGGGAGTCGCTGAGCTGAGGCTCGAAGTATTTTCTTGTATTATCAGGACGTGCAGCCTCATGTATGGGTAGCGAGTACGAATTATAAGACACTAATGAGGTCGTCGGCCGTCGCGTTCTCGTTTGTGCGAGCAGAAGCGTGCGTCCCGTACGACGCACTAGTCTGTGTTGACAGCCCCACCTCTACGTTTTCGCATCAATCCAACAGCAATACTTCTCGACTCCAATGTTACGACGGGCCGTGGCGTATCTCACCGTATCGAACGACTACCATATCCAGCAATAAGGCCCAGCGTATACCTCCATCATGTGTTCCCAGCTTCCACCACGCTCAAGAAACACCGTTAGCGTATGTATCCTGCCCCTTCCTTCAGGTCTACCATGTCCGACGATACCGCGAGAATCTGTGTTAAGCACTTACTCTCAGCATCTTCCGGTTGTGCAATCGAGCCCATGTATCGCCGCCCTATCGTTAGGTGTATTGTAAAACTGCGAAAAGAAAGACGACGCTAAGGCAGGAGAACACTATCTTCGAGCTGCAGTCGTGATCGTGGTATCGAACAGTCGCGAGTAACGGTAAGACACATCTAGCGGTAGCGACCCCGAAAAAGAAGGGTATGATGATGCGGAACAGATGCATTCCCGTCCTTTTCCCTCCCGCGTCTAATTGCGTTGTGATCATTAAGATTTTGACACACTCTCACATCACCAAGCTTCCACCATGTTCTCTTGTGTTGTGGTCACTGGAGCTTGCGGTCTGGATCGTAGCGAACTGCGTCGTTCCCCGATACTAAGAATCACTCAGGGTGGACTGGACAACACTGGACCAAAACTTCTAAGATAGCCATCTGCATCACCCGGAGGATTTGCTGTACAAAGTGAAGGACATTCACGAGGTTTTTAACCTACTCACCTGGCTCTTCATCTGATTCAGCCTCGTCGCACTCGCCATCAGCAGCCGGCGTTCCGCACAGGAGATGAAGCATCAACATCTCCACTGTCTATTCGCCACCATCCTTATCATACGCTGTCTAGAGGACTTCTTCGGGTAACTTCATTTCCGAGAGCCGATGACAGTGTTATGGCTCCTCTGAGACGCAGCTTCACCTTTCGAAAGGATCCATCTTACATGGTTTGTCGAGCTCCGTGCTTGGGAATGGACATCTTTGGACACGTCATGCGACAACTTCCTCTAAGTACGTAACTTCTACTATATGCTAGTTCTTAGTGTATACTGGAAAGTGGACGTCTTAGTCAGTCTAGGCGGCTGCTAGATACTACGGAGCGCTAGGGCGATGCGAAACAATTAGAAGATCGCTTATAGCTAGACCTCAGTAGGAAGTAGAGGCCGCCACTGTCGAGTTGCAAGCAGTAGAATACAGATGCGCAACTTGCATCTTCATTGCCAGTCTCGCGTCATACACGAGATCACTAACATGGCGGCCCCTCGACTTCGTCCGCTTCGGCAGACGACAATAAAGGGCAACGATCACAACGACGGAACCTCCTGCCACGGCACAACTGGAAATCTAGCATGTAGCAACAAACTGAAGCACGTTGTAAGTACTTTGACGGCAGCTTGTAAACAAGAAACCCACCTTCGCCGTTAGGATGAAAGTGACACTTATGGACTACCTACTAATTGTATGTCTGTGTTCTAGCTTCAGTGCGGTTCAGACGGGTTATGGCACAGGACCGAGAACTGGAAGTCAAACTTACAACGTAGTGGTTTCCAATACATTTGTTAACGGTTTCCCTATTAATTCAGGTGGTGGACTTTGCCTCAGTGGCTATCCACTGATATCTACATCGTTAATCGGGTCCTGTCCCCAGAGGCCCAAGTCGACTAGATCTTGGCCAGCTTGTGCGATTCCTATAGTGAGTCTCGAGACATCGTTCTCTAGTGGGATAACCCTGGCTAGACTACCCGTCAGATCGGCTTTGTAAGCATCGACCGATTGCGCACACTTCGTGAGGGTCCCATTCGACTGGATGCTCTTCTTGAGAAAGAACATGATGGCATCATATCCAATGCGATTATTCACCTTGCGTACTACCACGTCTTCGACAACGCTGCACATATCTTGCGTCTCCGGTACTGCTACCCAAGGGATAGAGGCGCGCGATGTACAACGCACGTCGGCAATTTGGAAGTCTTCACCGCGTTCCTGGCGCTTGAGGTAATTGCATGGTCATACTGGAAGATGCGCGAGAACGTCCAATCCATGAGGAACGAGGGAAAGAAAGCTGGAGGCCAGGGGACGGGTTGAGGTCATACAGTTCACTGTTGATCCTTATTTCAATATTTCCATCTACGACATTCGTGCACCGCGCCTGGTAAGTGCTTGTTGATCGCGTATTCGTCATCTCGATGTATGTGCGATGTGTTCCTGTGGCCTGGGAGGAGTTCATAAAGTCCTTTTGTCTGACAGGTCCTCACCATGGACCGTGATTTATCATGACGTCGTGCGTAGGATCTTTCCGCACTCCAGTGGGGTTAGACTACGATGTCTGGGCAAGCCTGCACGTGCTTAGACGGCCTTGGGTCGAACTAGGAAAGGAGAATTGGATAGTTCCGTTACGGGTACTCAGGTGACCGATGCTTTTCCTTCGGTGAATTTGTTAGCATGTTATCCGAAATGAAGTGATAGTCGAGCGCGAGAGAGCTTGGTGACAGACTTGTATCGCAACCCTGGCTAGATTGTAAGGAACGAGCAGACGCAGCATCCGCGCGCCCCATGCCGGTGATTACCGGTAAGGTGAGGGAACGCGGGCATGATGCCAGTCGATGGAATTGTGAATGTGCCGCAGCACGTGGAGATAAGATAACTATCGTCAAAAGTGGAGATGTTCGGTGCCGATCAGGGGTAAAGCACGCACCTCACCCCGGCCATCCCGGCGTGATGGCAATCTTACGCACCATTTCATTCGCCCAATACGTTTCATCGATCGTGGAATAGGCTTAGCCTTCATCTTCACTAGATGCCGCAATCCTGGCCGGAGAAACATATTAGCTAGGAGACGCCCCAAGGAACCATTGCGCTGGTTTCCTTACTCCGTACGCCCTGCCCACGGTACTAATCCTAAAGTCCACGCACTTTTACGTGGTGGTGTGGGAGAGTAACCATGTCGTTTTTGGGCGACCTTTTCAGTTGTGGTCGGGCGAGACGGACGCGCGAGACGTCGACGGAGCCGCTTGAAACAGATGACGCGACGCCCGAGCCCGTCAACGCGCATGGAACTACTGCAACCACCACCCACCCCACGATTGAGAAGCCGAACGGCATCCCTGCGCCCCAGGAAGACCGCATCGAACGCGTAGCGGATCAAGTGCGAGTAGACCCGCAGCCAAATGTCGAGAAACGTGGTAGCGGCCTAACCCAGGATGATATCGAGCTGGCTGTCATCCCAGAAAAGTCGAAGCCGAGTGCGGGATGGATAGTCGAACAGAGGGTTCTTGTCACAGCTACGCCCGCCACGAAGCAAGACACTTCTATGCCCGAGCCCGAGCAAAAGCATGAGCAAGAACACGAGAGTCGCGCACCTACCCCACCTGTTCGTTGTGCCACGCCTGAGCAAGAACCATGGAACTCAACTCCGGTTGCCCAAGCAGCAACAGAGCCTGAAGCTTCCGGCATGACCGTCATTACTCCTGTTCAGTGTGCGACTTCCGAATCCGACACTCGTGCGGCCACCCCGGATGTCACGGAGGTACATGAGCAACCTTCTGAGCAGACCATCATACTTGTAGAAGATCAGACCTCAGAGCCCGCGCTCGTTGAGGCCGCCACGTCCAGCGCTGAACTCGAGGACGTTGTTGAGGATGTTCCGACACCCAAGAAGTCTGCACCAGTCCAGCTGCTTGACTTGCCGCCGGGTATGTCAGACCATAATCGCATTGCTCATACATGCGCTAACAAAACACAGAGATAAGGAACCGCATCTATGAGCGCATGACCGAGGAAGTGCCCATCAGGATGTGCCGACACGACGACCCGGCGCTGACTCAACGCGAAGCTGAATCCGCGCGTACTACGCGAAGACAGTACTACAACCTTACGCAGGTATGCCACCAGATTCGCAATGAGTTCTTGCCAGTATACGCGAAGAAAGCGCACTACATCATCGATCTTTGGACCCAAAAATCGAACCTGACCAAGGTGGATTCCCTCAAGGGCCAGGTCTCCTTGGATATTGATGCAGCGTGCTTCGACATGGAGCCTATCGACCTGCTGCCGCTCATTCGATGCCTTGTCCGCACGCGTCGAACCGACTGTCGCTTTACTTCTACCGAGGGTGTCGTCTTCCGCAGTATCTCCGAGATCGTTGGGGAGCTCAACAAGCTTCTTCCAAACCCCGAGAACAGCAACCAAAGCTGGCTGACGGCAGTCAACGGACCAATGAAGAGAATCGACTTGCATCTGTTTCCCCACGACGACATCCGACAATACTACCGATTCCGAGGTGCTGAGCCACTGCTGCGTGTAGTCTACCCATCGGCCGTGAGCGAGGAGTGGATGAAGCGGGCCTCGAAGTCGGAGGGATATGAAGCGTACTTGCAGAAGACCGGATTAGACAAGTTTGAGATGCACGTTGTTATCGGCCACGCCTCCCGGAGGACTACGAACGAAGGCCGCCTGCCGCTTGATTGGCGGATGAGCTACCAGCTATCGAGGCACTCGATCGACCGCGCCCCTCGCATGTCCATGGATATTGCAGCCGCTCGCATGTCTATTGACAGAGCGCCGCGAATGTCATGATGATAACTTGATAATGTTTCGGGCGAAAGCGCGCCTAGCAGTTAGTGCTTACGTTCTGCACTCCACGTGCAATTGTCTGCCATGTTAGGTATAGCTGTTTATGATTTCTACGAGGCGCAGGGCCCGTTTACTTGTAATGTTTCTATAGGGAGGGCAACGTACTTGAAGGCGCATGTTATAAAAGTGCCTTAGGCGTCCTATGGCAAATGACGTCAATTCGCACCCGCTACAAGCGGCCTCATTGGATCGTCCCTATTTATGTTCTTCCGTATACCCAGAAGCCAATCTAGTGTATTTTCTCTATTTTCAAGTCTTGCATCATGAGTGACACAAAACTGGAAGAAGAGCAATCCGCAGCCCCTAAATGCATGCCCAACTACGACACCAGTGACCCACTTCAGCAAGAAGTCACACACGTACTGAGAAGCTTCAAGAATGACATTCTCGGCATCACATTTTTAGGCAACGATGGCGTCTTGCGCTCACTGACTGCGGATCGCAAAGTACTCTCTGCAGAAGGCCTCAGTAAGCTTCCGAGGTTCCCACATACTAGAGACCATCGCTGATTCAGTCATACAGGGCCTGAGCTCATCGAAGCTTTTCTAAGTCGCTTCCCGGAAGAATACAAGGCGAAAATGACGGACCCCGTGTTCGCTGATGGCACTAAGACACCGAAGGAGATGTGGTACGAGCCAGACCCGGGGAGCCTGCCCGAGCCGTTGTCGCAGGAGGAGATCCAAAAGGTCAAGAACCAGCCTGAAGAGCGGAAAAGCATACTGCGAAAGCGGATGCAAGAAAACGAAAAGTGAGTCACAATAGCATGTTGTTGTTCGACTGCTAACAATAGGAAGCCTCTTGGATGTGACTGGCGTGCTTGCTTGATGGTTGCATTACGGGCAACTTGCAAGCTGCAATGCTGCAAAACGCCACACGGGACGAGCAAGCCCTTTCGTGATGAGATGAATCGAAAATTTTTATATCATTCCAGTGGCTCAAAGCATGAACTCGCGTTCCGAAGTGCGTGATGCGTGACATCATCCGCCCCGCATCCTAGCGCGAAGACACCCACATCTCATACCTCAACACTTCATGTCACTCTTCGCATATATGGCATGCGCGCTCACGCCGAACACATCTCTTGTTTGATACATTGACGTCGATTTTCCCTCAACCCTAAGATCAATCCCTACAACATCTACACATCATCGTAGACGACCACAGGGAAGTCTGACATGAACATGGTCATTAAAAGCTCGTTGGCGTCTACGTATATCTTCAAACTCTATTGAGATGTATCTAGGGTCTGTAGTAGCCATGAATACAACTCGTATCAAGGCACCTGCTAGGTAAAACCTCCCACAGTCTATCCACGGCCCGTTCTATCAACCTTCGACATTTACGTTACCCAGCAGTTATACCATCCTCACTTCTGTTTGGGAACGATTGATTCCGATGCCATCCCATTCTCCGGGAAGACCTACGATATCTAGCCACTCAGATACCATGTCGCCATCTTGGTATTCGAGGGGTCCGCTCATCCACGACGGAACATACTCCGGCTTCAGTCGCAGATCGATTACGTAGCAGAGATCTTTCGCTAGATTAGTTTCGTCTGTATGCGTGTCAATGACGATCTTCGTCACTGCTTCGTCGACGAAGTCTTGCCACTTCCTTTGCTCAGGGTTAGGCGTTTGGTTAAGCGTTGCTTCGATCAAGCCTTCTATGGCAGCGATACAGTTCCTGTCGTGATGGACCATGGTCACTTCCTCCTCGTTCGTACTGTTTGGCTGCTTCCTCTTGTTTATAAACGACGATACTATATTGAGGCGAAGGCTACGATTCAAAGCACACAGATGCAGAAGCTCGAGGAAATTATGACCACGCTGGCCCAGGTTACGACGGTCAGCAATGTCTAAAATAATGATCCTTGGTACCATAGGATGTCGCCAAAGCACTCTGACCCAACAGAAATATACGTTAAAGAAATGAAGCTCAATACTAGATGCTTTCATATATAGCATCAAGTACTCGGCTCGAATCATTTTGTTGACATGTGCAACACGTATGAGCTGCTTAGCTTGGCGAATAGCATCTTGATTAGGTCCTCGAAGCCTTAGCTGGGAACTTTGTTGATGTGACGTAGGTTTTCGTTTGAGAGCAGATGCGCGTAGACGTTGTTTCGAAGTTCTGGTCAAATAACATATTAGTATCTGTGTACAAAAAAATGCATGTGGAGAATCACCGACCTGAACTCAGACAGTTGAACGGAAAGAAGCTGTTCTTCTCCAGGAGTTGATCGGACGTAGACGAGATCGACATTTTGCTAACGCACTGTGGCTTTTGTACAATGATTCTCTGTTTACAGGAATGATGAATCTGGTCTGATTGCTATAGAATTCAAGACTGCAAGGTTGAGAATTTGGTGTGCCAGCCTTGGAAGTGGATGATTCGTAAGGGAGAGAGGTACAGATGATATACCCACACCACTGCATAGCGCATGTTTGCCGGCGCTGTACACGGACACAAGAAGTCTTACATGTATTAGAAGTGAAAGGTAAAGGAAGAGGGTGAATAGCTCCTACCCGCAGATAGTGACCTCCCTATGGTATTAAATCTCGTTCGTATCCGCCATGCGCGGCGCTTGTAGTAAAGTGAAGATAAACTATAGCATCCGTAGCCGGCAGTGTGCGTATTGCGAGAATATATCGCACACTAGGTACTGCGACTCAGGAGGGAGTTATCTTCCTGCTAGTTCAAGCCTGGTCTCCCATTTTATACTTCAAAGGTTTTCATGACTTTGCAGCAAACCAACTTTTGTTTGATGCTCCCTATGGCAAACATCATTCAGCAAAGGCACTGATGCTAAGCCGCATCGCAGCACAGTTCACCAAGCCTCATGCTTCCGTAAATAAAATCTTGGCAACGTTGATGCTGTGCCATCCACCGTCCTCCTGATTCGGGTATAGCGGTCCATAGCTGATATTCACTTCCGCATCTCAACCTCGGTGCTTCAACTGTCAGTAATCACTGTTAGGCGATGAACACCTTCACCAAAAGTCTTATTAATATTATGCACACCACTCGAGACAATTTGCAAGCGGTAAACAATGATGTTGGGGTTTGTGATTAGTGATCCACGATGATTAGAAAATGGTAGGATTGACAAAGCTTCAACACCGAGTACGATTTGTAAGGCGCGACTGATGCTACAGCTTAATTGAACAAAGGAGAACTTGGCAGATGTGGTCCTACAGGTAAAGGTACTGCGTACTTCATGTGAAATGAGTATATTCATTCGAGGATGTTGAACGAGGATTTGAAGCTACTCGAGCTTTACCTAGGTACGCACAGCAGACTCAGGTGTCTTCTTATTACCGAACTATCGCCAAGTCTGCACGGGGACATGTAAGCGCCAAAGAACGCATTGTTAAATGTGATCGATGATTACGTAGCAGCGAGCACTGACATTACGGAAGTGAGCCGCAATTCTACGGACAACATTGGCATCTATACGTTTTCTACACGTCTCGCAGCTTTTTCACGATGAATTAGGATATACAAATATGCAGATCGGAACAGGATAACATGAGGTTAGATTGCATCTATATCCCCGTCAATCTTCCTCCAAGACCTAAGCAGTGCTTCTAGCCCTACTGATCTTTTTTGAAAAACTCAAAGATCGGGTTGAACGTCTATGACAGAATATAAGTTATTCAAATTGCGGTGGATATTTGCTCTTGGCACGAATTGCGGGTCCGTATTTGAAGAAAAGGAACGGGATGGGTACCATTCCTAGTGAGAGGAAGCCGAGCAGAGACGTCGCCCAGCCAATACCGAGAGCATCATACACTAGAATGACAGTTAGCTTATGTGATCTCTTCCATTATTACGATCCTGCTATCGCCGCGCCTGGTGTGACTTACTTTGCACGGTGAAAAGTGGGAAGACCGCCCCAAGCATGTATCTGGCTATTCCATTGGCCGCTATAGCTGATGCGCCGTTCGTCGCACCATATACATCAGCAAGGTACAGCACAGAAGATGTCTAAGAAAAAGATCTGTTAGTGCAAACGTAATGCGGAATCGAGTTTTGGCACAACCTACAAAAACGCAAATATTTCCCCAGGCAAACGGTATAACTCCTATCACAGTGGGAACCCAGTTAACGCCCTGATCCGCACACCAACCGAACCAGAACAAGCCAATGACCATACCCCAGCTGCCAAACATTGCAGTATACAGGCGATGCTCAGGGTCGACGTGTGACTTGCCCCTCGCGATGGTCTCTCGATACTTTTTCTGGTAGATCATGCGATCGACGGCGATGGTGGTCACACATCCAAGAAAGACGCCGATCATGATAGGTATGAATGTGAGGCCAGACTGAGAGGGCGTAAAAGAGTAGGGCGGTCGTGTGAAGACGTAGGGAAAAGCTGCAAAGAATAGGAACAGTACCGCAAATGCGAAACCCGTGTAAAGTGAGAAGAAGAACACTACAGACTACGCAAGGTTAGCCGAAGATTGAAAGAAGGCAAACAGGAGTTGAAAGATACCTCTGTTGAGATCAAATGGAGGGGCCGAATGAACCTCATAAGTATCTCGCTTTTTAGATCGGGGGTTTCCTGCTTCGTTGCAATTCCGTGCTTCTTTGCTCGCTTTTTGAGAACGATTGGCTTGTAGGTTTCATCCATCGGTAGAGCGATGGCGTAGACGAATACTGCAAGGAAGAGCATGCACCATTGTGTCCACCTCCAAGTCTTGTACTGCGCCACGAACCCTCCAACAACAGGTCTGCCACTGATATTAGAACTGCAAAGTTGTTGGATTGTAGTTGTTGCTTACCCAATTGAGGGTCCAGCGAAGGGGGCCATCAAAAACAAGCTTGTAGTCAAGGCGCGCTTGTGTGGTGGATATAGATCTGCGTTTGTCCCAGCGCCAACAGCAAGCGCTGGACTACCCGATAAACCTGCGAAGAACCGACATACTATTAGGCTAGCATAACTTTTCGAGAAGCCTGCACCAAGTGTAAAGAGCATGAATATGGGAAAGAACAATAAGTAGACGGGTTTTCTGCCTTGTCTTTCGCTAAAGGGTGCGGTGAAGATTGGACCAAACGCAAGACCGAGCGTATAGAGTGTGACTCCGACGAGTGCAGCGGTGCGTGATACCTGGAAATCACGCATCACGTCTGCGATTGCGGGCGAATACACAGACGTGCCGAATGTGCTGAACCATTAGTCTTTCCCGGCGGTACAGAGTTGGCCTGAAACTTACACAGCAAATCCGAAGGCGGCCGGAACCGTTGTGTGGTAAGCTGCTTTCAATGTAGACCAATTGTACGGATCGTCGGGGTCGTCAGGACCAGACCAGTCCAAAGACTCGACAGGCAGGGCGGACGATTCATCTCTATTCGCCAGCCCCTCGCTGAGGCGCTGTTCTCTCGAAGGGTTCACAGTTTGGCATGGCAGCTGATGCTCAGAATCGGACTCTTCCTTCTTTTCGGCGATGCCACTCTCAGGGTCATGGTTGAATGTTGTATGTCCATCCTGCTGATGACAAGGATGCATGATGGGGAGTACGGTATGGTGGGTGAGGATGTTGACAGGATAACGGCTCGTTGGCACACCATATGATATGCATCAAGGCGCGAGCGCACGTCCTGTTGTTTACTATACATCGCTCCACACTTCTAACGCTACGGCCGCAATACCGAACGCCACAGATTGCTAGATCTGGCATTCTCAATTACTCACCCGCCGCAGGGGTATCATGAAAGAGAGGTTTCGACTGAGTTGAGTCGAATTGCGCGGCCTTGATTGGCTGATTTGAGCGACCCGAGGCTCGCTATTGTGTTTACTGATCATGCACTGCAGGACTGAAGCAGTGGCGTGCTCACAACAAGTCTCATCGTAAAGCATGCCAGGAAGGGCTAGCACCACGTGTACATATTTAAGCCCCATAACCTCGGGAGCAAGCTGATAAATGCGAATGTTCGTCGGGGTGATGAGTACTAAAGGGGAACATGGGAAACTAGAGGAGCGACATGTTGAGAAGCCACAATGACGTAATCAGTTTGCTTGGCAAGTGCTGCCCAGCATATTCAAAACTTCGGATTCAGTCACCGCATACTAAGCATACATTGGATGTGCTCATCACATCTACCTATTCCCCATCTAGATATCGTTACTTTGATTTCTTGAAACGATATCATTCAGTAACCGCGGCTTTGGGCAGAAGAACAACAGCTCTGGCCGTGGAAGGAGCCTGTAGCATGGTGCCTTCACGATGATGAGTGACTGCGATGGTCTATCTTGCTGACTTTTGCGTCGGCTGATCCTTGAAGACGAGAAGCAAAAGCAGGAAACCAAGCGGATCGGCAAAGGAGCTGCTCTGCGCAATGGCCGTGAACAACTTCGAGCGTATCACATGGCATATGCAGCCGTTCAGCTCTACTGACACCCGTCGCCATCTTTGTGTATTGTTCGACTGTCTATAACATTACAACTTAGTGGGCCGGCAGCGAATCCTGCACTGCCTAAATTATCGCACTCCGAGATGTTGGCATCGAATGATCGTATAGGGGCTATGGGCCGAAAGGTCGCCCGTGTGCGTACCCGACTTCGCTATCACTAAACATCCATCTTGCATCCCGCAATACAATAGTGACGATAAGGATCGCGCACAACTGTTGAGATGTCTGACTCAACAACGGAATTAAGAAAGATCTGCGAAAGTGAACGGAAAATTCGAAAATTCGCTTACATTGCACTACTACAGTCTCCCAGCAGAGCGAATCAGCTGTTAAGAAATACAAAGCTCGATAACGGCAAAAGAGCGACTAACTGTGTGCACGTGAGTTGATACCCATTGCTTCGTCGCTTGGTGCACCCGTCATCTTGTTATGCTCAGTGACCGACTCCCGATGCAACCTCGTTCTTTTGATACCAAAAGAGATTAGAAGACCCATGGTGCCTACTATCGAGTAGAGAATCCACATCCCTCTCAGCGCAATCATGAAAACATGGCGGACTACATCCCTTTGAATCCCAGTCACCGCAGTAATAGCGAAGCCTTGAGATACAGCTTCGCCCTCAGTGAGCCCAAGAGCGATGTCTTCCGCGATGCCGCTGTCAATGAATTGTCGGAAGTGTGGCGCCATGAGGAGTTGGAATACTACTTGGCCAATGACAACACCAATAGCACCCGAGATGGTGCGTACAAAGCCAAAAGCTGCAGTACCGGTCGCGATGTCGGATTCTTCGATGTTTGTTTGCAGGGCGATAAGCGGTGCACTAAAGTTAGGGCCAAAACCTATGCCAATAACGATCAGCGATGTAATGATCGTTCCAAGATTCGGAGAAGTGCCTAGCGAGATGAGGAGGCCGACACCGAGTGTCATAACAAGGAGCCCCGCTTGAAGCACTTCGAGGAAACGACCAGTCTTCTCTATGATATGACCCGACGTGAATGAAACTATCGCCAACGGTATCGCGATAGCGAGCATGTACACTCCTGTGATACCTAAGATGTTGGTGTGTGAAGTCAGTATATGCTTCACATGCAGTTCGTACAGGGACGTTACTGACTAGGGCTGCGACCAAGGACGATCTGGAAGTAAAGAGGTAGGAAGCAAGCTACCGAAGTAAAGACTAGGGTGTCGCATGCGCAGACAGCTAGCGCGCTTAGGTTGCTGACGTCTTTGAAGATGCGTAATGGCATGATGGGGCTTCTGCCACAATGATTCACCCACCATTGCGAGAAAGGAAAGGCGATGTACGCGATCGACCCAAACACCAAGCACGTAATGACCACCGGATCCGCATACGAGCTGACGCCACCTATTTGGAGACCAACAAGCAGCAGTATAGTAGCCGTAATGATCGTAACAGTACCGAGCCAATCCATGGCTGCTAGTCCCGCCATCAGAGGTATTCGTGGATTGTGAAGATGCAGCGTGAAGTATAGAATGACGATCGCTAGCGAGATGATTGGTATGTTGATGTAAAAGCACCACGTCCAATGAAGATGTTGTGCGAAGATGCCACCGAGTACTGGGCCAAGCGCGGATGCGAGAGCCCAGACAGCGCCAACGGTACCCATGTAAAAGGATCGATCCCGGATAGTGAACAAGTCACTGACGCATACATGGACTAGAACCACGACGCCACCACCACCCAGGCCTTGGACCACTCGACCAGAGATGAGCATGGGAGCATTCACACTGACGGCGCATAAAATACTCCCGCCAAGGAATATGGCATTGGCTGCTAGGATGACCGGCTTCCTACCGAAGATGTCTGAAAGCTTGCCCCAGAGAGGGACTGAGGAAGCATTCGCAAGAAGGTAGGAAGACCCAGTCCAGACATATAAGGAGTCAGGGATATGAAAAGACTGGGAAATTGTGGGTAGAGCTGTTTGCATGAGCACAGTGTCGAGTGCTACTAGGAAGATGGAAAGACTCAGTGCGATAAAAGCCGCTAATACATAGGGTGGAGGCTTGATCGGCTCTTTTGATGCTGTTCTGTCTCGTGTGATGCTCTTTGACCGTGAGTACAGGAATAGCATGGTCGTATCGTAGCTGCTTACGAGGTTGCGCTCTGACGAAGAGGCGATATCGTTTGCATTCGATATGCTTGGTGAGTCTAACTCATGAGCCGTGGCAATCATCGCACTTTCTTTTGGTTTGAAGGCCATAATAATAGATGTATATGCGATAATATGGGAAAATTATGGTAGAAGATGAACGAGGCAGTTGTTGCGCGATGATCAGCTGCAAGCAGCCCTGAACAACCCTGACGAAACGTGTGGGACCTCCAAACAAGATTTTGACGACTTATACTAGGTCTGCATTGCGACGATATCTATGCGACCATCAATAGAGTGGTCTTCCGCGGGATCAGTTGCAATACTAGGCCTACCTAGGCGTGCGGATAAACGGGTTGCATCCTTGATTTTGCATGTGTCTTGGGCCTTGATACATGGATACATGGTGCAAGCTCATGTGGTACTTGCAGGATGTCCTTGGCTAAACCATGCTCCTTGTGCGTAGGCCATTTGAGCGCCTTTGAGAGACCCTGACACTTTTAGGTAACCCTTAAACCCGTAACTTGAGTTTGTGTAGGGCAAGAAGTACATTCCGACCATGTATCCTTTGTTTCTCAGCTGCAGGTTTGACACTGCCTGGGTCGCGTCAAGCTCCGATCATGTTTTCTAACCTTCGGCGTCCGAAAGCCGCATTCTCATTTCTGATGACTTGATACCAGGATACTATAGCATTTAGTTAGACCCTTACAACACCACAGAGGTGATTGTGTGATAGTACTAGCAGTGTGATGCACTGCATCTCGCAAGCAAAATTGCAGACCAGTAACGCAAGTATTGAGTGGACGTTCTACCGGCATGAGCTTTCAGGCGCTAAAAACTGCGCCCTAACCGAATACATCGGAACCAGCCTGATAAGACAGGATCGACTTTTGTACGCTACAGTGATTGGCTGGCGGAGAAACGGAATGGGCTCGGCCTTACCAGTAATTTTCGGATATGTTTTATGAAGCAATCCTTCCTGTAAAGACCTGGTGTGAACGGAATGCGATCCATTGGGAAGCAGAGCGAGTCCAGGAGACCCCCTCTTGGATAGTAATCTTCATTTAGTGTCCACCGGATTGCGCATAACACGAGACGTGTATGTATTCATGTTCACGTGTTTGCGGCTCCCGAATGAGCCTCATGCGTGAAAGATACCGTAGAACATGCTGGCGCTTAAGCATAAACCCATATTGACCCAGCAAGCCGGTACGACCCTGGTAGGATACGAACGGTAACGCATGGGATGGGTTTGTTCAATAAGCGTTCCAATTCCGCCTCAAGTGCTCTAATCTACCTCAAGCTAGGAGGGAACTGCAACCAGCTTTGGGCGCAGCTTGATTCTATAGGATCGGTTGTGATCTGCAGCTAGGTGCTAAAACAGGCCCAGCCAGAGGTGAGAATACCAGGGAGACAGTAGTCTTAATCGTGGGTTTGATGGAATCGTACTAGTTTACCTAGAATACCATGAAGGTGAACGCAATACATAACTAGGATAGGCGAGGATCGAAGAAACGTGACGGGAAGAGTACCTACGTGACGTGTAGTCGTCGTACCGCTGTAGAGACGGCCGCTGCCGGTCTGCGAACCAGATATTGTATCCCAAGACATGTGAGTTGTCCATATTCTGACTGTCTGGTTTGCAGATATGTTGTTGGTGCAGAGGCACCTTCTTCGCTGGATGTCGTGCAGGGTGGATACAGTTCGGGAAGAACACGGGGTTTAACCGCTCGTGCAGCGTTACGGAAACCGGAGAGATAGCGCCGGTACCACAATGATCTGGTAAAGGAGATACTGAGAGCAAGCCTTCGAGAGACATCACCAGCACACCCTTAGCCGTGCTCTGGGATGTACGTCGTCTAGCCCATCTTGGCTCCGTCAAGAAATTTCATCGAAGCAAAACCCCTCACATCGCTCCGCAAGGAAATCCAGATGGAGCAGTCATTGGTTTGATGATACCAGCATTAGAAAGGTCGAAGTTGAGCGTTGGAGAATGCCGCGAAGCTATAGCAATCAGGGAAATAAACGATGCTGAAGTCGGACAGCACCGACCCGAACCCGCAATAGCTAGCGCCACCAAACCCCTCGGCAGGAACCATCACCAAATGTCGAGCACCTACTACCGCTTGTACGACCCACCAGCAACGCCTCGAAACTGCGCGTCGAACATCATGCCGTCAAACGTAGCGAAGTCAGTAACGTCGGGTTTCTCCAGGTCGTCGGCGCGACAACTGCCGTCGGCTGGCATTCGATTCCGCTACTGTCGGACAGAGACTCGTTTTCACGGTGGACCTGCAATTCGTTTCATTCCAACAAACTCTGTACTCATTTGGATTGTATAGACGGACCCCAAATCATATCACTCAGCAGCCGGTCCGAACAAGCTCATTGCTGCGTTAAGGGTTGTATTGCTTACCTGACTTCACGATTACTACGTCTTGGTAGATGCAGCGGCCGACACCGCGCATGGCCACTATACCGCATGCGTTGATCACAATCACGTGCTGCTTACCAACACCATGCGACTAGTATACGGCAACCTATCATTGCGTAGAGAGCTTGGTGAGTAATGCTATGAATCACTGCCGCATATCACCAGTACGCGGCGGCCGATGCATGAGGAAATTCATGGAAGTCGAAGGGTAGCCAGTCGCGCACTATGGTTACAAAGTATAGTACGATTCCATGACATTATATGGACGGCGCTATATAAGAACGGATGAACAGAGTTGGGTAGCAGATCATCGAGCTGGATTTGAACTCATCTAGCAGAAAGAACAATTCATAAGAAGCAGATTCAACCATGTCAAACCACATCGAGAACGTTCTCATCCTCGGAGCATCTGGCTCAGTTGGTGCACCCATCCTTGATGCACTCCTCGCCGAATCCTCCTTCCACGTCACCATTGTCAGCCGCGCAACCTCATCTGCCTCGTTCCCCTCCCACATTCCAGTCATCAAGATCTCGGACGCCTTCACGACAGAAGAGCTTACCGCAGCCTTCAAGGGCCAAGATGCAGTCGTAGTCGCTCTCTCCACTGGCCCTGCTACCTCGGGCGGGAAAGATGGTCTAGTGTTCCGACTGATCGATGCTGCGCTCGCAGCAGGCGTGAAACGCTTCATCCCTAGCGAGTTCGGCACGAATAACCTCGACCCCCGGGCTCGCGCATTCGCCCCTACCTACGATCGCAAGGGCGAGATGCTAGAATACCTGATAAAGACATGCAAGAACAGCCAGGGTAAGATGACGTGGAGCAGCATCTCTTGCGGGAGTTGGCTAGACTGGGCGCTCGATCCTTCAAAGTCTGGCAACTTTCTTGGCATCGATGTGAAAGGCAAGAAGGCGATAGTGTACGATTCTGGAACAAATCGCTTCGCCATCACGAGCAGCAAGAATACTGGACTGGCAGTTGCGAAGGCTCTGCTTAACCCAGCCATGACGGCGAATAAGCAGATATTCCTATCTGACCTGTCGGCTAGCACAAGGCAGATCGTGAGTGCACTGGAAACAGAGATGAAGGTTAAATTTCTCGTTGAAGAGAAGCAGAGTGGTCCGGAGATCAAGAAGCTTCGACAGCAATTGGACGCTGGAGATCTGAACGCCACGTATCCTTTGCTAGCTATCAGTTTTTGTGCTGATGTGCATATTGGGTGTTACTTTGAAGCTGAACAAGAAGTCTGGAACACCAAGCTGGGTCTGCCCAAGGTGACATTAGAAGAGATGGTTCGCGACGCTGTAGATCTTTCAGCTCGTTCTTAGAAAACAGGACGTGAGAGGAAACTTGAACAGTCGTGGCAAAGCTCTCGCCTTCGGGTATCTGCTCAGCGCGGCCCCTGAACGAGTTGAGCTAGTCATGCGAAAGTAACTGAAAGACATGAAATTTGAGTTCGTTTTAATGTAACAAGGTTGTCCCATGTCTCTCTTCAGCTGCTTCCCGTTTCGCTCCTATCCGATTCCCTAGATCGTCTTGACAGGCCCACCGGGCGGTGTATACCCTCTCTGTCCCGCCTGGACCTGCCAGAGCTGCACAAGCACACCCTCCTTATCATCTGGATCATACGCACCAGGTAGCCCAACACCTGCTGGCAAGGCCTTCGATCCACTTCCGCCTACGCTGATCTGGACACAGGCAGGATAAAACTGCGCCCCCATCCTCGTGCCCGCAACATGCAATCCCAGAATTTCATGTCTCAGCAGATACTCGCCTGACTTCAACCCAACGGGTATCGTAACAGTCCAGCTTGCGCCTTGCTTTGCCAAGAAATCCGAGCCCCAAGGAGGAGACTTGGTGGTGTCGTAACCCATTTGGTCGAATTTGACCCAGGGTGTTCCTGTATCGCCTTTGAAGGTCGAGCAGTTTGTGCCGCAGGAGGCGAGGTAGTTCATTACGGGCCCGGAGTGGGAGGATCCCCATTGGTCCCATTGAAGTTTGCTTGCTGGACGTCAGTATTGACATTGTGATGTTAATGGCTGACGTTAGGAAGGAAATCAAGAAGGGGCGAAATAACAAGGAAAGCATACACTTTGTCACCCGGCATCACAGGTACCACCCCCTTGGCAGGAAGGTTACCACCCACATTGCAAGTTATGTCTTTCGAAGTAAAGTCAGGGACCGGTCCATTGTCCTTGATGCGGCGAGCGTAGCGGACGGGTTCAGGAGTCACATAGTCGTCTTGGCCTACTTGCCAGGCTAGGTAGTTGGCGCCGCCGTTTACGGAGATGGATTTTAGGTAGCCGTGAGCGGATGCGGTGGTGAGGAGGCCGAGCAGGGTGAGGGCGGAGGTGAACATGGTGAAGTCGGTGAATTCTAGGCTGTCTGATTGCTCTGGCTCTGAATTTCCTGCTCCAGACAATGGTTTATATAACCTCAACACTACTTTCTATTTCCACCCAATGCAGAAGTGTGTGTGTTGTGCGAGAATGCTCGACCCGGATTGCGTAAATTGCACTGATGCTTGTTTTTAGATCGTATGCAGCCTCTTGGTGGATTATTCCATATTCATTCTAGAAGACGTGAGCGTGACTCGAGATAGATTAGATGGATATTGCTGCAAGGCGGAGTGTGGCTTCCGCATCCAAATTAGGCGGCGAGGCGGAACGTCGAACGACGTTCACATAGCATCACCAACGCGCCAAAGAGGGGCGAAAAGAAAAACAGTACAATCATAAACGTACAAAAGGGTTCAAGTATTGAGAGAAGATATACGACCTTTCGTGGTGTTGATCGTGACCGGAGCTATCGAAAAGATGACACCTACATTATATGCATGGACAGTATACGTCTCCAGATAGACTCATGTATCGTCCTGACCCCACAAATCCCCACCATACACCGTCTCGAGCTTTCGAAGCTAGTATCTAACACAGGACGTAGCAGCGAGTCATACCATCAGTGGAGGACTCATCACCGTCAGTGTTGACCCACTCCGTACGATTGCATGTTGCAACGTCCCAGTCCTTTTGTCATCATCCAATATCTCATCGCCGACAGTGACGCCAGAGTAACCGAAGACGAGCCACTCCTAGTGGCCACTAGGGGTCATGTTGATCCACTTGATGCTGAAGCAGTCCGTAGATGAGAATAGGTCTTGGATCTTACGAGCTTCGCCGGGTGGCTTGCCGTTGATCGGGTGTACGGTGGCAAGGCCGCGGAGCAGCTCGCCGTCGTCCCACCTGCGTGATGTTAACATGATCTTACTCCTAAACTGGAAACCGTAATATAGAAAGAGATCTTGCCGTCACATAATCGTGTTTAGGGTGGGTTACGTATGTAAGACTTTCGAATGCTTTGTTCTTGCCGTACTATAGACTGACCCAAACGGTAGATTCGCGGTCTTTCACTGATTGACGTTTCTTCTCAACAATACCGAGGAAAAATCACGTGCCATGAGAAGGTGAGTATTATTGGACAACGTCGGAGATTAGGTTGGCAATATCGGGAGATGCAGTTGGCAGCACAGCAGCGCCAGAAATGTTGCAGAGACTCAGCAGAAGCACCAGAGCGGTATTGAGGAGCTTCATAGTGAATGCTGCGTCCAGTCTTCGCTGCACGTGCGCTGTTGATTGAAGTCGCTGTGGGTTGAAAATGGCTTCAGGCTGTAGAATTTTGCAGAAAGGTGCAGCAGGAAGTATAAATGCGTAAGGCACGACTGGCTATGACGTGCTAAGAGAAGATACAAATGCAAAGAGCACCCCAGGGTGCATCAACGACGCAGACTTTTGGTACAAAATAACCGAAATAAATTCGATGCAACAAAAACTCGCTATCGTTCAATTAATAATACCAGATCGTAGCCCATTCGCTCCAAACGCCGATATTATGCGTAACACAAGCGGCTGGCTCTGGCAGAGCTGTTCATCATCATGAGAGAGGACATCCGTAGTCGACGATATATACATGAAGAGCGTCAAGCAGCGAGCAATGGTCGTCGTACATTTCGTGCTTCCTCGTCGAGCTCCTCTTCCGTCGGCGGTGTCAAGCGAATGCTTCGGAGCCAGCCGTACCACCGTCAGACATGTTTGAAGATGACCGGGCTTTTCGGCGGGGTATCCACACTGACTGAGTCTATTCTCTTCCTTGGTGTGCCGCTGGGCGAGCCCACATTGTCGTACTCGTACCAAACGCCCTTGACGCGTCTGTTCAGCTTGCGTGGTGGCGGGCTGATGCGAGTTGCGAGAGCATTGAATGAACTGGTGGAAAGTGACTGGTTGCTTGCTGTATCTGAAATAACATTTGAAGTAAACTGGGTAACGGAATCGCCGAGGTTCTCGATGGTGCGCATCATGCCCTGACACGTTTGTGAAAGCTCAATCTGGTTCTTGGACAGAGTCTGGAGTTGTGTTACAGTGGTCTTGAGGATGTCTTTGGTCTGCTCCTGGGATTTCCGCGTTTGTTCTTGAGATTTCCGAGTCTGTTCTTGCGCTAGCCTGCTCTGCTCGTGCGACTGGAATGATGTGTTGGACAGAGCGATGTAGTGTGACGCATTCTGATCGACAAGCGCCTGTAGCTTGATCTGGGATTCCGAGATGGCCTTGATCTGGATGCTGTTCGATTCGTTGATCTCTTGCATTGCTTGCAAGCCTGTCGACTGCGCAACTGACAGTGCGTGAACCTGCTCTGCATTGCTCTCTACTACGTGTGCTAGCCTAGTCAAGCTCTCTGCCAAGCTGTCAATAGCCGATGTGCTCGCCTTCTCTTCGACTGGCTGTGAGGGCGCAACAGCGGGGATACCATTGGCGTGCTGCAGAGGCAGGACTATGGGTGGGCATGTCGGGCTATCCTGGGATGTGTAGAACCATTTGTTACGGAGGTCGAAGAACTTTGGATCGTCCATTATGAGCTCCATGTCTTCGCTCCTAACAACGAAATATTGCGGGCTTGGCCGCAACGACGATGTGTAGTCATGCTGGACAAGGCTCCACCATTGTGAGCAGACGGCGGCCGAGGCGAAGGTAAGAATGTACGGAGGAGACGCAGGATAGTCGCTCTACAGCAGAAGTCAGTATGCCGTTGTTGCCCGATAATGGCACAAAGTGCAATTGGCATCGCTCACCCTCAGCGCATAGGCATAGAACAGATTGCCGCCTTCTTCCATCTCGACACTCTTGTCCAGGGCTGGTCGGCTCTGGCTTCGTTTGCGCGGCGAAAGTGATCCGGTTGCTGGTGGGGTGTCCGTGTTCATCATCAGTCCAGCGGCGAGCGAGATGCTGGGCTTCTTGCGCATATTCTGGGGCTTTCGTTCTGGTGACGTCTGCCTTCGACTGTGTATGCGCTTCTCCAGGTTCGAGCTGGACGACTCAAAGACGGCCTGCGACATGGAGGATTCCATGAGCGCGGCGAAATCAGGCATGCTCTGCGGTCGTGACATATCTAGATGGGACGGTGTATCAGGCTCAGAACAGTGGTGGCAGCAGAAGGTATCGTCGAAGTTATTGGCCAAGTGACACCTGAACGACATAAAGAGACATGGGCGGCACGATTGGTATCTTGAACGTCCAAGAACAAATAAAATCGCGAGTGACCGGGGAGGGGTTGGTGAGCTATGGTAGTGTACGAGGTTTGCGGCCGGCCATCATCCTTGTCGATGACCTCACAGTACCACGGCTTTGCTGGGATACGCGTGCGCCTATGGGTTCTCTACCAGCGGCAGACGGGAAGTCTAGATGTCAGTGGAGGTCAATTGTATCATCGAACACTAGCTCACCCTGCTCACAGGAAAAGCATTACAGCGAACGAGGGGTCGCAGCCTGCTTAACACGAAGCGACGCGCATGCTGTTGCTACCCATAAAACGGTACCTGTCTCATTAGCGAATGCAGGGGGTCGCGCATCAGGATAACGACTTCAGGGGGGGAAAAGGAACGTCTTCCGCCTGCAAATAGGTGGGTTTTGGCCCCATGGCGCCTGGAACGAGATAACCGGTGCGATAGGCGCGGGATGAATAGCGGCGCGGAGCTGCGAGCGAAGTTTGGCGCGGCAGTTGGTAGCGAGCATGACGTCGTGCACGTGCGGACTAGAACACATGGCGTCCTTGGAAAGACGTTATGCGCACGATTGTAATTATGCATTGACAGCATATGTCTCTTGCCCATGTCCGAAGCATTGTGGACATTCGTGAAAAAAGCGCATACAACATGCTGGGGCTTCTCGAAGTGTCCCGTAATGTGATTGGCTGCTATAAAAAGGTCTGTCAATATCTCTTTTCTGAAAACAAACTACATCAGCCTCCTAGTCTTGACCACCTCTTCGAGCATATGCCCCGAGATCAGTGGTCATGTTTGGTGGAGAAGAGACTAGGATCTATTCAATCGAAGTATTGATTCGTACTAGATCTTATTCAAAGCGTGACGAGCAGGACGCATCGCCAACCTATACTTCCCGACCATTATCATGTATGACACCTTGTAAATGTTACCAATCCCGAGCAAGTCAACCAACAATCCGGTCCAGATATCGGTTTAGCTGCCAAAGAAAATTTGCATGCGTTGCTCTCCGATTCAAAGCCACAAGTTCGAGAGATTGTCAACGTCATACCAGACAGCTCAAAGAAAAGTCGACAGCTCTGGATGACTAGCTAGTTAGGCATCCTGCTCAACACCAACCTTGACCTCGAAGTACTCCATGGCACCAAAACCGCGCTCGGCGAGCCAATCAATAGGCATCTTGGGGACGGCAGACTCAAACTTGGTCATCCATGGCTCAGCAGCATCCTGCTTGAAGATGATGTGAAGGTAGGGCTTGGTTACAGCAGACAAAGGAGGCTGGGCTCCAACAACCGCCATGGTGGAAACGGCGGCAGCGCCATGCGAAGCTGGCTTCCGGTGGATGCGGACCGAGGCAAGAGACCCGCTGCGAAGGATGGAGCGCCAGAGGTTATTCATGCCTGAGCAAGAGCGATTTTTGAGAACGCGACGGCCGAAGAGGCGGTAGCTGCAAGATGGTCAGTGGACGTGTTATATCAATGCTGAATGCAGGAGGACTCACAGATCCTTGGCTTCACCATCAGTCTCAGGAACGTAGTTGGCCTTGAGATAGCGCCCGAACCCAGCTTCGATCTTGAGGCTGTTGGCCCAGATGTCAAGAAGGGGAAAGACCTCGATTCCGTCTACAGCGCGCTCCAGATCGTTGACTTTGTCACTTACGGCGATCGTAAGGTTCCCAACGAACGGCGCATCGTTCTGGCGTGTTCCAGGGGGTTCAAGCTGGGAGACAACGTCAGTGGCGGTGGGGTAAAACGTCTGCAGGTAGTCTACGATCTCGGCGAGGTCCATGCCGATCTCTTGTGTCGCCATGTAAATCGGGCGGTACTCAATCCTGACCTGCTGGCAAACTTGGGTAAGACCCCAAAAAGGGCGATTGGTCTCGCGAAGTTCGGTCTTGACTTTGGACTTAGCTGAACGACCAGACTTGTTGCAGGCACTCAATATCTCTTCATCTTGCACTTGTCCTGCGAGGTCGGATGCCAGAGTACGCCCGCGATCTAGACGAGTCCGTGGACGCAAAGAGGCAATGCGCGGACGGTATACCAAAAGAGCCTGTTTGGGACGACCGTGGGTATGCATATAGACCTCGTTTCTGAGTTCTACTAGTAGTCAGCTTGTCTCACAGTCAATCGGAAACAAGACACTTACCACCAGGGAGATCCATGAATCGGAAAGGCCTCTGGCCACTGGTACCAACCTTCTCAATGAAACCAGCATCCACAAGCTTCGCCATGGTGTTATCTGATCTCTTCTTAACCTGCTTCTTGACGCCGGCACCTGTTTGTGCGTTTTCCTTGCCCTTGTTCTTGCGGTTGCGGGATGGCAAATCCCGTTTGGATGTAGTACCCATGGTGAGCGCCTCGAAGCCAGGGACGGGAACTCCAGGGGAGGGAGGGATAGTCGCATGGTCCGATCCCATCATAACGTTGGAGGTACCGCTGAAGGCATTCTGACGTTGACTGGATGTATAAAGGGTAGGTACGACAGGGGGATGACCGGATTTCATAGTGGAAGAGCGAGAAGGGGGTGGGGTGCTTGGGCGAGTGGGACTAGTCCTATTAGTGGAGCTTAACTTACTATAACCAAGAGATTTCATGCGAGAAAGCTCGGAGATTATGCGTGCGATGAGGTAGAACTTACGCCATTGCTTCCTTTCTCTCTGATCTGTTTCTCGTGCTTAATGAAGCTGCAAAAGCACAATGATATTAATAATCGATTTTGGACTTGCAGAGTGTTGCAGTAATGGATCGTAGAGATTGGAAAAGATTATATCCTTCCAGTAGGTAAAGGTGAGCGAGGACGGCGCCAACGAGGATATTGTAACGGTGACCGGTGATATTGTCCAAATCGAAGGTCACCTCAAGACCAGGCTCAAGGTAAGAGAGTAGGGGCGCTTGGTATCTGTCGTTGCAATGGTGCTTGGGGCTGGCATGATTGGCTGTAGATTGGAGAGTCGCGGAGAGGTCTAATCGTTAATCGCTATACAATAGCTGATGGCCGTGGAACAAGTCGCGTGGCATAGTCGCGTGTTCACGGGCGGAACTTTCCCATTGTACCCGCAGCTTTGTAAGTGTCGACCACAGCCATTGCGACCGACCACCAATCAAGGGAATGTCCAAAATCAATAGGAAGGAGAGTTCTGCGCTTTGGTCAACGCGAATTTTATTCAATACGTATTCAAGAACAATGACCGTTCTGCCACCGGGCTTGCAAAGTGTCACATATGCGCTCGAACCCAAGACCTGCTGCTGTCAAATGATGAGAAATACATCCTTCTTGAGGTGCACTCCGACGAAGGAGCGTGCATTTGCTGAGTTGTAGCTCCGACTGCTGACGCAGAAGCGCAGCCTGGAGACACCTGAAATGTTTTGCGGTATGCAAGTGATAGGATCTTATGCCTCAGAATTTCAAGGTCGGGACTCGGAAGAGAGATATGTAGGGTAAGAGGGAAAGAAGTGGTATCCTTCTGGCTGCGACCAGTCGACTTTCACCATACCCTCAATAGTGTCCAATAGCGCTTCCACCTTCGCAGTGTTTGACCACGAGGTACTCTCTAAAACCAGGAGTAAATCCCCAAGACTCCCACATGCGGTCGAAGAACTCCGCCATCTTTTCCTTGTCCTCGCCAGTACGAAACTCGATGATACCCTGGGGAGTATGACCAGACGCGAAAGACACGTGGAGGCCGTGAAAAGGCAAGGCCCAGAAGTATAGTCTGAGAGCAGTGATCTCGCCGTTTGCTACCTTGCTCTTCCAAGCGGCGTTGCCATTGTCCAGCAATTCGTTCAACGCTGCGACACAACCTTCCAAATACTCATTTTGGTAGATGCTACCGACAGCGTCAAATGATGGGTTGTTGTCGCGCTGATCTATATGCGCTTCGAACCTGCACCCGAAGGCAGGGTGTGCGATTTTGGCCTTCATGAGAGGTAAGAGATCCTGTGACTTCGTAGCCCAGTTTCGCTCCGAGATGCAGATGTGTTTGAAAGGATGAGCGCGGTCTTTATCTGTCACCAGGAAGGTGTTGAGAAAGTCGGTGATGTCACTACAGCACACTGTGACTCGACTCACGCTGCGCTGTATCGGTCGGTATTCGCTTCGTACTTGTCGGGAGACGCTCGTGAGCCCCGTAAAGATTCCAGATACTCCATCGGCCTTGCGAACTCGCACTTGTCTTTCGTCGTGAACGACGAGAAAATGATAGACACGGTTGCGCAGTTCTGCCTTTGTCAGTTGATACACCAAAGTCGGCGTAATTGCCACCTTTGCGCTTACCGGCTGCGAGCTCAAGGAATGGAAACACCATTTTGTGACTGTACGGTCTGATAACGAGCGCGACGCCGAGAGGGTTCGGCGGGAAGTTGTTACTCGTCTCAATTCGTCAGGCTACCTATGTGTAGCACGTGCAAGAGATAAGTTGGAAATTGGAGGTCTTGAAAACCTTGAGCTCTCCGTTTGCAGAAGAGCCGTAATATCCCAAACACCGAAACCCACCTCAATGATATACATGATGACCTACGTTGAGACCCTAATGGAAAAGTAACAGTGTACACCATTGGTGCATATTTCTTATCAACTGGTACAGTATGGAAAAATACGCTTCATCATATCTCTTGCAAGCTCATTAAATTTGGTTCTTACCATTAGAGACCGTGATATTCTTAAATAGTCGGAGGTATACAGTTGGTAACGGACGACACATGATGCACCTTCGGTATCGTGGCTGGCGGATGCAAATAATTGGTCGCAGCTGTAGCGTCGACTCTACTGAACATACCTGATGGGATACAAGTGTTGAGGAGGAGTCTTATAGGGGGCGGATAGATCATTATCACAATTTCCTGCCGTGAAGGAACAAGGCAGTCGTCAGCGGACACCCAACGTTGGATACAGCGCGGATTCAGAGGGAAGGTAAGCCGGCCAAAACGGGCACCAACCAAATACGGGAATCATCCCGCCGACTCCGGACGACAGTCTTCCAGATTGCCCCGCAACACCACCCCGTGACGCAATACCATCCAATGTGTCCCTTGGCGGGGTAAAAGATGCTCCGCACAAACTTTCGGAGTATGAGCCTCACTCGGCAAACCTGCCGTGGCTTAATCTCACGTGTCTAGATACATAAGCCCTTGACCTCCGACTCCGACTTCTTAGATATACAATTGTACTACCACTTCCCTTAATTCAAAGTTCTCATACCAATATCTCGTGCTTCTGCAGCAAATCTTTCCCGTCGAAACCGCAAAGATGTCAATGTCAATTGAAGAATGCCAGGCGCCTCGCGCCGGGTTTCCCAAGCCCGTCCCCAACACGCCCACAAACGTCATGCAGCAATTCAGCATGGCAGGGAAAACAATCGTCGTAACCGGAGCCGCTGAAGGAATCGGCGGCGCTGTAGCCGACGCCATGGCCGAAGCAGGCGGCAACGTAGCCCTCTGGTACAACTCCAACAGCGCAGCCATCACACGCGCAGAAACCCTCGCAAAAGAGCACAACGTAAAAACAAAAGCTTACAGCGTAAACCAAATCGACGCCGCCGCCGTGCAAAAAGCCGTTCAGCAGGTCGTCGAGGATTTCGGCCGTATCGATGTTTTCGTCGCCAACGCTGGTACGGGAGACAGCAAACCACTGCTTGACCAGACACTAGAAAGCTACCACAACCTCATGAAGGTCAACGTCGACGGCCCTGTTTTCTGCGCAAAATACGCAGGAGAAGTGTTCAAGAAGCAAGGATTCGGCAACCTAATCCTTACAAGTTCGATATCAGCGCATATCGTCAATGTGCCTGTTGACCAACCAATCTACAACGGTACAAAGGCTTTCGTATCACATTTGGGCAAGTCGCTGGCGAGGGAATGGAGGGAGTTTGCTAGGGTTAACATTGTGAGCCCGGGTTTCTTTGACACAAAGATGGGTGCTGGACCACAAGTCATCAACGAGGGACTGAGGATGATTCCGTTGGGACGACAGGGAAATGTCAAGGAGATTAAGGGTTTGTTCTTGTACTTGGGTAGTGACGCATCGAGCTACATGACTGGTAGCGATTGTATTATTGATGGTGGATATGTACTGCCATAAGAGCAGGTGATGGACGGAAAAGAATTGAATTGATACCAACAACCGCCCTTTATGCGAGACGGAAAGATATAAAAGACTTGTACTTCAGCAAACTCATGTATAGCCGTGCAGTGTCCTACTGAGAATTCTGATATGAAGAAGAAAAGAAGAATCTATGATTAAAAAGGTATGTGTTCGCTAAATGCAGATGAAAAGCCTCAAACACCTGTCAAGCCACTACTGGTCTTTACTCCTCTCTCTGTCCAAGCTCTCCCTCTCTGTCGTTTCCCCGCTCCCGGCCTCAACGCCTCCACTGCCTTTACTCTCCTCATCCCTCCTCTTGTCTTGCGCAATGTCTGGTGCAGGGGCAAAGGTGCTCCGGCCTCTGATCTTCTTACCATATAGATAGAAGACCACAGGCATCGGCACGAGTACAGCCGCCACACAACCAAGCAGCGTGCTGGCCCATTGGATACCCATGCCGTTGAACATGAATGTTGCGAACAGTGGGAAGACGCCACCAAAGATGGAGCGCATGAAGGTGTTTGCTGCGATGGCGGAGGCGGCAAACATGAGGTAGGCGTCGACGATGTAGTTGAGAAGTGAGAGGAAAATAGAGAAGATTCCGAAGCCGGTCAAGAGACCACTTAGGACAGGGACGATCCAATGGATTTGGCCGGTGTAGCCAGTCCAACCGAACCAGAAGAGACCGCCTGCGAAGAGCACACCACCGACCATGCTGATGGGCAGTCGCCACTCTGGGACAGGAATGTTGTTGTTGGCTTCGAGCTTTCGCACATATCGTGGGTTGTCGAGTACGATGATGATGAAAGCAATGACTTCGCCAGCAACCATGCCGAAGTAAGCAAGTCCGCCAATACCGGCACTCCAGCCATAGACTCCTTGGAAGACAAGTGCATACGCGGTAAGGAAGAGATAGAGTAAACCGTCTGGTATTGTTAGCCCAGGTTCTTGGAACAAATCAACAAAGAGATCAAACTTACAAATGAAGCTCATGTAGATAGTGATGAGTAACACAATAGGCTCAGTAAAGAGGATGCGCATGGGTCTGCTGACGTTCTTAACGATCAACTCCTTGAAGTCGACCTCGATTTCTTCCTGCTTCGCGTGTATGCCCCAGTTCTTGGTTCGTCTCCTCAACTCGCTCGCCTTGTTGATCAGCACCACAGGTGGGTACGTCTCTTCCATGAAGAAGAAGAGCAACGCAAATGATACGAAGCCCATGAAACTGCTAATGTATTCGGTCCACCGCCATCCTAAGTCACTCTGCGTGATGAAGCCTCCAATGAAGGGTGCTAGTAGAGGTCCCATGAAGACGGTCGCGGAGAAGACAGCGACAGCAAGACCACGAAGTCGATTATCAAACATGTCGGCAAAGACAGCGGCGACAATAGCGAGTGGAGAAGAGCCAAAGAGACCGGCGAAGAAGCGACATATGAGAATGGTCTGGAGATCTTTGCCTACGGCTACGGCAATACTGAAGATGGCAAAGCCGAATGCGGCGATGATGAGTGGAGGTTTTCGGCCGTATAACTCGGAGAAGGGCGCCCACATCTAAAATCTGTTAGCATATCCCACCCCGTTTCTGTGGTTGGTGTTGACTCACCAAAGGTCCAAAAGCATATCCGAAGACGAACAGACTGGTTCCTAGAGTACCCACAACATTGGCCACGCCGAATTGTTGTGACACTGCTCCGGTAGCAGCCGAGAATATACTGCTGCCCATGGTCGCTGTCAGGGCGTCGAAGGCTAGGATAGCACCAATACCAATCTTCTTCTTCATGGGCCAGTTCTGGGCATGTAGTGGGTCATCCTTGCCATCAAACTCGACGACATATTCTTCCCTATCCGGCAGTAGCGGAGGGAAAGGTTTCCCAGCTCCCATGTTTGGCAATGGCTTCTCAGTACGACGGCGAGTGAGCGTCCTCGACAGACGCGAATCGACTTGCGATGCACCGACTGTGCCCGCATGTTGGCTCCTGTGTGTCTCGATACGGCGGATGGCTTCGGGGTCGCGTTCGGTAGGGTGCAATGTCAGGTAGTTGCCGCTCGACGCTTGCGAATTGACGGTCGGTCGGCGGTCGCGTGGGGTTGAGCGAGCGGTGCGGATTTCTTCGAGGCGCGCGCTGTGTGTGGACGCGGAGCTTGCTGAGCTTGCCGTCGAAGCCGAAGATGTGCTGTGTCGTGAGAGAGGCGAGGCGACCTCCTCTTCTTTCTCTCTGATGGGCGATGCTACTGCTTCCTGAGGGAATGATCTCTCACTCGTGGTGCGCTCCCCTCGCTCGTGTGCCTCGATGTTTCGTAACCGCTCATCGGGCGTCTGATCGTGCAAATGTCGTTGGTGGTAGTCCTCGCGAAACTGGCCGTGCGGGTCCCAATTCGCGAAGCGCTCGGGGCTCGCATTCGCCTCATTGCGCAGGATGTCGTAGTCTTCCTTCTGCATGATGACCGCTTTCTCGGGGTTCTTCCTTTCTCAAACAACGTGACCAGCGCTTCGATGGCGCTTGAAAGCAATGGAAAATCCCAACGCTCGGCAGTCGGAACGAAGTTCGTGAATCTTCGAGCCTGACGTCGAGGCCGTTGTGGATCGCGTGGATCTAATGCGCGTCGGTGCGACTAGTCGTGACCGTGTTTTCGGGAGTTGAATGCGGATGCTGTCAACGGCGACGAACAAGCTTCAGGCGCCTCTGGGGAAACCGCCTCGCCATGTATTTGGCGTGCGTGGCCATGAGCCAAATATGTGCTGGCCTACCCATGTCCTCGTATCCGTCCCATGCGACATGGCGAGAATATCTGAGATATTGCCGACACCAGCGTCCTCTTACGGCGTTTGCGGCCTGAGTAAGCCACGCCTAGCCGGGCGTACCAAGGCGGTCAGTGCGGTTGGCAGTCTTGATTGGTCAGAGCCGCTGCTTAGAAAGAAGAGGCTTGCCGGCGGAGATAGAAGCTCGCCTACGTCATGGGCAGAATCTGCTGTGGCAGCCATCGTGCAGACCAACATCGTCACCGTGCATGCGTAGCGGCACAATGCAAGTGGGGCACCTTGTGGACTCTAATTGACAAGTCATCTCAATAGGGGGAAATACAAACAATTGATGCCCATTCTCCCACTTGAGCCCAGCAAGCTGCAATCTTACACATGATAGAACCTTCAAGCGTACTTCGAAACTACCTCCCTCTCAAACGTCTTGCCTAGATGCGCGTGTTGCAGCTCGCCAGCCGGCCAGAGCTGCGTTGCGAACATCCCACAAGTGCCACCTCTGCGATCAATCCACCATTTGAGATTTGGTGCACCGCCCCATCGCAACGTGCCAGCCTTCAATCCGCCATCAGCATCATCTTCCATTGCAACTAATCCACCCAGAGCTTGTGACCACTTTCGAGCGCCACGAGTACCTATCGGGGCGTCGCCAGGAATCATAATGGCAGCGTAGAGCGGCACAGACAAGGTCTGATCGAGCAACTCTTGCGCGGCGTCCGTGATACATGGCTTAAACAGGAGATCGATACTCTCCGTCTTCAGAAGTTTGCCATCATCCCGGAGAAGTGACTTTAACAGCCGGAGATAGTCTTCCGCAGTGCTGAACAAACCTCCGCCTCCGTATTCGTCTTGAGGATCCAGTGGCTGCACCAGCGGGGCGTCCGATGCCTCACCAGAGACGAGAGCTGCATCAGATCCAGGGCGAGTCGTCATTGGCATCAGCTCCTGCTCGATATTGTTATGCTTGACATAGAAGGAGGTCTTGTCCATCCCCAAGACGTCGAAGATGTGGCGGCGCATGTATGCTTCCAGTGTGCAATTGTTAGCCCTCGCAATCATCAAGCCCACAAGATCCAACCCGCCACCATATGCGAAGCCGGAGCCGGGCTCGAAGAGGAGAGGTGTCGTAAAGCACTGCGTGATGGGTACCCGCATGGATAACATTTCTTCTTTGCGATATTGTCTCCATCTCATCAAGTCAGGCGCGAGAAAATCGTAGCCGATTCCACTCGTGTGCGTCAGCAATCTTCTCAAAGTGATGCTTTCTTTTGCGTGTTGCAAGACGGGCTCATCGTCCGTCCAGCCAGTCAGAACCACGGGCTTCTTCCATTCAGGCAATAGACGATCGGTATCAGCAGGCTCGCCTAGGGAGAACAGACCGCGTTCAACGCACTGCAAGGCTGCGACAGCCGTAACTAGCTTCGTGCAGGAGGCAAGCCATACGGTAGTCTTGGTCGATACTGGCGGCGATGTGGGGTCCAGATGCAATGAGCCGTATGCAGCAAGAAAGTCTTCAGGGTCTGTTGTATCAACTGTGAATTACGTTAGCCGCGAACGGTGGGCCATGTAACAGAAACACAAATGACAGGCGAGGTTGCCGACGGTGCGAACGGCTGGAAGCAGCCGATGGCTAGGTCGCATTTTCCCAGTCCATCTCAACGTGCCGCTGTCAAACGCACGCTAAACTCAACGGCCCTGGAAGGTGTTTTGGCAAAAGCAAACATGCAAAACTAGACCATACCTTTTTGGAGGGCTCTTGCAGCACCGAGAGCCACACCTGGCAAAAGGCGTTCAGGGCCGGATGCAACTGCCGACGCAAAAGCGTCATCGAAAGAAGTTGAGGTTGACATCTTGACTGCACAGAGTATAGGTGGTGTGTAAAGTACTGGTTGTAAGTATCATCTCCAGAAACCGTTCCTTTATATCCGTGCATCTGAACCGAGTTCCTCACCCTTGATGCCTTCTGTGACTCACAGGAGGGCGTCTCCCCCCTCGAATATGCGAGAGAAGGGCGCCGTAGGAACGAGCACGATCGGGGTGGTTATCTTGAGGCTTCCATCGCTTGGATACTGATATTGCACCTTACCGTTTCGAGTACTAGCGCAAGGCTGGAGTCATCGAATCCCCCTGATTACACGCGGATATCGTGTTCATAAGGGCAACATCTCTTTCTTCAGCGCCCCTCATGCAGGTCTATTGTTGTACCTGTGTAGCCGCGGGAACAAATACTTCAGGAATTGCATCACCTATCGCTCAAATCATCCTACCCTACTCCGGTATGCAGGCCGCTGTTGCAGTTCTCGCGTCCGCTTTCTCGCTCCAGACTCCATACGCCCCCACTTTCCGGACCCGGTCCCACCACACGCCAAGCCTCGATGCACACGAGCCAGGGGTGCGAACGCTTCCTCGTCGTCTCACCGGTACCTGACAGCTCCAGATCTACCCGTCTTTACTTTTTTGCTTCAACTCTGTTACCTTCTCCTGCAAATTTGGGAGTCTATATGCTTGTCACCCGCTTGTGAACCTATCATTGCGCATGGGTGATGACGGCATGCTGCGCTCCCCGTCATCTCCGCATTTGACCTTTGGACCGGTTGATCTTGTTTTGGTTTAAAGTCGTAGTTCCACCTAGCCTTCCCAATTCGTAAGTGACTGCATACACTTGCCACCGTATGCAAACCTGTCACATCTAGGTCCTCGACACCACGTCAAACTGCGGACCCGTTTCGCCCACATAGCTACGGAATTTTCAAGTCCGATAACCGACACGATCACGTACGATGATATCGATCCAAAGGCGCCACTTCGGATAGATTCTTGACAGGGACCACCGTGGCGGGAGCGCCCGACTTCCGCACATTCATATTGGCTCAAAACCTGTTGGTTACGCTTGTTTTACGATCCGTATGCGAGGCAATCCAATTTCAGATTCGCGTTTCGTCAACGTCCTAATATGTTTTCGTCGTCAAGCAGGGAAGAGCACCCATGATCCAATGGAGCCGTTCCGACATCGTCGCAACATTCCTTACTCTTCCTAGGACCCATAATATACGCGCAAGGAACGGAAGTCGACAGTAAGTTTCTGGCAGATACCCATACAGAAAGGACACCGGGCACGAGAGATCAAGTCTCAGTGCTGCAGTCACTCCACTTGGCCTTTCAATTCAGGCCACCGATCAGTGATGACCAGAGTAAGACACGGTCCCTAGAGTTCGTGCTGTGAATCTTGGCGAAGAACTGTATACACACCGATCAGCATCTTGGACATTATCACCAGCCATGTGAACTATTGCATACGGGGTATGTCCCATTTCCGCGTCAAGGCTCGTATATGCGAGTGGGCACATAGCCGGAAAAGCTCTCGACTGCCGTTATGCGCTCGTTCAACGGCCACGATTCCCAAAGCCTGTATTGGTCGATTGCATCTTTTGTTTTTGTGGTTGACCCACTCCCATCAAGCCCTGGCTGATTTGTTACGCCTCCCCACGCCCCTACTCCATTTAACATGTCCGATGCTTGAAAAGCCACCATACACATATGGTAGGCATCCCTTCAATCGAAAAGCCGTTGCTGAACTATCTCATACTCTGGAATCATTCCGCGGAAGACACAACTTTCTTATTCGTCAACGCAATGCCCGGTGGCATACATCCTCCTCTCGATGTCAAGCTTAGTTGGCCGAAGCCAAGCTATGTTGATCCAGTACTTCGACCAAACACCATCGTGCTGCTGGCTTGCATTATGGGACCAATCACTGTAGTGATGACTCTTGTAAGAATGTGGGTTAGAGTTTTCCATCAACGGTGTGCCGGTTGGGATGACTGGCTCATGCTCGCTGCTCTTGTAAGTCGCTCACGAAGCCTCATCATGGCAGTGCTGATTGTCATAGATTCCAACTATCGCGTTGACAGTCCTCTATCCTCTGGGTAATGCTCCAAGTCTTTCCGTAACGAACTAGCTGATGCCTTTTTAGCAAGCCTCCAAGCCTTCGACCGACACGTTTGGGACCTGAACTACCTTTTCGAGCCTGAAATCATCGTTATCGCCCGAAAGTACGTACTGGCAACCGAGTGCATATTCTGTGTTGCAACCGGTCTCATCAAAGTCTCCATTCTGCTCTTTTACCGACGTCTGTCATCGCGGGCCATTTCAAGAACATTCATCTGGGTGACATGGGCTAGTATCATTTTTATCATCGCCTACAGCATTGCCTTGACTCTGGCCCCGATTTTTGGCTGCCAACCAATCTCAGCATTTTGGGATCAAGTAAACATCATCAAGGTACTGCAGGGGTATGAGTATCACTGCTTCGATGAAGGCGCCGATGTCTTAGCTGCCAGCATCATATCAGCGGCACAAGACCTCTTAACCGCCATCCTTCCTACCTTCCTCTACTGGAACCTCCAGATCCCTCTTCGACAAAAACTAGCATTATTTGGTATCTTTGCTATGGGCTATGGCGTAGTCGCGCTGGGATGCGTACGAGCCTACTACAGCTGGTACACATTTTATGGTACCTACGATGTCACATGGTCGACGTGGGACCTCTTTCTCACCTGCATGCTCGAGCTGCACATTGGATGCCTCTGCGCAAATGCACCCGCCATGAAGGTCTTCTTCAAGCATTTCTTCCATGAAAAGTTTACTCAGCGGTCAAGAACTCGAACCCCAGCAGGTTCTGACGATCGTCATGATAGCGCGCAAACCAAGTCGAAGAACTCGTGGAGGAGGTTCGCACCGAACCTTGCAAGTGGAAGCTGGGCGCACAGCTCCAAAGGGTATCACGACTCTCACACTGGTGTATCAGTCGACCCACATGGCGGAGTGCATGTTCACAAGGAGATACAGGTCACACGTTCGCCAGTGAGTACAGCGTTTCCGACTCCCAGCTTCCGGCCATCATCAACGATCACAACCGACATGATCTGCGACCGCGATTATGAGGATATTGAACTCGGTCGCTACACCACGGCGCACAACTCCCGTACATCCAGCATGCGATCTACCAAGCGCTTCGAAGGACACGACTTGGAGGCGCTTCCCCCATTACCCATGTCGCCTGCGTCACCGAGATCCCCAGCTAGCTCCGCCTCTCTCGTATCACACCCGCACACGCCTACGGAGCAGAAGCTACCCTTGACACCCTTGCCAGCAATTGTGACAAGTGAAGAGATGAAGAAGGAGAGGAGTGGAACGCCCATGCCATCACTGAGCGAGCATCAATCGCCCTATCCGCCACGAGGCTCAAGTCAGAAGAACCCAACCTGGCAGTCGTGGTCATGAAGCGTACCACGCATGCTGATGTTTAGACCCTACACCATCCAAGATACCCATATCGACCTACATTTATAGATTGTAGAAGCTGTCGCGTTGATCGCGCAAGATGCTTGTGTCTTTTTCTCTGTCTGTAGTGTCGCTGTAATGTCCATTTTATGATACCATGCACTCTATCTCGTTCACCGATCAAAGCGCAGTGTGGATGAAATGAAATGCGCGCTTTTTGCCATTTCGTACGCATATCTCTGGTTCCCCTTTCGACTTGTGGATTTGGTCATCACACGAGGCCCAATTTTACTTATGTCCAGGAGTGAAGTCGCGGGTCAAACTCCGATGCTGAGAGTTTACCCGAAGCGCTGGAACCTCGGCGTACTTCCGGACATACAATTCAACTTAGCATTCTATACCACCTTGTTCATATTTAAGTTCATCACCTGTTTCAAAGAAAGTAGGCACCTGGGCAGGATGTGTCACTACAATAGACATTTTAGACCGGTCATGGATCAACCCAAAGAAGAAGGTGCGTTCTGTCGGAATCAAGAAAAAAAACTATTCCGATTTCGACAAGGCGGCAGCGGCGAATGCACGCCCACACGCCCTAAACTTCCACGCCAGACAACTTCATCAGCCGCGCCTTACAGTATGACTCGATGGCGTTCGTTAAGATTAAAAAGCTTTATTCTTCAAAGCTCATCTTCCTTTGTCGGCAGAGCTTGTCCCAATAACCCAATTTTGCAGCATGACGACACCAAAGCTATCTCGACCAACTCTTTTTACGCTAGCGGAATTGAAGGCCAACCCAGCATTATCAAAATCCGTCACGCAACTCGTCAACGATGCGTTCTACCGGTCGAAGGAAGTCGACCCAACGAAATGGGATAACACCACGTTACGCTTCCCGAACGAGGAGGCACTACACGTCATGCTCGGTGACCAAGGCAGCGTTATTGCATTGATCTTTGACGAAGCAGTGGGCGCGCAGGACGAAGAGAAGTTCAACGAGAAAGAAAGCAAAAAGCTTGTAGCATGCGTCGCCGCAGTACCCTGGAAAGGCGGATGGGCAAAAGAAGGCAGCGGAACAGAAGACGGGTGGGAAATGAAAATCGTCAGTGTGGACGGCGATCCAACATATCACCACCGCGGTCTCGCTGTCCAGCTGCTCAACTTCGTCGAAACATATCTTGTCGCGAAAGAGAGGGCTCAACTTCGAAGAGCGGGAGAACAGGGTGAAGGCGTGTTGACGCTGTGGATCCTGGCGGCAGAGTGCCAAAATGGCGTGTATTGGCGGAGAAGAGGGTATCAAGAGGTGCGCAAGAAGATGGAAGGACCGGGTGTTTGGAGTTGCAGGACGAGTTTCGAGATGGTGGTTTTGCGGAAGGATGTTACTTTTGATATTGGTACTTAGTCGATCGTCAGGCAGCAAGAGAAAAGGGAATAGGGCCGAATGGATCATGATGTGGTGTCTAATGTGTTACCCAGTATGAGACAGTAGCTCATTTTTCGCCCTACTTTTGAGGTTTTGTAGCCATGCTCATGTGGAATGAGAGTATCGTTGTTGCAAACAGCTCTTGTAAGCCCACCTTTCGAAGATCCGGCAAGTAACAGCGCCGGGCTCTGATGCCCGCGTCTTTATCTATATTCGGCTGCTTCCTGAACACCAGCTCAATCTGCAAGACTGTCCAATCATACCATGGGTGCAACAAGACCTCGTTCGGCCTCTCTTCCAAGTACTTCGCCCAGGGTTCGTTATTGGAGGCCACGAATCGGGCAAGATTTTGCAGAACCGTGTTTAGATACTGGTCGAGATGTCTACCCCAGTTGTTCTATTTTGTTTTCGTGGTATTCCAGTCGGCCTTAGAGCCTAGTACGAAGTGACAGGGAAAGTCTTACCGAAAAAGCTGTAGATTCAGCAACGGTAGAACATTGGGTGACGGGTGCAGTGATTCAGGAGCACGGTGTGTGTCGAGAATGAATCGTAGAGACATTGGACTCTGTGCAGCAGCCTCGTCGGCCTTGTTGTGGTACTCCCTAGCATATGACGTACTGTTCGAGGTCGGAGGCGCATTGCAGACGTCCTCGACGATAATACGGCGATCGACTCTGGAGCCCGCACGGAGAGCAGCTTTCCTTTCCTGAATGTAGCACACACTGTGTGCAGAAAGTACTTGACATCCAGCCAATCCAGATCAACTTCGAACTTGGTGAGAAGTTGCGAGAGGAACTCCTTGCACCATTCCTTGCACACTTGCGCGAGTGAGAAGGCTGAAGCGCAGGTAGGACTTGCGATGAGTGAGCGTGGCTTTACTGGAAAGGGGCATCGTGCGAAACGCCAAACACGACTTTCACCCTCGGCGTTTGGGAGTTCATAGACTGCGTTGAGAAGCTCTACGACAATTTTGGTCTTCGTGCCACAGAATTTGTGACCTATCGAACTCACCTGCTGGTAGTTCGAGGAAGCGGAAGGGCTCGGGAAGCGAATGCGGTTTTCACATGTTGAGTAATGTGAGGGGCTATGCTTGTTCTTCCAAAATGTGAGGGTTTCATGTTCATTTGTAGAAGGTAGGAGTGGGGTTGACTCGAGAGGCGACGTGTTTGCAAGGGCTCATCAGCGTGGTGGTCTGCGACGACTGAAAGTAAACAGGGCGACGCGACGCGTAGGGGGCAAGTCTGAACAGGTATACTGGAATTTGGATAATCAGGATATCTATTAAAGTACTAGGTGAGAATATGGTGATAACTCAATTGTTGATTGTACCCGAGTCGCATTCAGATAGCAATCATTGCCCATGGTGATGTTTGCCGCCTTCTGGCAACATGATACTTGTTCACACGAATGTATAGAACGGTTGTTATTTGTCAGTAAGCTGAAGCTTCGGGATTAGCAGCCTATATCATCATGTGATACGCACCTCCAAGTTTGTGCAATCTCTCACGAGCATTCAATGCTTGTCAACTTCTCCTTAGGCTAGTCAGAAACTATCATACCCTGTCATCTTGTTGTGTTAACCCAATCCAATAGGATCTAGTATGCGAGAATTCACTTTTCATGTAGAACGTGCCATGTTCCATCGAAGAATCCTAAGAGATGTTCATTTGACGGGCGATGAGACGTCATTCAAATAGGACATCCATTCATCTCCAATTCCTCGTCCAAATAGTCATTTAGCTCGCCTCAAAGCGGGAAAATGACGGAAGCCGACTGACCATGGCCAAATGTCGAGAAGCCCAACGCTCTCGAAGTAAGCTGCTTCAATAGTCGTCCGCTGAGACGACTCCACTCCCACGTTATCCCCCAGGCCCATATCAACCGTATTGACATAGAACAGGGCTTGTGGCTGTCCACAAATACCGATATCAGATATCAAGATTCTAGTGATCTTCCCAGTTTGGATGTCCGATAGCCATTCTACATTTCGATGATCTATAATAGTCTCCAGGGACGCAGTGTTTTCTCTAAGGTATCGTAGAATATACCCGATATAGACATCTATGGAAGAAGCAGCTCTAGCTCGTTCTAGGCTTTTATCATCGTGGATGAAGTAACAGGTGAAACCTGGTCTATAGAGCCCGATCTTGACCATTGGGAGTATGTCGAGCTGAAGTTCATTTCCTCTCTTCTCTCCACGCCAAGGCGTCACTACCGTCATGCTCGATGGTGTAAGCTCAATGTTGTCGATTCTGCTGTTGATTGTCGGGAAAAAAGTGCGCATATAGCTTGCAACCTTCTGCCAATCGATGATGATCTTTCGCTTCATGCAGATAGGCCGGTACTCGGTGCGCAGTCGCTGACAGGCCTGCGCAAGCGCAAGGCACGGGAGTACGCAGCGAGGCTGGTCGGCTTGGGTCTCCGCAGCGAAGTCATAGATACGGTTGCGCAGTTCTAGGTACACATGTTAGTCTCAATTGTAAGATATACTAAAAAGCCTCCGCTTACCTGCTGGCATGTCCAGAAAGCGGAAGTAATCTTCTTCTCGATCGCTCATACTGCTACTGGGCGGTTCCGTTGAGGTAGCTTCGGGGTGATTGCAGGACGTGAAATTGCAGCAATTATGATTCAGTGGCAGTAAAGTGCGGTGAAGGATGGTCAAAGAGGGTTGAGGCGCGATTGATTGATTGATTGATTGTGGTTTAACGGGGTTGAGGCGCGAGAGGCGAGGGTAGAATCATTTGCAGTAGTATCGTACTAGTGGGACGGTGCACACTCGTGGAGGCTGCTTTGCTAGATTAATAAAAGCGGGTCTTGCGAGGCCACCACGTGTGAGTGTGGGTTGTGTTAGTTTAGGCAGCTTCTCATGTGATTCATTTATTCACTCACTAGCGTCATCCCTCCTATCATATAGACCAGGACTTCTTCCCTCACACATAGAACAATCACATTAAATCTCTTCTTGTTCTACAGGTTGCACACTAGCAAACCATATCCGGCCCTGGACCATGAAACTCACGACAAATACACTCTGTATACTTTTCATGATGCCTCCGACAACTAAACGAATTTCTTGTGTGTCTTACATCGTAAGACGGCACAGAAGATATGACATTAGACACTTTATAGTCGCAAGATGATGTGGTAGCCAGATTCAACCACATCAAGACTAGCTCTAACTTAGCCTAGTTATTAACTGTTCAGGTAAACCCACCCCTAACCCAACTCCAACCCATTTACCAGCCTAAGATTCAAGACATTGTACTAGCAATCACACGTCATCATTTCGGCAGTACAACCGTAAGTCTAGTTGACCATTTCAGGTTACTATCGACAGTTATGTGAGAGATGTTCACAAAACGTGCCATTATGAGACCAAGCTGCTTTGCTCCTCGCACCTCGTCCCTCCTCGATCTGTAAAGTTATGACTGGTCTGTAGCATAGCCAGGTAGAAAGGGACAGGCTTTTATTAGTCCAAAACCTAGTACTGACATCCCATCAGTCAATACGATACACACCAGTCCAAGAGCCGATTCTACGTATGAAAGCTCCACCTGTTCGTCTAAAAATTTGGTCCTCACATCACATCTTCAACTCTGCGGCAGGTCGAATTGTTGCAGTTACGCTGATCAATACCATCAAACGAGATGCCACAGTGGATGTCATAACTGCCTTCAACCCCTAGCATCTTGTGAGTCTCATCAACGAACTCTTGTCCTTCCTTATCCAGTGTCATGTTGACGCCGTAGGGCTCATTCCCTGGCTTGTACCAGACATAGAATCGACCATCGCAATGGCAGCAGAACTCGGAGATCCTCGATGCTTGCAAATCGTGCCTTAATCCGCGTGATGTGTAAACGAGGAATTTCTTGAGGTATTCGCACATCGTGGCGGTCCAATAATGTTCGCCATGATCTTCCAAATCGGGCAAGACGGTGAACTGGACTTGTGGAAAAGCCATCCTGACGTTCAGGAGAGGTAGTATGTCTGTCGTCACGGACTGTGTGTGTAGATAGTAGACGTGAGCGGGGTATTGTTTGATGAGTGCTTGTTGATCTGTGCCATCAAGCCAAAAGAATGCCTTCACAAAACTCTCGACGTCTTTTGTTCTGACTACAAAGGGAACCTTCTGCAAGTAGACCTTCCTGAATTCATATCGGATTTGCCGACACACCTGAGTGAGACCAATGTTGGCTCCATTGCTGGGCCTAAGTGTCTCATCGGGCTTAGCTGTCTCAGCAGCAAAGTCGTAAATGCGGTTACGGACCTCTTAAACGTTGAATTAGGATGCGGAGTTCCATTAACGATGGTATAGCTTAGCACTCACCTGCGGCCAGATCTAGGAAGCGAAAGGGTTGTCGATCAGTCAAAACGAAACTGTTCGAAGTATCGCTGAGCTGCATGGCTCCAAGCGTGTCGGCGGCGTCGCTGACGGGCGTGGGGTTGGCCATGACGCTGGATTGATAAATTTTGTTAGGTTCAATGACAATTGATGACCCTCGTTGCTGGCTGGCTGCCTCCTGCTGTGCCACCGGTACTACCGGTAACTGTTCAAATATGTGAGTATCAACAAAAGATGTTGTCGCTGCGGGAACAGTGTGAGTAGGCGACAGCCCTGGAATGCGTCGAGCAGTGAGATTTTAGTCGGGTAAACAACTTGACGCTAGCTCGAAACGTACACAGTTCGCGCGTTGGGGCGGGGTATCACAATATGCCCATGGCGGACTGCGCTTTTCGTTGTAGATACGCTTCACAAGTATCTCGAGCATAGTTTTCATCCTGATCTTTGTCGCAACTTCGTGATCAGGTGCATTCAAAATAGACTCGAGAGAATAGCACCTGAACCGCTTTTCCTCAAATACTAGATACCCATATGAGCAACTTGCGCTTATCCCACCTGTGTTCGGTTGTCTTAACAATCAATAGGACCACACCAAAAGCGTCAGATTTTTGGCTCCAATGGTTATCGTGATGCAGATCACCACAGTGAGACTCGTTTGTAGTTCGATGAATGTAACCGAAAATATCCATGCCAGTGTACGGAATGTTGGCTACGGACGTTGCTAATCCATTGGCAAGTACTTCATCACCTGGAAGACGCTGGCAGGAACCTAGAGGTGAACTTGAGCCGCGAGATTAGGGGCTGAGGGAAGCAAACAAGCCGTGGTTTTGCGGTCCAGTATAGTGCTGCGTCACTTGCGCCTGGCTTCAGTGACTTCCACAGTCTTTTGAAGGCGGTCAGTATGGCTTATCAGACCAAACTGTACTAAATCCGAGAAAGAGCGCCCGGCATCTTCGTAGATGTCGCCATCTTCGTCCTTGATAAAGCGCATCTGCAACCCGGTATATGATAGGCGTAGCCTTACTAGATTTGTAATGTTTTTGATCGTATCAATGTATAGTCGTGTCTTGGATCGCACTGAAGTATCAATGTTTTGGGACCGCTGCCGTATTTGCTTTCTTTCGGATAGAAAGCCTCTAAGAACGCATGTATAGAGTGCCAATCGATGATGAACGTTGTGTGTTGAACCACAGAGGCCAGTGCTCAGACCGGAACTGTTGAGAGAATTGTGTCATTGCGATTCCGGTAGCGCGTTGGTCTTGGTGTTGAAGTTGGAGCCACTCAACTGGCACCAGCAGCTGAGAAGGCGATTCGGTAGCAGCGTAGTCATGGACTCGGTTGCGAAGCTCTACACAGAAATGCTATCTCATCGGTCAATGCTCTGCTTGTAAAATCTATTTGCCTACAGGAATCCGTAAGAAGTTAGAAGAAGGGAGCGAAGTTTGTACGGCATTCTTAACTGGGATCATCGTTACGTCGTCGCTCCAAACGAAGGATTGACAGCCCAGGCGCGTATTTTCCCATGATACCACCAAGGATACTATGTTTCGTATTTAAGTATCAGCGCTGTTGTTTACATTCATGCTATGTTACGCAACGCGTAGAAGGCTTGCGGCAGGCATGCAGTGGGCATGCGCGGTCTCATCAATAGTTGACATTGAGCTTGCCGTGACGTCAAATAGACTACAGTTGTGAGCGTGGTGCACACCTGAGCACCTCGCGACCACTGAACCATAAACATTTGTAGTGCATAGAATGATCTTGCTACTTCCAAGGGATGGGGAGTCATCATGCAATCGTATAGAAGCATCTCCGCGCTCGATTAGGTGTAGTGCTTACTCCAGCCCCAGAACCGCGCCTCGTCTGCGATACGAATCAAGAAGAGTCAGAGCTGTTGGCGCAGACCCAGGCCTAGATCCTATCGCTTGTGTTTAACAACAATGCTTGCATTGCAATGCTCCATTAACCTACAATACCAAGCAATCGTCAACGTCCTTCTCTTGGCTTGATCGCTGTTCACGACCAACAGTCACAAAACATTAACGAAGATGAAGAAGCGACAGTTTGTACGCAGAGCTAACGAAACATCGAACAAAACAACCCCACTGCTTCTTTTGCTACCAGCGGGTATGTACGCGAAGAGAATACGGACAATATAGCTAAGATAATCTAGAACTACGTAACAATATCTATGAATACATAATTATTTCACTCCATCGTCCCCTCAAGATACTCAACACACCATGCGGATTCGAGTCCTCCGGATACTGGGAGTGGATCGAGATGTGGAAACCAAGCCAAGTGTGCCGTCGAATGCGCATCGAATATCGGTCCTTGGCTCTTCGTCAACAACAGCTCACCTTCAATGTCAAGAACTGGCTAAGATACGTGGATGCCGTTTGCGGATCAATGAAGCCTTCGATATATGTGCCGAAGCGCATTGATCTGCTTATCGTTGACCCCTTACACACTCGTCTCCGGCTCGATGTCCTACCGCTACTCCGAGCTCGATATTGTAACTCTCATCGTAAGGGATCAGCGTCTATATCTTTTGAATCAACATTTCCGAAACGTTCCGCGGCGACACAAGCTCGAATACATTCTGTTATAGATTATAAAGACCCACGTTGGCTGGCATGTCTTCAGAGCGAAGATATCACAGAGGTTGTGATACATGCGGGAAGGGCCTGTCTCGACTACTGTTCTGCTATAGTAAGAGTTGTGGTTGTATTCAAGAGTGGAAAGGCACCAGGTCGGCTTACCAGTGAGGCGATGGTGTCCGAGTTGGTGGTTCGCGATGAAGGTTTCGTCGACAAATTTGCCGAAAGCGTGGGCTTTACCAAAAGACGTGGCTTGGACGTTCACGCTTCGATAGAAGGGCATTGCAAGAATGCATGGCCGCTTCGACCAACTCAGTACTTCTTGAAATGAGAAGAGAACGAAGAAGGAGAAGACTTTGGAGCGCGTGGAGCGATCGCTGTTTGGACAAAGACGAAGGCATGTGAACAAGGCAAGAGAAACGTCACAGGCGATAAAAACTACACGACTGTAAGGATTAGATATCACTACCCCAAATTTGTGGATATTTGAGACAGGCGGATGGGTATGAGAATGGATTGCTTCGCATACTACAAACGCTAAGTACGTTAGCTATCAAGTAGATAGGACCAACTTGATGATCACCCACCTCTGTGACACGAAGCATTCTTCTCTCGAATCCGATATGCGACGCTGAGTGGTAGACCAAGAAGCCTAATCCTAGGTTTCAAGACATACAATGTCCTCGCACGGATCTCCATCACCATAAAGCGGCGTTTGTGCACGATGCGAAGCCCATCTCTACGGTAGAGCGTTCACTCATGGAATGCCCCATGACCAACTGATAGTCTTATCCCGAAAGTCGTCGAAGCAGAATTGGTAACAATGTGCGTAAGGGCGCCAATTCGGATTCGGATCAGCGTATGCAAGCCGGATCTCACGTATACCCCGCGCGGGCTCAGTTGCATCGTCCCATATCCTGAACACCGTACTCTTCCACTTCCTAGCCATTTCCTCATCCATGAGGATTCTCAGTATTGAGTCGTGATTCTGGACTCTGAGTCGGATTTCTTTGATCGCCTTAGCCATATTGCGCCACTTCGTGTCAGACGGGTCAGCGAACAACGCCAGCATGCTGTTCACTTGTGCAACGGCACTCTGCGCGCTCGACCTCCGCATACGCTCATGTAATTCGAAGGTGAACCGCACATTAGGCGAGCGAGCGACGAGCTGGACTACACGAGCAATGTCGGCATCATAGAACTCGTTCACGCCTTCGGTCTTATCGCGGCTATGGTGGACAAGACTGATGATGCTTCCGCGATAACGCATCATAGTATCTTCGTCAGTAAGTGGGTAAAAATCGCGGATGTACCGAGCGTAGTGGTAAGTGGATTCTAGTCGAAATGTTGTTTGCTCCATGTAGGTAAGGTGGAATTCATGGCGAATTTGCCGGCATGTCTGCGCAAAGCAGCGGTATTTGCCCACCGGTTTGACCTTGTCTTCGTGACGGAGACGCAGTGGGACAGGACCTGGCTCGATGCAAAAGCTGTAAATCTTGTTTCGAAGTTCTACACTCGCTATATTAGCCGTGGTTGGGCTGATTATCGGAGGTACACACCACCCGGAAGGTCAAGCAGGCGACTGTTCGGAGTGCTCACTGTAATTTGCTGCATCTGCACTTGCACAGTGGCCATGAGTGGAAACCCCTCAACGGACTCTGGAACGCCGCTGTCGAGGTTAGTAGCTGTGTGATAGTCGGAGAGGGGCGGCGCACACGATGAACTTTGCCATTCACGGAATTTTGTCGTCTGCGGGTAATGCTTGTACAAGAGAAGGATAAGTGGAAGTTTAAGGGTGGGGTACGACCGCCAACGATGGGAGATCGTGTTTAACGGCGTGTGCCTGCATGGTGTTGGAGAGCGGGGCTTCACCTTCACATGCATACGTAATCAATGACCAAACACGCTAGACTATTTGGTAGAAATAGGTAACTCATCCATCTACAGATCTTTAAATCACTTCCAACCTTGACAAGTGAGCGATGAAACATATCTGACCCAGTTACCTGGTATGATGACTCAGAGTAATGGTGCAGAGTGCTTGTACGCGCTCTCAGTCTCAACTGCGAAAAGAATAGCAAAAGCATTCATAGGCGGCGCGCCCATCTTAACTAACGACTGTCGGGGATCCGCCGTTCCATAATGCGCCATCGCGCCTTCCATTACACTTGCAGAATAGAAATTGAAGCGTATTTCGGGAAGCATGCTGCAACTAATCTCAACCTTCTCAAAGACGTTTTCAAAGTCCGGACGAAAAGCGCCGGACGAGAGCATGGTGAAGAAGTCGCCAAGGAGAGCAGCGTGACGAAGACATGCACTGGCTTCGGTGAAAGTGACTTTGAACGGAGGATACTTCGTGCAAAGGCGTACGAGTAACGTAGCGTCGAATCGGGTGCCGAAGTATAAGATGATTAGGATGTTGCCTTGCACACCAGGAATGGCATTGGTCCTGGACGCAGGAAGCATTTCAATATTGCGCCTGGATTGTGGCTCTTTCCTTGCAAGTGCAATTTGCCTCAGTTCCGGGTAAAAGGTCTTGAGAAATAAATTTGCCGTAATTTGGTGGACGACCATGACAGTTTTGGCCATGTACATTGATCCGAATTCTGCACGCGTTTGTCGACACGCATTTCGAAGGCTACCATACAGTCCACAGCGGGCATGTGCGTAATGCTTCTTTGTACGCTTGGGGTGTCGCCGAATGTACAGATGTTTGGGTTCAACACAGAATCCGTAGATGCGGTTGCGGAGCTCGCCAGGCAGTGCTAGGAGTGGAGGAGTGGACATTTGCATTTCGCAGATCTGGAGAGAAAAAATGATATCTGGTTGCAAGCTGGAAGGCCTAGTATTATGCTCGGCTAGAATTGTATATTGATGGGACATAGGAACGGGAAGATGTTGGGTTATAAAGAACGACCAGAGCGCAGGATGAAGGAGCGCTAAAGTTCATCTGACTAGCCCAGCGTCTAGCGCTGGTGGCCTCACCTGGGCATCATATCTGCTTTCTATCCATCCCAAACCAACTAGTGCATGCAGATACCCTCTCGGAGCTCACAATCTGGTGATGGCTTTACTGTCGTTCGTACGGACGGGTAGTTGCAGGATACCATTCAACCCAGCGTCCTCCACAAACTTCTTCGCTTTGGGATCTTGACAACGAAGGATCGTGCCAGTCGAGAGAGAGCCCCAGGCAGGACACGCAACAAACCTGATGTCAAGAAACGGCCGCGAGATCGCGATACCGTACCGAGAGAGTCGTATCGCACCCAACCCTTTTAGGTGAAGATTGGCAGCAAGCAAGCTATTGCTTGGCCAGATGGTAGCGAGTGTTTTCGGTCCAGCGACCAACTCGTTCAAATCTTTGACAAGTATCGAGGCGAACCTCTGCGTTATCCTGCGGTCACAGGGTTGGAAATGCCTGCTGACATGGGTTGTGTCAATATCGCCAGAGAATTCGAACTTGCAGACTACGTCTGGCTCCGCGAGGCAAAGACGGAGCAGTGGGAGGACATCGATAATGTGAATATCTCGATCGTTCACCGCAGGGCTTAGATCGATCACGAAGTTGGCAAAAGTTGATCCTTTGCTAACCTCGGTACTTTCGTCTACTCGACTAGCTGTTGAGGCGACTTCATCGAGAAAAGCGTAAACGTCGCGTGCATCCACTCGGACCTGATTGTGCATGCGATACAGGACCCCAAACTCTCGGTGAAGTGCCTTCGACGCTTGGGTAAGACCCAAGAATTGATGTCGTGCGCGGTCGATCTCTAGCGTAAGGCCCGTATCCTGTGGACACTTCACATCTACGATGCTGTCGTTCTTGCAGAATGAATAGACTTTGTTTCTCAATTCTTCAGCCATGTTAGTGTGATATCCATTGGTAGAGTGACGAATCCTGCTTACCGCCAGGCAGATCCATGAACCGGGAGCTCTTGTTGGAACTGATCATCTCAGCGTTGTCAGAGTCACCCGACATGGTGGTTGAGCGTTTACTGGTGGTGTTTCGTATCAGAGCTATGAGGTCAGAAAGTACGTGGTAGTGGGTGTTAAATACCACTACAGACCGAGTTCGCAACTGCAACAGTTGACGAGGTATTGAACCCCTTTGCAAAGAGTCGATACATGTATACATTCACTGGAGCTCAAAGCCCCGATGGCAGTGAAGCGCCTTGATCTTGCGTATACTGCACGAATGCACTTGCCAAGAGGTGAAGGATATAACAGCAAACCAGAGACACGGATACGGTATACCAATTAGTTGGAAGTATGTATCACTACATCACCTTGCCTTCAGGCGTGCTGTTCCAAGCATGCTCGAATTGCTGCCATCCGCCCTGTGGCTCCTCACACATCTTGAGGTCGCTAACGACGAAGTCGTAGTAGCCTTCAGCAGGCAGCTTCCCTTGGTTCACAGTCCCCCCCATAGCGATATTGATAAGTATCCTGAAATCTTCCATGCGTCGTGTGCCCTCTGGAATACTACCCTTCATGACTGGCCGACCGTCGATGTACCAGATCATGCGTCCTCTCCACCCAGGTATGCCCTCTTCTTCGATCCAAGCGAAGCCGTAGGTGTGTGGTTGTCGCGCCAGATCTGGTAGGGATGTTTTGACTACGCGATGCTTTTGCGCGTCCTCGCCTGTATATGAGCCCCAGTGCAAGCACGAATGGTTCTCCGTCTCGCCGTTCCAGCTCTCGGCAAGATCAACCTCGCCGTCGGTCGGCCACTTGAACGGGTCTGCCGGCAGCATCCAGTATGCAGGCCATATGCCCGGTGCGGAAGGAGGTAGACAGGTCGCTGTCAAGTATCCGCGCGGTCGCGATAGCGTCTGATGTGAGGTCAAGCGCGCAGAAGTGTAGCTCCCGTTTTGGACGAGGGCGCGCACGATCAGGCGGTTGTCGTGATGGAACGAGTTTGCAGGGTTGTCCGTGTACATCTGCTTCTCGTTGTTGCCCCAGCCATGGTCGCCAATTTCATGCCGGAAGTTTTGCGACACGGGCGTCGCGATGTCAAAGGATGGCTTCCAATACACGCTCTCGCCCTGCGGTGGAGGGATGTTTTGGGGTGGGGGAGGCTGCGCAGATTGCGGTCGGTTTTGGGGGACAGGCGGTGGTCCTCCGGGTTGTGGCGTATGTGGCTTGCTACCTTGTGGAACAGGCGGTGCAAAGGACTGTTGCTGCTGCTGCTGCTGCTGCGGAGGCGGCGGACCCCATTGCTGCTGAGGGGGGCCCCACTGCTGGTTCTGGGGCGGGTACTGTGGGGGATATTGACTTCCCGTGTATTGCCCAGGGTTTGTTTGAGGATAGCCTTGCGGTGGCTGCTGATAACCTTGGGGAGGTTGTTGATAACCTTGAGGAGGCTGCTGGCCCGGATAGCCCTGTTGGCCTGGATAGCCTTGGCCCGGGTGGCCTTGTTGATGATGGCCACCTGAAGGCTGCCCGGTAAACTCCGAGAGCTTCGCCTTGCCTTTCGCTAAGAGTTTGTCGAAGGTGCCTGACATTTTGTCGTGATGCCGTAATACAAAGGATGCGACGGTAGGACGAGGTTTCCGCTTCAAGCCGAGCCGCCGAGCCGCTATGACGCCAGCGGGGCCGCACCTCACAAACAGCGCCGACGACCTGTACAACGACACATATCTAACAATAAGAGTCGTGTCAAAAGCAGAACTCTTCTTTCCAAGCTGGTAAATAGTCACACAAACATATTACACGAACCTTGAGCGGTTTGTATGCGATCGCGCCTAGCTAAGCCATGCATTATCTTCGCAACGAGCCATCGTCTCTGATCTCATAGCACTTTCTCCTTACATCTCCTCCCCTCTGCCCTTCTTTATCCTCCAATGGGAATCGTTCCTTTCCTGTCATTTTCTGATTCGTCATACTTCCTGGTCGCGCGTTCAAACAGGCGTTCATCCACGTTACACATGTGACGTCACATCTCACCATAACAACGGCCATTCACCCGCATAGCCAACCAGCAAATCCATGGAAAGCAGGCAGGAGGCAGGCCTCGCCATTAAGATCGCCGGCAACCGCTGTGTGAAACAGGAAGTTTCGCCCACTCTCACGTAGGCCTCGCGTCATTCCCCGTGTCTTGGAAGTGATCGAGAAGTCTTGATCGCAGTCGCGCCTTGTCGCACACGAATAAACACACCTTTGCTCACAAACAACACTCTTCCTCTGACACTTCACCACATTGTCACCACTTACTACCTCCATCTCGGACCTGATACACCACACCACTCACCGTTACTCGCCAGCCCAGCCAAACCAACATGTCTTCCATCGTCAGCGCTCTCAGCGACCTCTTCAAGTCTCTGGTCGAGCTTGTATGGTCCTTCTTCACCACTGCGGGGGCGCTAGTCCAGAAGACAGCCCAGTTTGCCCTCAACTTCGCCACTGAGATAATCGACCTCGTTGTTAACTTCTTCCGTGGTCTCGTGGACCTTGCTGGCGGTATCGTTAGCTTCGTACTCGGTAAGTTGGCAAAGAAACCCCCGAATCGCGTGGCAGATCAGGCGTGGATACTAACAACGCGATAGGCAACGTCCTTATGCTGGGCGTCGTCGCTGCTGCTGTCTTTGGCTTTCTCCAGTACCAGCGCAGCCAAGGCAGACAGGTCACGGTCGGCAACAAGAAGCTAAACTAGCCTTCATAAAAATGGACCAACGACGGGCGGTGAATGGGCTCGAGCATGGTTGGCCACGCGGCAGTTGGGTTTCACATGGCAAGAGATTGTATGATACCCCTTGATGACGGCAGCGTTCCTGCAGCTAGCGCGGAGAATTGATAGGCTATTGCTTCGATCATATACCGAATCAAGATATCCCTAATGATTTTTACTTCAAACGCCCAAATCTTAGCGCATCCTTCCCGTGTACTGGGGCTTGCCATTTTCGGGTCTGAATACAATCTTCAACCTTGCCAATAGGCTTAGTTTATCTTGCTTGACATCTAAAAGATAGGTCTCGCCATATGTACACACGAATGCCCTCTTCGTACTCTGTCATAGCAGCGTTTTCAATCCTCATGTAACGATGCAGAGCCTCAAACTCTTCGCGCAGAAGTCTACGTCGTATCGCCGTTTGTCCGATACCTCGACTGGGGGTGAAGGTAGTGCATGCATCTCGCCAAACTCATCCGCTCAGAAAGAAGAGTATCATGCAGACAAAGACTTGTTGCTTGCCAAGAGGATTCGACGACCCTGGCGTTGGTCCTGCATGCACACATGTGGATACCTCTTCGTTGCCTTGTTAGGCCTTTCTCTTGGTCTCGGCCTCAGTCGATTTTTCAATCTGGAGTACGAAGTTGATGGGTTTATCAGTACGTCTCCCTCTCGATCGCCTTCTCCGCGGGCGTTTGTTGAACCTTCGTTCAGCGTTTCTTGATATACTGACTAGAGATTAGCACAATGGGGCAGTTCAAACCGCAACATTGGAAACGTGTTCTGGTCGGAAAATGCCAGCTTTGCCGCGGAGCCTAGCGTCGAGACGCAGAAGACTTGGGACAGTATCATGCCGCAGGGTCGAGGATTCATCAAACACCCCAAGCTAGCGAAAGATGGTGAGGTCAAAGCTATTGCCGTGTTCCATCAAATACATTGTCTGGTATGTTTTGTCACGGTTGGAACATTTGTTTCGATGCTGATTGAGCTGTATAGTACGATCTCCGAACAGCCTTTTACACAAACGCATACCAGCTCGCCAAACTTCAACACCACCAAGCTGAATCAAGATCACTTCCCAACACCGGCCCTCCCCACGGCGATTCCGAATTCTTCTCTGAACATCACGCCTCAAACGACGATGACCGTACTTCTCTCGAACCATTCACGCCAAACCCATTCATAGAGTCTCTTTTGTCTGCCGAGGACCAGCATGGGCCTGAACATACCACCCACTGCTTCGAGTACCTGCGCCAAGCCCTCATGTGCGCTGCTGATACCAACTTGGAAGTGACTCATCAGGGTATTGGCGCTTCTGGGGAAGAGATTATCGGGACGGAGGCTTGGGATTCGGCGAGGGTGTGTAGGGATTACGATGCGGTTAGAGAGTGGGCGGAGGCATGGAGGGTGGGAGATGCTGGGGGGGTTGTTTGAAAGAGTAATTAGTAGCAGATCGATTGAAAATTGCGCTTTTCAGGATTGACCTGTCTTCGCTATTCTATCTTTGTGCTCTATGCGCATACACTAGTTAATTGAGAGTTTGCGAATACCGTCCAGGTAAAACTGGTCGCTGCCGATGTAAGCACATTGTTCCCACAAGGGTGTATGCTCACGACCCCTAACCCAATGGAACAGGATCACCACAAGATCATCATGTTATGCAATTGTCTAACCAACAATGGAAGTGCACCTCTCGGCCACCTGATCCCAACAGTCTTTCTGTCCAAACGGAGTGTATTCCCATATTTCCAAGTTATCATCAGTATGCCAGCGACCATGTGCGTTAGTATAGTAGATGATAAACTGGCAGGCTCCTACGCGCTCATAATGCTCGGCTCTCTTTTGAAAGAGAAGTGAAAAGCTTTTCAATGGATTGGTGAAGTTATACGAGCCAGTATCCCCATACGTTAGCATCGGCGCAGTACACAGGATGCGTAGCCGGATGTCGAGCTCCGTTTCGTCGTCCCAATGTGGATAGATAAACGGGTCGTTGATAAGACCATTTAGATGTTTGTATTTCCAAGCTGTGCTTTCGTTCAACCTGAAAAATGGAGGCTTGAAGAGATACGTATCCCTACTCGACATCTGCCGTTGGGAGAGATTGCCTTGAACGATATCGGCGGTGATCTCCAAGTACTGAGATCGATGCGGGCCACTCAAAGAGGCAGTATAGTCCAGGCTACAAGTGGCACTGTCAAGTCTCCGGTATCTTCTACCCGATCAGTATCTGATCATGAAGGCTGGTTTGAGTTGCAGTTCCTGGGAAATGATGCTTGATCCTTTTTACCCAACCTAGTGATGACCAACTCGGGAACCCGTGACGACGCGGACGAGATCGAGGGCTCCTTTCGATAAGGAACCAAGCTAAAGCAACAGTTACGTAAGTATCTGTGGGGGAAGGGGGCCTGATTCCTAGGCTAGTAAGTCTCTGGTCAGTAGGTTCCTGAGTGATGGTGAAAGGAACTCCCCAGATATGATGAATCAGCGGAGAGTTACCAGTCATAACGTTGAGCGTACCAATGATAGCGTCCAGGGCGTCGGAATCGTATCCAATCACTCGTTCTGAGTATATCTCCATGAGAAACTTCGCGCCGGGAGTTGTTTTCTCCAAGACGCCCATTGCTGTCTGAACGCGCGCTCTACTTTTAAACCTCCAAAATGCTTCACCAGGTTTGAGAAGACCTAGAGCGCACTCTGTTCCCCCTACATCAGAGTTACAAGTGAAGAATACTTCGGCTTCTGTAAAGCATAGTATCCTTTATGAGAGAAATTCTTCTTGTAACGTCCATGCCCTCGAGAACCAGAGAGAGTGTTGGGGGCGTTTTGCAAATTTGGGTGTTGTGGCCTGGCTGGCCAACATGGGCAGATTGATGTTGGCCTCATTTGACGACAATCGAATGTGCCGTGGTTGAACCATCATGGAAATGGTAGATTGTAGCGATCGCAAGGTGGGGCGCGGCCTTCCCGATGGTCTGGCCAGCTCGGTGGCGGATCACGTTAGTATAAACCTCCAATGACAATGACACATTAGGCTACACGAAGCGACAAACCAATAAGTAGAGCGCCGCGGACGCTGAGAACACCAGCACTGGGGGACTCATGACCTCGGCACCTAGCCTGGTGGTGCTTCTTTCAAAGCTTAAGATACCCCATTCATGCGACATTCTTGTCCTTCACACGCAGATACACTGCGTCCTTCCAGAGCGATGCAGTCGTTAGCTTCAGCCCAGCGACAGTCTTGGATTCCAAGATCTGAAGTTGATTGTTGCCAGATGTGTCGCTCATTTCTCAACCTTGTTGCCAGGCAACGGACTGCCAGTGAAGCAACAATGGACTTTCATAACATTCAGCAGCTGAAAGAGTCTTCAGAGAAGGGCTGTCATATGTGCATCTTGATCTTATTGTGTATAACAGCCAAAGAGCAGCGTCGGTACCTTGAAGAGCTGGAGCGCGCAAGCGAAGGCGAGCCCCAATTTGTGGCTGTTGTTTGGTTCTTCGCTTTCCCAGCGCCGAACCCACGAACGACTCCGATCCTACGAATTGAGGAAGCATTTCCAAGACCACCTGTGTCCAACCGAGTAGTTGTCTGCGAATTGAAATGCGAGGTTCCGACAGATGCACGTCAATTGAGTATGTATGACTGCCCCTTGTTGTATTCCTCTACGTATGTATCGGCTACCAGCGCGGCTTCTTAAGCGAGTGCAGCCATCTACAGGCTCTTTTGAGACTCTAAACACCATACATTACTGGCTGAGAGAATGTGACATGGCTCATATGCGATGTGCGCAAAGAAGAGGTGAACGGTCTCGCCAGACACCCACGCGACTGCTGCAGGTGCAGCCCTTCGAACCGAGCCCCAAAGCCTATCTCCGTCAGACTGCTCAAATACCTGCAGATGCAAGATACGCGACTTTGAGTCACTGCTGGGGTCAGTACATGCCAGTAAAGCTTGAAACGAGCACGTTGCAAGCATTCTTGGATGGGATCGATGTTGCCAAGCTTCCATTAACCTTCCAGCAAGCTATCGTGCTCACCAAGTCACTTGGTATAGACTACATATGGATTGATTCTCTCTGCATCATCCAGGACGACGAATATGACTGGGCCAACGAGTGCACTCGAATGACATCTGTCTACATGAATTCATTTATCAATATTGGGGCGAACGCGGCTGGAGATTCTCGAGGAGGCCTTTTTCAGCAACGGCACTGGAAATCTGTTAACCCCTTATCGGTGCAACTTACGTATATACCCACAAATTGGCGTCGCAGACCTGTTGTATTATGGCCGAATCCTGAAAGCGGCAACCTGCTTGACCATGCGCCCCTCGGGGATAGAGGGTGGGTCGTTCAGGAGCGTCTTCTTGCGCCACGCACTGTCCATTTCCTGAAACACAAAGTCGTATGGGAGTGCGATGAATGTCAGGCATCCGAGACGGACGTTACAGGAAGGCTTGAAGACTGTAGCTTCTCAAAGAGGACATATTTGGCTGTACCTATGGCACCAGGCAACGGCGCCGCTGATCGCACCGTCCGATTTCTGAGTACGTGGAGCGATATCGTCCACTTATACAGCACCGGCAAGCTGTCGGTAGCTACAGATAAGCTAGTCGCATTATCTGGAGTCGCAAAATATATGTTTGAAAACCGTCAGGACAATAGGGCTTTACAGTACTACGCAGGCCATTGGAGCCACGATTTCGAGACTCAACTAACGTGGTCTGCGTCCTACTTCAACCCTGGCCGTCGATCACAGACTTACGTTGCACCTTCATGGTCGTGGGCGTCGTACAATGGTCAGGTCTTATTTCCACGTCCTGGTCGCAAAACGTTATGGGCGCAGCTCATTAGGATAGAGATCCTTCCTGAATCGGACCCCTTTGGTGCGGTCTCAGCGAGATCTCCGGGCTATGTTCGTATGCGAGGTCCTTTATGCAGAGCTACTGTCACACATCTGAGCCGCCTGGATGAGGATGAAAGCCCTAGCACACTAAGATTGCTTTGGTCTGACGTCACCATTGAATGTGTTGATTTATCATTTGACGAGCCTGACGAAGTGGAAATACTCGAGGATAGTGTTGAGCAGCAAAATCTTATTGTTGTTTTCGGGATTAAGCAGGGCGAGGATACTGACGATAGACCATTCGAAGGAATCATACTACAGTTGACTGGGGTTCAAAGAGACCAATACCGTCGAATTGGTGCCTTTTGAGTCGATGATCTTCTTCCACGCTCACTACAAGACTGGGAAGAACGGGACCGGTTACGTGCGATCTTTGGCGGCGACTCCGAGGAAGATGAACAGGACCACTTTGGTGCTTTAAAAGATGCGTTTACTGCTATGGACATGCCTGAACAATTCTATGAGGAGAGAGGAACCGGTTGGTACGAGTTCACAATCGTTTAAATTTAATATTCTTCTTCTTTAACGTCGACCCAAGCGTGCCAGGACGCACGGTGTAACGAGACGCTTTCCCTTCCGGACCCTCGGCCTGTCCCTAGTGTTCTCGAATATAAATAAGTGCAATGCGCATCTATTCTAAAGCCCTCATTCTCCTAGCATGTTAGTCTCTGATGCTAAAAAAAAACACGTTGTTAACCGTGCTGTCGCCCGTTCTTTTAATGCTGTTAGCTCACTCCTCTTAAACGCTCCCCTGTTTGTTCGCGGCAATACACATCTAAAGAGAGCTTGGTAGACTATAAAAGAAGCTAAGATAACAAAGATTAAGACTGCAGCCATAAAAGGTCGATTTAGCGTAATAAGGGTATATTCCGGCAGATTCTCGAACGAATTATGTGATTCAAGCTATCCGGCTGACACCCAACGATATGACCTTGAGCTTCCAACGGCCAGAGGTGTAAAGCACGGAACGTAACAACGGGCTCTCGAGCTGAATCCATTGTTCGATCCTTGCGAATGCCTACAAGACCGTACGAAGGATCTGTACCTGCTGCAGCTGCTATGGTTATCTGTGCACCAGCGTATATTAGGCCCATCTGATTAATCTGTTCTTTCTGATCTCGAGGATCGTGTTGATTGATACACTGTTATGTTAGTTTAGCATCATCGAACGCTCGTGTGGGCCGGCTTGCATATCTATCAACCCACAGATATCGGTATCCTATCTTCTGAGTGGCCACAATCGCGTCCTCTACAGTAGGCGGAAACGCGACTGGCAATCCCAGAACCTGGCTGTCTGCAGGGAGCTGACCCCATACATATGAGAGTGCAACGAATGAACACCCGATTGGTGCCACAACGACCGCTCTATTGACGCAGTCAATAACTTTGAGGTTGAGCAGCAAGTGCGAGTTCTCAGGTTCGCATGACAGATGTGCTACTGTACAGTCTTCTAGCCATCCCCGAACTTCGACGAAATCAATACGCTTTGGGGCGACTACTAATCCAGCCTCCGAATCTACACCAACGAAGTCTTCCGTCGTCAGAATCAATCCTCCAATACGGCCTTCGTCTTTCTTCAACAGACCAATCGTTCCCAGGTAGTCTTTGCGAGTGTCATCGGGTGAATAGTTCCAAAGTATTTCTAGCATTGAACGAGAAAGCGACCGATACTTCGGCATAGCTAATGCCATGGGTCGACATATCCGGCACGAGGTAGTCTGGAGATCTTTGGCAGCCTGTTTTTCATCATTTCGGAACCGTAGATGTACATCTTGCTCCAAGCAATCCCAAGGACTACTGCGACAAAGAGAACACAAATCTGACGTCGAGCGTTCCATCCTGCCCGAAGCAGAGCACTAAACTCCTTCTTCTTCTAGCTCTCACGCTTTCGAGGCAGCGTTTCGGTTCTCATGTGACTATTGAGCGCCGTCGGAGGTCGATTACTTTGGTAGTTGAGGACTGGGTGAAAATTCAAGAGAAAGAAGGATGAAACCTCGAGGCTGAGGATAGAAGGCAGCATCTGACAACCCCCTGCCTCTAGCCGAAAGCATTCGAGGCGGAGCCCACCCAATCAGAACGCATCTCGGTGAGTGGTATCAGCGCTTGAATGCAGACGAGACGCAGCTCGCTGACATCGTGAAGGTATTACTCAAGCAAGTAGTAGTTCTTTCTACTCTGCATGTATGAAAGGAGCTCGTTGGGTCTAATCTGTAACTCAATGCTAAGTTCGAATTGGAAACGACAAACTTCTTTGTATTCGCAAGTAGAGTGTGAATGTTGGGTCCAATCCAGCCCCGAAGTACCGAACAACACATAATACATCTGTAAAGGGATACTTGTGCTCAATGTCTGCATTAAAGTATAGAATAAATAGGAGATCGCACGTTGAAGTGAAAAAGAGAAAGAAGCCTGGGGTGTTTCGCACATGCATCAAGGCGCATAAGGCGGCGGCGGATCTCGCTCACCCAACTCGGTGGACACAGTCGGCGCGTAGTGCAACCCTCCACCGCCATGACCATGGCCGTATGTCTCCCAATTATCATCAACAGTCTGACCAGCACCACCTTCGTGTCCACTAGCCATTTCATATGTCAGCCCAGGAGATGTAGGCGTCGCACCGAAAGCCGGTGTCGACACCGAAAAGCCTGAGTTTCCATATACACCATGTTGTGGGATAGGTGAAAGACCAGCCGCAGGGCTAGTCTGTTCGGATACGTCTTGTGGCCGTTCGCCGTTCGCAATAGGCATTCGCGATATCGTCGCAAAGGAGTCGGTGCGCTGAAGAGAGGATTGGATGATGATCTGAGGTTTCCGCTGCGGTACAGGCCGCCGTGGGATATTGAAGCTCTGCGTGTGAGGAGGCGCGTGTGGTCGCGGTTGTGGTTGCGATTGGTACTGAAGCTGGGCCTGAGCTTGACATTGAGGCTGGTATATTTGCGGTCGAGGCTGAGCCGCTACCGGAGCATAGCACGCGTACTTCTGCTGTGGAATCGCGGAATGCTGCTGCTGCTGATGGTGTTGAGGGCGGTGAGGGGCCTGGGTATTCCAGCCATTCTGCTTCGCGCAGTTGGCACCAGGAAACGTGTGATGGCGTCTTTTCTGGGCTTCTTCCTTAAGCTGCTCCTTTCCGTTCTTCTTCCGATAATGTCGATGGATGAGGTATCCACCTGCAACTATCTCAAGACCGCCAAAAATCATGTTGTCGCCAATGTTGCTGTAGCAAAAAGAGAAGTAGTAGGGTCAAGAGGGGAAAGTTTGGGGTTCAAGTCGGTCCTTGCAAGGCAAATGAAGAAGAAATGGATGGCTGAGGCCATAATATCGGATTTGTGCTCAGCCTCCATTGTCAGACTGAAGGCAGGAGCTATTGGTGCCGCATCCTCCGGCCGTGGTGGCGGAGTCAAGAGGTGCAGCAGCGATACAGCCCACTAACGATGCCTCGCTTGCCCGCCCCACTCGATCCCTTGCACCCCTGTCAGCAAGCTATCGGCAGTGGTGAGGAGAGCTCTCTTATTTCCATCGTCACACCCAACCCACGATGCTAATGTGCCAGCGAAGACACATGATGTTTCTAGAGACCCATTATCTCGTAGACGCAAGAAATAGCGCGTTCTGACGAGGCTGATCCACGAGCGTCGCTCGTCAGGCCACTCCGACTTCTCCCAAAGGAAACCTTCGCGAGACATATTGAAGCGTCGCGATGGTGTTGAAGCGTCGTGGAAGCATTGGCGATATTAACTAGGCCCATTAAAAGCTAAGATTTCAATACATACAACAAGACACGCTAGGCGGCCGCAGGGAGGGGTACCGACAAAGAGCGACCATATCCTCTTGGGTTGAATGTGTTGCAATCAACCTTCGCGGGCCAGGTAGTCGCAATGTTCTTCTCATGGGCATTGGCATTCAAAGTGGAGAAGAGGAAGAGATGAATAGCATCTACCGGCTTTAGTTGGTACCTTGACTATACACTGGTAAAGAATTGATCCAAATGGCCCTGATCAGGATGCATACTATCCATTCTTGACCTCTGCGTCCGTCCTCTGCGAGCACCAGATCAACCATCGAGTTCAGCATAGACAACGAGACCCACAGTAGGTGTTTACTAACCTCATTTCCGATGGTTTTCGGAAGAGGCCCGAGCTACCTACGTAGACCTCAACACACTAGAGGAATCATGATGCAATGGCGGAATCAGCGTCCGCACAACTCCTAACCCCGCAAAAGGTACACGCAGGTGCCAAACGTCATGCTCGCGCATACAATAGACCGGCCGGAAGTCAACGGCCCTTTGTACTGCCTCCTAGAAATGAGCAAAGAACAGAACGTTGACCGCTCCCAGGATATACCACGCCGAGACTTACGACGCTAACCGCTGTGAGCGAGAGCGCGAAAGCGACACGCTTAGCAATCAAGGAACAAAGACAGTAGGCCAAGGGAACTGTCTGGATAGAATGGATCCCAAATCTGGGGATTGACATGCATGGTATGTCTAATGTCCGACTTGCATGTCTTACGCACGCTCTCTTGAAGTGTGGATCCTCGTCAATCTACGCTATCTTGACTACATAAACTAAGAACTAGGGGGCCGAAGGCTTGTATATCCCAGTCTCCGGCAGATCAACACAGCCGTTATGTGACAGTCAGCCAATGGTTGTTACTTTGTATTTCATCTAAAGGAACTAGCCGTCGTTTTGCGGCAAGGCCTGTCCTTTAGTGTCATGATCAACGGACGGCTTCATCCCCAGCATCTAGCACGTCTCGGGACGACGCACGATATTTCGACCGAGGACGAGAGCCATGATAAATCGAAATCCGGTTGTCCGGACCCACGCGTCCCATCTTTCTATCGCAGCATGCGTGTGCTACTTAAAGTCACTTGTGCGTCGCGCAGTTAAGCACCAGTTCAAACCCACGTGTGCCGCTTTCGACCATCATCATGTTGCTGTCGTCCCTCATCGCCAGTTTCGTTGCCTTATCGGGTACCGCTGCTGCACTACCTCAATCCCAGCCGTTTAGAGAGGTCTTGCGCAGGAGACAAGGTACTACAAGTAATGCTCTAGAGATTGATCTGGGCTATGGGATCTATCAAGGTTCCAGCAACACGAGTACTGGTATAAACACTTGGAGAGGGTACGTTCATCTCTCACCTTGAACAATCAATGCTGATATACTGCTTCAAGAATTCGCTTCGCTGCTCCACCAACCGGTGGCTTGCGCTGGCAACGACCCCAAACACCACCCGTAAATCGAACTTCCACCATCTCCGCAGATGCCTATGGGCCTCAATGCCCCCAAGTTGGCTTCAGTGGAATGTCGAACATGCAGTCGGGCGGCACAACACCGCAAACCTCAGAAGATTGCCTTTTCCTCAATGTCCAAAGCCCAGCCAACGCGACAGATCTCCCTGTTCTCGTATGGATCCATGGTGGCGGTTATGGCGCTGGCAATGGCCAGCAAGACTTTACTGACCTCCTTACGACTACTGGAAACAACTTCGTCGTCGTATCAATTCAGTACAGGCTGGGACCGTTTGGCTTTCTCGCATCTGACGAGGTAGTCCGGAAGGGTGTGGCGAATGCCGGAATCTTGGATCAGTTCTTCGCTCTCCAGTGGGTGCAGACATATGTTAGCCAATTTGGAGGTGACCCTTCAGCTGTCACCATATCCGGTGAAAGTGCTGGCGGTGGATCAGTCATGCTTCAAGATATGGCCTATGGTGGCTCATTGGGCGACTCTTTGTTCCGCAGCACCATCGCTGCATCACCCTATCTACCTAAGCAGTACGCTTACAACAGCTGGATTCCGACACAAAACTACTATGCCTTTGCTAATCGCGCTGGCTGCCCAATAGCCGCATACAGCAACGCATCCTCCACAATCTTCGATTGCTTGGTATCGCAAGATACGGAGACGCTACAGAATGCTTCTCAGGAAATGATGAACACTGCGACGTACGGAACGTGGGCTTTCTTGCCAGTGACTGACGGGGTGTTCATTCAAGACGGGCCAAGCAGCCAACTGCTCGAGAAGCGTGTGAACGGGCGAAATGCTTTGATCGGAAATAACGCCAACGAGGGACCTCTATTCGTACCTCAAGACATCACTTCCAATGACGACTTCCTCACCTGGCTTCGCAACAACTTGCCCGAATTCACCGACTCTGATATCGCGAAGGTTCTACGCTATTACCCAATTAGCAACACTGCAGACTCTTCTGACGCGGATGAGTTTGCGACGAATGGTGTTACTGGGCCTAGTGCGCTCGACCAAAGCTCGCTTGCTACAGGACAGCAGCAGCGCGCTAATAACCTTTACGCTGAACTGACTTTCGTATGCCCATCGTACTGGATGGCCGAAGCATACACCGGCGGTGAACGCTCCTCGTACAAGTACCAGTTCAGTCCTCTCCCTGCCACCCACGGTGGGGACTTGCAAGGGTACTTTGGACCGTTGGGCTCCGTGCCATACCTAAGCACCGACTTCCAGCGTGCTTTCATGAATATCTGGGGAAATTTTATCACTCAAGGCAACCCATCAATCTCTGCTTCCGTTGCAGCAGGCTCTTCTTCGTCTAACACTACTACAAATACCACTGCCGCGACCCAATGGCCAGCCTTCTCAGTCGCCGAACCGTATCAACTCGATCTCAACCAGACAGGTGGTGTCATGGCCGTTGGTTCGTCGGAAATCGGCTCACCGGTCAACACGACCTACTTCACTGGACCAGGTCTTATGAACAACTTTACACTTGTTGATGCGTACACTTGGGAGGCTGGACGCGGTATGAGATGCGACTTCTGGAGGAGCGTAGCCGACATCATCCCTGCATAAACTATGGGATCTAGAAGTGCAAGGGCAGCTGATGATTGCGCACATGTAAAGCCGGGTGGTACTTCATTCAGTATCCTGTTAATTCTTTAACCATATGTTGATGTCCGCTCATCTCCTCGTTTCCCCGCCAAGTCCCGCGTAGCCGTATCACGTATTCTAGATGACTATCTTTGCGATCCATCGTGTTTGCGCAGCTGAGTGCAAGGCTCTCTACTGGTCGCACAAAGATTTAATTCATACGGAAGTCAAAAGCTCCAGTGGAGCACAGCAGGGGCGTCGTGAAAGCAAGAATCCTACGAACGCAACCTACATTGTCTAGCATGGCTACCTGAATCTCATCTCTACATGTAATACCTGGTTGGCTACAACTCGGTGCCTCAACTTATCACTCAAACTCAATCAACTTACCTTGGACACTCAGTCGAATCAGAGAGTGACAAGATAACTTTACCCAGTCCACAAATATAATCATCATTGCTTCGACCACCCTGAGGCGAGTATCGTCTACTAGAGTGAAGTGCAAGTTTGCTAACAACGTTCATCATAGAAATCCGCAATCAAATCTACGAACATCGACTCGTCCAATGGCTAGGATTGAAGTACATGCCGCCTATCAGAGACGGTACAAACCAGAAGCTCTCAAGATACAGCGATACGGCTCTCGGATTGACTCATGCGTGTCGACAATTACACGACGAGTTTCAATCACTTCAGACAAAAGAGACTTATGTCCTCGTGAATCTCGAGGCTGTAAACTGATAGATCACTGACCTCATCCGGAACCGAGCAAGTACCAGTGGGCATTCGCTGATCAGGATACCACTTTCTTGTTCGACCATAAGCCTTCTGCCATTGGTTCCCTTGAAACATGCATTCCAGTTCGTGGACGTACGGCTCCAGCGCGTTGCTAAATTTGGCGTGGAATGTGAAGACGCCGAGTACGAGAAACATTATGTTTTGCCGCACTTGATCGATTCCATATTCTACCTCGGGCGGAGTGAAGTATGGCGCAACTATATTCATGATTCGATTACTAATATCACTATCAAGCATCACGAGTCTCTTTCTTGGACTATCGAGGTCAAAAAGATAGCTAAGGAAGATTGGATGCTTTGGGATACTGCGACACCGCAGGAGAGCTCGTGGAAGAAATTTCGGGCTACTAATACGATGTCGAAGATAAGGATTGGACTGGGTGGTATCATGAAGCCGAACGTCGTTGTGGCTTCCGACTGAGCATTTGGGCAAAGCAACGATAAAATCTGGCGTGAAGAAGGCATGTGGCTTTGCTAGGGTGAATGAAGGGACATTTATGATGCAGGTAGCATACTGTGGTTCCATATTCGTTGCGATCTAAACGTCGGTTGTGTGAAATATAGTCACAAAACATTTGCGTACAATTTTCGAACTGAACACATATTCAAGACAGAAGGATAGTTTTTAGACGCCATCATCAAGTATCGAAGCTCTTGGATCGTCCCATAAGACTTGAACTTGGAAATGGGTTCATCATCAAAAGTAAAGCACGCTAACTGCCCTTTACAGATAAACGTAGCACAGCGGCTCTCCATCTAATGTGCTCATCATATCCTCGTTGCTTATGGTTGGTAGATTAAGATAGTTCATCTGAATAGGGTCATCAAGCCTAGCATCTCTGCTAGGTGGCTGGTTGAAGATAGTGATCGTACCAGCGATGGACTTGGCTTGATTGAGGTGCAGCGCCTGCCAAAGCCACCATACGTGGTCGATCATAGCATGATGAAGGAAAAATGCAGGGTCGGTAGGGCTGCTGAAAACATCACCGGCATCGCCACCAATTGCGAAATGGCCTGCGGCATGCATACCGAGGAAGCCGTCAGGAAAGCGTCCCTGGAGCTCGTCTTGGAAGCGACCAATGTTCTTGGAGGCTGTTCCGAGGGTGACGTTGTAGAGGTTGTCCAAGGTCAACCAAGTGGAGGATGCGTAGGAGGTCAAATCCCTCTTTGCGCAGCGTGGGTTCCATGCAAGTGGTGATGATGACGCAGCCTCGCCGGCCATCGATGGAGAAACAGGGCCAAGATTGATTTGGAGACTGATATATTAGAAAGCTGCAAATTATGCATTGTTGAGATCTTGGGCTTACTTCCTGAATGGACCGTCCTTGATGCAGCCACCTCCTGCGCCGGAAGGTAGCGCAATAGTGCCTTTGCCACCCGCACTTCCGTTGTGCTTCACATAAAAACCATCCCCGCCCATGCTTGTTGCGGAGCCGTCGAAGACAGGGTGCTTAGTGAGGTTATCTGTATGGCTGAACCAGTTCCAGTACGGCTGGGAGCCTTTGTATCCGCACTCGTCTCTTAATGCCTTCTCGTAGCCGTGCACAAAGTACCTGCAGATGTGGAGTTATGAAGTCAGCATATGTCTCACATACATTTTGTAAAGTCATAACCTACCTGTGCCAACTCAAGAAGTTACCAGTTCCGTGGATCGTTAACGTCTGGTTGATGTGTTGTGCGACGAAGTCATCGTAGCGGGTTTTTGCGCCAGGTACTAGAAGCGGATCGGATTTGGATGGAGCGTCGAACATACACTGTACAGCATTGATATATGCTTTTCGCTCCTTCGCACTTATGAAAGCCCTGACCAATATGTTAGTTTTCTTACTTGTCTAGTGTGTCGGAAATCTTACCAATCTTTGCGAACGGTCGCGGTAAGAATAGAGCACCCCCCGCTCTTCTCAAGAGTACCATTCTTTTCTGCAGCCTTCAGGTTCTCAAGGGCCTGGTTTTGGAGATCCGAAAGCAGATCCCTCTTTTCGACCGCTAGGGATTGGACGGCACCGGCGAATGCCAGAACGGCAGTCGGGAGGCTACAGAAACGCATCATGAGCGTAACATTAAACTAACGAGGATAGCTGGACAAGACCCCCTGCGCTTAGCTGAGCGATGAGAAATTCCGTTTATGGTGGGGGGAATGCCTTCTAATATGCTTGACTGCCGACACCGTGCCGCTGAAAAGCATCTCGAAAGTCTACGCATGCAGAGACGGGGACCGAACACTTACAGCCAAAAGACCGCCACGACCTTTCTAGTGTGTAGCTAAGAATTTTTGGCTTTGGTTAGCACTAAACCTGGTGAGACTGTGCTATCCGGTGCAAAACCCAATTATCGTATAACCGAGTGGCCTGAGCCGGTGGGTATAATCTGCGAAACGCATGTTCTGGTACGAAGGCTTTGCAGATAGAACATGCGACGTGCGATCTCCGGTCTTCTAGTTTGTCCGTATCTGTGAGCATGCTGCACTGACATTTATCGTGGAAGGCTGATCGAGTAGTAAACAAGGACTCTAGTGATCCTTTGACATTTTCTTTGCTTCCCTTGGGATGGAGGACTCTCTTTGTGCGCAGCACACTACTAAAGGAGTGAGGCCCACCACTGCTAAGTGAGTGTTCGAAGGATCGACGCACGGGTGACGGGATTACGGACTTAGTACGATATTCAGCGCCCACACGTGGTACACGTGATTGGAGGATTCCATGTACCAACGCAGGTATCACGATTGCCGTGCGGGCCGAGGCGATGTATTTTCCATGTGTGGATGCTAATATATCGGTTTCCCGAATCCTATGGAGGTGGGTCACTCTATCGGAAAGGATTGTGGCTACATCTTACATCGCTCCATAGCGGCTTAGTGCTGCAGGTGCCCTGGTATCATGAATTACTGCTCGGCAGCCTTGTGCGCCAGCTGGATCGTGCATCGCGGCTCGAACGCCTCGGACGCCGCATCTCGTATGGGCAGGAGCTTGTGAGTATCCCCTACCTCAAAGACACGCACTGAACCATGACCACCGATAACAACATCTTCATCTGGATCATTACGATTCCTTATCACATGTTCCGTGGTCTTGGTTAAAGTTTTTGGAAAACCATTGCTACTTCATAAGCGTCTCTTGGCGTGTATCGACAGTATACGAGTCGATCTAAATGGCTTCGTTTCAGAACCCGCGAAGAGAGTGCCAACGCATCTTCAGAGTCCAAACATCGGCTGGCTCAATCATAGCATGATAATGCCGTCGAAATGGACTTCAGTAGATCAGAGGCATATCCCTTGAACAGGAAAGTGACAGCACGTTCCCTTCTGCATGGCAAGTCTCCATCTTGTACTAGTGAATGATCTTATGTATTGTGTTACCGCTGAAGCGAGTCGTATGTACTAAGTGCCTCTCGCGAGGTCTGTCAATTGATCTAAAGGAAAAAGACATACAGACATATTCATACAGATGCCCACCCATCTTATGCTGAGACCCAACGCCGACGCCCGGGTGATTAAGATGAAAGGAAATCCGTCAATGGTATAGAACAATTCCGCCCAATCTAAAACGCCTGTTGTCTGTCCCAAGAAGGACATTCCCAATTGTGAGTTCAAGGTACTGCAAACTCAAGTAATTCTCCTCTTCAACCCTCCAAACAACCCTTTAAGGCCGCTTGACTCTTCTTTCTTCTTCCTCCTGTCTCGTCGGTCAGTCTCGCCGCGTCTCGGCCTTGACCGCTCATCGCCATGGTCTCGAGCGCGGGGCCGATCAGACTCTACCCGACGACCGGATGGTCTCTCTTTTTCGACGATGGAGATACGGCGTGTCTTTGGGCGTTCTTCTGGCTTGGACATACGCCTGCTTCGACGACGCTCGCGTCTCTCCTCATCGGAGATTGAGAGTTCACCGACGACTGCAGCTGCGTCTTCGATCACTGGCGATCCAGCCTGCTCGACGGGTTCGGGCTCTGGCTCTGGCTCGTATTCGAAAGGCTCAGGAGGTGGAGGAGGTAGATCCTCAGGTGGCGGAGGCGGCGGCGGAAGAGAAATCCCTCCATCCCGCCCACCAGACATTTCGTGCTCGGGACGGCGCATATAACGTCGCTCCTCTTTCCATTTGTAGTAGTCAGCTTCTTCCTCTGCAGAAGCGAAGCGGCGTTGACTGTGAGAAGCACGCCGACTGCGGTGCATGCGCTCGGGACGTTCTCGGCTTTGGTCTGATGATTGGTCTCTGCTTGACGGCCGCTCGGCTTCCGGTTCTCTTCGCGATGACTTGGCAGGCGTCGTCTCTAGAGTATTTGCGCGAGCGCGAGTTGACCTGGACGGTTTCGAACTCGGTGGGGTCGGATCGGGCTTCGAGCGACCAAAGATGCCGCCAAAGAGGCTACCGCGCTTCACGTTTGGTGGAGTCTCTCGAGTACTCAAGCGTCTGCGCGGTGCACTACGAGGAGGGGTTTCGTCGCCGGTGGGCTGTAATGGAGGCGGGGGTGAAGCATTGTCGTCATCTTCCTCTGCTGCTCGTCGAGCAGCATCGCGAGAAAGTTCAACAAGCTCGTCCTTCGGCTTCAAACCGGCCGCTTTGGCTGCTTCTCGCTCCGCCCTCTTCTGACGCCGCAACCTCCGTGCCTCTTCTTCTTCGCGCGCAGCCTGTTCAATCTTCTCTTGCTCCAAGCGCCTCGCCTCCTTCTCAGCCTCGTGTCGTTGCCGCCTCTTCTCATGTCGAAGACGTCTCTCCTCTTCTTCCATTGCAATCCTCTTCTCCTCTTTCAGCTTCTTACGTTCCTCCATTGCTCTCATAAGCTCTTCTTCGGCACGTCTGACCGCACGACGTCGCTCACGATGCTCCAACTTTCTCGCTTCCTCCTCAGCCTTCAGGCGGGCAGCGTCTGCTGCAGCAAGCCGCTCTCTCTCAGCCCTCTCAGCTCGCCGCACTTCACGTCGTTTCTGTCTTTCGGCTTCTTCGTCGACTTCCTCAGCAGGTTGGCGCTTGCTGTACCTCTCTTCACCCCTAGCTTCTCGATGGCGTGAGCGGTATTCTGGATATGCCTTCTCATATGCCTTCTCTCTGTCGCTGCCACTACTCGGTTTCTCGGCCTCGCGGAGTCTTTCTCTTCTTCGCTCAGCTTCGCGCTCAGTCATACTGTCACGCCGTCTTGTTCTTGGCACATCAGGGACGGCCGAAATTGGCATTGTTGGTCGTTCCCTAGTGCTAGCACCACTTTCACGTCTACGGCTAGACTGGTGTTGACTCTCGCGACGGGAGTGCGAATATCGGCGACGAGTCTTCTCACGGCTGGGAGTATCAGCTGATGGGTCGTCCTCCACTGCAAAATCGCGCTCCTTGACCATATGATCATCAGTGGTATCGACCAATGCAGCAACAACGGCAGGTGGTGGCGGCGGAGGTGCGCTCGGACTTTCACCAATATCGAGGGACCTATCCGCTACAATTTCTTCCGTCTCCGCCTCTGGGTCTGGTGCCGACACATCCCTTGCACCATCGTCCTCCACCACAACTTCGGCTGTAGCATCTGGCTCTGGTTGAGCGGGTTCCTCGGCTTCTTTTGTTAGCTCTGGCGCCACTGTCGCCTCAGCTAGTTCCACGGGCTCCTCCGGAATTGGTTCAGCTGGTGGCTCGGACTCTTCAACGGTAGCTGTAGAGTCGGGTTCTGGCTGCTCTTCAACAGGGGCTTCTTCGGGTGGTGCCTGTGGCTGTTCTTCCTCGGGCTCAGCAGAAGGCGCTGGTGCCGGCTCTTCGTCGTCGTTGAGTTCTTCAGCTACTTGGTCTGGTTCTGGGCCGGAAGGTGGGTCATGAACGGCTGCGGCAGCTTCTTCGACAATATCGTCTTCTACCACTAGTTCAGCAGGCTCGGCAGGTGCCTCTACTACCTCTGCTGCAGCCTCTTCAGGTGGTGTATCATCTGCTGGCGCTGGCTCCGGTGAGGCTTGTGCTTCCTCCGCCTCGGCATCCTTCTCTTGGCTTACCTCAACTGCTGATGGTTCATGATCCTCCACAGCATCTTCAGAACCATCATCTGAACTGGCCTCCTCAGCAGGCGAATCTGGTGCGTCCTCAACAGGAGATGCTGGCTGAATATCGACCGATTCCTCTACAGGTGCAGGGTCGACGGGTTCGTCCTCCTCGGCTACATCAGGCTCAGCTTCAGGGGCTTCATCTGGCGTCGCCGCCGGTTCTTGCGTATCGTCGACCTCGTCAGCCGACGCCTCGTCAGTGTTGTCTATATCAGCATCTGGTTCTACTGGCTCCGCTTCAGGTTCCTCTGCGACTGCTTCCGCTGTCTCTGTTTCGGTGGGCTGTTCCGCCTCTTGCTCAGTCGTTGGTGCATCTCCCGCTTCAGATGCTTGCTCCTCGGCATTAGCGGCCTCCTCGATCATTGAATCTTCAGCTTCCGGTACGCCATCGTCTGTTTCTTCCGTGTCGATTGAAGCCTGAGTAACATCGTTCTCGGCGTCAACAAGGTCCTCCGGTGGTGAGATCGACTCTCCCATCTCGCTCTGACTGTCAGATCCGCTCACCAGAGAGGCTTTATGAGCCTCATCCTCCTGGGAGGCCTCTTCTTCTACTCCTGGTGCATCAGCCGGCTCGGGCACTTCCATAGCTGCTGCTACCTCTTCTTCAGGCCCAGTGGACCCTTCTGTTGATACCAAGGAGTCGTCATTGGCTGACTCTTCTTGGATAACAGCACCAGCATCATCATCGCCGGCCTGTTCTTCCTCTAAAACCGTTTCGAGAGCGGGATCAGATGGGTCGTCGACCTCCGATGCTGGGGACTCCGCCTCTGGGATAATCTCAGATGTTGCGACATTTACTTCGAGCGATAACCCTGGAGGCGTTTCCGTGACTGGGGCGGATTCTACTGATGGCTCCTGACTCTCGGCAGCTTCTTCATCGTCAGGGTTCGCGGCATCTTCCACCGACACCGTACTCTGTTCCTCTTCATGGCCTTTTGAGGAAAGCTCCGAAGCAGACTCGTCATCTGAGCCAGCATCGTCATCAACAATTGACTGGCCCTCCGGCGGCGCATCAGGCTCGGTAACAGCGACAGCAGCATCCTCACTCGGCGGAACATCTTCGGCATTGGCTGTTTCATCTTGAGCGGGTGCCGAGTCAGGCGTGTCGTCGGCTTGTGGAACTTCGGATGCCGGAGGCGCAGCAGATACCTCAGACGAAGACCAGTTATCATCTTCGGACTCAGACCCAGACTCACTTCCCGCATCGGAATCCTGCTCTTTCGCTGACCCATCATCCGGCAATGGTCCAGTGTTCGCGTCCATTGAAACCTCCGAATTCTGATCGGACTCAACGTCCTCGGGAACCTATAAGAGGTTAGCATACTTTATTGAACGAAGAACAGACAAATGTGTAAGTCATCTCAAAATCGACCACATCTTCATACGTACCACTTCCGGCGCTTTCTTGGTCGGCATGTCTGGTGGAGAGTAGGGTTCGGCTTCTGCTAGCGCAATGTTTGCTACTACAACATCATGATCGGTCGTTTGAGGATTATCTTGAACAACAGTTGAATCGCCCACGGCGTCTTCCGTATGGTTCTCTTCAATCGCTGGTTGTTCAATCGGCGTCTCAACGTCAGCTTCTTTGGAGACAGGGTCTGGGCTGACTTCGCTTGTCGCGTCAGCCGGGATGCTTGCGCATGGTTCGTTCAAATTATCGTCAAGGTTGGGTAGAGCTGCTTCAGTCTCGGCTGCACCAGGTCAGCCGCTGTGGTACATGACCACTTTCGAGAGGGGAGAAATGTCGCTGGTGTGCAAGCAGAAGTACAATCACGAAAAAAAAAGAAGACGAGATTCAGATATGACGGGGATGTCGGGAGCCAAATCACAAGCGGCAGGGCTAGCGCGGAGCAAAACCACGCATCTTGCAACGTCGACAAATTGCGACGCATGTATCGCAGCCCGAATTTCATGGCGACATACAAACTTCCACGTGACGATAAGCTAGTCGCAGCGGTGGCAGAAAGTCCGCAGAATGTGCTGGCAGGTGGGCCAAAGGAAAATATGGGGCGTCCAATGGGGCATTCCCACCGCTGCTTGCTAGCCCGATTCGCCGCCTAAATGGCGCGCTATCGTGGAAACGTGCGTAATTGAGCCAGCGAAAAGAAGTGCATGTACAACATAAAGATGTGAAACACAAAAAACATAGCATATACGTACCTGTGCATGCATCTGGATTCTCCACGTCATCGGGTGTAGCCGAGACTATGACTTGCTCGCTGTCCTTGGCAGCCTCGCCATTCACCGCCGGCTCCAACTCAGCGGCCGGCGATTCGTGTACAGTCGCATCCTCTGGTGCGTCCGTGCCCGAATCGCTGATGGTGTTCTCCTCTGATGCATCTGGTTGGCTGATACTTGTGTCGGGTTCTTGTGGTGTAGGCACATTGTCAGCTGTGTCGACGACATCCTGACTACCAGTAGTGGGCTTTGCATCTCCAGTATCGTCTTGACTAGGCGAATCAACTTCGACTTGGATTGGCTCTTGATCGATTGCGGTTTCATGAGCTTCAGAGACCGTCTCTGGTGGCTCACATAGCTCTGCTGTTGGGTCAGAGGTTGAGGGCTCCTCATCTTGTGTCTCGTCTGGGCCTCGTTGCGTAGCATCGTTCTGCTCCGACGCCTCTGGTTCAAGAGTCGTATATGTGTCGCCGGCAGGCTGCTCGTCCTCAACGACGACATCGGTAGGCGGAACAGAGGCTGCAGTGTCGATCTGCTGAACCTGCTCTACGACCTCGGGTTCCTGCTGATCTGTTGGCTTCTCTGTTTCTGGTGTAGGCTCAGATGTATCTTGAGCGATGCTGTCGTCTTCAAAGTCTTGGTGCTCAGAAGGGTTGGTGTCGCTCTCACCAGCCTGCGATGAAGCATCATCGTCAATTTCCCAGTCGGAGATACCTATATCGCTGACATCGTTTTCATCTTTCTCCCAATCGGAAATATCTTGCATAGTGTCTGCGGTCGCCATGTCCTCATCGTTTGCTACAGTCTCCGCTGTCACGACTTCGAGAGGTGCAATGATTGCCTTATCATCTGGCTCATTGTTGGCACCTTCAGTATCAGCGGTGCCTTCGGTCGCTACAACAGGCTCGCCTTGTGCTACATCAGCCATGACTTCGGTTGTTTGGGTGTCCTCAGGTGAAGGTGTCGGTACGTCGTCCTCAGTCGACTGAGAAGCACTTGAAGAATCCGCTTCTTGTGGCGCTGTTGTAGACTCGCTAGCGTCGTCGGCTGGAGTAGGTACGGGTGCGTTTACTGTGACTGAAGTTTCAGTCGTGTCATCGGCTTGCAACTCATCTGTGATGTTGTCAGCATTGATTACAATCTCACATGGTTCGGTGTCGCCCGTGACTTGACGGTAAGCGAGAAGTGAACTTACCCGTGGTATCAGCACACGACTTATCTGACTCAGCGACATCTGTCAGCGGCTTGGCCTCCGGTTCTCCAGCATCTACAACTTCAACTTCGTCATCCTTCTCAGTCGCCGGCAGGTCGTCGGATGTGACAGTCTCAGGCTCCGGAGCTTCTTCAGTAGTGGGAAGTTCTAGGGAAGAATCTTCAACAGCCGAGGGTTGAGACCCATCAGATTCTCCTTCATTCAAAGTATTTTGAGGTGCAGCATCGACCTGTTCTGCTGCTGGTGAGGTCTCAACCGGAGGCTCTTGATCCGCTGCAGGAGATGTTTCGACATCTTGCTTCTCGTCGGCTAAAGGCTGTTCTTGGGCAACACTCTGTTCTGGCTCTGGTTCAGCAGTAACTTCTACTACCTCAGCCTGAGAAGACTCATTAGGTGGTATGTCTTCAGCAGCAGGTATGTCTTCAGCAGCAGGTGTCTCAGCTGTGGGTGCCTCCTCAACAGTAGGCAATTCGTCGGAAGTAGCTATCGCTTCAGCGGCAATAGTCGCCTCACTGGCTGGTGTCTCTTCAGTAGCAGGTGACTCGTCGACAATGATTTCTTCTTCAGTCTTTGGTAGTTCTTCAGGTGCAGAAGTCTCTTCAACAGTCGGTGTGTCCTCTGTGGCAGGAGTGTCTTCGGGTGCCGGTGAGTCTTCAATAGCTGGGGTGTCGTCAGTGGCGGGGCTGTCTGTAGAGGATGGTGTCTCCTCTGCAGCAGCTGTGTCTGGAGCATCGGGCATATTGTCAGCCTGAGAAGCTTCTTCTCCGGCAGCGGCTGTCTCCTCAACAGCCGGTGCCACTTCAATCGAGGACGGTTTCTCGGTAACGGGGGTATCTTCAGTATCTGAAGTATCTCCGGAGGGGGATGGTTCCTCAGTAGTGGCCGACTCTGCAGGAGCAGTCGTCTCATCAACAGCAGGTACTTCTTCAGTCGGAGCTTGTTCGTCTGCAAACGTCGTCTCTTCTCCAGAGGGTGCCGTTTCGGCAGTGGTTGTCTGTTCAACCGCAGGTGGTTCGTCTACGACACCCGCCTCCTCAACAGCGGACGTCTCTTCGGTAGCTGGCGGATCGTTAGCTGCCGGTGTTTCTTCCGGAGCAGGAGGTTGTTCTTCGACAGCCGGCGCCTCTTCCACAGCAGAGGGTGGTTCTTCAACTACGGCTGAGTCCTCAGTGGTAGGTGTATCCTCCACTGCAGGCAGGCTGGCTTCCTCTTCCGCGATGACAGGTTCTTCCGCGACGACAGGTTCTTCTGCTGGCTCTGGTGTCGCTTCAACAGAGCTATCCGCTTCGGCTGGCTTCACTTCGTCTGAAGATGCTATTTCTGGCACGACCACGTCTCCGCTGTCTGTTGAAGCTTGTTCTTGTCCGGATTCCGCTTCGCTGGATGGTTGTGGCTCATCGCTTGTGGCATCCAAAGCTTCTACAGGTGGCTCTGGTGTAGAAGCTGGTTCTTCGGGAGCCGCATCCATTGCCGGCTCTTCCGAGGAGGAAGGGGTATCTTCGGTGACGGGATCGGTCGCGGCAGTCTCCTCTGTTACGGGCTCAGTAGCACTAGCATCTTCAATAGCGGCGACAGGAACGTCAGGCTGTGGTGCTGCATCACCAGATGGCTCAGGAGTATCTACGGGCGTTTCTGCCGACAATGGTTCGGCATCAGCAGCGGGTTCGGCAACGATGGGCACGTTATCTTCAGCCGGAGGGCTGTCCGTGACTGCTTTATCTTGTGCCTCCATAGTGTCCTCGCCGATAGCGACCTCTTCTACCACGGCTAGAGTATCATTCGGCGGTGGTGGTGGGGGTACGGTCTCGCTCACGATCGATTCTGAAGCGTCTTCGGTGGGTTCCTCGATTATGACGCTTTCGGATACGTCTGAAGGGGGTGCATCTCCATCAATAATTACGACCGACCCATCATCACCTGGTGGTGGACTTCCATCATTACTAGATTTCTTCCCTCTTGACTTCCTACCATCCGCTTTGCTGGATATCAGTTTCTCACTTGCCAATGCTGAGAGCAACGAACCCCTGCGCTCCTTTTTGATGATGCTGATTGGGGTCATAACCTTCTTCTTTTCCTCCTTCGGCGGCGACGGAGGGGGAACGGATATCGAGGGCTTCCTGGGACGAACAAACGCGGTGGCCTTGCCTTTACCAAACGCCAATTGTTTCTTCTTTTTTGCGGCGTCTGGGTCTTTCGTGTCAGAGGCAAAGTGGACAAACTTTTCGGTTGGGGATTTCGGGGGCTCTTGAGCGGCCTGCTCGGACTCACCACTCTTCTCACTCTCAACGACTACAGGCTCAGGTGTTGCATCCACGGGTGGCGCTGGTGGCGGAGGCGGCACAGGCTCACTAGGGAGTACTGGCGAAACCTCTGGTGCTGGTGGCCCTGCTTCAGGTGCGGCAGGTTCAACCTCCACCGGTACTTGTGAAGCCGGCGGAGGCGGCAGTACTTCGACGTTCGTGGCATCGCTTGGTCCCGGAGGTTCATCTTTGACGTCCTCGGTCACGACTTCGGCTGCCACAACATCATCTCCACTACTGGAGACAGCCTCTGCTTGTTGCGTTGGTGGGTCTTCGGGTATAGTTTCTGCGGGGACTGTTGCTAAAGGTGTATCTGTAGTTACTGAAGGTTCCCCTGGGGGAGGCACTTCTGGTATGGCAGAAGATGTGACCTCTACTGGTGTGGCTTCTGACACAGCTAGTGGCTCTGAGGCATCTGGTGCCGTCGAAGCGCTTCCTGATTCTACAGTGGTCAATTGGACATGTTAGACATAGCATATTCCAAGCATACCTGCTTGCTCATCATTGCTACCCTTATCATCAATCACGTGCGCAATGCCCGTGTAAGAGAATTTCGGAGTAGGTGCAACTACGCGGCGGTAGACAGGCTGAGTCTGTGGTTGGGTCGCGGTAGCATAGAAGTTCTTGCCAGTGTTTGTGCTGGCGCTGGCGTATGGGTTTGCCCATGGCGATATCGAGACATTGTCGAACTGGCGCATGGTGGATCAAACAAAGTCAATGCGGTGTTCTGGAATCCAGATGTTCGATAAGTTGTGATACACGCTATAGATGTTTTCTTCGTTCCATAGCTGATGATAACAAACAGTAGGTATGCAATGGCGACATGAGACGTGGGGTGCGAGCATTGATTGCGGAGAGACGAATGAGAAACGGGTCAGTCTAGACGGAAAGCACAGAGGGTGGAGGTGTGCAACGTGCGTGGCTTCAATCGGCCAAAGCTAGACGCAGCGCTGAGATCAGACGAAAGAGAGGTGCAGGACAACTGTCACAAGACATGATGCGAGAAATCGTAAGGAGATGCCTCGCACTGTGGGCGTAATGGTTCGGTAGGCCTCAGATTGGCATACCCGCATACTCCCGCAGGCTCACGCTGAGAAGGCGAGTTTGGCCTGTATGTCTAATTGGTCCACGTAGAGAAACGCAGTTCGTTCAGGTTGATAGAGTTGGAAACTCGGAAGGTGGGGTTTTCGCTGCGATGGCTTTTCGATCATTGGCTCGATGGCGCTCTAGCTTGCAGTTGTGTCGCCAGCGCGGATCGTGGTGTAGCGTTGGATCAACGGCCAAATTTGCGGCACCGGAAGGCCTGAGAGCGTAAAGTGCGGCAAAGCATCAATTAGCAAGGTCCGCCCTTCTAACAGCTTTCTCGACACGCAAAGGAGGGTCGGTGATGCAGGGGCACGCATGGGCACGCATGGGAGAGTCATGGCTAAGATGGAAAAAGTGAGGTGGTTGATGGATTGAGTGACGTGGCGTGGGCTAGGTACAACCTAAGTCGGGTCGGGCCTCATGAATCAGTCGCTTAGTGGCGTCTCTTTCCTGCTCCCCGGCGACGTGGGACACTCACAAAGAAGACACCCTCCTGACCCCACCTTCAAAACCCTTAGTACAGCAAAGCAAAAGCATCTCGGTATGGAGGGGCATCCGGTGACGTCGACTCTAGTTGCAGCGCCAGATTGCGATGCTGCGACTAACTCCCCTCGTTACGTCCAATCTACGACCATGAGCATTGGTGACGTGCATCCAGTCGACGATAGGTGGAATCAATTATGCAGCGGCTATCGAGGATTTTCGAAAAGGCGAGAGGGGTGAGGAGGACTACCCAATGTGGCGGGCGAATCTATTGTCAGTACGTGTTCGCAGTTCATGCTCAATGCCCAATCAACATAGATGAGTTGATTGCCTGCGCTGCAGGCGAGCATGTCGTCAGATGGGCTCATGTAAGCAGACCATCTAGAGATGAGGTTGAATCACGTGTGTGGCTTAGTTAGGGTCAGGAAATCATTCCGATGCTAACTAGAATCGAGTTTCGCTATCTGAATACAGCCCGGAGTACTCTACCCCATCATGTGTTCACCACGGCCTAGCTGTTTAACTTGATAACATCTTGGGGCGGTCCGTATTCTCCTATCGACAAGCTCCTCATGATCTTTTCAATCTCAGAATAGTCATGCCACTCAATCACCTCGGCTTTCTTCTTCGTCTCCGCTGTCCTAGCCCGTCTCATGGCCTCAGCCCACACCCGATTTACCTCTACATCCATCTTGCAAAGTCCACATTGCTTCTTTCCCCTATGCTTCTTCTTTTTACTCTGCATCATCGTGATATGAACATCAAACGTCGACCAAACGCCCTGCTCAAATGTGTTCCACGTAACGAGGTTCATAGTTGGAGCTGAGGTTGATGAAGCAGAGGTTAGCGTTATGGAAGGGCACTTTTCGAAACAGTCGATGTTCTGCAACAATATAGTCGGAGGGCTTCCTTTTTCGGGGTATGCGTCAGCTTTGAACGGTGATGTGCAAAGTCTTGTCGGATTAAGTGTCTTTATCAAGTGGAGAGCTTCGCACCATTCTTGTTTATTTTCGGAGCCGCAGCGTTGCCAAACTTTCTGTAATTTCGTGGCGCTGATGGTGGGTATGGTCCAACGTGAGTTTGTTATGCTTGGTCGGAGTGGGTGTGTTCTTGGTGACGACGAAGGAGATGGAGAGCAGACCAAACATCTGTCTTGGTCTTTTGAGTCGGAGTAGGAACATGCCCAGCATGGAGTGGTGCCGGAAGACATGGCGCTCGCTTCGATGTGATGTGTGTGGTGAGATGGGTTATGTGAAGGTAGAGTATACAGTGTTGGAAAGGGAAGAGCAGAAAAGAAGAGACACCCAAATTACACTGCGGGTGTCTATCATGGCTGATATATTCCGCTTCACAGGTTTGTTGGTATACCAAGTGTTGTGTGGCGCCGAGATTGATATGGAAAGAGCAAACCATGGTTCTAGCAAGATACGTAACCAAGCACGGCAACACCTTTACTCCAGCCGGTATGCTGCACTGAAGTCCACGAAAATCTGGAACCAGCTTACAAGTTTCGGGAGCGCTTGAAGAGAATAACAGTTGCAAAGAACTCGATGTTCCCGTACTCATTGTCATCACTCTTTCCCAATCACGTTCCTGGTGCGCCACCCTCCATGACCCACGCTATTCGAGACGGGAAGGCGCACCAGGCGACAAATTCCTGCAAGTCTGAAGTCTCGTTCTTTCACTCCCCTCAGCTCAGACGTATAGTGCCTTTCCGTTACTGTTCTTCCATCGTCGCTCCCGCTGCTAGAAGATGACGACCATTCCACCCGTAACACAAGATGGCGCACAATTGACCAAGCCAGGTGGGTACTCACCTACACGGCTCGACTGCACCTGCCATGCTATCGGTCTTGTGATTACAATGGATGGTATCTAATGACTGCAGCGGATTGGGCTCTACACATGGTCACCGCATCCCTACAATTCTCTTGTTCGAGCGACGCGCCAGTCTCTTCATACACCACGCCTGATGCCGGTCGCCTCGATGTGCTGAATGTACTCAATTGGTATGAGGCTCACGACGAGTATGAATGGCCCGATTTCAATAAGCTCGGCCTCGATTTTGCCCAGACGATGCGATTTCGACGCGCTCTTGTGAATGATGTCTTTGTCGCACTCTGAAAGGTTGGTGTCATCAAAATCCCTACTGAACCTGGTGTACTTGGATCGCCACAGAGCTCTACAGGTAAGAGAAAGGTTGGCGCGAATGGTGAGTGTCGCACATCTACACCCAGCTATCGATATACTGACGAAGAGGGTAGTGGGCATGCGCATATCTGAGCGCAAACGCCACTGTAGGGACAGTTCAGACACCGAGATTGCGCCCGAGGAAGAAGCAATTTATTTCAAGACAGATAGTTTTCTCGCCAACAGCATGCGGTCACTGATCAACTACACAGGATTGTCTGTTGATGTATACACTTCTGGCCTTGAGCAAGATGAGCGTGTTTCTGAGGAAGGTCTCGCTAACATCGTTCGAGATGCTGTGGTCGAAGCCTGGTGTAGTGACCTTGAAACGTGCTGCTGCTGCTGCTCAACTGCTATCTGCAAGAACAATATCCCGAAGAAGATCCAGAGCGTCGAGCCCAGAGCTAGGAACAAGTAGCGGCGGCACCAATGGCAAGCAATCAGGTGGCATAAGGCCACCTATTAGCTGAGCTACTGGACATGGAGAGTAGCAGACATAAGGCATGAATCTGATCATGTTTGTGAAACTACAAACATCGATATTACAACGAAAACAAAGAAGCCATAAGGTATTGGCAATGAGTAGAATGAACAAGCGAGCACTTACACATATACGTACGTACACAATACAACGCATCATGATTTTCTTCCATATTGGTTTCCAAATTACCGTGTTGCAGTATCAGGTGGGGTATAATTCGTCAATCATATCATCATAAATGTCCTTTGACATCGTGTTCATAGTAGCACCCAGTCCACAGCCACCGTCCATTTCTCCTCTCCGACATCAACATCCCACATAGGCGCGCGGATGCCAACTACACTCCCCGCCTTGACGAGCACACCTCCTGAGGCTCTAGCACCGCCTTGACCAGCTAGCATGATTCTGGTTGGGCCATCTTCGCCACCTGTACACCCTGCTCTCGAAGCATTATACATGCCAGGTTCGGCGTCACCTCGTGCGAAGACAACGCTACCCGCATAGCACTCTACCTCATCTTCTTTATGCGTTTCATCTCCACCCCTCGATAAGCTCGACACCCGAATCCGCAACTTGACGCCATCCTCCTTATCACGACCCCAAACCACACCACCCCTATCCTGCGCCGCGAAGCCTGTATTCGCCGTTTCTATGATCCAGCTGGTCACTGTCGAGGCTAGACCGTTGTGTACGTATTTGCCGTTCTTTCGTGTAGGAGAGAAGATCTCGGGGAGTGGCCGAGAGGGTTTCGGTGGTGAGGTAGGTAGTGCGGGGAGTATGAAGTGTGGGCGTTGCGGAGCAGCTGCTGGGGTGGAAGTCACCGCTGCGATACTGGGGAAGGGTGCAGGTGTTCGTGGCGGTGGGACTTTGAAGCGGTGCGTCGTTGCATTAGATACGGGAACAGGTGTAGAGGGCTCAGACGGTCGTTGGAGCGATGGGGAGCTTGCTGGAGATATACGGCGACGCTTGTTCGTTTGGACTGATTCGAAGAGCATCTCATCTTCTTGGTTTTCCTCCCGTTCTATCCAAGGGCCCAGCTGCGCGTCCCCACCTTCGATGGATTGCATGACAACCTCACTATTCTCATTCTGCGCTTCTGATTGGCTTGATTGAGATGGTTCTTCTATGCTTTCTACCCGCTCAAACTTCCTTGGTGGCTTCGTAAGCGCCGTGAAGTGGGTGAATGTATCTTCTTGCGCATCATCGCGCCCCTCTTTGATGACTTGATTTGTCTGTCGTGGCGGCGCAAGTACGAAGCGTTTCGCAGGCGTCAGTCTCTTGAACTCTAGCTCAGGCTTCTGTTGCGCTCTTTTTATAGGGCCTGGTGTCTGTATAGCGAGAGCACTGCGCAGGCCGGATTGGGGTTTCTTAGACTTCTGGGTCGAGTGTGGATTGGGTGCTAGGAAGCGGTGCGGGGAGGGCGTATGGGTAGGCATCGTATGGAAAACATGGATGATTGCGGCAGCTCTGATATGGCAAATAGGTGGTGTTGAGTGTAACTATCGTGGACGGAAGCATGGCCGTGGTGGCGAGGCTGGCCATTGCCAACGCCAGCGCAAGCGCGATGCAGTCGCGAAAACGCGGGAGCGCGCGGTCACGGGATAGAAACGTCACATGTGCATTGCGTTCATAGTGGGCGCTTCCAGGAATTCTTTACATCTCATAATCGTTCTTCGTCCCTCGGCAACAGTACCGACTGTGTGAAAGCTTGCGCCGTATTTTGTTTCTGTAAAATAACGTGATGCTCTCAACGTACCTCTAGGGCTTACGACGCAGCTGCGTGGGTGGCCGCAGTGTCATCCGTGGCTCACATGTCAGGATCAAAACAAATAGATGGATTCTACAACCTCGGAAGTCTGCATAGATAAGCTTTACCGCGCTTAGTTGTCTTCTGGATGGCAATTCTTGCTCAAGGATATATTGCATCCAAGCTTCGATAAAATCCCACGCGCAATCTCCACAAAACATGACAATCCAAGGATCTTTCTTGAGAGCGAACTGATCGGGGTGTTGATGTTGGGCGGCAATTCGCAATCCGGTGATACCAGCCATCTTTCGCAGACCTGATTTGGGTCTGTGGGATCGCAATGGGGTGATCTCACGATTGGCGCCGGGTGATCAACGGTACCCTGGCTTACCCTTGGTCTCCATAGGAACATCCGCCGAACCTAGCACAGAAGAATCAAATAGACGCATGGACTACGAGCAGCACAGAGATGCAGCGCATGGAACAACCAGGTCGGGAACGTGTGAGATTTTAGCAGACATGTTTTGTTTGGAGATGCATGGTTGAGCGTGGAGTGAAGATGATATAATCGGACAGCTATAGGGTCTTGCAGGCTGACGCAGGGTAGGAAAGATATTGTAGCGGACTAAGGACCAGATGCAGTGCAATGAAAAGGCTGCGATACGAGTGTATGCGTACTACAGCTCCGTGCTACGCGTATGTACATGCAGGAGAGTCCGTTACAGCCGAGAAGTGTCGCAGTTAGTGAGGCGATGATGGATTCGCCGACCCAGCCACAGAATATGACATACCCCCCAAAGCAGTGCAAACAATAGCGCGACAGGCGTTCGCAGGATGATTGAGCTAAACAAGAAACTTGAGACTTCGCGTCTGCAAGGGACGACCCTTTCAGCCTTAATGATCTGACCGGGGAAGAGGGTGGCAGGTCCACATGGTGGCCCAGGGCGTGTGATTGGCGGTGCGGAGAGGCTGGAGCCAGCCACATGAGGATGCGTAACATAGGAATAGAACAACACCCGCGAACCCGTTCCACCCATAACACGCTTGCATCTTGCATCCACGCCGAACCTCTGCTTCTCTGCAGTGTCGCTCTTTTGTTTTGTCTCTCCGACTCTCTCACTCCCTCATTGTAGCTTCACTTCCCCGTCTCGCAATTGTAGCGAATGCGCCTTATCGCCGCCAACGACGCTGCACTCGCGGCCATCCACATCCACCACCCACTCTCGCTCGACGCGCTTTCCCTCCCCAAGCCCCTCACACGGGCGACTAGCTCAGCATGGCGACAAAGGCTATGAATCTCCCTACCTTTGGCGGAGCTCACGCAGCGGGCATCTTTTCCGACATGACGGTCGACGGGCCGGTAATAGGCACCCTGGTTGTCATCATGGACCGCGCCCGAAACCTGCCCAACAAGCGGACTATGGGAAAACAAGACCCGTACTGCGCTGCCCGGTTAGGCAAGGAAGCAAAGAAGACAAGGACCGACAAACGTGGAGGCCAGACACCGAAATGGTAGGTACATCTTCGACATGATTCGAATTTCATCACTGACGTATGCAGGGACCAGGAATTGCGCTTCACCGTCCACGACTCGCCCGATTACAACCGCCTCAAAGTCTCTGTCTTCAACGACGACAAGAAGACGGAGCTAATTGGCGAGGCCTTTGCGAATCTCAGTTCCGTCATCACGCCGGGTGGAGGACAGAGTGACGAATGGCTTGGCCTCAATTGCAAGGGCAAGTATGCCGGCGAGATCCGTATGGAGATTACCTACTACGACACGCGTGAGAAGAACGAGAAGCCGGTACAGCAAAAGAGAAGAGAGTCGGCGAAACCAGAAGGCCAGGCTGCTGTTGGTGGAGCGCGCGAGATGGCACCCGTCAAGCGACGCCCGCTCCCCAGTGACCCAACAGGCGCCACGCCATCGCCCGTCCACACGCCAGAACACCGAGGACTTCGGGGTGTCAGGGCTGGTCCACGAGAGCTGGGCTCGCCGCGACACCAACGAACACCGACCGAGCCATCACCAGCACACCGGACTCAGTCGGATACACCTTCACGCAGGCCTGTTCCAGAATCGTCACCCCTGAACCCCGCCTCGACGTCGAGCCAGAACACTCCACAGCGCCCCGCGCCGCAAACCTCGTACAGCACACCTCCGAACCCGCGCTCGTCGGCCCAGAGGATGCCTCTGCCGAGAGAAGAGAGCTTCGACATGTCTTATGCCGCCCCCAAGCCATACGAAGTGAAGCCGATTGACCCTCTGCCACAACGTGTTCGGCACTCGGAGCAGAGAAGGATGTCTCAGGAAGACGGTCAATCTCCCAGAAGCCAGGCGCTGCAGCACCCCGAGCCAGTACATTCCCACTCGGCCCCAGTGGTCCCGACGCAGAACACCTATGAATCTCCGGCCCAACAGCAAAAACTACAAGAGCAGCAGAAACAGATTGAGTACCTGCAACAACAGTTACTCCAGCACCAGCAGTATGAGCCTCCACGAATTGAGCCGGCCCCGCAGCCGTCCCAGCCGTCTCAATCATACGCCCAAGACCAGTACCAAGATCCGACATACCAAGTCGCACCCTTGCGAAGCAGTCGTAGCCGCGAGTACCCTCAGGAGCAGGCTTCTCCAGTCGACCAATACTACGGCCAACGATTCATCGAGGCACCTCCCCTACACGACGAAAGCCCTACACATCGGAGACGCAGTGCAATGCAGCCCATGGTCGAAGACGAGGATGACATGCCGCCACCGCCGCCCATGCATAAGCGCAATGCCAGCACCTTGCCTCATCCCAACCAAGAGAGCCCTGACCGCTACCGCAACGACGGTCCTGCGCCACTCAGCTTTGCATCAAGAGCTCGTGGAGATTCGCTTCCGTTCAGCTACGATATGCCGCCTCAGCAATACGAACCCGACAACTACGCGCCCCGCCAGCCTTCTGAGCGACGGTACACTCACCCTCGTATGCCGACACAACCATCAAGTCGACCGGTCTCCCGTGATGTTATGGTACCATCCCCGCTACGACAGGAAACAATTCGACAGGAAGCACCGGCGCTGCCAACCAGTCTCATCGCTGGGCTAAATCCAGGGAGGCAAGAGATTGAAGCGCCACCTTACGAAGCACCCCCTTCGTATGAGACACCCCCGCAACTGCGCCACTACTCTGAACCGGCCGAGTATCGCGCTATCACACAGTACGAGGCTCCCATCCAGTCACAGGAGCTGGTTCATCATTCCTCGTACCAGTCCAACGACTACTATCCCCATGACCCACCCGAGCAGCCTCGACAGATGTCACCTCCTGTTTACGATCCCACCCCGATCGTCAAGCCTCGTGCTACAAGTCCTGGCGTGAATCCGCGGTACTCTCCTAACCCGGCTATGGACCGCTACTCTCCCAACCCAGACATGGATCGTTACTCTCCGAACCCGGCTACCGATCGCTCGTCTAGGATGCCTGCGCGAAGCATGCCAACCCGCAAGTCTGTGTCTCCTCGTCCACCACCTGCGAGGGAAGACATGGGCGAACGGAGGCTTTCTGGGGTAGCATTCAATCCCGATAGCTTTGATGTCTACAACCCTAGAATGTCCAAGTCTCCGATACCTTCGGACGATGAGCCTGAGCGACCAGGCAGCCGCATGGAGTACAACGACAAGGGTCAGATTGTCACATTTAGTGGACGAGTTGTTGATGCGTCGGATCATTTGCCTGTCGATAACTGGGCACCCGAGCCAGTACCCAAGGGCACAGTGAAGGAGAAAGCCCCTCGCACAAGAGCGCAGCTCAACGGTAGCAGAGATCTCGAGGCTGCAATGCAACGCGAAGAACGATATCAGCGAGAGCGTGCTGACAGAGAACGCATTCGCCATGCAGCCAGCATGAACTTTGACAACAGCAACGCCCTAGTCACTACGAGACATGATTTCAACAATGACTACAATTCGCCTGTCAACGCAGGTGCACTGGTCCTTGCCAGCCAGAGTCAGCATACTCCGCCTCCCAGTTCTGCAGCACGTAGCAGACCTACCAGGCGAGACCAACAACGACCTATTTCTGCTTATGACTCGCCACAGCAGTACAACCTACCGGATAGACAGGTCCTCCGCGAACGCGACAACCCCAACAGCTATGGCAGCAGCCCTAGCTACGACCGACGCGGTACTCAGAGGCATAGTACCGCAGCACCACCCATCCCTGCCAAGGTACCCATTGATATGAACGGTGGTGGCTACGGCGCACAGAACGAGGACATGGCACTCAGCTTGGAGCTGCAGAGCATCGATATTGGACCTGGTTCCGGCGGACGTAGACCACGCACCACGGCTAGACGACAGTACGGATTCTAATGGCAACACGAAGACTACATACCACACCTTTACGCTTTTGATGGCGTTGTACGATAATGTTTTTTTTGTAGAGGAAGAGTTGTTCCTTTCCTTCCTTTCCTGTTCCTTTGCTCGATGTCTGGACGCTGGAGCCAGGCATGTCGGAGTCTTTCTTCTGTCTTTCCGTTTTAAAGATGCCATGCATAGCCTTTGCTTGCGTAGATCGGTTTCTTCACACGCCTTCGTGCGCTATCTTTTACACTTTCTTTGGTCCGAATACAAGAATCGATACCACTTTTACCAATTCAATGCATCTAATACACAATCAATAATTGCTCTGCCATTCTAATTCTCACATGATGAACTACAAATGTGGCTGACAAAAGACCGGATCCGCTCAGGATTCTCGGTCTGTCTTGAGACTCAATTTTCTAAGCGATAAAGTCATCAAGGTGAGACGGAGCTCGTAATGAGCGACGCTTAACTTGCTCTGGTTGCCGCATATCTACTCACGTTCCTCTTCAACATCATGTCCACTATGTTCGTCTTCCACAATCGGTGAGCGGAAAACATTTCCCTTTCCCGGAATTTGTGCCAGCCTCTTACCGTTGTCTTCGCACTAATCCTCCACCTCCGCGGTCCACTCTTTTTTGTAGACTCTTCGAAGTCTCCGGCGCATTCCGACAAGGCTCACTCCACATCGCTTCCCTCGATTCCTTCTTTCCGACATCGCGCAATACAATTATCATAGCTTCCACATTGCTACTCTTGCCTTTCTTGTTTCATGTTCGTATCGCCAGCGAACGCGAACGTCGAGGACATGGTAAATATTCGGATCGAGTGCTATAAGTCCGACTGCTCTTGAGTAAGTTCTCGTTAACACATGTGGATGAACAAGATCTTACATTTATTACGCTAACAGCGTCCTTGATTCCACCAATTTAATCCCTCAGGTACCCAGTATTTCTTAAACTCATCAAAGTTTCTGATGGCAATTTCAACCTCAACTTCTTGGTCATTTAGAAACTTGTCTCCTTCGACGGCATCGCAAAGTACTGCTTGCTGGGGATGGGGAAGGCGTTCGCCCACTCCATACTTGAGATCTGGTTGCCCTGAAAGTTTGGGGCAGGATACGTTTGATATTCTACTTTTGGTCTTACTACAATGGCAGCATCACCTGTATGGCTGAAGGACATGTTTGGTTTGTGCGTACTGGGGTCTCTCTTCTTTGGCGTGGTATCTGTGCTAGCGAGCTCATGTGCTTTGTAGCATGACAAGGATCGTAATGTATATATGGCTTTCGAATGAGCAATACATTGCGATGACTCTCGTAGATTGATGAATAGTTGCAGTTTTCTATAGAGGAGCCATCACACTCAAGCTTAGGCTGGGGATCTTTGATCTTAGTGTCTATAGTGGATGCAAGGGTGTGTAAGATGAACTCTACTCTTATGTGTCTTAAGAGCCCCTGTCCATTTCCTCAGCATATTGATATACAACAAGTCAGCCAACTCTCTTCGGCCAAAGGTATTAAGCTGTCTTAACCCTTTCGCCTCCGAATTCTTGTACGGACTTATTCTCACCTCAGCCCATCCCCCTATCATATAGTCCAAGTATAGCTTTCCGTTGCGTGGAATTGAGTGGGTTAGATGATCAACCGATTGCGAGTGTTCGACCTTTGCATCTTCGGGGAAGGAAGCTCAAGCAATACTCTGCTATCTCGTCAGCCTCGCCATCGGTGAAATAATGAAGAGGTTGGTGCCTTTGATGAGGCGCTCGTGCTGTGTGAGACGGTTCGGTGGACATAGCTTGAACCTTCCGCTGCTTTTGAGGTGTGTAGGTGCTGTGGCTGTCCTTTCGTTGCTTGATTCTATCCCCTAATAGTCTCCCCTTCCGAGTTCCGTGCGTTCATCTCTGGAATTTAGTAGGTGCCGTATCCTCGAAGTTTGTTTTGCGCTGCCTTTTGTCCCGTTCTGGCAATTCATCCGTGTCTGACACTGAACTATACGGCCCGTGGAATTCATCTGCTGAGATGTCTGAGACATCAGAAACATCAGTATCGTCATGGGAGCCCAGTGGCGCGAGTTGGGTGTGGCAGTTGGTCGCCATGTGGGTATTGAAAGAGAACAGGTGCTACATCATGATGCAATCCACTCTAATAGGTCCGGTGCATCATACTGCCCGTTGACCGATCACGACCAAGCGCGTTGCAATGACTTCGATCGCACCTTGACTCCTAAAGAGAATGTGTCGAGTTGTGCCGTCACTTTCATGCAAGAATGCAGTCGTTGAGATAGTAGTGAAGCATGCATGTGGTGCTGGCAATGGTCGTACTACAGTGTTTATTATTCTCGTCTAGTAGACGATACGAAGAAAGAGACTCCGAGCTAGGGTATCTGCACGCAAAATGCTCAAGGAAATCTATACTATAACTGTGACTACCGTCTCTTCTTCGCCATGTGCGTTTTACTATTCTTGACTCATTAAAGACTATTACATCGAGTTGACTAATAAGCCTACTCATACAAACTTCTGTCATTGGGATCATTCTTCGGAGGAGCACTAGCAGCAGGTGCAGTAGGCTGTTGTCTCGCTGAGTCCTCTGTTGAAACATGGCTCACGTTCACGGGTGGGATCTGCGGTGCTCCCTGCCCTGCAGCTTGGGGCGGATGTGTTGGCAAAGGACCCTGAGGTGGAGGACTTGGGGCTGGTGCTGGTGTAGTTTCTACATTTGGCGGGGCACCATACGGTGTTGGCGTGTGCGCGCCGTTCTGAGGAGCAGGATAGACAGGCTGAGGGGCCTGAGGTGCGATAGGCGACGCATTACCCATCTGCTGTTGCGGTTGAAGATGACCCATGGCAGAGACAGGAGACTGTGAAACGACTGTTCCATCCTTGGTCATGTCACCGTAGTAGCCAGCTTGCTGAGGAGGAGGGTACATGTAGCCTTGCGGTGGCACGAAGCCTCCACTCGGTGCTTGAACCCAGCCTGGAGGTGGAGGGCCATAGTAATAGACTTGGCCAGGAGCACCAGGCTGGAAAGCACCCGGCGTTTGTACCATGGCGGGGTGCAACGGCTGACCCGGCGGCACAATACCGACGGTTGTTTTGCTGAATTGACCCAACAACTCCTCTGGGTACCGATGACGGAATCCCCATTTCCACCAGGCCTTGAAAGCCGCACCACTACCCATGCTCTTCCACTTCTCAGCCAACAGCTTCTGATCTTCAGTACTTCGACGATCTTGCATGCGAGTGAAGCAGAGCACCCAGAGCGAGATAAGCACCCAACAGCAAGTACCAAAGCGCATGGCACTCTTGCCGAGCATGAGGCGACGGAACCAGAACCAAGACTCGAGGAAACCAAGAAGGAAGAGACTGGGGATTATGGACACAATGATGATGATCCATACACGAATGCGAGAGGTGCAGTAGTAATAGTAGCACGAATCGTACGAGCTGTCATCGTCGTTGGTGTTTATGCCGCCATTACTTGAACCACCACCGGAAGAGGTCGAACCAGTGCGATAAGCAGCCGGAGGCGTGCTGCAATCCGAAATATAGTATGAGTAATAGTAGTCTGACGTTGTGGTGAATGGCGCGGCGCTCTCGGATAGATACCATGTCTCCCAAACGTAGACAGTGTTATCGTAGGTGGTGCTGCTTGAGTATGTCTCAACGGAAGTTGGTGAGACTTGTGCAGTCACTTGGCTCGGGATATCTACAGAGGCGGAAGTAGTCACGGTAACTAGACAGGCGGTTAGGATCAGCATCCTGAAGACTCAGGTAGTGGTTTCTTTACTTACATGGTGTGGGACACGAAGCAGGAGCCGTCATGGTGACCGGCATGCTGAAATCAATGTTCTTGATTGTAGTTGTTGTCGAAGCCGTCGTCGTAGTCGCATAGTAATCATAAGCAGGCTCGAGATCGGACTCTGCCACTGCACCGGTAGGGTAGTAAGCGTATACGATCTGGAGATCATCGTAGTAATAGTTGTAGTCGGAAGTCGTCGAGTAGGGCGAGGCCGTAGGAGTGGCATCGTCTTTCACGGTGCGGGTTACGGTATAGGCATCAGTGGTGACACTGCCGTCGTAGTATGTGTACAAGCTCTCAGATACAGATTCTACATAACGGGCAGTGTATGTCCAGTATGCTGAAGTAGAACGAGTGGTGGTAGTGTAATAATCATCGGAAAACAACTGTGCACGCGCAATAGCGGCATTAGCGATCGCTACAAGGGCGAATCGGGCAGCCATGTTGCTACGTGCTGCGAAAGTAAACGATCGTGGGTCGCGAAACGCGAAAATTAGATATTAGCAAAGTCTGTAGGGCTGTCTCCCAACATCAGGGTAACGCGCCCATCTTAAGCACCACCAAACACCGCGCCGTCAAGCCGAACAACGACACGGCTAGCTCACCGGTCGTGCAAACTGTGCAGAGTCACATTTCGGTTCCCCTTAAGCGATCGATGCAGCCTTGCGCCTTTTCCAGGGTCCGTCTTTTTCAACCAATCATGTTTTGATCGCGATGCGAATCAGCCAATCCCGCGGGAGGTCTAGACGTTTAGCGGCATTGAATCGTCTATCTTTGGGTCCATGCGGCTCGTGGCAGACTAGTCGCCGGCAGGGGTGAACGGGGCGCCTAAGAAGGATAAAGGGCTGCACTGCCCTTGCCTTTATTGAAAAGGCGACTCCGACCATGACTGAGCAGTGTAGCCTTGCCAGATACGAATGGCGTTGCGGTGTAGGTGCTGCAGAGGCCCTGAACCGGACGTATGCCAAGCGCATCCCTATCAACAATGTGACAAGGTTGGTGATGGTGATGGTTGGGTGATGGAGAGTGGTGGTGGTCGCGAGAAATGAGATGTCTTTTTGGTGGCGTTCTCATACGACACGGGCGACGTCTTGGCGACACATGAGCAGTCATCCTCAGCAATTTCGTTCTACTCACCTGCTCTTTTGGTTCATCGCCCGAAACTTTCGATGCAATTGCCTCAACTCCGTCGTCTGTGTACGCTGAAGTAATGCCGACGTCTACAAAGGATAATTCGCGTGTTTTCGAGTTCAATTCCCGCTCTGCCATCCGTCTCGAAGCTGTAAGCTTTCGAGGTTACCAACGTACATGTCCGCTATCCGACAAACCAGGCGAATTCTCTGATACATGCATACGTCAGGCGAAGCACTTCCATCAGCTATGACTTCTGGTGAGTGCAAGCACGGCGCAAGCACAGCGCAAGCATCGTTCTCCCGGCACATGTGACATGTAAGCTGGCCCGACAGTAGTCTTCGAGCGATCCTGCAAATCTGTGTGGACAGCTGGAAAAACTTGGCAGATAGAGCGATCCACGCTGAGGCCGATGATGGAAAGTTGTAGTACATCGACTTGTCGGTCTGCTTATCGCCTGTGACGCTATGGTTAACCTCCCGACTGTGCCTCTGCGACCGTTTATACAGTCATTAGAAGTACTGCACCATTTCCGTCCGACGAGGAGCAACCGAGACAAGCTGCTACAAGTGGAATCCCATTGAACTCTTGGATCACCAGCATAAGCATAAAACGGACAATACCATCAGTAGGTAGATCCACAGTCTTTAGCTACTTGGAGTCTGCTCAATATAGTCTGTCCGGCATGACAGGTACTTGGGAAATACTTTCGTCGATCGGTACAGGAAAGTCTTTCCAGGTATCCCTTGGAGAAAGGTAGATGCGTAGTTCGAAATCTTGGGGCTACTAGGCGCGGCTCAAGAAACAACTGATTGAAGACAGTTATGTAAATTGGGGTGGCCGATAGTATCCCAGACGCGCTGGACACATTCAGGGTTTGGGATCAGGGTATTATTGATCGTCAATCAGAATCAAGCGTACGATTCCAAATACCAGACGAGGATGGAAATTGACTCATTGGAATCTATGAGGCAAAATAAGACACCGCGGAATTGTATAGCTTTACTGCTCAGCAGTCTAATCCAGTTCATTAGCATAGATGACTGCTCCAGAGGTGTATCATTTGGAGTAAAACGGCCAGTATCCCGCATCAGAAAAGCAGCACTTAACAGACTGAAGACCAAGGAAATCAAGCGTGTTCACACTAGACTGACCCAGAGGTCTTGTGTTCATCATTGAAGTCGTGCTTTGCTAGTGTGTTAGGTAGTTTGGGTCAGCGCTGTGAGTCCGCTAGGTCTAGGCGTACCTTGTAACAGTTCATGGTTTGATTACTGCAGGATTATCAACCTCGCACTACTCTTCGATAACTTCCTGATTTTGAACAGAGTGTTGAATTCACATTTCTCGTGCACAACTGAGTGGCACGGCGGGGAGTGCCCCAAACGGTAAAGCGTTGTTTCACCCCACTTTCACCCGAGGTGCCAGGCACCAACATGTCAGCTTCGCGCCGCATCAATGACTAACGACACCAACACCAACTCTAACAGCGCTCCAGAAACTTGATGAAAATTGTTTTGGATCAGTTATGGGGTCCAAATCTCCAGAAGATCATCGTCAAGGCCCTGATGGTCAGTGCATTTGGATTAAATCTAGGAACGACAGACATGCTAATAACTTACAGGGTCCTCGTCAGACGCCGCAATTGCTATCCTCAACCCTCCCAAGTCAGCCGCCGCGAGCGGACTACTTCAAGGCGTTCTCGAAGGGCAAGACGAAGACGGTGACGACGACATCGCGCAGCCTGGACCTGACGTGAAGAACAACGATGGTGAGTTGATGTCACACGAGTGTCATGCTGAGACTGACTGCCTAAGGCGCAAAGAAGAAAAGAAAGCGCAACAAGAAGAAGACTAAGAAAGTATGCCCAGCACAGCAGACGACACCTCCTAGGGTGCCTCTTGCCGACCTGTTCTATGGCCGACAATATCCGCAAGGTCAGGTTGTCGAGTATGCCACCAAGAATGAAAACCTGCAGCGCACTACAGCTGGAGAACTTCGGCATCTAGCCGCCTTGGAAAACATGGACGATGATTTCCTGAGGGATTATCGCAAAGCTGCCGAGGTCCACCGCCAGGTGCGCCAACACGTACAGACAATCGCAAAGCCCGGCGTGTCTCTGACTTACCTTGCCGAAGAAATCGACGATAGTGTTCGCGCACTCGTTGGTCACCAAGGTCTTGAGACCGGAGATGCACTCAAAGCCGGCCTTGCCTTCCCGACTGGATTATGCTTGAACAATATAGGTGCTCATTGGACGCCTAATGCCGGTGCCAAGGAAGTCTTTCTTCAGCACGACGATGTATTGAAGGTAGACTTTGGTGTTCATGTCAACGGCAGGATCGTCGACAGTGCTTTCACTGTGGCTGCCAATCCGATTTATGACAATCTGCTGGCATCTGTGAAGGCAGCCACCAACACAGGCTTGAAAGAAGCTGGAATCGATGCGAGGATCGATCACATCAGTGAGATGATTCAGGAGGTGATGGAGAGTTATGAGGTGGAGATCAAAGGGAAGACCGTCCCAGTAAAGGCGGTGCGCAACATCACTGGCCATAACATTTTACGTTATCACATTCATGGTGACAAACAAGTCCCCTTCGTCAAAACCAAGACCACTCAACGCATGGAAGAAGGCGACATTTTCGCGATCGAGACCTTCGGCAGCACGGGTAAGGCTTATCTTCATGACAATGTTGGAGTCTATGGCTACGGACGCAATGAGCATGTCAGTGCCACTGGGCTCCACCATGGATCTGCGAAGTCGCTCCTGAAGACCATCGATGAGAATTTTGGAACTCTGGTCTTTGCACGCCGTCAACTTGAGCGTTTACCTGGCGTTGAGAAGTATCATCTCGGCATGCGAACGCTAGTCAATAGTGGCATTGTCCAAGCATATGCGCCGCTTGTGGATGTTCCTGGCTCCTTCATTGCACAGTTTGAACACGTAAGTTATGCTTCTTGCGAACGTATAGGTCATAGCTGACTCGACGTGTCTAACAGACTGTTCTGCTCGGGCCCAACTGCAAGGAGGTTGTCTCCCGAGGAGACGACTATTGAAGATTGGCACTTCGCTGAGTTGTACATGACTTCAACAGTCTTTATGACGATATTCTCCTAAGGTGTTTCAACACACTCTGCACTCAATGTCCGCTGTTAACATATGACACGCATCACATTCCTTTGATTGACTAGTTTCAATAACAGTATATTTTGGCACTCAGAATTCTCGGTCTAGTTTAATGTGAATTCTGTGACTTCGTCAATGCAACCTGCGAAGAAGAAGCGTAATATTCGAGGTCTGCTACATGATGCAAATGAATTGAATTCGTAAACACACATACTACGAGCATGGCTAAAACTAAATGGCGAAAACATTGTGATTAAGAAAGAGAGTGAAAATGCGCTTATCCAAATACTAGTGCCCTTACTTCAATACTTTCTCTGCCAACCGCGCCCTTTGGTGTCCGAGGGTCTGTGAAAGCTGTGTGTGGTACACGCCCCCACTGGCCTACGCTCTCGTCACTGTCGAAGCACTTGAGCAGCAGACGATCCTCGTTCTTCATGCCCGACCAATAGTACCACTTCTGCCCTGGGTTGTATGCTACAGCTGCAGTCTGTCCGTTGCGATCTGGGTAGCGATGCTCGATAGGTATCAGATCGCCATCGCGCACAGTCTGGCTGTCGGCGACTGCAAGCGGGCTGCCCATGACAGGCCCGTTGAGTGGACGCCAAACGTTGATGATGCGGTAACGACCTTGTAGGAGTTGTTCGGCTTCGTCGGGCAGGTGCAGCTTGACTCGTTCAGCGGCCGAGAAAGGTGTCTGGTCAATGTGTACGCGCTGGACAGGGTTGCGGTTGCCAGTCGGTCGGCGGATCGTATGATCAAATAGGAGTACTCTCTGCGCGCCTTGTACGTTCTTCAAGAGTAGTTCCTCCACTTCTGGGTAATATACGCGTTTTACTGCGTCATCATCGTCGAAGCCATCCCTGTCCAATCCGCTCTTAATGTTCTGGTACGTGTCAAAGGCGTTGTTGTCTAACGTGAAATTGTGTTCTTGACCCCGTAAATCATTGAGCGTAACCTCGGTCCATGCATCCCCCCAATTCCGTTGTGGCACGCCTGGAAGCGGCTCAACGTAGTTGTGGGGTGGTGCGCCATCTTCTGGGGCTTTGTAGAAGGATAGCGACGCTGTGACGGGGCCGCGAGGAATGGGCAGGCCTTGGTAATTGACGTCGGAAGGGGCTGTTTGATTTGAAGCAGGCGTCTGGTTGGAGAGTTGGTGCGCGGGTGTTGGAAGGGACGCGGTGGTCGTCATTGTGGTGGCTAGTACGCTAGGTTTGCTCGCAATCGATATGAAAACCGTACTGTCGAAAGGTCGCAAAGACAGGATTGCGAAAGAAGATGGCGGTTTGCTGGGTTAATGGCTATATGGCAAGTTGTCTGAGTATGAATTGGGATTATGGACAGCTTCGATGCTGTTATATACGCCTATGCGATTAGAAATGCTTCCTGGCATTTGAACGTCAAGTCGCCCTTCATCCGCCGATGCTTCCCCTCATTCGGCATCTTTGTAGCGATGATGCCATAGCGCTATTCCCGAGGCCAAGGTTGTGTTACTAATCCCCGCCGTCCAATGATCGCTCACATGCTGACAAAATGTACAGATTGCGTGCTGAACATAGCCATATGGCAATGCGCGTACGATGTTCCAGTGGTTGAGATGGTGGTTTGTAACAGTTCGCGTGGTTTCTAAGCCATTACCCAGGAGACAGGTCGAGCGCCCGGAGATGGTGTGGAGATGGTTCGGAGCGATGATTGCGTCATAGCTGGCGCAGATGTGTGGCGGCTCAACACCATCACCCTTGGTGCTTGACTTCCAGATATGCACGATGTGGTGTTGCTTGTACGTGAAGATGATCCCAAATTCTAGAACCACACCATGTCCGGCACTTACCTTTGGATATATTCCGCCGCCACGCCTAGGAACAACTCGAGCCATGTGGCTCTACATGCAATCCAACAAAGATAACTCAACAGCGCCGTAGCCGTCCAGATCAATGGCAATGGTGATCAAGGGACATACACGCCTCATTATTACATAGCACAAGCAAGTACCAGACTCCAGCACACTTAGTGGCATCCGGCATCTGGCATCAGTCGCTAGCTCGCTTCTAGCCGCAATTGCCGTTTCCACAAGCATCAGTCATTGCTAAGGTATGCTATTTGTTGGTGGCTTGCGCTTCTTCTATGGGGAATTTAGGCTTTCGATAATTGTATGCGCTCATAGTATGCATTGATCCGTCGCGCCAGTGCTTAATGCATTGGACCCCCCTCTTGAGTACTCATGCGTCGTCTCAACGTCATCATGTTCGCACGCGAACTGTGACATCGTTCCTCCACCTTTAAATCACATAAAGGCAGCAACCATTACAACAGTTATCTCAATATGCTCAGACTCTTCTCGAGAAGCCTTCCCACCTATACCAAATCTATCACATCCACGTTACGAACAAATCAATTCATCCCAAAAACTACGTACCAAATCGTCAGGAACATGGGTAACGGCAAGGCCAACACCGAGGACCTCAAGGGCTCCAAGCTCTTCGATGTCTCTCACGTCACCGCTCTGGTTACTGGTGGAGGAACCGGTATCGGCCTGATGATCACACAAGCACTAGTCGCAAATGGTGCGAAAGTATACATCACATCAAGACGTGATGAAGTTTTGAAGAAGACAGAGGAGCTATACAACGGCGGCGGTTCAGGCCAGATCATCCCTATACAGGCAGATGTCAGGTAAGCACACTGTTGTCCGGGGTAACGAAGAGTATCGACACTAACGCTACCCAGCGAGAAGGACGATGTAAAGCGTCTCTACGATGAGATGTGCCAAAAAGAGCCAAAGGGAATCCAGATCCTCGTCAACAACGCTGGTATCGCTCGTGACGACAACACCAAGTTCTCTGCAAACGGCCAGCCAAACATGGAGGACGCACAAGCCATCTCCGACCATTTCCTCAAGTCGCAGCCAGAGAACTGGGCCGACACCATGAAGACTAATGTCGGAAGTATCTTCTGGATGTCAATGACCTTCTTACCCCTCTTGGCCAAGGGCGGCCAGGTGACTCCTGGATACACCTCACAGGTCATCAACGTTAGCAGTATCTCAGGATACATGAAGGGTAGCAGCAACGGCCAGTTCTCCTACGCATCCAGTAAGGCAGCCGCCACACATCTGAGCCGTATGCTTGCAACGACCTTTGTCGGTACCAAGGTTCGGGTGAACACCATCGCCCCTGGTGTCTTCCCAAGTGAGGTATGTGACTCTAAACTCCACAAAGCTTACTAGTAGATCATTTGAACTAACACCGCATCCAGATGACTACTGGGTCTTCTGACGAGGACAACAAGAGCCGCATCGAGTCCGGCATGAGCAACCCTGCAGGTCGTCCTGGTGCCGATACTGACATGGCTGCGACTGTACTCATGCTGGCTGGACCAGGTGGTGTATTTTACAACGAGCAGGTTTTGTACCCTGATGGTGGAAGCACGCTTTCACAGCCCGCAGCAAGGGCTTAAGCGTCTACCCGTAAGCAGCCTTGCGGGAATGTATCCATAGACTAGATGTCATGCTCTAAATGAAATAGCGATGAACACAAATGTGTATTGTGTCTATTGGGAAAGGTACAAACTGCTGTTCTCTCCGACAAGTTTTTTCGTGTTATGCCCCACCATGCCGAAGTGTTCCGACAACCTCACCACAAGCGCAAAATTCTTCAACACGACACAACCATCATCAATGCGACGTCAAGATGAATTACTATCGCTATTTGCCAGATGAGCCTCATTTTTTTAACGATTAGTATTATTGCATCTTTGAACCCACCATCAATCACAGCAACGGCCTAATGGCCCAATGGCAAGGCGCTTGACTACGATTCATTCGATATCAAGAGATTCCAGGTTCGACCCCTGGTTAGGTCACATCACGTTCTGAATTTTTGCTGTTTTTGGCCTCATGTTGTTGCTAAGACACACCGATATCCCATCCTTTGTTCGGATTGGTATTCATATATCCTTTTACTCATATCCTCTCTATGTTCAGCAACACAGTGCAAAGCAACCCTCAAAACTTCGGACCTAGGCACGTGAGCCTACTCTCTCGGCATATATCCAAACACTTCGCATTATCTGTTTATGTTACACCGCTCGTCGTATGATCGATTGCGGAAAGATAGCCCCTTCCTGCCTGTTGGTCCGCAGGATCCAACACTGGACATGTCACCTGCCGCGGACAGATATATCTTCAACATGCTGTGTACTTGACCACATCGATGCGCGGTAATACATGATCCATCAGACCGTACAAACGTGAGCGGTGGTACTGGTGGTCGCAGTTTACGACCTTTGCCCAAGGGTTCTCCTCTCCAAGCTCGTAATCCTCCATACATATACCTGCGCTTCCTAAGTACTGCGTTACGAAAGATTCGAGATCTAGGAGCGATCCGGCCGGTGTGATAAGCGCAAATATGATGATGATAAGTGGGCAAACTTCCTTGGACGACATGTTCTTATGTACGAGCCCTATTTGGACACGGTCAGTGGGCATGGAAGGAAGAGTCATCAAAGAAGTCGAAGTGATCATATCTGGCTTTGAAAACGGAGTAGCAGCGGATGTCTCAACCATACCAACTGGACCTCGTGTTGATCCTGGTGGATTGAACGACACAATAAGCAAGCAAGCCATCAGCGACCGAGCGCTGCCCAATCTGCCTTGACAACTATGCCGACCCCAACAACGCGTGCGTCAGATTACGGCCCTGGGCGCATCTGTTACATTTGGAGTGCTTGGATGAATTGGTGAATGGAGCGTATCCATGAAGTGATGGAGTTCGGTGTCCAGTATGCCATGTACATCATTGTGCAGCCCGGGATTATACTGCAGTACCGGATAATGAAAATTCGGGCAGTGGAAATTCATAGTAGAGTATCTAAGTAATGTGCAGGTGAGTTTAAGGTTCGTCGACGTTGCAGAGTGATTGCAAACAATGGCTCGTATAAGTAAGGCAGTTCGCGGAAAGAAGACATCATTCGCACCACAAATACTGTATGTGTTTCGTCAAAGTGTGATGAGGTGATGAGGTGATGCTGGAGGTAGAAGCCTTGGAGGTGCGGAATTGGCCCGGACCGTCAGCTTACATGCCACGTGATGCACGTGATCCTTGCAATCTGCCGAATAGCGTCTTGGCACATTCGGTGCGGACTACTCCAAGCAGCAAGCAGCAGCAAGGGTGGGAGATCGCTGCAGGGCAGCAACGCGTCAAACTTCCGACGCGACATGGTATTGCAGCGACACCACAGTGGAATTGTACATATACTATACCGAATGAACGCCGAACGTGAAGTGCTTAGAACTAGCTTTATTCTACAATGACGCCATGTCGTAGATCTCGGCGAGGCGTGGAGCCGCCAGCTAGCGGATCGAGACGCTTTTCAGTCATCATGGGTAGAGATGTAGCGTCCAGGCCATGGCTGCACTAGCTCTCCAGATAGCAGCGGGAAGCAAAAGTAATCCTCGTTCCTACAGATACTACTCCAGTGTCTGTCTAATGTGCTGGTCGTGTGTCTTGTTGCAGTCATCTTTGCCTACTCTGCTCTGCGCCGGATGAGATGGCCTCAAACGGACAGTTACTTTCGCTTCACAACTACTACGGGACGACCGGCTACGTCTCGCAACCACCGCTGGCTGCCTCGAGGCCCAAGCTGAAGGCCGCAGAGCGAGATTTGGCATCTCTAACGCTCCTCGACGCCCTCGACCGCGACGACCGCCCTTCATTCGCCATCGAAACCTGCTCGTATCTTCACCGCGATGAAGCGCTCGACCTCATATATTCGAACACGGCGCTGCACGCTGTCGGCGGATTGTTGGCCAAGATATCGGGCAATGACGCGACGAGCTTGTTCGCGGAGAGCTCGGCACCACAGCTTGCCTTCAGAGGATGGGTTTTTGGGCATACGAATGAGGGTGACCTACAACGGCGTGGCAACACGTATACATTTGAAGGGCACGTATGGAACGCCACAATCCTAGGGAGATATAAGATTGTTAGCGGAATGCCAACGCGGCTGCTGTGGGTTGACGCCGCACCGGGAGGCAAGACCCACCGCACCATCATGCGCGAGCGGAAGACGCCTCGAAGCAACCTTCGCGCCGACGCTCTACCTATCAAGCCCCAGCTGTCGCGCTCCCAAACGCTTGAGCTCAACACTAGCTCTTCTTCAGACTCAACCGCAATCAACAACACGTCGTTTGACTGTACCTCTGATGCACTCACGTCCGTCGTGAGAACCAGTCCTCATATCGATTACTTTCGCAGCGTCGATTGGGCCAAAACACCGTTGGGACCAATGAGTTCATGGCCCTGTGATTTGCGTTGCATAGCAAACACAGTACTGAGCAACAATGTACCAGCTGTTATGTTCTGGGGTGACCAGGTCATCATGTTGTACAACGAGCCGTATGTTCAGCTGCTTGGCAGCCTCCATCCCTGCATGGGAGAAAGCGTTCGCACCAAGGCGCCCGATCACTAGGCTTCTTTTCAACCTATGGTGGACCGCATCAAAGCCACAGGCGAATCGATAGCCGAACCTGATATGCTCCTCTTTATAGAAAAAGACGGCCTTCTCGAAGAGACGCACTGGTCTTTCCAATTCGTACCTATATTGAACAGTCATGGCCAAGTGACAGCCTATTATCAGGCTTTTTACGAAGTTTCAGATCATCGTATCCTCGAACGCCGCGTCTCCAGCCTGGTCGCAATGGGAACCCAAAGCGCAAACGCAAGAGACTTTCCATCGTTTTGGGATACTACGTTGCGCTCTCTGAGCTTGAATGACAAGGATGCACCATTTGCTCTGTTGTATGCTGCCGAGCGACACGTCAGCGCTCAAATACCCTCAGTGTCATCACCGGGCAGTATCCCCCCACTGGAAGGTTGCGTCCTCAAGGGCACCATTGGCGTTCCTGCTGACCATCCTATCGCTCCTGCGACTGTCAACATCAACGAAGACTCTTACATTCTCCACGCGTTCCTAAGTCGAGCCGCCAAGTCTGGAAAAGCCACTATTGTTCACCTCGATGATCTTCCTGCTCCAACAGCGGCATTGGAAGGCATCAACTGGAGAGGATATGGTGATCCTTGTCGTACGTTAGTCATATGTCCTATTATTCCTACGACTGGGAACCAAGTAGAAGGCTTCCTCATAATTGGCATCAACCCCCGCCGACCTTTCGACGAAGAGTACCAGCAATACCTCCAGGTCATGGTGCGGTTACTTGCTACGTCTCTTGCGTCGATTGTTCTTTTCGAGGATGAAGTTCGTCAAAGGGAAAACGCTATCATCCAGGCTGCTCAGATTCAAGAACACCTTATGGCTGAAATTCAGCTCAAAGAGAGCAAATTCCAACGTTTCGCGGAACGGTCTGACGTAGGTATCTTTATCATCGACCCAACAGGCACCTATACATATCGAAACCAACGCTGGTACGATATGTTTGAAGTTGCCTCTTCTGATGACAACGCTACTAAGGCTTGGTACCGGATCGCTTTCGAAGAGGATGTGCCATACTGCCAATCCATGTTCTCGAAACTTGTCATGAACCATGAATCTGTTTGCTTCGAACTACGCACGAGGATGCAATGGGTACCGCCATCGGAGCCTAATGAGCCGCAACCTGAGGACACCCAGCACTTCAAATGGATTTTATGCTCAGCTTACCCCGAACTGGGTCCAAACGGCGAGCTTGTAGAAATTGTTGGAAATGTTACAGATATATCGAGTAAGGAACTTGCCAGTGCGAATTAAAAGTGAAACATGTACTGACTTTGCACACCACACTTTAGAGCAGAAGTGGGCTGAAGGTATTCAAAAGATTCGCACCGACAGCGCGATCCAGGGAAAACAGCACTTAGAGCACTTTTTGGATACGACGAGTCATGAGATGCGAAACCCTCTAAGCGCCATCATGCAATGTGCGGATTTCATCACATCCTCATATCCCCAAGACGATCGTCATGGCCACCAAGATATTACACCAAGTGAATGGTCAACGTTCATAGCATCCACCCTGGATGCTGCCCAAACGATAGGGGTTTGTGCGACCCATATGAAGCATATCGTCGATGATATTCTCACCATCTCCAAACTCGATTCAGGTCTTCTTGACATGACACCGGTGATTGCGCAACCCGAAAGCGGTAAGTCTTGTGTGTACAGATGCATGGTGAAACATACACTGACTTCGCTTCTTCACCATCGTAGTTGCCAAGCATGCAGTAAAAATGTTCTCAGCAGAAGCAAAAGCTGCCGGGATTGACCTTGTGTTAGTTGTGGACCAGTCGTACCGTGATATGGAGATCAATTGGGCGTCTTTGGACCCAACGAGGGTGCTGCAGATTCTCATCAATCTACTCACAAACGCCATCAAATTCACACGCTTAGAATCGACGAAGCGAGTTACAGTCACCCTCACCGCAAGCGCAACTGAGCCCGCTTCGTCGCCAATAGGAATACAGTTCAACGATGAGAGGCTGGTAGGACAAGATTCCCACTTGGAAGATGACTGGAAGGACGCCCAAGAGCTATATTATCTGCAATTCTCCGTTACCGATACGGGACGTGGTCTTTCTGATGACGAGAAATGCAGCCTCTTCACCCGATTTTCACAAGCCTCTCCTCGCACCCACATACACTACGGAGGATCTGGCCTTGGACTTTTCATATCGAGGCGTCTTACCGAATTGCAGGGCGGATCGATCGGTGTCGCTAGCGAATCTGGAAGAGGTAGCACGTTCTCTTTTTACATTAAGTCACGTCGAGCAAGACCTGCGATGGCTCGGAAAGGTAATCTACCGCAAGTTTTCCCCGAAGACATCAAACACAGACAGCCAATACCGCTCGTCAGCCTTGTACGCCCGTCTCCTCCCTTGCGCAAACCTACAAGCGAGACTAGCCAACGATCCGACTCTGCGAGTCCAAAAGCACGACGCCAGTCGATACAGTCAAGACCATCGCAGACTGAACACTCTCATGTTCGCCCCGAAACTCTTGGGCTACCAGAAGGTCCTGACCTACAAGAACTAAAGCGCACAAAAAGTATACCAGATACGTTACACGTTCTTATAGTGGAAGACAATCTCATCAACCAGCGTGTTCTTGCTAAACAATTACGCAATTTAGGATGTGTTGTGAGCGTCGCCAATCATGGTCAGGAAGCGCTCGACTTCCTACCAAAGACTACACTCTGGAACAACGATCACCCTATGTCGAACTCGATTGCACTAAAGGAAATGTTCCACATTCCGTCCACAGAGCCTATACCTAATGGCCATAACGATGCATTACCGGTTGAGCTGAGCCTCATCCTCATGGACTGGGAGATGCCTATTATGAACGGGCTTACGGCCGTTGCCGAAATACGAAAACTCGAGGAACAGGGCTTGTTGAAGGAGAGGGTACCAATCATCGGAATCACAGCGAATGTGCGCCAACAGCAGATCGAGCAGGCCATGGCTACAGGCATGGATGACGTTGTTGGTAAACCCTTTAGGGTTGCTGAACTGCTAGTGCGGATGAAGGGGATCGTTGCAGGAATGGGGCCCGAAGGTCCAAATGGAAATGCGCATCTGACTGAGGGGTATACGAGCTTTGGGTGAAGCACGAGCGACCTATTCTTAATACGCAAAAGACAAAGTGTCGTTGGTTGGCTGCGGGTTAGGGGTTCAGTTGCCACTCTAATTGCTCTGTTCTCGGTGGTCCTTCGACTATCTTGGTTGCTTAGCACGATACCGGACTACCCAGCCCTTCCAAAATCGCTCTACACGCCTGTGATGATCATAGTCAGCCGTCTTCTTCGCTCGGATAGCGCCGCGAAGCTCGACTCACCGATCCCTCGCTCGTACAATTCAATGCCAACGGCTGATCAAAACCTCCGCGGGTACAGCCAGTCCTTAGGCCTATCCAGCTGAAAGAACCTGTCGCTACTGGCAACTCGGAAGTCAGGGTACATATGCCTCTGTGGATGTCATTAGAGGAGGTAGTGGTGTGGCTATGGTGTCGTCCGTGGTTCTGACTATTGCGTGCAATAATCTGAAGCAGTAAGGATTCATACCATGTTCATAATAATGTGGTTATAGTGCGAGTTGATGGCGGACTTGTGGTCACCTGCGGTGCAGCGAAGACACATGGAACTACGAAGAGGAGTGTGTAAGGACGCATGGTGGTTTTGCGACAGAGCCTGAGAAGACTTTGTCACAAATGGAATGTTAAAATTACTATGAGAGGGGAGAACGGCTTTATTAGCTTCAACCCCAGTTCGCCTAATTCATGTTGCACTGGAAACTGACCGAACCGACTTGGACAAGTTTTCTAAGCAGGAAAGTGTACATGCTGACTAAGGACGGGAAATCAATACATCATGCACATAATTCGTATTGCCGGCATCCAAAGCGCAAGATGACTTCTCTTCCGACGTAATTCCACTTCTTCCGCATCTTACGTTCATTTCATTGACTGTGGATTTTACATTGAACACGGTGGTCGAGGAAAAGTCATTACCGAGCGACACCTCGAAGCACCAAATGCTATCTCTCGATGCTCGGCATCTTCGCATTTGTTTGCATTAGCGCAGATACCGCTTCGATGGGCCTGTATGTGTACAGCCAGCTAACCGAATCGCCAGGACAAGAAGGTGCGAGCCGTGTGCCCCTCCACCCCTCTCGAACTCAACCAGCAATTATCCAAGCTCAATATCGTATCTACTTTTCGCAGAGAAATTTAGCATCTCCACAACATGGCGCTGTTCTCGGTCTTCAGTGTATGGAATGCCTTTACAGTTGTTTGCATCCCTTTTGTCTATTGGATTGTTTGGGTGATCTATTCGCGCACACTGCATCCGCTTGCGAGAGTGCCTGGCCCCATCTGGCCAGCAGTATCGCGGTCATGGCTTATGTATCGGATGTACCAGGGTGATTTGGAGAAACATATGCGCACGATGCACAACAGGTTCGACTTTGTTGTTGTGACAAGTGGAATGTCGCTAATATGTTCCTAGTGAGTGTTTTCATCATTGTGGGTACTGTACCGTTTTGCAAAAGAGGCTTGCATGAGAGTAACAAAGGGTTAGGGAATTAAAAAAAAAAAAGGTGCTAATAACTTTTGATTTGTAGAATATGGCCCAATAGTGCGTACAGCTCCGGACGAAGTGCATGTCAGCGATCCGAAAGCAATTCCCATCATCTATCCTACGCAGCAACCTCTTGAAAAGACGGACTGGTATCTGACATACAGACCGGTAACACTTGGGCCTGGTCCAGATTTATTCACCGATGACAACGAGAAGCATCATGCAGCTCACCGGCGGATCGTGGGCCCAGTTTATACGCTAAGCAGCATGTTGAAGAACGAGCGCGTTTTAGACGACTTGGTGAATCTATTTGTAGACAGGCTTGCTGGTTTTGCAGATAGCCAAGATGCATTTGACTTTGGATTGTGGCTGGAGATGTGAGCTTGACGGTTTTCAGATTGATTTTGCTACAAGACCATGTTGACGTATTCAGGTTCTCGTTCGACAGTGTGGGTGCGGTATTCTTCGGCTCACCGTTTGGCTTCCTAAAGACTAGTTCCGACTATGGCAATTACATTGCTGCGGTACATACTGCTATGCCATTGAACTCTGTCGTCGCCATGGCTCCTTTGTGGATCCGTACCTATCTACTCAAGATGGGTGTTATGATCCCAAAGGTTCTCAAAGCAATTATAGCAGCGGATGGTATTCGATATACCGCTGTCCGAGAGACTGGTGTTGCGCAAGAACGAACATTGGATGCGAATGCAAATCGCACTGACGTTCTATCTCAATTACTGTCGATCATGCGGGAGAAAAGGACCAGCCTCACCATAAAAGAGATCCATGTCGAAATGTGGGCTGCTGTGTAAGGCAATGTAGGATCGTTTGAGGCTTTCTGCTAATACATAACAGTATCGCTGGTTCGGATAGTACCTCCGGCGCACTTCGTGCGATCTTCTACTTTCTCATGAAGCACCCTGACAAGTTAACAGAACTTGTCCGTGAGAATGACACCGCTTACCTAGATGGCACGATTACTCATCCTACACAATACAATCAGGCTACTAAGCTGCCATACCTCAAAGCTGTAATCCAGGAGTCGCTAAGGCTTTGCCCACCCTTCGCTGTGCCTATGCCGCGTTACGTACCGACTGGTGGTTTGTAGCTTTCAGGTCATCATATTCCTGCTGGCTTCAAGGTTCGTAATCGCGCGTGTTTGTCGTACCACAAGACTGCTAATGTAAACAAAGGTCGGTATGAATGCGATGGTCACGCAATTCGATGAAACCGTTTTTGGTAAAGACGCGCAAGAGTTTCGTCCCGAACGATGGCTTGAGAGCGAGGAGCGATTCAGAGTCATGGAGAAAGCGATGCTTGTGTTTGGCGCAGGCACCAGAACCTGCATCGGCAAGCATGTGAGTGTCGCAGACCCGGTTGAACGTGGTGTCGCATCTACTGATCGTATTCCAGCTCTCAAATGCTGAGATGTACAAGCTGGTGCCAGAAATACTCCGTCGCTTTACTGTGGAAATGGCGCACGATGAGCCGTGGAAGACGCATAATGCGACGTTCGTGCTTCAAAGCAATGTGATCTGTAAGATCAAACGCAGGTCACTTGAGAGTAAACTTTCGTAGAACATCCATCTGGTGTTGGTACGCACTACAATTAACACCGTATACAGGATGGGTGATAGTCGTGATGAGGGAATAGAAAGACGTCATAGATTGAGTCTGCTTTGTTTCACGACGCGACACCTGCGCGGATGAACGCAACGCGTTTCTATACCTAGTCCTGATTCGGTATAGCCTCACTGCGTCGAAGAATCAACCATTGAATCTTCTGATCTTCACATCATCAAGGATGTTTACACAAGTTTATTCTAATCTTGATTTTCGTTTTGTACGTACTTGATGAATTTTTTGAGCATCTAATACCCGCTATCAATACATCTGGAGCGTACCTCGCGTTCGCTACTGCGTTGTAATGGCCAATAATTCAGTACCATGACGATGGCGTTGATGGTCATTTCCATTGGCATGTATATATCGTTATACATGAACTGAGGGTAAAATAAGTAAAATATTGCTAAGCATTATAAAGATTTCTCATTTCAACCAAACGCACTCTGGCTGGAGTGGCTGCACTTAGGGTTGGTAGGAGGCGAGCTTCCACCAAAGTACACCTTGTTGTAGACATTGTCACCAGTCCATGCGTCGGATGGCACCTTTGGAGGGTTTGCTGGGCCGCCCTCTTGCTGGGAGTTCGGGTAAAGGAAGTTGGGCGAGATGACGCTGTCGGGGCAGCCCAGCGCCGTCTTACTAAGAATGGGGTCAAGAACGGAGAGCGCCCATGAGACACCCTTGGAGATGTTCTCCTCAGTGCCACCAAGCACGAGCGGAGTAATAGAGTTGATACCCTGGTATACATCGCAGAGTAGGGTCTGGACAGTCAATTTGCCTGTACCAACCTGTGCAGCGCCAGGTACGATGATGTTGCGGGGATAGATCTGAAGGAAGCCATCGGCGATAGCCTGCACCGCGCCGTAAGGGGTATCACGGCGGTACCAGTTCTCGGGCCAGCGCTCAGGGACGTACTTGAACTCTTTGGTGTTCGCATCATACTCAGCTCCAATGATGCTCATGATGCTCTTGTAGTTGGCCACACCGCCCGCGCCGTAGGTACCGTTGGAGAAGAACTGGGGATAGAAGGCAAAGGCACCTAGTGAGACGATCTGAGGAAAGGGGAAGTAATAGATGAAAGGATTGTTGTCCTTGGTGAAACCAGCCGATTTTGCGTAGTGTTTGGCCAGGACGTCCATAGAGAACTCCTTCTTAGGGTCCTGAGCAGCATATCCGACCATTTGCTTTACAAGGCGGGAAGAAAGATGATGGTTGTCACCGCATCCGAGGTAGTAATCTTTCCAATGTTAGTGCTCAGATCTCGCTTTTCTAGTGTTACAATTACATACCTTCGCGGTTGGGCGAGACATCAGCTTCAACAACCGAGTGGCGGTTAAGGCCACCGATTTCGTTCTTGCCTGAACCAAGATAGAAAGACAGTCCATCGAGGTCTCCACTGCCCAAGACAGCGAAGGTGGCTAGGACCGTTGCAAGGTCCGTACCCATGTTGAAGCCACGCGCAGTGGCCTCGAGGACCTGTCCGTAGCTGACGTAACCATCACGTGGGAGGTATCCGTAGTTAGCGAGCAAGTTAAGGCCTGGGCAAGGACCGCGAGAGTCGTTGGGGCCAGGGGCCTTGAACTCATAGCCAGGCTCAGGACGCTTATTGTCTTGCTTGACGATAGCTTGGCCGACTGAAGACAAGAGTCCGTCGACGATGTCGCCAAGAGATCCCAAGAGGTTTCCGACTGGGCTGAGAAGGCCACCAAGTTGAGGTCCAGCGGCACGGTTTGCAAGTTGTTCACGCTGCATCTCCACGCGAAGATACTCCTCCATCTCTGCGCGAGAACTGGCACCCATCATGCCGGGGTAGGCAGCGGCGATGGCAGGCAATGCCAGAGTAATTGCTTGAGTGAACCTCATGATTCTGGCAACACGAATTTGTGTATGTGAGGAGAGGAAAGGAGAAGAAGCAAAAGATGGTTCTGACTGAAAAACTGATGTGATATGTACGGTGAGGTGGATTTATACACTTTCCCGCCGCGCAGCTATTTCAAAGAGTCCCTGTCGCGCTGGAAGATACGGCATCGGTAGTAGCTGTGGAGACTATCCACGTTGAGCATGATCTCCATAAACAGTCGACGAGGAGGTGAATTGCTCTACCATTTCCGGACGGTTGTCATCATGATCAGCAACTAGGACTGGGGAAGACCTAGTCAAAACGCGGTGTCTTCACAGATCCATACATGGCTGCGGGAGGAAATGGCCATCCAATCATGTTTCATCTAATTACCCGATCCCATTCTAACCTCTTAACCTTCTTATTCGAGTGAGTGACAACGAGTCAGGCTCATGGCATTCTGGTATTCGGCATAGCCTGAATGATCCACATATACCCACTCAGTAGGCCCGCAATGCGCTTAGGGCCAAGGTTAGAAACCCCAGAGCCAAGGCGAGGAATCACGATGAGAAAGGAGACGTTTCCGTTAGTATCTAGATGCTAGAATTCATATGGTTTGGTCAAACCACAGAGGTAAACGAGCTTTCCTGTCACCAGAAGATCACTATGGTGGGATGAGCTGTCGAAGAACGTCATGATTATCCTGCAGACCATAGCAATAAATCCAGACATTATCATATCATAGGACTGAGAAGCAAACGTCCAGGGCAGGTCTGCCTCCTGCGGATGGAAAAGGGTCAAGCGATTGTACTGATAATTTCGTCCGACGGATGCAGCATATCTTGGTGTACCATGCAGTAGCTTGCAGAATCGGCAGGTGAAATCATAGCGTTGGCTTTGCTGTACGGCGGAGAATTTTGTACTAGCCCTCGCCGAACGCTGATGATGAACAGGGGCTAGTCTGAGGCTCATCGGCATCAAATCAGGCTGCCGGCTCACTTTATCGCGTAAAGTTTGTGCAGTATTCTAATGTGTTCTTGCACAGCCTATGTTGGTAACTGTAGACAAGCTTCGGCGTAATGGTCGACTGCGCTATGATGTGGACAAGAATTAGATCTGGAAATCGGCATCTTGTCGATACTGCATATGCCTGTAGGGGTGCGAATCGGGTAGGTTGAGTCGTCGATCCGGCTGATTGAGATCGGCGGCTCTGCGTCCCGCATCCAGATCGAGTTTGTCTAGGAAATGATGCGAATCCGCGTTCCGGGTGGATGGCTTTAGTTGCTCTGCTGTTTGGCGTGCCTGGAACGGGAAAGGTTTTGACTTGCGACGTCATTAAGCTACCGCGGAGCCTCCTAACCGATGACGATCATCGACCCTAGCGTCAACCTTAACCCGAAAGCGAGGCGACGTGGTGCTTTCACTCGTGACGGCGCAGAATATGGGACAAAGCCACCACGCCAAGTAGGTTCCGAGCAGAATATATGCCATACAATACCAATCACAATCGCCTGGCCTCCTAATCACCAGTCTCAATGACGGGGGTAAGAGTCTAAGCAATAGTTCGAGCTGAGGGAGCTGACTTTGCGTGCAGACAGTACAGCGCACCGGCGAAATTTGTCTCTAGCACACATTGCACGCGGTTCCTCGTCTCGTTGCACTTGTGGGGCGAAATATCCAAGCTTTTGTTCTCCGGAAATTTTGTACCGGGAGCTTTTCACGGGTAGCTTGAGAGTCCCTCGAACTGCGCGAGATCAGCGACGACAACACCCGTTGGGAAGGGTTTACTTTTTGAGGAGTTAGTCAAAACGGCATGCCGGAAATTATGCGTTCAAGAAGTAGCTATGTTTACGAGCAACAGTGTCTATCTGACTTCGCAAAACCTACGAAGTTCATCACAGCCAAGCGCTTTAGACGAAGTGTAGAAGAAGTAAGAGATTATCGCAAAAAGCATCGGTGAGTACGAATACAATCTACTGGGCTAATGCTCACCTTTCTCTACCCATGCACAGTCATGGTCGCTAGACGCAAAGCACTGTCGATAAAAAGCATAATCCCAGAAGCTTCATGAAGCTTACAAAGGTCGAGATATGCACGTCTTCACATCTGAGTCCAGTCCCTTACGCACCATCTCACATCCTTGCGTAAGACAAGAACATCCGCTATTCTGATCACGTCGTGTGTTTGACAGTCGATCTACCATTTTCAAAACGCTGCGGGTGAGAGTGAGAGCGTATTCGAGACGTTTGCGCTGCCGATGAAGAAAGGCGTTATCCAAACACCTACACGTTTGACTCAATGATGCAATCCATGGTGAAAGAGAGATTTTTCTCACTGTGCGACTCTCACTCGAACTCAGCTGCCCGTGAAGACAATTCGTTCGCTTAGCCCAACTGTGAACTCTCAGCTACAAAGGCGCACTCGCCGCAACACCTGAATACCCGGCGGTAATGGAAATGGCAACCGCTAACCAGACTCTCTTACCAATGACTCATCTAGAGACATGTCTCCGTCCTTTACGAGGACATTTCGAGACAACAATCAAAATCCTAGGTTCTTACTGCGATTTGCTCGACTTTTACCTATCATACCGAGCGACCGATTCGGAGGCATTGCGCTTGAGTATTAGGCTGGGGGCGTTAGTTAAATGGTCCGAGTTGCAGTATCCAGTGCCGGGACTATCCACGGGGGCAGTGCAAGCCGTCTTGCCAGAATTCGAAGCAGTTTGGATTGAAGTCACTGCAGTACTTGACGCTATCCTTCTTCGAAATCCAGCCAGGTGCGATATGAAGTTTTGGGAACAGTATATCAGCTACCATGGTTTGATGGTTCAACCTGTGGTTATACTAGTATGCGACACTCTCATGGACCTTTCATCCGACCTCAAAGATTGGCTTATGCACATAATCAACTCTCAGCCGCACTATAATGATGTTCAGGGTGATCTTCAAGGTCAGTTTAACGCACGTCATTTGCTGGGTGCCAACACTATCCCTGAATTGGCTCGGACAATTATCGCATTTCGTCATGAGTACATGGCGATTGAGGATGCAATTGCTATCTTCGCCAAACTGGTTCAGAATGCGATTGATCGATACCAAGACACGACGAGCTTCTCGAGCGATCATACTACTCTCGACCAGTATGTTAATGAACTAGTAGACCATCATCGCTTCCTAGTCTCCGATCCCTTCTCGAAATCGTCTCTAGCACTACGACAGCAACTTGCATTGTGCGACATCCGCGGTACAATGAGGCTGCTAGTGTGGGATGCTGCGACTCTCTTGGACCGATCCTGTTACACCGGCCTCTCCTGGGACATGTTCAGAAACTTCGTCAACGGGCTGATCCACGTTGTGAATGCCCGTGAACCAGCATGTGTCGATCATGTCCGAACAGCGCTCTTCGTACTCCGTTTGGATTGTTTCCTGGACCCTAACGCCCTAAAGGATGACACATGGGTATGGCTGCCTGAAGGAGAAGAGTACGATTATGAACCCGACGAAGAAGTCGACCTAGATGATCTCCCAGATGTCTGCTTCGAACCTGTCGGCCCCTCTCTCAAGGCCGAACAGCACGCCTTTGCCGTCACTAAGAGTTTTGATCTTCCTGAAGAAGACTGCTCCATTTGCCGCGATATGCTCGACGTCCATGAGACCGTTCGCGACGAAGTTCCAGTCAAGGTGAGTTGTGGTCACACCTTCCACTACGGTTGCCTCAGTACTTTAATCAACGGTGTTTCCAAATTCTCCAACTTGTGTCCGAACTGTCGGCAAGAGGTATGTCATCGAAGGCCTAGACGGCTGAAAGACGGTAAAGAACTTGAGAGTGCACAGATTTCGGGAGCACAAGGCGAAGCAGAACCAGAACGTTTTCTTCAGGATATGTATGGCGATGTGGTGATGACGGATGGATGCAGATCCGGCTGATGTAGGAGAGGGCGATATGCTCGCTGTACCCGCGAAGCTAGGCCCGCAGATGATTATGGGTGTTCACTGCGATGCTGGGCATTTGTATCACTATGGATGTCTTGAAAGCTTGACCAATGATATCGAAGCCTATTCTGACAAATGTTCAACTTGCCGTCAACAGATTTGTTCATTGAGAAACAGTAGACCTATTCTTGTTGGCAACTCAACTCATTCGTAGGTAAAAGCGGAAAGCAATTGATGATGGGTAGCTTCGAATTTGGCGAACCAATAATGATAAAGACATGGGCAGGCATTATCGACTTAAATGTTCTGTTTATAATACTGACCTATAGTATTCAACTTACTAATATTTTACATAAGGAAGCTCTCTCTCAAAAATTAAATCATCCTTGAGGTTTACCAAAGACGACATCCTATCCTTTCGCAGCACAGCTGCAATGGTCACGCCCATGGCTAACCATATCCACAGAACAGCTCCAACGGGTATCATAACCTAGACCCAGCTCGGAAAGCGCTTATTGTTATTATAGTCATCAATGCGTTAGAAAAGGCTTTTGAGACGAGAATCGGAGAAAGCAAAAATGGTAGTCGTGACGGGACTGGCACTGATGGAGACGCATACGACAAAGAAAAGCAGCGAGGTCGTTAGTGAGGTTTCTGCTTGCAGAAGGGTATTGGTGGATGCTTGACACTGCGAAGAGTGAGTTTGTGGGTGCCACGTTGTTTGCCAGAGGCATGGGCGTGGCGATAAGTGCAGTAGCAATAGATGCAGTAGATGATCAGCTTAGCAAACATAGTATTTTGCAAGATAGGGTAACTCATGTTGCGGGGCTTATATATCGCAGCATTGTTCACGTGTGAATCCTCAAACACGTGAGAGATGCCAGCGTTACTGCTTCAAGAGACGTGATTATGAACGCGAAGATCATAATAAGAATCGTTGTGAAGCGATGAGGCAATCGAGGTTACATTACGATAGTGCGAAGCACGGTGACAGATGTTCTTTGCTCGGGATATTCAGCTCTGACATGCTTTAACATCGAATACTCCATGTGGAGCCGCCTTACCAGATGTCAGTCTGGGCGCTTTGTTACGCGCACTCTGGTCGTTTCGGTGGACTTGCCGTAATTTCAAGGACGAATTTCCATCTCGTCATTCAAGCTGATTGAAGGGAGACGTCATTCGAAAGTTTCGAAAGTGTTGAGCAGATCCGTTCGATTCGCCAACCAAAACCTTCTACTCCCACGTCAACCGGAAGGCGACGTGTCAAGGTGGAGAGATTGTCCGATCAAGAGCGGAGTACAGCTGGCCGTTTAGGACACCACTCGGTCTAATGTGTCATAGAAGAACTCATTGCTGAGCCCAAACGACCACACTGGCTATCTCTGCTATAGCTATGTACCTTTGCGGCGTTGCGGCACAGCGGAGCTCGAACTTCCGCATAGCGCTGCATGACAGGATCCGTCGGTCTGACTGCGGCACACATCGGACAAGACACAAAGAGCGGTAGTGGCGGCGTGTTCGCGTGAGGCACAGCTTGTGAAGGTTCGGGACGCAGTGCTTCACCGTTGCGGACGTTCCCGTAGAGGCACAGTTACGCCTGCGTAAACTAACACACGATGATGGACAGGCTTCGTAGAGTTGAGGACAGGTAGCTGCACCATATCACCGATGTGATCAGGGGCCCAATGTACTTTGCCGTACGTACACGACTGTGCCGTAGAGTCTGTAAGTGTAGGAAGCGAGAGCTTGGGAGATGGTACTCGCAGGATCTCCTCTATCCAATGACCATGTTCATGACTATCGATGGTAGCACAGTGTTAGTTCCAGGAAGCGCAGGACTGAAACATCTTCGCATCGTCATGTTGTTGCGTAGGCGTGTTGCTTGCGATGCATTAGCGCGCTTATCCTTCAATATTCCTACCATGTGATGGCCGTTACTGCAGCCTCTGATAACGATAATGCGGTGATTCAGGATGTCTTACTATGCGACAAGCAGCTGCAACGCCGTTCAGAGACATATGCGAACTTATCTAGGGGGCTTCATCGTCTAGAAGGCCTATTCTTCCTCCCAACCGTATATGTAGCCGATGAACCGACATATCAGTCTACATCAGAGTATTTGGCGATGTCGCATCCATTCTTACATGGGTTTATTGTCATTACGTTGGTATGTGCGATTCAACGACCGTCTCTGCGACCGCTGGTAGTGCATTCGAGGGTTTTAGTTTGTGATATGCCAACCACTTCGGCCGAACGTACATCTAAGCGCCGGCTATTGCCACAGCGATTGGTAAGATGTATAGTATCGATAGTGTAGTCGAGTTGGTTTCCAATCCCAACAGCCGGCCAGAGTGGCTGTCGCAGCAGGCGAACACAGAGAATTGGCTCGGGAATATCTTCACACGGACCGGAAAGAGAAAAGCTACAGTAGTTGGGCGGCAGTGTAGGAATCAATAGCAACATAACGGGCTCCAACCACTCCGCAAACTCGAGAAAGGGTTAGTGAAGTGAGCATGCGAGTGACAAAATATTGCAAATTAACAGGCCATGTGAAACATCGCCACAGCCAATACCTCAATTTAGTAGCTTTACATAGGGCTGAACTGTGTGGTCTGCATAGGGCTCTGGCTTCCAAGTAAAAGGTATGATGGTGCAATGAGAGAGCGAGCAAGAGTGGTGGCTTGCTCGGCGGCGCTTACAGGTTTCGTGGTGGAACTTGCCGACGGCTTACTCATTTCGCATTATTCATCCAATCGGCGGAGGACCAAAGGGCAGGAGTTTACGATGTACAACTCCGTGCATCCCGGTATCGCGGGACGAGGGACATATCGTAAAGGAGACAGCAGATTCGGGAGGGCATGTGGATGCACGGTATTCTGGGCGCGGAGCTGGGCACATGCAAGAGCAAAGCAAGCTGCGATAGCATACTGCTGCTTGCAGACCTTCTTCCGGCGCATGCACAAGTCTTTCGGGATTCGAAAGTTGATTGCTAGTATATATGGTGCCGTCATTGCGACGAACGATTCAGAGGTCGCGATGATGTGCTGGTGGTGCTGACAGTTTTTGGCGAGGCAGATTTTGTTGGTTCAGCCTCATGGAGGATTAACCGGAAGGCTAGACATGTGGGAGGAGCTAACTTTAGCAACGGGAAGTAACAGCGCTAGCCTTATCCGAGTACACGTTTGGTACAACTGCCCCGCTCGAGATGTGAAAGATAGATATGTACAGCTGTGCGATTGCGGTGAGGCTGTGATGGTTTGGCGCATGATGAGGGAGTGCAGGTGTATATGGACAAGACAGAGGACGCTGCCCCGATGCGCGTGTTGCATATCGCAATATTGACCGATGCAGACCAAGTAAGCGACAGTGAGTGGGTGTAGTCGATGGAGGATCAACTGCCCAGCCGAATCAGAAAGCTTTCGCGACAAAGGTGGGGCCCGCACGTGCCTTGCTGTGATTGCATCCTCAGATCAAGCCATGCCCATTGCGACGAGCATCATCTGCAGCGTGAGCGATCCTACTGGAATTGTCCTGCCGTGTGATACCTGCCTCTTCTTCCCAGCGACCTGTTTGCGGGGACGCCGACAATCGAACGCGAGATGACTTTTGTACGTCATTTCGGCGAGCGCGACATCATCGACACAATGGCAATGATCTGATAGTGCAGCATCTCCAGATACTCAAAGCGGAAAGCCATTCGTTGTTGATCCATGGTAAATACCGCCGGGATGACTTCGGGGTCTTTCATGACCTCACGGGAGGAGAACCAGCCTAGCCAGTGCAATTGCCTGAATCGCGCCATCTGCGGGTCGCGGCAAACAGCTCTCGACCTTCATGTCTCACCGTGACCCCCGAAGGATGCTCCACGCGATGCAGCCCTCCCTTGACTTTGGACAAGAACCGGGGCATGGTTGTGACGAAACTAACTCGGGTGGCCAGGCACGTGCCTTTCATTTCTCAACATCCCCCACTAACCCATCGCGCTTTGAACCTTTCCGGGCGGGTCAACGGTGATCACTAGCGCTCGCGTCGTTGCAGTGAGCCTTAGATTGGTCATGTCGCAGCGCACAGGTCTTTGTCGGACGATGTTGATTGTCTAGCCCTACGGCTATTGACTATCGAGCTCATAACCCGCCACCCGTCAACAAACACCAGCGCGGCGGAGAGGGGCCACAGATGCAAGTCAAGCCAGGTCAAACACGTGCCGAAGCGTAGAGCAGGCCGTCGTATTGAGTTTTGCATTCATCAAGATTACCGGCTATATTGCGTCTTACCCCCCATTAAGCAAACAATGTCAATTATTCTCACACATTCGGCCAGGCTCTCACCGCTTCAGTTTCAAAGTGCTCTACATGCCCAAGGGACAGCTCCATAACATGCGGGACGTTGCAGTTCATTTCCCATGACACTAAGCTGAAGTAGTGCTATTAGGCGGCCTCTGCCGGCTGGCAGCCTCGCGCAAAGATCGTGGGAGCCAAACCCGACCCGTCCACCCTACGCTTGAACCAAAACAGCAAATGGCATGGTCTTTCCTGCTAACAGACAAGGTTCTTGTTCATTGAATCGCGAGAGCCGCCGACCGAGCATTGCATAGTTCATGAGCCGCCAAAGCATATCGACTTGGACCTGAATTACGCGCCAGCTATAGACTAACAGCTGCTGAACTTCTTGACCTACACCACGGATCGCGATTCGTCTGCCTATGTCAGGCTGCAGAGTGCTTACCAGGGTCCTCGCCATTATCCATCGTCTCGGTTGCGGAGGAGCTGAGCCTTCATGAAACCGACAGCGGTCCTGGCCCGACAATCAGGCTCGCCAGCGCCCAAACGCGCAACAAGCTGGTCGTCCCATGTGCAGTCGACAGCCATCGTCAATCTGAAGGCGGCTCTGCAGGCAAGGGCTATCCGCATGGGGTTTTGAGTTGCAACTCTCCGATGTGCAAATGCAGGAGCTTGAGCCCTGGAAACCGGTGAAGCCTATGTGACGTGCGTGATGCAGTCGTCCTCTGTGCCGAGCAAAGCGCGTCGACCCTCATCAAATCCTCAGTCCCCCCATGCCTGTGCGAGCCAGTGCAAATCCATGCAAAAGTGGGTGCCATCGTCGTCCGGCGCCTTTCATTTGCCTTGTGCCTTGAAAGGCTGAGGAAGCTTGGTCGACGTGTTCCCAAGCTTTGCGCGAGCGGACACACTAAATCATTAGGCCCCCCGCCCTCACAAGTAACCCTGCGCCCATAGCGGGCTGCCGTGTGGAGATTGGGTGAGGGCCAGGGACTGCGGGACCATCTGAAGCCGCTTCGTGTGCTCACGGACGGACTGCTTACCGTGCTTACGCCCTGGATATTTGCAAGTCGACGAATGAAGACAGCAAGACGATGGATACAATACCGTCGGCCAGGAAATATGTGTTGCAGCTTTCGCCGTCATTGCCATCGCCGACTTGTTATTCGGCGACGACATACCTTGCAGCTGTTCTGCATGCTGTAAGTATTCTGGCGGCATGGGTCCCTGGCAGGGCTGGTTGACAGGCGAGACTACACATCTGCCGCTCAGCGCACCTAACAATGCCATCTCCACCAATGAACTTACATTGCAACGCGAAACTATCGGACATATCCCCCTCTGCAGGGGCGAATATCGCAAACCCGACGACTGCATCAACGCGATTGCTCAGCATCCTTCGACGACCTTCTCTGCAAGGGACATCGTGTGTCGTCGCGATGACAGCATATTGCGATGCTGCTGCATCTTAGTGTAAGCGGCAGCATGGGCGCTGTTGCAGGAGGGCTGAGCACGGTCATGCTCCACGCGAGTCTCTATTTCGGGTCCTCCATGGCTCTCACAAGCCACGCTCCTCTTAGCATCCAGCGTGAAGTTTGAGGCGGGAACGGTCCGCAGCCTGGCCTAGCGGTGTCCTCCAATTGCCCATTCATACCCTGGCCATGTCCCAATTTTGGTGCGCGGACGCCTTGTTGCTCAGTGTGACCGACGGAACCGTTCGCCTGCACGCCCGCAGCCATGCCCGTGGGCTCAAGCCATCGACTTGCTATGAGATCGACCAATGCACTGCCTATGGCGGATACCCTGGAAAGTACCATGTCTACACCCTGCACATGTCGGCTTGCAGCGTCTATGACCCTCGTTACTTTTCCAACCCCCATACTCGAGTACGCTCCTCGTTTCGGGGTTGGCTCAGGCACAGCCCGCAGATATTTACAGTCTCTCTCTCCACAAACCGATCCGGGCGCAGCATTTTCTCCTACAATCGTCGCAAATGCCTTGTTTTGGACCGGCTTTCCTTCCCAATCTGGTCTACTACACACCAAGTTAACTCGTCTCCCCTGGCGGCTGTTCCTTAATTCAACTTTCTGTCCCCCGGCTGCCTATCATCATCCCATGAGAACAGCACCGACTCGTCCAACACATGACCACTAGCTCATAGCCGTCTGCCGTACCACCAGATCTGGAACGTTTAGCACACATTAACCACATCCCCATTTGAGCCTCTGATCTCTCCTAGCCCCATCATTCTCCAACATAAGATATATACCATCCATCGCCTCGTCCGTCCGTCATGTCCGAACCCACTGAGACAGGAGGCCTCCCATTGGACTTGAGGACCCACCAGCAACAGCAACCTACAGGCAGCATTATTCATCAACCAACACCACCCAGTGTCGAATATTGCAAGACAACACAGTCACCTAACAACAACGCACCCAAGGGATCCAAGGCTCCTAGCCCTCGTCGTCGTCCTGGAACCATTAAACAAGCGCCATCCGGCCCCCACACCGGCTCCTCCCGCTCTGAGCGACATCCAGCCCTAAGCCCTACAGACATGTCATCTCAAAGCTCATCAATCCACTACACGCGGACTGGCCGCATCAGCAAAGCAAAGAAAGGGTTGAAAGTGCACAACTGCGAGAACTGCGGAAGAGTAAGTCCGAATATTTATATATTGCTACCAGCTCCAGAATGCAGGCGTATAGTTGTGTATGGGTCACAACTGTTGCACAGTACCTCCTCGCAGCTAAACGTATCTGCTCGGTCGCTACCTATCCCTATCATGTCTGCAGCGTATTTTTGCTAACCAACTACTAGTCTTATACTCGGGCCGAGCACCTAAGGTCAGCTCTAATTTCCATCAAAACCTAAAGCGGTACTAACAGCTCATGTCAGACGGCATCAGAAAAATCATGCCCAGGAAGATGCGCTTGTATGCCAAGTGCCTGGATGTGGCAAGACCTTCTTTCGGATTGATCTTCTTCATAGGCATCAAGAGCGACAGTATGCGAGCCCATGTTTAGTCTCGGAGACATGATATTAACTTTCAGCAGCAACGAACCTGGACGAGACTCTTCTCAGCAGAGTCCCGAAGGCTCGCCAGAGCCAGCGCCTATCTCCATGCCTATCTCTATGACCGCTCTTGAGTCGCCCATGATGGAAGTGACAACAAACCCCCCAACCACTTCCTATTATCAGCCCGTATCTCCCATGCTGGAGACGGCGCCATTCACAAGGTACAATCACACTTCGTTTCGTACTCCCAGAACGTCTCAGAATCTTTCGTCAAGTTCCAGTCTCATTCCTCGTTCTTCTCCTCATACCACGTCTAGCCCCAAGTGAGTTTCATTGCACATGATCGAGCACTTCTTTTTTTTCTTTCAATTCGTCTCGTATCCTCTACTTGAACGCATACTCATTTTATTCCAGTCAACTCAAACATCCTCGTTCGCAATATAACCAACCATCCGCAGCTGTGTCTGTACAAATGGATGGTATGACACCAGGTCTATGGCACGAACCGTACAGTCCTACCCCTGGGTGCTCCTCTTCAAGTGGGTACGCATCGCCGATCGCATCGACCGACTTCCATACGTTCGGCAGTGCGCCTTACCATCGAGCGCGTACACCTTCGAACGCGTCCATCATTGATCCGTCATGGTCGTACCAATCACGCTCACCAGCGTCTACCACCTCGACCATGGCATTTACGTGGGGTTCGAATGATAAGGGATCGACTGCTCCGAACCTCGCCTACATGAACGCATGTTCCTACCCGATGACAACCATGTCCATTCCCACAAGTATGGATGCAATGGCTGGATATGGACACTTTGGTCCGAGAACAATGACGCAGAGAGATGAAGAGGAGGGGGTGATCCTCTTTGGAGACGAACAATATGGTATGGCTTCGATCGCACACACCCATCCGTTTGAGCAATATCTTGACTATTACTGGAGGCTCTTTCATCCCACTTTCCCCATTATCCATCGACCTACCTCTTTGAGTCCTTCGCCGATGCTGCGCGCAGCCATGATCGCCATAGGCAGCCAGTACTCGACCGATGTCGGCGACAAGAAAAGGGGTCGAGAACTCCACGACCGATGTATGAAATTGCTTGAACGGGTAGGTTAGATGCATGACCCGATGACCGTTGACTGACTGGTAGCAGAGAGATCACGAAGCTTTGACAGAACCGGAGCGATTATGCGATTTCCAGACGATGTTCCTTATTGAGGTACTATCTCAGTACCGCGCTCGACGGGCTGCTAAGGTTTTGTCGTCTCGCTTCGACAAGGTGTACCATAAGGTAGGTTCAGCGCTGTCACAGAGAGCAGGCGACAGCTAACAACATCAGACTATTGAAGATTGCAGGAGCATGACTTCAAAGATGGCGGATTTGGTTGCAAGCCTTTCTCAACTTAATCATGCCACTCCAGATCACTGGGCTCACTGGGTCGAGCTGGCCACCTGGCAACGCTTGCTCCTGTCCTGTTACGTTCTCGAGTCACAGCAGCGTCTCCTGCTCGCTCGTGAATCCTTGCCTTCTCTAATCCACGACAGTCAATTCGACATTCCCTTTCCCGCACACAGTTCTCTTTGGGATGCGACGAGTGCAACCGAATGGACTATAGCTACCCAGCAGCACTCCTACGCACCATCATACGTTTACGAAATTATTCCCGGCTCTCTATCAATTCCTCTCGATACTTTCCAATCATCTGTCATACTCGCCGTGCACTACAATCTCCACGAAAGTCCGACACCATACATCTCCTCCCCGACATCACCGAATCTTGAATCTCTTCTCGATGCAGCGCCTGCCACGACACGAATGCTACTCGTAGCAAAGCTGGTTCAAGTGACCCCTATCCGCGCGCTGCTAGCCATTGCAGGCGAGTCATGGATCTTATCGGAGAAGGTCGCAACCCCACAAGTTTTTGCAGCATTGAAGACTACGCTCCGCACGTGGGTTGCGCAGCTGTGGTCTACTAGCGATTCCGAGTTTGTACCAGTCAAGGAAGCACTAAAACTCTCAATCAAGATCCTTCAACAAGCTGTTGAGGAGCAACGAGATTCCGTGCCCCTGGAGATGGGCACAGACATGGGTATCTTCTTTGCCGCCCTAGTTCTATGGGCCATTACTGTTGCCGCGACCACGCGAACAAAAGGATCACACCAGACGATCAAACAGCAGAATCGACGGCAAAGCCATTCTGAGTCACCACCGCTCGTCAACTCAGCCTGGGCCCCTGCGACCCCCTCAGCACAGCCCATTGGCCATTCCTCATCGTCATCAGTTCAACACACACTAGCATCTTCCAACAGCCAGCCGCAATCACCAATCATCGCAGCTAAATCCAAGAACCCTCTACTGTCGCATGCACAGATCATCATTAACACCATCTCCTTCCTTGCCGATGCCCTCGCCATGTCCGATAACACTGTTTCCGTGTGGCGGTCTCCCGCAGACCATGCACGTCACCAAGCAGGCTGTATAAGCCTACTTCTCTGGGTCAAACTGCGACTCCGTGGCGCCCCACTTGAAGACCGGAGCGGAGCCTCCGACACCTGGGTCAGCAAGCCTGGCGACTGGCTTGGTGAGCTTCTGGAAGGGGTTATCGGATCTATCGAGCGCATTCTGAAGAGAGGCTGGGGCGATTGGGGTATTTGACCCGATCACTGGTGTTGCTCCCTCTTCTCTTTCTACTTCCGAGTTTGCACTTTGCATCTTAGACTTTTGGCTTGCACTTCTGCTTGATCATCTTTCTTCCCGTCTTGTTCTGCGTCTTTGCTTTCTTCATTAGCGTGGCATATTGGGATGTATGGGCAACAAGGATACGATTTCATGATTGTTTACGGCGGATACCCCCTTTTTACTTGCTTCGTGCTTCAACGCTTTATTGTTTGCAGTTTATACTTCAGAGTACGTTGCGATCATACTCTACATTTCGGTTGTCATTGCATACTTTTCGTACCATTACTCATGATAAAAGGCATTGTTACAACCTATATTGTATGTGTCATATACCCGCGTCTCGTACACTACCGAGACCACAATAGAGACTTATCATAATGAAAGATTGTCGTAAGCGTATTAGCGCAGATCGTGCCATCCCATCAACCAATTCTGTGGTACTTTTGTGCAGAATCCTACAGGAATGCATGCTTACGTGCATTTAGGCGGCCACCACTACCAACTCCACGTGGAAGAAATTTTATTTCTCGAATATTTCTCGATAAGGTATGCTATAGTGTCGGTATTGAATTCCTCCGAAAGGTTGTTCCTAGCCGCGCGACTACAGCGAGCCGGATAGATCAAATGATATGAATCTGGTGAGACGTGATCGTGGTCGCCAAGGAAAGCAAGACTTTCTACCCCCTCACATCCAGCGCCGTCCCCTAAGCCACTCCACTTCCTTCTCCGTCTTCTTCCATCTATCATTTTGCTCCTTCTTCCCCTTCTTCCTCACGAACAGTAACTCGTCACCTCTCCGCTGAACACGTATATCATCTGCCTTCTTCTTCTTCTTTTGTATGAGTGAATAATCAGGTTCATGGCTTGGGTAGTATGTAGTATAGCGATCACTGTACCTCTCCGCTTCATTAATGTAGGCTCTAGAGTGAGAATTGTGAGAGGTGTAGAGGTCGTGAGCAAGACTCCTGTGCGCAATTTCAGCAGCGGACATGAAACTAGAAGGAAGACTAAGACCGTACGGGTATCGAGAGGTACGTGATGTGAACCATGATGGGAGATGCTCGCTACGTAAATCAGATGTGTAGGTTGTGTCATAGTTAAAGGGGTCTTTGCTGTATCCGACGAACGATGGCTGCACAATGCGTGTTCGACGTCCTGATCCCGATGAAGTCGGCAGCATACTCTTTTCTCGTTGGTAGTATTCGCCATCGTGGTAGCTGTGGCTGGATAGCTCTCGCTGCATGGCTCGTGAATCTCTACTGTGGAGAAAGAATGGTGTCATTATTTCAGGGTTACTGAGAGGTTGACTGGCGAATCTGAGGTACTAGTCAATCTGACATTTAGATTCACTTTATTCAGTCGTGATATACAACTACCATACTAGAAAGTTTGTTCGTAGACATCAGACTGGGTGGTTTGCTTGTTGAACTGGTGGTGTCCAGGCGTATCTAGTAGTCTTGAGACAATGCTGGGAATGGAAGGAATGTCTCAGGTGGTGAAAGATTGCGTCTAGTGGTTTCGTGGTTTCGATAGCACGGCTTTCAAGATGCGAGATGGGATGCGTAGATCAAAGGAAGGGCAATTTTGCGTAAGAAGGGAAAAGGCTACGAACATCGCAAAGGTATACTACCAGGTATAAACACATCACTCCCTATGCTCCACCTTCCGCATCGTCGTCCCACAGCTCGTCACCTACAATTTCGCCCTCCGCTGCAAATAAAGCCTAATCGCGACCGCCGCTGCATTTGTTAGCCTGCTGAATAGTCTCTACACCTCTCCTCTGACCCACTACTACTTACCAACAACAGCAGCCAAGCTCTTTAAGCCTACTAGTCCCATGAACCACGCACCCCATCCAAGTGGTCTGCCCTGACGATCAAAGTTGGGTTTCATATCGTTCATACCGATAAACTTCTTCTGCTTTGCGAGTGTGTAGGGCGGGTACCTGACGTCCATGAGACCCTCAATCCACGCTGGTGTGGTAGTTACGCTCCTGCGATGTGTAAAGGTGTCGAAACTCGCCTTGCCCCTGTATGCACCTTGGCCACTTGTTCCGACGCCACCAAAGGGCATGGTGGGTATGGAGCCGTGGAAGTAGCCGTCATTGAGGGAAGCACCTCCACTGCGCGTTTGTGTCATGATTTGTTCCAGCTCGGCCTTGTTTCCAAAAGCGTAGGTACCAAGTGGCGTGTCATGAACCTCGTTTGCGATTCTGATGGCCTCGTCGAGGTTGGCAACGGGGAGGATGGGTAGGAGGGGGCCAAAGGATTCAGACGTGATCATGCTGTCGTTCATATCGTTGACCTGAACAACGGTGGGTTCAATGAAGAGGTCGGATTCATCCATTGTGCCGCCAATGACAATCTTGCCGTTGCTGGCGTCGAGCATCTTCTTCATGCGCTGGAACTGGCGCTCGTTGACTATGCGACCATAGTCGGGTGAGTTTCGAGCACCGTCTGGGTAGAACTCTTTGAGCTGCTTCCTCATCTCCTCGATGAAGGCTGGCATAATCTCGCGGTCAACAAAGGTGCAATTTTGGCTGAGACAGACCTGACCGGCGTTCAGAGTCTTTGCCCATAGTAATCTCCGAGCAGCGAGCTTTGGGTCTGCATGCTTTGTGACAATGGCAGGATTTCTGCCTCCCAGCTCTAGTGTCAGGGGCGTAAGGGTCTCGGCTGCCTTCTTCGCGATGATCTTGGCAACTACCTCTCCACCAGTGTAGAAGATCTTGTCCCACTTCTGATCGAGCAGGGCGGTTGTCTCGGGAATGGCACCCTGGATGCACGCGTAGCACTCGGGGTCGAGGGACTCGCGCATGATCTTCTCGATCGCGACGGCGGCGTTGGGGGCAGACTCGGAGGGCTTGACGACGGCGGTACATCCTGCTGCGATGGCACCGATGAGAGGACCGAGTGTGAGTTGGATGGGGAAGTTGTAGGCGCTGCTTCTGTCAGCCAAACCCAAAGTTCAACATGAGTGAATGACATACCCAATGATCAGTGCAGTACCCAGTGGGTCCTTCTTGATGCGGGGGCGAAGTGGCATGTTTGTCCATGGGATATCCGTCGCCTTCTCATCCTTCGCAAAGCGTGGAACATTGTTGGCCATCCATATGCAATCGTTCATGCACCATGAGATCTCCGTCAGGTATGTCTCGAACGACGGCTTGCCCAGGTCACGCTTGCAAGCCTCCTTGATGAGCTCTTCATTGTCCTTGAAGCCCCAGTACAGCTTGCGCAGCTGCTGGATGCGGTATTCGAGCGGTTTGGTCTTGTGCGAGAGGAAGCTGGCGCGTACTTTGGCGCACGTGGGCGCGATGTCGTCCATGGGTGTATGCTCGAAAGGTGCTAGTTCCGCCATTGTGGGCTGCGTGGTGGTCGTGAATTGAAGAGCTAAGGGGATGCTAATGGCCAGCTATAAGCTCCAGAGGCATGTCCATGGCGGCGTTTCACGGGCGCGCAATCGTGCCTCGGTCCCGTCCGGATGGTGCAGGAGCGGGGCTTGCACTAGCTCGTGTAGTCTTAGCGTGAACGGCCCATCTTCCATGTGTTCGCCCGTCGGCCCGTATGCCTTGCAAGTCCTATCAGATGGACTACTCTGTCAAGACTCTCTCGGACTGTGTTGACTTGTTGTCCATGATCATATATTTCTACGCATGTAAACAAACGCCGCCATGTTATGATACGACCGTAACATGCACGTTGATTGCGAATACGCATGCCTCACTGAATAAACCGAAATTGTCGGTTTCGCATCACGGGTTGATGAAATATTGCTTGGTATATGCAGGTAAGCTACACGACATCCTATTCATGTTCGGCCTTCGTGACCCCTCTCGACGGATTTTCACTCGCTTCACCTTTCGTATTCCCCAAGGCTCTTTGGCAACACGCCAATCTTCCTGAAAAACGCTAGCTTCATGTCGACAGCGTCCGCAGGCATCACACACCTCGTTCATCGCCCTTTTGAACATACACGTCCGTTTGGCTTTCGAACCACGGGCCTAACTATCTGTCACCTTCTTTTGGTCGCGACCAAGTAATAGTGTCGCATTGAGGGCCCTGAAGAAAATCGGCGACAGAGAAATCTGAAGGAGATGAAGATAGCATGTCAGGGTTTGGAAGCATTTGAGCAACGAGTGCGTTATGAGGCGGCCGTAATTGGTGGTGCATACTTGCATCATGCTCAGTTGCAAAGGTGCTCAACCTGCGCCGCTTGACAATGTTCAGATATTCGACAATCGTTGGCATAACAACCCGAGTTTCCATGTCCCGCATAGCTTCCTTCCGGGGGTCAGGTATGACCTGCCACATTGCCAATCCCGATTTCAGAAACCAGCGGATATCTTCCGGTGTAACTTCCATGGCGGGATTGTAGAGGTGTTGGCGCCGAGCGTTTGCCTAGCATAACGCTACGCGAAGCCGAATCTGCTGACCAAGACGATGGTTTGCTGCAGTGAGAGTGTCCCGCTTCGGCCTTTTGTGCTTTGACGGGCATGTTCTGGGATGGCTTCTGCACTTCGCCTTGGATTCCTCTCTCCGTTTCTGACGTCTCCTGCTGCCCTTACCAGCTCTCAGTAGCTTCGTGGCTTCCTCGTGCGCACGATTCTCCTATTTGATATGGCGACCTAGCGCTTGTACAGCCGTCATTGTTATAATCTGCGGATGACAGAGCATCGAGCGAGCAATTTCTTGTGGCGGGATCGTGCTTTGTGGGTTGCGAAGCTCCTTGATGATTTCAGCTTCTGTAGTGTGACGCTTCTCAACCACGCTTGTCGTATCTTCTTTCGATGGTGTGTAGTAGTTGCGGTAACACGCATTGTCAGTAGGAGCTCATCTGAGATAAGGAGTATCAGAAGATGTCCATCGCAGTTTATTTACACACCTAAAAATTGCATCGGTGTATTGCTGCACGTGACAACAGGGACTGCTTACCTATTCACTGGCCTGAGCCAGGGTATGGCGACGTTATGTGATCCTCAGCGCCATTAGACGGTACGGGGAAATCGTGTGTACTATGTGTTGATTCCCCTGCTCTTGTGGCGGATTCGGCTTCGGCTGGCTGACTTTTAGTCCAAGTTGGCACACTAGCCGAGGAAAGGTTTATCAGTTGTCCAATCGATGTTTGGCACGGAGGGTCGGACAAGCCGACCCTCCATGCTCTCAGTTCATAGCGATGGCGTTCCGATGTCGATGTAGGAGCTACGTCTTTGTCAGAGCATAGCTGAAAGATTATATCCAAGCTGCACAGGAGGGTAGGAGGCAAATTATGAAAAACTTGCAGCAATTGCGTGGTAAGCAGTCATCTGAGTTGTTGACTACCCGATGGTATCGACCTCGATAATTATTGACAAAATGCTGCATTTAAAGATAGTGCGTTGTGAACGTGGGGGTATCTAATATATCTTACACTTCATACCGGGGCCGCGGGTGACCCCGCCGCGTTCATACATAGACCCAAAAACTCCGACCCGCATGCTAAGCTTCGACCGTGCTGACCTCATGTCTCATTTACTACTTGTGAGACCTATAAGATCAGGCTCGTTTCCGCCAGCCTTTGTCTTCTTGGCCTCCTTCTCCTTCACGAAATACGTATCCCGCTTCCCATGCAGCTCCTGGTGTAGCAGATCAGTTAAGCTCTGCATCATAGCCGCCTCGGTACTTTGCTTCGTGCGCTGCTTGTCGATGGTGTGGTGTCTGATGAACTGGCCTGTACACTTGCTCGTAATCCATGAATGCTCCGTCAGGCCAGGGTATCCCATCGCATCGTTGCACGGTATCTCGATAATATTGGTACCGTTGGGATTGAAATCGTATCGTATGTATTCCGAAAAAGCCTTCTGCTCGTGTGACCACGCTTGAGCCCATTGTTTGCAATCTGGATAGCGCACACCAGTCGGGCACTCTTTCCATGCGTCTAGCATCTCGAAGGTGTGTGGGAGTGATTGCGCAATCACGACACCAGTGTTGAGGGCAAGCTTTCCGCGGCTGTCTTCGGAGGCGTGTTCGTCACCGTTGAGCGTCTGTCGCGTATCGAAGGGCATGGCAATGCTGGTTTCAGGTGTGATACCCCAGCGATTAAACAGCCATTCGACCGGGACTTCGAGGTGCTGGATCGTGGCATCGGCGTCGATGAAGATTACGAATTTGTACTTCTTGAGGAGAGCGTGGAGAACGTGCGGCTTGACCCATGTGTTGTGCATTCCTTCCATGTCGTGCGCGTTGATAAAGCGGTAGTCGTAGCCGTGTATTTGCGCTATACGATGTTAGTACTACAGTAACGATGCGCAAGTGGCAAGTTTGTACGGACCGTAGAAGAAGTGGTTCATGAAAGCCGCGCTGACCATGCCACCATCACCCTCCGACTTCATCGTCTCCCAGTTCAAACGGTCTTTGTTCCAAAGCTCATTCTTCTTGTCAGGCACCCTGGTATCAATGTCGACAATCAGGATTTCGTTCCTGAGCGCCTCTCTCCACCATGGCGCATCCTCTTTCACCTCGTGTACTTTTCCTGAGGCGTCGGTATATGACGGATCGTCTATGGGATGCCGTATGGATTCGTAGAGCCTGAGAAAGGAGTCGCTGATCGTGGGCTTCCCAAACACCGGACGATCATTATTGCAAACATCGTTGGCTGCCTCCTTGGCTGATTCTTTAATCTTCTCGACCACCTTGGAACCGCTCTCGTGCAGCCCGGCTGTTGTTGAAATTATGAGAATGCATATGATGACAAACACGCCACTAACAATTGCAAGCTTGTTGTACGACATAATAGGGCCCGGCATGATTGTGAGGCCTGGGAGAATTGCCAGGAAAGAACAAGTGAAGTTGGGAGGCAAGTTCAGTCGTGAGAAGCGTGGCTGAGCCAAAGAAGAGGGAGGGGAACCGACTAGTTAGCGGCCAGGTCCCAGCTACAGCCTCGTAAAAGTAAAAAAAGAAGATACCGCAGTTGTTGCCGACTACGCAACATGACCGAGCGAGATGCAGCTATAAAAGGGGTCAAAGCCGTTGCAACTAAGAGACTCCAAGGCCTCCGCTGGTGGCCTAGAAGAACAAATACGTTCCTGCTATAATTACTGGTTCGAGGTGCAGGGCTGAGCCTGCCAGGAAGCCGTTTGTGATGATCGCTGACGCTAAGGGGAGACTTCGCGAAATTGGCGCATAAACTAGTACACTTTAGAAATTAGGCGTCACATCCGCCTGCCGGCGCATCCAGGGTGAAAATCTAACGCGTGCCTCCAAGGCCTCGGAGTAAATAAGCTCCCAGCGATGATTTCATCGCGTTCCGCGTCTCTCCTACCGCCTCCTCAATACCTCATAACTAATAGTGGACGAACTTGTGTCGACGAGGAGTGACTGAAAACATGCCGCTACGATGCACTATGCCAATGGGAGGCATAGCATCATGTCGTACCATACTCGGGTCCACCTGGGCCCCCTGCGCCAAGCAACCTTGAAATCCTTTGGCTCTACAGCAATCTCGCTGCGCCTCCACGAGCCGACCCATCCTCCTGCTCGAGACCACATTGTCGCACACGCTTGGCTAATGCTACTGGGTCTTCTCATGTAGCGATATTGGCACGGATTTAGGCGTCCTCACGTCCTTGGCGAGATTTGTTTTTCTGCAATGGTAGCGCTTACCATGCGCATAATCACGACATACACAGTATCCTTGGATCATATTCCTCTTCAAAATGCGAAGCCTGCATGGACCGGTCAACCTATGTCAGCGTATGAGACCATTTCTGATATGGTCAGCATCCTAGAAAGATGTATCTGGACGTCTTGATAGCGAAGACCCGCAGCGGACAGAATTCATCTATGAGCAAAGGAGCGCAACGAAAGATCATGAGGCAAATGACACTGGATGTCCAACACAAGTGTAGTTCTTGCGTATAATTGCCGGAGCATATTGTTGTCGGCTTACCACTATACCTCGTTATCTATCTTTGCTGACATTCCGGATGTACAGAGTCGTTTCCTGCGATTCGCCCTCTCCTCACGTGAGCTTACAAATGCGCTGCACTACAAAGCAGACACTTCATGCGATGTAGAAATACCTGAAGAATATCGAAATGGCAAGTTGAAAAAAGTCTGTATCTAGATACATTCTTTGGAATCATGACATCAACTACGCGCCCAGTTCGTGCTGCACTCATCGGGCTCTCTTCTTCAGCTGTCACATCGTGGGCTTCGGCCGCCCACCTTCCCGCACTCCTTACTGCAACCGGTCGTTCTAAGATCACCATCACCGCATTGTCAAACAGCAGTACTGAGGCTGCGAAGTCAGCAATCCAAAAATACGGACTTCCAAATGAAACCAAGGCATATGGGTCTCCGGAAGACCTTGCAGCAGATCCAGATATCGATCTCGTGATATGTAACACACGAGTTGATAAACATTTTGAGACAGTCATTCCGAGTGTCAAGGCGGGTAAGGATGTCTACGTCGAATGGCCAATTGCTGCGAAAAGGGAGCATATCAACGAGCTTGTTGATGCGGCCAAGAAGAGTGGATCGAGGGTTGCGGTAGGTCTGCAGAGACGGTGGGCGCCACCGGTGGTGAAGTTGCGAGACGTTTTGAATGGTGGGAAAGGTAGACTGGGTAAAGTGCTGAGCTCAGAGGTTCGTGCTTTTGGTGGTACGAAGGACAGGGAGATCCTGCCTATAGGTTTGAGGTACTTCGCACACAAGGAGGTTGGTGGGAACCCAATCGTGATAGGTGTCGGTCATGGTAAGCGTCATCATCTTCAACAACAAACATCGGTCAGTATTAACGGTATCAGTACTTGACTTCGTACTCTCGGTCGTCGGCCAACTCGACCCGCCATCTATCCACTCTAAAGCACAGATCCAACGCCCTAACGTTCGCATTCGCGACCCCACAACTATGCAAATTGTTGAGAATACAACAACCGACGTCCCTGACCTCCTTTCTGTCCATGCCACTATCACACCCTCGCCCCTTACCGTTCCCAATGCAACGTTTTCATTCCTATTTCGCCGTGGCCAGCCATTTCCTGGTACCCCAGCCCTCACCTGGACCATCAATTGCGAGTATGGCGAGATCCGCGTTACGTCAGCCACGAGTTCGTCTTTCAGATCGAGCGAAAGTGACGGTCCAGTAGTGATTCAGATCCACCACTTCGATACTGATGAAGTGGAAGATGTTGACTGGGATTGGAGCGATATGCAGAAGGAGGTACCGATTGTTGGAAGGGATGTGATGGGATGTCTTTTTGCGTTCGCGGACGGTAATGAGGAGGGAGACGGATGGGTAGGCTTGGAGGATGCTGCGAGTTACGCGCGAACGATCCAAACCTTCTTGGGAGAGTAAATAGTATGACCGCGTGAATTGAGCATAGTGAGTTTGCGCATTCTCACTATCAATTATAAAGTCCGTATGTGTTTGAGGGGCCCTTGATGTGGTTCGAACGATTGAACCGAAGTTTGCTTGAAATCCAGCAGAGGGTGATGATCTTATATCAAGCGGGGAGCGTGTAGCATCTCTAGAACTTACGGTCATGGCGAAGGATGAACTATGCAGATTAGTACGTGTGCACGTCTGTTTCATTACGAGTGTATCTTCGGGTGGCTCAATAGGACGTCATCGAGTAGCAACTTGTGTCGAGAATGCCGAGCTCAGTCCAGCGAGCAGCGCAGACGTGTGTGATCGATCCGGCCGGAATAATCATTACATCAATCACTGGCATGGTCATAGCATTCAATCGCTCCTGACGACGAAGAGTCACCTAAGAATAACAGCGAGGACGTGGAAGAATCTGGCGATTATAATAGCGATAGCAGCAGCGATGATACGTTCAGAGCTGTACGTCGATCTGAAGCGGCAGCAGCTCATCGCAGTGCCATAGTGGGAACTGATGCGGAATGTATGTAATAGTAAATCACATTTAGAGTTCTGAATGAACACAAAACGGGTCATGGAAGCGCCGATGGAGAAGAGAATGATGATCGCGAAGCCCCCAAAAACTTCCACGGAGACTCAGACGACCAGAAGAAGGAGTGGTGTGGGTTAGAGGCGGTACCTATCGCACGCGTAATCCCGACCACATTGAAGCCATCCAGCAAGCTAGTATGATGCATAAAATGCCTCGTCGCGCAACCGCGTATTGCCATCTAGAAGATTACACATCACGTGGCGAGAAAGAAGGAGAAGAAGGCGTTGACGCAGTGGTCTCTGATGATGGGTGGGTCGCAAGATCGCATCGGCAAAAGGAAGAGGAGATGGTATTTGATTATGATATGGACATGGATTAGTAGGATGAGAGGATTTTATGCGACAAGTAAGGTGGCTCTGGATATGATACGGTCGAACCGAATGATCACAGTGACTTGGTCGCATCCATATAGAGTGCCGTATGGTGCTATTATCCTGCATTGCTCGATGGATCTGGATTGTTCAAAGCTCCAAGGAAACCCGAGTTGTTGCTTCTTCAAGATCTATCCTCTTTTTTAAGCTTGCTTCAAAACTAATGGTTTTGCGCCGACCTTTTCCGCTTCCGCATTCAGCGCATCAACTTCCGCTTGAACCAACGGAATACCACTCTTCTCTCTTTCCTGCTGTTGTAACTGTTCAAGCTCGCCTGGGAAATAAATTCTTTCCACCCCGGCTGCCTTCTCAGCACCTGTGACCCTATCGTACAAGATCTGCATCCTTTCTCTGAAGTCCTCCAAGCTCATGAAAAGGTCTGGTTTCACGGCGACGAGGAAGTGACCGACGTCTGATGGTCTGGACGGATCGTACGGATTGGTTACATCGCCTGCAAACGCTGATCCGGAGAGCACACCAGAGAAGACGTCCATCATAACAGCTAAGCCAGAACCTTTGGGACCACCCATGGGAAGCATCACGCCACCATCGAGTGCTGCTTCTGGGTCATCGGTTGGCTTTCCATCTTTATCCAATGCCCAATCTAGAGGTATCTTCTCTCCCCTCCTCTTTGCTTTGTATATCTTTCCTCTTGCAGCAATCGATGGTGCCATGTCCAATACGAACGGCTGATCTTTGCCAGGCGCGCCACAGGCGATTGGCGAGACACCCAGCAGCTTACTCTTTCCACCCCAAGCCGGCAAAGCCGGACTTGAGTTCGTGAACACTAAACTCATCATATTGGCATCGAGCGCCTTCTGCACTACCCAAGCACTCATACCAAAGTGATTGGAATGCTTGATACTAGCCATGCCGATACCGTACGTCTTCGCAGATTCGATACACGCAGCCATGCCGGCGTCGGCGGCGAGGAATCCGAAGCCATTGTTTGCGTCCACCTGGGTGACGACTGGCGTTACTTGAGTGACAGTCGGTGTTGCGGCGCTGTTCAAGACGCCTTGGCGCACGCGCTCCATGTATGAAGGGATTCTGTTCATGCCATGGGTGTCAACGCCACGGAGGTCGGCTGCGATGAGACATTTGGCGACAATGTTGGCATTTTCGGGGGCAACTCCGTTGCCAACCAGAACTGCGGTCACGAATGATCGTGCATCCTCAGCACTGACGTATGATTTAGTGTCTCTTGAATGTTCTGCCATGGTTAAGCTGGAAGGTCGAGGCTGCCAAGGCGAGGTGAAGTGATTAAGACTGCTTGGAATGCTTGTCTCGTGTTTTATATCCTTCCACAACTATACAAGTGACTCACAATGCTCGACGATTGTTTTGATTAGCGATATCCCTGTGTTGTGTGGAGATTCCCTGGAGGTGCGTCTGAGTCAGCCGCTTTGTAGAAACTAAAACGGCGACGTCCCCACTCTTCTCCGCAATCTTCGCCGTCTCCATTCGAATCCACAAACTTCAGCATGGAGGATCCATAGCTTTACATCGAACCTAGATCTCTACACATATGGTCGGACGCTTTTGAAAGACGCATCGCATGCATTCGGAGTTAATCGCAAATGACCTCTAGCTAATCGCTGATTGGACGGAGCGTAGTGGACGACGATGATAGCATCTGGACAAGCAACATTCGCCGATACTAAGTACTATTCTTTACTATCGGCAGTTGATCGAAGCCTACATTTTCCGGTCGATTGTTCCTTATATGCCCCTTATATATACTCTTCCTTGTGGCTTCTCCAAGCTCAGGCGGCGGCCAGCATGCATAACCCACTGCTGCACTCTTCTGAACTTCAACAGATACATTTTGTCTTGCATCGCAGTATTGGATGTGTTCGGGCAAGCTCGATGTATAAGACAATGACATCCGGCTCTGGAATGTGTCTCAACCGCAAGTAAGACCCTAGTTTTGAAATGATCTTAGCACTTGTCTCTCACCGGTCGCGCCTAGAGCTTTCTTCCTGTCCCGACGAGGAAGTGGAAAGGGAAAATCCGTCATTGATGGTGATTTCTATCATAAAACACCGCCGTCGTAACTTCCTCTTTGCTTGCCAAGCCGCACCTGTTTGTTCATAACAAGTGCACCTGCACTCGCATCTCACCACATACCGCCTCAACCCGCCTACTCATTCGCGCCCAAACCGTCCAATCCTCAAAATAGACAACATGGACGACGGAGGCCCTAAATGGCGTCTTGGTGGGTTCGGCGCGTCATCTCTTACTCAAACGTTTGGCTAACAATTTGAAGAGCAAGCGAAAGGTGGTCAAGCGGTCTGCAACCAGGCCGCCTGCAAGCGCAGCAAGACCAAGATTGTGAAAGGCGAACTACGTATCGGTACGCACACGCTTTACGATGATGGGACGTCGTCTAGGTGGTACATGGCCTGGCGCCACTGGTGAGTAATCTACATGCATCCGGAACCCCATGAACTCAAGATAGTGGTCAACGAGTCGTACTGACGCAACACCAGGGGCTGTGGCACCAAGCAACAGATAGCAGGCTTGAAGGAGACTACCGGCAACGACCCGACAAAAGCACCTGGCTATGATCGACTCAGCCCGGAGAGTCAAGAGCAGGTCCGACTAGCCTTCGAGGAGGGCAAGCCTGTCGACAAAGACTTCAAGGGCATCCGCGAAGACCTCGCCCAGGACGCTCGGGGATACGCTAAAGAGTACACGAATGTGAGCTTCTACAAAGTCGATGTTGCTAGCCGCGCGTGTGCTTGCCGTGGCGGCGACTGCCTCGACAAGAACGTGAAGATCACGAAGGGTGAACCCAGGCTTGGTCTCTCCGTTCCGTTCGATGAGGAGCACGAATCTATGGTCTACAAGCACTGGGTAAGTTCCTCTTCAAGACTCGTGAGTCAAGACTAACGTTTGATTAGCAATGCATGTCCGCCTACGACCTGGAACAAGTAGTAATTCGGGCGGGCGAAGACTCCATTGACGGCCTTGACTCTCTTCCCGCAGAATTCGAGGAAATTGTGACCAAGACGTTCGAGACGGGTAAGATCGTCGAGCCACCGGAGCGCATGACCGACCCGCCCAAGAAGCCAAAGAAGGCGAGAGTCAAGAAGCCTGTGGTGGAGGTCGAAGAAGTGGCTGATGCGCCGGACGCAATCGAGAATAACTCTGCAAAAGGTGTACCTATTGCTGTCCATATTGAAGAAGCAAAAGGTGATCGTCCTGTCGAGCCTATAAGTGCAACAGCTTCAGCGCCTAAGCCTAAGAAGTCGCGAGCGAAGAAGCGTCCCATCCCGGAAGTGGATGCGAGCAGCGAGGATGAGGCTGAGTACATCCCCAAGAAGTCGAGGAGCCGCTCAGTTCCATTCAAGGAAGCTATCGGCCCCGTATAGGCTTGAATCGTACATCTCACAGCGAATATATGATGTGGTAGGAGACATCACAGGAAGAGTGAGATGGCGATGAGTACGAGAACGACAAGACAACAAGCGAAAGAACACCTACAAAGAGCACATATACATAGCTGAAGTAATCTATAGTAAGCTTCCTCCTGATCAGCAGATGTGCAGATATCGTTCTGATGGTTGTGAAGTTATCAGCAGCGGTCTCAAGCTTGGCATTCACCTCGCGCAAGAAATCAGATACCTAGGCAGCTCTCCGTCATTTAACCCTTCGTACTCCTATTATACAATGGTTTGAACTGACCGTGTATGCATTGCCCACGGACCAGGTTATCCGGTCATGTAAGATCTCTGCATATGCAGACACGCCTAGTATGCGAACCTGGATTTACCCGGTCATCTCATCATGGCGTAGGTCCAACACCAATGATCATATCTAGCCTAGCGTCTTTCTGGAATCGAGAGTCAGGAAACCAGGCTTACGACAAGGTAATCATGCTGTAAGTACGTATCACCTCGTGAGTCTCCTGTCTACGCAGACCGATGGTAGCATCTCGCACGTGGAAGTGTAACCTTCGGTCAGAAACCGGCGGAATTGACTGTGCATGCTGCAAGTGCAATGCGGTAAGCGACACTAGGATTGCTGATAGGATCGGCCCGCCAGGTGCTTATGGCCCAAAGGCTAATTTGCGGAAGGCTTGTTGAGCGCTGGGCACGCGAAGTTGCTAGCTTAATTTGTAGAGCCTCTCGCGCTCTCAGCACCTCATATGAGCTGACTTCGAGTTACAGAGCAAATATTCTCTGCGAATGGTCAATCCGATGACGGCTCTCCGTTGGGTACGAAACAGACTGTAAGATGAGCTTAGATCGAGATTGACGAATCGACTACCAATATGTTGGGCTTATCTAGCACTGACTTCTGTATGTGAGTCGTGTGAGTCTTCATTGGGCAGTCGTCACTGCATGCAAGAGTTGGGACTTTCGTTGGGTCAGAGTCCCCATCACCAAGGTGCATGGTAGACGCGCCTATGACTCCACGAGTCAAACACGCCACGGCTGATTCAAGCTTAGCACTTCCTTATGCACATCGAGCATGTCTTAACATCTTTCTACCATAATCCTATAAATCTCTACGATGGCTAGAATCTTTGGCTTGTTCAAATGTGGTGCATGAGAAGCTTATGGCAACCTTGGAATCGTGCGGCTCACCAGAATCGGCTCGGCGCCGGCACATCTCACCGTAGGCAACTGGCCTTGTCTCGCGATTGGCATCATCTACTTCGTACCTATAGCAATCTCCTATGGTCCTGAGACTTCTTCAATGAGCACTGTGCGCTGCTCAGAGCTCAACCCGCTTACTGCATATTCAACTATCATATTCCACATTGTGCAAGAAGATTATCTGCTAGAGCAAGCCACCAGCAACTCAGGCAGCTCACTAATATCTCTGTTGGTATCTGAAAGTAGATTTGACACTTTGCTGACGCAGATGGTCATGCGTGGGGTACGCCGTGAAGCACTGTACACCCGAGCTCTTATCACCAACAACATCAGCACATCGAAGCATGTGGCTACGACTTCCCGATCATCCGAAGAAGTGCTGTTGTTGCAAGATGTCTGCCTCGCGGAATGGAGTTGGCTCCAATCTGGAGGTGAGCTGAAGTATAAGAAGGCATTTTCCTCCCACTCTTCCTTGCTCTCATCTTCAGCACACAATCACAATCTGTTGTATCCACTCTACGCACTTTCCAAATACTTCATTCGTCAACATGTACGCCTTCACCATCATCATCGTCGCCGCCCTCGGCCTAGCTACCGCTTCCCCAGCCTCCGACTTCTCATCTCGCCAGGTTGCTGCCGTTGCTTCTGTCGACCGTTCTGCTGGTCCGGGCTGCACTGGCACTATTTGCAACAAGGCTGGCTCTGGTGATCTCCATGCTGGATGCAACGCCATCACCGACTCTTGCCAAGCAAGCTTGAGGCTCAACTACGCGAACGCTGGTTGTAAGGGTAAGCGTCTTTTTGATGCGAAAAGAAGAAAACAGATAACATAACAGCTAATCGGATACAGTGGCCATCTGGACCGACGCAAAGTGCACCAGCGTCACTCAATTTGCTAACGTCACTACGCCTGGCGAATGCTACGCTCTTGGCCCGCCTATCAAGGGCATCTCTGTTACCTGCTAGAATCTTCGCAGCAAGAGACGACGCTGTATGGAACCAAGACTTGGGCTTGGCTCACGATGGAGAGTTCGATCTTTGGAGTAGGTTTTGCCGCAAGGCACGGAGAGGCTACATGACTGTTATCCAACATAGCGGTCTGACGTAGCAGCTTGTAGCAATTTTCATCACACCACCTTAAATGTAGATGTCCAAGTCCTACTACATGTGAAGATTTGTGACGATAATCATGTACAGTCTCACATGATGTTGCAACTAGTTAACGAATCTATCATCAAACCAAGGTATGGGGCTGTGAGACCGAGCACACCCATACCATACCTATGGAAGTAAACGTTTGTTGGTGAGGCCCGAGTTCGCTAGTGTCAGTCCTCTGCAGGCCAGAAGTTGGAAGTGGTCTTGATTCTGATAATAACATTATGTCTTTGGTCTTATCTGGCAGCCTTTTACTGTTCGTGATTACTCTCTTTCTCTTTCCTTTTCACGTTTCACTTGTGTTTGCAAAAGACATTGGGTTTGCGTGGAAATAAGTTTCCTGCTTTATGTAGGGAATATTATAGTCACAGCGAGAGTGAGGAAACGAGAGCACGTTACTGCCAACATACATTTTGCTCTCTCAGAGCTTGGCTCCAACAACACTGCCGCCGTCTAGCGCAATAGTAGCGCCATTGACATAAGAACCTGCCCGACTCGAAAGCCAAATGCATGTGCCCGCAACATCCTCCGGGCTACCAATTCGTCCCAACGGTATCCCGCTCTCAATAACGTCCTTGAACTTTTCTAACGTAGCCTTCATCATCTTGCTTTGGAACGGGCCACAGGCAATGGTGTTGCTCGTGATGCCACGCTTGCCCAAGTGACTCGCCAGTACTCTGCTCATATGGTGGAGACCAGCTTTGGAAGCGGAGTAGGCGAACGTCTCGAGTGCGGGAACGCGCAGACCGTCCACGCTGCCGATGTTGATGATGCGTGCTGGAGAGCTTGGGGTAGAAGCTGCTTCGAGAAGGGGTGTGACGGCTTGCGTGAGTTGGAAGACGCGTTTTAGGTTGAGGTTGAGGACGCGGTCCCAGGCTGCGGCGGGGTACTTGTCGTAGGATTCGCCCCAGTTGCTACCGCTGTTGTTGACGATGACGTCGAGCTCTAGGATTTGTTAGCCCTTGTCGCATTGCGACCTCGTTGCCTGCTCGAGGCTAGACGCTGGAAACGTACTTCCTGCCCGCTTTTTCAATTCTTCGGCGATGTTCTTAGCGGCATCTTCGTTGTAAAGATCTGCTGCGATGTAATCGGCCTTGCCTTTGCCGAGCGCATTCAACTCCTTGCACGCTTGCTCGCAGGCTTTCGCATCGCGGGACGATATGTATACTGTAGCGCCATTCTGAACGAAACCCTCGCTGATCATGCGGCCGATACCTTTCGCTCCGCCTGTAACGAGGACTATCTTGCCCTGTGTATTCATTAGCCATCATTCCGAAGGTACCACTCGTAGTATCCATTCTCAAGCTACCTGAGTAGCTACCGATGCGAACGTACTTTGACATCAAAGAGAGAGCTGTTATCCATTTTGAAGAGCTGGAGATGTTGTAGGAGAGAGAAATTGAGCGAAAGTGAAGACGTGGAGAAACATTGCGACAGACGGGTAGAAGGTCGTCATCGGGAGCTCTTCCGGAAGCAGAAAGCTGGGGTTGAGCCGAGGCTCGGTATATTGTTATTCCCTAGCGCTCTCCAAACTTCCAACTGAACATGGCATCACATCGATAAAAGATCATAAGGGTTAAACATCCTCAGCATGCTACCAGGCTCAAGAGATTTTTGCCTGGTGGAACTTATAAGTTCATGAATCAGTGAATCCGGGTCTACGGGATGGAGGATGCGCGAGAGTTTATGGTGGCGGATAAGGTAATGCCAGATGTCGTGACGAGGGGTACTTTGCTAGTGCTTTGGTGCGCAGCATCGTAGATGGAGATATTTCAGAGTCAGTGGATGATTTTTCGAACGTGTTATGATATTGATTTGGAATGAAGTGCGCAGGCTTCACAGCAAAACTCGGTACTATAGATGAGAAAAGCAGAACATCAATGGAGCTGAGGTAGTAATAATCCTCTTCTTTTTCCCATTAGACCTATATAAACAGTCCCGCTATAACGTCACTCATAGGTATACCAACTGTTCTTCAACTCTCTCATTGCATCTTCTGCCTCCGCGTACTTCCTACTTCCCTTCGGCGCATCACCTAGCCACTCGACTATCTGCTTCTTGTTCTTCATATACTTGGACTCGGCCCTCTTCCTCTCTCTCGCTTGGCTCTTAAGGTATGAATAGTCGTCATATTTTAGAGTTTCCCTCCAAACCTCGCGCATCCTCTTGCTCCACAAACAGCAGCTTGATCCGACATCTGGATCCTCGCCAGGGACTAACTGGATCGACTTGTTGAACAGGTGCGGTATAGGAGACGTTATGGACTTGGATTGGGTGGCAGGCCAGATGAGCTCGTCGTAGCATTGTTCACATACTGTAAACTCAGGTAGAGAAGGGATGAAGTGCCATGGTTTACGGAACAAGGTCTTGGACCTTGCACACTCACCCTTGAAGGAGTTTTCACGAACTAACTTGATGAAGCGGTTCAGATCGGGTAGTCGGCCGGACGACTCAGCCTCTCTGTCGAGTTCCACGAGCAAGTCCAGATATTTCGCAAACCGGGGGGAGCTTGTACGCAAGCTGCATTTATCAGAGGGATCCACGTATCCGCGTGAAATCTTGGTGAAGCAACCCCGAAGAGATGGCAACAAGGCCTCAATCATCCTTCTGTCACTTGAGCATATAGCAAAGTTGGCTACATACGTGCCGTTGCTTTGATCTGGAATCCCATACCAGCTAACGTTGCGTTCTGTGCCAGCTTCACGATCTCCAGGGCACGGGCTGGCTACGTAGTCCATGACATCAGCAATTGCGTAGATCAGATCGAGCGATTTGCGACGTTGCTTGACTGTGAGTAGCCAGGCAAGGCGTGTCCATGGGCTGCTGAAGTCACAGGCCCGCTCGACCGACCAATCACCCAACCAGATTTGCTTGAAGTCCACTTCAAAGGGGGTCCCAGCAAAGACGCCATCATAACAACTAGGGCAGATGTTGAAGTTCTTGTATCCTTGAAGAGCGTACCAATCATCGTAAGGTCCAGTTTTGGCAGCTCTCGGGCAATCAGGAAGCGGTCTGTCCATAGAGGCAGTCCGCCGAGACGATCTCTCACGGCGACCGTCTTGCGAGCGAATACTGTCTGACCTGGTTCGTCTCGCACGCGCCGGCTCCTCTAATGTATCAGCATCCTGCCTCCTTGGCCGGGAAGGTATGTCTCTTGTATATGGTGAGCCAGAGACAGACGGCGACGTTGCTCTCGGGATGTCCACATAGCTTTCTCTCGGCGAACCAACAGTGGAGTGATCGAATTGATAGTGCTCCTCTGGTGGCATGAAGGCGTCGATGAGCTGATCATCTATCGGGTATGGCAAAGTGGAATCGGCAGTTGATGGTCTCGCTGGAGATGGACTTTGAACATCGATCCGAGGCCTCGGAAGCGGCATGGTCTCGTACCTGCCATATCGAGAGGGTTGTTTTGACCTGTCACCGGCAGGCGCAGGAGGATAGGTAGAGTGCCAATCTGCCTCCGATATGGGCACCCGACCACGGCCCGGCGAAGAAGGCTGGAATGTAGTTGAAGAAGATAGGGGAGAAGCTGGTCGAACGCCACCGCGAGACGAGGGTCGAGATTCTGGATGAGAGTCGCGTAATCGTGTGGGTAGTTGAGGCGAGGGTGCGCACTGCGATGGTGAGGTCGGTCTGGACAATGGGTGCGAACCGTCAGCATAGATGGTATCAACGGGCACAGGTCTCGATTTCCTTGTACTGCTGTTGATAGAGGACGAAGACGAGCGCGGTGACTGAGTGCTCGAGTGTTCCTTGAACGAGCCTGACGAATCACCCTTACGTATCGTCGGCAGTGGACGCTGCCCCGAGTCGCGCCGCCGCGATTGAGGCCTCTCCTGTGTATCTCGCAGGTTTGTCCTTAGATCCTCCCTTTGTAAGTCGCTCTTTACAAAGCTGTAACGCGCGGGCTTTCGTTCGGTTCGCAGGTGAGTTGTGCTGTCGGTTTCGGAGTCTGAGTCGAATACATACTCCTTCTTTGAGGATCGCGGCGTCGTGTAAGAGTCGTGTCGGCGTTCATTTGGTCTCGGTCTCGATGGTTTACTCTGTGCATCCCTAGTATCGCGACTTGGATCAGATCTAGGATGAGCGCTATCCGATGGGGTCATGGGTTCTGGAGAGCGCATGTACTCTGTAGCCGAAGGCGTACTAGGCTCTTTCTGGGGCTTGGAATAACCATAGGGCATCCTCTCTCGCTCAGTGAACAGAGGGGGGTCTGGGACGTCAGTGTGGATGTGCGACATGCCCCCACGCTCAGCAAAGCTCCTCCGGCGACGATCGCGAAGCGTGCTGGTTTTGTACGCGCCATCATGGTCGGTGCTGGATTCAGGCACGAGTACAAAGCGGCGGTCATGGTCTTGTGCGACTCTCGGCTGCTCAATCTCGTCCAGGAGAGCGTCCTGATCGACGGTGCCCCGCGTGTTGATCGGCGGCTCACCCTCGGCCTGTCCTGACGACCCCACGAACGACGGCGCCTCTTTTGCTAGCGCCTCCCTCTCGTCCTCGACGCTTGGAGATGGCGGCCATGTCCTCTTTTGCATGTGTGACCTGTATGAGTACGGTGCGGGTTGTCGAGGTGGGGAAGTGCGGGGTTCGGCGCTGTAGGTGCTGTAGGACGAAGTATACGGATTGCTTTGACGCATGTCTGCCAGCTGCTCGCGAGCTTCAGCTAGAGTCTGGTCATGCCGCGAGTAGGCATAGGCGTTGGTGTCGCGAGATGTATAGTGAGAGTCATGGCGCGGGCGCTGGTAGTATCGGTTATTGTGTTCGTAAGACATGTATTGTGTACGTGAGAGATGGTCAGGCGAGCAGGGTGAGACTAGTGTCTATCTTATGCATTCAGCTTTGGCGACTAGCTAGGGCGGCTTCAAGAGTAACAAGGCGAATATAGAGGAGAGGGCAGGTTTACATAGCACGGCAACAACCGACATGTTGCATGTACAAAGATGCTTGGTGACGCATGGAACCGTCTGTGAATTGCGGGTCGCGCCTTCTTCGCGCCTTCGCCCTGCAAAGTCCCCACCGCCGGCGGACCCTTATTTGTTCGCTTCAGGACCTGTACAGAACGCCCACCGCCTGTTCGCCCGTCTTCGCCCAGCACAGATACCTAGGTAGTACCTTGCAGGTACCGTCACAGGTACAGTCAACTTCATTCTGCAATTGCTGCTATCATCATCCAAGTGTTGGGTCTGAACTATCCATGTGTCGTATTCAGCATCGCACGCGCTCTCTCTCTAGCACCTTCCAAACCCTTGCCCGAGCAGAAATAGCAACATTCGCCATGATGCTACGATAAAGTGACACTATGACTTCACGATACATAAATGCACTTTTTCTCTCTATAGATCCCTAAACTTATCATGCCTTACGATTGGCGAATGTCTTGTGTTACATCGCCTAGGAGTCCCTCATGTGGGACCTCACCATGTTCTGCCCTGTTACTTGCAACTATACAACGTGTTTTCTTCATATCATCCCCTATCCTCGTGTTTAATAGTGACATATACAGCTACTTCATGCCCACCTCAGGTAGCAAAACTGCCCTCTCCGCACAACCGGCCGCCTCCGGAAAAGCGGTAAACGGCACTCTAGCACCGCCACAACATCTGCAGCCACCCTTACTAGTCTCATCACGCGCCTCACCACTGTCCCAACCCTTTACAGCATCATATCAAGCGTAATTGCCATACTTTTCACTCTTTCTGTTCAATAATAATACTAGACCATAAGGCGCACGAAACCTTCTAACGTCTTCGGACGGCCGGTCACAGTCGGCCTCGCGCCTCAATCCCCTACTACTAGTACTGGGACTAATGCCACCGGTAAGCTGCTCCAGAAGCTCAAGGCCTAGTGAAGCTCTCACCGGGTATGCGGCTCTGCTCGTACATGAAGGAATACACCTTAGCTCTTTTTATGATCACGTAAAGATTCAGAACGAAACGTAGCCTGGCGCGTGATGCATATAGCTGCAGGCAGTGTGGCTGTGCAAGGCATCTTTTCCGGAAGCCGCCGATGACGGAGTAAGCAAACACCGATATAAAAGGAAGGACCCGGGAACCTGAGGTTGTAAACACCCTGAAATGGATACTCTTCTTGGTAACTCCGATAATTCCAGCTCACTTACCCAGAATACCGTTTTTTTTTTTCATTATGCCTAAGCCCGGTAACTCCATATGGATGCGCTGTAGACACGGCGTTGGAAACAAAGGACCGGCCTGTTGTCGCGAGTAGAAACTGAATGCACATATATAAAGGGTGGCGAAAGGTAGGATATTGTAAACCAAGTCAGAAATCGATTCAGATAGACGACAAACTTCATAGCGAACGCAATCATGGCCGACAAACCTCTCCTCCCCAACCTGACCCCCCGCGAGGCAGTCGCCGACACTCTCCACCGCTGCATCCTAGGGCTCGACAGCAACAATCGCCCTCTTGTGGAATCTGCATGTCTAAAATCAACTGAGATGACGTTTACATACGGCCCATCTGGAAACCAAGCCACCTTGACCGGCTGGGATGCCATAAGTCCCATGTTCGATCGTGTCTTCAGTCTCATTACCACACATACCGTGAGCAACATACGCATTGAGCTGGAAGACGACAGTGCAAGTGCGGCGCGTATGACGGCACATGTGATTTCTTATCATGTGAGGGAGGAAGAAGCATTTGTCGAGGCTGATACCAGTTACACGGCGAGTTCCTTATATGACATCGAGGTTATCAAGGATAACATTGACCAAAGACTGTGGAAAATCAAGACGTGGAAGGCTACCATGTTGTGGACAACTGGGGATATCAAAGTGCTGCATCCATGAAGATATAATCTGCATTTCGACTATATAAAAGAAACTTTTCTCATACAATTATTCCAATGTCATCATCTTTTCTGTTGTCTTTCTTAGAACATGACGAAACACCTGTCGCATGGAAAATATGTCTCCAATCCAGACGCCAGCGCCGAACCAACATAAACCCATTAATTGCTATCCTCACACAGACCAAAGTTTTGGGCGCACATGTGTCGTGTGCACATGTACTAGGGTATCAAAAGCAGCTTGTATACAGCCAAAAGGGGGGGTTGAGAAGAAATCGCTTGATGTCGCATGGGATTGAGAAGATTAAAAAGTTGGCTGGTTAAGAGTTGTCGGCCTTAGAAGTAGTTGCCCTTGGGAATGGCACAGAAGATACCGACAGCTACAGCGGAGATGATGAGAGCGCCGATGATAGCCTGAATGAAGATGGTATCCTGGATTTGGCGGAGAGCAGGTTCCTGGACCCAGACTTCGCGGTCAAAGACCTTGCGGACAACGTTGCGCTTCTCGTACCGGGCGACCCATGGCTCGTCTTCCCAGGAGTTACTCGATGCATGTGAGTCGACGCTCTGGAAAGAGTCGGACTTGAAGTCGTAGCTTTGCGGCTCGTCATCGGATGCGAATAGCTCCCATGGACGCAGATGTCGGTGATGCATGCCGTGCAGGACAACACACATACCCTTCCATGCTGCGATCAATGTTGAGATACCAATGAAGAAACCGATGAGGGAGATGACGCGCCACGCACGACCAGCGCTGCTGAGAGTAAGGATAATGGCCACAATCAGACCAGCAACGATCCCGAAGATACCGAGACCACGAGCGAAGATGACACGAGGACGGTTGCCATTGCAAATGGTCCAGCGGATAAAGTTTGGGTGCGCTTGGCAACGGAGCGACCACTCCACAGTCGTGATAACATCACTGAATGCGGACGGGTGCGTTGTGTTCTGTAGAGCATGCAGCAGTGCTGTACGCTCCTTCGATGAGAGGTTCAGCTGGCGCGATCCATTGTCGGCAATGTAGATGGAGATGATACGGTTAATCTCCTCTCGGTAGGGTTGGACAGAAACTGTGGCGGATGAGCGAATGGACACCAAAGAAGAAAGAAAATTAGCAAAGGATATACTCACGTGGTTTCCACTTTAGTCCTGCGTTATCAAACGCACCGGCAGCACGTTGAGTGTGGTCAACTTTGCCGGTAGTCATGCTCTCATCGTACGAGTCAAGAGAGTACTCGCGTCCAGGCTCGACGCTGGTAGGCGTGCGAGGGGGAGTGAAGAAGGGGTTGTTGCTGCCCTTCTCGGATTCAGCGACCTTGCCCTCGTTGGCGAAGTCGGTTCCTCTAAGAATGGCGGCAGCGTCGGCATTGAAGCCTACTGGGCTTGTCTTGATGTCCGAGGTCTTTTCGCCAGTCCATTCGGGTGACAGAACCTTCTCGCTTTCCGGTAGCGCATTGAAGCGCTTAACGTAGTCGCGGTACCAAAGGAAAAATTGCAGGTTTTCTGCCGACAGCTCAATGTATTTGAGGAAGTTCATAAAGTCGCGGACAGTGCAAGGCTGGCAAGCGTCAGTGGTGGTACTTGTGACGATGATGCATAGAAGAGTATATACTTACAGGGCAAGCACCGCCAGCGATGATGGTATCAAAGGACAAGGCCTCGGGGATACCGTTGGACATGCCGCTGCTGCCAGACCTGACTGATTCCTCGATTGACTTTCGCTGGTGTTCGCCTGAGGTAGTAGAGGCAGTACCGGGGCGAGAGACTCGCTCCGGGCGACGGTAGGACAGTGAGTAAACCATATTGAGCAGGCTCTGGGGTGGGGATCTGATCGGGGAGGAACGTGGTGATGTTGCGGGGCAGTGACGACAACGCTTATCAAGTCGCGTGGTCGTTTGTGGGAGATGGGCAGGAGCAACCGTTGACACGCACCGAGCCGCGCGTGGAGATGGAATGCTATATACCTACTCGATGGATGGGGCGAGTGGAGTACTGAGATTGAGCTAAGGGAAGATTTGGATAAGAGCTACTTTGGTAGTCGTCCAGTAGTCCAGCACAGAGACGGTCTTCTGTAAGGCTGAGTAGTAGCGTGGGCCCGACTAGTAAGGGCGAACAGACACTTGGGACGGAGGTAGAGGAAGTTTACGCCGTGCGTCTCAAGAGGTTCAAGTAGGTAGCGATGCGATGTTTATACCCAAATCTCAGCATGGCCATATACCCATGCCCACCTAGGTCAGAAAGCGCTTCATTCGTGGCAGGCACATGGCTCTCCACCTTCACTGCTTCCTGCCGCCTACGGGCATATTCCCAAATGAGAGTCGCCTGTAGCGTGGGAACGTCAACGCCTGGTTGCACATGGGATCCTCGAGGCCGCCAAAGGATAGGCGCGCCCCACAGCGACCATGGACTGCAGCACCGCGACAAATGACAGAGGCTAGCAAACCGGGACCTCAAGATGTGCACTAGGGCCACGCGCCGTGAGGAGTCGGTAATCTGGGCAGAACCCGTGTCGATCGTCTGGGCCCGGCTTAGCCCCCTTCTCTATTTGCAAATCTCTGCTCTGTTTGCCAGCCTTCTGGCTGTGTAAAACACACCATGGCGCCGACGGTCAAATGCCATATTGCGATGCAGCCGTTGGGAAATGAAGACTCGACACGCCCACCTTGTCAGATGTTCTTGGTGTTCTAGCGGTACCAAAGACACCTCAACGCTCGCAAGTGCGGGTGGAGAACCGAAGCGAGCGACAGTCACAACGCTACTCTGAGAAGCTGCAAGAGCTGCAGAAACGCGGAGTGACGTTCTCTCAGACAGCCACAATGTTCCTTTAGACAGCCACAGATTTCATAATTGCACGCGATCGACGCTGCATGCATAATGCTAGCAGCAGACAAACGCCAACAATCCAATCAGCAGCCCTCATCATCGTGATTAGCGGTCAGGATGCGCGTATGCAGCCTTCGTCCGCTTCGCGCTCGGCCTCAAGTCGTCACAACGCGTACCAAACTCTGCGACACATCGCTTCGCTTAAGCCTGGCCACTCTCCAACAGCTCATCGCCAAAAAGTTTGCTTCGCGCCCTCGCCATCTGGAGTAGTTTTGTGGCTTGCGAGTCAGTACGATAACGTTGAACTGGTGGGTAAGGCAAAAGCAGAGCTGATCGGTCCCAGCCCGCTGCCAATCTCGGATGCAGCAACGGCAGAAGCAAATGTGCCGCCTACGACATTCTCAAGCCAGAACCGAGATGGGGAGAAACGCCACCATCGTCAGGTTCTTGGGACTTTCAAAGTCCGGACTCCTCTGGTGCCAGGCTGATAGAGACAAATGGGTATTACTCGGCAGCATGGGTCGTGTAAATCTTGGGCATAATTCTACCCCTATAGACAGCCTCGTCTTCGCCGATATATGAAGGGCCGTTTCTGCCGACAGCCGTCGAGGTCAAAGATGAATCGTGGACGCAGCGTCGGCATGTTTGAAATGTCAGCACCAGAGGCTGAGGATAGCCGAAAGTCAAATCCCGTCCCCGCCGACTGTTGATCGATCATGTGGTTATCATTAAGCGTACGGGACGCGAAACTGTCTGTGGTGTACTTCAATTGCGGGTCAAGCGTGTTGCACGTTGGTGCTGAGCTGCTAACTCAAACGCTTCGTATGTGCCGTACAACGGTACACATGTAGCGCCAAAGGGTAGGTTCGCCGAAACTTTAGAAGTTGAGAAATTTAAGACTGAGTCGCAATCGGCCATCGGCAAAAGTGGACTAGTGTCTTCAGAAATTTCCTAAACGAGGTGTGTGCAGTACGATAGTCGCCACCGCAAACTCTCGAGACATGCTATCAGACCTCGTATAACATCGCGCAACCTGCTCTACATTTGGCCAGTCGATGTTAGCAAATCGCTCAGGCCAACAGCCCTGATCAGTGGAACCTTGATGCTAAGATCTAGGATCTAGGCTGCTTCTAGCGCCACGCGCTTTGGCCTCGCCGATTGGACTCGACCCTCAGATTGCTAAATTGACGTGATACGAGCTAGGTGGCTTCCACCTCAACGCAATGGACCCTGTGCATCCAGCTTGCGAACGGGATGTGTTTTCTTGGGGTCGTTCTTTTCTTCTTCCCGTGTAACGTCCTCGCCATTGCTTCCGAAGCCCTGGATCTGGAGAGTGCCTTTCATCGTACCGATAAGATGGGTTTAAATCACGCTTGCTGCTGTGTATATTTGCTAATCGACTGGACACTAGAAAGCCTGTGGTACCACTCCATATGCCCCGCTCCTCGGTATTCACTAGACTTTATCCACAAGCAGCATCTTCCTTGAAGAGCTTCCGTGTCACTGCAACGAATGTTTCAGTAAACGAATAGCCGGAGAGAGCGGGCATGTGTACGCGACGACAGCGGGAGGCTCAGGGAAAAAGTTGTTGTTTGCGTGGGCTGGCATGTAGCGCGACGCCTCTAACATATGAGTGTGTGTGACATGATTGGTGCATTGAGCGGCACATGGGAATCGCGCATGTCGTTCGCCCGCCTTTGCAGAATCCCATGCCCTCATCTCCGTCCCGTGCATATATGCGATCGTAGGCTTCGTTTCGATCTCGGTCCAGACTCCAGATAACGTGGAGGACTGACCGCTTCGTGGCTGATGCTACAGAGCCTGCCGTGGGAGTTGATGCAAAGCGGCCTGTGTGCTGAACGGCTGAAAAACGCGTGTGGGATTGAACAGGTGGGTAGCCGGGCCCGTGTGCCTCATCCAGCGACAGAGTCATCGATTGTAGTCTGAGTTTATGCCTTACCATTCCGTGGGAGTGTATGCGCAACTCGGTGGATGTGGAGCTAATGGTGAGCGATAGAGACAACTAGGACAAGTCGGCGAAGTCATATGAAAGAAACAGCTGGTGACACCTGCCACCTTCCCTAGTCCCCCATGACAACTGGACATAACACGATTGATTGCGAATCATCACCATGCTCTAGTAGTACCACTAAGTATATCTCACGACAGCGTAGAGCCCGCCAACTACTTGTCGCGACAGACTTTGCAGCGTACAGGGACGGTGTCGATTTCCAATGGCAATACCTCGTTCCTGTTGGAGAGGCCGAGTATTGCATTGCCTTCAGCGACTATTCATCACCCATTTCCATTTTACCTCTTCATTTTCCTTGCTCTCCACGTCTAAATCCTTCCATGTCCTTGCACCTCGTCCACACATGCTGTGGTGTTTCGTCGCCGTGATGCTTGGATAGGCGAGCAAACGTAGATTAACAGTGAACGAGACTTCGAGAGGCGTCCCATCTTCCAGACATGTTTGACGCAAAACCACTCTCAGCAAACAGGCCGATAGTCACCCAAACACTTCACTTCTGGTGTCATTCTCTCCCATTCTCACTCCATGCATTGCTTCACTCGCAGCTTCTTAGCGTACGCTTCAACTATACCTGCCGTACCCTGATCGCTCCGATGGATGCTAACGCTGGCCAGCCGCTCCTGCAAGCTCCAGGATTGGGTTTTCAGGTCCTCCACTACCACAGGTCTTCCTTGGACCCGGATTCTTCGATCATTGTGCATCATATCGGCAATTACCACACCTTCGTTCTAGCTCAAGCGGCAGCACTGTTCGAGCTACGGCGCACATTAAATGACTACCTCCGAATAGGATACTACGGCCGCTACTACGAAAAGATCGATTCCAAGCTTTGGGGACTGATCACAGCTTACAAGGAGAGTACGGTGCATGGGTATATGCTTATGCGCGAAATTCCGATGAACGAATTTCGTCTGGAGACGCTCAACGTGTAGGGTAACGAACGTGAGGCAGAGAAACGTCTTGCGGGAGAGGAGTTACGGTTCGGAAACTCACGTGGAGGCATCATCACCAACACGCAAGGAACCAGCACAGCGTTACCAGTCGTGAGGCTACCAGTCAAGCCACAACAGCACAAACAAACCGCAACTCCCAAACGCATAGCGAAGCGGGGAGAACACGTTGTCATGCCCGAGCCTGCTCGTTCGTCACCGCAATTTCCTCCGCCAGGTGCCAAGTACGACGAAGAATGTCAGCCAGAGTGGTCACGGACTCGCCTGCCATTGTTCGACCGGCGGGACGATGGACCGTTCCGTAGACGAGGTCAGACACCATACGCGCAAGTCATGGCCTTCTCGCCAGCCGCAACAGCCACACTTATCTCATCCGCAGAGTTTATCCCACTAAACTCTGAGCACAGCACGGAGGACGCATTAGCAACTTCCTGAGTGCGAAGCAACACATGGTACAACAGACACCGCCCGAAGTGTGCAAGAAGAGGCGACATAGTTAAAATGGTAGATGCGAGTTTAGAGCCCAGTGGAGGCGGTTTCGGAAGGGCTACCGATTGATCATTACGTATGATCATGATCGGAATAGGTTTCATTCAATACGTGATAAAGAGCTCACATATACGTACAAATTCCAGAAGCTGACCTCTTAGAATGCGGTTAATGTAACAGTACCGTTCTGGAAGTCAGGAAAGTGCTTGTAATGATGCTGTATCTGACTTTTTAGTCGCTTGATCAGGTCATGAAGCTTCATGCTCTAATAACAACGTCGCTGCAGCCCTGAAGCTCTTACCCAAGTTGTACCCATCCTGTTCTTACGTGGATCCCCTCTTTCCCAAACCCACCTCCTGCAAACTTTCGCCTTAATTATCCTTTGAATCACCCAGTCGCAACGATCACCTAGTCTGTCCTTCTCGTCCTACACCCTCCCCACTAACGACACTAATCGTAGCGCAGTCCACGAACATGTTCAAGCAACTCCTCACCCTGATCGCCCTTCTCCGCGCCACCGCCAGGACCCCTGGCGAGTGCGCATCTGGCATGCGCCACTGTGATTTCATACTTACTCTCACCACCATCGAAGCGTGTCATATATACAGCTAGGTTCTGGCTTCAGACAGTAAATCAGACACTTGCGCTGTCAATAATTAGAATGGGGAGCCATATTGCTGTAATGCTTAGAATATGAGGCATATGCACGATGGGGCTGAGTACGATGGTGTGATTGCTGATTGTGATGCAGCGAACTTTGGTACGCTGATATGATAGGAAGAGCACTCAAGACTTTACGAGAGAGCGGTCGAGTGGCTTGCACTAGAGGTTCGCTGTAGCCTCTAGGCTAGCACGTTGAAGTAATGAACTACACTGTGGCATCTACCAGTATCTGCTACTCCTGAAGATCCTCCTCACATCTACAATGCATTCGAAACAAGTGATGTAGTCTACTCAACCTCCACAATCTAATCGGTAAGTATCAGCGACTACTGCACGTTAAAAAGAGGGTGTGTGGGGTTCCACCGATCGACGCAGGTGTGAGTGGGGCTCTGCGGGAGAGGCGCACAAAGAAAAGCAACACAAAAATACACAATATGGAGCGACTACCCGGTAAACGAGATCTACAAAGATCTACGCGCCGAAACAGCAATTATACCAAAAATCACCGACGCATGGTCATGTGAGCAAACGTCAAAGCTTCTCCAGCCCTCTTAACTCTGCGTTGTCGACAAAAGCATAACAGGACAAAGAAATGACAGGACTTGATCTACGCGCGAAATGCCTTAGCAGTCGAAGCAACAGTCCACGTAGCATTTGAATGCCCCGGAAGCGTGAGGATCCAGTCTTGATCACCGATGTCCTCGATCACCTTACGTGGCACGCTACAGCTGTTCATCTTCTCCATGCTTTGTGTTTTCATAGACGAGCAGCTAACGTAGCATTCCTCGTCCATGATCTTCTGCAGCGAACCGTCCTTCCAGCCGAAAATGTAGTCGCCGTGGTTACCATACCCAGTATGGTCATCGAAAGAGTAGACAAAGGGCTGGCTACCATCTTCCGGCCAGAGTGAAGGGTCATTGAACGGCGCGGTCTCGTAGATGACCTCATACATGAGCTGGGGCATGCGAACGGGGTGAGAGGCTGGGCAGGGGCCTTGGCTTTCAAAAGTACCCGATACTGGATAGGCCTACAATGTGTTAGATGACATAATCTCAGTAGAGGCTGGGGAGTTTACCATGTGAGCCATGTGGTCTGGCGAATCGAGGTCTTTACCATTCCAACATCTACATCAATCAGCACCATCCCAACGTTAAAGGAATGCGCCACTGCTTACGTTGGAAATCTCAAGTTTACCATGATGCCTGCTGGGCAAGGTTTCTTGGGGAAAGCCTTGGTCTCCGGAAAGCGAGTGCTTGGGTCTTGTAGACAGGTATACGTGAGTTGCGGGTATCTATCCGCTTCTGCCTTTGTGGTTGCGGTTGGTGAACCGATTAGCATGCGGAAACCCGGCTGGAAAGCCTTGACTTTCGCCTTCTGTTGATAATCGGCAAGTTGGTTCTGCATGTAATATACAGTCTACAGAAGCGACACTAAGTCAGTACATGGTCCTTGTCCGATTCGTGTCTCCAGGACTCACCATGCCACCATTCTGACCTTCAAACCCTGCATTGCCTTTCTGACTGACGCGCTTGTAGGTACCGTTTCTTGCACGAAAGTAGAGTGAAGCCGTCCAATAGTTAGAGAAGTCGTCTGCGGGCTGGCAGGTGGTGCATGTAGACATTGTTGGTGGATCGTGAACATCCGGGCTCATGTTAGGAACAAAAGAGTTTCCTCCGATGATCTGGTGGAGATGAGCCGATGGCGCATTTCCGGGCTCGACCAAAGGGTCAAGACGGTCCACGACGAGCTGCGAGCATCCGAATCGGATGAGAGCATGGGTCGGGGCGACGAACGCCAGTGCGGCGAGGGGATTCAAGAGCATCTCGGACTAGTTTGCTGTGAACTGCAGACAACGATAGAGAGGGAATTCGTGCAAAGATATACTACGACTTATGTATGTTCTGAGAAACAACGACTCTCCGTAACGGAGCATATGTACCAAAAGACGCACCGAACGGCCCGCAGCGCAATGCATTGCTCCAATTGCAGTCATCGTCTAATCGATAGAGACATGGATGTTGCCAATGTCTTGCCTGGAATTTACATTGACCCCACCTAAGATATGGGGGTGGTTGTAAAATGCAGTGTACTGAGCAGCGCAAGTGCCGGATTTGATGGGCCAACGTTCATATGGGTTTTGTCAAACACATTGGATGCAATCCCCAGATCCCTGTTACTAGTAATTGAACATGAAGATCAAGCTCACAAATTGCCCAAGCTGTTATTATTTGATGGTCCATTATGTGAACATATTCGCTGATAAAACCGTATCTGTGAAGCTCCGCTCGCGCCATCCGGTAAGGAAACACAGCACCAACGAGAAAAAAAAATGGAGATACTGGCGAAGAGAGGGCTGCACAAGCCCGAGATCCACTCACATTGTTTACCTCGAAAGCATGCGAACATGTTATATGTAGCTGCATGTGGCACAGGATGAATGCGAACTTCAGCATGATTTTCCGCGTAGCCGTGTTGACCCCACAGACCGTGCCATCAGGTATATTGGTATGCGGGGCATCAGGCATGATAGCCATTTACTCCATTGAGCTCCGTTTCTTTGGTAATGCTATTGAGAGGCAGAAACAATCACAAAGTATAGCTATTCAGCTGCTGGCAGGATAGCTATGGGAATCTGGCACAGCGAGGTATTGCTTGATCCAGGCATGAGCCGCTCGTGGGCGTGGCGGAGGGCGTAGCGCGCATTGCGCGGAAGGGCTATCAGACATACGGCCGCGGATGCCTCTAGATAGTGTAGATGACATGTATGGCGATGACGCCCTAACATGAGGAGTCACTGCGGGATGGTAGGTGACAGGTGCGCGACAGAATGCTTCGCAACGGGATGCTTGTTGCGTCTGTCCCAAAGCGGCATGGTCAATCCGCAGACACGTGTCAGCCCAACTATCAAACTCACCGCTTGAGCCTCATTTCCATCGCGATCGTTCGCTAGATCCCAAAACCTGCAGAAACTGAGATTCAAATGCAGGACCGCACCAATGATAGCTCTTGAAAATCCAGGGCGCTGCACGAAGGATGCAAACGCTTATGTCTCACGTCGAGTCTGCAGCATGAACCCCACGCGCGGAGCTGCTCCCACAGAATGACTCTTATCATGCGTACGCGATCGTTGAGGCTGTTGACAAGGCTGAACTTGGGTGTAATTACCTTTTCCAGACCGCTCGGTGGTGTCTTCCCCATAGCGGTGTGTTGTCTGGAGTGGATCTTGAACCCGGGGCCGCGACTACATAGCATATAACCTGTACTTCGCATCTTGAGCACAATCGATACATATTCTTCCTCGCTTCAAACTGTCATATTCACTTTGTATTGCCTTCAGTCGAACACAGCACCAATGCCTATCATGTCGCCGCACGTTATCACTGCTTTTCAGCAGTACCTGAGATGGGACAACGATATCAAACGTCACATCGACGCGAAGACTCGCGCGAGAACAGTATCGATTACAAGGGGTAGTCGCGCTGCTTCCATAGAAAGACAAGATCAGACTATGTGGCGACCGAGTAATGTGAGGAGGAACTCGGCGTGGAGTGAGCGGTCGGTATAAGATGGGAAGTGTGGGTCTGAGCTGGAGAGGTATGTCTTTCACTTTCAGTTCACATATTCGAAGACACGTTTAGCATGCTTCACCCTTCACTATCACCATACGACAAACCTCGAGCCATGAGAGAACTTTCCAAATGGCAGCTTACTCTTGCTCAACCTCATCATCCTCGCAACACTTCTGAGAACAGAATTCTCGAGCATCACATACTAACAATCAAACTCAGAGCACTACGAGCGACTCCTACGACATGACCAACAACCCCTACCTCGACTACCTATACCAAGGCCAGTACGAGTACAAGCTCCCCAACACCATCAAGATCAACCCCAACAAGCAGGTTGGCGACTACAAGGCCTTCTTGACTGAACCCCCAGCCCAAAATAATGCGCCTCTGGAGACTACAGAAGACGATCCATACCACGTTCCCGCCTACTTCAATCTCAGCGAGCCAACTACAGACGTGCCCGCACAAGAAAAAGAAGAGGTGGAACTCGAGTTTGACCCTCCGCTTCGTCACTATGCTGAGCTCAGAGGCGGCTTACCAATTGGATATATCTGGATCCCACCAAGTTCTCCTGAGCCAGTGCCACGCGAGGCAACTCCTCAGCAAGACCTTGTTTTCGTCACTCCGGTGAGGCCAGTGAGGACAATGCCCATTACCAAGAAGCGCAAGAGCAAGAAAACCGTCATTTTCGCCTTCAGCCCCCAAAACAAGAAGCACAGGCGAGAGACCACCGCTGAGTACCAGATGCGATTCACCAGCCCGCTTTCGGAAGAGCTGTCAGACGCGCCTAGTGGTCTGCTGACACCTGAGCCGAGGAAGTTTGTACTACATCGCAGGTAGTTGGTGGGTGAGATACGTTGGGCATATATTGTCGGACAAGATCGAGCGGTAGATGGGGAGGAAAGGGGGAGATTACTACGTATATGAGGTTGGCTGATACCGGGGCTATAGTTGCTTCTTCCCATTTGCCTTCAATGCCATACCCTTTTGTCTCCTCACACCCACAAATCCTTCCAAGATACTAACCCACATCTGAACCAACATAATCACCATCCTCACAACGTGATCCTTCCATTCTAGAACTGGTTTCCTTCCCCGCATAAACTTGGCATCTATCACCTCCCACCCGGCGTCGCCTCCCAGCGCCTCCCCAACCTGCAACCCACTCCGGCAACCATCCTCATGGAAACCGTAACCCGTCCATGCGCCTGCGTACCAGATGCCTTGGTTTCCTTGGATCTCGTGAAGGCGATCTTGCGCAAACACCATGCGGGAATTGTACAAGGGGTGTCGGTATTGGTACGTTGCCTGGGTTAGAGCCGACGAGGGAGGGTGTGGTGGGTTGAGAGTGACGAGAACATTGTTGTAAACGTCGCGTGGGATATGCTGCAGAGTGTTCATGTCGTAAGTCAGGCAGACGGTCTCGAGAGCGCCCGAAGAAGTGGTCAGGTTCGCGTACGATGGTGTTTTGGGTTTGGATGTGGTGATGTAGTTCCATGCAGACCATGCTGTACGCCGTTGGGGCATGAGCTGGTATTTGTTAGCTATGCTTAGATATATCTGAAGTGTGTAAAACTTACTGAGAGATCGGAATGCAGGTATGCTGTGTTTGGCGTAGTCTCAAACGCATCCATGATCTCCTTCTCTGTCGCGGTCGCCTCATCACCTAACATCCACCTCGCCTGATCTCCATGACAAGCGAGTACCACTTCATCAAAAACCTCCGTCTTGCCCTCTCCTTTTCCGCCCAGTCGTAACTCCACTTTCCTGTTCTTCCTGGTCACAGCCAGAACCGGCGTTCCAAGATGACCTTCACAATTTCCGGCCAATTCCAAAACAGCGTCGATATATTTGCTGGACCCCCCTTCAACAGTTAACCATGGTGGTCTCTCTGCTATCGTACTGAGCAAGTGGTGATTCCACATGAACCGTACCAACGTCAATGCTGGGAATTCCAGCGCACACTTATCCGCATCAGTACTCCATACACACGCTGTCATGGGGATCAGATAATCATCTCTGAATACGTCTGAGTACCCTTCTCTTTCAAGATACTCGCCGATGCTCATCTCCGTGGCGGCGACAGCTGCAGGTGAGCCTGGATTTATGGCCAGAAGATCCAAGGCGAACTGGTTGAACCGGATGATGTCGAAGATCATGCGCCAGAAAGAGGGCTTGAGGGCGTTTTCAGGCTGCGCAAAGAGCGCGTTGCCTGATGTGCCAGACCATTCAAAAGCACCAGCGTCGCGAGAAATACCAAAAGTCATCTCTGAGGCTACAGTCTTGACTTGCAAAGCTGAGAGGAATTTTATGAAGTTCGCTGGAGTCTGTTAGTTTTGAGACAACGCCGGTACAAGTCTTGGTAGGGGACGAACGGTATGTAGCGGTGTTGAGAACGATGAAGCCTGTATCCACGGGCGTACTCTTGCCATTGTGCGTCCATGCTACAGTGTTTGTATGACCACCCAGACGTTCCTCTTTCTCGAAAAGATGCACCTCATGCTGGGTATTACGGAGCGCATAGAGGGCGCTCAAGCCAGATATGCCACTACCGACGATAGCTATGCGCTTCTTCTCCAGCTTGCCGGTCATGATCAACTAGCGCGTATTTGTGGCGAGTATACTAATGGCCAGGTACACGATATGGATTGACGCACCAGAGTGACGAAAGAAATTGAGCAGAGGAAAGAAGCTGCTACAAAGACGCGAGTCATGATGTCATCGATTCCAAACGGATGCCGTTTCGGTGGGTGCATGACTAGTGTCAAGAGAAATTTATACGTTCAAAATGTAGGCAGCGTAGGTATCACGAACTCTCATCTTGCTGCCCTGAGCACGGCAACTAGTAAAGACGTCCACGACATTGCACGCTGTCACTGGCTCCAGGGCAGGGGCCCGCTCTCATGTGGACACCGCAGATCACGACCCATGGCAGTATCAGAGTTATTGTGGAGTCGGCGTTGCAGCTTCGCATATTGCTAGCATGTTGAACATATGAGACGTTCGGGGACTGATGTGACACGGCTGTTGTACATACGGCAATGGAGGGACCGGAGCGCCACCTACGTAATTAGAGGAACAGCACCTAGAGCAGATTTGACAGTATACTTTGCCAGTATGGGAACATCAAATATATGGGCAAAGCAACAAAGAGAGGTGGAGATATGACAAAAGCATGGGAACTCATGTTGTACTGCACCCCCAGTTCTAGAACGGAATTGACACACGTGACACGGCAGGGATCACCTTGGCAAGTGCGTAATGCGCCTCATGAGCTCCGGCCTCCAGACTCAACGCTGCATTCACGAGCACATCCAACCCACGTCATACTCGCATTCAAAAGGACGATAGACATATTCAAACTTGTGCGACCCGAAACGTTGCCACCGCCTTTATACCGCCGTCATGTCCAACCTCATCGACGCCGATGCAGGCACCGAGCGCTTCAGCGGCTACGAGGCCGAGTTGAAGCTGGTGCAGGCTGACCTCAGCCAGCAAATAGAGCAGATCAAAGAGAGTAGCGGAGAGCCCAGGAAAGCCGCAATCAGCAGAGCAGAGCGCGCGCTGGAGGAAGCCGACGAGTTGGTGAGTTGCCGCCTAAGCATGCATGTCGCGCATCGACAACAACAACAACAAGACGTCAGAGACTAGAGTACTGATATGCGCACGAAACAGATTGGCCAAATGCGCCTCGAAAAGTCCAACATCCCCGCAAACCTAAAGTCCAAGTACAACGCGCGCTTTCGCAACTTCGAACACGACCTCGACACCCACAAGCGCAAACTAGAAACCTACACCTCGGACAAGTCCAAACTCTTCGGCAACCGCTACACCGATGATCCAGAAAGTGGCGATGCCCAGTTAGAGCAGCGCCAACAACTCCTCTCCGGAACAGATCGCCTGAACAGGTCGAGTGGAAGACTGAGAGAGAGCCAGAGGATCGCGCTGGAGACGGAGCAGATTGGTGCAGGCACGTTGAGTGATTTGCACAGGCAGAGGGAGCAGATTACAAACACAAGGGAGAGGCTACTGGAGAGTGAGAGCTACACTGATCGGAGTATCAAGACATTGAGGGGCATGGCGAGACGGTATGTATCCCTGCTACTTCCATCTGTCCCCTGCTCCAGTTGATGTGGAGTGTAGATGGATGCCCTTTTGATCTGCGCGACAAGTATGCTAACGAGTTCTGATGCAGGATGGCTACAAACCGCATCATTACGATTGCTATCATCACTGTTCTGGTGCTGCTTATTATCGCTGTCATCTACAGCAAGTTCAGATGATTGTTCTTACACACGAGAAGCGTTTCCGTTTGGCGTCTGGAGTATAACACGCTGTGCGGGTGGTTATTAAAGCTCAGGCTTAGGTATCGAATGCCATCCACATCTATCGTCTTGATAAGCAGCGATTTGCCGCGTTCATAGCACGCAGTTATCATCCAGTCAAGATGTATGCATATGTGTGTTAATTACTTTACTAAGACATTAGGTATCTAATTTACGCGTATTACATTACGTCTCCCTGCTCCCTATCCGCGATATCGCGGCAGTACGCAAACCCCATTCCAAGCCAGGAGCTATTACGATTAACCCAGACACCCTCAAACCCCATTACACGTTCTGAAGGAAAGGGTACATGCTATAAATCGCTCAAGAATAACACCGGTATGAGAAGAAACGCGCCGTAGCAGCGAAGACATAAAAGTCTAAAGCGAGCTTGAAGTAACATAAGACAATAGGAAAATGAGCGTGAAGCGAGTCGTGAGAGACATGGAAAGAGTGGCAGGACCAGCTAAGAGCAGTTTGTCAGAGAAGTGAACAACACGCCTGTCATGTTTTTAGCTTCCACCTGGTGTTGCATGACAAAAGCATGTCAAGCAAGGGGCGCATAGGCTGACTCTCTTTGCAAGAATCACTGCGGGCTGATACCCCGCGTTTGCGTCGAATCTCGCATGTTTCTCAAGAATGAGAGTTCGAAAGATGTATCCGTCGTCGTAGACACATAGGATGTGGTGATGTAGCAAGTGTGACGGAGACACATCGTAATTGAGAGTGACCTCTAAGCTGACAGCGCAGAGACTGTACCATTTTGACATGCTCGAAGCAGCTGTGCTTCGTGTCTTCCGGGCTTGTCTGGCCTTTGTTCTCAGACCAGAAGATGTCATGTCCTGTGGTGTGTTTGTACGTGTAACGAGCGTGTCATTTTAGTGTGATGGTTGTAGGCATCCGATTAATTTGGTAGGCGAAAGGGTCATCTAGAGCCCATTCAGTCTGCAGAACCGACTGGGAAAGGCGTAATAGGTAGCTGCTTATCAGCCCCAGGTGTTCGTGGCGGTAACGGTGAAGGCGTTCTCTGTCTGCTAGGTTGTCGAGCATGGGAACCCAAGGCCAAAGGCGATACCGTTCGCAGTGGGGCGGGCCATGGTGGGCTGAAGGGTGTGATTGGTGACATGCGTAGCGGATCAGGCCTTCCTTGGAATCGTGTAGTGGATCGTCCTAGTGTCGAGTTTTGTGTGCTTTGTGAACTACCGCTTGCATTGCGAGAGTGATTGTTATAGCTAGGTAGACGTAGTGTTGGTGGACGACTGCTGTTGGCAACAGAGAAACGGCCGCTTGGGGTGCGAGAGAGCGTTGGCACGAGGGGTTGAAGAGGAATGTCGCCTTGTACCGAGTCCGCCCTGGGCATGGTTGTCTCGAGCTTGAGGGTGTGAGAAGTACTTGGTCTCGTCGATGTCTGTGCTGTGCTGGGTCGTGTTATGTTGGTGGAGGTAGCCGGCCCGGTGATAGTTGTATACGCTGTGTTGGGTCTTGTCCTAGTTATAGTGGTATTTGGACGAGCAATGGTCGTTCGTGCCGTGTTCGGTCTCGTCCTCGTAGATGCAGTAGTAGGTCGGGTGTTCCCTTGAGGACCAGTTCTCTGCTTTTGGCGCTCGATATCCAAGGCTCGAATGTTAGTATACTGTGGTGCTGCTGAGAAGTAATGCGGCGCGAGTAGGGCGAAAAGAGGTCGCATAGCTGGTAAACAAGCACAGATGATACCGACATTGACCTCCACTGCAGATAATGTCGCATGATCCGTGTTGTCGAACGAGATATCTTTCGAGTTGGCTATATTGTCCAGAGTATATAGCCGGATGATGGAGACCATAGTGACGCTATCGGCACGTTAGCATTTGTTGGTTTTGCGATGCCTGATTTTGCCTCACCTAGCACCTAGCACAAACATAGCCACTAAACCTTCTCTCTGCGATTTGGGTATCTGGAGAGTTCGGACGATGGACAACGGCATGAGAAAGATCACCACGTCTTGTGTAATATTGACACCGGCGTTCACAACCCATATGATGAGCTGATTTATACAACGCCCATCCTCGATGGACTTGTCCCATGAAAAGGCGATGGGACTGCAAATGAACACACTTGAGAATGTTGCCCAGCCCCCGTATGCTACTACAATACTCAACATAGCGTAGCAGGCTATCCGGAAGCCTCGCACAGGAAAAATGCGGAGATATTGTACGAGGATGGAGATCTTTGTGACAGTGAGGGTAAGGTTATAAACCCACACGCTCGCCCAGAAGGCCTAACTAACCGTCAGTTGCAAGCCCAGAGACTCAAGGAGAATGAATTTTGCCCAACCGGCATGAGTTGTACATTGCGCCAGATACTGCTTAACATGTACAGTAAAGGCGCTGCCGAAGGTAAAGAGATTGTGGGAACTTACAGTACGTAGCGTAACTTGCTCATTGGTTTCAAGTCGCGCCCTGTGTTTGCCCAAACCATTCATTACTTGTTCTGCCGTCAGCACAGCAAGGGCAATGGAAAGAATCTAAGAGTGGTCAGTTGAAAGTGCACATTGGGCGATTCAGGTTTGCTTACCATAGCGAGCACGATGCACGCATCTTCAAGCCCAGCTCCCTTCGATATTACCAGCCGCGTAAAAAGACGTAGAAACACAACCAGGCCAGAAACGAGTGTGAAGGCAAGTACAATGATATTAACCCGGGTTCCAGCGGGCGTAGAGTTATTAAGATCCATGATGGCCGTAGTATTAGATAGACGAGTTGATAGAACGGAAAAGAGAAGGAAACCGAGACGGAGGACCTGCAAAGGCTCACATGGTTCAAGCCTTCATAATGGCTAATTCGGAGATGATGGTGAATTGGGATGTTCGCAAGCTGATCGTGATAGGAGATGCAGTTCGAGGTCAGTAGTACAGTACAAGATGGAGCCAGCCTTGGGAACGAACAGTGCTAGCAGATATGGCTCGTTGAATTGCAGGAAGAACAAGCGCTCATTGGTAAGGAAAGTCGAACGACATTGACCCCCGGACAGCTTGAGAGTGAGACGCCAGTCCCCGACGTTCATGCTGCATTTGGAAGCGCGAACAGGACCACTATCGCGTGGACTCTCCACACCATGGGCACGTTCCTGCAAAAACGACCGTCTCATACGTGACGATAGTCATAGTGTGCAGATCCCGCAGGGCACTGGCCTAATGGCGCCTTGTGGCGACTGGCCAGGCACTAGATTTGGCAGAGAACGTGCGAAAATAGTCGAAGAAGGGGGGTATAATGTCGCAACTATACCCTTAGGGTTAACTCGTGGCAGCCACCGTTAAGAACCGACCGAGTTAGGCTAGCTCTAGGTTGGCATGGCTTAGGCGGTGCTGCGGAACTGTTGATGTCGCATGTCACTGACTAGATGCCGCTTTTGACAGTTCTGTTTCGAAGGCCTGGAGAGTGTAGTACATATGCAAACATGTCATGTGGTGACTTGATTGTGTGGCGTGTGATTGAAGCGTCTGTCGCGCGCGAGACCTGCATGCAGAAAAATGGTTGGTCCAGCAAAGACCGCGTACCTGCATATTCCGTACTGGAAGTGTAGCAGTTCGGGTAGGATGGCGCAAGGCTAATGACCCTGTTGCAGATCTAGCCGAACGCAGACCGTGCACCGAAACCTTGATGACCTTCTTACGGGTCTGAAACGAATCTAAGGCTATCGGCGCGCTCCCCACCATATAGCGTTTTCCCTTGAGGCAGCTTGTGGCCATCTCGCACAATCTTGGTAGAGTTGACTAAAACAGAACTGGTTGATAGGTAGCTGACCTCGTTCGGTACCGTAGAAAGTCCAAATCACGCGACTAGCTTCGGCAGTTTGGAGCTTGTCTTGCTGTTCGGCTAGGGAACGACTGAGGCTGATATTCGGCTGCGCGAACACACATTTGAGTCACGCTGTGAGTGATATACGGCTCTTACCGGCCTCGGAGGTAGGTTGAGTTTGGCCTACTGCGAACTTACTTGGCTCACAATCTTCTTTGTATCGTTGGACGGTCGGCTGTCACTTTCAACACTCACGATTCAGGTCGTATTGAACAGAAACGATGCAAACGTTGATGCAACCGGACTCTCAAGCGGACAAGTAGTCGGATCTCCTTGTGGTCACCTACGTCCGCGAAGCTCCGAAGTAAGCTCGGCCTCGACTGTAGCCGTTACATTGCGATATAGGTGCGGCGTCTTAACGTCTGTGTAACGTCTGTGTAAGGCCAGTGGAGGGAGCGTCCCTCTAAAGGAAAAACACCATCTGGGTGAACAAGCAACTAAGAAATAATAACGGTAAGCTTCCGTATTGCGGTAGGGTTGGTGTCAAGGTTTCGAAGATGATTGGTCCTCGGTTTGATTTGCCGGGAAGATACTTTCTTATCATGCTGCCAAAAGAGGTCTTTGGAATCAGCAACAAACTGATCCATGGAGTGCATAAGGACGCAACTGCATAGAGATGATGCATAGCCAAGAGCGTCGCATCCGCCGCGGAAGCCCAGAAACGTTTTCGCCAAAGAACCAAGACGACAATTCTCAGCGCTTTTGCGACCTGCTGAATGGGCTACGGCACTTCAATGTGTACAATGTTCGTGGTAGTCACATGCACAGGGTCACGGATCTACTTGATAGTACCCATGTGTGGGGTACATAAATCAACACATTCCTTGAGACAAGCGAGGGTGCTTTTTCGCATGACTCAATGGAGGATTGTGGAGAGCCGTGTGAGGGATCGCCGTGTGATAGTATCAGTTGATGCGACGCGTAACTCATACAAAGCAAGAACGGTGCCGATGCCATGCCGGTGAGGGACATTGCGTTGTCCGGGAGCAGTACTGATCCACACTCATCTTCCATTCATTGTTAGTATGGGTATTCAATGTGAGTGCGTGAAAGAGCGGGACCGAAGAGCTGCCAGCGGCTCCGATACTGTGTAGCAGCGAGGCTCGCGATATGGAGTGACTGATATGCCGACCATCCATAAGTGATGAGTACTTTCAGCGCGGAGGTAGGACGTGGTGAAGACGCGCGCACCTCATGCAGACTGCTAGCAGGAAAGCTGGTGTCCAGCGTAGTCTTGACGCGTGCCACGTCGTGAGATGTAACGATATTGCAGTCAGGCCGGCAACGCCATGTTCGACTGTGGACAAGCCTTGGTAAGGCGAGGGTGTGCGTCGTCGGCGATAGCGTAGGCGCCGACAAACTCTTCTTCAATTAAGCGGCAAGCCGCAAAGATCAACGAAAAGCAGCGCAAAGCTAGCAATGGGTGTCAAAAATTCCCAGCCGACCCGAAGGCCAACTGGAGCGGTCATAGTTGTAGTTTTCAACTAGCAAAAACGCTACCTCGGACGAATCCTCACTGGTAAGCGTAAAGCCCGAGCACTTGGATGCAGAATAGAAAGGAGGACGAGGGCGGGCGAGGTTAAGTACTGGCAAAAGCAGCGCTAACGGCTTGGCGCGCTAACATCACATGACCGGGCACGTCCGTCCGGCAGCGGGTGAACGCCGAAGAGAGGGCTTCCAACCAACGGCGAACCGCAGCTCAATAAGGGTGGGTCTAGGCAGCAAGTCACGTTTTTCAGCCGGCGCAGGGTCTGCTTCATGGTTTCCAAGGTGCGAACGCAGGCTCGATGCATTCGAGTTCACATGTGAAGACCTCACCCATACCAGTCCACTTACCTGCTCACGGGCACCTGCAGCTTGGCTGTGATCCACCCACGCATACTGTACCCGATGCCCAAGTTTTACAGAGCTTGTTCGACCTATCACGACGGGCAAGGAGTGGCATGAGCGCAACTATTACGCGCGGTATGCGCACACTTCTATGAGAAGACACTTGCGCTTTGCGAGAAGCTTCTCTACATACGGACGAGTCGCTGTGAAAACCGAGAGATTGCAGACCCGGGTCATCGGCCATGCAAGGGTTGAACACAAACATCAGTTTTTGTACTTCCTCCTGATTGTTAAAGAAGGATACGCTAGTCACCGTTGCTTACACTGTCAAGCTAGCTCCTTGAGTTGAGCTCCAAGATATATAGAGTGCAGCAGCTCAGTTGCATAGGCTGATGCGCGACTGCAGAATTTCACAGGGGACAGTAATTGAACATCAGATGAAGCCCTGGCTTGGTCTACGACCGACATATGGTTTTGCGCGTCCGAGTCAGATTTGGAGCCATTTGACTCCATAATTGCTACGGGTTTTCTCTCCGTGTACTGCAGCATCGTCCAATGCAGGTCAGGAGCGCCACATGTTGCGAGGCTCTATTGTACCTTCCGCGGCGACTGTTTGTCGCAAAAGCTAGAGTGAGGGCGGATCCAACTTCCGTTTCGTTTCGGTGCCAAACGCCGATCATGTTCGAATCGAAGCCTCGCTTGTGGAAACGCATGAGGATGACAATGTAGGATATAATACACGTATGCGCTCACATTGTGTCATGTTCTGTGCGCGCCTTTCTCCTGCGCTCGTGTCTACTTCGCACGACGTTGCATTCACCAACGCTTCTAATGACACCACAGCTCGTGGAGGAAACATCTTTACCCCAAATCCTAAACTCTACGTTGCCTACGTCCTTCCTTGCTCCTGCTAGTCGAAAGGATGACTGTCATTCGCATGTGCCAGCTCTGCTTCCTACTACGACACTCTTCTGTCACCTCATTGTACGACAGCTCTCGTCATACACAGTTGGTTCAGAATGAGAAGAACACGTATGTCGGTTGATTTAGGTCCGCACGGGTATTGGATGCCAATTGTTGCACCACCGGAAGCTCTCTCCGGTTCCAAAGATCGGATATGTCGACAGCGTACCATCTGGCCAGATTCTCGAAACAGTTCAAAGCTATGCGGTGCGCACGCTCTGCCACTGGGCCCTTCATCATCTGGAGCCAGCGGGTTGCCGTCCTAACACAATGGATCATCATTGTAGCCTCACAAGACGTTGATGTGGGGTGTGAAAGACCGAGCAGACAAACAGAGATAGCTTGCATGATGTGGTGCACAAGACACCACCAAGGGCACTGCTCATACAGCTGAGGACTATACTCATCCGGAAGAGAAGCGACAATAGTTCTTGCCGCCTCAATACAGCTATCCGCCATGCGTCTCGAGAAGCTTGCATCATTCATATCCTTCCACTGTTGCCGCCGCGCAGTCAGACATGGCCGTGTGAGCAGGATCCGCGCGCTGCAGAGCTGGAAGCGAAGAAGCATGCGTTCACGGCCCGAGACGTCATGCGGTTTGCCCAACGGTTCATCTGGTCTTATCTCTTGGGGTAACGAGGAAGTCCACTGATCGAGACGCTGGCTCAACAGAGAGGTATCTTGTTGGATATCGTTTGGCGACCGGATCATCGTACCCGCGGAGTAAAGAGATGTGAGAATGTTCTGGGTTATGATAGACAACTGAACAACAGCTCTGAAATATGAGTCCGAGTTGGCGTGTGTTGTCCTAGGCCTTCTCGACGTCTGAGGCGTGTTTGCAGCGATGTTTGGAGAGACGGAAAACATGGCCGAGGTTGACGACGATGCGTTCGCCGTATGCATGCTGTATGTCCTCCCTACGTCCCCTGGTGGCTCTTCTTTCGGCACTGCCACAGGCAACGGTACCGAACAGCAAGAATCGACGATAATACTAGGTCTGCCAGTAATGACACTGAGGGTTCTTTCAAGGAAATATAAGCTCCACCACGTTTGTACCAAAGTCTCCCGTTTAGACGTGCTTGCGGAAGGATCCTCGTTTCGTACGTGGAGGCCGAGGGAAAAGGCTGAACGAAGAGCCACGCCAACAAGCGTCCAAGCCCTATAGTGGTCAGCAAACCTGCCTTTGGAAAGAGATCCATCTCCTGAATAAGACTCACCGACTAACCTGTCCTATACTCAACCAGTAAAATGCGAGAAGGCCTAAGCCTTGTATATGCGGCACATCAGGATGAGTAGTCAGGGAAGCTTCGTTCAAACCAAACGCTCGCGCCCTGGCTTGGAACACGTTCGCGTCTCCTGTCGGCCAATCTTTGTTGTATAGGTACAGGTAGTTGGCACCGATAGCGAAGACAAGATTCAGGATGGCCTGCCACTTCGGATTGAGACGTGGGGCATTTCCCACGCGCACAGCCGCAAAGTACACGCGGGTTTGTTCCTCGAAGTTGCGCGGTAGGATCGGGAAGGAATCGTGCACTCTGAGCATGTAGCATTGTATCAAATGCTCCGCAAAATCGGGTTGGGGCAGCTCATACGGATCCACATAGAAGTTGACACTCACATCGTCACTGTCGGCCCAGAAGCTAAACGAACTTATCTGCTCGCTGCTCAAGGCTGCCGAAGGACGACGTTGAGGCTCCGATCCAGGCCACTCTGTATCCGTTCTTTCGTGTTGCGCTACCACCACTGCACGCAACCATTGTACCTCTGAACTCTTCCCAATGAAACCCGTTGACCGGGCTTCGTCTTTGCTGTGCAAGTCTTCGTCCAAAAGGTCCAGGGCTTCGGTCTCAAGATGATCGAGATATTCAGTACCACTGAATTCTCCGCTTTCTTGTGAGCCACGACGGTCGGCATCAAGATGTGATGATGTAGGAGTCGGAGTATATCTATTCTCTGACAGGTCTTCATCGATCTAATCCATGTAAGTATCTCAACGTTACTCCTTTGCACAAAGCAATTGGAACCAAACTTACTTCGTCCAGGATGTCAGTAATTCGGTCCCCGTCTTCGGTGCTTATACGGTCTCTTAGCTCCTTAAGAAACTCCGTTAATTGGTGGCATTGCTCGGTGACGCTATAATCGTCAGCAGTGTGAAAGTGTTTAGATTGAAGACTGGACAGACATTTTCAAACGGTCTTTGCGAGGCAGGATATAAACGCACTCGCGATTCGTCGTCGCGCAATGCTTACATCTTGGCTTCTCGCCGGTGCATTTGATCTTGTGGGAGCGACACTAAATGTACCGCCGTCAGAACTCATACCAAATCAGAATGGCACCAGCCTATCGGATGATGAAGATGTCTGGTGATACCAGAAGGTGTGTAACATCGGGCACCAATCGCTGCCGTCAAACACCTACGCACGATTCAGACTTACGCCAGTACAGGCCCGCGGAACTCGACATCTGTCTTTTTGTCCACCTTGCCTTTGTTCACCTCTCTGCAATCGTGGAATTGCAACTTTCCCTTGCCCAAACGACGAGGTTACATAGCTCGTTTGATGGTGATGCTCGGGAGCGTTCGATGCCATGATTCAAGGCAATGTACCGTGGATCAACGTGGGATGGTTGTTCAAAAGACCAAACGTTGGTACAAAACAAACGAAAACGACGCGGCAATAGAACAAAAATTCCGAGAACCCCGGATTTTGGCGGCTACCCGAAATCGACTTCAATCGCATGCGGCTTCGATTAGCGAACACCATCAACTCAAGCTCGGGCATTGGAGACTATCTACGTGAGGCTGTTGATTCTTGGGGTGGACACACATGGCCCTGGTTCCTGCTGGAGGTCTATTGAGCTAGAGTTTGTGGTTCTTGACGTTCCATTTGGAGATTCCGTCGGGATACTTCACCGTGGCCAATAATTGCAATGGCTGTAGCCCTGGCCCCGGTCCCTACACCTCATCATCAAGGATCATTGTGGATTTTGTCAAGCCTTTCCCCTTATAATGCTGATGGAAGACCGTGTGTCCGACTGGTATGGTTTCGACATCGAAGATTTGCCACTGACAGATTCAAGACGCTGGCTTCCAGCCCAATAAGACACTGTGCAGCTGCCTGTTGGCCAGGGTATCTAAGTAGGACTCTGCCTCTCTTAGCGCTGCGGCCGGATCCTTTGGTATGCGGCAGCCAACTTCTACTGTACCGGTATCGCCACGGGCCAGGATTCCCCCCAACCATGGAAAGTAGATCGACATGCGGATTCTATTACTGCATGTCGCCATACATGCACTTCGTCATTGCAGGTACAACTAAAGCAGGAGCCAAGAGAACATCCCGGATAGGACAAGAGTACCAGCTGGACCACGTAATGCTTGCTCAGGAATGGTGGGGGCACACGATCCGTACACTCGTGGTTCTTAGCTAGTATTTTCCGGCCCTGTAACACAATCGGACGTGTCAGTGGTGTTGCGGGGCACACTGACTCGACATACACGACCGTGACAGCACCCTTCTTGCTTTGAGTCTGGAACACCTCGACGAATTGAAGGATGTTTCGGCATTACGGCACGGTGACATAAGACAACATCAAAATGAATTGCTACTTATGCCGACAGTTAATCGTTTAGTCCGGTTGTCACTCTTTAATCGAACCAACTAGCGAGCCCACTTAGTGTGGCGAATGTCGATCTAGGACACATCTTTCTTCACATCCCGTTGTAATGTCCTGGAAATTCGTATCGAGAAAACATACCAGCGAAGATGAAGCCGGACCTTTCAATCCAAAGCTTCGAGTGAGGAAAGCCTATTGGCATCCACGCGTTGCGGCAAGTAATTGCTGTTTTGCTCGCGTGGCGGAACAAGTATAGTACTGATCTGACTCGAGGCCTGCATCTTGAATGAATCAAACCTTATGAAATCCGATGTCGATGCATGGCGTTGAGCGACCGCAATAACGCCAGCCAATCGTAGATTCACCATCAGCCTTGCACGTGGGGTTTGTCACCAAAGACCCGCATGCCCGTTATGATTGCGACGCATTGCCAAATGAGGACTCGTGTCTTGCTCTAGAAGATTAACGTACGATCTCAGCAATGCGATTGCCTTGTTCCCTGTGCCGCTGTGTCGGCTAGAAAATCTTTTGGCGTTCCTATGCGCTTTTGCAGGGTGTTGCTACGTACGCAAGGCGGTAATCTTGGTAACTAGAACTTTACGACGATCCAAGCGCGCATGCGCTAATTAGAAGACGCCTGGCTGTAGCTCCGCTTAACTTCGACTCGCGCCAATGTACAATACGGTGCGGTAGATACGGTAAACTTGGCTAGTAATCCCGCACTATTACAAAAAGAATACGATAAGACCTCAATCATGCATCGCAGAATCCTGCTCTAGCCAACGTCGATCTGATTACAGAGATGTAGATCTTCAAACTACAATTTAGGTATAGCTAGTCGTGTCCGGGATCCGGCTCTCAAAGTTTGGATGACACTAGCTAGGCGGCAGCCTCGAACACACATCCGCTCTTCCTTCCGCGCGGTAACTAATCTACGACCATAGTCTTCACACACTGCCATACATGATCGCATGCAAGTTTCTGTATAGATCCTTATGCGATTCTCGGCCCGTTGATCCTTAGGCTACGCTCCGTCTCGTTCCTTCGTGTTCACTGCCGCCATTTGCCTGACCTGCAACGGGTACTGGAGGTATGCATCATACGATGCTCAGTATTGCCAGGTATGAGCCTGCGAACGAGTCAAGAGAAAAACGAGCACTGTAATCACGTCACCGGACACTTCCCGTTTTCAGTTGCTTGGTACATATTTGGTGGCGCCCTCCCCGCAATTTCTCTGTCAAACAGTGCTCGCGATTCAGAATCTCCCATCGTTTTTAGCCGCACCGAAGAAGCTTTCGAGAAAAGATTCCTCGCGTCGACCCTTATGGGCAAAGATCTGGCATTTCTACACCATCTATTTGGAATCTATTCGGAATCCTTGGGTTCGGATTCTTAGCCTCAGCTGGGAATAGCGTACTAGGGTTGAGATGCAACCACCATATTGTTCAAGGCGTGCAGTTGATGTTAGTCTCTATTGAGCCCGCTACCGACACTAGTATGCAGCTCACAATATGCTTGCGGCAGTCTAATGATGCGATGTCTCCGCGGAAAGTTGGCAATGTTACAGCCTCTACGAGAACACGATGAAATTTCAGATTCCTGCACCACATGACGATGATTTACTCCTGCCAGTCCAAGAACATAGCATGATACAGTAGCAGTCGCGAGTGTACGAAAGTACTTATGGCCCCCACTTCACATTCTTCAGTTTGAGCTTCATGCCATTCCTTGGCTTGCTAGTGATCGTGCCGCCCAGGACAAGCCTCTCTTTAGGGTCTGCCATATCCATTTCGAAGCTACCCACGAAAACCGCAACAAGCGCCCTCATCTCGGCCCGCGCAAACCTCTCTCCAATACAACCTCTCGGTCCATGAAGAAACGTCAAGAAACTGTAGTTGCTCCCTGCCCCACCGTTCATCGTCGCGCGACCAGTTTTCGTGTCCATCCAGCGTTCAGGCACGAAATCTTCAGCGTCTGGTCCCCACAGATTCAGATTTCGGTTTATCGCCCATGGGACAATCCAGAGCATGGTGCCGCTGGGTATGACTTGGCCGCAGACTGTCGTGTCCCTAATGGCGACGCGTGATGTGAGGGGTACCGGAGGGAAGAGTCGCAGGACTTCGTTGCAGACACAGTTGAGATAAGGCATGCTTTCCAAAAGCCTGGCGACATCGAAGTTAGGGTCTGCGAGAATTTCCGGATTGGGAATATAATCATGGATTTCGGAGCGGAGGCGAGCTTGAATCGTTGGGTGTTGGGCAAGCAGGTAGGAGGCCCAGGTCAGTGCAGAGGATGTAGTTTCGTGACTGTCTTGGTTAGCTTTACGTCAGAGCAAACTTGAACTTGGAGGTACTAACCCTGCTGCTATGAAGGTAAGAAGTTGATCCACAAGGTTCTTGTCCGACTGGTCGTTGCTGCGTATCATGATGGACAAGATATCGCGACTCTCCAGACTCTCAGCCTTCTCACAATCCATACTCGCCTTTCTTTCTGCCAAAAACTCTGAACATATCCTTCGCAGATTCCCTGTTGTAACCCGGACCCTCTCATTCAGTTTCCATGGCAACTTGCTCACCAACCATGGTGGTAGGATGACATTGGCAAGATAGTACCGTACTTTCTCCGCTGTCGGCTCAAGAATCTCCTGGTAGTTCTTTGCCAGCTCGTCGTCCTTGTTCTGCAAAGAGCCAATATCTCGGCCCATTCCCGCAAGACCAATGATGTCCAGCGTAACCCGGGTGGCATAATAACAGATATCCAGTACACCATCCGATTGCGCACGAAGATCCTTCTTCACTACGGCGCAGAATTCTATCGATTTCCCCCAAAATACTGGATATAGCTCCTTGATATGTCGGAAATGGAATGCAGGCATGATCTTCTTCCGCTGCCACATATGGTCTTCTCCTTCGCTCATCAACAATCCCTCCCCCAGGAACTTCTTCACAAAGTCACTCCCAAGGCGTGGTTTCTCGAAATCATAGCTCTTGTGCACTAGGGCATCTGCTAGCGCCGCCGGCGTTGTCAGAAGGAGTTTTGTAGTATGCAGAAATCCCCGCCTGAGAATGATACCGTCGTTAGGTACCGATTTCATCATTTCAACTTGCCAGTCCCGGCCTAGCTGGCGCTTCTTCAAGAACAATCGCCCATGACCGAAGAGTGGTATGAAACCTCCGGGCTGCGGCAGGTTGCACAGCGGGCTGAGGAAGAAAGGGTAAAGGAACCAGTTGTAAAATATGAGGACAGTATTGTGAAGAATAGTGGGGATGAGCCAGTAGGTTTTCAGAGAGGTGTCGGGTAGAATATGGGCAAATAGAAGATAGGCTGTGATCGCTTCAAGAGCTGGGAAGATAAGACAATTTGCGAAGTTGAACTCCATGGTTGCGTTTTTATGCAGTACACACCACAGAGGGAGGAAAGGATTACAGTATACTTATAGGCCAAGAAAGATCGCAGACCTTCAATGGAACTTACTCTTTTTTTCACTCTAAGTTACTTTCCACAATGTCAATCACTAGAATCCTACGACCACCTAGCCGGTTAACGTAATGGCACGCCTAGACCTTCTTCATGATGCTTCTTACTAGCTATGCGCCGGGCGCTGCAATGGGACCGGAGTCATCGCTATTCCGGCTGACCACAAACATCAATGTTTATTGCGGTGCAGTCGTTCTTAGGTGCGGAAGCATGCGGCCACCCAATTAGCCGTGTTGGTGTCACAACCTCCTCGGCCTCAGCCGAGAAGTTCGCATCGTTGCTGTGCAGTCATCGAACATGTGTGGTATTTCGAGTCGCAGTACTTCATTATCGAGGCTTAGATATAGACTAACTATCGAATAGCAAGTTGAGCATATTTCGCTTCACAGTCCGTGACGCCTATTGCTACTCCATGCTTTCATTCCGTCGCAAATCACCGCCCTTCTCCATCAACTTGACCTTCTCTTCATCACCCACCAGCTTTTCCGCCAAACTATCCTTATCAGTCTGCGGATCCAAGCCAGCACACCGAAGCACAAAACCACCAATGAGCTGCTCCGCTTCAAGAGAATTCCTCGTCAACGCGTGATCATCTCGATCAAAGAGCTTCAACTCCCTGTCACCCTTTGTGCCATACATACTATACAGTCTCTCCGAGCACGAAGGACTCAGCGTCCGATCACCCGTACCATGAAGTAGTAAAAGTGGTCTCGGCGCAAGCGACCGTACACCCTCCGTCTCTGCTGTTTGACTGGCGACAGTCGCACATCCGACTACTCTTTTATCTTGTCCACCGACCGTAAATACTGGAGCTCCGCCGAAAGACCATCCTACCAACACGAACTTTTCGATCTGGTAAGACTCTTCCAATTCTTTCATGGCGGCCAGAACATCTCTCACGCAGTATTTGTTGCGTGCTGGATACCTGTAGTCGAGTCGCAACGCTGGCACGGGTTGCTTGAGCGAAGCCAACTTGTCTGCTAGGGAGAGGTAGATTGATGATGGTCCTACAACCCCTCCTCCGGCGCCAGAAATGAGTATAGCCGCTGTCTTGGATGCTGGTGTGGCTGATGCCGTGGGTGGTAGATGGAGGAACCCTGGTACAGAGCCATCGGGTCCATCTTCTACTTCTATTGATATGGGTTTGACAATACATGGCTTCTGTGCGTGGGGTGGATGCGATAGGCCTAGGTAGTCATTTAGACGCGCCGGTCTCGACGGGGTGGATGGGCGCGAAGTGGCGGATAGTGAAGTCCCGGGAGGTGACATGTTGCGCGTCAAAGTGTCGATGTGACTCAGAAATCGTTTCATGAAAGAGAAAATAGATGACTGAGATGTTGTGAATCAATCAAGCCTCCCTGCTTGAGTATAGTGTATTGTTCGCCACTTGCCATCTGTTGCCTCATGCTTCGTTAGGTATGATGTCACATCAACGGATTATGATCCTTCAGGCAACCTTGATCCAATCGGTTGTGCCTCCCCAAGGAGTCACTTATTGAATGCCATGTTCCTGAGAAAAGAAGAGGAATTGTGAGAGGATGTAGGCTAAGCCAGGTCTGCCCAGGTGCACTAGCCCATTCGTCACCCACGTGGACTGTAATGCGATGGATGACAGCGAACCACGACCACATCACAATGCGCCTGCACACAACAAATGCGCAATATCGCGGTGTACATTCGCACGGAAGAACACAACAAGAGAATTGGGAGTGATACAAAGGACTACGATTACGTCTTATGCTATAGTACTAATGTAGCATTGCTAGTCGGCCAACTGGTCAACCTCCGTCATACGCCATGTCATGCTCAGCCATGAGCTATCTTATCCCAAACGCCACTTGCTCTGAACGTGCAATGAATTGAACGCCGGTTTGGCCACATCACTCATAAAAACGACCTGGATACCCAAGTCTTACCGAGTTGCGCCCCCGTGCCCACCTTCATGCCCTAATACCTCTATTCCAACGTCAACTTTTCCGTGGTCTCTAACACTAGAGTCTCGGTACCCGATTCAGAGTCATCTGTACGGTGGTTTCCTATGTCCTCACTACCCGCTCTACTTCTTGATGGATGTTGGGCAATAACGGGCGAATCTGCCCCATCCGAGAAATTGCCGACGCTACTCTCGCGTACCCGTTGTGCAACGCTGGCTGCGATCTTCTCATCCAGCATGTTTACCAGTCGTTCCGAATACTGATCCAGCAGCTTGACCATGACCGTCTCCTCAAAGGCCTTAGTTTTTACCCTGTCTCCAATCGCTCTAGCGGTAGCGGCAAGCTCCCTCTCAACCTCTTTTGCAAGTTCCGGGCTCATGGTATCGCTGGTGTTTGCAAGACGTTTCCTGTAGGCTCGGAGTGTTCTGCATAGACTCTCTGTAGACGCTCCTATGCTGCCAAATTCATTGACAGGGGCTTTTGCGCGGTTCTTAGCGTCCATTGATGGGCGGCGCTTACCGAGCTGCGGGTTTCTGGGACTGGGTGGCGATGGGGAGCGATTCTTGTTTCTGCGTCCTGTGCCTTGCCCTTGCCATGCTGTTATTCGGCCTTCGCGTGCACTGCTGGTCATAGGCGACGGTTCAAGTTTCGGCGTTGGGGCCAAGGAGAATTTCGATACTTTTTTGCGCAACTTTGGTGATTTGCTGCCGCTGGGTGGTGGTGTTTCTTCCACCGGTGAGCGTTGAAAACGGGCCATTTCAGACTGCGAGAGTACGCGCCGCAGTGGTGGCTTATTGGACAGCAAATCCTGGTTGGAAGGCGTATTTGGGGCGAGCAAATCCATGGACTTTGATATGTCGTGACGATTAGGTGCTTGTAGAGCCAGAGCCCATGCAAATATGGTTCCGTCTACAGCGACTGTGACTAACGACTTCTCGCCCAGCTCTTCGCTCACGTGCCCAGGTGCCTCCACGAGCGCGATATCAGAAACGCCCTCTGTATGACCCCAGTCACGAGCGACCAAAGAGCCGCTTTCATCGTAGACGCGTATCGACTTGTCGGTACTTGACACACCAGCTATCAATGGAGCACCCCAGTTGCGTGGTATGTGGACCAAAGAAGACAAGACGACGGCATCTCCACCATCAGTGTCGCATGCACGGAAGTTGCTGAGACATTGACCCGTGCGTATGTCAAATTTGTGTACCTGACGATCGATAGTTGACACGAGAAGGACGTCGTCCTGGTCAACGTCCCAAGCCGACGACACCGGTGTTGCTTTTAGCATGATAGCTCGTGACATTACAAAGGCGCGGGTCGTTCCACGATCGTCCTCGAGAGACAACAGTTCGCGAACCACTAGACTTCGGTCGCTCGAAGACGACACTAGACGCGTGCCGTTTCGGGAGAAAGAGACTCTGTTTACTGCTCCTACATGCTCGTCCAGAGTTTGTAGCAGATCCCAGGTTCCTTCAATTTGTGTGAACACTTGAACTGTACGATCTCGGCTGGCACACGCAACGAAGGTTATGTGCGACTCCTCGTGTATGGCAATGCTGGTGATTTCACTTGCATGTGCTTTAAACTCTAATGTGCAGGTTTTCGTGTTGCAATCGATGAATCGTAGAACGCCGTACTTGTCTCCTGCAACGAGGAAAGCTCCATCAGCGGAGGCACGGACAGTCCTCAGCTCATTGGGAACGGCATCAGGATCGTCCAGCTGCTCAAGCTGTACTTGAAGAGAACCTTTACATGACCCTTGGCTCCAGAAGATGACTGTGCCGTCGGCAGCCCATGTGTAGTATGACGCCTCGAACACGTTCGGTTGCGCAAGACCGGCGTGCACTCCTAGTACAGCGTTTCCATGTGCAGGTAATGTGTGAACGACATTGCCCACGGCGCCTTCATCATCATCGGAACACAGTCTTGATAACCGAATAGCTCGATGGGTGTCGACAGTGATGAGGTAGTCTTTGAGACAGGCTATCACACCGATTTGATTGCATTCCGTCACCGAGATTGAGGGTGATTCAACGCGCGGTGGAGGCGAGGGCGGAGGAGTCAATCTTCCAATCATCTCCTCTATGTTGAAAGTCTTGAGCGCTCCTTCACTACCAGCGATGTGGAGTCGCCCTTTGACGTCGACGGCTAGAGAGCTTACAGCAAAGCCGGCGTCAACTAGTCTCGAGAAGCGGTGATTGGATTCGGTATCGTCAATGAGGCATATGTCCCCCTTGTCAGAAGCCACGATGGCCTTGTTTCGGCCTATAGCGACCACGCTTGTGAATGTAGACTCTTTCAGGCTCTCCAGGATGCAATTCCTTCCTGGTAAGGTCTTGTGTGTGGAACCTGAGAGAAACGAGACATCGCTCTGACGCGCCTTGGAGATGCGCATTGTCGCGTTGAGGTCGTCAATCTTCCAAACTTTGACATGTCGGACACCGACAGTTACCAACTTGTTTCCCATCCATGCCATTCGGTTGATGTGGCTGACGCACTTGTTGCTAGCATGCAGCGTGGCAGCCCCGGTGCGGGAGTTGATGTGCCATATGTATAAGAAGCCATCGTTGGCTGAGCCCAAGCTAGCAAGAAAGCGGGAATCGGGGCTGAACGCCACGCAGTTGACGCCGAAAGTGTGATCCGAGAGGGAGGTGAGTGGTGTATCTGAGGCAGCGTCTAAAGAGGCAGAGAAGATGAGTACGCGAGGTTTGTAACCCGTCTGAAATAAGTTAGGATGATACAGCATGGACTGGATGTATATCTCACCTCTCCAACGGCAAAGAATTTCCCGTCAGGACTAAAGCTAACACAGGTTGCCGCCTTGATCTTGTCTTTGGTACCCCAGGCTCTATTGCTCGGCGAATCTGCCCAGTCGTGAGCACTCGGAGACGGGAGTGGGGAGCCCGCGAAGCCAGCGTCGCGCAAAGAGACGGCTGTGCGATTGCGGCTCTCGTTCTGGGTAGGCGTCGAGGGTCCGCCATATATGGATGCCGAAGGATTGATGGGGTTCGTAGTAGGTCGTGCGCGGTAGAAACGCTGCGTGACATGCCCTTGGTCGTCTATGCACGCAATGACGGCGGCAGCACCTGCTGTGTAGCCAAAGGAACTCCCCAATGACAGGCTGTCGAAGGCATTGGCGGAATTGGTCGTGGTACCGATGACTTGACGCAATGCGAGACTGGCTTCGGCGCGTCCAGCCTTGACGGGGGAGCGCGGGGTTGTCTTGAAGAATGGAGATGGAGAGGGATTGAGCTTGATGCCGGAGCCGATGGCTTGGCTCATCATCCGGGGATTGGAGGGCGTAAGCGACATCGCGGCCTCCAGGTCAGTGGTAGAGGAGGTTTGCGATGGCTAGCAGACATCTCAGAAAGACGTCATGGCACTAGGCGCGCCTGCTTGTTCGGACGAGGTAAAAAGAATATCGCGTGGTTGGTGAGGGAATCTTTGGCACGCAACTACTGCGACTACGGAAAGGCGACCCGGCAGCTATCGAAAACAGACGTGAGTGAGCGATTGAGCAGAGAACATACGTCCCTAGGTGGTGAGGGTCAGGGAACAAAGGGCCGGCAGCTGGAGCGGTCGTGCATCAGACGGGCGACGCGCATGTGAGGGTGAATTGGCGCAACGGGGCATTTGTTTGGGCGGTCACGACACGCAAGGAAGCGACGATCTACAGCGCCTGGAACAGGCGGAGTACAGCTCGCTAAACCCTATCACCATGCATCATCACAATCTCATCACCTATCACCAGCCACATCAATTTCCGCAAGGCTCTCCTGTCGCGTTTACGACTTTTACAGTTTGACGACATCGCAAGAGACTCTGATATGCAGGGCATCAAGCATCATCGGCGCAGGTGTCCGCCTGCGGTACGGCCCACACATGCATCTCCTGGCTAGTATATATGCGCGCCAGATCAGCTCCTGCACCGAGTGTCGCGACGTGGCAGAGCACACGTATACAGATTCCTGGTCAACATCAACCCTGCGTAGCAACAGAGGGGGTTGTGGAGATCAAACCTTCTAGTGTCCACACGCGGGCGATGGAGTGGAGTGTGTCGTGGGAGGTGAGCATATAAACAGTGGGGCAAAAACATGTACATGTCTTATTGTGGACCATATTTCAATCTACGCTATCATGACAAGAGTAGGACAATACGACAAGCACAGGTTGAGCCCACTATGCAACTACAACAGTCTTTCCAACACAGACATGGTTGCTGACTTGTTCCCCAACTCGCACCCTATCTCCCCAATTCTCGGATTAGCGGACTAGCTTCCATCCATTTCTCTTCGCATCCAACCTCCGGACATTCAGAAGACACAACAGCGAAAACGTCAACAACGCTCCGGTGTAAATAATGAGTCTCATGAAGTCTTCTCCCTGCAAGTCTTCGCCAGCGACTCTAGACACCAACGCACCGGCAATAGGTGTGCCAATAACAAAGCCGATTCCGCGTATACTAATCGTCGCCCCACTTTTAGGATAATACATTTCGGCCCCAAACAGCGTCTTCTGCGCGGAATTCATAACGGTGTTGAATACGCCGCTGCTTAGTCCATAGCATATATTCATACCAATGTACAGTCCCATGTTGCTCATCATTGCGGAAGACAGCCAAAGCGCCCACGTTGCAATGGCGTATACCCCAGTTGCAAGTATGAGGATATTCAAATGCCCAATCATATCTGAGAGCCAGCCGGTGCATAGTCTTCCTGGAACTCCAACTCCGGAGTTAATGGCCAAAAGATATGATCCATGGGTGATGCTGGCCCCTATCGACTGGGCAAACTCAGATCCAAATGCCGTGGGGATCGCCAGCGTCAACGACATGATCATATTTACAATTGCGAGAGAAGTAAAAAGTGGATCCTGGAAGACCCTCCAACTGACGATATCCGTAGACCGCCTTTCGAATTTTCGTGGTGGGAGGGCGAGCGCACTTGAAATGGACAAGATTACAAAGCTGAACATGGAGAGGAGTCCCAACGTCCACCGGATACCAAGTGTTTCGAGCAGTGCCGTTAGTACGAATACCCATACCACACCCCCCAGACCGCCGCATGCGAACATGACTCCCTGTGCGAGTCCGCTTCGCTGTGGGAAATACTCGGGTAGTATGGGCGCAAGAACATAATTCAGGATACCGGCTCCGAGACCGACCAGAACCCCTTGGCAGCCAACAAGAGTTGCTAACTGTACTATTGTAAGCAAACGTCACGATAGCAGTTGGGAACTATTCCTCACACTGTGGCTTCCTGCAGCAGCCGCAAAGCCAATCGTGATGAAAGCAGTGCCTAGTCCACACAAATATCTGACATGACCTCCCAATTTGGGTAAGTGTGGATAGTAAAGTACTCCAAAGGCGGCGAAGAGCCCACCATTTCCCAACGAGCCTATGGCCGATATCAACGGGCGCTGGGACAGCTCGCTTTGACGGAAGACGCCCTCCAGAGTAGACGATTGCCGTCCGTAGTATGCTTGGAACACGCCGAAAGACTGGTTAAAGCCTATTATCGTAAAGGCCATGAGGCAAGTTGAAGCCAGGGTTCTGTATTGCTGCGTTGGAGTTACAAGATCACCAGCGTTTTCAGATTTGGTGTCGATAGATGAACTGGGCGTTCTGGGGTGTGACTTCTCGTTGAGCGAGGACTGGACTTTACCGACTGTCATCGAACTCAACTCATGTCCATAAGGTAGTAGGGATTCGCAAGTCCTACCGGCTTGTTCGATATCGGAAACGTTCATATTTCTTATTGCAGTAACAGAATTTTGAGTGTTGGAGGAACGAGCGTGAATGCGTACTATGCCGCCGATTAAAGGCTTTACGTTGGAGCATCTCTTTCCATGTTCCTATCCGTCGCGAGAGTTCCATAGGCAACATCATGTACGAACTACGGTTCTGCTTGATGTTGGATTTTCCATCTGCTATCGATCCGTGGTACTGGCCGAAGTCATCTCCTGGAATCAGGCGTTTACCCACCTATCGCGAACTCGGCCTTTCCAAAACTTGCCAACGATAAACTGCAAGGGCAAGTTCAGGCCCTGAGACATCCGGTTGGGGTGGTGCGGCGGAGTCAAGTCCTGATCCAAAGCATCCCAGGTACGTTGAGAAACCATAGGCACTGCATCGAACAGCATGCAGTGCAGACCCACATGTTTCATTGTTATAGCCAAACTGTCACGATGTTCCATCACCACAGGATTCCAGCCACAGACTGGTGAGCCACCGGGAACCCTTCGGGGCACCGTCGGATCACACCAGCCACAATCACGTGACGTAGGTATATATCATCCCTCTGAGAGGCTTGATAGCTCCTCAAGGATTCGTCTCAATACAAGCCTATACCGATATCTCAGTGCCTGCCCAACTACTCCTCACACAAACTCTACAGGATGTTGAGTGGCACGAGAAAAGGGTATCAGAACGCTGCATGGTGTTGAAGGTCAGACTCATCGCATCTTTCTAGCGTTGATGTCGACTTGCAGAGCTCTAAGTGGGTTACCAAACTGTGTGGTCAATAAGAGACGTTCCATTGCCAGGCTCATACTGTTAGCGCAGCCATAAAACTACATCTACCATCGTAATCGTTCTAGACCTACGCGACACACTGCGTCGCTCGCATTCGCAAACTCGTATATCTTGATGTTGCTGTCCGTGTGCGCATGTCAGTTGTATCGGCTACGTCATTGGCTGCCAATCTGGGCGCGATGTTTGTATGCACTGTTTCTGCACCAGAGGAGCCTTGAATCGGTAACGAAATTTGGTGCAGAGGGGAATCATATAGCAATCGCGACCTCGTTGATCGCGAAGTGTTGTGGTAGAGGTATACTCGTAGGGCGGGAATAGCCGGCGCATGTGCTTGGCCGTGGACCCTTGCTTAGGGAATATGGAAGAAAGTTGACGATAGTTTATCGCCATCATGCCCAGCGCATCGCTTCAAGCCCACCACAGCCTACAACACCCCCTGTAGGCTCCCTCTCTCCCCAATTCTTGGGAGCGCCTTAGACGTCCGTATGTACGTGATTCGATCCGCACTGCGAGTGTCTACGAAACGACCTCCAGCGCGCTTTATCCGCGGCCGCCGCTACCCATCCATACCACGATTACGAGCATTCCATACCACACGCACCCTCGCACAAGCCTCTGATCCACCGCCCGCACCCAACAGCACACCCGCCGACCAAGATGACGTCAACAAGACAGACGGAGACAAGGCGGCAGCAGGCGAGGAACCAGCAGACAGCACGGTAGCATCAGAAGACCCCGAGGTCCTCGCACAGAAACTCCAGCGGTCGCGGGAATCCTCACGCAGGTACTCGGCTGCCTTGCGACGCCAACAGCGGGGGAAGAAGACACAAGGGCTGCCGCCTGTACACATACCAGACTGGTTCTTGAAGAAGAGGGTACTACGCCGCGAAGACCTCTCCAGAGACCCACAATTACCCAAAGCGCCCACGGTTCTGTCTGTAGCAGTGACTCATGCTGAGTCCGGAGAGCATGCCGCATGCACTATACCCGCTCGACGCGACTCAGACGCTACCCAGATCCTGTCGCGGCTAGTGCGTGGCCTGTGGAGCAGGCGTCTGGACGACCATGAGAAGCTCAAGGTTGAGAAGTACCTAGAAGAGAGGATTGCACCGGTCGATCACGCGGAAACCCACCAGTCACAATTGCGAAACGACGAGGCAGTTGCCAGCACCGAAGCAGGACGCCCTGGCGACGTCCCCATAGCCACAATCACAGAAGACAGTGCCTTCATGGAAGCTTGGTCTAAACTGAGCAAGTTGCAGAACGATACAGACATGGACCCGCGCAAGAAGATTGAGGCAATGAGGAAACAGAGTGCCAAGCTAGGCATGGCTGCTAGAAAGAGGGAAATCGCTAAGACCCGGCAGATGGGCAGCTCCAGACGCCTATCGTCCTTGGTCATCGCTGAGATTCGCGCCACTATCGCTGCATCTCTTTCCTCGTTACAGCCAGCAGCTGGCGACTCGTTTCCTGCTGCGAAGACGAACCTCATACTTCATTCGCCAACCGTCGAGCACGAGGCGTCAATAGATGAATGCGTAACATCTACTGCTTTTGAATTAGGATCCGACGTCATCGTCCTGAGTGCTCAAGACCTCGCTCATTTAGCTGGGGATTACCTTGGCGAAGGAGCAGAACCATCGTCACGTTCGATTCGCTCGCTGGGCTATGAGACATATCGAATGAACGCGGACTTGAGCGATCTCATGAGGGACATAGAGGACTCTGTCGCTGAAGACGAGGCCGATTGGACTCCATCATCGTCTACGGACCAGTCTGATCCCAACTCAACACGCCCTCGTGCTATGCCCCTCTCCATCATCGCTCTCACACCTGCCCTGCGCGCTATGACTCAAAACTTTAAGGGTTTCCGAATCCCAGAAGGCCAATTTGGTACTTCTACTGATACGCTAACCGACGAATCTGGGCGCAGTCAAAATCCTGGGGATGTTCAACTCGAGGATTTGAAATTAGCCACTCTTTTAGATGCGTTGATTGACTCGAGCGACGCAAAGCAAAGTCGTGGCATCGTCGGTGATAGCAGCTTACCTCTTCGCTCCTCTGATGAACCCCCAACGTCGTCAAAGACTCCTGCATTTTTCGATTACTCCCTGGCCCAAGAAGGTGCTGAGCTTGAACTCAACTCCACATTACCAGCTGCCGCAAGGCCCGACATCAATATGGCTGTCAAAATTGGCTCAGCCTCAGACACGCTCGACGTCCCGACTAAATCTAAGATCATCTACGTCAAGGATTTCAAACAACTGAATGCTACACACTATGGTGGCCGCATCATTCAGAAGCTTGAGGAGCTTGTTCGCAAGCGCCGTAATGCTGGAGAAAGTGTCATGATCGTAGGAAGCACTTGTTCACGCGATCTAACGTATGAAGTATCATACGGGTATGGGGTCCCCAAAATCTTGAAATGACTGAGCTAACCAACCGCAGCGGGGTTCGCGCTCTCCAGGCCGAAGGCGAGAGCACTTTCTTCAGGACCATTGTCATTGCATCAGAGTCTGGAAACAGTAACACACCGAACTTTGATGAAGCCATTGCATCATTGGGGAGCAGCTCTGCGTCCTCTGCTGATGTCTCACCAGCGGAGAAGAGTAAATTTCGACGCATCAATCTATACCACATCCAAGATATGCTTCGCTCACTAGATCCATCTGCAGCTGCCACGATCTCGGATCTGGAGCAAAGTCCTACACGATTTAGCGAATGGGCTCCTGTATTCTCCGAGTCACACTTTAACCGTGTGCTGACATACGATGAGGTACATAGAGTAGCGTTGACAGCTCTTGGTCTGCTCATCACAAGCCCGACAAGTGAGGCTGCAGCCTCTGGAGGTGCACCAGCGCAACTAAGTTGGGCACACGTTGCCCTTGCGATGGGCCTGTTAAAAGCGAGTGACACTGTCAAATACACCTATTTCGATAAAACTTTACCGGCCCCGAAGCGCTCCAAGAATGCTTTCAGCAATGTGGAGGGAGACTTTCAAGCAGACCTGGGCAGAAAACGTCCCGACGAGAAAAGCATAAAGCGTCAACAGAATCTACAGCGCATAGCTTCTACAGCTAGCAAACACGAAAAGCGACTAATGCCGGGTATTGCGGATCCGGATCAGATCAAAACGACATTCGATCAAGTTCACGTACCTACGGAGACAGTTGATTCGATACGGACCATTACCTCGTTATCACTATTGCGTCCTGAGGCTTTCAGCTATGGTATCCTAGCGACAGAGAAGATATCTGGTGCACTATTATACGGACCTCCAGGTACAGGGAAAACGCTTCTTGCCAAGGCTGTGGCAAAGGAGAGCGGCAGTACTGTGCTCGAAGTGTCTGGAAGCCAAATTATGGACAAGTACGTGGGTGAAGGCGAGAAGAATGTAGCGGCCATCTTTTCCCTTGCACGAAAACTGTCACCATGTATTGTGTTTCTCGACGAAGCAGATGCCGTCTTCGCCTCCCGAGATGCGATGCGGGAACGAACGTCACATCGCGACATACTGAACCAATTCTTGAAGGAATGGGATGGCCTCAATGACCTATCCGTGTTCGTTATGGTAGCTACGAACCGACCTTTCGATCTGGACGACGCCGTCATCCGCCGATTGCCGAGGCGATTGTTGGTAGATTTGCCCACTCAAGCCGACCGGAAAGAGATCTTGCGCATACACCTCAAGGGTGAACAACTGGACGAATCTGTCGACCTAGCAGATATCGCCAAACGCACGCCTTTCTACAGTGGAAGTGATCTCAAGAACATCGCTGTGTCTGCAGCTCTTGCTTGTGTGAAGGAAGAGAATGAACAAGCTGCTATTGCCGCTGCAAAAGCTGCCGCGGAGTCCGAGCCTACGCCTTCTATTGATGCTGAGCCTACATCGGAATCTCCGGCCACCTCCACGACCACCACATCGACCCAACAGCCTTCCTCGCTACCGAAAGTCCCACACCTCGTCCGCGGCCAAGATTATACTTTCCCCGAAAAGCGTACCCTCCATGCACGACACTTTGACAAAGCGCTCCAGGAGATTAGCGCCAGTATCAGCGAAGACATGAGCAGTCTGAGTGCCATCAAAAAATTTGACGAGCAGTATGGTGATCGCAAGGGTAACAAGCGGAGAAAGGACTTTGGTTTTGGTATGGTCGCCGAAAGGAACGAGAGTGCAGCGAGAGTGAGAATATAGAAGCGGCCAGTGGAAACATGGTAGAGGTGAGATGAGACTATGCGTGTATATCTGTACGACTAGACATTGGATATGAGGAATGAGTATATACCAAAGTGGTGGCTGTGTTACCTCAGAAACATGTGCTCTTTGTAAACTTGTACCATGACTGGAGGTAGTTTTTAGTGGGGTCGACCAATCACATTATGACTTGACCCATGGTATGAGTACATCGGTTTCCACGCAGGATTCACATCTGAAGGGGTCAGGTATAAAAGACACCGCCGACGCTTCATCTACTCTACCAACTACCATCCTAATCCCCGTCCCCAGAAGAATTTGCAGCATATCCCTATGTTCAACGCAAGCAAAGCGTTATGAGCCCCATAGGATACACTATCAACAAATCCAATCTACCCCCTGCTCTCTTCTGCGACACCAAAACACGACTCGGCCATTCACATCTGCGAATCAAATCAACGACTACGAGTCCATCTAGGATATACTATCACCATGTCTACTTTTGCGCGTATAGCGCATGCCCCTAACCGCAACCGTATTTCAGTCAGAACTGTCAACGCTTTGGCGCAGTTGGAGTATCCTTCACCCACGACCACAATCACCACCACCACCACTACTAGGTCATCGTCATCATCATCGTCATTGCCGACTTCATCTTCCGATAATGCGATTACTGAAGATTCAATCTATTGCTCTCAAGGAATCAAAGACAAAGACAGCGAGAAACAGACATATGGGAGATTCGCCCGAGTCACATGGTTATTCGGCTGGGTGGCTTACGCGATGGCAAAAGATCCTCGGGCCAGAAGGACGTTCGACGAGGACAATAACGAAGAGATTTACGACAATATTGTGTAAAGATGACTACAAGGCGTTGTAATAGCACGAACATGAAAGCTGGTCATTGAGCGGAGTAAAGGCGCGATTTGGCATATGAATGTTCTCTGACGTGATTTGGTGCCAGGGATAAAAGTATTCGAATGCTCTTAGTATTTATTGAATCAAACCTACTAGCTCATTTCCTCTTCTATCGTAGCATCTCCTCAATCGTCTCCTCCAACGGCTTAGGTGCCCTTCCAGCCTCCTTGAGCAGATTCTCCAATGTCGGATCGTCGATATCGCATTCCCCATCTTTGAGCGCATCGTATGAACTACTCCACCACTCCACACTCGGCCTCTCCATACCCTTCTCATTGACATAAAAGTCTTCATACTCTTTCCTCCCTACAACCTTGAGTTTGATCTCTTCGCCCCTCACTCTACTAACAATGTCCGCAATATCCTTCAACGACCAACTCTTCTTCTGCGAGAGATAGAACGTCTTGCCCGCCCATTGCTCACTAGGCGCTGCAAGTACCTTTGCAGTACCAAACGCCATGTCGGGAATGCTGGTCCAGCTGATCTTTCCATCGCCCGCGACAAGCACCTCCTTTCTACTCTCCTCTTTCAGCCCGAAATAATACCCAAAGTACAAAGGCCAACTCTCGTTGTACAATCCCTCTCTGATCACAGTGACCTTACACTTCCCTTGTTCCTCCAAATCATGTAGATACTTCTCCGTGCGGATATGCGCGCGCATGACACCGGCTTTGGAGGGGTTGGCGAAACCGAGGGAGGTGTAGTAAATGTGTTGGACGCCGACTTGTAGGGCGGCATCGATGGCAGCGCGGTGATGCGCTTCTCGGCCTTTCCAGAGCGGCGCATCGTTGTAGTCCATGGCTATACGCGGCGTGGATACGAGGAAGAGGGATGTGCAGCCTTTATAGGCGCGGATCAGGGATTCGGGCTCATCGAAGTTGGCCTGGCGGAGGGTGATGGATTGGTTGCGGAGGGGTGTGAAACGGTCGGAGCTGGGGTCACTGGATGTCTGTGATATTTGTTAGTCATGAAGTCCTTGAATTGAAGACGGGAAAGAAGGCAAGAAGAAGAAGACGTACGCATACTACAAGCTCTTTTGGATTAATGAGCTTGTTGTCGAGGATGGCGTTCAGCACGGCGCCGCCGAGCTTGCCTGTTGCGCTGGTAAGAGCTAACATCTTGAACGTCGTATGTGTAGATATTTCCGCTAGAATTTGGATTTCATGAAAAGGTTTGTTGTATTTCTATTTGAGACGCGTCGTAATTTCAAAAATGTCATGTTGATGACTTCATCGCTAATCAGGGTCCACGGCAGTTGCGGTGGGGCATCGGTAGACAAGCATGGATTAAACAGTCACCGTATCTTAAGAAAAGATCAGTCCTTATTACTCCTACGCATAAGCCCAAAAACAGTAATGCTATAATAAAACTCACAGATATCGTATGGCGAAGCTTCGTTGAAGTTGATGAAGTTGATGGAAATTCTGGTGGCTGGTTTCCCAACCTCCTCATATTAATACATTGCCCATGGTTCAGCCTTTGAAGAATCTTCGTCTCATTCCATTCCAAGAAGCTTAACCGAATTATATTGATGCTTCCGAGCTTGTACCCGTACAACCACACCCTCCTGCCTCGCAAAGAAGGTGTTTCTTGTATGCCATCGTGTCTGTCCCGCATCATAGAACTCGAAGCGATAGTTCCAGACCAACTGCGGCGACAGCTTATGCAATTCAAGCAGTGCAATATTCTTCCCTATACAGGTCCTCGTTCCGCCCCCGAATGACATCATATACTTGTCCATTTGGTTCGCGCGCACCGGATCCATCCAGCGGTCAGGATTGAAGTCATCGGCATCCTGGCCGAAGACTCGCTGGTCAAAATGCATAACTGCTGCATTGATTCCAACAACGTAGCCTTCGGGAACGAATTGTCCGCAGAGTTCCATGCCCCCGCGTGGAACGGTTCGTGGTAGGGAGAGCTGTGCTCCAGGGTGAATCCTGAGCGCCTCCTTGATACACGCACACAGATAAGGAAGCTGACTCGCCTGCTTGTACGTCGGCGGCAAATTCATGCGGCCTTCCTTGACAGCCTCGTCAACCTCTTTCTCGAGACGAGCATAGGTATTGGGGCTGTGCATCAAATGATAGAACAACGATCGGAAGGCGATAGCAGTTGTATCGCTGCCTGCAAAAAGTGCACCGTAGGATTCCTGTTCGACGTCACCCCAAGTGAAATCCACCTTTTCGCCGTTCTTTTCGTAGATGTCGAAAACCTGTTGCGCCATGTCTGTTCTATTCACTTCATGACGGGATGCGTAAGCTTCCTTCATGAGGCGTGCGGAAGAGGAGCCAATGTTTTTTCTGGTTTTAATGTGTCAGTGTGCGGAGGTTAGAGAGAAAGTATGGGGGAATATACACGCCATTCCTAATGTCCTGACCAGCAGCTGTAAGCATGGTACCTATACCAACAAGTGGCCTCAAGAGTGGAGGTGCAACACCCATCAAGCACACAAATGGTATCATCTTGTCGAGCGACTTGATCCAATCGTTTTGGTCTTTTCCTTCATCTAAAAAGCCAAAGGCTCGGCCATAGAACAGTTCGCCGATGATGTCAAAAGTATACCTATTTGCTCTTTGTTAGAAAACTTCTGGTTGAGGGAAGAGTAAGGATGAAGTACCAGTGCAGCCATTCGCCGAGATCACACGGCTTTCCCGATTTAGCAAACTGTCGTAGTCGCTCTATGAGAAGATTGCTGCAGGAATCTATGTACTCTTCTGATTTGGAAACGTTCGTCATAGAGTAGATACTGCTAATGATTCTGCGCCTTCGTCCGTGTTTCTTGTCGCTCTTGCAAGAAAATATGTCGCCATGAACGCTGGATCCGGTCGTATTGTACGGCTCGTAAAAACTCGCCTTGTCCAGTGCGTTGGAAAAGCGGTAGATACTCGCCAAGGCTTTGGGACTGCATTTGCATCAACTTCACATTCTGATCGATGGATGAACCGTACCGAGGGTATGTCACTACTTACTCAGAACACGACAACTCATTCGGTGCGATGCGTATCAATGACCCATGTTTAGCATGCAGAGCCCTCTCATACTTCTCAACGTCTTCCGTCCAAATCTTTTGCATATACCAGAAGCGCGAGATCTTCGCCCAGAAGGGTCCCGGGATTCTACTCAGAGGATGGAAGGCGACTGTGTAAAAGATCCAGCCGAATAAAGAGATGATCGGTAATGCCACAAAAAGCCAGGCACTTGGAAGGCTAAGAATCAATAACATCGTGATGTCGTAAAGAATGGAACAGGAGATGCTTAGTGCTCGAAAACGGATGGAAGGCTAGAGTCGACATTGTAAGGAACTTTATACAGTTCCATAATTTCGGTGAGCAGTAGTATATGAAGAAATTGGCTGGTGACTACCTGGTATCGGTCCACAGCGGCTGTAGCCTTGTACGATGCTTAGCATGCTCCCCTTTGATTTCCTCCGATCCTTGGTCGGCTCGACTACCTGAATACCTTCTGATTCGTCCGCAATGTCCGTGAACACTAGACTGTGATTGTACAGGGTATTGTAGCAATATCGGCCGAGGCTGTCACCAAGCTTGGCCATGTACGATGGGTGACGCGTAACGGTCGTACAACACCAAAAAGCCCTATGCTGGTAAACTGGATATGCCCCCTCTTTCCGATGTACAAACCTCTATGTACAAACCACAATTCTCAAAGTAGGCAAGAACGAGAAATCTTTAACCCAAAAAAGTCACCGGCTGTCGCGAAATGCAAGAATCGAACGTGCACACAACGAGAGATATATTCCAACACATCTATATCGACAGTTCTTCCTACATCTCACTCTCCTCTCACACTATACAGCAAAATCCTCCAAATGCAACAGTAGGCTTCATACCCACGAGGAAGAACACAAAAGAAATAAAGAACGCCGATAACGATGCAAGATTAAGCAAAAGCACTCTCAAATCCCAGTTTCTAAATCCGACTAGGGTGTAAATGACCGTGGTATTGCTATTTTATAAACAAGTTTTAAGGAAAGGAAAAAAAGCTTTCTATGCATACCGCACACTACTTCTATGTACCGGCGGCGGCATAGGAACGTTCCCGTTCGGCGCGTGCGGATTCGGTGTCCACGGCCCTGACGATCCTTGAGGTGGTGGAGGACCAGGAGGAGGGGCAAAGCCATTGTTATATTGACCCATAGGCGGGGGACCCATGGGTCCGCTTCGATTCCGCCTTCCGCTGCTTTGGTAAGGCATTGGCGGATGAGCAGCAGCGTATTTCTTGAGTTTTGAACGACGACGGTAGGAGCGCCAGCAGCAGCAGAAGATGCAGAGGAGGAGGGCGCCACCGACTCCCGCGGCGACGCCGATGACAACAGAGAGATGGCGGTCGATCCATGTGGTAATTTCTCGGCCAACGGAGCCGCCTTCGCAGACACCCTGTCAAGAGGTTAGTATGCTGGATAGAAGAAGAGAGGTATTGGAGAAAAACTTACGTTACTGCATCTACCCCCACCGGTACAGCTTGTTCCATCAAGAAAATTCTGCTGAAGTCCATAGCACCTTGCTCCAAACTCTGGGCTTGCACAGCTGAGCATGCAGTTGCTGTTGTCGCAAGCATATGTGTCGTTGCTCTGCGTGTAACTACCCATGATGGTTTTGCACTGCATGTCTCTGCTCGTGCACTGTCCGGAGGCACAGCTGAGGCCGTTGCCGCAGCTTGAACCATCGTCCCTGGTCTGATCTTCAGGACAGTATGGTGAGGTTCCAGTACAAGTTTCTTGGGGGTCACACTCGCCAACGGAATTACGGCAGACAGTGGTTGCGGAAGCGAACTGGCAGTCGCGGCAGCAGTCCTCATTGGAATCGTCGCAAACGGCGTTGTTGATGAACCGGCAGGTCTCGGGATCGCAGCATGAGTTGCCCTCACAGCCTGAGGTGCCACCGCAATCGCACTCCTCGTCCCCTTCAACGATACCGTTACCGCATCTTTGGCCGGTGAGAAGAGTGACGTCACGGTTATTGGTGAGACACTGAGATTTGACACTGTTGCGTCCGAGCGCAGAGCAGATGTTGCCGATAGAACAGGCGGAGAAGCGTGAAATGCCGGGAGATGTGGAAGGGTTCATAATGAAGCCGCCATTGGCATCACAGGAGGTTTGGCTAAGGGGGCAGCATTGTTGTGCGCTGACCACATCGCTGTTTCCACAAGAGTCGGAGGTGCAGTCGTGCACTGCGCCGTAGGTGTGACCTGTTTCGTGGGCAATAACTTGCCACTCAGTGCCTGTCTTGATGACAACGTTGGCACCAGCGACAGTCTCGCCAGAGTTCCCACTGTTACCCTGGGAGCCTGTTGTACAAGCCTGTCCAAGCCACGCCAGTCCGACAGCAGATCCGGTGTTGCAGGTGGAGAGCAGAGTCCAGTGGGAGAAGGTGTCGTCTTGCTGTCCTCTCCACTGGGAGAATTGGTTCAGACGGTCTTGGATAGTAATTTGGCTGTTGCAGCCTTGATTCCAGGGTGTCGCTTGCTGCTGCGATGTCGGGCACTCGGGCTCGGTGATGAGCACATTAGCCAGACCGAGGGAGATGTTGAATGTGCTCTCGAACAGTTCGGAAGCCTGGTTCATGGCGTCTATGATGTTTGTCTGCGTCCTGTTCTTGTCTCCATTGAAGGAACTGACATATGTACAGTCAGCGGCCACACCCACGAGCGCGACCTTGCGGGTACCGGGGCATCCGACAGTGCTGCCAATGGTGGAGGAAAGGTCGACACCTGCGCCGTTGCCTCCGGGCTGAAGGTCGTCCTGGCGCTTGAACATGGCTGAGATGAGGGATGGCGACATGGCGGAGGATTCGTCTCGGGCGCGCATACTGGCATACACTGGGTGGTCCTCCTGCGTGTTGAAGATAAGGTCGTCAGATGGACATCCGACGTTGTCTCCTCTCTTCCTCAGCTCCGTGTGCTCGTCGAATTTGCCCATGTCCGAATCGCGGAAGACAACCATGTACTCCTTGTCGCGCAGATCAACATCCGGGTCTTCGGCCTGTCGCGTCGACTTGTAACTCGATGCCGTCTTGACATGGTGGTGGTCGTGGTTCACGGTGAAAGTGCCCTCAAACAGCGGTTCCAGCCCGTCCTTGCGTATCCCTATCCGGGCCCAGCCAACATTGTCCCAACGGTTTCCCCTCTTCATCCATGCTGTGCCCTTGTAGACTTTGTGTTGTAACCGCTCTATCGGCTCTTGGCGTGCTATGGAGCCGTCGGCGTGGAGGTGTGTTATTTGCCCGCCGTCTACAAAGAGGTCGTGGTTGGGCTCGAGGCTGAGGCGGATGCGCTGCCCGGACACGTCGAAAGCGAGGTCGAAGGTCGATATGGCGGTGACGCGGTGTGTTTGTGTGAGGATGTCGGCATTCTTGGCAAGCGCAATGCTTCTCAGCGGCGGGCGGGCGTGTGATGAGGCCGCTGTTATTGTGGCGAGGCCGATGGTGATGGCGGCCCTTAGACTCCCGAAGATGCGCATTCTCGGGTGGCGGTGCTTCTCCGCTCAGGGAGAAGGTGTATTTGGGGTGAAGAGCGAAAACTAAGACAATGCAACGAGAGACATGGGTAGGCACAAGTACGTGTATACAGAAGAAACGCTAGCAGAGGCGAAAGGCTATACGGCGTGTCAACGATGGCGAGCGACAATAGAGAGTCGTAATCGTCTGCACAGCCCCTGCCAGCCACCGTCTTGGCAGCCGGCTCGCGGAAGAGGAGGGGGGTCTGGGCGCGACACGAATGAAACTATCAGATCCCTTCCCTGCACCGTCTCCGCTGTGTATCTGTTGCTCGTATCTGTATACGCCGTTGCGCCGTTGCGCCGCTATTCGCGCGTTTGTCAACACGTTGCTCCACGCACGAACAAACAGACAGAAGCCGGCACAACAGTCGAGTGAATGTAAACCTCTCATTGGGATATTCGCACTAAACATAGATGCGCGTACAGCGGCCGCCCAAACAAAGACAGCATTACCGTGCCCCAGCGCGCATACTGACTGCGTCTCACTATAGAATCGACATTGCTCGGCGCTTGTCACCCTCCAAGAACCACTGAAGCCGCCCTCCCCCGCCAGACTAGATGAGCTTCGCCTGCTTGCTTACCATAGCAACCCATCTCAACCCGAGCCAAGTCGAGCCGTTCATTTTTTCTTAGACTGGTGCACAATGTCGATGATCTTCTCAACTACCGACGGATCCGAAAGCTGTCGGGAAGCGTTAGCCAACAACATCCCACCAAGTACGCGTCATCTTCACCACCAACGCAAAATTCGTAGGAATTTGACTTACTGTCGTGATGTCGCCCAACTGGTCCTCCTCACCCGCCAAGATCTTGCGCATGATACGGCGCATAATCTTGCCGGACCGTGTCTTTGGTAGGTCTGGAACCACAAAAATCGCCTTTGGTGCGGCGAACGGTCCAATCGATTTGCGCACTTGCATCACCAAATCCTTCTTCACTTGGTCACTTGACTCTGTGCCATCTTTCAACGATACAAAAGCGTTGACAGCTTGCCCTGTCAGTTCGTCATTGATCCCCACCACTGCAGCCTCAGCCACCTGGTCTACGCAACGGTCAGCAACTTGCATCTCGGACTTTATGGAGATAACAACGTACGGTGCTCAATAAGCGCGGCCTCAATCTCAGCAGTAGACAGCCTGTGGCCCGAAACGTTGACAACGTCGTCGACACGTCCTCGGATCCAGTAGTAACCCTCGTGGTCACGTCCAGCACCGTCTCCAGTGAACTACCAGATATTAGGCTTGTACATTACCATCGATCGACTTCATCAAACTTACGTAGTAGCCCTTGTATACGTTGAGGTATGTGTCCATGTATCGCTTGTGCGCTCCCCAAACTGTGCGGGCCATGCTGGGCCATGGCTGCTTAAAGGCCAGTACACCCTCAACATCGTTGCCGTGGATCTCGTCACCGGATATGGGGTCGATAATCGCAGGCTCAATACCGAAGAATGGTAGAGACGCGGATCCGGGCTTCGTGGGTGTGATACCACCCATGGGTGAGATGACGTGTGAGCCAGTCTCGGTTTGCCAGTATGTCTATTCTTGTCAGCAACAGTGTCAACGAGTGTACTCAACCACGACTTACATCAACAACATGTGCCTCTTCCTTTCCGACAGTCTCAAAGTACCACTTCCAGACCTCGGCAGCGATCGGCTCACCGACGGATCCGAGAATCCTGAGGTTCTTCATCTGGTGCTTGACGTGCTCGTTACCAGCACGTTTGAGTAGCCGCAGCGCAGTAGGAGCAACGTAAAATTGGCTGACATTGTACTTGTCGACAATGTCCCAGTAGCGTGAGAAGTTGGGGTAGGCAGGCGTGCCTTCGAAGACAACGGTAGCGACACCAAGCAGCAGAGGGGCGTATACGACATAGGTGTGACCTGTGATCCAGCCTACATCACCACCGCAGAAGAAGACGTCATTGTCGTGGATATCAAAGACGTACTTTCCGGTTGCCGCTGCTCCGAGGAGGTATCCTCCGGTTGTGTGCATCACACCCTTGGGCTTGCCGGTTGAACCGGAGGTGTAGAGCAAGAACAGAGGGTCTTCCGAGTTCATTGGCTCTGGTGCAATGTAGTTGGGGTATTTCTCAACCTCCTCGTGCCACCACCAGTCGCGGCCCTTGGTCCAGGGCACCTCGGCGCCAGTGCGCTTGTAGACCAGGCAGTGGCTGATGCCGGGACATTGCTTGAGAGCATCGTCTACAATCTTCTTTGTGCTGATGGTCTTGCCACCACGCTTGCCCTCGTCGGTGGTAATGACGACCTTGCACTCAGCGTCAATGATACGGTCGCGTAGCGAATCAGACGAAAAGCCTGCGAAGACAACCGAGTGAACGGCACCGATACGCGTGCAAGCCAAGAAGGAGATGACTGCCTCTGGAATCATAGGCAGGTAGAGGGCGACAGTGTCGCCCTTTCTCACGCCCATCTCCTTGAGTGTGTAGGCTAGCTTCGAAACCTGGCGCAGGAGTTCTCCGTATGTGATGATGCGGCCATCGCCAGCGTCATCGGCCTCGTAGATGATGGCAGGCTTGTTGGGGTCCTTGAAGGCATGGCGGTCTACGCAGTTGTAGCTAGCATTCAGTCTGCCTTCCAAGAACCACGCGACGTCGCCATGTTCAAAAGAACCTGACTGTACAGTCTGGAAGTCGCGCTCCCACGTGAGCAGTTCGCGCGCTAGTCGGCCCCAGAAGGCTTTCGGGTCGGTGATGGACTCCTTGTACAGCTTCTGGTACTCTTCGAGGTTCTCAAGATGTGGTTTCGAGTGCGGGTGCTTGCTATAGTGCGCGCGTTAGCTACTATGCCTCATCTGAATGCGATCGCGATGGAGGCTTCGGCCAAAAGCTCGGCGGCGCGGGGTCACCCCGCCCATTCGCGCGAGCTCTGGAGCTTGATGACGCCGCAGCTGTCATTGTCTTGGTACATGATGCAATGACCAAATAAATTGTAAGAACTCACTCGTAAAACGCCTTGGGAACGTGGAAAGTGTCCACCTGGTGGGCTTCGGCCACGACAGGCGCACTGGGCGGCTTGACGTCTCCTTCGGACATGTTGGATTATTTGTGGAGGTGTACTAGCCTTCTGGCGGGGCAAAGGAGCTCGACTTCGGCGCGCTGGAATTTCGCGACGAGGACAGTTCAGGAGCTTTGCCAACGTAGAAATGTAGTTTGGCGAGACGCGTGTCAGAGTCCGACAGATGTTCAGAGTAGATATATGTCTCAATTCCGGGTAAAGGGGTCGGCGGTACGCTTGATTGCTGCAGGGGCCCAACTGAAGCTGCTCGCTGAAGATTCGGGAACAGCTTGTCAGTCCAAGTGGAGCTTCGTGTTGGTATTAGAGAGCCGGGGTCGAGGCGACGCGGTTGAGGTGAAGCGGGAAAGGAAGGATTTGTAATGCAGAGTAGCTAGATGGGCGAGCGGCGCTCTTATGAGCAGTTACTTTGGCAGGGCAATGGCTCTAGCTATGTTGCTTTACCCCTCGCGTGCCTTCGCTGCGGGGACTGGAATATGACGCCCATCCTAAAGCTGGCCTCTGGCTGGGCCCACACTGATTCCGTGGGCGGCACCATGATCCAATTCGGATAGCATCTTGTGATGCCCTCCGTTTCTCCGGATCACTAGCAGAGCACGCCAGTCAGAAGGTATTGCTGTGCCGATCCGGCCGTCACTCTGCTTGACTGTCGATTATTGGTGAAATGCAAGGCGCCCTGCTTGACATTTTGTAACTGCGTAGCAACGTGTTGGTTGATCAGTGCGGGCGCTTCTTGCGCCATCACCATATATCCATCCGTGCACGACCCTGACGAAGGCACCCGGCCCGCAATTTCGCAACCGAACGACAGATCTCGGGCAGGCGCGATTGACCAATTTCAAGTAACGCATTCGGCCTATAGTGCGGCTTGCAACAGTGTCATCAATACCGGAGAGCTACAGCTCGGCTCCAAAGGTGCCGAATCCTTCTACAAAGCGCTTGGTATGACACCACACAAGCCGCAAACACCCTGTTGTGACCAGACTGTCAAGACTACGAGTCCTACATATCTGGCAAGTAATGGAGCTGATCGCATGTCTTTCTTCCTAGAGGATGAGCCTGACCACGCGACGCGTGCAAGCATCAGCTTTCGGGCGTGGGGAAGAGGGCCCATCCGAGGCACCGGCAATTATTACCGCTGGACTGGTCACCACGGCTGTTCACGCTTACGCTGTACTAGCTATCCTTTATAGTGGAACTCCTTGGACATGGCATGCTGGAATACCACCGAAGTTAGCTGTGTGGGTGCAAAACGTGTGCGGTTCGCGCTAAGCTTTCACCGTGCTCGTGAGTAATATGTGTCGTCTCGGTTAGCACTCCATGTAGATACGCTTTGGGAAGTGCCTATAAGCGTGCAAGTGTTTGCGCATTTTCAGCTGTCGTAGTTTACTGTAGCGTCACATGTGCGATGAACACAGCAATCACGATGCGACCGTCCATACACATCTTGGCATCCATACATCCGTCGTCATAGCGACCGGCATACCGCATGGGTCTACGCCATGCGCATTGGCTCATGTTGGCAGTTTCTGGGCATGCTCTAGTATGAAGTAACCAATAGCGATCCGCGGAAATATCTTAGCTGAGTGATGTATTACTGCGGGCCTCACAGGACAGCATGAGACATTTCAAGTGCAATCAACGTCCGGCGCTTCACGTCGAGTAAGACCAGACAACTTGATGGCAAAGCATAGGGATGTCTTTCATCCCGTCTACCTAGCAACAACAGCGCCTTCCACTAACTGGACCACAGAATCATCGCCGTCACTTTCTGCACGTTTCCGCTTCACCAACCCCGGATTGATAACAATACCTCTCTCGCCAACTCCTTCCCATTCAAATTCATAGATATCCGACTGCCCGAATAGCCATATCCTCATTGTCAGTGTATCTGTGATGATGCGCGCAAGGTCTTCGTCTTTGTCTTGGTCGCTGGACGTAGGGTTGGCCCAAGGGAAGAAAGTAAGAGCGAAGTGTTCCGCTGCTTCGCGGATATTCGATTGAGCCATCCAAGACCTGCGACGGTTTGGCATACCAGTAATGTTGCTGTAGAGGTAGACAGAGATGCGGCGATGGAGCGAGGTGGCTGCTATAAGATCCGGATCTGTTTATGATGTGAGTTGTAAGTCTTCTTGCGCGAAGGACATTGTAACAGCTTACCAGATTCAACCTTGGTATGATTCTCGGCATGCGCTACGTAAAGCTCTTCCGGAAACAACGTTCCCTCATCACCCTCTTTCTGCTTTGGCCCCGTTATTCTTAGTACATATGTTACGAGTGCATGCTTGAGCGCCGCTGTTGGGCTTGAGCATTCTTGCAGGAGTTGCGCCATGTCCACTTCCTTGGCTCCAAACTCTGCGATTTCAGGTTCCATGCTCGGGGTAATACTGGCGTTCACATCGCGGTAATACTTTTCTACATGTTCATGCATCAAGGCGAACAAGTGGACGACTCCGTTCCACACCTCCTCGTTGTCTGCTGCAGGCGGTAAGAAAGCAGTGACATTCTTAGACGCGTTTGTTGGTATGGGGATCGGCGCGGGCATTAGAGAAGGTGGATGAACAGCCAGCGGCGCTGGTATAGATGTCTGTGAGACCTGTACGTAGGGGCTATATCGCCCTACTAAACTGCCAGCACTCTTGTGTTGCAACATAGCTAGATCGGGAGCCGAGTCGGCATAGCTTGGGTATTCTTTTCTGCCAACGTTCGCATTTTGGTGCTTGTTCCGTTGCTTGAAAAGGAAGAATGCGGCAATAAATGCCAGAATTGCGCCGAGAATAAAAGTTCCAATGCCCACACCTGTCACTGCTCCTGCGCTTAGTCTGTTGGCATTATTGCCATTCCCTACTGCCTCCACAGTTCCGACGGTCGCTAGACTTGGGTCTGATGTTGTCACAGACGCTGTGGCGATCGTTGTCCTCATAGTCGTGGTAGATCCTGTGTTTGTTGTCATCGTAGTCGCGGTGCTAGTAGGACTGGGTTGGGGGAATCCAGAATCAACGGCTTGTGTGCTGCTAGGTTGGAAGTTGCCATCCTTAGAAAGTAGCGATGAGATTGAGATTTCGTCTGACGGTTGGGAATCTGGCGATACTTCTTGCGGCGCCCATGTCGATGTGCTACCATCCCCATCCTCTTGTGAGGCAGTTGTAGCAGTTGCGGGACACCCATCGACTTGCAAACATATCGATGTTAATTGTTCTGCATTTCTGCTTACTTTCTGACCCAAGAGCGAGTGGAACGCCATCTTCACAGAAATTCGAGCCCCACAACCAAGGCTGAACTGTAATCACGGAAAAGGCGAAGAAAAGAGAGAGAGAGAAAGAGAGAAGAGCAGAAATCCACAAACCTCCTTCAGCCCCGAGGCCACCTTACAATAAGATAATCTTCAGCGCGCGCCCATCAGGCTTCCAGCTCAGCCGCACTGTGCATCCTACAAGCTCCGCCTCATGCACAACAACAACAACAATGAGCGAAACACCGATCCTCCCACACCTTTGTTGCTTACTGTCGCACGGTTTTCATGTGTAATCTGCGAACGCCTTGCCGCGATAGTGCAGCACTACTGGAACTGCGTAGCATGTGGACATGTAAGCACCAGTATGAAAGCGAGGAAACGGAGATCATGTTGCGCTAGGGCGGGTTTTGGGGGCCATGTGTGGATGCATTGTCAGGAACGATGCGCAGCCTTGTCTGCACAGCCTCCGCAAGGGTTGCTCTTGCGCAGGGGTGTATATATTGCTAGTCTTGCATGTCGTCTTTGACGGGTGAGCGACGGTGGAATGCATATGGATATGGTCTAAAATCAAGGTCGGGTGTCTTTTGGCGATAGTCTACAAGCGTTCTAGCGCCCGCTTCCCCCTCCCCAACTCGAATGCTTCTCTGGTGGGCTTCCCATAAGCTCCCCCATCACTGCAGGTGACTTCTCAGGGACAGAACCGTCAAGTTCATGTACAATTCGTGGACTTGGTAATTCCGAGATACTGTACGAACCTTTGTGCCCTAGCAGTTCCACAGTTTGATGATGAGTTGACACCTCAGCTGCACTTGCACTTGGGGTATGTTGCGCTCTTTGTTTTCGTCGCCTTATACATACAAAAGCAATGAGCAAGACTATCAATACCGTCATAGCCACGGTGCCGGCTATGATTCCACCCTTTGCACCTTTTGAAAGACCCTTTGAATCGGTAGAAGCCGCGCTCGTGACGGCGGGGGTGGTAGAAGTAGTCGAGGTGGAGGAGGTCGACATCGTTGAGGAAGCCGTCGAGCTCACAGGAAGTGGTGCAGCCAGACCCGTTACAGTTCCCGCCTCTTCACCCAACTTCCCATTTTTAAGAAAGCAACCCTGCAACCCCAAAGTTACACAATCACCAGACAGCCAGTCCACGAGAGCAGGTGCCAGCATCGCAGCATCGACCGGATAACCTGGGTACACGGCCGAATCTGCGTCAAACGAAGCGTTCATGAGCCAACAGTTCTTGTCTACTGAGCCCAACGGCCTGAAGTCGAATCCGAAGCAGAGCGGTTCCTTCTTGACACAGCGATCCATGCAATCGGACCAAAGCAGTTCGTCCGTAGGATCCAGGAAGTCGACTACGGCGCTAATGTCTTTTCCGCAAAGATTATGGAACGGGACCACAAGACCGGTTTGGTTGTAAGTACTGACGATACCTGTGCAGCCGACGTTGTCTGATTGCGCTGAGGTGCGCGTAATGATTGTTAGGAGACATGAGAGCCAGAGATGTAGACGCATTGCGGTCAGTATGATAGTATCTCGCCTTTAGTCGACCGAACGCTTGGAGAGAAGAGAGAAGGGGGAAGATGCGAGAAGGCTGGACTAGGCAAAGACATAAGGAAGCTATTAGTATTGCGAGGCTACTTCTTCTTCATCGCTGTAGACTCTCTAGCACAAAGCGTCGTCCCCCCAACAGATGCACTAGCATGCGACGAACAATTCATCAGACATCTGGACTTTGACCTTGCCCAATGAGAAAGATGTGGTGTAACTTTCCTTCAGCCGCACAGCCTTGGCAAGCCATGAGGCGTTCTCAGCCTTTTGCGAACCTTGGAACTATATTGAAAATTCTTTTTGTATGCGAGAGATCAGAGTGGCGATAGGTTATTAGACGATAGAGAAGGAGGTCTTGTAGTTCGTGGCGTCGCTTGATTGAAATGTTGCGTAAGTTTTTCAGCACCTAAACAAGACCTCAACCTACTGACTAGCTAGCTTCGTCGGAATACACAACATGTACGCCAAGAACATATCGGGTCTAGGTGCATTGCGGGGTCACAGCAATCATTCGTGAGATGGATCAGCCTCAATAATTGCCAAGTAAACCAAGATACCTTTCTCTCCAACGCACTTTCAATACGAAAACGGCCTCACACCATACACACCCTTTTTCTCTGGCAGTGGCGCAACAGGCTTGTCTACAAACTCCGGGTACAAATACCAACCCAAATCTCTGTTTTCCATCTGAGCAATACTCCACCCATTACCCAGCCAAGCCATTCTATTCGCTTTCTTACCCACACCATGTAGCTCATTGCCAGCGTCCCGATCCTCCAGTTCATCCAGGTAGACGTAGTCGAAATCTTCCCAGCGCGGACTCCGCATTGCCTCAACGCAGTGTAATGTGCTGCCAGGCCAGAGTCCGACGACCTCGCCAGTACCTTTGTTTTTGTACCAACTCCGGCACTCGTCGGCGAAGACTGTACCTTCGAAGTAGGCGTCAACATATTCGATGAAGTCCTTCTCGCGCGCTTCTTTGACGGTCATGGATGCGATGTTGTCTTTTTGGATCTTGCGGATTGATTTGATGATGTAGTCGCCTACTGTTTCGATCATGGTGGTAAGGCTGCCAGAGCCGATCGCAGCGTTGGGTCCGAGCATTGTGAACATATTTGGAAACCCGGCGACGGAGTGCGAGAGATAGTTGACAGCGCGCTTGTCCCATTTTTCGGTGAGAGAAAGACCCTTGCTGCCGGTCAAGGGAAACGGAGGTGGAGCAGATGCCTTGAAGCCTGTCGCACATACAAGAGCGTCAATCTCATGCGTTTTACCGTCAGCTGTGTGGATCGCAGATTCGGAGATGCGCGTTATAGGCGATGTGACAAAGTCTACGTTGGGCTGTGTCAGTGCTTCTAGGTAGCCTGGCCCTGGCGTCAAACGGCGACATCCTGGCGAAAACGATGGCAAGAGCGCTTCGAAGATATCCGGCTTGCTCTTTAGCCTCTCCTTCATGTGCTTGTGGAACATGTCCTTTGCGCCCAGTTGCAATTCAGTCCCTTTCATTGTGACAGCGTGGATACCGTTTCCGTCTTCTTCGACCGTAAGCCTGAATTTGTAGTAATACTCGGGGTCATTCGCAAAACGGTCACGAAGCTCCTGGGGAATTGTCGATCCATTGAAGCCGTATTTGTTGAATAACTCTTGGCCGAAAGGAGGTGATATCCACGTCTTGCTACGCACAAAGGTACTGACATGTGTACCTGGTAGTCGCTGTAACGAAGGGACGATCTGGATAGAAGAAGAGCCGGAGCCGATAACACCAATTCGCTTGTTTTCAAAGTCATACCTGTACCCAAACTTAGTCAATCTGCTACTCAAGACTAGCTGCGGAAATGTGCAATACCTCTGGTTCCAGACTGCAGAATGCATAACTTCGCCTTTGAATGTATTCAGGCCTTCTATCTCGGGCCAAGAAGGCGTGTTCAGATTACCCCTTCCTGAGATGAGTACGTCCGCTTGGTCTTTCAGCACCTCGCCTGTGGCAAGATTCTTCACTGTAATGTTCCACTTCGCAGTTTTGTCATCCCAGTGGCATGCCTCAATCTGATGACGCAACTTGATGAACCTATTCGCCGAGTATTTCTGCGCGACATCCTGGAGGTACGATTGAATCTCCGCTGCCGGGGCGTAGAGTGACGACCAGTTCGGGTTCGGCTGAAATGTGTACTGATATGAGTGTGCTAAGGGGTAATTAGCAGCATATGCAATGGTAAATATGGAGTTGCTTACATGGTACGTCGCACGCGCAACCAAGGTATCTGCGACAAAGTCAGTAAATACATCTCGGAACAGCAAGGATCAAAGACTAGGTCATGTATATACATGCGGCTAGTTTCATTTCATTGCGAACTTCTGGTATGCTAGCATATATTGAACATGTGTTTCTTACCTGTTCTCATACCAGGTTCCTCCAACGCCAGCATTTTTCTCATAGATGACCAGGTCAACATTTCTCAATCTTTCTGGTATACGGATACCACAGTAGATGCCTGAGTAGCCGGCTCCAATGACGACAACTCTCAGACGCCGTAGGTTCTCTACTGGCGCATCGTTGAGCTTGAAAGACGACTTTGCAGCCATACCATTCGTACTGCCGTTCACATGGATACCAGGCGTATCGGTAGGAAGATTAGGTATAGCCGACATGGTCAATAGGAGAGAGGAAGCTGCACAGTAAGATCTGTTGCGCGGCAAGTATCCAATGTTTATGGTTTATTTAGAGGTTACACTCTTCGGCGTAAGTAGTATACAGTAGGACAGAGAAACGATTAGAAGACGTCGGTCGCATAAAGGCGACAGCGAACCGTGATAAATACGGCTGTCGCCGACTACGCCCCTCACCCATCGTCAGGGTTGACCGTGTGGTACAATTGCCGAAGCAATAAGCCCAGCGCTAGCGAGACGTCAAGATGTGGACCAGGTTAAAGGCCGGGTTCGACACACGGTAGACGACTTGACTGGAAGGTTTAGCCTATCAGCGCGCGAAGGACTCCGCATCTGACGGAGGCGCCACCCCAGACTCCACACGCGTCCCGCCTCGCGCTCTTCGCGATCTTGCATCCGCGGAATGCCTCCGCAATAGCCTGCGCACTCGACTCGGCATATGTTTCCCTCTTCCTGCGCGATGCTGCTGCGACTATTTGAGGGCCCATGATTATTATTTTTTTGCGACGAGCCGCACGATGGTTACCATGAAGCTGCAATTGAATCCGTTGGAAGGACAATCCCTGGTACTACCTCGGAACCGTGATGATGGCAATCTGTATCAAGGTAAGTAAGTGAGTATTTCCTGTGCGCGAAGTACATACCTGATTTCCGAGAGCAATGGATAGCCTGGAGCTGTCTGGCTCCCAACCCAGACTGAACTCTCCGTCTATACCGGGGTTCCATTTGTTGCTTGGAGTCTCACTGGCACGCCACGAGGCTATTGGAACATCCCTACTCTCTACATCCCAAATAGTGACAGCATCAGGTCCCGCAGCTGCTAAAAGCGAACCATCTGGAGAGAAGGCAATCTTGAAGGCCTGCGTACCATCTGTAGTGGGTAGGTATTTGACGCATTTAAATGGTTCGTTGGCATCCCAGATGCGCGTCGCACCAGACATGGAACTTGTTGCAAGTAAGACAGAGGGCAAAGAAGAACCATTAGTAAGATGATTTGTCTTTGCTTTGACACGGAAGCCAAGATCGGTAGGGTACTCGTCGGGATATTCGTGGGTCTGTAGCTGTATCGAGTCGTTGGGGTGGAGGATGCCAAGATAATACTTACGATCTTCGATACCCAACACGGCGATGATCCTGGATGCAGCGTCATACTTGACTGTCTCCCATGTTACTGAAGTGTCGAGGGTTTGCTGAGTTGTTAGGGATTCGTTGACCTCATAGATCTTGAAGAGTTTGATACCGCAAACGACGAAGGCAGAGTCGCTTATCCAGTGCGCGTCGAAGATGGCCGTGTCGGTGAACTCGGTCCATGCTGGGATGGAGTCACTATCGTTTTTCCACACTTTGATGGAGCCTTTTTCCCCATCTGTCGAGATTGAGAGTAGCAGGTTCCGATCCGGATTCCAACGAAGAGTGTTGATGAGGCCGGCAGTAGAAGAGATGACCTGAGAGGCCTGGCCGCCTTCGGTAAGTTTGATGAGCTTGTCCATCATCATCTTCTCTCCGACTTCGTTGGATCGCTGTTCTCGTACGGAGACAGTAAGTTCGTTGTCGGAGTGCCAGCATAGAGCGGTGACGTCGAAGTTGTCGACTGGCAAGGGTATGTCGAAATGTTGGGTAGGGGGTTCATGGCCAGGCTCCTTGCTCACGACGTGAACCTGAAGTAAGGATTTGCCTGCTGCGAGTAGTACAGGAGAATCTATCGGGCCCCAAAGTGTATGCTCAATGACTGTTGCGGGGTCCGAGGGGGGTGGAATGGAGACGGTGCCGGGCGTAAGATCAGCGATAGCAATGGCTTCGGTCTGGATCTCAGCGTCCTGGCCTATGCTGAGTGTCGACAAGGGGATCTCAACAAGTGAGGGCGACTCGGCTTCCGAGACCATGGGCTCCGACTCAGCCCTCACGCTGTTGGTCACATGTGTGGTGCCGTTGTGCTCGATCTCCATGGCATCGCCGTTGACTTGGGGCTCGGGGCGCGGTTCGACGCCGTTGGTGGGCTTCGTCTTCTTGCGCTTGAGCGTCTTTTTTGGTGGGGGTTCCTGGACAGCGCCGTTGGCTTCGGCAGCGAGTTCGTGGGCGGGTATTCCCTTGTCAAGAGTCAAGAGGTTGCCATTGCGCGCCGAATATGGTCGTCCGTGGTCGGTGCCGAATCTATATCGCGGCTCCGTCTACGCGTATTAGTACTGCCTTGCAGCGCGCATGTATGCGACGTACATTGCAGGCCTCAGCCTGTAGCTGGTCGAAGCACATGCCATCCTGCACGAGCCTGATGAGTGCGTGCGGTTCGATGTTCTTCGCAAAGGGAAGCGTGTCGGGGTCGCGGATCCAGCATCGTGAGAGTTGCAGGGCTGCATTACCGAAGCCGGCTTCTTGAAGGTATCGCCATACTGCAACTACATGTCAGATATGCAGGCCAATGGAGTCGTCGTATGGGGAAGGGTACCGAGATAGTTCATCGCGTTGCTGCTCAGAGTCTCCGCCATGGCGCATCCTGTACGCGCTGCATGCGCCCCAGCAACGACTGCGTGTGTGTCTATGTTGAGAGAGTCTCGGGGCGTCTTGGGTTGCGCGGTCCGTGGTTGTCGTCGTCGTCGTCGTCTTGGAGCTTGTCGGAGAATCGAAGGCTACCTGCCCTGCGAACTGCAACTACTCAGCACTGTGCACTGGCCCGGCCGCTAAACCGCTAAACCCCACAGATCTTCGTCCGAGCGCTCATGATCCCTGTCGTCCAACGCCATGGAGAATCACACCTGCATGCCTTCCTTCACCCTCTCCACTTCCACCCCTCGTCTGGACCTGCCCGGGCCGATAAGTGCCTGACGCCAACTATCTTCACACCCTCCTCCCCGGCGACGCCCTCCCACCTCTACCATGGCCCGGATAAACCTGCCCCCGCTTACTCGAGGCGTGCTCGCTGCCGTCGTATTCTTTACACTGATAAACTTCGCACTGCGACCGCACGCCGACTGGGTGGAAAAGGTCGAGAAGCCAATCATAGGCGTCGGCAATGGCGTGCCGTGGCTCACAATAGTCCCTCGCTATTCGGTGCCGTGGTATCCATGGGTGTTTGCATTGGCGACCGTGGTAGAACAGAATGTCCTCGGTCTCATCACCACCGGACTCACCGTCTTCTATGGCGGACGCTATCTTGAAAGAGCATGGGGGTCTCACGAGTTTACCAAGTTCATGCTCTTCGTGGCCATGATACCCAACATCCTCACATATCTGCTCTACATCGCTGGCTACCTCCTCATGAGCAGAGGTTCCATCATGTGAGTATACGACACCCCTCCCCGTACGCTATACTAACGCAGTCTAGGCAAACCACCATCTCCGGAGGCATTGCCATTCAAGCTGGCTTCCTCGTCTCCCTTAAGCAGCTCGTCCCCGAACACACCGTGGCCATCGCGAAGGGCCTCATCCGCATGCGTGTCAAGCACTTCCCTGCCATTTTCCTCCTGACCAACACAATTTCCGGCATCGTACTTGGTACTGAGACGGCCATGTTCCTGGCCTACTTTGGCTTCTTCACTGCGTGGATTTACCTTCGTTTCTACCGCATAAGCCCGTCGCTGTCATCTACTGCGACCGGCGACGGATCGGTTATCCGCGGCGACGCCTCAGATACCTTCTCTTTTGCTCACTTCTTCCCGGAGCCCATACAAACACCGGTCGGCGCACTCTCCGACGGCATCTACAACACGCTGATATCGCTCAAAGTGTGCACACCCTTCTCAGATCAGGACATCGATGCGGGCAACGAACAGGCGAGTGCCCGTGCTGAAGGAGGCCTACCAAGCATCATGAATCCCAACAGCAGGGGAGGTCGAGGCGGATCAACGCGAGCTGAGGCAGAGAGGAGACGTGCTCTGGCTCTGGAAGCATTGAATGCGAGATTAAATGCAGCCGCGTCCCGAGGTCCAAGTGCCGCTGCTCCGTCGGCGCCTTCTGTCTCTGGACCTGCAGAGTCACTAGGAGAAACAAACTACGAGCCGGAACGACATGAAACACCACAAAGGCCGACGGCGTCCTAGTACAATCGCCCTCGCTCTCGATCCTATCTCAAATCGCTTTGATTTTTATGTTTTTATCAGAGCATCACAAAATTTTGGTGCATTTGGACCTGATACATTGCGGCGGCGTCTTGTTAGCGTTACAGCGCTTTGTTTGGTCTGCATCATTGAAAGCGCGAATGATACCACCATCTGGGAAGGACTTGTCAGTATTGTTGTACCGAAATATTATGTTCTAGCAGAATAGAGCAAGGGAAGTGTCCTCGAGACCATCCGTTCCATCCGCCAACTGTTACATTTTCACGGGAGACGTTGCCATGACACGACTGACCGGTGCTACATACAATACCTTACTACCGCTGCCTACTCGACTAAGCCAACTTTGCTAGACTTCGAGCAGTACTGACAGTGCGTATTAGTCGATATGTACTCACAATCATGCACCACACGGTCCTTACACTTGTTGGTTAAACATCTTCCTGTTCTACAACACTCACTGTTCGAGTCTACATATCCGCGCAAGGCCTCGATGGGAAGCGCGTAGCCTACGTGCAGACTGGTCGCGTGCTGCAGGTGATTGGTGTAACCAGTCGTCTCGTTACACGGCCCTGCCAAGCGAGTGTCACGGATTCCAGCGAAGAGGGAGTGTTGTTGCAATTGACTACAGAAGAAAATTACACGATAAAATTTACTTCGGAAGTAACATCTTCTTTCTATCATAAGCCGTATAAATATACAAAACTTCCCAGTACTTTTTCTCGGCCAACGCGCATCCACTTCACTTCATCATCACTTTTGTTGTACTATCCGCATCATTCACCATGTACGCCTCCCTCCTCACCCCCGTATTTCTCATCAGCACTGCTGTTGCAGCGAAATTACCTCTAGGTCCAAGCCACTTCCCCATCGTTTCCTCCGAGTACGACCCGAAATTTCCCTATCCGCCTAAGAGAGATTCACCCGTCTCCGACACTGCATACAGCAGACAAAGCTTAGGACAGTAAGATAACCAGGCTCCGGACGCCAACTCCAAGACCATTTCTGAGTCTTCCGTTGCTCCTCCTCCTTCTGCAACATCAGAACTATTTTCTGGGACGACTACTTTGGTAACGGTGACGTCAACTGCATCTGGATCTGCAATGCCGACGAATACGGTTCCTACGCTGCCAGATGATATATTAGCCGGAGTGAGTAGCCATCTCGATATACTAATATTCTCTTTTTGAACCAAAGACTGAGATGTTCTGCTAGGTATATGTCTGCAACGACATCAACTGGAACGGTGCGTGCTCGCACAAGTTCACCAAACCAGGTGGTTCAGACCCTGACTGCGCGCAACTTTCTGGTCAAGAGTCATCGCTTGGGCCGGATCCGGGTTTCTTGTGCGAGTTCTTCACGTATGTTTTTAGGTCTACTTTTTCTTTTCATCTTTGCTTCCCTATATGTCCAGTTCGTGGCTAACATAAATACTTCGTCAGGAACTCATATTGTCACAAGACTCTGAGCGATGGAACGGATTTTTTGAGCTTGGCATGGCCGGGCAATGCAGATTTGAGAAACACGGAGAAGGGAGATCTGAATGATAAGTTCTTCAGCTATGTTTGCTTTAGGATTTAGAGGATGAAGTAGATGAGTGTGGCTTTTTGTAATAAGGAATCAACCAAAAGAGTAGCTGAGGCTGGCTTTGGTAGAAATGAGACACTTTCATGTGTAATGAATCCAATTCTTAACCAATACAGTTCGACTTTCATAATGACTGGGCTTTATATGCTAATGTGTTTGTGAAGAGTTGACGCAGCAAGACCAAAGTCTCCAAGATGGGTTCGCGGAACACGATGTGGTGGTACACAATTCTGAAATCTGGGAGTCACCTTCCTTCAGATGCAATTTGAGCTCAATTTATCTAAGAAGCAAAACCCCTTCAACGGTTTCTTCGGCATTCTTGGCTGCTTGTCAGGGACATGGAGAACAAGGCCGCCAAGAGCATCGTGTTATCGGCTCATCCGGAATGGTATGTGTCCTGTTCTAGATAACCACAGAAACTTGCTGAAGAGTTGGAAGCCCAATATTTGAAACAAGAAGAGGACATTCGGAAATACCGGTAAATTGACGATAGTAACAACCTTGTGTCTAGCCCTGCTCTCTGTTCCGCGGGTGGTGATGCCGACTCACATCTTCACTGCTGACTCGCCAAGCGTGTCTGCGCCTGCCCACGACCAAGACTCCTACCCCTTTACCCATCTCTTTCGAGCGCAGATCCATCTATAAAACATCGACGTTCTATTCTCTGTTCTTGAATCTTGTCTTCGGACAAAAGGACCAGAACAGCACTCGTTCGTGGAATTATGTCTCCCGCACCATTCCTACTCAAGATTAGCGCACTAGTCAGTTCGTCTGCGATCGTCATCTCAATCTTCATCTTGCCGCATGCCCACCACTATCCCCGCATCTTTCTAATCTTTATAGTTGGTAAATTCTTCTAGCGTCATGCGATCCAGTATACAGGTAGTGTTGAGCCAATTATGACGGTGCTGCATACTGTAGTGATGTAGCTGTAGAGAAAACGAGATCTTCGCTGTGAGCTTACCCCGGTTTTCTCATACAGCATCTAATATATGCCGGACCCACGATCCAGGTAGCTCCGGAACTGACTCCTCCTCACACGAAGCTAGGAACGGTCTTCCGTGTTAGATTGGAGGTTCAACCACAATGCTGTACAGCATATATATGCCCGTAGATGCAGTTCCATGATACGTAGTGCACCTGTCTACTCTCCATCAATCGTCATGAAGCTCACCATCTCTCCGTTCGTGCTATTAGCAGCTATTGATCATGTCACCGCCGAACGGTTTCTCGGACGCGTTGACCCGGATACTCGAGAACTTACGTGGCCCGGAACCGGCGTATCCTTTACCTTCACAGGCTCCTCAGCTAGCATAGGCATCGAAGCCATAACAGGTGCCAACAGTGCCGAGTTAACCATCGATGGTGTGGCGACTGTCATCTCAGACGTTAAAGGGACCTCTATCACGACACCCGCTGGCCTCCGGAACGGCAACCACACGGTCGAGTTGCGCAAACGATCAGAGGCTCTCTTTGGCACTATATCTATCGGCAATATCACCACAGACGGTACCTTCGGTCCGGACGTCTACTCTTCCCGCAAGATACAAGTAATCGGCGACTCCATAACCGTAGGCTATGGTCTCGATGGTGTTAATCCATGCGTGAACACCGCCGCCATAGAAAACAACCCCAAGACTTACGCTGCCCTGGCTGCCGACGCCTTGAATGCCGACTACGACATCATCGCCTGGAGCGGCATTGGTTTGACAAGAAACTACGTCTCACCAACTCCCGACACCAGCGACATCATGCCCCAGCGCTGGACCCGATACGGCGCTCTCGACCCATTGAACAGCTACACATTCCCCGCAAAGGCCACACCAGACGCCGTGATCATCAATCTCGGCACCAACGACTTTAGCTACCAAGCCGGCATCCGGGGTCCAATCGTCCCAGCAGAGTACACCGCCGCCATGGTCAACTTCGTCAAGACAATCAAGACACATTACCCAGACGCTACATTCTTTCTCCTGACTTCACCTATGCTCAACGATGGGTATCCTGCCCAAGATGCGCAGAAGACTACGCAGAGGGATGCACTCAACGCTGCTATTGCGCAACTTCAGAACAACACGAGCATTAGCCTGGTTGACATGCCGAGTCAAGGCTCGGATGTTGGTTGTGATTATCATCCTAATGCTGCGACACACGCTGAGGGGGCGGAGATTCTGGCCAAGGCTCTTGCTAGTGGGATGGGTTGGTGAGAGGAGAACAAGAGTAGCGCAGTGCTTTGAAGACGTAAATACTCAAGGATTAGGAAAGCATGCAAGATAGTTGTAGCTTCGACGTAATACGTTGCTCTTCTGCTGTGATGGACGTGTTGATGCTGATGCTATTGAGTAACACTACATGATGATGGTTGCAATGTATGTGTATTTCCCAAACATCTTTTCTTCACTGAATACGGCTGTATTGGTTATTCAATTCAGCAATTGAAGCCTGCATTACCTGTTCGTCTGCTGTACGTACGTAAATGACCGTGTAAGCCGATTGATGTCGAACTTCTCCTCTTACGTATAATACTTTCTTCACTGACTAGGTAGAGGAGATTAATTGCAAGACTTGGAATAAGCATCCAAGCAAGACAAAACCTACGAATATCGCCCCAAAGGAGCTTACGTAGGTAAAACGTGCATCACTGCCACAAGTACTGAGTAGGCACCCTTGGTTCTATTGGATACATCATATCTAAACGACACCAATATTTTGACCATCCGCACGACCACAATTCTAGTGATCAAGCACCAAGCGTCTCTAGCAAGAAGGTCTTTGTAATCATTCAGCTCTCAACCCTCTGAGAGCTAGTGCTTTCACATTAACAGATCCTAGGCCAACTGCCAAGCCACCGACAATACCACCTCACGATTCCCGCATCGCACACTTTACGCATGTATCAAACCAAACCACCTCTACACCCCCACCCCCTCGGTTAGTAGTCACACATCACGATTCCCGCATCGCACACTTTACGCATGTATCAAACCAAACCACCTCTACACCCCCACCCCCTCGGTTAGTAGTCACACATCACGATCTGCACTCCGCACGCCACCAAAAGCGCATCACCTTCCCAGTCCTTCCACAAACTTTGCCTATTCGGGCCGTTATCTGATATAGATCAAAACTAGACCCAAATCTTGCCTCAGGGTCCAAATCGCATGATAGAGTTTACCTTTTCGGACCGCAAGGCTGTTTGTAACACAGTACATGGACCCTTGCGCAGTTTCCAGTATTTTGAGGCGTTGCTCGTAACGAGGCATTTTTATCCGGTGGAATGGAATGTGTTGCACAGTTGCATTGCGCAATATAAACTTCGTCTTCGGACCGCTAAGATGGCGATTTACATTTTGGGGGTTTGAATGCGACTTTTTACCATTTGGAAGGAGTCATGTTCGACGAGAGGCATGGGGATTGAGTTAGCGTGCGCGCGCCTCTCGCGCCAGTCTTTCTTCCAATATTGACTTCGGCTGAGTTTGGTGGTTGATACTGAACCCTGGGGGTTTGCTCACCTGTTGGACCCTTGAAGCTTGCTTACTTGCTTGCGCACATACGATCGATCCTTGATACGAGGGCACCGACTAAGCGAACTCATGAGCCAGCTCGGGAAGCCGCAAAGTCTATTGAGGCTGCATTGAGGAGGGTTAAGGGAGTGGGGTACAGTAGCTCGTTTGGCGGCACGGCGTGCAAGTCCCCTTATGGATATCGAACGGTGCGGCAAGGATTTTATGAACACAGAAGTTTTCTTCAGCTGAGAGCCTGTACAGGAATGGAGAGTGTGTATTGGAGGTCATGTGCCTCATGAGTGCGAGAGATAGTTGACCATATAGAAGAGTATGTCGCCGCGGTCATATCCGGTCCATAGGTGCGTGTTGCGTCACCTCGCGCATTCATAGTGGACAAGATCATCTCAGATTCGCATTCTGATCTTAGGATTCATAATCTTGTGCTTGGTACAATTGCGCAATTCGGTGGTCTTGTCCTCTAACAGTTTGCGAGCTTGCAGCTAAGAGCTACAAGCTAGGAGCTACCGCATGCTCCATCATACTGTTCGGACCTGTCCTGTTCTAGACAAGTAGCGGAAGCTTGCTTGCACATAGTTCTTCAGCCACACACTAGCCATGCTGTCGCAGTGGCTGAACTTCGGCATCGGCATAGGCGGCGCCCATCAAGTCCGATATCGTGAAACCTCAAAGTTTAAAAATCCATCTTTCTCGGAGGTCCCCAGAATCGCATTTCGGCTCAACCCACGAGTTAAACTTAGCCACGCGCCGGCTCGGAGCGGAAGATCAATATGGGTTCAGCGGAAATCGTGATCTACAACATGGTGTGAGGCCTCCGAATAGCTCCGGCAGTGGTAGGATATAACTAGGAAATAAAAGCATCTTGACTCGGCAGGATCTGAAGTGATTACTCATGATGAGACTTGAGTTCCGAGAACGGGAACCACTAAGTAGCGGGAGGTGGAGTTCACGGAGTCTGCTAGGTTTTGGTTGCACGATCTTTGTCGGGGTATGCTCGCTGTGATATGTGGAGCCTCTGGAGGTGGCGGAGGCGAGCAAACTTGTCGGAGAACACTAACCCAGAGTACACAACTCCGCGAGTTCGTCGATCATCGTTCGATGTCGGTTCGCGGGCGCTGACTGTGGTTGCACTGATTGTGGCTGCATGCTTTGTCTATTACCATACAGGCCACTACGGCGCGTATGCATCGTGACACTGGACGTCCATAAGCGATATCTAGCGGTGATCAATCATCTACACATAGCACGCAGGGTACGGGTCACCGAGATCCTGTAAGCGGTGAAACGTGCTTGCGGGTGATAGCATCTAGTTTGACGATGGCATAGAGTTTGAACTGCTCCGGGCTAAAAGCAGACTAACCTGTTAGCTCGCATCACGCAACGTGACGGAGTAGACAAGTGCCTTACCATGGCCAACATGTCAAACTCGGCTGACAGCGGATTTAGTTTAGACGCACCTGCCACACGTTTTAGCGGGAGGAAGATATTATAGAAACGTGCAATTTCATTTCTGCACTTAGTGCGACACCACGTGCTGCAGCAGTGGCTTCACTACTAGTTGCATGATCTGAAAGGCGACATGCAGATCTTCATAGACTCGTGATGTCTTTCGTGTGAAGAATAGTTCATATCATGATGTTGATCCTAACGCCTATACCGCCCGTGACGCCGTTAATTCATATGCTAAAGGACTGCCGTTGGCCGAACGGTAGCGTCTCTCTTAGTCGACAGGCGCGTGCTTGAAGAGGAAACTAACACTCTCGCCGTTATGGGTACGCCTACAGGCTTCGGCAAGCTGTTTCTTGTTAGGGCAATAATCTTCGAAGGCATTATGAGTTACCCACAGTAGGACTGATGTCAATTGTCTCAATGCGATCGCACAGCTCTTTCTTGTCCTCGTGCGGTACGGTATTGGTGACGACGATCTTCTTGAGTTTACTGCCATTGAGGGCTTCGATGGCGTTACCACTCAGGATACCGTGTGTGACAATTGCGAGCGCATCCTTTGCACCCTCAGAGATCAGCACATCTGCCGCCTTGACGAGCGTTCCGCATGTGTCGGCCATGTCGTCGACCAAGATGGCCGTCTTGCCTCGTACATCTCCGACTAGCACCATTCGCGAAACTTCGTTCGGGCGTGTTCGCTCCTTGTGGATAAGGGCAAAGCCAAGGTTCAAGCCATCCGCTATCGAAGTTGCCCTGAAAATGCATTAGCACTAGCACCTTCTCGAAGCCGTGTTGCGGAGAGCAGTCCGATGCTTCAGTGTGGCACAAAGTAACACTTCAGGGTCTTGGGTTTGCATCGTTGCACGGGTGTGCACTCCCTCGCTCAGCACGAAATACTCGCGGCAGCTTTTAGCAAACATATGCATGGCGTGATCTTACCTCTTTGCACCTCCTGCATCTGGACTGACAATAACGCAGTCCTTGACGTCCAGGTTCTCGCGAATCCACCTAAGAGTGCTCGGTTCAGCGTAGAGATTGTCTACGGGCACATTGAAGAAGCCCTGAATTTGGCTGGCGTGGAGGTCCATTGTGATGACGTGGTTGCAACCGGCAGTTTGAAGCATGTTTGCCATAAGTTTTGCTGTGATTGGCGCGCGAGACTTGTCCTTCTTATCCTGGCGGGCATAAGGGAAGTTTGGGATTACAGCAGTAATGCGGCGGGCGGAAGCCGTTTTGCACGCATTAATCATGATCAGCAGCTCCATGAGCGCATCGTTGATGTCGCCTGGTGGTGTAGATTGCAGAATGAAAACTGCATTGTGGTAAGCTGAGGAACGTTGGACGCAGTGGTGCTCGCCCCCAAAGTAAGATGATGCATACCATCTTCGTCTCGGACGGACTCGCCGATAGTCACGGAAGTCTCCTGGTTTGAGTATTGAAGCACGAGAATCTTGGTGAGCTCGATTCCGAGTCTGCGACTCCGTTAGCGATGCTGGTCGAGCATGTGTGCAACAGTCGAGCGCCGTGTTTCTAGTTTCACAAAAAAAGAAGAAGATGAAGATCTAAACATGTTGCATGGCCTTGCAAGCTGAGTGGTAGCCATGTCTACTGTGTGGCAGTAGTGATAAAGGCGTGACAGTCGTCGGGCATGTGCATGCCAAGTCATAGCGTCAAAGAGCGTCAAGAGGTAAGAACTTGAACGTACCGATCAGCCACAAGAGCGGCGAGCTCAGGATAGCTGTTGCCGGTCAGTAACTTGATGCTGTTGGTAGCCATGGTGGTGAGAGTGACGGTGGGAAATATGTCGACTTCTGAAACTCGTCACGTTGTCGCCCAAAGAGTGAACTTTTTCGCGCAAAAACGCGGGCACGGGCCCGTGCGGAGAAGGACCGGAGAAAGGTGGCGCCGACACAAAGAGGCTGGACAGTCCGGCCGCGGCAGGTGCAAGCGGACCCCACCAAGTGCACTTATCTGCGGCATCTCGACCGCAGCCCACTTTCGCACCTTCGAAGAGAGCTCATCTCTGCTAAACGGCAAATATACATTCAGTCTTGGAAGTCGGATACATACCAGATGCGTGCCGTGTGTTGGGATGTGCCTTACAGTCTTCTAGTCGCCTTCTGAAACTTGACGGCGGCTGAGATCCGTGTCGACCTCGCTGGGTGTTCTAGGCGTGTCCTACATCTCCGGGCATGTCATCGACTCTCGTCGCCATGTGCCTCGCGAAACCTGCAAAAGTTGTTTCTAGTCCAATAGGGGTGAGAACATGAAAATTGATGTGATTGCTGTGCGGGTGTGCAATGTGCAGCCTCGCGTAGCACGTATAGACACCCTGGTAACCTATAGAAACGATACTTTGGGCAAGGTCCCCTCTCAAGTTCTTACCCCACCGTATCTCCGTTTCATCGGGCACCTTTCAAGATGTTGTGATGCCCCCGTTGAAACAGACTATAATGGGCATGTTATAGCAAGGATTCCAGCCTGGCCACGTGCGGTATATAGCTCAATGAAACAATTTGAGCTCTAGAGCGCACAGTTCATGTCGCGCTGAGCACTGCTTGCTCCGCTGTACTTGTGGGCAAATTATCTACTATCGTCGTGACAGTTGCCGTCGCAGCCCTTACCCAGAAGAAGAAAACTAGACACCGTACCTACCGGGGTCGTCAGTGCGATATCTCCTACCAGGTCCAAGCCGTGTGCTTGAGGCATGACGATGTCACGAACCTAGTCTCTAGGCAGGATCAGCGTCACAAGGAATATTGGAAAGAGACCGAAACATTTGGCTGGAGATGTCATTCTTGATTCATCTACCCCTGCAGGTAGTATCTAGATACATGCGTGGTGCGCCACAATAGCGCCCTGCCCTTGTCAAAACTCAAACATGAAACGCCCCCCCAGCATGGTCATCGCCAGTTTTGACATCGTGATGTAAGAGAAAATATTGATGTGCAGAAGAGTACTTGGAAGAACAGAAAGGATAGGCAAAAGCTTGGGTATAGATGCCAACGTATACGATAAAGCAGAATGTCGATGATATAATCGTCCTTTTGTGTGCACGAACGTCGAGTCGAGCCAATCCAGAAAGATAGAAGAGATATTGGTAAGAGGGGCATGTACTCAGGTCGTTATGGTACAAATAGAGAAGTCGTGAGATGTCCAGAGGTCGAAATTAATGATAGGCTGTGAAAGGCAAGGAAGAGGGTATCGAAACTGGTGAATGGAAGAAATGTTTCTCGTGAGGCACTTAGCAGGTCTGCTCGCACATCTTGCCGATAGCCTTTTCGATATCAGAGAAGAGATTCAAAACGTGACCATCGGCGTAAATTTTGATTGACTCGGTCTCTTTTCGTTGGTGTCGAGAAGGGCTGTCGATCTTTACAGGACTTCGTGGTGGTGTAGTCTCGGCTAACTGATCCCGAGCACTAGGGTTGAGAACGATAGCAGCAGCGACATGCTCAAGTAACTTTTGCCGAAGTCGTAAGCGGCGATTTTCGGCCTGCTCGAGTTTCAGGATGAATTCATCGATCGAAATGTCCAGCTCAGCTAAGGCTTCTTCTTGTTTGAGGAGTGATTCGCGTGAAAAGATGACTGTTTCTCCGCGCCTCAGATAAGCGATCATACGACCGTGCAGCTTTTGGCGGCCCGCTCGCAAGGACTTGTAAGTCTTTCGAAGGTAATCGCAGCGCTCATCAAGTGCTCTGAGTTCCTGTATCGATGTTAGCGCTGGTCGTCTGAACAAGGCTGTAAAGAGCTTACCCTTGACAATGATGCGACATCACGTTTGTGCAGAACCTCGAAGTTGCCAGCCTGATCGTATGCTTGTTTATGGAGAAGCTTCTTGTCGGCGTCACTCATACGTCTTGCAGCTTCTGATACGCGCATTCCTTCGGGCAACTTCCATGAGTCTGGGATAGCTTCGGAGCCGTCGGCCTCTGATACAGTCCTGCTGCGTTCTCTCTTACTGTTGCGTCGTTTAGGCCGGCCTCTTTCCATGATAGACGACTCTGACATGTTTCGGTTATGAGCAGATGATTGTGTTGCGATAGGATCTCTCCTCTCAGTCCGTGGCGAGCCTCGGTTCGACGCAGGCGATGATGCATAGAAAGGGTTGGTAAAGGCTGAGGGTGGAGTAGGAAGTGGAATACTACCATTGGGCGATCTTCGGAGGTCCATCGCACTTAACGGTGTGTTACCCCCTGAAGTCATCGATGCGGGCGTTGTCATCTGTGGCCGGCTTGTTTTCGAGCTCAGGATGAGTGGGGCTGGTGAAGTTTTGCGCTCAACGGCTGGTGATTTAGGTGGTACTTGTGGGCGGGTCTCTTCATCCATACTGGCGGTCTGAACCTTGAGGTAGGGCCTGGGGGTTGCACCGGGGCTAAGGATAGGAGAAAGCGGTCTTCCGGAAGCGTTGGGTAGATCAGAAGAGGAGAGGGCGTTGGTATGTTGAGTTGGGACGGGAGAAGGGCCTGTTACACAAGCCATCATTGCATCACCAAAAGGTCCTGTTCTCCAGTTTGTACCTGGGGCACTGCACGATCTCTCATGGCCAAAAGCTTCGTACGAGAGCTTGCGGAGGGGCGGCCTTCCTGGGATGGTTGCTGAAGACATTGTAAGCAATTTTTCGAACATGGTGGATGTGAGTGAAAACTTACGGGAGTCGATAGACATTTCTTGGACAGTAGTCATGGTGCTTCCAAGTTCAGGCACACTGACTTTTCTTCTTCGCGACAAGGATCCAGTTCGCTGCCAAAAAGGCAAACTGCTCTCGGGCAGCACGGCAGTATCACTAAGAGAGGTAGATGAGCGGCCAGCAGAAAGGGCAGCGAATTTGTCAGAAGATTGATTTGGCTTGGACAGTCCCACTGGGCTTTTTGCTGAAGGCCAAAGTTGGTACTTGGATGCAGCAGGCTGATGAAGGGTTGCTAGCGAAGGGCTCTTGGTGTGGGAAGAAGCACTTGGCGATTGAGAGTCTCTGGCAGCCTGAATGTCTCTGAGTGAGCGTGAACGTCGGGGCAAATGATAGTTCATTGCAATGGAGAGTGGAGCTGGGTGGCTTACCATCCTGCAGGACGTTTCTAGAGTTATATAAACAGAAGACCTGTCGGAATCGGAGCGCATGCAATTGGCAATGTGTGCCATGACGGACGTTTGAGGTTGCCGTGGCTCACTGTCTGAAGTACAAGGTTGGTGAGACTCGGGAGGCGGGCACGTCAAACATGAAGGCTTTCCCTGCATGTATGTGGTAAAAAAGACACTGCAGCGGGTTAAGTGTGGCTCACAGGCACTAGTGTTGATACCTGCAGCAACGAGGAGAGCCCCTGCAAAGGCAAAGTACCAATAACAGCAAAAGTGTCTAGGCTGTCGGGGGCGCGTCCTAGACGGGGTTGGCGGGAATTGGATGAAACGCGAGCCTAACCTCGCATGTCTGGCGATTCGTGGGGTAGGCTATATCGTCACGCAATTAATGCCTAGGGTGATCTGCACGATGTGCACAGCGGCACCACCCTTAGCATCGAGCACAGCGCATGGTTGCGACGGATGGTGCCTTTTGGTTGCAACAAGTTGATCTGCAGGATAGTGCGGAGGCGAGTAGCAGAGCAGGTGCGAAGCATCAGGTGCTCGCGTCTAGCGCAAGGTAAAGCGGACCTGATGCAGGATATCGGCCATCATCATCTATCCAGCTCAATTGCCAGGCGGTTTATCAATGCCGGTGGTTTGCACCAAAGCGGTAGGAAAGCCGGCCCACCAGGGAGAAGCAGCAAAGGGTCGCTGGCGACTGAATAATGGCCCTGGCTGCTGGTGAGGAGGCGACGAGCACCAGCGGTGGACGTGTTGTTGAGAAGAAAACATGTGCCCCGTGCTGTCGTAGTGCATTTGACTTGATGGTAGTTCAGATGAGGTTGTGCAGACGGTGCGTGCCTCTCCGCCATGCCGCAAGAACGTTGGTGAGTTCGGGGCAGGAGGGAGGAAGGTGCACCTCAGGAACAAGCAGCTGCGAAGCGAACGTTTAGAACTAGCAGGGGGCTGCCATTGGCTGCGGAAGCGGCCTCGTGGCAACCCTGGGCCGGAAACAGGGTTATCACGGCACAGCAGCAGCAGCAGCAGCAGCCGCCACGAGTCGTAAATACTACGAGCTTTTCTAGACGATGACGCTCAAAGCTTATCGCATGCGTTGGTGCGACCCTTCAGCACTGGCAAGGGCATCCGCTCCACTACTAGCACTCAACCTTCACCTCATACGAGCGGCCAAATGTCGTGAGAGAAGCGGCATATTCCACCGACAATTGCCTCCCCTGTCGACACCCAGGTTTGCACACCTTCCTAGCGAACACTCGAGACGAAGACGATCATGTTTAGTCGTCGTTCCCCTCCGATCACTTCCACCGTCATCTCAAAGAGAATCGGGCAAATAAACCCACCATGTCCCACACAGCAGCTATAGGCGAGGTCCAGTCTTATAGCCGTCGTCCGTCACTTAATTGCATACGACAGCTGCCCAAAGATTCAGTTAGTCGAAGAAAACATGGCAGAGTCTCTCGTGTGGCGTGTGTGCCTCGTGTTAATACCGGACTGTTGCTAGTTCGGTCGCTACATTGTCACTTGCCAACTGCCCTCGACGGTTGCGTGGGATCAAGAGAGGTCCAAGCTGCCCGTGGGTCCTCGACGCTGTCTCTCCATCTATAAACTTTGCACTATGCTGGTGCCCATGCCTAGCTCTTCCTTTTCCATACGCGAACAGCGTCTTGACTTGCTTCTGCTATGCCGACGCCGGCGCCATCACGAGTGCGAATCTGAAAGAACCGCCCTACGACTTCTGCCTGCGATTGCCGTCCGTTGTGGGCCGCTTCCAACTTCTTGATACCACTTGCGTAGAGCCGCATCTGCCTCTTTCCCCCGAGCCTTGTACGCCGTTTCACTCTACTATCCGTGCGGTGGCTATTTATCACCCACCCTAGCCGAGCGTTGGACCCCCACGAAACATCATGCAAAGACATTTGTGCCCATCTTCCTTCGCATCTGGCGTTCGAGACGATAGCGACGTTGCGGTTTCCAACAGCAAAGCTTCATCACGTCGATATGCATGCAACTATCACTAGGTACGTTGCGCTACACAATTTCGGCTTTCCGCTCCGCTCGCATGCAAGTGCGTTCCGACTTCACGCCAAGCGACGTAATGAACGGGCTAGTGTCAGCAAGGGATTGCTGCATGAGAGCCACCAACTTTTTCGCAGAGTCATTATCATCCGATTTGCACCACATGCGGTTACATTCTTACCTGTTCCTTATCAAAAGCAACTTTTGTGTGCGGTTCATCTTGCTGCTCAAACTTCCGCCTGGACCATCTTCTCCGAAAGGGGATATCTTGGCTGCATCCCAGCATGGCTCTTGACCGTTCGGGGTGGAGACTGCGTCTGGTCACATTCGGTCGGGTTCGCAGGCAATGAACGATGCTCATCATGCAACAATTGTTGGTCCAAAACAGCTAGATTGTCTCGCGCAACAGCACCAACTGGAGTAGATGGATTTACATCGCTATGCATACGAAAATCGTATCATTCTCCAAAACTGCTGCGTCACGTCGAAAACACATGCACACGCATTTGTTTTGATGGACATGTGCCGGTTCCGATTGTTTCGAGAGAGCGCCACTCCATCATCCAAGGCGCGGGAGTCGGCACGCGTCGGTTAATCCCCAAAGAAAATTACAAGGCCTGTTTCTGTTCGAACATGTTATGGAGACTGTCCGTCATAGCCTTGCTATATTGCGCCGAACGCAGTTGTCATTTTGAGTCATTCCATGACCAAACCCGCCGCGAGTTGTACCGCAACCGAGCTACTAATTGGACATACGCAGCGCATCGTGGTAGTAATCAGTGGCTTATTGCTACTGCGGATCCTCATTACGATCACCTCCGACATACACGTTGAACAACGCGGGCATTTTGCATTATCAAGCAAGAAACATCTCTATTCCAATGTCGCTTCTGTCATGAAGTGATTTTGATGCGCATATGGCCCCACTCAAATCAGACACTTAGCAGCCGCAAAAACACATCAAACATACACAGCTCGGAGCAGGTTTGTACCATGTCTAAGCGGGTCAACTGGATCGACCATCACCATGTATTAGGACTCAATTACCTGGGTCCCAATTACTTTCACTGAACGTATCGTAATTTCGGGTGATATGACAAAAGACGTCTGGGTAATAAGACTATCTGGTAGGGCAAAGCTGGATAGCTTGTCTCTCATGCTGATACTCAGATTCTCAGACGTTATATTCTTGCAACGGATTGTTACCTCCCATTGATTACAGATACAGACACCACACCCCTGACACGAAAAGGTAAACATCGACCCCTTACCGTTGCTCAACACTCAACAACATACATTCCCTCTAGTGGTCATTCACCAACGATGTCTCCTTCTTATGCATGAGCCATCCTTCTCGGCTATCTTCATGTTTGCGGGGAACCCATGTCGATGGGTGTATAAGCCTCTGCTACGACCATCCATGCGTGAGACGAAATCCTGGTGTTGGGTTACCATTTCGACCGCGAACATAGCTCGATCGCCGAGCTCCCGCAATAGTCACTCGGCAATGCTACATTGAACAGCAAATGCAATACGCCACTCGCTGCGAGTTCGGTAGTTGATTGTTTGGATCGGGTATTGGCATGTATTGACATCACATAAGAAAACCTCGTTGTCATATCATAATCATTTATACATCTCTTATAGCATGTGATGTTTGCGAACAGAGTTCAATAACACTGTCAACATCCATTTACGTTCTTTGAACACGATGCTGAGACGAGGAAGGGATTCCCAAGAAGAGCATAGCCACACAGCAAGAAAGGAAATTCGCGAAATCGACGATGTAGAAAGCAAAGTAGAGCTAAAAGCTGCTTAGCATGCCAAAGCACAGGCAAGCTTTCAAGAATAAAACTTCTCGAAGACGCGTAGAAGCCTGAGGCGCAAAAGTAACAGGAAAATGGCGCACGCCGTACTGCACCCGCCACACCTTCCACTGCGCGAGCGACCGCTATGACATAAAAAAGCCTACCACATTAAGATTCAGACGACCCTTCTTTCTTTCTCCGGAGTATCCTCCTAGCACCTTGGAACGGCAGCTAGAAGCTTCATTCCGCGCATCTTCTAGCTTCGGGATTCGGAATTTAAGAATCTCGCTGGTCAGCAAGCTAAACTTACACCAAACCTGCGCCAAACTTAGATGCAAAAGATAAGATGTCGTCTTCAGATCGTTGAGCTAGTCTAGCTAGCGATGTGTTCGTCCCTAGGGGAGTAGGCAAGCCGTGTGAGCCGTGGCAATTATGGTTTGGCTACTGGAAATCCCGCAGCTAACTGCAGGCGACGATTCGTAGGTGCATGTGTAATTTTGAACGGCGCATCCCGTGTCGAATCTGGTGTTGTTGGATTGAAGGGTTGAACAGGGTCCTTTGCCCCACCAGCTTGCAGTCTGCAGACACGCTGGACTTGATCACTGCAAACTATATCGCCTCCCGCATATTGGGCGAGCACCTCACGAGACACGCATTTGCTGACGTGATACTATTTTTGCCCCCATTATCAACATCAGGCGTAGTGTTGGCGTTGTTAAACGTTGATGCGCAAAAAGACGCTTCGTGTGTGGAAACAGGATTTTCCTGCACGGTACTTGCGTGTCCTGCTTTTTTCCTTCTTAACCGGAATATGCGGGGTGCCGTGCAAGAGGCTTGCACACAGAGGAAACGGGGTTGTAGAGGGTAGGTACCGAGTATGGGACCCAACAGTACCGATTACCAGACAAATCAATTGTAATAATAGATGTCATTATAGCAGAGTTGCGAAGGGGTTACATATTTCTACACAGCTATTGTACATCGTGAGATTTGGAGACACGACTAAGAAGACGCAAGCATGCAACCGTCGCCCGCTCCTTCGCTTTGCATGTCAGGCATTCCGCACGGCAGATGAAATCGTGTTTAAGGTTCCAAGGATGTGAACATTGTGCATATTCTTGCCACCAAAAAACCACCTCATGCAGTGGACATTGCCGTGAGGAGCCAAAGGATCGATAGCCGACATTAGGACCCTCTCTTGCACACACCTACACATCCGGCAGTCGTCCGTTCCCTCCGTTCCGTTCTTTTACACACCCATACACTCACTCCACCAGGAACTCCACGTTCCGATCCAGATCGTAGAATCCCATGGTCGCCGCCATCCCTACCTTTCACGTGGCCGTGCTGCTTTCATGCCATCTCCTATCCTTTCTTCTTTTACATCGGCGAGCTCCTTCCCGCACCGTTTTCTACCACAAAACAAACATTTCAGCTGCTCCGCCATCCTGGCCAGTAAACCTCAAACTCGTACCGTATTCCCCGTAACAGTCCTCCACAACCGACACTATCTTAGCTCAACGCCCAGCCTCTCCACAAGTAAGCCCCTCAGCCGCTCATGCAGCTCGTTAGTCTCCTCGTTCGTAAGTGTGCGTTCCAAGCTGCGGTAGTTGATGCGGTAGCACATGCTCTTGCGCCCAGTCTTGGGATGCACGAATTCATCCGTTAGGCGCACATCTTCCACAAGATCACCGCAGACTTCTCGCGCGATTTCCATCACGTCGTTCTCGTGGAAGATGGAGGACGGTGGCGCGGGAGCCGCTGGTGGGATTGGTGCACCAGTTGGTGCTGATGGATTCGAGGATTGCGTGGAGGATGCTATGGGCGAGTTGTTTGACATACCTCCTGCAGGCGGATGAATGGCTGCGGCTCCACCAGCAGCGTTCGAGCTACTCCTCAACCAGAAGCTTACGTCCTTGAAACATGCAGGGTGTTTGCTAAAAGGCACGAAGCGGCGAATGGCTTTCTGCTCGCTGAACTGTGATAAGAACCGATTGTCCTTTGACCAAAACAGGCGTATATCCGGGATGGAGTAGAGCAGCATAGCGATGCGTTCTAGACCTATGCCGAAAGCCCAGCCTATGCGGTTGGGGACCGAGGCATTATTTAATATGGGTTGTGAGACGATGCCACAACCGAGGACTTCGAGCCAATCGCCTTGCCAAAAGACTTCGAGCTCCCACGAAGGCGAAGTGAAGGGAAAGTAGGCTTCCACCCATCGTACCTTTAGTGGCTCATCTGGTGATTCTGTGTCTGTAGCACCCTTTGCAGCGTTGAAAATCGTGACTACCATGTCTTCGAGACTGCGTTTCAGATGTGCTGCCATGGCTTCAGCCTCTTCTGCTGAATGGCCTGCTTGAAGGGGGTTACGTTCAGCATGGAAAGGCGGATTCGGGTCTTCAACCGCAACATTGTGCTTGGGAATCTTGTCCACATCATCCCAAATGATTTGCGCCAGTGTCTTGCCTTCTCTTTCTGCTTGCTGACGATCCCAAGTTCGTGCTCCCTCCATCTGATGGAAAACGGGATAATGACTTCTATCGATGGCATCTCGTCGGTATACATCGGCACTGATAAGATACCCCTCGCTCTCGTTGTTGCGAAATGTGTCGGCTTGATGTGCTGAGGTGTGTGTTCGTAGTACGGTGCCCTTGTTCACGTAGTAGGTATCCGTCCTACTGCGACCTATGTGGTCTAATGGAAAGCCAAGTGAGTCGAAGTTTTGTCCAGTGGTAACGATAGGAAAGAGATCATTGTGGGTCTTGTAACCTGGAAACCGTGACTCGATGAGTTTCCGTGTGATAGTCAAAGGGTGATCTGGTTGCAGATGTAGGCGTCTCGATATAGCGGCAAGGATGGTTGAGGGTGTATTCATCCATTCGTCGGTTTGATATGTTCGTCCTTCTATCTTGATCTCTTTTGGGAATGCTCCTGCTCATACTTAGATTCTATATCGTAAACCTTTCCGATACAGGCTGAGTACGACCACGATGAGTAAAGGTAGCGACATCGTTGATCTGATAGGTCCCGAACCTTGATCAATGGGCGTGACTATAGTTGATTCGGTACAAAAAGCTAGGAGCCGCATCACATGATGGCAAACTCACCTGAAGAATTGTGCCTCACCGCATGACTGCACGGCCAAGGCGAAACTGAGCTCCGTGGTATCCGCAACAAGGCATTTCGACCAAATTGACGGCAAAGAGCCGTAGAGGAAAGTGGTATCCGCATCTTCGATGGTGATATACGCCCTTACCATCACGTTCACAAAACCGCACGCGACGCCAAGCCCAGCCCGCCAGCCCCGAGCTTAAATCCGGAAGCAGCACGTTTTGCCGATGACGTCCGCTTGCCGAATTCTCGGTCCCTCAACTACCACCGACGCTCTACAAGCTTCCTGACTTTTAAGGCGATAGCTTCCCTGCCCCTGCCAGCTACACATGCTGTCGCTGCGTAGCTATTCACCTTCAACATGGCGGACGTCACTAAGAAAGTGAGCGTGCCTGAGTTACGGAAGAGCGAGGATGTGAAGCCTATCAGGAAGACGCCGATACATTATCCATTTTGGTTTGGTGGAAGCGCAAGTTGTTTTGCGACTTTCTTTACGCATCCCCTGGATCTTGGTAGGCTTTCCACAGCTATGCGCGTAACATTGGACATTTGGCTAACATTTTGAACAGTTAAGGTAGCTTCTTCAACTGTCGCATGCGCCAATTCATACATACTCACAAACTCAGGTCCGGTTACAAACACAAGCGACGACTGGAGTACGGTTGAATATGATGCAAATGTTTGGTCATGTCATTAAGACGGATGGTGCATTGGGACTGTACAAAGGCGTACGTTGACTTACGTCCAATTTCACATGCTTCCATCTAATGCGACACCAGATATCCGCAGCCCAGCTTCGCCAAGGGACCTACAGTATGACACGCTTCGGTGTCTACGAAGCCCTCAAAGAACGTATGACTACCGCCGACACAAAACCCTCGTTCCTCACGCTTGTCGGCATGGCCTCCATATCGGGCTTCCTCGGAGGCTTCGCTGGTAACCCAGGAGATATTTTGAACGTACGAATGCAACACGATGCAGCGTTACCGAAGGAAAAGCGACGAGGTTATAAGAATGCGATCGATGGGATAATACGAATGTCGCGGGAAGAAGGTGTAGCAAGTCTGTGGAAAGGCGTCTGGCCCAACTCGTCAAGAGCTGTGCTCATGACTGTGGGTCAACTGGCAACTTATGACGGATTCAAGCGCGTGCTGCTAAACTATACGCCGCTGCAAGATAACCTCGCAACACACTTCTCCGCATCGTTCTTGGCAGGATTCGTAGCTACAACGATATGCTCGCCGGTAGATGTCATCAAAACTAAAGTCATGAGCTCCAGTGATAATGTTGGACTCATAAAGACCGTTTCAGATACTATGAGAGCAGAAGGATTCCGTTGGATGTTCAAGGGCTGGGTACCGAGCTTCATTCGCGTTGGACCGCATACCGTGCTCACGTTCTTGTTTTTGGAGCAACACAAGAAAGTCTACCGGCAATTGACGAAGCTGGAGTAGGCAAAAGGGGTTCAGCATAGATACGCATGTATTTTATGCAATCTCGGGGTATGCGACGAGACGAATGATACCATATGGGCGGGCGTTTGGCGATGACAGCATTTTGCGGCGCGACATCATAGACTACGATCCGATGCATCGGTCAGTTTGCAAATACATACGATCTATTCGTATTCGTCCGAAACTTTCAGCTCGAAACAAGAACGCATCCCCGCAGCAGTGTTTCTTGGCGCGTTGTTGTGCCTCATAGATGCAAATCAACCAAATGAAGCTTTCTTAGACGTCAACATCTCGCCACTCGGAACGAACCCGAAAGTCAGGGAGAGTACGTTTTAGGAGACTGGTGACGTACGCCTTCAGACAGACCGAGTTTATAGTGGGTCATGTGTTCTCTACTACGGCCGTTGTGGGTGAATTGATTTACGGCCGTAGAAAGTGTAGTACGGCGGCAGAACCGCAGCCCGGCTAAGACTTTGTCGCTGTGCATCTACCTTGCCAACAACGCGACACAAACCCACAACCATGCGCATCTGCTTCATAAGAGGCTATATTCAATCTATGATCCTGGTGGACACTGCGTTTTATGTATAAACAACTCATGAATCATGATTAGTCGAGACAAGACAATGGAAATTATCATCTGACAAGGCGGGGAATAACGTTAAGTTCTCCGAGTGCCGCAGTCAAGGTTATATGGGAGTATTCCTTCTACTTACAAGGCGGTGTTCGCATCCACGAATTGACATCATACATTTACAATTGACATACTTCCACTAGGATTCAAACATTCAAACCCATGACGGCTATCGACATCACCCTCTACTCAGCCTGCGCTGTAACATTCGTACTTGTGAGGCTTCCCAATTACTCCGGTTGAATATTAACTGACATGTTTAAAGGTTTCACAGATCATCTATCGACTTTACTTCCACCCGTTAGCTAAATACCCAGGGCCCTTTCTAGCAAGATGCACGTCTTGGTACGGGGCGTACCAATCATACACCGGAAACATTCATCTAGACGTCCAAAGGTGTCATGAGAAATACGGTAAGTCACAAAGCATATGGTTGCATGTTCGGAATATTGACATACCATAGGCAATGTCGTACGCTACAAGCCAAATGGTCTCATTGTCAACACTGTCGAAGGACTACAAGGTATGTCACTAAGCAAAGCCGAAGTATGATGCATCTGATCGTCTTAGACATATACATGCACCCTTCCAAGACACAGAAGGCACGAGGTTACATTGGCTTCAGGAACGGCGAGCCAGAAGTCAGCATCATCAACGCGCTTGACCGAGAGGAGCACGCGCCAAGGAAGAAGATGTTGAGCCGGGCTTTCTCTACTGCTGCTTTAAAGAAGTATGAACCCGTGATCTACAAAACAGCCAAAGTATTCGGCGACACTCTCCTCGCGAATCCTGAATCTGGCGAGAAAGCAGGATCTTGGGGTCCTGGTCTGAACATTGGCCACATGAGTATGTTGAAAGACTTACTAAGGATCGTGACTCTAACATGAATAGGCTCATATTTCACTTTCGATATCATGTCGAACATCGTCTTCTGTAAGTGTCCCTATACGAACTGCATGTGAGACATACACTGACTTCGTACACCTACATTTAGACAGCCCACAAAACATGATGACCGAAACCCATGCTCGACCCATCCTTGAATCAATTGACAGCACCATGTTGATGGCCGGTATGGAAGTGATACAGCCACGACTGGTCGACTACCGGAACCTAAGAATTCGTCTCCTACCAAATCTCACAAAGAAGATTTTGGAACTTAGAGAACGGGTTTTGCCACTTGTAATGGGTAGAGTAGAACTAGAGCAGAAGCAGCACGTGGACGATATCTTCGGAGACCTGATTGGGCAACAAGACAAAGAAGGCTCAGGACTTACTAACGCGGAGCTCATGGCTGATGCATTAGTCATGGTAATCGCAGGTAAGAGGAACAAGCCTCACTGTGCTCTCACTGCTTCATCATAATAACAACAACAGGTACCGATACGTCTTCCGTCGCCATCTCTGGTTTCTTCTTCTACCTCGCACGCTATCCAGAAGCCTACAAGCGATTAGCTGCTGAGATTAGATCAACCTTCTCGAGCCTCGAGGAAATCGCGCCGGGTCCAAAATTGACGAGCTGCTCATACCTCTTGGCTTGTATCGACGAAGCGCTGCGACTCGCCCCTCCAGTAGCCGCTCCTCTGTGGAAGGAGATGAGGATGCAAGAGTCGATAGCTGGGCACGTCCTTTTGAAGGGAATGGATGTGGCAACCTGCTGTTATGCCATTCAACGCAACCCAGCCTACTTCCCGAACCCCAATGAGTTCATTCCCGAACGATGGCTGCCAGAGAACCAGAGCGAGGAGGCGCTCAAGCTGGCAAAGAGAGCATTTATACCTTTTTCGCTGGGATCCCGGGGTTGTCTGGGTAAGAGCATCGCTTATATGGAGCTTACTACCGCGCTAGCTCAGATCATGTTCCGAGCGGACTGGAAGAGTGCTGCAGGACCTTTGGGTAAAGTCGGAGAGACACGGGTTGGGGCTGAGGGAAGTGTGAGTTTTGAGCTCAAGGGACATTTCACGAGCGAGAAGAATGGCCCGTACATTCAGTTTGTTCCTCGCCAGCCTGACCAGCAGGTGGTGGCTTAGACGCCAAGAGCCCTCTAGGGCATACAGTGTGTATGTGCTGAAGGGTTTGTGGAAGGGCTAGCGGGAGTAGCAAAATGGGTTTCTTGTGTACTTGAGGAGTATTTAATGCGTTAATTAGGACGTGCAACACTGTCTTATGCGGATAGGACGACCAATCGATCTTGTTACGATGCGACAAGATTGTAATTGTAGAAATGCAGGCTAAAGCAGTTCTTCTGCTCTGCGCAAAACATCATAACGTCTCATCTCCGCGACCTCGATCTCACACCTCCAATAAGCTCGAATCACTCTCCTACATTGCCTCCCACTTTGCACATACTAGTTCCAGAACTCGATCCATACCTTCGTCCAGTTCAAGCGACAATGCACGGATACCCGCGTCCTTCATGTTCGTGAACACCCTCTCAATCTCTGACTCTTCCTTCTCATGTTCATTCATAGCCTTGTATCTTTGGACGAAGGCGGCGCTTAACGAGCCTTAAGTTTCTCTCTCGGCCATCCATTCTTTCGAGGCATTGTGCCTCTTGCTTTCGACCTTGACCACAAATGATTCTTCCGGCATCCAAGGCATGTGTCCCTTGTGCTTACTGCTTTCCATAAAAGTATTCCACTGGTAAACGCTAGCAGGGAAACAACTGAGAAGTGCAGGCTTCCATGTAAGATCCCTATCCGATCTCGGGAACAATTCTCTGACGATGGCGTTGTCTTCGCCCTTCGTATCTATTTGCTCAAGACCTTTTATCTTGCTTGAAATAACAAGTTTTTCGCATATCACATCGACCATAGTGTTGTGCATACCGATCATGAAAATGAGAGAGGGTCGCGGTTGGGGCTTGACGCTTGAAATTGTGGAGGCCATTGGTGATAATCGGAAGAGTGCAGGTAACGGTCTTGGTAGGAAATACATCGATCGTGAAACAGAGACTGGTCATATGCACCCAGCAGGTCATAATTGCTTCGCTGCGTTTGCCACGCGCACGAGCAAGCTCCCCAAAGAACATCACACTTAGAAAAGCACAACCGGTTTGACCATAGAGCGTGTTCTCTAAGTAGTAGTGATGGAGCGACGTAATGCGCGGTGCGCTGAAAGACTAAAGCTGTACAACAGATTTAAGGCACCGCAAATAGGAAGAAGTCCGACAGAATGCCAGTCGCTGTATACAAAGTGTAAAAGGCCAAGAACATTGCTTGCAAGCAAAATCTAGTACTCAAAGAAAAGGCCTTAACCCTTGCTCTAGTGTAACATGTGTAGAAGCGTGTACGGGAACCACATAACAGGAGTATATAGGAATGATCGAGTCGTCATGTTCAGCATGATCAAGATGAATTGACAATACGTGTTTGTCAATCAACCAACGTGCAAGCACAAGGTACCTGTAAGGGTTCGAGCGAGGTGTCGAATGCGAAGGTTGTGGAGCGGTCGTGAAGTGATGCAATTGTTTATTGAGACAACTGCCTTAAGCAGTCAGTGGTATGAGAAGCGCCTATTCCCTAGAATGCCCGAAGTTTTCATTCAGATACAGGAGCCCACACCGTTATTTTCGTGCCGACGCCAATGTAATCATTCCACGACCCAATCATGAATTCATGAGAACTCTCTAGTGCTTCATGGAAGACGCCCTCCTCTTGCGGGCCTCGTCGTGTGCGGCCTTGGCGTCGTTGATGCGCTTGGAAAGGATCTGAGCGTACTCGTTCTGTATTGTCATTAGCCAGTATTCTGTTTGTCATAGTATTGGATTAACGTACGGCAGCATCCTTGGAAGCCTCCGCGCGACGGCGCTTGAGTGCCAGCCTGTGACGCTTGTGCTGGAGACGCTGGGGAGTAACAAGACGCTGGATCTTGGGGGCTTTGGTGTAGGGCTTTGCGCCCTCCTTCTTGGGCTGGACCTCACGGCGGATGACGAACTTGCGAACCTACACATGCAATGATTAGTCTTCAAACCTTGAAACTTTCTAGCTCACTTCTTGTTGCTCAGACTCAATGCGCTGCTTGTAGCAGGACGAGCGAGACTCAATCCGCCATGCGAAGCAGGATTGGCGAAGAAGCTATGAGGTAACTCACATCATCTTCCTTGCTGAGACCGAAGAAGCGGCGGATCTTGGTGGCACGCTTGGGACCGAGGCGCTTGGGGTGGACAATGTCGGTCAGGCCGGGGATGTCCTCGTCACCCTTCTTGACGATGCTGAGAGCAAGGACGGAGAGGTCCATGCCGACGATGCAACCACGGACGGACTTCCTCTTGCGCTCACCAGTGCGGCGAGGGCGGTAGCAGGAGTGGCCCTCAGCGAGGAGAAGGCGGACACGGGTTGGGTGCATGACACCCTGCTTCATTGGGAAACCTTGCTTGTCGTTACCGCCGGTGATCCTGACGATGTATCCCTTGAACTCGTCGCCGATGCTGTCGGCGGGGACTTCTTGACCCATGCGGCGGTCCATGAAGACGCGGAGCTTGCGCTCATCGTCGACCTCGATCAACTTCTGGGTTCCATTGTTGGGGTAGGAGATGTTGAGCTTCATCTTGACTGCGGCGTCTCGACGGCGTGTGGAAGCTGCAACGTTAGTAGATTGTCGTGGTGTTGTAGGGTCGTCGACTCGAAATTATCAAAATGGCCCTTCGCTTAAAGTGAGTGGTGCGCGCTAATCGGGTTTTGGCCTGTCACGTGCTAGCGCGACTCTCAGGTACGGCAATCGCGATCACCAAACTTTGCACGACTTTATCAAGGCATGTGGGGTAACACTCGCATCCTCATGCTTTGGTCATCTAAAGCCTGCTAGATCCTTAGATCTGCTTCTGCAGCAAGACATACCCGGATGCATCCTGCGCAGGCACACGATCAGTTTACAGCGACGAACACGGCTATGGAGACTTGGACACCCATCTAGTGCATCTATTGCCTCGGTCTTTTCAGGTTGCAGTATCACACGAGTATTTTGGGACGACTAGTACAGAGCTGGTACTGTTTCTACACATTTGCCAAGATGTTTGGAACCTGCGTAGCAAAAGGATGTGTAAAATTTAATCTGTTTATGCTATTCGAACGGGATATCATACCATACCATACCATGCCAATGTCTACCCATTAATCTCATTGCAACCAAATTCCTGCCAAAGGTATCCTTACTCCCAGATGCTCGCGTTGCCTAGCTCGAATCCGAGCCGTCCCCAGATCAGCAAACCACCAACGCCGAAACTATGCATTCGCCATTTCATTGCAGACACAAGAGGCTTTTTGATAACACAAAGAAAGAAATGATTCGAGACACCACTAAACGTCTAGTGCATAAGCTCGACCGGTGGCCTGGCGGTGCTGACAGTCATGCCCTGCGCCTTCTGTGACGAGATTGGTCCTTCGATGCCTTCCATCGCATCAATGGGTGTCAACGGCTCAGGTGTCTCCGTTGTGTCTTCGACTGATATGGCTGGAAGGTTTGGCGAGTCACCGTGGTCTTCGGGGTGATAGACTACAGTCGTACTGCCAGTCCGCCTTCTTGTGATTTGAGCGCCTCCGTGATCGGTCTCAGGTGATGTAGCCTCATGGTTTGCGTGTAACCGCGCCAGCGCTGCTGCCAGGTCTTCTGGGTGCACAATCTTGTTCGGCGCATCCTCTTCCTTCATTTCCCAGCCCATCGGTGGTGAAGGTGGCGGCGAGATGAAGAATAGCCGGTCTGACTTTGGGAGGGCGAGGTGCTGGTCTGAGGGGTTCATAGGTGTGTTTACACCAAAGTATACGCGAATGCGATAGCCCATGAGTTGCTCGCCATCAAGGGCTTGTCGAACTTGTATCGCAGATTCAATGTCGAAGAAAGATACTACGATGCGACGGAAAGACTTGAGCGGCGCCCATGTGTGTACTTTGGCATGTTGGTCTATGGTTTCGCGGATCTCGGTGAGGGTTGATAGTTGGAAGATTTCGGGTGCCAGAAGGTTCTGAGTCCTGTTAGATGGCGTCGTTGAAGTTGACGAGTGCAACACTTACGGTTATGATGAGTGTGTTTGAGGGGGGTGATGGCTCGACCAGCGGGGGTAGGTCTGAGAAGTCGAGAGAAAGTGGCGACTTGCTGCGGGATGATGCGCGAGAGCGCTGCGGTGATGGCAGAGTAGCTTGCATGTTTGCAATCATTTGTGTTATGCAGGGACGTTCTGGGAGTCGGTTGTGGATGAGTAGCTGTGGTGAGTCGAAGGGCAATGTGTTGGCAGCGAGTGTCTTATATCAAAGTTCGCCTTCGCCGCGGTTGGTGGTTCCAGCTTCCGCATGCAAGCAGTGACGGTTGCTCCGCCTCAATCCGCCAAGGCTAGAGCTCCGGCCATCACAATTCCCGCGTCCATGTCCCATGTTCTGCTTCTTTCGCGCCATTTCCTGGGCGTTATTGCACTGCCCCGCCATCTTGCTTCCCAACGCACTGTGCTGTTAGAGGTCTCCGGACCTGGGTGGACGCGTCAATGATGGATTCAACTGACGATAGCACAAGACGCAGAGAAAAGGAGAGGGCCTCAGCCTCGCTGATGCTTAGTAGCCCTCAACTCAGCCTCATGTCGACGAAAGAAACATCCATCAGTGTCTCGCTGGTTCCACAAAACATCGTTTGCAGACTACTCAAGCACCGAGTCCACTGTTAGTGTCCGGCTTATCTATGTTGGGACTACACAGCATGCATACTACAATACCATCAGGGCCGTTGTCTTGTCCGACTAGGCGTGTAATAGGTCATCACTCGGCGGCAGACTCGTCAATCACATCTGCCATATGCATGCGACAATACGACGAGGACAACTGTCCAAGTCAGTCAGCTCACCCTGCAACACAGCCATAGGCGGTTTACGCCTAGGCCTTTGTCAACCGATGGTATCCTATAAACCTTAGGCTCATCGTCATGCCTCAAGTCAGGCTTGGAGCATATGCATCCTAGGAAAGCGTCTCATGTGTTCAACAGTAAGGCTGATCGAAGGTCACGCCCTGTCTCGTGACTGTCTCGAGCTCCGCGTACGCCGGGCACACCCGCAGATTATGAGGGCATGCACTTGCTTTACGGTTCTTCGTTTTCCTCAAACATCTAACGCGTCTGAGGCGATGGTTGATGTTATCACAGACTCTGCGTGTTCTAAGTCATAGTATTGCCAATCGCTCGCGAATGTGCTATCCAGAACACTATCGCGCTAACAAATTTTGACGTACAACGACATGACTCCGAATGTGGTTGTACATGCGGTGTAATCTCGCCGGCTGTTGGCCCGTATGATCAGAAGAATGACGGTGGAGTGGCTCTCGCAAGGTGTGGCGCAGATGTGGCGCATGCACCCAGACGCTAGGCTACGTTCGTTCCAGACTCACGTCAAAGAAACTCCATCAGGACGACAAGCCTAGCCAGCACACCCCCCACACACGTCAACACGTCTCTCTCCGCTTCCGAATCTAATCGCCTCACCACCTCGGTTCCATCTCGCGCTTCCCAAGCACTCAGCCCTCTCCTCCCTGAATCGACGACGCGATGGACTACGACCCAGATGGCGGCGCAATAAACGTCCGCTTCCTCGAGGTACACCGCCCGCCCTGTCTACCTCGGGACATTGAGCTAACACAGCCATGCGTAGGCCAACAGCCAGCGCGCCAACTTCATCGTCCAGAACTTCAATCTCGAAACCGCCAACTCACTCCGCCGGGTGATGCTCGCTGAGATTCCCACCCTTGCCATCGATGTCGTAGAAGTCTTCGATAACACATCCGTCCTCGCTGACGAGTTTGTCTGCCACCGTCTCGGTCTCATTCCTCTGTGCTCCAAAGGCGTCGACGACCTGTTATACTCGCGCGACTGCGACTGCGAAGGCTACTGCGACAACTGCGCTGTCGTACTCACTCTGAACGCAAAATGCACAGGCAGCGAGATCATGAAAGTGTATGCGCGCGATCTGGTGATTGAGTCTCGGACACCAAACGAGGATGTGGGAAAACCGGTCATCACTGATTCAGACGAGACGGGTAGTTGCATTGTCAAATTGAGGAGAGGACAAGCGATCAACATGAAGTGCATTGCAAAGAAGGGTATTGCAAAGGAGCACGCGAAGTGGGCGCCTAGTGCGGCCATCGGTTTCGAGTATGATCCGGCGAACAAGCTGCATCACTTGGATTACTGGCACGAGGAGGATGCGGACAAGGAATGGTATGTCTGATCCTTTACTTCTGAGACCATTTGATTAGGAAAAGAATAATCTGACAGTATCCAGGCCCAAAGACGAAGCTCGGATAAACCTTGACGGCGGCCCCCCGAACCCAGACGAACCCTTCAACTATGACGCTGTCCCAACCCGTTTCTTCTACGACGTCGAAACAGTGGGCGGTCTCGAACCTGATCAAATCGTCACACAAGGAATCTCTATCCTACAACGTAAGCTCGCCGAGATTATCAAAGAACTATCTGGTGGTGTTGGAGGCCCAGAGGACTTTGGTGGCGCACAAAGTCCAACTTTGAACGGTGCCGGATATGGCGATGCGGGCGGATATACCCCAGTCGGAGGACCGGGATACGGCGGCGCGAGTTCGTGGGGCGGCGCGGCACAAGGAGGGGCCACGCCCTACGGTGCTACACCCTACGGACAGAACTGGTAGACAAAGTGATTGGCGTGTCTGGTTGTACAACATTGCATGGGCTGGCGTTTTAAAAGGACGGGCATCAACAGACTGCTAAGACTGCCAAAGAACGCAGTAGCTTTTCCTTCACATTGGTGTTTGGCACAAAGAGAAGTTGCTAATCGCTTCCATGAATGGGTTGAAGTAATCACATTGATAATGCTGTGCTGCTCATGAGTTTGCTCTTTCGCTCGTAGTCTGTCATATCTAATATTACAATATGCGCAAAGCCATTTCATCGTCGTGCTTGCTCAACTTTTCCAAGATGCGTCTGAGAGGGGAATATATGTACAATGTCCGATGGAAAACAAAAGCGCACCTTGTGGGCAGCACGAAAACGCCATACCCCCCCAATGTGCCGTGTCAACCAGACATTGGAGCCGAACCGAAATAGTCATACACATGCGAATGATATGGGGGTGGCAGCGACAGAAGTCATGTACGATACTGTCGGCGTATATGAACGGCCGTCCCGCCTCGTCGAATCATGCGTTTAGGCGTTCTTTACAACGCCAACCTTGGCCGGTCGTAGTGTCCTTCCGTTGAGCTTGAAGCCCTTCTGCTGTGTGTGGAAGCAAGTGCCATCCTCCTTGTCCGGCTGCGGCGCCTGGAAAACAGCCTCGTGAATGTTTGGGTCGAACTTCTCTGCCGTCTCGCTGGGGTCGAATCGCTCCAAGCCGTGCTTCTTCAGCGTGTTGATGAGGATAGTGTCGGTCATCTTGATACCGTCGTGGAGAGCGATGAGGTCGGTGTTGTCCGACTTGAGCTTCTCTGCTGGGACGGTGCCCAGGGCGCGGTCAAGGTTGTCAACGGACTCTACAAGGTCGCGGGCGAAGCGCTGGATGGCGAAGTCTTTGGCGGCCTTGATTTCACGTTGTGTGCGTTCTTGGAGATTGCGGAAGTCGGCGACTGAGCGGAGATATTTGTCCTGAAGCTGAGTGTTAATCTTCTGTCTGTAAATACCTGACCAGCGTCGAAGCATACCTTGAGGTCGACAATTTCCTTGTCCTTCTTCTCCAGCTGTTCCTTCAATTGTGTTGCCTCGTTGTTCTCTGCGGGCGCTTCCTCCTTCTTTTCAGCGGCCTCTCCCTCCTTCGCCGGTGCAGCATCCGAGTACCATCGAATGGCAGGTGTGGCTACTGCTCTTGTGATGGGTGCTTGTTGACGTAGTGGCGCAAAAGGCCGTATTGAGCGGGCAGCCTGCTGTCTTGAGGCGCGGAGGATGGTTCTTTGCAACATGGTCTAGTATGTGATGTGAAAAGAAGCAGGAGATGCAAGGTGTATACGAAGGCGAAAGTGTAATCTGGATGTGTGATGCGATGATGTCGAGGACGTTCGAGAAAAATTCGGAGCAGATGTGACGAATGCCTGTGCTCCCAAACAGGGTCCAGTCTTTCCGTCCCGAGGTCGGATCCTTTCCGAACAATTGCCATCTGGTGATCGCACGTCTTTGACATGCTTCTCTCGAAGTCAATGCCATGATGCGTAATGCGTCCTTCGCCAGTCTTCTCCCTTCGCATACGCTCGTTTGTCTCTCGACATGACGTCGTCCCACCAGATGCCACCGTTCAAAAGCCCATCGAGGCAGCCTACTACCGCGGGGGCACATCACGAGCCGTGATTATACAACCGCAAGCTCTGCCTAAGCACCGCGCAAAATGGCCGACCATCTTCCGCCAGATTATGGGGAGTGGCGATCCTTATGGGCGACAACTTGATGGCATGGGTGCAGGCATATCGAGTCTTAGCAAAATATGCCTTGTAGAACCTTACGGGAAGAGGATTGCACTACCTGAGAGAGCCACTCGTTTTCGAACTGGGTTCGGTGGCATTGATGCAGCTCGTGAGAGTGCACAGGCTGCACAGGCTCAAGAAGGGGCGAAGTTGGCTGGGAACGAGCAAAACTTGGACATTGATTATACCTTTGTTGGCTTGGGCATTGAAAACGATGAAGTAGACGTCGCGGGCAACTGTGGAAACATGAGCAGTGCAATAGGTCCCTATGCTTACAATGCTGGTCTTCTCCCAGCCAGAGTGTATGCCCAAGGCGACGGAGAGGTCACTGTCAAGATACGGAACACGAATACCGGAAAGCTGATCGACTCCACCTTCGAGGTCATTGGAGCGCAGGCTGCGGTCGTGGGCGACTACAAGATTGATGGTGTGACCGGTTCCGGCTCAAAGATCAAGTTGGACTTCAAACATCCGTATGGCAGCAAGACCGGCAAAGTGCTACCAACTGGCAGGAGGGTGGACGATATTGGGGGCTACAGAGTGTCTTGCGTAGACGGCGCGAACCCATGTATCTTTATCCGAGCCGATGATGTTGGTGTAGACGGCACCATACTGCCCAACGACTTCAACAAGCTTCCAGATAAGCTTGCCTTACTCGAAAGTATACGTAAAGCCGCTGCCGTCGCCATGGGTATTGCGCCTACCGAAGACGATGTCCCTCGTACTATACCCAAGATCGGTCTCGTATCACAGTCGTCTTCGCATCCTGTATTGTCAGGGCAAACACTCAAGTCGTCACAGACGGACATTGTCATTCGCTTCCTTTCAGATACTCAGCCTCATCGGGCCATTCCCCTGACTGCTGCATTGACATCAGCAGTCGCGGCGCGTATTCCCGGAACTATTGTTGAGCAGATGCTGGCTCCCGAGCCGTTGATGGAGGGCGCCATAACGATCGGCCATGCAAGTGGTCGACTGCAGGTCAACGCCACTATGGACACGAAGAACAAACTCTATCCTGTTAGTGGCACGGTATATAGGACTGCCAAGAGATTGTTCGAAGGGAAAACATTCTGGTCGGACAAGACTGACAAGAGGGAAGAGGTTACTAAAACTGAGAGCCCCTACGGCAGTACTGGTAGACATTCCCTAGGTCTAGCTTTCATACTAGAGAACCGGGGTAAAAGCTCAGCCCATCTCTTCGAAGAACCAGCCGCGCAGTCAGAGCAACAACCTGAAGCAATCGAGCCCGACCTTGACCAAAACGCAGCTCATCAGCAAACTCTGGAACAAATCGAGCAAAACGAAGAATCTCAGCCAGAACAAAAAGCCCCCACCCTGAGTCACAGACCGCTTCCAGATCCGCATAGAAAACGACCCGACCTTAGACAGCAGACAGACAAAGAAGCTGCGCTTACATCTGCTCTTCAAGACCTCCATTCAGAATTGTCTACCCTTGTTTCTGAAAATAATATCGCGAGTACCGCCCAACACTCATCCTGCCTCCTCACTGCGGTTCTGAAAGCACATCGCTCGATCCAGATCAACGCTATCGCGCAGAGGCGTTCAGCGAAGAAAGCCGCGGACAAGGCGAAGAAGATGGAGAGGAAGAGGGAGAGTAATGGAGCAAAACCTGAGGTGGAAAGTGGGCAAGCGCGTCTAGACGATGACCGGGAGCAGGAGGAGGAGGAGTCGAGGCTGAGCAGGCAACCCCAGATCAACGCCTTAACACAAAGACGACCGTGGAGAAATGCTAGCGATAGGGCAAGGGAGACGAAGCATTTGATGGGGAACAGCGGAGAAAAGGATGAGGGCGTAGAATATAGGCGTAAAGCTGAGGGTGTGGCCAAGGCTGGGAGAGCAGCACGCGGAAAGGGGTTGAAGAAGAAAGAAGAGGGAACGAGGTGATGGGAGATCTAAGAAGACGAAGAGCACATTAGAACAATAGTTGGGCTGCAACTGCTCGATAGCAACACATCAAACATAAAGCCAGTTATGGATCAGAATCAGGACCTGGTGATACCCAGATTGGGAAGCTATTCTGCTCATCTCATACCACGTCGCCTTCCGCCCCCTAGAGACTACCTTTTACCTATCTGATCACCGTCCCTTGCCACTCAATACTACTAGCATAAGGGCCCTCTGGGGTATCACCTCCACCCAACAAGCTCATGGTTCCACTACCCATCAGACCACCGGAGCCCACGCTTCCCCGTCTGTCGCTGCATATCTCATGGAATCGAATCGCCATATCGCTAGCTGCAACGACAATGCAACCTTCCTCAACACCTCTTCTCGACCAGACCCCATCTTCACCCCTCGCTCTCCCACCATCGCCATCTCCATCTGTTGGCGGACCATTCGTCGGACCACCTGGGTAAGCGACTGCACATAGAGCCCGATTCTCATCGTACCACGGCACGGCAACGACTTGTTCGCAGCTAGGCCAAGCGAAAACAGCGACACGGTATGGGTGTTCGGGTTGCGCGAAGCCGAATGTTGCCGTTATCTCACGGCGAGTCTGGGACCAGATAAGACTTGTAACTTGAGCTGCGCAGTCGATGGTAGCAAGACACGTGCCTGAGCGTGTGTGGTAGAAGTGAATGCAGCGGTCGTTCGAGCCGCCGCCGATGGCTATAAGTCCACGTTGCCAGGGGCAGAATGCCATGGCTTTAACAGCAGCATTGAGTGTCCATGTGTGTTTCGCCGCTGTTTGCGCGAGATGTAGGACAGGGTTGTTATTGCGGTTGGCTACGGTATAAATGGACTCACCACGCACACCTTGACGGACATCCAATATAGTTGCTGTATTCTCGCTGGCAGGGTTCGGTCGAAGCACTTTCTCAGTCTCGAATAGATTACAATTGTTGTCGTTCCCTCCACTCGTGAAGAGCTCGCCGTCCGATGACCATGCTAAGCCGCAGATCTGTTGGCTGTGAATGGACAATCGAGCAAGTAAAGTCATGGCGCCGTTCCAGCCGAAGAGTGCACTGTGCGTCTCCGTAGGCCACTCAACGCTGTAGAAGTAGATGTGGCCAACCTCGTCTCCGATGAGCAACTCTTCGGTCGGTACATTCATTGCTCTATCCCGGAGAGAAGGTCGTTGCACGACAGTTGGCCTCCAGGAAACACACGACACAGGCTTGGGTTGCATAGCATCGAAGCGTGGCTCCGAGTCAAGCGGGCTCCAGAGTAAGATACGGCCATCGGCTCGTCCGACAGCAAGGATCGCTTGACCTCCTGATGTAGAGGAGAAGTCTAACGATGTAACATGCTGAACATCTGTAGGGCTGTTTGGTGGCACAGCATTAAGCGAGTCCGGCGTGTTAACGCCGCTTCTTTCAGACCATAGGTGGACGAAGTTTCCTAGGCCAACAGCCAGACATTTAGAGGTGTAGGAGTATGCAAGTAAGGTACAGTAATAATCGTCGCGAAGGTTAGGGGCATCGAGAACTGTGAGCGGTATTAGCATTCGCGAGTATCAGTATGCTAAGAACATATCTAAAAGGTAGAATCGGCACAGGTCTTAGCTTTGGTGGCGCTTTGCGAGAAGCTTGAATCCATGATTAGCAGGAACATAACGCGAAGAACTCCATGAAGAATGAAAACAAACTCGAATTGACTCCATCCTTGACCCAAGCTCCATCTCGCCAGACATGCGTAGCCTGTGATACAGGGCCAATATGTGGTGAGCTCGGGAAGGTTGGAAACGATGAGTGCTGGAGTATACGATCAGTTTGATCAATGTCAAGTGCTAGTGCGAGACGCCGCTCATAGGCTTCAAGCTCGGCATCGGGATCTGCTTGGTTTAGGAAAGCAGATTTGTACAGTGGCGCGTTTGTCCCACTACCGAGCATCCTACCTCTGCCAGTGGAGACCGCTACTACTGTGTCGCTCACAGCAGAAGGTCCACCGACGTTCCAGACGGCGCCAGCGCTGATCTGACGAGCGCCCAAGGTTGGAGGGTTGCGTCTAAAGTTGACATTCCTTCTGTTCGCATTGGTACGCCCTGAAACCACAGAGTGTGCCTCCCTGAGTCCGCGTAGTTCTTCGTTCATGCGACCACTTCTGCACAGTCGGCGACTGAAAGCATCTGCACCTGTGTGAGTACCGCGGTTGGAATTTTGTTCCTTGTTCCGACGTTCTGCAGGACTGTTAAGCTCGAAGCTTTCTCGAGTAACAGCGGGTGGCCGGCGGCCGGCGATAAAGCGATCTGGCGTACTGGTCTGGTTTGGACGAGGTGATGCTAACAAGCCACCTCGTGCCACCCATTGACTGGGTCTCAGGGAAGAGCTGGCATAGCGTAGAGGAATTCGGCGAAGCTTTGCTGGCGGAGACTTCTGCTCAGTAGATGCGTTAGTGTAGCGCAGGGATGTTGAAGTTAAGCTTTCAAATGTAGTGACGGTGTCTGTAGGGCTTGGCGAAGGAGATGGTGCGCGGCTCAAGCCATCAACCAGGCTATCTGAAGAGCTGCAAATGCTGCGCCTTCGTTTGCTTGAAGGTGATTCATCTCGAAGCGGATTGGAGTTGCAGGCTTTCACTGGAAGAAAGAGATCCTCGTTGTCAAGACGCTTTACGCCTCTAATAAGCGCCGAGGGAGCGTGTAAGCGAGCGAGCGCAACAGAGCGTTTCAAGAAAGAAGGATCGAAGTCAGTGGATCCGGGATAGTTTAAATGAGTCTTATGGCTTGATTGTACTGATACAGCTTCATTTTTAATCGGACTAAGGTCCAGGGTTGACAGCGCCTCGAGACGGGAAAGAAACTTTGACTTCCTAGGAGAAGACGGCGGAGTTATGCAGGAACTGGTGACGCCACTGTCGATATCTCTGACGAATTGACAGCTGCGACTTTTGCGAGGAGACTGAGGTGTCCTAGGCGACGCCTAGTCTTCAGTGCTAACAGTCTTGGTGGGGGACAGCGGCGGTGTGAGATAGCCAAACTGAGATGAAGATACTTCGTCGTCAGTGTCGTTCATGTTGGAGCAGCTTGCGTCAAGATGAGTGAACTGGAGAGCTAAGCGGTGAGCTTCAGCACACGTGAAGCCGTCCAAAGAAGAGGAGCTAGGGAGACCGGAGGTACTGCCTGATGTCCCGGTGCTATCGCTGCGAGGTTAGTAATGCAATGATGGGTGAAGGTCTTAGGATGTTCGCAGCATATCAAGGATTGACAGATGGGGCGAGTGTTTGACGGCAACCTTCCGCGAGGGATGACGGAGGGGCAGGAGCTCCACTCGTGTAGTGGGGCAACATCCCGCCGAGGCTGCAGTCTCAGGAAACAACGGCCAAGCGTTCTCAACCGCGCAGGAATACATGGCAAGTGTATGTTGACATGAGGGTCGGTTGATGATGTTCGCTGACATGTATAGCACGGTATATCTCGCGGGTCAGGCCCGGTAATCCGATCAGAAGAAGCGCGACAGAAGGAGCTTCAACAAATCGCGGATTACAAAGGTTTGGCCGATCTGGTGAACACAAAGGTATGGGAATCAAAATCAGGTTGCGTTGATTGCTGTTGAAAATCACTCTTCAGGTTGCAGAGAAGCAGTATACCATCGAGGTCTTGGGCCTTGTCACCAAACTTTTGAACGAGAACCCCGAATATTACACGATATGGAACCACCGAAGACGCGTCTTGATGGCGCTGGTAACGTCAGACACTCCTGAGCAACCGCCGGACGACCTCTTGCAGGGCGACCTGCAGCTCACGTTTGCGCTGTTACGGAAATTCCCCAAGTGCTATTGGATATGGAACCACAGAAACTGGCTTCTGCGTGAAGGGGAGGCGCTGATGGGCGCGGAAGCAGCACATAAGCTTTGGTCAGGAGAACTACAACTCATAAACAAGATGTTACACGCAGACAGTCGCAATTTTCATGCTTGGGGCTATAGACGCTTCGTGGTGTCGCAGATCGAGCGCCTGGCCACATCTGAAGACATTCCCGCGACCGGTATTACCCCAAGAAGCCTTACAGAGTCCGAGTTCGAGTACACGACCAAAATGATCAAGACCAATCTATCCAACTTCTCCGCCTGGCACAACCGCAGCCAGCTTATCCCCAAGATTCTCTACGAGCGCCATGCAGACGCCAAAGCGCGCCGCGCATTCCTCGACTCAGAACTAGCTCTGATATGCGAAGCCATAAACACCGATCCTTTCGATCAGTCTATATGGTTCTACCACCAGTACCTCCTCTCGATATTGTCTCCGTCATGTCCACCGGATTCGCTTGTCGTTCAGGACCTGACCAACGGCGAGCGACAAAAATACTACGAGCACGAGATGGAGTATATCAGGGAGATATTGGAGGACGAGGCGGATTGCAAGTGGATATACGAGGCGCTGCTTGGACTTGCAGAGGCGTACTTGGACGTGGACGCAGGAACCGGATCGTTTACAACAAAAGATATGAAGTCGTGGCTAGACGAGCTGAAGCGTTTAGATCCGCTGCGGCGGGGGCGGTGGGATGATCTCGAGCGTCGACTGAATCTTTAAATGCCATCTACAATACCCATCAGGGCTTGCCTTTGGGATGTTTAACGTTGCTAGTCGCCGTCGCACTTTCCGACTTGTTGTCCTTCTTCCATGCCCAGAGTCCGAGCTTGTTCGACCACGAGTTATCAGCAGGTGCAGAGGCTACGGCCTCCTCTTTCGTAGTCTGTAGCTGTGTGGAAGGCGAGGAAGCTATGCTACTCGAGGCTGCGGGTGTGGGATTTGCGGTGCTTGCAGCAGCGGCAGCGGCGAGTTCCCTGGAACAAGTGTGAGTGTGAGTGAACGCAAGAGAAAGCGCATGTGGAGCCTGTGTACCGTTTGTACTCTTCCTCCATTCGTGCTATTCGTTGTTTCTTGAACTCTCCATCAAAGGTAGCTACTCCAATTGATACACCAACTATCGTCGCCAGCGCGACTGGAAGAATACGCCCCGCCATTTTGTTTGCTCGCTGCGCGGATTGCTGGTTCTCGAATTTGGCGTGTATGACGAAAGCACTTCCGCGGGCAAAAAGTTCAGCCCTCTTCCGCCCCCAGCACGCGCTAAGCGGAGCACGGGACGACGCGCCATGCCATCAACCATCACCCAAAACCTCACCCCGCCAGCCTCGAACTCCGGTACGACATGCAGGCGCGTCCAAATGTTCAAATGGCGACAGAAAGGTTTTGTCCAGGACTCGGATGAGGAAGAAGACGAGTCTCAGCTTGAGAGTCAGGGTTCCAGGCAGAATGTTAGCCTGGGTGGACGCGTCGAGCGCGTCGAAGATGGCGTCGACGCGATCAGACGGCATGAAGAGGCTACGGAAGCGGAACGAGGGGTTGACAGAGAAGATAGAGGAAAGAGCCATGCTTTGCAAGATACTGGAGGGGTAGAAGAGCAGGACAAGGTTGTTACGACGCCCACCAAACGTTGCTCGCCCAGACGTCCCACGCCATCTCCCTTCACGCCCAAATCCACGCATAGTGTCAGACGCGAGCTCACCGAGAGTCCCGATCCGCTACTAGGCTCACCTATGCCAATCAATCGACGTACTATACGACCTCCTCCATCATCCCAGCGCCTGACATCGCCAATCTTCCAGCCAAGCTCCGCCGTATCCATACCTCAACTTGACGACCATCATGCCGTGCCTAATTCCGGCGACTCGATCGTTCCAATACAACCAATCACTGCGGGAGATACAGGAAATCCCAAACAGGCTTCAGGGCTACTTCATAAATTCGGCATCGCACCGTTGTCTGATAATTCCGACGATGATTCCTCAGATCTCTCAGATCCACCGACGGATATTGAGTCGCCTCCCATTGCTTTTGCCGAGCCCCATCGACGTACGGCAGTTCAGGTGGTCATACCAGCCTCGGCCGCTTTGCAGAGACAGATTGCCGACGATAGAGCAAGACGTGAATTGCGCCAACGGAAGCCCATTCAAATGCATCCGTATGCGTTGGAGGGAGAGATGTATCGAAGAGAGGTACAGAGCAGAGGGCTGAAGCCTGTGCGAAGGGAGCGGTCACGATCCCCCCAGGGCCATCGTAGACAGCAGAATGACGAGACCCAGGAGCAGGAATTCAATCCGAATGAAAGCCCTATGAGCAGCCCCCCAGATGTTGAAATACCTGTTTCCACACCTATAATACCACGGCCGAGGAAAGACCCTATTCATCGCCCTGCTTCCGGCTTTGCAAGACGTATTTCGTCTACACAACTCCGTCCTCCTCATGCAGCCAAGCGTAGAAAGCTCAATATCTCGTCCACTCAGGCTATAGCGGCACCAACAAGTATTTTCGAAGACGGTGACATGCGGCGTGATATCTGGTCAATCCCTCCAAATTCACCTCCATACTCAAGCAGTCCGCCGTTGAACGGGAACACGTCAGCTCGCCGTCCAGGCACGCTACGTATAACGACACCAGCACCCAACTTGCCTACACCTTCCACCTCATCAGTCATGCAAGAAGATCCTCAAACCCTGCTGGGATCAGATTTTGAGCAGGCCACACGGAGTATACACAGGTCTGGTGGACAGCTTCGTCGACCGACAAGAGTAGTGTTAACAGATAGCTCATCTTCGGCCGCAGAGTCTGCTAGTGAAGCAGAGAAAAGCGATAATGAGATCAGATACGCAGGCAGAAAGATCAAGGGAGTGCTGCCTGCCTCTTGGTTGCGACAAGATCGTCAGGCACAAGAGCGACGGCAGGCTGAGCAACGCGAACGAGACCGGGCGCGTATGAACGCAGCTGTCTCCCCTGCGCCGACTGCGCCCGTGCGTGGGGTTGCTCAAAGGATTATGAGACCTGCCGGCCAAACCCGACAAAGTCCAGCTTCTAACACACCGTCAAGAAGCCCTGTCGTCATATCTGACGATTCAGATGATGGGCCAAGACCTCCTGTTCCCCAATCTTTGCAGAAGGTGCACGACTCTGTGGCCGATGCGTCTGCACTAGCTGCAATGTTTGAGGATCGTTATGCTGATGACAACTTGTCAGACATGGAGCACGATCGTCTACTCCTTCCGACGCTCGGTGGAACCGGACCAAAGCGGAAAAGACAGACCAAGCTTACAGACGCGTTTGGAAAACCTAAGAAAGTGAGATCATCAGATGGCGTGGGAAAGGGTGTAGCGAACGAAAGAGGACTGTCTGGGGTACAATCTGGGAAAGGAAAGCATGCCAGTTCCAGAAAACCACGCAAGACTCCTCTGCCTGCCATGAGTGTCATCGATGTTGACTTTTCGCCATCTCGGCGAGCTGATGAAATACCGCAATTCCTCAGGATCGCCAGACGGCAAGCCCTCCAAAGACCAGATTTAGCCCGTCAACGCCCACGAAACAAACAGATACGACTCCATAATGCCGAGGATACAGAAGAAGCCAACATGACTCTCCAACAATGGCGGCAAGGAACGCTAAAACCAAAAGCAAACGTCACGCCGTGGCAACGAAAACCACGGCATCCTTTGACCAACAGGATCGATAATCAGCAGCTTGCAGAGCAGCGTTCAGCGACTGATGGAGGATCTTTAAAAGAACTCGACATGCGATCCGAAGCCGCAATGGACGTCTCTCGCCCACGCTCACGTAAATCCGTCCCTACGGGCCTTCATATATTCCAACGCTCCACGACTCAGACTCAGACTAAAACATCCACACAAAGAGGAAAAAAACGTGCCCAGCCAAACAAGGATCCAAGACGGGTTGTGCGTCGGGCGCCTCTTCCTTTCAGAGCCGCGCAACTAGAAGGTGATGAAAACGACTTTGGCCGCGGCCACAGGAAGATCGCATTCGAAAAGGGCCTACTTCGTGTTGATCAGCAGTTTGGTCTTCAGCTTCCCAGTGAACAGCCTTTCGTAAACCCACAGTTAGCTCGATATCTCGCAGACGACAGCACTGAACTGCCGCCCCTCCCTTCTGCGATAGACGTAGGAGAAAACCAAACAGAAAACTCAAGACCGCAGCAACCTCCATACAAGAAACGCCTGAAGCGAAAGGTCCAAGCGCAAAGAATTGATGTCGACGCACGAGAATATCGTCAGCCGAGCGAGCCGACAGTTCAGGAGATACTTCAAACTACTGACGTTCTTCAAGTACAGGAAGCCAAAAGCGAAGAAGGCTTGCCAATACTCCATGGCTTGGGTCCTCATGGCACTCGGTACCCCATCACGTTCGATGTTTACTCGCTTGCAGCCGACACATACTTTCACTCGTCTACTTTCATCGGGTCCGACGAATTTCGCCGAGCTTTACTCGTCGGCAAGTCCAACGGTCGCAATCTTGACGATATGGCTGGTTATTGCACCATTAGTCATGGTGCGCTGTCTATCAGATGTGGTCCATGGAACGACGAGACGTTCTCAAAGTTGCAGGATCTTGTGAAAGCGGTGTCTGAACCTCTGGAAAATCAGGGATCTGAATCTGACACCCCATCATCAGTCTACGAAAGCCTGACGCATTTGGTTCGATTGGTACGGTCACTCATCAGCTACGTAACCGATCATCTCAGCTTCTTGGACCCGATTGATCGAAATGACTATGTGTCCAAGTTGATGCGGCTATGTCAATCACTCTTTGACAGCTTGTTGGTTGCCCAAAGTGTTACCAATGGTCAGATTCCTAGCCTTGTTCATGGTGTCATACGTGCTATGGCCTACCTCCTCGTTGCAAGTTTTCAGGCTCATTGCATTGCTCAACACCCCACTATTGATCAAGGCAAACAAGTCGAGGTCGTTGGTCTTGTGAAAAGCTTGTCCAAGAATGTCATTACGCAGCTGGTGCGACATGGTATACCCAGTCTGGGCAAATTTCTGGAGCAAAATAAGCGACATTCCGTACGCGAGAAGGGGATACAGGAGACCGAAGTTGTTGTTGAAAGTGTGGTCATCTGCATGCACGTATTGGATGAGATGGACATGCCAGGATGTAGTTTTTGGGATTTGGTCAGCCACGACTTTGGTTCCAAATTCGCTATCGCTACCTCTTTGCCTATCTTCGAAACTACCTGGGCCTCGATATTCACTTTCCTTCCCTACAACGAGATCGATCCATCCGGCATACCGCTCAGGAGCCGGCGAGAGACCTTTCAAAGGGACAATTGGACGTGCATCCGAGATCTCTTGCGCCGATTATTCGAGTTATACCCCAGTACCCACAGGAAGTACAGCACGTCACTCAATGAATATGTGCGTGCCAACCTCACACGATGCCATCGATTGATCACTCACTGGCATTGGAGTCGTCCGGAGCTGATGCTCAATGCCGTATTTGATTTCTTCGGCAAAAACGGCCTCAAGAGCCTGCGACGGGAACCAAGTATCGGATCAGTACCTTTTCTCAATAATCTCGCAACAAGTCCATCGTTCAATGTCGAGCAGAACGAGAACTCCTTCCACATCGCATTGAAATGTCTTGCTTTGGGCCTTCAGGGTATGACGCAGGCCTATCCCGAGAAGAAGATTCGCAGCTTTGTCTTTCGCTCTTTACCTAACCATGGGCGTGCTTATCCAAAAGACCAGCCCTTGGACGAAGAGAATCTGGCAGCACTCCGCAACCATCATGACCTACTTTCTACGCTCTACTGGGCTGCGCCACCAACCTGTCGACCAAAGCTAGATCATATTCGCGATCTTGTCAACCATGAGAGCTCTCACCGCGAGGCATGTAGAGTCAGCGTTCGAGCCTGGGCCAACCTCACTACATTTCAGCTGTCGACCGAGGAGCCGTATACCTCTGCCCAGCCATTTGCGTTATGGCACAAGGACATTATGCACCAAACGCTAAGACAGTACAAGCTGGCCAAAACAGAAGCAGATGATTACTTGAAGTCTGGCGTTCTGGATGGTACTACTGATGTCTCTGCAATCATGGTCCGCCAAACGATGGAGAGGAACCAAGAGCAGGTCATTGCGACACTACGAGACTGCATTGCTGGGATGAATAGAGCAACCCAGCATGCAAGAGATCAGTCATCTGTGAGGACCTTCCTCATTGATTCCGACATCATGCGTCTGCTTGAGCTCCCTCATCTGGAAGACCGTCGCCTTGTCAACGTCATTCGCGACACCATGAAGGTTCTTCAGGATTATGCAAAGTTACAAAAAGCCCACTCAAAGAAGGACACAAGTCAACAGACAAGTGAGGAAAGCCAAGATTACGGTGACTTCCCTGATATGGATGATTTGGAAGATATCGACTTTGACGTCCCTGCAAAGGTGGTCCAGCAATCATGTCTCGACTTCATTCAGACGCCCCTCTGGCATCTACTGTCTAACGCTTTTGGTGCGGAAAACTCACCCGACGAGAATCTCCTCATGGACTGTATCGATACATGGGTTCGGATCGCAGAAGCCCAGGTAGCATTAGGTGAAAGATCATGGTCATACTACCTGGATTCGTTCAGTCAAGTATCGTGGAAACAGCTACGACACACCGAGCAGACCCGCAAGTTCGGTCCATACTTCATGGCCGCCCTCATCGACTGCGACTCAGCCGCCTACAAGGAGCATCGCCACGATTTCTTCCAAGCCCTGATGGTATGCTTGATCGAACGAGAGTCGATGCTTAGGTTCCAACATCGACTGTTATATGCCATTGCGCGAACGGATGATCATCATCCGCTTATGCAGAACCTACCCTTCTTCCGCGATCTGGAAACCAATGAGTGGGACATCACCGCCGATACTTTACGTACGCGGCGCCTCGCACTGATATCCAGCATTCTCTCCAACATGCGCGAGGATGTTCGGACCATTACTCAAGCTGAGCCGGCGCGCCTTGGTGATACGAAGAGATTGTATGCGTCGATGCTGAAGGACTTCATGACAACCATGAAGTACAACTATCAGCAGCTTCGTCAAGGCACGACGGTGACCGGCGCATATGTCGAGTTCGTGCAGAAGATTGTTCAATTCCTCAAGCAATACACGAGCGATATATGTTCTGTGCTACCCTTCTTCACGGACTCCGTCGCTTTTCCACTACCGGCTGGGGATCCCACGTATGTTGTGGCTCGCCTTTGTGGGTACGCGCCTAAGCTATCAGACTTAGGAACTGCGAAACAACTATCAGTATTCATACAGACGGTCGTGCAACAGGCCGCTGCCGACAACCAGCAGATGTATCTTGTCAACCAGCTGACGACTGCTCTGTGTACTGACGAGGCTCCGACTGTCGATAGGGTCGCATTGCGATCAATACTGCTGCAAGGTGTCCTTCCGGCATACCTGGAAGAAGCGTTTTCATCAAGCACAGCTATAGCTATCGCTACACCAATACTACAAGCGCTTCCCTGGATCCTGGACACAATGATTTTTGATCTTCGTGTCACGCAACCTGACAGCCTCGCATCCATCATTGGCTGTATTGTGTCGGTTTCGCATGCCTTCATCCGCGGAACAGAACAGCTCAAGGATAACCAACGTTGGCTCCAACAACCCCACGTCATCGCTGCGCTTGCACACATGCTGAGAGTCATGGTATCAATTCTCTCACCACTCGAATACATATGCAGTCGCACCATGCCCTCCGCACATCTCAACGAACCACCGCTCATCACATACATGGACCAGCTCAGCATCTTCATCACCCAACTTCTCGAAGGCACAACGCCCGAGACGATTCCCTCCTATGCCGGCGATGCACATGCGCCACCCCAGGAGAAGCAGCACACAGAACTACTAGCCTTCTGCCGACGCGGCTTGGAAGATGGTCTGAGAACAAACTGGAGCGAGAGCAGCGGCTCTATATGGTTTGGCCAAGGTCATGCTCGCAGAGAAGTGCTCTTCGATATTGGAAGTGCGGAAGAGGAGCGGGTAAGACTGGAAGGTGAGATTCAAAGATTTCAATCTGTGTTGAGGGATATATACCGCGATGAAGAACGATCATGCCATGATGACGAAGGGGAAGGGAACTTTGCGTACGATTTTGTAGTTTAGCGATTTGAATTTAGCGGCATAAAACGGCGTGAATTGGTCTCTTTTAGTTACATAAGTAATCATATCAACAATCAAACGAGAACAGCATGTCATTGATGGCTATATGCATTATGGTTCGGCGCCCGACGGTGTAAATAGGCGGTTCTCATAACGTACAAATTTTACATTCAGAAAGTGGTACATATCACAACTACCATTTCATTCCTGCTTCCTCCATATGCTGCTTTGGCTTCGGTACGTTTGAACGGATCAACCCGATAGCTGAGCTGATACCCTTCTCCGACATGCCCATCTTGTTGTCCAAATATGCGCGCTGCTGTGCGGCCTCGACTGGCTCAGCCGCAACAAATGCAACCTCCTGCTCGGCCATCTCGGTGACGACCAAGGGCGAGAGAACCAGATCAGGGAGTGGTTCGACAAGATGGCGCTCAATCACAGCCTTGGTAATGGCGTTGACAAAGTACTTCATCTTGTCCTTATGCGCGCTGCGTGTCGAGAGCCTCTTGGCTAGAGAAAACGTCCATGACAGGCTCGAGGGATCGCTCCATAGCCGCCAGGAGCTTGGTAGTATCAACCTTTCCAAGTGGAAGACTTACTGAGCGCGGAAAAAGTGGAGGGATGCCATGTTCGAAAGGTCCAAGTTGGCAAAACAGGGCGGTGTATTAGTCCTAGGAATTGACATGGCATACGAAGGGTTACAGTGAAATGCAAAGTAGTGCATCTACGCAAGGTACTTATGTGAGATGGAACACTGGCCTACTATGTGCGGTGTGCTGGAAAACATATAAGTCTATTCGGGGCCTTTCATCCATGGTTATCCAGATTCATCGCCAGGGTCCGGGGGGGATGTAGATATACAATATATTGCGAACAAGAACGCTAGCAGCTACAAACTCCAAGCACACAACTACAGAAAAAGCTCACAGTTTGGCACCGCCCTCCACATCCACGCTTCCTTTCAGCAAGTCCCAATCCGCCATGGTGAATACAACGTAGCCATCATCCGCACCGGTCTGGCCCTTGCCCGACCCAAGAGCAGCAGGGTGCCAGTACATAGTATCGTATTCCGCTTCTTCTTTCCCTTGCTCCTTGGCCTCTTTGTCCGCCCTTTCCATAAGTTTTCTCAGATCAATGCCATCATTCCTCAACGGAACCTTGTTCTGCTTGTTATTATGCATCGTCGTTTGTTGTTTCTGTACCCTTAAGAAAACAGGTACCGCATACTTTGGCAACTTCTCTCTCGCATGCGCAAGTAGCGCGTTGAAGTTGAAGGAGTCGAGATGAGCAGGGTCGATGTGGATGGCTGCACAACCTGCTCGGCCATCGAAGCCAGGCACTTCAACGCCGTAGACGTTCGCTTCTTGAATTCCTGGAAAGGAGCCGAGTGCTTCGCTGACTTCTGCTGTGCTCACGTTTTCGGATTTCCAGCGGAAGGTGTCACCGAGACGGTCCATGAAGAACCAACGGCCATCAGCATCACGGCGTAAAGCATCGCCAGTGCGGTAATAGAGGTCGCCCTTCCTGAAAACGTTGCGTTCGAAACGTTTCTCAGTGGCCTCAGGATTGTTCCAGTAGCCGACAAAAGCTTGCTCGCTTGGCATCTGAACGAGGATCTCGCTGCCCTCCTCGTAGGCCTTTCGTTTACAGAAGCCGGTCTTGGGATCACGGAGGAGGTCTCCTGTTACAATATCGACCTCGATGGGAACATAGGTGTTGTGGGTGCGCCAGCGATCGATGAGACCCTGGTGTCCGACTGACGTGGCAGTAAAGGGTCCTCGAGAACCATTGAACAGCGCCATGACGCCTTCTGTGCTGTTGAAGAATTCACCGACAACTTCGATGCCGAAGCGGTCGACAAAGCGCTGCCATACGTCGGGGCGAAGGCCGTTTCCAAACATGGCTCTGACGTTGTGTTTCCGATCCAGATCGCTAGGAGGGGCATTGAGAAGGTAGCGAGCGGTTTCTCCTACATAGACCATGGCGGTAGATCTCGAATCACGTACGTCGGTCCAGAACCTGGATGTCGAGAACTTGGTGCCGATACAGCATGTGAGACCGGTGACCATACAGACGAGTGCTGTCGTGCCACCAGTGCCGTGGTATAGAGGCATGCAAACATACCACCTGTCGCCGTTGGGCCCTGACTTCAGTCCCATAGCACCTACACGTTGAGTCAAGCCGACCGCTCTTTGCGTCTCGAAGGGGCAAGCTTTCGGGTGTCCAGTGGTGCCACTGTCATAATCAGCATCGTTCCAGCCACAAGAGCCATGGTTCTCACTGACCTTGTATAGAACAGGAAGAGTGGGAACTTCCCCTTCATGCCCACCCTAAGCTCATCCTCAGGCCTTGTGGGTTCCAGCCTAGATATCTCACCCTTCAAGCCCGTGTCCAGGATCAGAATAGTCATGCCCAGTTCGCTCTCCAGCCTCTCTCTGACAGCCTCGATACGATCTCTGCACTCTTGATCTTCATCCACAAGCAACACCTTGGCGCCACTCACTTTCAAGCAGTGCACCAGCGCATCGCCTGCGAGGTTGTAGTTGATCCACGCCGGCGCGCTTCCTATGCTCCAGCCCCCCAGATGTGCGAAGAGGAATTCGGGTCGGTTCATCATGTACATGGCAAAGAGCTGCCCGGGGACAACGCCATTCTGGCGCAGGTATTGGCCATATCGACAGGCGTTCGCGTAGGTTTCGGCCCATGTGTAGCAACCGTTGCGAGACCAGATGCACTCTTCGGTCGAGGGCAAGCGGCGGACTTGGGCTTCGAACTGGTACCATAGGGACTGGCCTTTGCCTCGTGCTGGTATCCTATTAGAATGCGGTAGGCCGAGGGCCTATGGAGCTTGGGCTTACCATTCTTCTCGAGATCGCGCGCGGCAGCTTTCAGGACGCGTTGGCTCTTGAGGTCTTTGGTAATGTGGTATTTGGCGTCGATGTAAGCGGCAGCTGCAGTAACGCCTGCGATTGCGCCTGCTACGGGTGCTTCAAAGCTTGGTTAGTTTAGATGCACGACATGAGTTGCGTAGAGAGAGGGTTGAGGGTTGACGTGACAAGCGCGCCGCGGCTGCTACTACACGGAATAGGAACACGCACCGAGAGCCATGATGACTTCTACTTTCTGTATCTTGTGAATGAAGGACGTATGGAAGAGAAACACAGAGAAACGCCGAAAAGATAAGTCGCGATCAAAGTAAGCCGAAGTACGCCCAATGCTCCAAGATAACCTGCGACACCTGCGTGTTCGTCCACAACGTGATCAATTGCCGACATGCCCTCGGCCTTTAAACCGCCGTTCTACGCCAATGCACACGGCCCCATGGAGTAACCCCACGTGCGAAGAGCCCCACACCCTACTTTCGCTCTGCGACGTGCTCAGTCAGACTCCATCGGACCTTTTCCACATTGGCGATGAATCGAACAAATCAATTATCAATGAGCGGTTTGGAGATTGATTGACTTGTAAGCACCAAATGAGCGTCGCAAGCATCTTGCATCTGCCATTTTCGCCGTTGGGACGGTTTCAAGGCCGCCGATAACATGCTCGTGTGGTTATTCATAGTATCGAAAGACTGGTTTGATGCCATACAACCATATCATATCACTCATTATCGACATTACGAGCCATCTCACTAGAGCTTCGCCTCGGAACCCCTAGCGAACTCAGCATCCTACTCTACACTACTCGAGGCCTCGCATCAAACTCACATGTGCTTGTGGAAGAAATCCAACACCATCTTGTAACCGCGCTCATACTCCTTCTTGACCTTCTCCTGTTCAAGGTCACTGCGCGCCGCCATCCAGCCGTGGATTTGATCTGGGAACCATTCCACAACATGAGGGACCTTGATGCCCTCCTCCCACTTCTTGACATCATCTTTGGACTCGTCGCCCGAGGGAAGCATGATGTAGGGGATCTTGATGCCAGGAGCGTCGTCGCCAGCAACCATGGCGGGGTGGCATGCTGCTGCGACCTTGAACTTTGTGCCCTCCATGGAAGACAAGTTGACGATCTGTATCACGTTAGGCGATACACCATCGCAGAATAAAGCTTCACCATACCTTTCCGCCCCAGCAGAAACCAACGATGGCCCACTTTTCAATACCATTCTTCTGGCTAAGCTCATCGACAATCTTCGGGATGCGCGGTAGTGTCTTTGGCGGCGCAGCTTGCGACTTGAAGAACTCGCCCATCTTTTGCTCCTTTTCCTTGGTATCCGGTGGCATCCAGGAGATGTCGGCTGGGTTTCCCTCGAAGAAATCAGGCATGAAAACTTGGTACTTCTGGCTGTCAGTGTAGGCCAGGATATCCGCGCCTTGGAGTGTTTGGTTAAAGAATCCGAAGATGTCGTAGACGACGAGAATTCCTTGCTTTGCGTCCTTGGGACCGGTTTGGTCTGTTGAAGTCAGTTGGGTTACGAAGTGGTGTCGCAGTGTTGGACGTACAGGTCTTCAATCCGTTCACCTCAATGTAATCGCCTTTTGGCTGGTAGCCCTTGCTAACCACTGCGGGTGTGTTGCAGCATGCCTGCGATTGTGTAGATTCGGTTGACATGTTGGCAATGTGTTGTTTTGGGAGGTTAAATAGCGTTCGTTTGCTTATAGGTGCAGTTTGGTAGCTTGTGAACAGCCGTGGCACTGCAGTTGAAGCTCTCCCTAAGTGTTGGAGCAAGAGCCGAGTTGTTGAAGTTTGAAGAAGGGAAGTTGCTCGGATAATGACGCGCATTATAGCTGCTACGGTATTTGTCAAGCTGGCAACGACCATTTGGTGGGGAACTTCGCACCGAGGCTACCCCACCATGATGTCACCAACAGTAATGATGAAGTACACATGGGCAGACTACTAAGATAGCAACGCTTACTACAAATCAGCCCAGCAACCAGCGCCGTATCGAAATCCATTGCTTTCAGTGCGAGCAACTCAGCATCCACTCCATTCACCGGGTTAAGCACCCCACCAGCCTTACGCTGTGCAAAAGCCACATACGGCGTGCCTCCCCATTCCGCTCCAGACTTGCACATCCACCTCAGCTCCACTGACGCACCTTCTCGGGTCGCGCGATGCTACAGTGAAACCACATAGTGCGCAAAGCATAAGTCGCCCAGAAATACATGCAGTGTTTAGCGATTGCGGTTTCCCTCGAGCATAGTTAGAAGATGACGTACGCCTCATGGCAGGTAGGGGCCATAGCATCCAACCAGAGAAACAAAGCATAGCATACATATATTGGTGCTGATGTGTATCTTTCTTTCATTCACAATCTCGCGCGAAGCTCTATACCAAAGACTAACTTATTTTCATTCGAGCGAAGCTCTCAAATCTAGTGCTTACAGTGCCTACTGTGAACAGCAAAAGTGGCAGAGTGGACAAGCTTTCATTTGAAAGTCATTGAATCTTCACCAGAAAATCAAACTTTGTGCCAACTTTCTACTCACTCAATCTTCATACAGCTATCATTCCGACTGTGGTCGGTCTTCTGCCCATCCAATGTCACACCAAAGACCAAAATGATCGCTGAAATGCGCTTTTGAAACCGATTCCCTTACATCAACCGAGGTCTTTTCACTACATAATACCAATTCGCTCGTTTGCAAGATGCCCATGCTTGAAGGGGTAAGGTTAAACAGAGCAACTTTGTCCAACCGGTTTGGAGGGAATGACTGTTCACCGTATACACCCCAAGTATGACCTGGGTCGTTTGAATGAAGGTGTACCCACGCATCGGTAAGACCGTTGGTGCGGACAAGGTCGTCGTCTTCTGGGAGGACGGGGTTGAAGTCGCCGGCAATGATCCCGCGGCCGGCTGCGCTGAGGTACGACGCTGCGATAGAGAGTTGATATGGCCTGAGTGACGGGTTGATTGGCAATGAATCCAAGTGGACGTTGATAAGTCGAATCCGGAGGGAACTTCTACCAGAGGTGTGCTTGCTTGAAGAGTTAAGGAGCAAATCGCAGCACAGGGCGTCTCGTCCAAAACGACTAGGTAATGAGATCCTCCAGATGGCGCCTAGCAGGATACCATCTGTGGCTACCCAAAGCTTGGACACTAAGGTGATGCTGATGAACTTTTGCTTTCCAAAAGCGGAGGCATCGACGTCGCTTGTGTACCAATTTTGCTGTATCCAGGGTTCTTCAAGCAGTGCTGTAAGTGCTTCCCTTGATACCTCTTGCAGGAAAACAACATCTGCAGCTCCTGTAGTTTTGATAACCTGCAGTAGTGCAGACATACGAGACTTTGGTAACGATGCATCCGCATTTACGTTCCAACTCACGAGGCGGAATGAGCCCGCCCATTGATGTCTGATACCAGGCTGAGAAGTTTTGTCCCTGACAAATGGAATCCATCGTTCTCGATCAAAGTTGTGCCACTTCTGGAAGCTAGGCGTTCCTGCAGGTGTAATTGTTGGCAAAGGTGTCTGTTGCCACCAGGATTTGACGCGGGTGTGCATCTGCGATAGCATGGCGGAATCGAATTTGTGGTGTTCACGGAAGGGCTTGAAGCGCGCAAGGGTGATTGTTTCGTTGTTAGTATGGTGGCAGAGTACCTAGGTAAGGTGAAGCCGTAGTTGTTGTCGTAGTAGTGAAGGGGAGAGGGAGTCGGCGGTCTACAATATATGCTCACGAATTGTGAAGAAGTTATTGTAGCGTACCGGTGATACTGTATGTACCACCTATACGGTACCTAGGTAGGCTAGCCTGAAATCAGCCTTGGCATGTTCCGAAGCTGCGATTCACGGTTTTTAGTCTGCTATGCTATAATAGCAAATTCACTATTAGTGAGAACATACGGTTGTCGAAACAAAGCGCGATTTCCTCTGTCCCGTAAGGCAGCAAAAGGGGTCAATTGGTCCTTGTGAGCTCACAACCATGGTCCATCTTGGTCGTCAACCACGGTTGAACGACAACCAGCCTTTGCGAGCTCGCAGCCATTGTCTATTTTTGTCATCATAATATGCTTACATTGCTACTCAACAGAATATGTTGCAGTCTGTCTCATCTCGTACACTGCAGCTATAGAAGAACCCCAATCTGTCACCACTCGGCATCATCAGTCATTTCCTGTAGCCAGAACTTCAAGCCTTCCTTCATATTGGCGGTCATACTATCTAGGTCCAGACTTTCCTCTTCAACATCCATGATTGTTCGCAATGCAACTATGTCCAACTTGTCGTTGTGTTTCTTTGGACCCTCGCGGCGAGACTTCTCAGCCCAGCCCGCCAACTTCAGCTTTAATAGCTCGTTCCGCGGCAGCGAGAGCCCATAGCCTCCTGGCAACTGAACCAGTACATCACGAATTGTCTCAAAGCGAGGGAAGCTGCCCCATCCGGCAACGTTGATGTCAATCTCGACGAAACAGCGACCCTGATACAGGATCTTGTCTTCTTCGTCATCTTCTTCCAGCGTTGTGGTCCAGACGTATTGTGAATGTCTCTTGCTCCAGAAGAACGGCTCATCAGCGAGCCAGTCGCGAGGGTTCGGCAATGTGTTTGAGGAATTTTCGATAACAAGATCTACGTCTGCGGTGGTTCGAGGGATCGTCGTCAGGAGCTGACACGATACCACTCCGAAGAAGTAGTATTGACGTCCAAGTTTCTTTAGTGCGGCGACTATCTCGCGCATACACTGGCGAAGCGCTTCTTCAGTCGGCTGTCGCTTGCTAGTCGTAGTGCGGACTCGATCGTAAATGCCTATGCAGCTTAGCAACGATTTACGCCACAGCTTCAATCTGTACTCTACCTTTAGTTTGCTCAAACGTGTTGCCGAGCGTGATGTCTTGGCCCTCCATCGAGGACACAGTCGCCGTTGTAGATTTGTTTGCTATGTTTAGGAAGACAGGTAGAAAGGTGGGTAGAAAGGATTGTGTTCAAGAGTTAATCAAAGCAAACTTTTCTGGCAGGCTTGCGGCACAAGATCACAAAGTGAAGGTGAAGGTGAAGGTGAAGGTGGAGGCAAGATACAAGTGGATTAATTGGAATATACCTCTACAAGATCCGAAACATAGATGCAATTTGTCAGTGTAACGATGAATAGACATTAAGTATGCTATTTTGGCAAGGTGTTAATACTCGACAAACTTTCAGAATCCTAGCGCCTTCGTTCGAACAACCGGGCCTGTTGCAATTGAATGGCCCACTCCTGTTCCATGGAGATCTGGTCCCATCTGTGCATCAAGGAGACAGACACAGGAACGTCGGCATCGTTGGTTCCGACTAGCTAGATGCGCCGGAAGAAGTGGATCGTCTCTTCCAATGTGTTTTGGCAGAATGCATTCATAGCTTACTTGACTTCGTCCATGTGCGCATTTAAGTATGCATGTACTTCAGTGATGAACTGTCTCAACGTAATAGATCTTCTATCTGCGTCCTCAATTACAAGAGGCTGCGGAGGTCGACATGAACACTAAGCGTCCAAGTTCAACTTCTCGAGCAATGTATCTATCTTCCCGAGCAAGATTTGATAATTCATCGCGTCTTGAGCAAACTCATCACCAACTTCCTCACCGTCCAAGTTTCTAATGACACCAGCAGCGATTTGCTGCTCAACCGACGCAATGTTCTCGTCTTGCTGCACCTTATCAGGTATACCATCTTCTAGCGCGAAGTCGCCCATTGCGTCGACAAGATCTCCTTCAGTACTAGCTTGTATGGCTGCATTCTCATCCATCATCTCATCTAGGCCGCTGTCTTCAAAGCGAAGTCTGAATCGTTCTGAGAGGTAGTACCGGATATCGTCGACGAGTTCGACAGTGTCAGTCTCTTGACGTGCCTTGACGCGATTCGCAGATTCTTGGACTAGCTCTGCAAACTCGGGTTGGTCTATGTAGTGTTCCAGTCGATAAGCGATATAACGTGCAGCGAACTCTTCCAGACGCTGCACCCTCGTGTCCCACCCAGCTCGGATAACCTCGTAGATATCCACGGCTTCATCGGCATCTGTAGCACCCCGTGGATTGTCTGACTCGACTGCTGAGGTTGCGCCGTTACCCAATGCAGAAATGATGATGGCAGCGCGTTGCTTGAGCTTCTCAATGAAGAGCTGATCTGCCGCAAAGAGCACGTCGATTGCAATATCCAAACCGAAGTCAGCACGTTCGGTGTACATGAAGGTGAGGATAGTCTCCAAAACTGCTGGTGAGCAGTCGATGGTCACAATCTGCAAATGCGGCGTGTCTTGTGCTTCTTTGAACTGGGAGCTGAACATGGTCAGGAAGTACTCGGACCGCAATAGCATAGCTCGGTGCGCAGGGAAAATAGTCGATTTACGGGGTGCTCGTTGGCGGGAAGGCGACCTGGAACGTGAGCGGCCCAATCCGACTGGTATGCCTAGAAGGGGCCCAGGAGTGTTTCGCACAGGTGGCGTGGATGACTCGGATGGCCCTGGTGATCGTTCTGTGTCCTCGGAATCTTGGTCCTCGTCGTCATCGTCGGCACGAAGTAGTATGTCGGCGAAGATGGAGTTTTCCCGGTCCCATTGTATGTTGTCCACCCGTGCAGTGTCTACGATCCTCTTGTGCCGGAGGACATTGTTCTTGAACCAGCTTTCTAATTGATCTCTGCCACGCTCTAATTCCTCGGCTCGTCGCTGGCGCAACAATCTTCGATCCGAGACTTCTGTGATGTCTTCGAACAGACGTTCTATCTCCAGCTGCTTGCCAATCTTGTCAATGCCATTGAGCACCACCAACTCCTGCTCGTCACTCAAGCCGTGTAGTGCTCTCCGTATTGAGACTTCCTGAAAGTACAAATACTGCAATGCCACACCTAGCGACTCTGCAGGTATAGTGTTCGGTAATTTCCACGACGTTGTGTTTGGTGCTGCTTCCAGCTTCTTCGCAAAGTATGGCGATCGTGCGGCGAGGAGGAACTTGTGCAGGTGAAATTCTTGGCCATAGGCTGTGATAGTGATGTCTGTTGTCTTGGGCGTGGGTCGCGTGAGGAGCGAAGTAATGTGTGCCGCCAGCGGTTGAAGTGGATTCGAAGCTTTCGCATAGTCGTAGGATAGTAGGAGATTACGTATGCGATCGTTGAGGGCGTTGTACAGGCATCGTTCGCCCTGGAAGGTATCCCGTTCGCAGAGTGCGCCGTTTTCAAGGAGCAATCTGATGACTTCGTAGTGACCACATAGACTGGCCTTCAGCGGTCAGCGCATTGCTCTTTTTCAAGGAACGAAATATTAAGACATAGCACAAGTAGGTCTTACTAGGATAAGGGGCGTATAATCGAATTTGTCTCTGGCGTTGATGTTCACACCCGTCGATATCATCTCCTGGCAAACCTTCAGGTCCCCCCTCCGGCATGCTTCACAGAAGACCCTGAAATCATCGCTCAGATCTAGCGGATTCTCTTCCTTCAGCTGGCCTGACGAGATGGCCTGGGCCTCTGTCGCGAGGGCCGCCTCGATCTCGTACTTCTTCTTGACGTCCATGGCTGTGGCAAAAAGTGGATTCGCTTCCTAACGCCGACATGTTGGAAGAGAGTGACTGGTGATTGCTATGCTATGACGAGTGGCGGCGGAGATCGGCGTGTTTATCGATAAGGGCGGTGACAGGGTGCAGGGGTGCGTCCCACCTGGCAACTGCAAAACGTGAGGCGCGTGCGAGCGTTGCTGGGTTGACGGGCGTTAGCGTAAACAGGCCCAAACACCAAGGAAACTTGGCTCCCATCCCACCCATTGTACATAATCTACAGCCGCCACTACCTTCGACCACTACTAACCCAGCAGCTTGCTACCCCTACCTACATTCCATAATTGCATGTCTTTTGAGCAATAGCAATACCTTCACCATGCCCGAGGAAGAAAAGTACGATGTGCTCGAGAAGATTGGTACGGACAGACCTTGACATATGGCGAGAGACGCATACTGACATAGTATAGGCCATGGGTCCTTTGGTATCATTCGCAAGGTCAAGCGGAAGTCAGATGGCTATGTAGGCTACCACGACAAAGCCTGCGCGCGCGACTTGCTAACCGCCGCACAGATTCTCTGCCGCAAAGAAATCAGCTATCTTAAGATGTCGCAGAAGGAACGCGAGCAGCTGCAGGCTGAGCTGTCTATCCTGAAAGAGCTTCGACACCCCAACATCGTCGCCTACTTCGAACGCGACCACATCAAGGCATCGCAAGACCTCCACCTCTACATGGAATACTGCGGAAACGGCGACCTCGGACGTGTCATTCGAGACTTGAAGAACAAGAACCAGATTTGCGAGGAGGAGTTTGTCTGGAGCATCTTCAGCCAAATCGTCAGCGCCTTGTACCGCTGCCATTATGGTGAAGACCCACCTGCGGCAGGCCGCAACGTCATGGGCCTCGTTGGCAATGCGAAGCCTGTCCGTGATCCACGCAAGCCCATGATTCTCCATCGAGACCTCAAGCCTGAGAATAGTCAGTATCCAGCTCTCTTGTCCTAGCATCATTGTATGCTAACATCTCGCAGTCTTCCTTGGCGATGACAACAGTGTCAAGCTGGGCGACTTCGGTCTGTCCAAGATCCTCCAATCCCACGACTTTGCTTCCACCTACGTCGGTACGCCCTTCTACATGTCGCCTGAGATTTGCAAGGCGGAGCAATATGGACCGCATTCGGACATCTGGGCACTCGGGTGCATCATATACGAGATGTGCACCAAGTCACCACCTTTCAACGCGAAGACTCACTTCGAGCTGATTTCCAAGATCAAGCTGGGCCGATATCCTGACATACCTGCCTGCTACTCGGCAGAACTCCGAAAGGTCATCGCCAGCTGTCTGAACACAACACCCGACCACCGACCTGATACTGCCGCCCTTCTCAATCTGCCTATCGTCAAGCTAATGCGAAAAGAGCAGGAGGTCGTCAAGCTGGGACAAGACCTCCGACAGCAACGTATGCTGACTGCGAAGCGAGAGAAGGAAGCCAGCGAGGCAATCTCACGGATACGCAAAGAGTTGGACGACCAATTACGACGAGAGTGGGAGGTCAAGGCACAGTTGGAGATCGAGCGACAAGTGAAGCTGCAAACAGAGCAGCGGGTACAAAAGGAGCTGGCGCACCTCCAGGCGACGTTCGAAGGCGAGGTCAACAGGCGAGTAGAGCGGGCTCTGAAGATGTACCCCAACCGTCTGAGCACATCACCGAAGCTGGCTCCTCGTTCAAACACACCCACTATGGCGGCAACAGAACCTTCGGCTTTGTTCTCAGCAGAGACCGAAGGTACCGTTGCGAATGGTTCTCAGAACACCATCAGCACAGATTCCGACTTCGCAAGTGGGACAGACCTCTCGTCACTTTCTCTAGACGACCACACCGAAGATGTCACCATCGCACCAAAACCCAAGGCAAAGCGACCGTCTCGTGGCCCTCTCGTTCGCGCTCGCACAATGTTCTCCCAGCCTTCCACCACGCAAGTACCGGATTCCCCCATGGATGTTCAGATGGCCGAGCCATCACCCGCGCATGCGTCACTGAAGGGACTTTCCCTTTCGCCTCGTCGCAACCAACAACCTAAGCAAAACATTTTCGCTGCGGCTAAGGAAGGCGCGAGGAAGTGGGAAGCTGATGTTCCTCCTTCGCCAACTGAGGCCGAGTGGAATGCCGACTTTGACGATGACGACGACCTCCCCGTGCTACCATCGCCAACCCGCGCACGAAGCGCCTCTGGTGGTCGTCCTATGAGTGAAGACCCATTCAAGGTGCTCGCGAACGCTCAAGCACCACTATTGAAGGCAAACGCCCGACTCGGAAGTACACCGAACCTCCTGGGTCCCAGGACTACGAAGCCTCGCCCCGTTTCCGCCGTACCCATTGTCGCTGCATCGCCTTCTCGACAGAAGGCCAAGTCCACCGATAACCCATCGACGTCGCCACGCAAGACGGGCGCCACAACAAAGTCGATACCGTTTGCTGGTCTCCCATCGAAGAAGGGCAACGAGGCGTTCCGTGTACAAGCGATGCGCAACAACGGCGGTGTTCAGGGTCGCACATTGGTTGAACTCCAACAAGCGCGCGGTATCCCAGTGCACACCATGAGCGAAGACGAGGGTGGCGCGAAGAAGGGCTTCGGATATGGTGGCCGAAGGAGTCCCGTCAAGAGAACTGGCGGTATCAGCCCACCTGCAGTATGGGACCCAGATACCGAGCCGGACATGCCATCTCCCTTCATTGTCCGCAGCAAACGCATGGTCCGATAGGACGGACGATCCGTAACAGCTCCGGAACGATTACGACATTTACAACGACACGACGAGAGGTGAATAATGGGTGTATTGGTTGACACGTCCCATGGCGTTGATGGGATGCATGGAAGACAAAGGCCATTTCTTTTGTTTATACCAAACGGAGTGGTGTTTTGGCGTTGATGATTGTGGATCCAAAGCGAGCAACCGCGTCGCGTCCTATCTACCGTCTCTTCCCTTTGTCATCATTGCATCTACCTTTGTTTTTTTACTGTCACATTTTCCACGTCAGCATACTAGCATCTTTTTTTGGCGATACTGTGGGTTGGATTGGATAGGCGTTGAGGCGTTGCACCGCTATGAAACGGTTTGCATCTGTACTCTTATTTTATCTCTTTGCGACGAATGTTACTATTACCATACTTCAACACATGAACTTGTCAAACGTCGTGATGGGTTGAACGAACAATTGATTAATCGAAGGCATCACCATCCGAAGCTTTCAGTATGCAAATATATACCCTGCGCTCCAGTCCCTTTATGCACTGCCCTCTCATCACTCAAGCAAACAACATCGTGCTTCACATCCGCCACTAATCCCTGCGGTCCACATACCACCACTGCACTTTCTCCCAGTGCCTGTTCCAATGACCTGCGTATGATATCGCGTGTTTTTGGTCGGCCAGAATATACTGCTATCGCAGGATGCACGACGACTCTCTTGCTTTGCTCATGAGAAGAAGGGATGGAAGGTACGAGGGAAGTAGGACGAGATGAAGCATTGGCTTTGGGTTTCGAACAACAGCATACTGCTTTACCGGCTGAAGGAGAATCTGATTCATCGATGGCGGCGCGGCAGCAGCATGTGCCGTTTGGACCACAGGATGTTTGTTGGATATCAAGGCTTTCAGAGTCGAGAGATGCGACTTCTTGGAATGCTACTTTCTCCGATTTCGTCTCGCTGTTCAATGCGGTTCTCTGCGGGAGCGATCTATATTGTACTGCACCGTGCTTGGGATCGTTTTGCCGCGCCGTGTTCGCGTTGGGTGCAGTTATGCCTGAGAGCAAGGAATTGTGCTCTTCGGTGAAAGATTCATCGCAAGTGATGTAGACCGTCATTTCCAATTTGATGTCGCGAAGTGTTTCTTGTAGCGTTCGAAATTCGGTGTAGACCGACGAAAGTTGTTCGGCGAACCAACTTAGCTGGCCTCTACTCTTGACGACCCATGCGAAGCGAATATGCCGCGTGGCCGCACCTGTTGGCGTTTTGAAGAATGAAGTGGCGTTGCCCACATTGCCACGAGCATTCTCTTTCCAGCCTTGAAGGAGATCACGGAGGAGCGGGAGGGTAAAAGTCCCGCCAGTACTCCCTGCAAGAAGAACTACACTGTCAAATTGGCGAAGTGGTCTCAAAGTGCCGTATGGACCTTCTATGGCCACTGTTCTGGCCTTTGTAGTTGCTCCAGAGAGACTACCGGATTTTTCCGCATGTCTAAAGAATCGTTTTGTACCTCCCTTTTCGGCCTTGATGTAAAACTCCATCTTTCCATCTTCCGGGATTGATGCAACGGTAAACGGGTGACTTTGTAGTGGCACTACGGAATGACAGGATAGGTACACATGCTGCCCAGGAGTCCAGCTGATGGGAGGATTGGGGATAACGATTCGTGTGGTGTTGTGCGGAAGAGGTGTGAATTCAGCCTTGCATGCCCAAAGGCCATTTGTTTGGCCCCGCTTCTTTAACGAAGGATGGAAGAGTGACGTGTTGATATATAGTAATCGCAGCGCGCGGAAGGCGCGGTCGAACAGGAAAATGGCAACGGATGCCCATACGTAACCGTTCATTTCAATAGGGGTATGAATGTAGACGAACCCAAGAAACACCGCAAAAGAAACGATGTGTTGGATGACGAATATCTCGTAGTTCCATCCTCGGATAGGTGTCATAGAACTGAAGACGATCCACGCCAGCGTGCACCAAGCGACAAGGCCCTTCCAGACAATCTTGTTATTCTTGAGTTGGTAGCCGATGTAGTCGTACGGAGCCCACGCACTGAAAAAGTACCCCATGTGCATGGTAGCTGTAAGGAGCATACATCGAGCGCACCATCGGTGTAACCAATTCAGACGTTCGTAGCTAACACCACTGAGACACCCAATAATATTATTTTTACCCGCTAGCAGGATGATGATGGGTAGTTGGGCGATCGTAACGACACCACATCGGAAGCCAATGTTTTCCATACTGAATTGGTCCGTAACATCGAAGCCGTACAAACATAGAACGACCAGCACAACTATGTTTGCTGCAACCAATGATGATCGCCCGACGGTTGGTAGTCTGAGTATGCGACCCTTTAGTGGTATACGGATGGAAAAGTTGGATGCCTCGCGCATTAAGGCGAAGACTGTCGCGTTCCCGAGAGCGAACCATGACCTCGGTTTTGCAGGTGTGCGTGAACCTCCTCTTACCGCGAGCAGTCTTTGGCGGTAGAGCACGTAGCTGTAGGCGTTGCAGATTGTTGCGATGCCCACTGCGGCCCCCACTACTGCGTAGTAGAAATCTGGCCATTCTGTGAGGGCGGGCAACATGCCCATAGAGCCCATCGACATGTGATTGTGACTCATGATGCGCACCGCTGGGATCTCGCAGGCTTTTTTTGGCTCGTGGTTTCAGGCCTGTACTGGATGCGAAGTTGGGCGATTGCCAGTGATGGATGGGCGTGAGCCTAGCCTCAGTGTCTATCGCATGCTGGCTCGGTTGCGAACAGGTCTGGGATTAAACTAGGGTGGTGGTTTCCTTGACTGATACGTGATCGGTATGAGGATATACCTTAGGGCGTTAAAAGATGATAGAGCGTAGCAGTGGCATAAGGATAACGAAGTGCAATAGTGGTCCGGCAGAAGGCTCACACATGGAGTATCTTCAGCCACGCTCCCGGCAATAATCAACATGTTGCCGTAGTGCCGAGTGTAATCAATCGCCTCCCAGATGCAGGCTCGATGCACTGCGGGGCCTGGATTGAGGGCGAGTGGACACTCTGCTAGCCGTGGCGTAAATCAAGCTTCTCGCGCTAACCAAAGACGGCTAATTCTGCTCAAAGGTGCTCCTTGGGATTCACGGCTCTTTGAACGTCGCCCGCTCGTTTGCAGTCACCGGCAGCGCGCCATGGCCCACAGAAGTTGCAGGTGCATCGCTGCAGGCCGTCCGTGGCTTCGAGATTGCACTCTCTTACTTGTAGGCGGGAAGGCGTTGCCGAGAAATGTGCTCACATGCCCCGACGCTTCACGCATCAGCCCAGACTTGACATTTTCTTGAGTGTCGCAAGATCCTACTCAATCGCTCAACTTGTATACACTGCAACACGAAATCAGCGCCCCCAGGTTATGCGTTCATACTGAAGCATCCTCATCTGCGCAATCGGAACCAGCGAACGTGCGACACCCCACAGCGTACCAAGGACTCTTAAGCGATCGTCCCCCCAGTACCGAGTTAGCAGTCTGGAGCTCAATACCTAATCCTCGATATCTAATCGCCCCGCGCAACCACCTAGACGTTCGCTTTTGTGAGCCTCATTACTGGAAACCTTCTCATCGGCTACACGCACACTCAGTTTGTCACTATGGTCGCCCACGAGGGCCACGATACGGCTACCAGTTCGATGGACATGGGCGGCATGGATATGGGCACTTCGTCACATGGCAGCATGGCAATGTCATTCTTCACGGCGACAAATACTCCGCTATACTCCGAAGCATGGACCCCAACGACTGCTGGCCAATACGCTGGGACCTGCATCTTCCTTATCTTCCTCTCTATCCTCCTTCGTGCAATCTTTACGGTGAAAACCTTCCTCGAGGTCAGAGCGATTAAGAGCGCCTTGAAGCGACGATATGTTGTCGTCGCCGGCGAGAAAGCGGTTGTCGACAAAGCTACGGACGACGCCAATTCGATGACTGGCATCCTTACAACAAACGGTGTCCAAGAGGATGTGCGGGTTATTTCGGCGCCAGTATCTCATATTCAGCCATGGAGGTTCAGTGTCGATCTGCCTCGGGCACTGATAATGACTGTTGCAGCGGGTGTCGGATACCTCCTGTAAGTATTAGATATGACAACACGGTGTGTCGATCGAAGCTAACACTTGAACAGCATGTTGGCAGTTATGACATACAACGTAGGATACTTTTTGTCTGTTTTGGCGGGTGCTTTCGTTGGTGAATTGGCATTTGGCAGGTTCAACCAAGTCGCAGCGCATTGAGTGTTGAACTCGCAACTGTACCTATATATTCATATGAAAAGGTTGTAACAGCCCTTGTTGTTCACATCAGTGTTCCACTTGATTCATGCTTCATGGAAAGTTCCTTATCGCTAGATGTTCGACTAAACGACCTGAACCGTGGAGTGCTAACGTTATCGTCTAGATCTACAAAGCTTGTTCCACACAAGATCCGACCATGCGATTCATGGACGTGTTATTCCCATACTTTTGATCTCCATAACTGGTGTAGGACCGGATTCCAGGCCTCGGCGTGTCACCGGAATCCTCATGTGTGAAAACGTATCCCTGTTCGACGCTAGTCGATTTCGCCGTAGAACCACTGCTTTGGTAATAAACTTGCTCACCCAGCGCGCCACAACATACCGTACCCTGATAACTTGCATACTAGCGAGTGCCGCCGCCGCTGCAGGATATCACTCACTTACTGTTCTCTGCTTAGATCGTCAGCGTATTCGAAACGCAGGTTAAATGCATGTGGCTTCCAGTGCTCACGCGCGAGGCATGCGCTGCACTGGGACGGAATGCACGGCATGGTAAGATGCGTCTCAACCTAAGTTGCAATAAATACGGTAGGAGTTCCCGGTGTTTACTTGCTGTTTTGTCCTTGCACTCTTGACCTTCTCGCACTCCTCTATATCAAGTCAATCGCGTCTTCCTCTCTACCTTGACATCAATACCTACATTCACCTCGCAACCGTCAACATGCTTTCCAATAGCGTCCTCGCGCTTGCATTCCTTCCTCTTACACTCGCCCATTTCCAACTCAAGTTTCCTGCGTCGCGTGGGTTCACCGACGATACTGAGGGCAACTTCCCATGCGGAGGCTACGACGATGTTCAACAACAGCGCACCGACTTCCCCATTGGCGGTGGCCCAATACAACTGCACATGGAGCATCCACAAACCAATGTCGCTGTCTACATGGCCATTGGCGACAACCCGGGAGATGGATTCAGCATTGTCGCACAACAGCAGCTCCAAGTCTCAGGTCTTGGAGACTTTTGCTTAGGCTCGGTCGCTGTACCGGCAGGATTGAACGTTTCGGATGGCACAAAGGCTTCGATACAAGTGGTCACCAACAACCACGAGGCTGGTGGCCTATACCAGGTAAGCTTGCCATTGATTCGAGTCCATCATCAAAACAAATTTGCTAACGATAACACAGTGCGCGGACGTGACCCTGGTCAACAATGCTCAGATCAACTTCGAGGACAACTGCAAGAACCAAACAGGCATGGCTGTTACTCAGGAAAACATCTCTGGCAACCCCAACGGAACATCCACGGATACAAGCCCGAGCTCGGCCAGCAGCGGAGCTGCAGCATCAGCTACACCGACTACTGGTGCAGCAGTGCAAGCGAAGGCTGTGTCGTGGGCTTTGGGTGCTGTTGGTCTCGCTGGAATGGCACTACTCTAGGTGGATTTAGGAGTGTTGAGATAGATAGCTATATACCATCTTTGATTGTTCTCTTCCGCGCAGTGTGCTGTTCCATTTTCAACTGAAACAAACGTCTGCATCTCTCAAAAACTGGATGGAAGCCTCGCTCTACGTGCATTTGCTATAACTGTCACATAACCTTCGTCGTGAGCGCTGGTCTGGGGTTTTTAGCCATGTAGCAGTAACGAAGTATTTCTTGTAAACGACTGGTTGAGGAAATCTTGTCTATCCTCTATGGTCTCCTTGTGCCTGAAAATTGGCGAAATATGTACATGGAACGTAAACTATACGATCTCAATCCTTTTATCTGGAAATCTCTACATTGTGCAAAAGGTGCACAATGTCAAAGCGATGCGCATAGAAGCCATCATATGGTTTGAAGCAAGGCTTAGTAAGAGCCAGTGCTCATAGCGGCATGCCCGTCAACGGTGACAGTAACTGTCGCCTTTACCGTCTCGGTGACAATAGCTCCGCCGGTGCAGGTAGTTGCATCTACAACACCAGACGCAATCGGAGTAGGCTGGGGAGCATCGTAGCCACCAGTTGGCCTGTCGACCTGCTTGTCAGGAAGCACAGCGCTGTATGATGAGTAGGCACTCATAGGGAGAGGGGTCGCAGCCTCGGAAACTACAGCAATCTCAGAAGAAACCTTGGGTAGGGCAGCGGAATAGACTGCGGAGGGGACAGCGCTGTATGCAGATGTGATAGCAGCCATGGAAGTTGGGCGGACTGTAGCAGAATAAGTGGCAGTGCTGTTACCGGCAGGAGCAGGAGCGGCAGTGCAGCCAGGACCTGATGCTAAAGTAGCAGAAGCGGGACCGGACTGGATCGGGTTGCAACCAGGGAGAGCATCAAGGACGCTTCCATCGTCACCGCCGTATGTCTCCATGGCGGAGCAGCTTGCCCAAGACTCATCGCTGTCCTTGTTGACATTCTCGGAACCGAAGCACTGTTCCATTTCTTCTTGTCCACATCCGCAACCGCACTTGCAGCCGTCGTTCTCGCTTACGGCCTTTTCGAGGACACCAGTCTCCCATCCGTTCATCTAGTGATCGTGTTAGGAGTGACTATCAAGAGAGGTAAGGAACAACTTACGAAATCACCGTGGAACCCGTAGCCGGTTGGGTCACCGTTAGACAGGACCCAAGGAGCCTCATCGGGACCAAAAGTGAACTTGGTAACGTCCCACCAGTACTCAATGAAGAGGGTAGGGAAGCGCGCAGCCCTATGAGTAGTCGGGCAGTTCTCGATACCAATACCGGCGTTGCCGTTGGGGTAGGCCATGTGCGCATTAGGGTTCTTGGGGTCCATCTTCTCGCCGTTCCAGCAGGAAGGGAAGGTAACCTCGGAAGCGAATCCATACTTGCAGGTGCTGAAGCCCTTGGGGAAACCGTTGGCAAAGATGGCTGTAGAGCCACCGTCAGGCTCATGGCAGCCCCAACGAACACCGGCCGGGTTGTCGCCATCGGAGCGCTTGAGCGGGCTGCCAGCGATCATGTTGAAGTCCTCCGGGTAAGCAGTGACGTTTGCCCAGTTGTTACCATCGCCATACTTGTAGTATATCTTGGTGGCTAGCTCGGGTACGCGGTAGAGTTTGGTCCCATTGGTGAAGAACAGAGTAGGGCGCCAGTACAAGGACTTGTCGGCCTTGACACGAGCAGTGGTGCAGTCCGAGGCCTGGGTATCCGCAAAGCCCATGGACTTGGAGAGTCCGTTTCCTCCGTCGAAAGAGTGGAGATGGGGGCTCTCAGTTCCGGGGAATAGACCAGGGTCGAGACGCTGGTAGCTCATGGCATTACCAGCGCGGTTGTAAAAGCTGAAGTACTTGCCAACGCATTGCGCCGAGGCAGTGGCGGCAAAGCCAGCAGTGAGTGAGACGATGTCAAAACGCATTGTTACTTGGTAATGGTGCTTGGGGATATCGAAAGTGGATTTGAGTTGTAAGACAGCGAAAAGAGTGAGCTGTTTGTTAATGAAAGGAACGAGTCACAGACTCTAGATGCTCTTGATGTCAAAGGAGTGTATGAAGAGTCAAAAGAATGAAATAATGGTATTCCTGTACCGGAAGCCAAAGAGAGCGATGGAGGAGCAAGCGATAAGAGCAAGAAACGATGGGCAGGATGCTGGGTAAATATACATCGACACCCACCTGCACCTGGAATTACATGCAGCCTGTGGTGGCCAGCCCACGCTTGAGGCGCCCCATTCTAGGACAAGATTAGCTGAGGCCTCCAAAAGTTTGACTGATGAGACTAGATTCGCGTGTGTGCGTAGTTGTTTCCGGGTGGAGATCTGAGCCAGGGGAGCCGCGCGCAGTTCGAAGACGGCGCGGGCGTCAGGGGTAGGATGAGAAGATTCCATTCCGCGAGTCGTAAAAATACTTGGTGACAACGCCCGACTTCCTTCAGCCTGCAGCGAGGCTTGCATACGCCGTCGCTGTCTGAAACAAACCGATATACGGTTCGCGCGACGCCCGTTGTTTGCTTCCCGGAGTCTGGACGGCAGCTGACGTATCGATAGGACAGAAACATACATGCCGTTCCTGACGGAGTTCGGGGCGCTTAGCGTCACGATCGTCCTGCGCGAGGCCCAGGTGGCTGATCTTCAAACGGTGCCGACTCCCCCTGCCTAAGATTAATGTCCGCGCGCGCTTCGATTAGCTGCACAAGTTTCTTTTTAGGCTTCAAGACAAGGGCTTTGATAAGGAGGATAGTCCGGTAAAGATACTGCCTTCTTGCAGCGAACCCGCACAATGTGGAGCTGAACACTTTTGCCGCTGGGCCGCGACGGGAGTCACTCAAAGGATCGACCCGGCACTGGAACGAGATCTTCGCAAGGACCGCTTGCTGTCTATAGGGAGGCAAACCAGGGCAATGGTAATTCGACGAGCTATCATATCCTGTATCTCGAAGTGAATCGACAGCAATCGCACACAGACTTTCTAAACTCGTCGTCACTCTGCACGGCACAGTCGAAGATGACGCTCCGTACCTGAGCACAACATGTGCGTGGCGTCAAATCACAATTTTCTAGTGACCTGCACACCGAGTTTAGCAGGCATAATAACGGATGCAGCTCTCCTTTCACTCAAGACTAAGCCTGCAAGATGCATGTTCCCGCAGCCTACCTGGAAGAAGTCTCCGTCCGGTAGAGAGCGGCCACCAGTCAACAAGTTCGCAGTAGTCGGAGCGTAGCCCTTCTGCCATTTAGCCCGATATCTGACGTCGCAGCGACAGCTCATGGCACGGCCGGTATCGATAGGGAGATTATCCTCCCCACTATTTATGAAACGCACAGTATTCGTAGGAGAGAATATGTGGTCTGGACCACGCTTGATCGACATACTACACGCTGCCGCCGAGACGTGGAGCTGAGAGAATTCGCTGTCGTCACGATTTGCCTACGATGGAGGCGGTATTGTAGTGCCTGACGACGGAAGGCACCCGTAAGAAGTGGGCTTTATGCGCGCAGATGTTCCCTGTACGATAGTACCATGGACGGAATCTTGACAAAGAAGGCGCGTAACGAAGGACTGCGGAGATCTATGCTGTAACATGCTGTAGAGCATCCCTGTACTCGTCATTCGATGTATTTCGCACTTGTGTTAGCATAAATAGATGTGAACGCACTACAATTGTTGAGCCTCCACGGCACGAAGCGACCGGTACAACAGAGCGGCAGCGTGCCGCAGTGGAAGAAAACAAAGCTTTGACGGAACAGCGTAGCGTTTGGATTCTGGAGGCTCTCATATGTTCGCAGTGTCTGACTGGCTGCGAGAAAGATAGTCTACACATTGCCTTACAAACTACTAGAAAGGGATTGATGTATGTAGAAAGAAAAGTGGATGGGGCTCATAGACCGCATATCGTAGAGGTCGAGGTAAATTTGTTGGTTATTAACGTGAGTCATGCATTTTCCAACTACGCTTAAAGGCCTGCGCTGGCAACCTGTTCATCTAGTATTGTCTCTTTACACTCCATGTTTGTAAAGTATCCAATTTGCGAACAACTCGGACATAGGCTCAACCTACGTTTTGCATGATCGTCTCCATTTGAGTTATATATGTGGGAACTGTGTCAAATGTGCCATCGCTTCCCGCTGAGGAGACCGATATCGCCTCTGGCCTATTAGCCTAGCGAAGAGTTATTTGCTCGAATATACCTCCATTCAGTTATGGAACCGATTTGCATTCGTGCCATCGTAATATCGTAGCGATTTCGGCTAGAGGATGTCGAAATCATTGCCGTGTTTGATATGCGTTGAGTGCATGACATCTCACTCACGCCTTACCACTCAGCGCACTCTCAACCGCACCCCAACGATCGATACTTCTCTTGATCAGTCCTCCCATCATTTCTCTCCCCACGACACCTCCACCGCTCTTCTCGACTCTTCTGATAACCAAGTCCTTTGTACCCTTCTTTCCGCCAGCACAATCCACCGTCACACTGACAGTTTCTCTACACACGCCCTCCTCGAATGCATCTGGATCACTGAGTACGAAGTCTACTTCTTCCTCTTCCTCTTCTCTCCTGCCTTCGAACACTGCAAACGTGCTAGGGATTGGGAGCCCTCGTAATTGAAGGCGATGTGCTTCTTTGGGCTCATCCGAGCAGAGTATTCCCTCGTACTCCTCATCGTAGTATGCGTATGGGAGAATTGTGTCGCGGAGTGCCGCAAGTATGGATATCCATGCCGCGTCGAATGCGTTGCCATCAATGCTGATGAAGAAGACATCGAGGTAGAGAACCCAGTATCCTTTCAGTTGTGTCTCGGCTTCTGTATCTGGATCTTCGGGATTTGTTGTCGGCTTGTATAGTATGCGGAGATCTGAGGCGCGAAGAAGATGTGTCGAGTTGAGGAGAGAGCGTATACGAGTTATGAGTGTCTGCGCATATGTGGACGGTGCATTGCCGGGGATATGAGAGGGTGTGCTTCCTGTCGATAATTCCACATTCGGAACCAATAACCTCAGCTCTTCTAATTCCTCATCATTCCCGTCACCCTCGTCCGCGTTCTGACCTGCAGTCTGTCCAGGATACTCGTAGGTGCCTGGAATGTCTTCTTCTTTCAAGATCTCTGCGCGCACACCACAAACCACACTTGTGTTTCCTAGTCGCACGACTGCGCTCCCGTTGCAGTGAGTCAAACTTCCAGTGTTGATTCCGGGTGTGCGAAATTCGTTTGCAGTACGGCCATTGGCGCGGATTGGCTTCTTCTTCTCTGCGGAGAGATGCGCCTGAAGGAAAGGGTGCGGGGAGACGGCGGCGAAAATTGGGCGAGGGAACGTGAGCGCTGGGGCTGACTGGGTTGCAGTGGCCATGACGAAAGTACTGGAAAGCAGTATGCGCTTGGGTGGAAGTGCGATGTTGGAAAGGCGAATTGTTAGAATCTATGTTGACGTTGGGAAATTTTGGAGCTCTGAGCTATGACGCGCTAAGGTTAAGCTTAATGTGTGGGGCATGGAGATCTTAAGCATAACCTAATCGTCACATTGCCAGCAAAACACATTTACTTTTAGGTGAACATAGCAACCAATCTGAGCTTTCATAATATTAAGACTATGTAACCCACGCGCTATGCCCCGGGGGTATTCCGATCCGCTACAAACGCGATGCGACATTCAAACACCAACACCAACTATGTCTGGTCCTTCTAATCAATCTGTAAAGTCTGCTCGAAGTCGTAGCTTCGTTAAGCTTCGAGTTTATCCTGAGCTGAGTCCAGCCTTGCCGGCCTGTTGTACAGGCGTCCACTTTCCCTCTTTCTTGAACTGATCGCCCCTCAACGTGCCTTCAGCAAGTTGGCTGATCATGTAATCTCTACCCTTGATCATCCATACCATCTGACTGGGTACCCTAAACCCATTGAATGCGCCCACACCCTTCTGGGTGCCGATGGGGCAGATCTGCTGCTCCTTCAGGTTCGCCGTGTAGTGACGATCACCCTTGTGTGGTTCGCCAGTCAAGTGGGCAAGAAGATCGTTCTTGAGATTGGTCATGGCTGCAGGTACAGCATCGTACATGTCCATAACTCCTCCGCGGGTATAAGAGCCTGCGTCGCCGACGACGTACACACGAGGGCCAGCGGATTCGTGTTCGACGCGGAGAGTCTTGTCGTTGCACGCTACGCGATTGCGGGTGTCGAGCCACTCCTTGGGAAGGAAGCCAGTGTTCGGCCGGGAGCCGGTTGCATCGATGTAAATATCCGCTTCGACCGTTTCGCCATTGCTAAGCTCCACTCTTGTCTTCGCGCCTTCTTCTTCGCCCGCTTTGGTCGACGCAACAACCCTGGTATTGTACGTGACATCACACCCCAGTCGCTTCAAGAATTGCTCGGCGGTTTGCCCAATGGCTGGGCGGAGTAGAGGCAAAAGCTTCTTGTCTCCGCAGATAAGAGTGACCTTTGCTTTCGGGTTCTTGGGCGCAGACGCCATGAAACCAGGTCGACCGTTCAAAATCTCAGCAACCTCTCCAGCGGTCTCGACACCCACAGGGCCACCTCCACCGATTACTACCGTCTTTGCGCTCTTCAAGCCCTCCTGGAAGGCGGTGTGTACCTTCTCGAGAGCCTCGCGATCGGTAGCCTGCGTGAATAGAGGGCTTGGTGTGGTGAACCCAGTTGCGATTACAAGCGCAGCGTATTCGATGTTTTGTTGCTCGCCTGACGCGGTTTCAACACCGACCGTCTGACTGGTGGGGTCGACATGTGTCGCGGTTCCCTGGATGAACTTGAACTTTGGGAATGCGTAGGTGAAAGCCGGCTCGATTGGATAGAAAGTCTTCTCTGAAGGCATCATCTGTTTCGAAACGCTCTCTCTGGGTGCTGCGATGCGCCACCAGAGGTCTTTGGAGGGGTTGACAAGTGTGACATTGTAGGTGACTCCATCCTTCTTGGGTAGTTGTGGGAGGACATGTTTGAGGGCGTAATGCGCGGCGCTGATTCCTGCGAAGGAACCTCCCAGGATGAGGATAGTTTCGGTGCTCATATTGAATGACGATTAAAGATGCGCTTGAAAGGGGTATACTGAGTGAAGAGAAGACTATGAGAGGGACAAACACGTCGCAAAAAGAAAATGTTTGGGAGACGCGTTGGTATTAAACTTTAGGCGCGCTTCAAGCCTCAGGGACGCCGTAGGTGGGGAGCCGCCGAATCGTTAAGTCGAGGCTGAATCGAGTGACTGAGACGTTTCATTATGGTAAGCGCGTTGTTAGCTTTCATATATGGTTCTCAAAGTTTCCTTATCAGGATTTTAGCCGGCCTTGAACGTTGCTTATGCTTGGGCTTATGAACCGCACCCATGGTCGCGCTGCTTATTCGTATTGTGAGATGTTGGAGGCTTGGGAAAAGGAAGCTAAGGATCGCGTGCTAGCTACTTTACGCTTAACCGCGGAATCCCTTGTTGCCGATCCGTTTGCTGACAATAACACGGATGCCCGAACTATGGCAGCAGACGGATGCGTGGTTATGAAGTCCTAACAAACGCGGAGGTCTTCCGTCCTTCTGGCGCATACATCCCAAATCATGAGCTCTGAGGCTAGAGAGATTCAGTACAGCTGACTCATGGAATGTTCGGCGACTCTTGGTCGCCTTGTCATCTCTGAAAGCTTCATTCGCTACATTCGATTCATGTGCGCGGGCGTAGGCCTCAGAACTTCGCAAAGTCAAATGCGCGTATGCTCTCGGTTTTTGTTTGGTGCGCAATGATGACATGGAGAGCGTGCTAGAAGATTTTGATTCATATCTGTTCCGAGACATAACGCCAGTCCGGTATCTGAATGCGAGACCCACCGTGACTGCTGACCGTCACGGTCGTTGCATCCATGAAGTCCTCCATATCAATATACATGCGGTAGGCTGTCATTGCACATCATCTCTTCCCTGGCTCTTCCCAGTCTTTCTTAAGCTACTTTTCATGTAACTTCTTACTCGACCTCAGCCTTGGACTCGAAGTTCTCGCCGGCGACAAGCTCGGGGATGTCATCATCGTCCTCATCGTCGTCGTCCTTCTTCTCGCCATCCTCACCCTTCTCCTTCTGCATGCTCTGGTAGGATTCGGCGAGTTTGCGTAGCGATGCGAGCGAGTCAGGGCCGAGCTGGTTGAGGATGCCGGGGACGAGCTCTGTTAGCTCCTTGTCCTCACCGTGACCGTAGATGGCGAAGGTGTTGGCAGGTACTGAGGCGTGGACTATACGGATACGCGCGTTAGTACATACTATGGCGCGAACACAGACGATGGGAGAGCGGCCTTAGGTAGTAGCATGTCTGCCAGGTACAAAAGCTCCCCTCCCACACTCGTACAGTACAGAGCTTTGGGATGACGTACCCTTTGGTGCCGAGAAGTGAATGACGTTTCCGTCGCTCTTGAACATGTTGACCTCCTCAATGGCCTGGATAGGCTGGACGTTGAGCTTCTTCAACGCGGTCTGGAGCTTCTTGTCGTCGGTACCAGCGGCCCTGTGGACCTTCTTGACCTTCCTGCGGGGAGTACCCTTTCCGCTATATATCGAGTTAGCCCCGAATCTCTCATATCCATCTCATTTCTGGTATGTCGCCTGCTGGTAATTGGTGGTCGCGGTGGTGGTTTCGCGGATTCGAGATATTTTGTGGTGCGGGGCTGTCAAAAATAGAGGAGAGAGGCTTGCTTACCCTAAACACCAGAAGTTAGCAATTGGTTCCTCAATAATACAGCTGACTGCCTCCTAAGGCAGTTCCAGCTCAAAATTGGTGTACATACCAATGCGCACTGACGCTTGCATGCGCGCCAACTTTGCTTGATCCATATTTGCGGTGTTGAGGAAGTAGGATGACTAGGTGGGGAGAGCTGTACGAGTGGAGGTCAGCGGTCGGTTCCGGATTCTTTGTAGACTTTGAACGAGGGCTTGAGCTCAGCGTAAACGCGGGACCGGTACGCACCTAAATTCGGGATCGTGGCCGAGACTTGGAGTGTGGTGTTGCTGGTGAAGTTGTTGCGGGCATCGGCGAAACTCTACGGAAGCGCCGATTGTGTGCATGCCTCGCTTGTTGAAAGCTCCAAATCCCCCGCAACGTCAGAGGGGTCATTCCACACATGAACACCAACACACTATCATCACCGTCGCATCGCGCAACCGTCCCATTTAATTGCAGAGACACAATCGGATGCATCCAATGCCAACTATCTTGTCTTGATTGGCCTCCGCCAACAGTCCGATTCTATGCATGGTGAGACGGAAAATATACTACAAATATCGAACTAGATATGTCAACTATACAGATTGACGTGTCGCCAATTTCACACAGTATACACACATTGTCTACCAGGTTGCTGGCATTCGGAGGATGTCCGAGGGGACGGGACTGGGGCTGCAAACTGCAACTATATAACAGAAATAGTAGAACAAACGTGTCAGCTGTTCATGTCAAAGCCCTGGGATCATCTATGTAATCGACGTTGCTGTCGTCTACCGAAGATGCTGCAGGCTAGATCGAACATAAAGCCGGAAGCAAAAATAGAAGAATAAAACAGAGATTCAGAAATCCCAGTTTCCACTTCTCAGTGTCTTCTCGCCGACGAACCATTAAGCACCGGGGTAGTCGTGTAAGCAAAAAGATGCCTCGTTGAAGCCACATGGGCAAAAAAAGGAGGAATGCGCTCTTGCGAACGCCGATGATGACTCATCGGAGGTTTGAACTCCGGACCTTCAGTGTACTGACAAGGCTTTTGAGGGCCTTTGTTAGACTGACGTGATAACCAACTACACCAACGAGCCCGATTTGATGAAATGATGAGAATTAATAACGATTATGACTTGAGGTTACAATTGTCCTAGCTGTTCTGGCTTGATAGATGACTTCGTAAGTGAGTCAGTGAGAACTTTTGGGCCGACGCGGACATATCCAGCCGTCCTTGGAACATCAACCCCGCGAATAAGGCAAGGTCCTGGAATTGTTAACATAACATCGCTACTGTAGAGTAGTCGTTTGCCTGGCCTTTCTATTTATATCTATTGATCGATACCGAGGTGAGAATTCTGAATACACAGTTTGAACGTAGCTGCTCTTCTGGGACGAAGGCTTTCGCAGCTTGCGAGTAACTGTCCATTCGTTACTCAGGTGCCTTTAGATTGGGGAAACCCAGGTTCTGGAGATGCGATCCCGTATTGCTCGGACAGAAAATATGCTTCGACAACGCCGAGTTCGTCTGGCAGTGCTGAACGGCGGATTAGCTCCTGTCGCGTTGCATGCGCGTTCATAGGGCTGGCACGTAAGGCGTGGCATAGTGGGTATCGTCATAGTGTGTGAGGTTTCTAAGAATTAGGAAGGGACCAAACCAAGCCTGGAATGAGAACAATTTGGACTATGTTGCGCGTGATAGCATTGATCGTGTTTTGATCGCGACATGGTATGGGCGATGATTAGATGCCGTCTGCCTTCCTGGAAATGGGCGCTCGTGGTTTGCTAGGAGTGTGAACTGGAAGCCCGCGAGATACTCGTGTAGGTAACGCGTAGCGCGCAGCCGACGCGAGATGGAGGGAGTTGCCCAAACAGCCTGCGCACCTACAGCGATTGGTCGGCATTTGTCCACCGACACCACTGATCCAAAAATAAAAAGAATATTCACCGAACGTCACGTTGTCACTGTATGCCAATCTTTTCTACAAAAGATCCCACGTCAAACATCGACGCGGCATCCAGATCCCGTCGCTTCGCCGGCACAGCGTTCTCCAGTTCGGCAGCGAAGCGAACCCACAGCAGCACCACAGCCACATACTGCCCTTGACCCACTCAGAACGCTCCCCTAAAGCATCTGTGCCAGGATCACCGGCAGCTCAACATGCGATTTGATCAAAAGTGCCATCCGAACTGTGGCTAGTGAGGGGCGAATCTGCGGGCGCGCGACCTCATAACCGGCTGACGAGACCCTGATCTGCATGACAACCTTCCAAGTGCAGTAAAGAGACCGGTGGGCTATGGTGACGATCTCTAAGTCAATCGCCACTTTGCGACGACTTTTGCTCGCTGCAACGAATTATGGACGTTGACGGTATGCAACAATGTACATGGGTTAAACAGGTCAAAAAGTATGGCCACTGCCGCTGCTGGGCGCTGGTTTCTGGTGCGTTTGTACTATTGCTGCCAGACATGAAGCGCTGAGACACATTGCGAACGTTGACCCGCCGCCATTTGCTTTTATTATTACTGCTTTCTTTACAACACTCGCTCACGCATACATGCATTCGTTAAGAGGATGGAATTGGTTGGTTCTGGGCAGTGTGATGGGAATGGTACACGGCGCTGCGTTGCCTACTATTACACCTGCGCCGCGACCAGACAGAGTTGACATTCGATCGTTGAAGTATAGACAAGACCCTGATGCGTACGATGCCCCTTCATGCACGACTACAAGTATAATTGCGCTAACATCAAATCAGTATCGAGATCTTGCAAGTGCTCATTACTGCACTACCACTTTCGCTACGACAAATCGCTGCGACGAATATACCCGCCGTCTCGAGCATACTATGGGAAGAGTTCCTAGATGATAACCGGCCAGAATGGTTCAATGAGCTGCCATACGACATACAATCTTATTTTATCCAAGAATTCGGACCAGCAACAGCAGCACCACCTGCGAGCGAAGCGATACCCACTGATGTCACCGCATCCGTGACGGCTCTACCAACAGAAACAGCTTCAAATCCATATTCATCGGCGCTTGAATCACTGTCTACTAGTGCGGCGGAATCTTCTACAATATCAGAATCCGAAAGCTTGAGCATAATACCTACATCTACGGCGTCTTCAAGGAGTCTCTTGAGCGAGACATCCAGTTTGGCGTCTTCCTCAGAGTCTTCTCCCGCATCTTCGACTACGCCAGCGACTTTGTCATCTTCCGCGACTACGTTTTCCACTTCGTCCTCGTGGTCAAGTTCATCCGCGACTCCAAGTTCAACTGCAGACCCAATAGCACCTGCGTCCAGCGACTCTGGCCTAACAAGACGTGAGAAAATTGGACTGGGAGTAGGTGTACCACTAGCCGTACTTGCCGTCGCGGCAATCTTGCTTGGATGTTGCTTCATTTTACGCAGAAAGAGAAGACGGTCCATCGAAGGCAGTCAACCTCCTTCATCACCCGGGTTCATTCCTCGTTTCTCTTTTCAGGACCGAGGCCTAAGCGTTGAGAGCTTCGAACACAGGCGACCTTTGAATCCTGCATCACATCAGACGAGTCGATTCGTGGAGGACATGAATTGGGAGGATGATGGCTATGAACCGCCTATGTCCACAGCCTACGGGGGCCATACGATACCGGCAGCAGCACCTACACCATCGCAAGCAAATGCTATAGCTACTGCAGGTGTACCCCACCCTAACCAAGGCAAATTTATGCCAGCAGGATCAACGCCGATGGCAATGCAAGACAATCACACACCGATCCTGGCGCCCGCACTTTACCACAGCCACTCATCAAATCGTGCTCGTGGCCGACGAACAAGCTACACGAGCCTTCACTCTGTGGCCGAAGTCACAGAACCCGACGACGAAATGAATAGAGAGTCTCCCATCTTGGGTCGTCACAACTCACCGCCCAGGACGGGGCCTCGAAGACCTGGTGTGCCAACCCTGGACATGCTCCCTGTCCCCGCTGTAGCGAGCATAAAGCGCAAACCGGTGCCCACAAGTCCGATCAGTAGCCCAGCGGCAGAAGCATCACGAGGTCTCCTCCGGCCTTCTCTCGCACACAACACTGCCGACCATAGTGGAAGCAGTTCCTCCGGTCTAGCCGTCTCCAGCCTCTCTTCCAACTCTGGGCACACGTACCATTCCGACGATTCTGCGCCCATATCTCCTATCACGCACCAGAAACCGTCTTCGAACCCCTTTGCAGGCGGATATTCTTACCTTGAAGACTATGGTCCGGAATACTCGAACAATGGATACAACGACCAGGATGACGAAGTATACGGCGGACACAGGAGTCTAGACCGGTACCCAGATCCCAGTCCGCCGAGGAGAAAGAGTAGCAAGACTGAGTGGCCGTTGAGAAACGTCATGGGAGGTGGTCAGAAGAGGACGAGAAGTCCCATGTGGGACCGCGTTTACGAACGTGTATGATTGGGTTTGATGCATGATGACGAACGATTTTCTTTGTTGTACATATTAGCATTTCTGCATGCTATGATCTAGCACTGGCGTTTGTTTACTGGGTTATGAGTGTCGATAATATCCATTCCTTGAAGCGACGATACACAGCGTCATTGTACGCAAGTTTTTGTTTTGGTATACGGTCCTTTGCAGTATATATACAGGCTGTACAGTTAGCCTGGTCGAGAATTCATGTCAAACATTACACTAGAACTCAGAGTTGCTGGTTGAGATGCTGATGGGTGTATGGTAATGTGCATGTAATAAAGCTCGCTAAATGTTCCGAGTAGTCTACAAGACCTCGTGCGTGTACAGTCTACTCAGCAAAAGCCCTTCATCTTGGTCCGCTATTGCTGACGCGGACCCCCCTTCTTTCTATGATCATTAGGCGCTGCGGTCTAATCATAAACCAACTCTTCGTGACCCACGTCCAGACTGGTCTCTTAGTCGTGGAACTTCCTGTTCTCATTCTCTCCGAAAAGCGTGACCCTGATGGACGGCAGAGCCTGGGACTCGAGTAGCTTCAATCGTTCTTGGAAGGTGTTGTTGATATCGATTCGGCCGTTGGTTCCGACAATCATGGCACCACCAGCACTGTCTGCAGTTAGCCATATGCTACATGTATGGTAACGATGCAACTTACGATCCCTCAGGCAGCGGGTCGCTCTCATCAATAGTGATGGAGACTTCCTTGCCAATGTTCTTCTTGTACTCGGTCTGCGCCTCCTCGATAGCCTTCTTGGTAAGGTCGTAGTCGGCCTTCCGCACCTTGACCTGCAGCTTGTCCTCGTTGAGCGCATATGCACCCTCAACAATCAGGTCCTTCATGACGCTCTGGTACTTCTTCTTGTCCTTTGATACATCGCCCAGCTTCTTCTCGGCCTGCTCAAACAGCTTGTTGAGCAGCTCCTGACGGGCAGAGAGGATGCGTAATCGGCTCTTGTTGGAGACGGTGGAGCGGGTGATTTGCTGCGACATGCTAGCCTGTTTGAACTTCTTCTCGTACGACGAGTCGATGGAGGCCTGTTCCTGGCGCACTAGCTTGGACTTTTCGATTGCAAACTCCTCGTCGGCCTTGAGGCGGATTTCGTTGGCCTTCTCCATGGCTTCCTGGCGGATAAAGGCCGTCATCTTCTTCAGCTCGCCGGCGACCTGCCATAGTAGCGAATGTTAGCTGTGGTGTTGACGTAGTTGGCGGGGAGCTTCCAGCTGGCTGAAGCCGAGGGAGAATTCTACCTGGTCGTCGGAGAGGGCGTGTACTTGCGACATGATGGCGATATTGTGTGGGGTTCCTCTGGTTTACGGGGGAGGGATATGGGTGCTGGCGTCGGGGGTGTCGCAGTGACGGAGCTTGGAGGTTGAAGTTCAAGCTTGGGCCCCAGATGCTGCCCGCGGCTACCTAGGTACCCTCTACAGTGATGCATGGCACAACGTCGCAGATACATTTAGTCATAATATTAAACGTGAAACGGTAATTATATGCATTTGCTGTCTTTTTCCCCGAAAACGCGACGTCTTCTCGTTGCTGCACCACAGCTGTCTTCCTCAACCCAACTACATCATCAGTCGGCTGATCCCTGCCACATGCACGGTGTCGGCTAGTCTTCCCCCAACCGTCTCGTGCACTTCACCGACTCAGCGTGACGTTTCGCGACTCCCACGCCTGCGTTATCCTAGACAGAAGACTGCACGTTCCCGACTTTACACACCCCATACACACAGCATGCGCCCGACGATTAGGTAGCGATAGGCGCAGTGCAGCGACAACAACCGACCAGGAATCATGGTGGAACTCTCGCCGGGCGCGAGCGTTGCTGTAGGTATACATGGAACCATATCACCAAGGGTAAAGAGTGCTAACGGGTGGGCATGCAGCTTGGAGTAATGGTCGGCCTCGCCTCCACCAGCATTCAGAGTATCGGCTTGACGCTGCAACGGAAGTCCCATCTCCTCGAAGAAGAGAAGGACGACGATGACGAGAGGCGACCCCCATACAAGCGGCGGAGATGGCAGGTACGGACACGCCTAGACTGCATGGAATTCATTCACTGATATACACAGCTGGGCATGCTCATGTTCGTCGTGGCGAACCTCGTCGGCAGCACCATTCAAATCACCACCCTCCCCCTTCCCGTTCTTTCCACACTACAGGCGTCCGGCCTCGTCTTCAACTCGATATGCGCCTCCATAATTCTCAGCGAACCGTTTACGCGATACTCCTTTGTCGGCACCATGCTTGTTGCGATAGGCGCATTGCTGATAGCCCTGTTCGGTGCCATCGCGGAACCGTCGCATAACCTCGACCAACTGTTGGCGCTGTTGGGACGAAAGGCTTTCCTCACGTGGATGATTTTGACGGGTGTGGTGGTCGTCATGTTGGTCGTTGCGACTTGGCTACTGAAGCGCATGTATCCACGGACTACGCCTCGACTACGCCTCATACGTGGAATGTTCTTTGGTTGTGTCAGCGGCATACTCTCCGCGCATTCGCTCTTGATCGCAAAGAGTGCTGTCGAGCTTTTGGTCCGCACTATCATTGACCGTCACAACCAGTTTGATCGTTGGCAGTCGTGGATGATTCTGGTCGGACTGGTCGTATTCGCCCTGACCCAACTTTACTACATGCATCGCGGGCTGAAGTTGGTCAGTACGAGCGTGCTCTACCCCTTAGTCTTCTGCGTGTACAACATCATCGCGATTATAGACGGCCTGATCTACTTTGATCAAAGCGATCGCTTGTCGAGTTTACACGCTGGACTCATCGCGCTCGGAACTGTCATTTTGCTTGCCGGAGTTGTCTGTCTGAGCTGGCGACTAGAAGACAACGAAGAAGAACCCACATCACCAGTGGCAAGCAAGCACATGGGCAGGGTCCAGATGCCCCAGACTGTGCTACAACCCGGCATTGGCCTTGCGCACGGCCACCCTCTCGACGAACCTGCATCACCTTTGGATATCGATGAAGAAGCTCCCGGCGTTCATGGTTATGCCTCCGAGCAGGCTAAGCGGAAAGCTGTGGATGAAAGAACACCGTTACTCGCTCGCGCCCCGACCGGTCCCGCCTTGACGCTCGCTAACCCGAAGAAGCGAGCTTCAGTAGATGCCGGTGAACTGAAAAGTCCTCAAGCAAATACACAACCCCGTAGACCCCCTAGAAGACGACGGATGACTATTTCAGAAGAGACGAACGAGATTTGGGATGAGCTTAACGATAGAGAGACGCTGCCATCTCCTGCCAGGCTATCTGTGGATTTGGAGCGACGACCAAGGTCAGGAACCCTACCTCCACGGAGGAATAATGCACAGTCGGCATGGCTCAATCAGATGCGCCGGCGGTCCTGGTTCGAAGGGTTCGGGAGCCGACGCGGCAGAAGTGTGTCGCAGGGAAAGAGGCCCATGGACAGCTCTGCGTCACTCCTTGATCATCCCAACTCAGAGGATGGCGATACATCTGACGCAGATATGGACGATACATCCCGGAGAAGACAGACCTGGGGATACGGCCAGGGTAGCAAAAGCCAAGATGCTTTGGGCGACTGGTTCAAGCTGAAATGGTGGCGCAAGAAGCGGAGAGAAGACGAAGACCATGAAGAAGAACGACCCACATGATATTATTACAGCTCCCAGCAATTTGAATATACCCAGAATGTATTATCAGCACTTCAGACACGCAATCCTAAAGATTACCACGCAGCACGACCACCCTTGAAAGGAAAGAAGGACGTCCACTTTGCGAAAGTCTGCTCGGGTCATATTCGGAGGCCTCGTTTATACACTAACCCACATATGCAGGATCCCAGATAGAGTAATCCTTTCCAGACGATAAGGTTGTAGCCAATCGCACATCGCGTGCCATTGCCCCACCGTACATCACCCCACTATGCGCGTATACCTCCAACATTCTAGGGCCGTCTTGGTCATCTCTTGCAGCGCGCATCGATAGACGTAAGGCAGTGGGTATCGTCGGAACGCTTAGCAAAACTCTAGCCAAATCGGCTAGGTGTTTGGTGCACGCCAAGCGCCGCATCTAGTATCGAAGTCCCAGATTCGTTACTCTGTGCCAATATGGTGATTGGTTGCATGTCAGAAGTAGGGCAACTCCGTTTGACAGGGTATAGTTGGGGTAACTGATGATGCCGTAAGTATTGAGGATTAGGCGATGATAGATAAGATTGGAGTATATAAGGCTGGTCGTGTCCTGGTGAGTTTGACGTACGGCGGCCTTTGAACGATCGTCGACTCCAGTTATCTCCTCCGTCGTTGACAACAAGATATCAGTAATAGATTACAAAGTCCACTTGACTATTATTGCTACTGCGAAGCAAGCTCACTGAACATACCCTTCTATGACCCTTCACTAACTATATACCAACAGCCCTCCACGTCCATTCATACCCCACACGACCAACGCTATACCAACCGCCACAATGCCAGCAATGCAGTACTTCGAGAAAGCTCAAACAAGCTTCAAGCCACCACTGATCGCTAACGAGAACGCTTACCTCGGTGATGTTGTATCATCGTACGCTCGCCCTACCTATAGGCGATCAGCCCACCTCCACTTACTAATACTTGCCTAATAGGGAGTCAACAGACCCAGAAAAACCCATTAGCGGCGGTTTCTACCGCCTAGAGAAGGGAACGCCACTGGTGTATACTTATACTTATGATGAGATCAAGATCATTGTTGATGGGCACTTCTACATCAGCGACGAAACGGGCAAGGAGGTCAAGGCCGAGAAGGGGGATGTGTTCTTCTTTCCAAAGAGGAGCAAAATCACATTCAAGACGGACGATTTTGGATTGGGATTTTTTGTGGGGCAGAGGAAGAAGGATGGTGCGTAGACGGCTGGCCTGGTAAGAAAGGAGAGGAGCAAGAGTATAACAAAGACGTTGAATCAGATGCACGGCACCGTCATAAGTGCTCAACCCAGCTAGTGTCCTTTGCGATATGCTGATTTGCTTACCAATGTCAGCAAGCTGCGTCCAATCAGGAGGTGATGTACACCACAAGTCATTTACCGTGTGCCTCAAGTTTCTCACCCGCATTGTGTAGAAACAGGTTGAGGGTCATCGCAGAATGGACCGGAAGTGGATGAACTTCAGAGATGTAATTAATAAGCGTCGTTAGCATCGTTTTATACTGACTACATTTAGGCGTAAATGCGAGTATAAGAACGACGTACAAGATTGGTCATCATACCTCTCAATGACTACAAATGCACCTGCAAACCCCTCGAGCTTTCCGCCAGCCTTAACACCAGGACTTGACCCCCTCCGCTAAGCCAATACTAAAGTATACACGTATAATGGCTACTCCAACCACCTATACAGCATGGACTGTTCCCGCAACAGCAACCAAGCTCTCAGACCTAACAAAGCAAGTAAAGAACATCCCGATTCCAGGACCCCAACAAGTACTCCTCAAAATGACAGCAGCCTCACTCAACTACCGCGACGTCCTTATCTCCACCCGCTCACCCCAATACCCTGGAAACCACAAACCCAACCTCGTTCCTGGTTCTGACGGAGCCGGAGTCATCTACTCCACTGGTGCAGACTCTAATTGGAAGGACAAGAAAGGTCTTGCAGTGGTCTTCAACCAAAACGGGTGGCTACACGGAGACTTCCGCAACCTGGATTTCACCACGATACTAGGCGGCACGAGTCAGGACGGAACATTGCAGGAATATCTCGTCCTACCTGATGATTGGATTGTAGAACAGCCGCCAAGTCTGAGTGCGGTCGAGGCGGCTTGTTTGATTACGGCGGGGTCGACGGCTTGGTGGGCCATTCGTGGGGGGTTGGACGGGAGACTGGATGGGAGTGTTGGGGATTGGCAGGGGAGCTGGATGGATAGAAGGTTAGATGGGAAGTGGGTGCTTACTTTAGGGACAGGTGGGGTTAGTTGTTTTGCGATACAGGTAAGCCGTCTTTTTCGTTCCGAATGAAGATGTATTGACACTTTACAGATTGCTTCTGCCCTCGGTGCAACGGTCATTGCAACTTCTTCCTCCGACAGCAAACTGGAAATTGCGAAAACTCTCGGCGCAGCGCATCTCATCAACTATGTCAAGACGCCGAACTGGGACGAGGAAGTCTCTCGGATCACTGGAGGAAATGGCGTTGATCACGTCATCGAAACCGGTGGGGCAGGCACGCTGATGAAGTCCATCAACAGCACTCGCGCCGGAGGTCTTATTAGCATGCCGGGCGTGTTGACACCCAACGCGCCCATTGATGCAGCTTTCATCCCGAGTATACTGTTCAGTGCCAAGACTGGTAAGTCCCTAGGGCTTCTTTTCCTTCTCATTGTATTCCGTTCCATGTATATTGACCGCGAAAACACAGTGAAAGGATGTTGTGCCTTCCCACTTACCGCGGTAGTCGAGTTAGCACAATTCGTCGAGGCGCATGGTATCAAACCGGTAGTCGCGCACGAGTTTACTTTCGACCAGACGATCGAGGCATTTGACACAATGGCGAGACAGAGTGCGGTGGGAAAGATAGCTCTGAGGATTTGCGAGAGTGCATGAGGAGCAAATGAGTTTTTTCTTTTCTGCTAGCCCGTTATTACATGTGGGGAGTGTTGATGCACAGGCAGGCAACGCAAAGCGATCAAATAACTCAATACGATAATCTCAATGCAGGGGTATTTTCCAAACACCTCTTGTTCACTATATGCAGCTGTAGTAGTCGATAAAACTCTCTCATGCGATAGCTCTCATACTTGAACGGACGACAAACGTATAGGCGAAGCTCTCTCCCCCACTGGAGACGTCGTCGCGCTCTTATACCAGCCGAGTTTTGCACTAGTCGTGATTATTAGAGTGAGGTGAGGTTTGAATAAGATTCGCAGAAGTCTGGTTCAAGGGCCCAATCGACCTGTCGCTACCGCAACAACAGGACCCTCCCCATTGGCGGAGGCTCAATGAAGTGACCACGGTCGAAAGCGCTTCCAAACCGTCTGCTGGCCCGTTATACCTGCTGTATCTCGTATTCGAAAGTATTCATTTGGATTGCAGAGGTTGTAACTGGCTTGGTTCGCAATGCAACTTTGCAGTACCAGTGAATATCGACCAAGGTACAAGATGATGGACTAACTAGATACACTGCAACAACCGTTGTGAGTCATTGTTAGTAGTGTATTAGAGCAGTTGTCTCGCACAGTGCTCTGTCTTCAATCTCATATAGCCTATCCACCCAATTCCAACTCACCCAAGCACATAAGTCGACCCCTCCTTCAAGATCCTTGCATTTGCGAGGAGAGGAGGATGGAACCATCTTTTGGAACCGACGACCTACGGGTTTACGAAAGATTTAGCAAACTTTTTACTAAAAAACTCCATTTGGGGGACGGCGGAGATGGCATAGTCCACGCATACGAACACAAATCTTCCAAAGCCCTCGTCGCAGTGAAAACACCACTTCCGTACAGTTCTGAACATGAGGCAATGAAGGCAAGCAAGCGCCTCGAGGCCGAGATTGCAAATCTTGCAATCGTTCGACAGCACGAACACATTGCAGGGATGTTAGCATGGTCCTATATCCCCGTGGGCCCAGCGATCTTCCTTCCGTTCTGCGAGCTGGGCGATCTTAACCAGTACGTGCTCAATTGGAAATTTGAGCAGGGAAAGCAGGGGAAAGTTATTAAACGCATATCCGAAGTTACGATCTGGAAATTTTTGCACGATATGGCTCTTGCTTTGGATTATCTGCATAACAAGCACGAGAACTACGGCTATACGCACAACGACATCAAGCCTGACAACATCCTAGTTGACTTGCCTAGCGGCTGGAAATCAGAAGATGGAATCCCCGATGAGCCCGTCTTCAAACTGACCGACTTTGCCCGTATGACACGATATAATCCAAGCGAACGCGCACAGCCAACCCAGTTTTGCGGTACACCCGAATATGCACCACTCTTCAGCGAACGAGGGGAATTGCGACCGTCCGCTGACATTTGGGCTCTGGGTGGAACCTTACAGACCCTCGCTCTGGGCGTATATCCCATCCAATCCCGCGAAGCTTTCTCAGCTGGCAGGCATGAGGAGAAACAACCCGCTCCCTTCCTCGTTGACGAAGGTGCCTGGAAGAAAAGCCACTGGCGCCACCTCATACCACCGACCTTCCGCCCTCTCTCTGCCACACAAGAGGAACTAAGAGATCACTTCGACGTCCGCGAGTCCATAGTTATCAACGAGTTCTACCCCAATTGCCCGTGGGAGCATAAACCGTATAGCAGACGGCTCGATGGCTGGTATGAGTGGATGTTTGAGGTAGACGAGAAAAAGAGGATCACTGCGAGGATGTTAGTGAGATATTGTGTGCCACGTATTGCGAGAATGATTTGTGTGACGAGAGAAGAGGAGAAGGCGGAGGAATGTTTCGAGAGGGCGAAGGCGTTGAGAAAGGAGGTTGAGAGGAAACAGCAGAGTAGGGTGGTAGCGGCTGAAGGTATGGCTTTTGGAGTGGCGAACGTTCCTAGAGACGAGGGTAAAGATTACCATGCCATCGAAGCGGAGTAACATGAAAAGAAAGGTCTCCACAGTATGAGGACGTGTGCTCTTATCCAAGACATGTGTGTTGACTTGAGTATGCTGTGACGAAGCTCTGAGTGCTGGAGAAATTGAGGTGTCATATACTACTATTATGTTCTTGTGTATATACTAGTATGCTGTCCTGGGGTGTCGCTTTTACTATGGTAACAACATAACACTTCTATAGCAAGTAAGAAGTGCGTTGGGGAGCTTGTTTCGCCATCCCTCACTAGAGCAGGTGCACGATGTTCGCTGTTATCAGCGGGCGCGCAGATACAAGGCTTATAGCTCCTTCTTCGAAGAAGTAGAGTTCTTAACCTTAGATATCTTGAAACCACCGGGAGCTTGAGTCTGGAACATGCCCATGGGGTCGTACTTCTTGGCAGCGGCCCGGATTTTAGCAACGTTTGCAGCGCCGTAGCTACTGAGTGGGTCCTGTTTCGCACGTCAGCAGTATCCGATCATGTGTGTAGGCCTTGGATTGGAAAGCTTACTTGGTACGAATCGGCGTAGTTCAGGTACTGCCAGTCTACCAGAGCGTCTTGGCTAGCAGCAAACTTTTGCATTTCTTCAGTGGCGGCCCTGAGTGCCTCTCGCGCTCGAACTTCGGTCTCTTCTCCCTTGACAGCAATATCGAAAAGGAGCATGATGGCGTTGTCCTTGACAAGCTCCAGACCCAAGACGTTGCCTCCACGCTCCGCGCTGTGCTTGGAAAAGATGGTCGGAATGGCTTGGAACATGCATTGGGTAATAAAGTCGTGGTCGGTGTTATCCGCCTTCCATGCATCGACAAACTTGGTGTGGACATCGACAATGTGTTTGAACACGGTGGGGTTGTTCTTGAAAGTCATGGTAAACCAGATGTCACTGAGAGTTGTCAGCTTCATGTACAATAGTCAACTACGCTTTCGGATGGCAGGAAGAACATACCGGTATCCAGTAGGTTGCTCGAGCTCGTCAGTGAGGTTCTTGTGGCTTGCTTTCCTCGTAGTGTCAGCAATGGCTGGAATAGCCATGAACTTGTCGAAGCCTGCGGGAGCCACATTGCCAGCGACGTCTTCGTACGCAGCAATAATAACAATATCCTCCATGGCGGGAAGATAACTCCAAAAGACAATACTGGAGCCGTCGGGGTAGTTCTCGACGTTGTCGACCCATGCCGTGTAGGCGTCGATGTGTTGCTGTGTATAGTTCTTGGTGTGGATTCTCGAGCCACCCCAAAGGTCTCCAGCGGTGAAAGTCTCCATGTCATAACGGGTTACAATGCCAAAGTTGAACGAGCCACCCTTGAGGGCTCGGAAAAGATCCTCGTTACACGTAGCGTTTGCGTTGACGATTTCGCTGCTGGACGTTAGCAGTCAACCCCATATCTCCGTCTCCGGACTTTTGAGTACTAACCCATCGGCAAGAACAACTTCAAAGTTCTGTACCTGGTCACAGGCGAAACCTCGGCGAGCAGTGTAGAAAGAGTTTCCTCCTCCTGTCAGGAAACCGGCTACGCCAACACTGCTCGCTCGACCACCTGCGACGGTGACTCCATGAGGCTCAAGGGCGCCGTACACACCACCCCACCTGGTTCCGGGCTGGAAACGTGCGAGATTTGCTGCCTCGTCATAGACGGTTGCGTTCATGAGACCGAGGTCAAGCGTCACTCCATCGTTGATGTTGTTGGAGCCAGCCCAGGTTGCATGGCCACCACTTCGCACAGCAAATTTGCAGTTGCTTCGCGCACCTAGTGTTTTGACAGCCGTAGATACCTCTTCGGTAGATACCGGCTGAACAATACACTTGGGATGCAGTTGAGCGCTCACGGACCAGTACGATGCCGTCCGGATTTTGTACTGTTCATCATCTTCGTAAAAGATGTTTGCCAGCCCAGCATCCTTCAGCGATGAACACTAGAATTAGTCAGTAATGCATGAACCTTGACTAAGGAGTACATAACGTACGCAAGTTTCGTTCTTGCTGCCAAGAACCACGTCCTTGATGGCACCGAATTGGGTAGCTTCGGCGCATAATCCCAGAGATGCAACAACGGTCGGTGCGAGGAGCTTCATGCTGTTTCAACTTGAGAACTTGGCACACTCGAAAACGTGGATGTCGAACCAATGCTCTGGGTTTAAGGGATTTTATTGTCGGCATAGCTGCAGATTGACTAGGCAATCAACGGCTAACAGCACCCGCGCAAGAAATCACCTTACCTTGGCATCTAGACCTGATCAGTATTACATTTATGCGGCTCTTATGCGGATCTCAACAGGTATAGCAAGCCGGTGAATATCCCTTTACCGTTCCAACATGTGCCGTCTGCACAAACCTATCAGCGGTATGTGCCGTTCCTGGTCCCTGCAGTACGAGACGTTGACCCATATATTTTTATCGACATGATAGGCAGACATAACGCTGGAGAACGAGGCGGTCAAATATAGCCTATCAGGCCTCTCGCCGACGCCGCGAGCGGCCCGAAAACTAGGCCCATAGGCTACGGGAATGGTTAGTGTCGGCCTCACCCGCCGGGGTTGGGATCCTTCAGATCACGACCCATCGCACGCGTCAGCGTCGACTTTTTGCTCGTATCGCAGCCAATCACTATGCTTTGGGAACGCAGGTCAAGAGAGGAGTTCGTCGCATCTCGAACGACTAGGTCGGCGGTGGTATCTTCCGACTTCACAGGGAAATGAACCAGGTGGACAGAGAATCCTCCTACGGAGTAAGATGTGTTGGTTTGCTATATAATCTCAACTGGCCGGAAGTTAGTAGGTCATCAATGAGATGGATAGGAAGCTTTGAACCGTGACAATCATATGAATATATTTGACTCACCATCTACATACCTGTGTAAGTAAGAGATCCGAATCGTTGCTTAGTGCTGTAGTTAGTGTAACTCCAAGCCCTTGACGAAGTCAGGATGCTCGCGACAAGGTCAACTTTCCCGAGACAGGCCTTCGTATTAAGGCAAGAAATTCGGTGCGATCGCCATCGATAACCCCATGCCCACTTCCCATCTCCCGCCCCTGGTTTGGGAACCTAGCGCAAACCTCGCTCTCGAGCCTCTAGGCAATCTTTTGACTGAACCATGCCCTTCCTTCAGTCATAGGAGAAGTTTTGAAGGGTCCCAAGTATACAAGCTCCCCCTCACTAGAGAGACCTTTAGCTCCCGCTTCCGAGCAACGTTGTGCTTCAATCAAAAACACGTCCTTTGTCCAAACTTTACTGCGTCATGGCGAACGTCAATGGCGTTATAACCGCCATCCCTCCACCTGACGGCTATGAGGTCAATTTCGCAAACCCACAGAGGAGGCTACTCACAGAGGCCTATGTCATCTTCACTATTGAGAACATCCTAGCGCTTATGTTTCTCGGGCAGCGGCTTTATACCAAAATTCGTCTCATGAAGCAGTTCCAAATTGACGATGGTACTGTGTTTAGTAACTTCAGACTCGAAAATCTACTGACAGAGGTTAGTCTTTCTAATTCTCGGTTGGGCCTGCTCAGTGGGTACCCAGGGTCTTTTAATTACTGGTTTCTCCACAGGCAGTATGGGCGTGCACGCCTGGGAGATTCCGATCGAGAAGTACGCCTTTTACTCGCGGGTAAGTCAATATCCCTCCTCTCATTACTTGCGTATGTTGCTCTTGTGCTAATGCGACGACTTCACAGCTCATTCTAGCGGCCCCTCTGGTATATGCACCTTGCTGCGCCTTGACGAAGATCACGCTCTGTATCTTTTACAGTCGCCTCTCTCCGTCCGTGGCCTTCCAATGGGCCGTTTGGACCACCATCTTCATCTGCGCTAGTTCTTATACGGCTATCTTCTTCAGTCTGCTATTCGCATGCAAGCCAGTTGCTGCCAGTTGGGATCCACTACTGCTTCCAACTGCGATATGCGTCAATCGAGGAGGAATCTATATCGCTACGGCTGTGATTGGTATCGTGACGGATGTGATGCTGATCTCGATTCCTATCCCGACTATCTGGGGTTTGCAAATGCCGACGAAACAGAAAATCGGATTGACCCTTATTTTCGGCGTTGGATCAATGTAAGTCTAAGCCGGAGTAAAAGTCGCGCGCTGAACGACAGCTAATTCGAGGCAGCACAATGGTCACGTCCATTGTTCGCCTTATTGTTTTGATTCCGGCTCTGACAGACATGGACCAGACTTGGATCATAGCCGTTGGTTCTTTGTGGATGTAAGGCTTTCGTCATTGCGGTGTCTCCTGATACCTAGGAGTTTTTCAACTGACCAAAACACAGTATCATCGAAAGCAACTTGTTCATCATATGCTGTTGCTTACCTACCCTGCGACGCTTCCTCAAACACGTCGCACCGCAATGGATTGGTGAAAGCCGCTCATCTGAAAATAAAGACTCGTCTGATCACAATCACGGGCTCCGGACTTGGGGAAGCGAAGGCACAGGCCCGAAGCGCAAGTATGATACTTTGATGCGTACTGTGGACGGGACGACGCAAGGGGACGGAGACGACGAGATTCCCCTCGCCAACGTACCAAACAAAGCAGGTTTACGTGAGCAAGAGTCCAAAGTACCGATCGGAAACGTCGAGATGAAGAGGGACAACGATAGCGAGGAAGCCATCTTGTATGAGCGGACCGTTCAGGTTACTTATGATGACGGCGAAGGAGGCGACCCCGCGAATCCGTACGCACGTCAGGTCTGGGCAGGTGGGCAACCCAAGGCTTTGTAGACTCTCTGACGTGGCTCTACGTTGAAGCTACGGTTCTTGTTATGACTATTTGCTTAGAGCGCTGTACGAACTTTTTTGGGATATTAGGAATTTAATCAAGGATTGGGTTCACGACAACGCGGGAAGACGTCGTATGTGGTAGGACAGGTACCTGGGAAGAGCCGCTTCGTGTTTAGATCTGGATTGGTCGATAGCTTACATAATCACTGTGCCGTAGCTCAGTCGTGGTCCATAGTGGGGCGCCAACGCGCACCCGCCTCCTCACGATCACCCCCTTCTGATAATCATGTCTCAACCCTCCTCATCCAAAGCCATCGTTCACAAACCCCCCACTCGGCCATTGGTAGACAGGCCATCTGTGATTCTCTATGGAGCCATACAATCCGATCCCAACAAGGACTGGCAGACCCATCTCACAGCCTTGCTCTCCGACCTCCCCATTACTATCCTGAATCCGCGCCGAGATGATTGGGACAGCAGCTGGATCGAAGACATCTCTTTCGCGCCCTTCAAAGAGCAAGTCCAGTGGGAAATGGACTACGCGCGCATAGCCGATGTCATTGTTTTCTATTTCGCAGGTGACGCTAAGGTCTTACAGCCGATCACGTTGCTAGAATTGGGACTGTATGCGGGAACAGGCAAGGCAATTGTTTGCTGTCCAGAGGGCTTCTGGAAGAGGGGTAACGTACAGATCGTCTGCGAGAGATATGGTATCGACTTGGTAGAATCTGTGGGGGAGTTAGGGCACAAGGTCCGAGCAAGAATGCTGGCCAGGCTTCATCAGGGTCCACCCTCCACGAAGTCAGCGGATGCCGTATGAAACCGCTTCGGTTTTCCTTCTCATTTCGACTGCCCACGAATAACTCCTGGGGCTTGTGTCGCAAGGCTGCCACATTTAGGTTACCCGATTCCTGATTGTTCAGCTGCCAAGCAAAGCCACAGTATTGCCCAGCACATTGAGTCTTTTGCATTTCCCGCTTAGCCTTGTATGAAATGAGTGCATGGCTAGCCAGTGCAAGTCGTATGTTCAGATGAACGTGTAAAGTAGTACGAGTGTATGACAGTCTGGCACGGTAAGCCATCGTAGCGTGGGTGACCAGGGTTAGCGCCGCGTTCAAGAACCGGCCTCAAGCTGAACTGCAAATTCGCAAAACATCCTGAAGGTTGACATACGCTACGGAGGGTTGATTGGATATGTAAACAGAATCTCCCGAAAGTTCACGCCGTGTCAGTCATATCCGAGCCTGAGGTATGCGCGCGCTGCTTATTGAGCTCTGTCTTCATTTCTTCGCACTTCTAGTTTCCACCTCGTACGTAGGCGCTTCACACGCCCCTCTTCGCACCAAGATCATCTGGCTACCCAGGGAGGATTTCAGGAGACCTTCGACTTCTCAGTCCTGATGGAGGAGGTGTACGTGGTTTGGCCTCACTGTACATGCTAAGGGAAATACTCTCTTTGGTTGGCAGCCCAAAGCCATGCGACTATTTCGATATGATTTGCGGGGCGAGTATAGGAGGGTTGGTTGCTATCATGCTTGGTCGACTGGAAATGTCCGTTGATCAGTGTATTGAGGCATACACCGGGATGATGGACGTCATCTTCGATCCGAAAGACAAGAAGAAATTGCCGTTCAAGATACGTAATGGCAAGGTCCAACCACAGTACAAGACGAAACACATGGAGCATGCGACCAAGCGGGGGATGTCCCACGCTGGATGGACATCGGATGATAGATTCAGAGGGTCGAAGAACTCGGCTTGCAAGACGTACGGTACCGAGATGATCACTTTTGTTGGAGACTGGACGCTAACTTGACAAGGGTGGTGATTGCTTTGACGGCGGAAGGCGGAGTCCCGACGCGCTTTACAGATTACGAGAAACCTGGCGAGCATTCTAACTTCTACAACAAAGTCAGGTATGTCTACGCGCGCCTCCGCTTTTCCTCTCTTCTCTGGGTACGCGATCGCATGCTAGGCTGTCTCTCTACACTGCCCTACTTATAGAGTGTACGGCTCCTGCTTCCACGAAACCCTTCTCTCATCTCTCATCCTGTCAAATCTCACCACACTCTGTAGCAAAACCTGCGCGCCTAGTGCACAGTCCTCCTCTTTGCAAAATTCTCTTGGGTTGTGGCTCACACCTTCTCTGCATGGCACGAAAATCATGCTCGTTGGGCAGCGTTTACTTGCATAGACGCTATCGTGTCCGGCACCAGAAGTCATCTCCATAGACTGGTTCGGGCCGAGAATGCTGCGCGCAGACTGGCTGACGGACGTGATGCAGTCTGCGTGGAACTTGGTTGCTGGGCTGTCAAAGTCCTCGATTATTTCGACAGTGAGAGGAAGACCGCTCGTGCAGCCGTGGTTCGAGCCTTCAACATCCTCACCTGCAGCAATCCTGGGGAAGTCGCGCAGAACTAGCTCTTTCATCTTTGCGACTGTCTCGTCGTTTGGTGACCTGATGTCGAGACTGAATGTCACTTCACCGGGCACTGTGTTTGTCGAACCAGGTTTTAGGTTAAGTATACCCGTAGATGCTAGCGCGGAGTTGGCAGTTGCAAGGCGATGAGAGTGCAGAATCATTTTGCTTGCCGTCAGAAGCGCATCAGCTCGTGATTTGAGATCTGTAGTTCCGGTATGCGTATCTCGTCCCTTGACCTTGACTGTCATCCATTTGTAGGCTTGAACTCCAGTAACTACTCCAATCTTCTTGTTCGCCATTTCCAACAGCGGACCCTGCTCAATATGCAGCTCGAAGTGTGCAGCCATGGGCATGGCCTCGTAGCTCGCTGGCGTGCTTCCCAGATAGCCAATCCGCTCGAGTTCAGACTTCATAGTCGCGGTTCCAGGATGAACTTCGCGAAGGTTGTGTGCCGTTTCAAGAGGAATTGAACCGGCCCAAACTCCGCTGGAAACCATCGACATTGGGAAGCGAGCACCTTCTTCATTAGTCCAGTTGACTACGCCGACAGGGTACTCGGTCTCTGTCCAGTTGTCGGCGAGCACTCTGAGCATCTCGACGCCAGCAGTGACGCCCAGAATTCCATCGTATCGTCCACCAGTAGGCTGCGTATCTAAGTGACTGCCCACGAATGTAGGTGGTTTGTCATTTTTGAGTCCAGGTCGAACTGCGAATGTGTTTCCCATGGCATCAACAGTGACCTCACAGCCGAGCGACTTTGTGGTCTCTGCGAACCAGTCACGTGCAGCTTTGTCGGCATCGGAGAGCGCCAGTCGACTCATTCCAGTTTCCGTTGACTTCCTGCTATTATCAGCTATACAATCATCAAGCGTTGTTTAGACTACGTACTCGCCCCATCGCTCGCCTGTACCCCATTGACATGTGTGGTGTATATCCTCCATTAACCTCGCCTGATTGACTTTTAAGTCCTTCATCGAATCATCATTCAGCTCCTTGGTTCTGATCTGCCATTGTGGCGAATGAGAGAAGCATCTGACATGCTTGCATCCTATTCCTACTCTTGAATTCGGTACAGCTCTTGGTGCGGGGTAGCGTCTGCTTGCAATGCGGAGCGAAACAGAGAGCCTGTTAGCCAGCAGAGCCATTCTGTGAAGATAAGTGAGGAAGAAGAGAGATGAAAGCCATAGCGGCACGGGTCATGGAAGTCGGCATGTCAAAGGATGGCATGACATGGCAGGCGTCCAGTCGTGGGGAAGGAGCGGCTCGGATGTCCGATAGCAGTAGTGCGGGACTAGCCCGCTCTTTGATATGCAGATTATCCGTCGGCTAACGGAGTGTCCAAGTACACGATAAGAAGATAAACTGTACTGGTCTGTAATTTTATCGTGACGGATTGTTTCACTGGCGGATTGCTGTTGAAAGATGAAGACGTCGCAATGGCTGTGAGATCATGATCCATGTGCTAAGAGTGTTTTTACTGGTATTGGGTATCTATAGGTGAAATGGGTAAAATGATCATAGCGCCTTTGCGTGCTGCTCAAAACAAACTCCTTCCTTAACATATATGGCTTTGCGACAGACCTCAGACAGCCTTTGCCTTCCCTTTCCCTTCGATTACTGGCTTCACATCCTCCTCGGAGACCTCGTCCTCTTCTGAGCTATCGCTCATGAACTCATCATCTTCGTCATCCCATCCAAACATAGCGCGCTGTTGGACAGGCTTTGATGAAGAGGGAGTCGGTTGAGCCTCGTCCTCCTCTTCTTCTGAGCTGTCTCTCTGTGCCATGAGCATCTTCTCAATAGCTTCTCTCGTTTTGTTCTCTGCTTCTTCTTTGTCCTCAACCCACTTTCCGTCAAGACGTGCTGTCCCTCTGCTGTTCTGTAGCTCTTCTTGCTTTCGCTCAGTACTAGCCATAATGTCTTCCCACTTCTTCCGTCGTTCCTCCTTTTCGCGCTGCTCCATTTCCGGCTTGATCGCTAGGTATTCGGCGAGCACCTTAGCTTCGGTGACTGTGCGCAGGCGTCGCCCGTCTAAGTTGCGGGACGATCCATTCACATCGCCCTGCTTCTTCTTGCGCGAGGACATGCGACCACCTTGCGCGCGCAAAATGGATCCAAAACCACCCTTACCACCACATAGCGGTACGGTCAGACGCAGCGATAGAAATGTGTCTGCGGGCGACGAGAGGAGTGATGACACTGGTGCAGCGTCGTGTCGAACGGAGCGGCGCGAGTTGGTGGTCAAGATGTAAGATGAGTTCTGAATCCATGGCGCGCGCTCGTAAAGTGTGTCGTAGATGGAAGTGAGAGGCGCGTCTTTTTGCGTTGCGAAGGCGATGTTTTGCCCGCGGATGCTGTTGACGATGACGGTGATTGGGGACTGTGTGGCGGCGTCCATGGTTGCAGGTTGCAAGTTGCAGGCTGCGTATGCGAGAGTGGCAGTTCCAGTCGACTTGGATTGGGATATGGGGTGCGAATGCTGAGTTTGGTTCTGCTAGTTGCGCGTGGGATGGGGTGAAAGTCGTTTGGTTAGGGAAGCAGGCGACCGCAGTTGAAGATTGGGGACCAGGCCTTGGCGGTACCACAACAGATGGTCATAGCGCTCGCTTAGACTAGCCTCGCACCCATTGCTCGAAATCGCCCTTCTATCAGCGAACTTCTGAACTCATCGACCTTCAACCACTCCTAGCATTCCCGAGTCTTTCGCAAACCGTCAAAATGCTTATCCCCAAGGCCGACCGCAAGAAGATCCACGAGTTAGTCTACCTTTACAACCATCCTTGTCACGGCGCAGTCGAGCTCGGTGTTTCGCACGAAATGATACGACTTGATATGGGCTGAGCAACATTTGACTCCAATCTACACAATTGATCAAATTCGCTAACATCTGTCTTTCCAGGTACCTCTTCCGAGGTTAGTATTCCCACGTACTCGCGAGCCATGGCTATGGCACAACCATACATTTTCGCGGCTTTGCTGCATATAAGGATAGGCTGACACACGGTCACCATAGAGGGAGTTCTGGTCGCTAAGAAGGACTTCAACCTTCCCAAGCACGGCGAGATCGACACCAAGAACCTTTACGTCGTCAAGGCTTGTCAGTACCATCTACTGTTCTGCACGACTGTCAGCTCCTAACAGCCAACAGGCCAGTCTTTGACCTCGCGCGGTTACCTCAAGACCCGCTTCTCGTGGCAATGGTACTACTACACCCTCACCCCTGAGGGTCTCGACTACCTCCGTGAATGGCTCCACCTCCCCGCCGAGATCGTTCCCCAGACCCACATCAAGCAGCAGCGCTCTGCTCCTCCCCGGGGTATGCTCAGCGGTGACGACCGTGAGCGCCGTGGTGGTGGCCGTGGTGGACGTGGCGGTGACCGTGGTGGTGACCGTGACGGCTACCGCCGCCGTGATGCCGGCGAGAAGGCTGAGGGTGCTGCCCCTGGCGAGTTCAAGCCCGAGTTCCGTGGTGGCTTTGGCCGCGGACGTGGTGCTGCTCCTGCTTCGTAAGCAGTTGAGGACTTTCTGGAGTAGGGCTAGATACGGTTTCATCTTCATGTCGGGCTTTACTGCATTACAAAATGGGATCGGATACGGCGAAATGACCGGATGATACTACGAATGGATCGTTTGTCTAAGTTGCGATGACGCAGTCTTAGACGATCATGTCCTCAATGATACCCCATAACCTTCAGTGAACCTTTTGCTTGACTTGTTCCTTGTCTGTGCATCTTCGGAGGGTGTCTTGCATCAACTATATCCAGGCACATGTCGTTGCTAGTAATTTGGACGGTCGCCGTGTTTTTCTTCCATACATTATGATACTGGCCTACCCAATTCAATGTCCGCTCTTGCCACTCTTCAACAGTCCATCACCACTCTTCATCCACAGGGCGCAAATCTGCCCAATGGTTTGCCCACCCATTTCCTTCTCTACCAAGGCCCTCAAGAACTCTAGTCTCTCCTCCACACTCGCCCGGCTGTCCTTCGGTTCATCTTCCTTGAGCGACTTCCTCCCCAGCACAGCAATATTTCTAGTACTAGGAATCCTCAAATGCTCCTTCTCGGCCACATACTCCGTCTCCTCCGTCAAATGGCACACCCAACTACATAGACTAGCATACGCAGAAGGTTGCTTGGGCTTCTTCGACGCCGTAGTCGTTGGATCAGGAATGACATGTTTCGCATGCACCGGCGCGCGGAATCTTGTACCACCAAAGTCATGCGAACAGCATGGTATGGCGATAAAAGGTGAAAAGTTCAGGTAAGCCAGTAAAGGTGTCCAAGGCGTCAGTTCATCGGCGTGGTTGCTGATGATGAAGGTGCCGGGCAGGAAAACACCATTGTGGTGTAGTGTTGAGGAATCAGTTGAGGTTGAAGAAAGTGGCTGAATGATCTCGGGTACTAGAAGCATCTCTTGTAGCTTTTGGCTGTGCTGTGGTGGGAAGGTGTCCCATGTTTTTCTTCGGCGGGCGTCGAAACCCCAGCCGTGCCAGCCTTCGGCGTTGAGAATGTGGACGAGAAGACCGTTTCCACAGCCTATATCTACGAAGCCTGGGAAGTTGGCTTGCGCTGTTTTGGTCCTTTGCTCGGCCTCGCCTTCTTCGTCCTCCGCGTCCCCGTTTTCGCAGTTTTGCCTGTTCGTGTCGTTCTTGGAGCGGTACATGTCTCCCCAGAGCTCCATCAGAAACGCTGCAATCCCTAGATCCTCAAAGACGTGTTTCTCGGCCGGTGTCTGCTCCACCCATCCCTCGATCAACTCTTTCGCATACTTGCCCTTGAGGTACGCGTAAGTATCCTGGAATCTCTTCTGTCCAATCACTTGGTCGTGATGGACGCGTTTCGTATACCCAGCTTGCTGGCCACGTGAGTGCTTATGTATGACCTCCAAGAGCTTGAGAGCTGTCCGAGAGAGACGGTTATCCAGTGGAAGTGTAGGGAAGAAGCAGTAATGAATGGACAAGTGTCCGGATGTGGGAATCAGGAACTTAGGTGGTGAATGTGAGGAAGGTGGGAAGTAGGTGTATAGCATTGCCAAAGAGCGAACTTTTGGGTGGTAATAGGGGATAGCTTCCGGTGTAGCGGCATGAGGAATGTATACGACCATGTACCGCTCAGCCTTTACAGTCTCTTCGTCTCCACGCGGACTTGTGACAGTGATGTCTTGATGTGACACGAACAAGTGACAAGTCTGCATCAACGAGTCATCCAACTTCGGATTTCGAGGTATAAGTTTTCGCACAACTGTGTACTCGAGCTCGTACCCTTCTACACCTCCATCAATCAGTTGCGGTCGGCATTCTGGTCGCAGATGCTTGACAATGCTTGCTAGATCCTCCGAGGTACTGGCTGTGGGGTTGAACGTAGCGTCTGTGAAACTCTGATACGAAAGCTCTGCACGTGACAGATGCGACGATGTCCTGTTGGGATTTTCGAGCAGATTGCGGCTGACTTCAAGAAAATACTGTGGCTCAAAGCTTGCCGGCGCAGATTGTACGATAGTCCATAATTCGGATGGGAGGCCGGTGGAGACCTTAGGTGCACTGGATATGTCGTAAGGTGAGAACTTGTCACCTGTAACCTCTTGGTTCTCGGTTCTCGTTATTGGTTGTGCTCCTTGCAACTCGATATCGTCTGTGTGTGCGCCGATAACAGGTAATCCAGTTTCGCAATTCCCACGTTGCTCCTCTTGAGCCATGTTTCTCGATCTATTTCCTAATCTGCGGTGACTATTTCAGAGTGTTGATTTCCCTATTCGCACAGATCAAGCATTCGCAGAGTTGCGACAATCGGTACAGCATACAGGAACCTCTGCCATCGGTATTAGGTGATTTCCGAAGCAATAAAGTGGTGTTTAGTTAGTTTAAGTTGAAAGGTAGTATCGATGGGTTGGTGTTAGTGCAAGCGAGCAAAACTAGATCTTGGTGGTCCACTACAGTCGGAAAGAACGACAAACACTATAAAAACCAACAACGGATGTAGGATAGAATGCGTGCTTCACCATACTTTCTGACGAATGCTCATGACATATAAATGCCGCAGAATCCTATGCACATGATCGGTATCCAAATGTTGGTGAAGATTCAACCCAGGTGAAGTAGGCGCACATAGAGGCCACCACGTACTCATGAACTTCGCACACAGCTTTAAATTACTATGTTTTGAAAGCTCTAGTTTATAGCTGCAGTCTATCGAATCTCTATATTTCATAGATCTAATGAGTCCTCCAACCATCTAGAAAACGCCCTTCGTAATGCATTTCATTTCCCAGATATGCCATCTCATTCCCCTACCGTCCGTAGTAATGCGCCATCTCGAGTCCCGCTCTCTTAAACCCACACTTGACATAGAAGCCCTCATTCGCTTCTGAGCAATCTAGAATGGTCTTGTAGCAGCCGACCTTCTCCGCGACAAAGTCGAGAGCCTGGATGATCCTCAATCCCAGCTTCTTGCCCTGCTGATCCTTGGCTACAGCGATATCCTCAATGTGTCCGACAAGGCCAAGCTGATGAATGAACTTGCGCTCGACGATGAGGGCGCCGGTGCCGACGATGGCGTTGGACGAGTTGGTGATGCAGAGAAGGTAGTATTCATCGTTGCGGGTTTTCATCCAGTCGTAACGTTCGTTCCATTGCTGAAGGTATGTGTTAGTGATGCACTTTATGTGTCTTTGCATGAGCTTGGGGATTGTGGAACTCTCGTATACGTATTGTAGAATAAAGGGAGGGCTTTCATACCTCCTCGGTTATGTCTCCGACTGTGGTGAGAACTCTTAGTACATCTAGGAAGCCATTGTGGTAGTCTTTTCTCTCAAGCGGTCGGCAGCTGTAGCCTTCTGGGAGTGCTTTGAGGACTTCAGGGGAGATGAGCTCGGAGCTGAAGAGAGGGCCTTCTGTCGATAACATCGTGGGCTGGACTTTGTTCGTACGCGATTGTTGGGAGTTTGAGGGCGTGGAGAACGGGAATTAAGTTTGCGACGCGATTGAGCAGTCTTCTAGAGCTGATGCCGATGCGTGGGATTTAGGGGTCGCGGGGTGTTTCTGCGACTTATCGATAAGAAGGCGGTGAGAAGAGGACTACGGTCAGGAGAACGATGGGTTAGCTTGATGCAAGCTTCAAAGATAATGCTAGGACGCGAAAGATATTGAAGGCAAGGAGATATTCGATTCTTCAAACCCCTCAGCAAGGTGTCTAATGTATATGTTGCCGAGAGAGCTAATGAGCATGCCAAGCATCCAGGAACCAGATCTATATTTGGAACGTCGAAGCTTCGTCATGATCTTCAGGAGCATTCTCGTGTCCGTATTCCACCAGCCTCATCTAGTCTTACAAAATATTGAATCCTGTACCGCTACGTAGCGGCCGTCGTAAAAGTCAGAAAAACGCCACCCACGTCACTGTGAAGCCTTACACCATGTACCCACCCGTTGTCGTGAGGTTTTGATTCGCTTAAACGCTTTCAACACGTCTTCAGGCCTCAAGTCTCCATCCTCAAGCTCGAGCCCTATGATCTTCGCCAACGCCTCTGTCAGCTCTGTGTTCTGTCTCTGCAACATCATGACCCTCTCCTGCATTCGCGCCATCTTATTAATCGAACTCTCATCCTCTGTGCCTTCATCATGGCCACTGTCGACTTCAACATTTGATTCTGGAAGCGGCTCTGGTGTATGCGCTGGTGTTGGTAAGGCTCCCGCAACGGCATCGGAATGTTGCTCTTTCTGCTCGTAGTATCCGGGCAATGGCTTTCGCTTAATGCGCTGCAAGTCTCGCAGCTTCCGAGCTCTGGTTTGATCTTCTCGACTTGTGTGCGGCTCGGGCTCGGGCTCGGATGCGAGTGGATGTTCTTCAACAGGTACTGCTTTGGATGATTTGGGAGAACTTTTCGGGCTGCGCGGCGATGCCTGAATCGGCTCGGAGAACGGACGACTAGGGGCTTCGAAGCCGGATAGCATGCGCTCCACACCTGAACTAGCGAGAGGGTTGAGCATCCCTTCGTCAAAAGTAATGGAGATGTGTCGAGAGCGCCGTTGTGTCCAAGACTGGGAAGCCGAGATAGCGACCACCGGAGTATAGTGAGGACTCTCAGTTGGTATGACGATCCTGAGATGTCTTGCGCCTTCAGAGGTCGTCATCTCGCGAGCACATGTTGGGATAGAAGTCTGTCTGCGCGCTCGCTGAGGAGGACGTTCACGGATCCTACGCGAGTAGCCTGGGTTTTGCGCTGTTTGGCTTTGAAAAGCTTCATCGTCGTCCTGCGTTGTTGTACTGTAGGCTGGAAATCTGTGGATGGTCCAGTGTGCTTGAGGTAGTAGCTGAGATCATTCAGGCCCAGATCAGCGCTCGCCGTCAATGCATCGTGGCTAAGAATTGGTGGTGCCAACCGTCCTAACTGCGAGGAACCTACGCCACCGGCTTGTCCCACATCGAGGCGTTTTGATATTCGCTCCTTTGGAACATGGAGATCATCTTCCAGTTTGTCATTCTCGGCACTAGACGAATGTTGCTCGTCAGCTATAAAGACAAAATCGCCGTGTGTAGAGATGGCTGACTCGGTCTGGACTGGAAAGGTTGGGTTCGTGAGCCGCTTCGGGCTACGATTCGGTACTGCTGGTGGTGGCTCGTGTAGATCAAGTTCACCAATAGCGTAGATTTCCGTGGACTTATTGGTCGATTCTAAAAGAGGCGGCTCAGGAGACATGGGAAGAGGAACATTCGGCGGATCCGGCGAATAAGCATGGCAAAGCGCTTTCGGTACTGACACTGGACCGCCCGTCTGGCTGTCGAAGTATCTTTGGATCACTCCGAAAGTGCCCATTTCCCCGACTTGCTCCGTTTCTATCTCAGGTAGAAGCTCGCTCATGGTATCGTAGCTTGCCTTGCGTCGGTGCTTGGCAACCAGGGGTTCCAGTGGCGCATGTCGTGCACTTGGAATTGTTACTTTGAATGGCGTTTGGCGGCGCTGGCGCTTCTTGTCTTGTGGACGACTCACCGGTGAGCTCGCGCTTCGAATGCTGGTATCGCGGCCTACATGCTCAGAAGAGAAGGTAGAGCGTGGCTCGTATGTAAGCACTCTGGCTAAAGGGACGGATGATGAGCGTCGTCTTGGCTTGGCCGATGGTTGATAGACCTTTGGTGATGATGACGATGAAATCTCCTTGGAGTCGGGTTGTATTGCATTTCCAAACTCATTTGGGGTGGATTCCCCAGCTGTATGGAACACTGTCGATGAATTATAGGCATGTGAACTGGTAGTAGTACGATTGTTGCTGAACGAATGGGTCCCATGCGACGTCCTAGGACGGGAGTAGTTCTCCTTCGAAGTTACGGAAGGTTGATAAACGTTGAATAGTTTTGTGGACTGCATTTCGAAGTCTCGTGGAGTGTGGTTGGGAAAGGTGCCTTTGCGTCTTTGTTGACAGCCAAACTCATCTATAAAGTGCACCGGCGGTGACAAGTCATAGCCAGTCGGCTGAGTCCCTGCAGTGGTCGGCGAAGTGTTTTCGTCCTGCGTCCAGGCCGTTGACTTGCGCTTGAGCGACTCGGACGTCACACTTGTGTTCGTCTTACAACTCTCCTCTAATATCCCAGCATATTCAAGAACACTCCAGCGGGTATGACCGAACATTGGGAATGAGTTCAAGAGGCTTTCTGTAGAAGCAGACGAGATCATGTTTGCAACCTGGTTGCCAAGTACTCTTGAACCAGACGCCCAAATTGCAATTCTCTTCTCGTTTCAATGCCTAAGCGCAGGCCTTGAGTACTGCTCAACAAGGAACACTGGCTGAGAACGGAGCACAACCAAGAGATCGGTCACTCAGCAGCCGCAGTAGTGTTGTATCTCACGAAGACTGCTGAGTGTTGGCTGTAACCCTACAGGGGTAGGATGAGGGATTGGCTTCGATGATTGACAGGGACGGCGTGGGATTGGCTTTAATTTGTAGAAGATCTGGCGGCCGGCAGCTCTCTTCGCGCCCAAGCTTGCTGCAGATAAGACAGCTTCTCAGATTCGAGAGGAGGAAAATCATGTAGTGTAATCAGGGGCGGATCCGAGGGTAAGCATCACTTCTCGAGCTCGTGATGCCGAGAGGCAAGGCAACGTGACACTATAGCGTGTTGGCAGCAGAGCCGGTAGCCGATGATGAGATTGCGCATCAATCAGGAGAAATTTTTGTCTCGAAAGACATTAAAAATTGATAGGGTTAGTACAAAGAGATGTTGGAAACACCCGCGAAGGAAAGGAAGACTGCATCCGGGAAGTACGAATTATTAATTCTCCGTTCATAAAACATATTGAAGATCGCACCCAAATGCGTACTGCAAGCGAGCCACGATCTGGGGGATGTGCCACTGGCCGATGACGATAACTGGGTGCATAAGTTTGTGGTACAAGTGTACGAAGGTGATTGGCAACCGGGTAGTACAAAAAGAGCGTGAGTGCTAGCCGACTTGCTTAATCCGGCGGCGATAGGGGGCGCCTTGCTGATGCTACGCTGGAAGAGACGCCATGCCGAATGATGCGCAAGACGGATCGTTGATTCTGGCTTGAAGAGTCTGGGTGCAGGATCCAATAATTGGCAATGGGCGGTGTGCATCACGGTAGTAAGGGAGCGCCTGACTAGTGGGACACAGTCGCAGCCCTAAAATGCACTCGCGATACCGCGACCACACATAGACCCGATGTACATGACGTGCACAAGTGACGAGAAAACGGCGCATTACACGCTTGGGGGTTAGAACATGCTGTAAATGTTCCGAGGAAGCGATCAAGCACACGGCACGCACGTCGATCATTATCTGCCGGAATTCGGCCACGAAGCACCCCTTTAGGCTTCGTGGTCGATCTTCGTCTGATATGGCATAGGGCATATGGCCCCGGAAAGAGATAGTGTCGGATAGCTAGGTATACATAGAGATACGCATGAACGCCGGGCAATGCTAATGAAAGTGTCCGTCCATTTGGAAGGCGCCAAATGCTAATAGAGCATATTGCTAACCATGCACGTAGGAAAATAATGCCACTCCGGCCCCTCCCGCCGGTTAGGGTATTGTACAGTTAGCCATTCCTTGGCTTTTTATTTTTGATGAAAGGATTTGGTGGTTCACGAGGCCGCCTACGAATTTTAGGCTTTGCCATCGACATGCCGCCGATGACGTCTCCGGGCGGGGGAGCGACTGCACCGTTCGTCCCGTTGCCTGCTTCTCCACTAGGCGTCGAGCTCTTGCGTGACGCATCAGCAATAGCAGCTGGTGTTGACCGGCCGCTGCCTCCGTTCATGGTATTGGAGGCAGAGTCGGATTGAGCATCCTCCATTTCGGCATCGCTACTCTCAAGCTTGATTTTATCGAAGCTGGCGATGTCTTGGAACTTTCGCTTTTCGTGATGTACCAGTGTTTGTTCGTTTTTGATCTCCGTCTTGACCTCTAGCTTGATAGACTTCGAGTCCGAGCCTGAAGACGTACTGGACTGGTTGCTTGCCGACCTGCTCATGGGCTCTGACTTTACTTCTGGTTTGACCTCTGGTGTGGGACGGTGAGGTTGTACATAACCTTCCTTTGGAGCCGGAAATTTGCTAGAATGCTGGTTCAGCATCTTTGGCACGTCTTGACTGGAAAATCGCTTCCTCTCCTTCGCGTCAACTATGAGCTTCGCCCAGAACTGTCCTCGCATGAGTGAGTCAGAATTGCCCAACACCCATAGAGACGATTTGGCACGCGTGAGACCGACGTTCATACGGCGAATGTCTTGGAGGAAACCAACGCCACCTGCTGGTGAGGCTCGTACACAGGAGAAGATGATAATCTCACTTTCACGACCTTGGAAAGCATCGGTGGTGTTGAAGTCGATGTCTTCGATGATGCTCTGACCGTATGCGTTCATGAAACGTTGTTTGAGTTCGCGCAGTTGGCTCTTGTAAGGTGTGATAATGCCAATCTTGCCTTTGAAATCATAATCCGGGTAGTCGGAAGTGACACGCTTGTATAACTGCATCGCGACATTGATCTCGGCGATATTGATGAGCGAATGGCCCTTTGGAGCAGCTTGGTGTTGACCTTGGACATCAAAGAAGCGGTAAGGTCCTAGCAGCATACTCTGATGCCATGGTCGCTCACGTAGGCCAGCCATATCGTCACCGTCCAAAAGTCGGCCGTCGTAGAAAGTTCGACTGGGAAACAGACTGATTTCCGGATGCATACGGTACTGGGTGTCCAGTAGATGCACATCGTCTGGGTGGTTCTTTTGCATGCGAACGAACAAACTCTGTTCATATTGGAAACCCTTCGCTTTGTCCGAGAAGACCGTTGGAGGCAGTTGCTTTGGATCTCCGACCAGGATACACTTGGCACAACCGTACTTGAGGGGAATAAGTGCGCTCATCTCAACACACTGGGCAGCCTCATCGACAATGACAGTTTCGAACTCAATGCTCAGCCCTTGGAACATTTCATGTCCAGAGCCGCTGAGTGTCGCACAGATAACATGTGCATCGTTCAAAACTGCTTCCTGTGCACGTCGTCTGTTCAGGTCTGCGTTACGACTGGCGAGCTTCTCATCGTCCTTGACATTATCAATCTTCGTTCCCAGGGCTGTTTTGCGCCTGCGTAGCGCGTTGATATCGTCATCGAGCTTGGCCGCAGCTTCTCCTTTCACTTCCCCTGTATCTCGCTGCTGATAAGCTTGTTTCAGTTGATCAGAGACCTGTTTGTGTTCCTGAAAGAGCTTCTGTGTCGCTTCTCGGTCATTGCCGTTCGACGGATCAACACCTAGGCGCTTGTTCACAAGCTCTTCCAGGGTCACATCCTGAACACTAGCTTTGATGGCGTCTCCACGACCTAAACGGACGATGTTGAGTTTGCGCGACTCGCCGTTGAGAGTTTTGATGCCATCTTTGAAACGCATGACCAATTCGTCCACGGCCGCGTTACTGGGCGCGCAGACCAGCAACTTCTTCGAAGCAGCATTCGAGTTTTGTTGGCCGGGAATAGCAATCGAGGTACCGCGGTTTCGGAGGCTGTCGCTCAGGATAGCCCCTACAATAGCAGTGATAGTCTTAGTCTTTCCGGAACCAGGCGGTCTGTGGGACTAGTTAGAAATTCGCTCGGCAACGTATGGATGTTGTAACTTACCCTTGGATCAAGGTGAACGCATCATTATCGATGGCAGATTTGATAGCCTTCGCTTGTGCCGGGTTCACATTGTAGTTGGAGATGAGTGGCTGGATCTGGCTATCCTTGTAAGTCAAAAGCGGGCTGGGCTTCGCGCGGATGATCTCGTCACACAGATCATAGTACTGAAGACCTTTCAGCGCACCGTACTCGCGCTCCAGAGATGTAATTGACTCGAGCTTGAAACCCAGAATAGTATTGTTTGGTTGCAGTGCGGTTGAGAGAGGATTGCCAGGTACGACGCGGTACGAGACTTCGATGTGTTGCTGCTTCCTCTTCACGCGGAACACCCTGGCGAGACATGTCGGCTCATCCGCAGAGGGTGATTTGGATTTCGCGAAGAGTATGATGTCACCTTCGGAGATGAACACCTCCTTGTTCTCGACATGAGTCATCGTGCTGCCAACTTCCTGGAACATGTCGACGGCAGCTCGCGAAGTGATTCTTATCTCGTATGGCTTCGCTTGGTTCTCCTCGCGAGCTTTGACGAAACCTTGCCATGCCTCTAGGGTCAGAAGTGGTTCAAAAGTATTCTGATAGTCGTTGGGCGTGCGGAAGGTACTAAGGACCTTGGAGTACATGTCCGGTCGGGACTTGGGTGGAAAGGGGCCCTCGTGGAAGTAGTTCCAGCTCAGGATAGTGCGATGTAAGCTGCTCAGGTCAGGCGCCAAACGAGCGCGCATGTCTTTGGCAGAACGCTGAGCCCTCTTTTTCTTTGTCGGCATCTGGATCTTAACTTCATTGACAATGTTCGTCTTCGGTCCAGTCTTGACCTTGCTCTTCTTGATGCCAAAGAGGTCTTCATCGATGTCACCCTCTTCGTCCGATGATTCATCAGAAGAGTGCATCAAACCTTCTCCCTTGGCAGCTTGATCTTTGCCTAACACACCTAGGCCCTCAAGACCTGAGCCGGCTTCCGCAATGTGGTTTGAGATGCCCCTAGCCGCCTTCGACTTAGCGATCGCAGCGGCTTTCTCTTTCTCCCGCCTTTGCAGTTCAAGCTGCCGCTTGCGTTTGAATTCGGCCTGTTGGGCATTTTTCTTGTCATCGAGAGCTTTTTGTTGGGCAGCCTTCACTTCGGAAGCTCTCATCTGCTCCCGTCGTTCCTGGAACTTACTAGATCCAGAAGTCATACTAGCCAGCAACTTCGCTTTGGCATCTGCTGATGTTTGTGTCACGCCTGGAGCCATCCATTTGCTGATCATGGCTTGCTTAGGCTTTGCAGGCTCCTCTTCCTTCACGAGCGGGCGGCCGAGATGCTCTTCGAGCGCTTGTTGCAGCTCAGCCTGTTGTGTATCGCTCAACTTCGCACGGACGTCTCCTGAAAGCACTCGTTCCATGTACGAAAGTGCATTGGGATCAATTTCGATAGACACACGATGTAATCGAACAAGAAGCTTGCTGATCAAAGTCACGGACTTGCTCGACAAGAACTCGTCACGAAGACGGAGCCATTTGGCCAGACCCTCCATGGCATTTGCCGGCTGTGCCAAAAGTTCTTTGAGCAGAGCCGTCTTCGATGTTGCCTCGTCTTCATCGGAAGAAGGCGGCTTCAGGGCAGTTGCAAAGATGCTGCATTGGTCGAACAGCACATCAGCAAATTGCATAGTGTCTCGGCAAAAGTCCATCATCATGTGTTTGTCGTAGAAACCCAAGTTGCTCCAGGCTTCAGTAGTGGCGAAGATCATTGTAAGCGAGTCCCAGAGGTTCTCCCACAAATTCATCGTGGCTGCAGCGTCGCCGGAATCGTATTCTCGGCCTCGCAAGATACCGTCTTGAGAGTTACAGATGATGTCGATGATATCAGTGCATGTTCGGATCATACTCGGTGCGGGAGCGAACGCTTTCTTAAGCCGAACTTGCCGAACCGAGTCCGAGATACCTCGAACGACGTGCCTATAATGGGCTCTCAGGATATGCTGCAAAGCGCCTCGACGTTCCTCTTCACCACTTATGACCTTCAAAAGCTCAATAGCGGAGTTGCGCGTATCTTCTGTCGATGAGAACATCAGAGAGACAATCGCGCTCGCTGCAGGCTGTTGTCCGAACAAGGCTTGCAATAAGGTGGGTTCAAATTCCGACATTTTCTCCACGACATCGGTGATAGATTGAGATAGTAGTCGAAATCGATCGTTGAAGTGTCGTACTTCTGGAGGTACCTTGTCAACGCCCGACTTCATCTGCAGTGGTTCAAGCCCAATCAGGCCTCTGCCAGCGATCAGAAGATGTGTCGCGAGCTCTAAGCTGTCAGGGCCTATTGCTCGTAGGACTGTCTTCCATATGGGACTGGACGGCGGTGTTTGGGTAGGCGATGGTGCTTTTGCAGAGATGAGTTGCCTCTCGATAATGAGGGACTGTGCTTCCAGCTTGAATGCATGTTCGATCACCGAAAGGGTCAGTTGCATATCCTCATGGTTTTCCTTTTTGTGTTTGAAGTTTTTCAGGCTTGTGACGAGAGGTTGTATGAAGGTTGATAGTAAATCCAGCATGCCGTTGACGGTTGGCTGGCCAACAAACTTATCCATGCTTTTGCCTTCTCCCATCTTGCGAAAGGTATAATCTAATACTTTGAGACCTTCCTTGTAGCAGTATGCTCGAGCCACGGGGGGATAGCGGTCCGACTGAAAACGACCAAGCAACGCGTGTGCAAATGGCCGGACCGACGGACCAAGATTAGATAGCTTGATGGAGTCCAGAAAGACTGGGATCCAGCTGAACGCAGCATGAAGGTTGTTCATGTTCTGTTCGTTTCCTTCCGCGGTTGCGAGAAGGAGTTGGTTCAAGATCGGGCTGTTGAACACTTGTTCTACCACTGTAGCGATTGAAGAAGTTACAGCATTCATGCCATCCCAGTAGTCAATTGGGGACTTCTCCAGTAGCTGCGTCATGGTCGCAATCAAATCCAGAAAGCCTTCGGACTTCAGTGAGAGGTGGTCAAGCATCAGGCGGTAGAAGTCTCCGTCAAGGCCCCGCAGCGAGTCCGTAATCAGCTCCCTGTCCATCTTTGCTACTATGAGACGGATGCCACCCCAGAAGAGAGGCACCACGGATAAATCCAAGTTGCTCATTTGGACCTTCATCATAACACTTGTGACGTAATCCCGCACAGCCCATTCCCATTCAGATTTGAGTATGTTCCTCTTGAATGTAGACCAGGATTCCGTCGCCCATTTGTGTCGTCTGTCAACTCTGCTGAACAAAAAACGTGTCATAGCAGGGAGGTATGTCTGAATCTTCAATCGCTTCTTCGTTTGAACCATGTCGAATGGTGCATCGAAGTGTCGCTGGAGGAGTTCTTCGTTCCGTACGAGGGCGTCGCAGCTAAGCGCTTCAAAGAAGCCGTATGTGCATTCGTTGGGTAGTAGCCGGACGGAACGCGTTTTCGGTTCAGCTTTGCTCAGTATCTCGTTCGCCTCGTCCAAGCCCTTCTGTATGCGACCTAGGCATTGGTTGTCTACCACTTGTAGAAAGTCCCCGATGTTCTCCTCGTCATATGAATCGATCAGCCGTGTTCGCCATTCTGCTCTGCTCTGGTGGAAGACTCGCACGCAGACATCGCAACTCTGCATGAGGCTATTAAGCCGGCTGACCAGCCATTCCTTGTGTGGTGCTGCTTCCTCTCCGTCGAATGCCAGTATCTCCGCCGCCTTGAGGGCTGTCCATCTCCGGTCTTCGGCAGCTAGGAGCTTGAGCTTGCGGTCGGCGAGTTCGTTGGGATCGGTTTCGGGCGGATAAGCGGCAACGTCCTCGTCATAATATACTGACCCATCGTCGCCGATGCGAGGACAGAAAAGATGTTGTTCTTCGGGTAGCTCTCGGAGCTCACTGTAAGACACACGGTTAGCCATGTCTGATGTTGACGACGTCAATGGAAGGAACGACACAAGATGACGTGTTGGAGCGACATGAGTATCCGCCCAAATCGGTGAAGGTGACAGGAATGAGGTTTGGTGAGCCCAATACTTACTTTATCTTCTCGAGAATCTCCGCCATGATCCCTCACCCAGGCCCTTCCTACTTGAGACACCCCACCCACGATGCCTCAGAGAGATGACGGAGTGCAGTTTGGCATCCACCGCCCTCGGTGTCTCTATGCGAGTACAGAGAGTTGCACTTGGGTCTATCTACGAGATGCTATCTATTCTGCGAGAACCCGTCGCGCCCTTTCAATGCTCGACGTAGGTAGTTGGAGAAGGAGATGGAAGTCGCGCGGGCAGTCAAGGAGTCTTGTGTGTGTTAAAGAGCGTCGGTTAGAGAAGGTATCAAGCTCAAAGGGGTGAGAGAGGGTGAGGGCGACGGTGTGGTTGCGATGTGTTGCGCAGAAGAAAGGCACATGGCAGACGTCAGTGCATCTGAGAATCCCCCATGCAAACGCGACGCGATCCACTAGCGCCCCACTTGCGCGTTCGACTGCCAAGCCTATTAACATTCCTCTTTCATCTCCACGGCAACTTGCACATGTCACCAAACTGTTACTCTGGCCGTGGATTTTGGATTTGCTATGAACATCGGGCTGGGTGTGCTTGGAACATGACATGCTGTACAAGCGCGTACCGTACTGGCCAGGTTTCCGAGGCTGTCTCACTCAACTTTACGCTTGCAGTCCAAAGGAGGGATAGAGCCTACGTTTACGAGCGATAGTCATGTCACTCAGCCACAAGGTAGGTGGATGCCAGAGAAGTAGGCGCATGGTAGTCACCCAACCCGTAAACATGACTCTCAAAACATTCGCGACGTGCGCACCGGAAGGTCGGACTATCTAATTCGCGCCTTTAATAACGAGGCAGATCCACGATCCTCGGACCTGTATTCGCTCCTTCCTCCTTCCTTTCGCCCGCGACCACGAAATTCTTCCTTCCTCTAAACAGCCAGTCCATGCTAGCGATGAAAGCAACAATGGCATAGACTACGCATACATCTACATATCTCGTCAGCGATACAGATATCTGCTCAAATGGCATCACTTACAGTTCATGTTCCCCGCCTCAACAGGTTTCGCGTACGGAAATGAGTACATGATCAGTGTGAACAGTGTCCAGAGAAGTAGTACGACATTCGCAAAAAGACCGATTGGGCCGAGCCAGAATGGCCCGTGGACTATGTTGTTGCGACCGCGGACGAGAAGACAGATGACCGGAACAGAGTAGCTGAGATACAAAAGGACGATGCATGCCGTTATCATCCTATATCTTATTAGCTTTGGTTCCCAGACACGGATTACGGGGCGACCTACGAGTTAAATGCCGTCAACGAAGCCAGATACAAACATCCCATAATAGCTACAATAACACAGCTCACAAAGTGTGCATTAAGAGGCACATCGAGTCCTGCATGTACCTTGGCCAGCCACCGATGAGCAGGAAGCCCACGATCCCGCGCAAAGCTCCAGCACAGCCGACTCTGCCATGTATGACTTGCGACCAAGCAACCCAATCCCGTAGCTATAATGAGCGCCTCAAGGACCGTTGCCCCAGCCTTGTTTCCCAGCGCGCGAAAGAAGATCTCCAGGATAGGTACCCCAGTATCTGATGCGCCAATCTCAGCAAAGTCCCCTACAATCGAGAAGAACATGGCAACGGAGAAGAACCAGCTCGTCACGAACCCAATGCCCACAGTCCCCATGATGGCTATCGGCACCATTTTTTCCGGCCGGTGTACCTCTTCGGCGAGATGCGTAGCGCAGTCTAGACAAGCGAAAGCCCAGTTTGTGTTCACGAGGCCGACGATGAAGGCGATGCCATCTTGTTGCCAGCCTGTGTTGTTTATAAAGGTGGCGAAGACGAAGCGAGCGTGCTGGTGTGTAGGCGCGACAGCTGGGACAGCGATGAGTATCACGGCGAAGGAGAGCAGCGAGGTCCACAGTGTGGTTTTGCCGATTGTGGGGAGCGTTTTGCCGTAGCAGTTGAAGAGGAAGCAGAAGATGTTTGAGAGCTGGTATGCGAGGAAGACGTGCCAGGGCTGGATGACACTGAGAAATATTTAGCAAGAGTCTGCATAACTTTCAAGTACCTTTCTTGACGAGGAAAAGGTGTAGAAAAAAGAAGCGCTTACAAGTCCGGATGCCCAAGTTGATAACACCCTACCAACGCACTACCCATAGCCAATGCCACAGACGCACTCGTAAACATGGCACCCCACCACGCCAACCACCCCGTCATATAACTCGCAAGTCTCGTGTATCGCTTCGGTGCTAGCTCACCAGCCCAGAAGTACTGTCCACCCGCGTTCGGCATTGCACTCGCCAGCTCGCTCAGACTGATACCCACACACGTTGAGATGAGCGCTATGAGCATGATGCCGTAGATGACGAGCAGCGGGCCTCCGGAATTGATGCCAGTGATGAGAGCGGCTGAGATGCCGAACCACGAGTTTGTGATTGAGAATCCGACCCCAAGAACGGACCAGACGGTGTACTTTCTCGCCATGTCTTGGGTGTAGCCCATTTCTGCTAGCTTGAGGGCGTCTGCGTCTACGGAGGACTTGGTTTGTGTTTCTACATCGAGAGAGATGCGAGGGCTTGGACGTTTCTCGATTTCAGACTCCATAGCTTTTTGAATTTCTTTGGTACTGTAGTTGATTTGGGAGTGATGCACGAGCAAGCAAAAGGTAATATAGTCGGAGCAAGAAGCCGCGCTGTCGAAGGAAGCATTTGGCAAAAGGCTTATCGCATCACGCCAAGCAGCCAGCACAGCGACCATGAAGCTTATATGCTGCTCATGATGAATGTCGCGGTCTGGGGGTGGGCCACGCTCGGGCGCAGAACGTGGGGTGATGAGCAGGGGAGAAAGCAACGCTAGATAAGAGATAGCGAATCGAGACAGCGAAGCAATGAAAAGCATTCGTAAAGAACGGAACAGCGATACCTAGAGAGTTCTTCACTAAGGCCGTGATTAGGGCCGAAGTCAGGATTTCTATGCCTGAAAAGCTTAGACGCGTATGCAAGAGTTGTTGCTGTCGCTTTGCGGGGAAGACGTCCGGCTTGGCTTGACCATACTTGCTGAATTGCATTTCTTAGCAGCCACATACGACGTCAAAGCTCTCTGTGTGAGGGGTTCCATTGCTCCTCCCCATGAGTTGCGCGGGACGATTCGACTTTGGTTACTTAGACAGCAATCGCAAAGTATGATGAGATGTAGACGAAGGCGTAAAACCTGAGGAAATGAATGAGTAACATTCAAGGTCGCGCTTCTTAATGTCTTCACGACGGCCAAAAGTATTAGACTGGAAGATATCGCTGTAGAAAGGATTAAAAGTGAACGTGAAGCCATGTCACTAGAACAACATTGGAAGTGCGAGTAAGCTATATTTTGATCATCACCTATCGGCTCGCTGATCTGCGTCTATAATTCATTATTGATGAACAGTCTCTAGAGATCTTAGATGTTAGAATAACCAGCCTAGGTCGCAAGCCATGTTGTGATGGTTGTAAAGAACGCATGTATTAGTTCAGGATTCAATATAGGATAGTTCGTAAACCCGCGATTCTTAAGAGCCGGCATTAGTTTGGTAAGATGCGGGGATCGCTCGAAGAAGTAAAGAGGCTTTCTGCGGGAAGACAGCCGCACCCGAGAGGCAGGATGACGCGTAAAGTAACACAGAAGCAACCAACTCTCGAGATTTCATCGAATGGGATAACACTTTGGGGGAGATACTGCGGAAGAATGCCGAGTCAAAAAGAATAGATAGCTTAAGAAGCCCATGCAAGCGCTACACGAACGACATCGGGACTGATGGTAATGAGTTGCAGCTGGTGTCGAGACGGCGTGCAGACGAGGGCGTACAAAGCGTGAAGCTTTCGGTCGCACTACATTTGTGGTGTCCATCGGCGCGGAAGCAGCAAGTACATAGCCGTATTTATCTTCCGGCGAATTTCTGCGGAGCGGTCCGTAGCTGTAATCTTGCGTTGTTTGCGAGAGCCCACTAAACTGAGATCAGCCCTATGAAGACAGCTGTCAGCATCGAAGCCACTTCTCTCTCATATAACTCTGTACCTCTCCACCACCTATGGTGGACTCAAAAGGTGAAACCATCAATTGATGAGTGATTTCACGACCACATCAGGGTGTAACAGTTACCCTCAATGGTATGTCGAGAACATCTTCACACCCACACAACTTCATTCGCTCCACTGTGGCGCTATTTGCATCTCTTCAACAACCTCTTCCTAGATACTCCAGCCTTTGAAATAGTTCCGAAGTAGTAGGTGACGCAAGCCTTTCACATCGATCGGCTCCCTTTGTACTACACGCGCCCCTTCTCGTACGACATATTAGCCCGACGCCGCAGTCACGCAGTGACACATTTGAAGGATATTGCCGCGATCGTGACCAAATAGTCCTTGTCGCAAGTAGTTGAGGCAAGGTAGAAGTAACTTTGAAGTAGACGGTACCAGTGTTGCGTTGGCTCTGGAAAGCTTCCCTGTGCATCGAGTCCAGATGATGTACATGGTCGCACCTGCAAGAGCGTAATTCTCAACAATGACGCGCTAGGTAAGTATGGTCGTGCAATTGCGGATGTGACATTTCCTCGAGGGCCTTCTCGAGTCTCTACTTCAGACAGTAGGCGACGAAAGCCCTGCTCTCAGCCGTTATCCAGCCGTCATTGGGGCTGCGCACGAGCCTAGGGATAGCGTTGCACCTTAGTTTTTCCTGCGGAAAAAAAAAGAATGCTGTAGTCCAGTGGAGAGAGGTAATAGCATATTTTAGAGTAGTCTAGCGATGCGTGTGGTGCTTGTTTCTCGCTTCGCTGAGCCAAACACGGCGGACATCACGAGGAACGGGATTCGCGAGCTTTCTGTAAAAAACCTCACCTCCAACAGAAGTCCGCGGACAGTTCAGGGTTTTGAGTTGTGGTGGCAAGCTTATTCTCCCAGAAAGGCAAGTTGGAACGACGAAATAGGAAGCAATGCCCAGACCAGACTAAGCTCTCACGGATAGCGGCCCACGAGGCTAGCTTTGAGTGAATTAACGTACTGAATTCGACCGAGGCTATGGGTAGTGGTATAGATCTGGTCCAAACAGCACCTGGTAAATGTGACAGGAGATGCTAAATATGTTGATTGAGAGCAAACGACAAGAATAAAGAAACCACAGACTGCGCCAATATCCACGTAAGACGTACAGTCGTTCGGAAGTGCAACTGCATCCCCCCAACATTGCGTGCCCACATCATATCTTCTCACTCTTGCTACACTGTCGCATGCGAAATCGCATACCATGCATCTGCGTATTGCTCGTTGAGCGACACCGTGATTACTTTTGCCATTATGTGGGTATCCATATCCAGTTACTAATGCGCCTTCCGAGTAGTGACCTGCTACCGTTTGGGTAGAGTAAGTGTGTATTAGGTTTAGCCGAGCTTCTGATCCTGGGGGTAGTGGCCACCAGGATGGCGGGGCATGCCTTGCTGCGCCATGGGATACTGGTTTGACTGCTGCTGCTGTTGTTGGAGGTAGCTCTGGTAGTGCAGGGCAGCCTCGGGCGTCATGTAGGCTTGGGGCATGGCTTGGTTGTTGGGCGGCATTCCGCGTGGCTGGCCAGGCGGCACTTGGGCGTGGTTGTCCTCTGGCGATTCGACAGTGTCGTTGTCGACGCCATTCGCGTCGCCGCTTGATGGCTCGGGGGCGTTGAGACAGGCCTGTAGGGATGTTAGTAATGCGATGCGATGCGATGCAACAGGTGAGATGGTGGTTGCAGCGTACCTGGATGAGGTTCTTGCCCTCTGGCTTGGTGACTAGCGGTTGCAGCTTGGGTGTGGTGAAGGTGTAGACAAGACCAGTCTCGGAGACGACGAGCAGCAGCACTTGGGTGCCAGTCAAGACAGACAATTCGTAGGCCTGGGAATGAGATGGTTAGCGGAGCGCTCGGTGCAGGCAACGGTTTCATGCGACGCGAGAGGAAATGCACCACGATGCGCGCGAAGAGACAACTAACATACCTTCTTCATGATACCAGCCTTGCGCTTGGAGAAGGTGATGTGCCGACGCGACTTGTCTTGGATGAACTTGATCTCAATCTTTCTTCGCTCACGGCCGGGCTTGTCATCATCATCATCGTCGTCGTCGGCGGCAGCGCGCGCACGCTTGACGCCACGGTTCTCCATGCCCATGGTGCCATTGCCGTCGTCGTGGACAGACGGCGACGCGTTCTGGTCGTGCTCGGTGATTTCGCTGGCCATGGTGGTGAGTCGCGACAAAGATTGGTTACCCGCAGTGTTTGGGGGACGAAGGGCCCTAAGCTGTGTTGGGCCGAGTGTGGGGAGCTGGCAGGCGTTCTTGCGTGGTTTGGGCAGACGCGCAAAATGTTACAGAAGGAACTGCAGACAGCTTGAGTTGGGTTAGACTCTTAGAACGACCTCATACGGAAAAGGAAGCGCGGCCTGTTAAAAGATCGGGGCTGGTCCCTTTGTGATGGCGCAGCAGGAATGCAAGGAAAAGGTGCGCGGGGGAGGAAACGCTTGGTCGCACTGTGCTCGGTGGAAGGCACTAAATTACTCGGGGGCCCGTGCAGCACCAGTGGCTGGGGGGTGCTTGTGGAAGGGCTTGGTGCCGGGGAGCGTGACCTCGCGACAGATTGTGGGCTGGGGGCGAAATGGGTACGTACCTGGGAGAGAGAGCGTCTTTGCACTCAGGCGCTGACAGTGCGGCGTGCTTTGTTTTCGCGCGCCGTTGGGGTGGGTAGCAAAAAGACAGGTCGAGTGGTTTCCTGAACCCTGAGCTTGTGGAGCTTGGCGGGCACGCAGGGACAGACGGAGTGGTGCAGCTGTGTTATAGCCCGAGAGCTGTCTGAGGAAGGAAAGGGACGAACGGTATTGGGAATGAAACGGCGGGAGTGGTCAAGTATTTCTCTCGACGGCTGCTTTGGCTGCTTTGGTGCGGGCAGGCCCTCAACTATCCACACAACTGGGGGCGGATGCGCTTGAGCTCGACCCTGGTCACAGCTCTGAGTCGCAGATCGACAATTGTTGCCCTGGACAGTAGCCTTGGACTGCGGTTTCGCGCCACGCATGAAGTGACAATCTACATGGCAATACCACCGTCGTGCTGATACCGACTTTGACCCCTTCACACTAGACTTTGACCTGTCAGGTCGCTTTTGGAGATGAACAGCAGCGGCCTTTCCACATGAAAAGTGCGCCGTCCATCTCAAGCCGAGGGCTGCGCTAGAGGCAGCTGAGCAGAGCCCGGTTTTTTCCATCCTTCTGATTCGTGGAAAGACTGCGCTAGTCCCGCTCAAGTCAGATTGACGGTCAACTGGTGAATGTCGCTTGTCCACTCTCCGGGCTTACAGACCATGGCAAGACATACTGCACTGCACTGGTGTGGACTAGCATGCTGCATGCTCGAATCGCCTTTGCCAGTACCGCATATCCCATTTTCCATCTTGTTGTTGGTGTAGGGAGACGTGCACTTTGCATGCCGCCTTCATGATAGGAGTGGGTCGCCGTGGGCGTGGAAGCCGCGGCTGCACCTAGGCAAGACCAGGCAAGCACCAGGCAAGCACCACCCTTACGCACCTTCCCCGTTTGATCTCGCTTCGCTTGCAGCGACGGTCTAGCCTGCTCCCTTCTTCCTGCGCGTCTGCACTGTTGGTGGCGCCTGCTCTGAGGCAGCAGCTCGGTGTTCAACACCATCGCGTCTCGTGACAGCCATGATGCCGCGGCTCCACTACCTACCCTCTCGTCCCATGTAACCACAACTCACTCTGATCAAAACTTCGTCGTCGCAGTCTCCTCACACTGTGCTCCACCCTCTGTGGCTCAACCGACGTCGCAGCGCCAAAACATCGACCCATCATGCTTGTTTCGTCTGTGATTGGCCGCCCACAATGCTCCAACACTACTGAAACCACCCACGCATCGCCGTGGTCCAACTGCGACGCGCCCTCGCAGTGCTTCTTAATGCTCATAGTCCCCGTGTCCCCGAATGCCATGCATTTTCCGCGCGAGCGCTGGTCTTGCTACGTTCTCTTTACTTCGCTACTTTCTATCTAATAATTCGCGTTGACTCGCCTTGATCGACGCAGTTCACAAGAGTACGCCGGACGGCTCCGCTGCGCTCGACTTACATTCTTTGCTACAATCCTTCTTTTTTTTCGCTTCAGTCTCTTCCGTCAAGTCGCAATACCGCCAAGATGCCGACCAAGTTGATGATGGCCTTTGTGGGCATGGATTTCCTCTTTGCCGGATGTGGAGGACTGTTGCTGGGCTTCTCCCTCATATCCGAGCAATCGATGCGCGCCACTCCGACCGTAGACAACGTGACGCAGAACCTGCTGCTCGGCCAGTGTCCCTTGACAGGTACGACATCTACAAATGGGCGATGAGAAAGTGTCGAAGGAATCGATATTCTGGCACTATTGTGGCGACACATTGTCCCACGCATCGCCCATGAACATGCATTCTCAAGACACAATAACTAACAGTTCCTCCAGCTGGCGTAGTCAATGCAATCTTCGTCTTTGTCACTTTCCTACTATCTCTTCCAGCGCTGTTCCTCCCAACAAACCGAGGCTGGCTCCGCACTCAGGGCTGGCTAGTAGTCATCTGCGCAACCTTCACGCTTGGCCTAGGTATCGCTATCTGGGTCGAGACACTGCAAACCCGCACGAACCTCAGCGTACTTTGGGGACGTGAGACGCCGCTTATTCAAAGTCTTCTGCAACAAAAGGTAAATTCTTCTTACGATTGGCGTCAGCACTAGGACCGCACATCCCTACACGACCCTGTGGGGATGCCTAGAAGTCATGCAGGAATACATCATGATCTACAGGCAGAGGCTGACGAAACATAGTTTGACTGCTGCGGTTATGTCAACTCGACCACACCTCCATTCGTACAGGATAGCACATGCCAAAACACCCTAGTCGCCGCTCAGAAGGGAGGATGCATTGGCAAATTCTCCTCCTTCGCCAACACGTATTTGGACCGAGTGTTTACTGCCGCCTTCGGTATCGTCGGCATCGACATGATCCTGGTGCTCTGTGTCGCCATGGTCCTCAAGTACCGCATGGAACAGGAGCGCTACAGGCACATTGATGAGAAGAACGGACTGGGTGGACTATAGTCGATGAAGAATTTATGAGAAAGAAGAGGGTTTTGGAAGAGCCGGCACAGCAAAATCAAGGAACGTACATGTCCAATCGAACGACTCTTTCTTTCCCTCCATAGTCTACAGCTGGTGATGTGGAAGTAATGACGGAGGTCTCAGCAGCGCTGATACTCCATACGATAAGCTTTCTTGATCTTTCATTCGGCTTCGCATCATTTCTGCACTTAGCGTTCTTATGTATATAGATCTGGATACCACTCCGTTAATATAGTTTCGCGACTTTTGGCTCGCATGGGATTGTATATGAATTATAGACTTCACATGGCTACCGGATCTATACCTGATGATTCTTGCGCGATCCTTTTCACCTTCCTAGAAACTCAGAAACAGCTGTTCCCAACAACTGACCATCACCCGATCAACCTCATCTCAAAACATGTCCAAATCAAACGCCAAACCAGCCAAGCTTCACTACATCTGTCACTTTGCACCACTATTCCCACTTTTCGCCGTTCCCTCACTGGCAACAACGCTAAACCTCTTTTCACCTTGCTACATTACTTTTAACAAGGACCATCCCGCATGCCGCCAAACCGTTCATCGGCAAACGGCAACCTAGTTCAAACGCGGAAACTGCTATCCGAAATACAACGGCAGCCTCCAGGGCTGATACCCAATACCAAGGAACCCGAACGCACTGGCATGCAAGAGACATGGTAGTAAGCACCTGCAGACGGCAGATAAGCTGGCTAGGCCTAGGGTGGTTTACCCACCGGTATATTTAAAAAAGACACAGGCGGGTTTGCATGGGGGCCGAAATGTTGTGTGCGGTGTTTAAGTTACTATAGGGACGATGCATCTATGCAAGACTAGATGCGCAAATCGCGGTATTATGTCTGTCAGATATTCCAACTCAGACATCGAATCCCAGCCTACGCGCGTGCAGGCTACATAATGTCCGATGCTCCGAAATGGTTTGTTGCCTCACACGAGCCCAGCTGACTGGCGCGACATGCGAGCCGAGGCGTTCAGCCCAAAACAACGCTGATTCGCACTTGCATCACACCGCCTCAGATAGCGAGTCAGCAACCTGTGTGCGCCACAGCTTCATGCTAATCAATCATCTCCCATCTACCCTCGCAAGCTGCAAGCGTATCCGTGCCGCAAGCCCGCTTGTAATCTATCGCTGTATTGCATCTCTACACGTAGTGTTTACAACGTCTCCTGGCTCAGCAGTCCCGCTCTTCGTCAACTCTGTCCCCCGAAAGTCACTCACGGCACGCACGTTCGCACGTACAGTAGTTATATGAGTAAGCCGCTTCCATCGCCTTAGCTCGCTGGCTCGCTCGCATCGATGCCCTGCAATGCAATGTGACAGGAGGAGATGAACTCACTTGTGGGCCGTGACCGAGCCTCTGCAGACATCAGCTGGATCGAAAAGAGCTACCCGCAAGATTTTTCGTCTCTTCTAGACCCTTGTCGCTAGCCGCTAGTTTTCGAAGGATTGTAGAGTGCTGCGCGTGAAATTGGAACATTCGGACTTGGTCTGATATTTTCTGCGAGGCGACGCGGTAGAGTGGAGAGCGGGTTTTGCGTTCTCCTGTAGATCCCCCCTAATGGCTGTAGCGGGAAGGTATGCCAAGTGCTGTGCCAACGTTGATGCAAATTTCAGGGGGTCACGAAAACATGAGATTGCGTGGGGATGCGACGTGTTGGTTGAAACTTTTCACAATAGCAGGTAGAGGGATGACATACATGTGATGGTTGAATATCCGTACGTCGGATTACTATTGTATGGTCTACGTATATAACTCGTCAGCATTTGTAAAACCTTCTTGGAGTCTTTGGAGAATTGGCGAGGTCTGACTACACGTCGTCCTCTACATCGAATATGCCGCGTAATGGTGCTGGCAAAGAGCTCTTCGACCCTTTCTTGAAGAACTTATTAATTTTGTGCTGTGTATTTTCTTCATCATCGTCTCCAAACACGTTGTGCGCCTTCCTTCCGCCTATCCGCACGGCGTGCTCAAGTCGTGCGCGTAGTCTCTCTATAGAATCCTTCGCGTCCATAATGGTCAGATCTACCGCAGCGCCAGCTTCAACAATAGAGTTACCCAGTAGCTGGAACTGTCGAGCAAGTGCATCCACCTGGTTGTTGAAGTCTTTCACCTCAGATGACGCAGATACTGGAGCTCTGACAGGAGATGAGCCCGCTTCTGAAGTTGCTAGACTTGATAGGGGCTGGTATGGGACGTCCAATAAACCAGGTCCAACAGCGATGTCAAGAAGGGCCAAACGTGCAGCGAGGTGATCGTAGTCGGTGTCCTTGTTTATTCGGAAACTTGGTGAGTTTTTGATATGTTTGTGGATGTTATCAGACACTTTAGGGTCCACAAGTGGTACGTCGACTGGAGCTGGGTAAACCAGAAACGCGAGGGCCAGATGACGTTGCAAATATGCCGTCAATGGCGACGTCGTTGGAAAAGAACGAATCAAATTTTTTTGGAGCAAAGGATCTGTCACTTTTCCAAGGAGTTGAGGGACAACATCGCTGAGCTGTGAAGATATTAGAGTCTTAACGTCGTGTCGTAGTGGAGGGCTCCCTACAGCGGAGGTCAGCTTATGATTGTCAGCAAAGCTGCATACAATAGCTTCCATAGCGCCCTGTATGGTGTGTAGTATTACAGCGTCTGCAATAACTCGGTCATCCAGGCACACGTGGCAGAGTAGGTACAGCGCACGACTTCGAGCTTTTGAACGCAAGCTGTAAAGGGTCAGTAAAGCACTTCACCCCTACATAGTATGCCTACCATGGGGCTACTCGCTCAAGTAGCCTGGCGATAGAGATCAATGGCGGAGGAAGCGAGACTCTGGTTTCGGATCGTGCCACAGAGACCGGAATAAGTCTGGACTGCGCCTCAAGTTGTGTCATATCGGCGCCTATCGCCCTGAACAATGCTTCTAGTCTCTTGCAGTCGAGTAACGCGCGGAGATGCTCGTTATGTTTCTCAGACTGCATGAGGTCAAATACTGCCACGAGTCGAGGTTTAATGTGACCTTACCTCTAAGATTTCGATATATCTCCAACTAAGCGCCTCATTCCGACTTGAGGAAACTGAAGATCTTAGCAGGGAGACATGTGACAGTTATGTATTACAAACTTTGGTCAATCATCCAAGAAGCCATTTCTCGAGGTAGCTCTTGGAAACGAAATATCTGTTGTGCGAAGCCGGTTATAAAAGCTTGATCTCGAGCATGAGAGTCTTGAGCATATTAGCAACAGACACTTCACAACAGTGTGGAGACTCTACCTTCGAAGTTCGATACCCACCGATGGTTGGGCAGACTGCTGATGGGGAATCTGGGCCGCACCTGTATCGAGTCCGAGTTGTCGTGGAAGAAATGGAAAGTGCTTTCCAGCTGCGTAGCGTTCGTTCTTTGCATAGCCTGAAAGAGGCGGTGCGCCTTCGCCGGATCATCATCATCACCATCATCCACGACTTGGCCAAGTGTCTCTTCGTTGATCGTAATAGTTGTATTCACGGGTTCCTCAAGAGACCTCTCTAGAGCAGCCTTGTGTTCCTGAATTTGTCGCTCTGTTTCCAAGTTCTTCTGGGCTGTTCGTACGAGTGTGTTGAAGTTGATCTTGTCGTCTCTCGCCTTCTTGGTAGGTTTGCGTAACCCATCTACTTGATCTTCGGATGTGCGCTTTGAACGAGTAGTTGTCATGGTAGTGATGGTCTTGACTTTGGCAGTGGAGATACCGAAGTCTAGGTCTGGGAGCGAATCATCGTCGGAGTCGGAATTGAGCACTACCTGCTGCCCATTGGATTCGATGCGCCTGCTTGTGCCCGAGTTTGCGGATGTCTGAGAGGGGTTGAAGGGCGGCGCATCGGCACTTGCAGCTCTTATTGTGGAAGGCGCGGTTGTCGACACGGAAGGGTGTGACGAGGAAAGCGGGGTATGGAGGGCATGTGAATTTGTATCCTGTGGCCCTGCAGAGGAGCCCGGAGAGTTGGACTGACGGGCAGGCGCATTGCTTGCATCTAGGTATTGGCACTTGTTAGCCTGAGGCAGCAAATTAGGTGGGGAGCATGTACGTCTCTGGGGCAGAGTGGTATACGAACTAGCAACACTCGGGGAGTTTGTTGGGATGGGAGAGAAGAAGTCTCGGATACTTTTCTTCTGGGGGTTCATGGCGGGAAATAATAGAGGGGTTGTGATGTTGATGAGTGGGGGTGGTGCAACCTTGCAACGACGCGTGAGGCGTCTCGAAGCCGGATGCCGGACATAATTCGCAGCACGCTGTCACGTGGCGGGCGACGACTTCACCCGGAGCTAGAAATCTGGGCGCAATCCACCGTAACGCCAACGCCTGGCTACACATGGGCTAGATTCATTTGCCCTTGACGACATGCATCGGAATGCGAGTTCGCCGGCATCCGTATGTCGCTGGAAGCAGGCCATTTCTACACTGCAGCATATCCGTCGCCGCATCCGAGCTATGCCGCCCTCGCTGAGTGGTGACGTTCTGTTTCAACGGTTTCGCATTGCCCTCTTTACGCTGGGCTGTGTCAGATGTGAGATGCAAAGTCCTGCATCGTTGGACATGTTATTAAACGCATGGATACGGCTCTAGAAGCTTAATTAATCCGAGTGCCAGCTGTCTAAAGTCACTTGCACGAAGCACGGAACTCGAGGATCTCCCGGCTACGACACGTACAGCGGAGTCGAGGGACGAGTGAGGGCTGAAATGACGCTCCACCCTGGCTGGCTGCTTAGAAGGCTGCTGACTGAAGCCCGCGGATGCTCCGCTATGATTAGTCCCCGGACTGTCCCAAGCTGACATGGCTGAGGCACACTGTCGCAGAGTCTAGAGAGTTTGGTTGATGCTGTTGCCCAGACAGACTGAGATGGCGATGTGCGCTCTATCTACTCTCTCTGTCTTGTTCGGTCCAGGCCACGCGTCGCCAACGCGATTGACAGAAATAAATCCTCCTGTGTTGGTGCGCTAAATGATCGGATCGCACTGCGGGCCTGCAAGGGGAACTAGTCTCGCATCTTGTTAAGACCGTAGCGTCCGGCCGAGGGAGTGGGAGGCGTGTGCTTCCCGCGCCGATGCTGTAAGCACATGGGAAGCAACTAAAGCCCAGCAATGCATCAATCAATCATCAGGGTCTGCGACGTACTTCGCCGCTCCGCTGTCTTCCCCTCGTGCTGATTTTCCATGGGCCTGCACTTTGACGACCTTGCACCATCTAATCCGACCGTCGCATAATCCGACTGTCGCTCTGCCCCCAACGTCGAGTTTGGTGTTCGCAACCGCTGTTTCTCGTCCGGCATCTTTTAATATCCGAATACAACACGGCCGCCCATCTGTTCTCACCCTCCGCGACGACCACAACACCACCACCCCGACCCTCGACCACGACCCGGTACTATATGCACTGCACCTCTCGTCACGTGCCAGCGTCCTCCGCGAACGAATTGGCCTGCATCGCAGTGTAGAGCCTTTCCGGCTCAGGCCGTCGCCGCCCTCCTCCTTCCAGCGCCGCAGCATCCCCGACGACAAGCACCATGACGCTGCAACCCTACATGGAGCCCAACGAGACCGAGGTGTCACATCCGCAGAAGCGCATACGTTGTGAGTGACGCCCATCCGCTGACAGAACAGAGAGTACAGTGTTGAGAGCATGCGCTGACGGGATACGTAGGGGCAACACATCGCGCAACAGGCATCAAAGCGGCAAACAAGCGACACTCTCTCAAGGAACGCCTCCACAGGCGCATAGGCTCAGGCGGAGAGAAGCGAGACTCGTTAGGCAAAGAAGGCGGACTTCCGACCGACCCTTCTCCTGAGAGCTCAGATGCAGGCGCCGAAGAGGGAGACGCAGGCCGGAGGGTCTACTTCAATGTCCCCCTGCCTCAAACAGAACGCGACGAAGAAGGCCACCCTCTCGCACAGTACGCCCGCAACAAGATAAGAACCGCCAAATACACGCCGCTCAGCTTCATACCGAAGAACTTGTGGTTCCAATTCCACAACATCGCCAACGTCTACTTCCTGTTCATTATTATACTGGGCGTGCGTACCCTTCCGACTCCTCCGACACATCCGTCAACTGACTGATTTCTCCAGATTTTCTCCATTTTCGGTGCTAGTAACCCGGCCCTTAACGCCGTACCGCTCATCGTCATTCTCGTCGTAACGGCTATCAAGGATGCAGTAGAAGATTGGCGGAGAACCGTCCTCGACAACGAGCTCAACAACGCCCCCGTCCACCGACTAGTCGACTTTAACAACGTAAACACGGCCGAAGACACGGTATCACTATGGCGGAAGATCAAGAAGGCCACCTCCAAGAGCATAGTCACAACATGGCGGCTGATGAAGAACTCCAAGAGCAAAAAGGGCGCAAAGGGCAAAGGAGGTGATGACGCCGGCATCGACGGCTCGCGCCCCTCGCACGAAACCCGAAGAGCGTCCATCGTCTCACGCAGAGAATCGTACTTTGGCAACGAGAACGACATCCAGATGACACCCGTGCCTTCGCCGCTACCAGGCCAATCCCCTACGCAATCCCCACCACTGACCCATGGACCCGGTGAAGGAGACAAGATTCGCGGCGCTGACGCCAACCCTGGCATACAAAAGAAGTTCTGGGGAAGCGTATTGAACCCCTACAAGACTGCCCCGGAAAAGGCACGCTTCAAGAAAGATGCATGGAAGAACGTCCAGGTCGGCGATTTTGTGCGCCTCTACAACGACGAGGAGATCCCCGCCGACGTAATTGTGCTTTCCACCTCTTCCGACGACGGTGCATGCTATGTTGAGACGAAGAATCTGGACGGCGAGACAAACCTAAAGGTGCGCAACGCACTGCACGCCACGCGAGATGTGCGACACGCTCGACACTGCGAACGTGCCGAATTCGTTATTGAGAGCGAAGGCGCCCACTCGAACTTGTACTCGTATAGTGCGGCCATCAGGTGGCAGCAGCACAACGCAAAGGATTCCGAAGCGCCGGCGTACGAAATGGTCGAACCCATCTCCATCAACAACCTCATCCTCCGTGGCTGTCAACTGCGAAACACTGAGTGGGTATTGGGCGTCGTCGTCTTCACCGGAGAAGAGACAAAGATTATGATCAACTCCGGAATCACGCCCAGCAAGCGAGCCAGGATCTCCAAGGAACTTAATTGGAACGTTGTATACAATTTCTTCATCTTGGCCGCCATGTGTCTGGTCTCTGGAATCGTGCTTGGAGTAACTTGGGCCCGGGACGACACCACTCATTCATTCTTCGAATATGGTTCCTATGGAGGTGCTCCTGCTACAGACGGTGTAATTGCCTTCTGGGCTGCCGTCATTCTGTTTCAGAATTTGGTTCCCATTTCGCTTTACATCACCTTGGAAATCATACGTACGCTGCAGGCCCTCTTTATCTACAGCGACATACATATGTACTACGCAAAGCTGGATTACCCTTGCACCCCCAAGTCCTGGAACATCTCAGACGATGTGGGCCAGATCGAATACATCTTTTCAGACAAGACAGGAACACTCACCCAAAACGTCATGGAGTTCAAAAAGGCGACTATTAACGGTGTTCCCTACGGAGAAGCTTACACGGAGGCTCAAGCAGGCATGCAGCGCAGACAAGGTATCAACGTCGAAGTTGAGGGCGCAAAAGCTCGCGAGCAGATTGCACGCGACCGAGTGCGGATGCTCGAGGGAATTCGCAAGATGCATGACAACCCCTATTTGTGGGATGAGGATCTGACATTCATTGCTCCGGACTACGTCGACGACCTACGCGGAGAATCTGGCATGGAACAGAAGAGAGCCAACGAGGAGTTTATGATTGCTTTGGCCCTCTGTCATACTGTTGTTACCGAACGCACCCCGGGCGACCCACCAAAGATCGAGTTCAAAGCTCAATCGCCCGACGAAGCTGCACTTGTCGCTACTGCCCGTGACGTTGGTTTCACATTCGTGGGTCGTGAAGATGATCGTCTCGTCGTCAATGTTTTGGGACAAGAGCGCAAATACCAAGTCCTCAATACTCTCGAATTCAACTCTAGCAGGAAGCGAATGAGTGCGATCATTAGGATGCCCGACAACAGAATTGTCCTCTTCTGCAAGGGAGCCGACAGTATGATCTACTCCAGGTTGATTCCCAATGAGCAACGACAACTCCGTGCCGACACTGGTGAGCACCTAGAGATGTTTGCACGGGAAGGACTCCGAACACTGTGCATTGCCCAAAGAGAGATCTCTGAAGAGGAATACCAAGAGTGGAACAGGGACTATGATATCGCTGCCAACGCTATTCAGGGACGTGAAGACAAGTTGGAGGAGGTATCTGATCGCATTGAAAACCACTTGTGGTTGATCGGAGGAACCGCCATCGAAGACCGACTTCAAGACGGTGTGCCAGAGTCGATTTCTCTTCTTGGCCAGGCCGGTATCAAGTTGTGGGTTCTGACAGGTGACAAAGTCGAGACGGCCATCAACATTGGCTTCTCTTGCAACCTGCTCGACAATGACATGGACCTCATTATCCTCAAAGTTACAGACGACAATATCGGTTCCATTGAAGCCCAGCTCGACGAGAAACTGAAAATCTTCGGCTTGGAAGGCTCTGAAGAAGAGCTGGCTGCCGCTCAAAACGATCACGAACCACCACCACCTACACATGCCATCATCATAGACGGAGATACTCTCAAGCTGGCCCTGGATGAGTCAGTAAAGAGGAAATTCCTTCTTCTCTGCAGGCGTTGTCGATCTGTCCTTTGCTGCCGTGTCAGTCCTAGTCAGAAGGCAGCCGTCGTCAACATGGTCAAGACCGGACTGGACTGTCTTACTCTTGCTATCGGAGATGGTGCCAACGACGTCGCTATGATCCAAGAGGCACACGTCGGTGTCGGCATTGCCGGTGTTGAGGGTCGCGCAGCCGTCATGTCTTCTGATTACGCCATTGGTCAATTCCGCTTCCTTACTCGCCTTGTGCTTGTTCACGGTCGATGGTCCTACCGTAGGCTCGCAGAAACGATTGCCAACTTTTTCTACAAGAACATCATCTGGACGTTTGCTCTCTTCTGGTACCAGATTTACACCAACTTCGACAGCCAGTATATCTTCGACTACACTTACATCATCTTCTTCAACTTGGCGTTTACGTCACTCCCTGTTATCGTCATGGGTGTTCTGGATCAGGATGTTGATGATAGAGTATCTCTGGCCGTCCCGCAGCTGTATCGACGTGGTATTGAGCGAAAGGAATGGAGCCAACCTAAATTCTGGTAAGTAAGATGGCCTCAGAGCGCATGACAGACATTAACAATCCTTAGGGCTTACATGGTTGACGGTATCTACCAATCCGCGGTCGCTTTCTTCTTCTTATACGAGATCTTCGCACCCGCAACTTTTGCGACCTCCAACGGATTAGACCTGGCCGAGTTCCGACGCATGGGTATCTACGCTGCAACTACAGCTGTTTGCGCGGCCAACATCTACGTTCTATACAACACATATCGCTGGGACTGGCTGATGGTTCTCATCGTCGTCATTAGTACCCTCTTCATCTGGTTCTGGACTGGAGTGTACACTTCTTTTACCTCAAGTGCTCAATTCTACAAGGCTGGTGCCGAAGCATACGGCACCCTCAATTTCTGGGCTTACGTTCTTTGCGCTACGATAGCGTGTTTGCTTCCGCGCTTCATCTTCAAAGTGGTGCAGAAGATGTACTTCCCTCTCGATGCGGACATTATCCGAGAGCAAGTGAAGCAAGGCAAATTCGATTACCTGAGAGACAATGACTCATACCTTCCTCCGCCGCCAGAGAAGGTGGCTGGTGAGCAAGATTCCAACCAGTCATTGGAAGCCGATGCTTCGAAGTACAAAGCCGCTAATGCTGATGCCATGGACGAAGACGTCCGACCCATCTACCCACCATCAGTCGCTCCGACCGCTACGACGCATAACCCAAGAAGCCAAAACGGCAGCAACAGCACCGATTACACTTTCCGCCGCTCTATGGAGGGCCTCCCACCCGCGCCCACCACGGAAACCCCTCTCAACCATCGTATGTCGACTGACTACCGAGTACGACCAAGCTTCGATCGCGCACGTATGTCTATGGACCGCGTGCGCCCTAGTTTCGAGCAAAGCAACGACTTTACCTCGGCAGCTATGCTGACACGACTTGAGTCGTCGCATAGCCGTAACAGCTTCCAAGGCCACAGGAATAGCTACCAATATAATTCTCCCAACACACAACCAGCAGTTATGAGCCGGTTACGCAATGCGATACGCAGAGCGACAATTACACGAGACGAGGCGCCAGAGCATCTTCGTCAGAATCAAGAAGATGTACCGGAAGTTCCGGCAGTACCCAAAAGCCCACCACGAAGTCCGCGAAGTCCGCCCAGATAGTACCTGAGGTGATGAGTAGTAGGAAGGGAGACGACTTGTTTGCATATTGTCTGTCCCTGTTTCCTCCTTTGACGAGCCTTTATGACTCCTTTTCTGTACATAACCCATCATATTTCTTTTAACTGTCACGTATCGCATTGCGCTAGCGATCTGACCATGTTCCTCATCCACATATCATTACCACCACCACTACTACGCTTTATTCCCTGTTTGCGGTTTTTTACCTCTCCATCAGAGATCAAGTAGGCGTTTTTCGTCTTGGCTTTCCCCGAAATGTATAGCTTGTGATTCCCTCTTTGAACTTTCCTTGTTTTTCTCTTAGTCTTTTTCTGCCTACACTGATGTCGGAGCCATGGGGGAGAGATTCAAAATGCTCAATTCTGAGATTGAAAGGTAGACGGGTGTTGATGAACATGGCTGTAGATATTTTAATGATGTGTGGCTGGCCTTCTCCTAGGCTAGTCTCGGCGTTGCACAATATCTCGGTATGAGCGGGTGATCTGTGTGATATGTAGTCGAGTTAAAACTGCCTCGTGACTCCCTTGCAGTGTGTACTTTAATACTATCCGAGCTTTTGCAGTCACTACATATCTCAAACTCATTCTTTCCCCACGTGGTTCTAGTTTGCCATGTTTACAGCCAATGCGCGCTAGCCTTTTCAGTCAGGGTCCATTTGGTACACCCCATATCTCACTCACACCCTTTACCTTGCAACATCGCCCGACGGGAAAGGCATTAATCACAACAAACACACCAGAACCAACTCAGTTTCATGCTGATTTCGTGGTAATACTCTCACAAAAGTACATAGGTAAGCACCTTTTTGTCACGCCGTTGCTTGCTGCCCGGCAATTTTTTGGTGGGACGACCACAAAGTGAAAGTGCGTCCCAAGTCACGGTTGAGTGCAAGTACTTTGCGTGAGAACACGGTAAGCTTTTTTTTTCCAACCAAAAGTTGGTAGAACACCGCTACTTTCACATTAATGCGACTGCAACCGCACACTTACACTCTCGACAGGTTCAAATATACTACTACATTCGTAGCAGGTGCGTTTCATTATTCCCTCAATTGCGGACATCAACATGGCTTCCATGCATCCCGATCGCGCGAAGAACTTGGGGTGTGCAATTGTGCCGTATGAGCGCGGCTTTCCAGTTAAAGGCCGGGCAAGATTTGACGGTACTCGCGTGCCGCGTCCGAACCCTCTCGAAGCTGATCGCAGCAAAGGACCCATAATTGAAGCACTAGATCCTCCGATACGGAAAGGCCCTCAACGACCCACCAACAAAGGGCTAGCGCGGCGCAATCTTGATGCAGAAAGATTAGAGAAAGCACGGCAGCTCGCCCTAACTATCCCGGCCTCCGGGACATCGAAGCGTGGAGGAAGATAGGGCAGAACTCTCCGCGGAGCCCGCATGCAGAACACGCGTTTGTATATCGGCAACTGCGTTTTGACCAGCGTCCCAGAGGTCTGGCATTCATGGAGTGGAAGAAAAGAGTATATCAAGAGATGGAGCAGTTGGGCTTAGAAGATGCACATACTGGGCCGCTCGTAAATAGGATGCCTGAGGGTAGTTCCAAAGAGGAGGCTACAGAAGAAATGACACAAGAGACGATGGAGACGGCGAATGACGAACGGAGACAGAGAGATTAGGAAGATGGTCGCGGACGATGGATTTGATATCGATATCTACGGTGACGAGGAGACAAGGAGGAAATATGGGCCATGGATCAGGAGTCGGATGTATCGAACATAATGTTTGTCATTTTGTCCCGCCCACGATGTTGCTTAGCCTTCTTCTTTTTGAGACTTTGCTATTCTTGTGTGACTTATTTTTTGTAGTTAGTATAGCTTAGGGAAAAGAGTTTAACACCACGAGGCCAGCGATTAGTGGGGCCGCAGTCATACGTCATGTGTACATCATAGCCATTCAGCGGTCTGGCATCAACGTAGATACCTTCATATTACCATTAACGCTATCTAAAGGGCTCATCAGCGATTGGAGAAGTTAGCTACAATAGTGTGTAGGCACCAACGCCGAAGCTCAGGGTAACGATGCGGTTACTCCATCACGATCCGGTGCAAACACAACCACAGTAAACGTCACGGCAAAGAACAATTGCCAGCATGTCCGATCAGCTGCATGATAGTCATATCGGACCCACATGATCGAAGGTGGATTTGCAGGAAGCGGCTCTAGGAGTCTCGGGATGTGCTTGTTGTGCATAAGGGCCCACTGATGAGTGTGGATGGGTAAATCCGGATCGTAGAGCCGCACTTTTAATGGCCTGCTGAAGCTTAGATCAACCCCAATTTCCCAAAAGAAACAGGGAATTTCTCCTTTCGTGTGTGATCGATTCGGGATGTCCAACTTTTTGGGCACGATAGCTATACCCCATTGGCGAAAAGAGAGAAAATCCCCCACCCCCTTTCGTTTCTCCTCTCTCTTGTGGCTGTGATCACCACATATACTATCAGTTCACACGAAAATTGGTGTCATTATGATGTCCAAGATCTCAGAGAAAGTGTGGGCAATGATGACAAGGAAAGCCTTTCGGTATATCGTGTATAAGAGCTGTGCTTTTCGCACGGCTTTGAGAGCATCTAGCAGGAGGAAACCTACAGAATTGAGTTTGTTGATCCTCTATTTACACTATGGCCATCAACTGCCCGAAGCAGGCATCAGCCAACGAAAATTCTTACCTCGTCTCTCTTTCATACTACGACACGCATGGCCTTTGTTCCGGCTATACTCTAAGGCGCCACAATTATGAGTCCGAGACCAATGTCGGATGTCATGCAGCGAGACAAGACTGGATCAAATACGTCGGGCCGATCGAACAATTTGGAGGGTGTAATCCGATCAATGGCAATTTCACGGCTGTGGTTCTTCCACTTACGAAGCCGGAGAGACTGCGTCTAATCTCCTATGTACTCGAGTGTAAGACTCTCCTGATTGTCAGTTACCGTCTCCCACAACCAGTTTGCTTACTGTACGTAGATGCGTTTCTGTACGATAACATGATCGAGCTTGAGAAGCCAGACATGGTATGATAGAAGCCCGAAAACTTGCTTTGGGTTGGAGGTTGCTGATGGCCATAGTCACGACTCAACAATCACAACGAGCAAGAGTGGAAGAATACAAACCCGGCACTAGGCAAGACACAGATCCAAGCAAAGATTATGACACAACTCGCGTCCATGGACAATTCATGTACCGAGCGAGTCAAACGTGTGTGGAAGGAGATGATTACTACGACTTTACAGGACAAGGACAAGTGTTTCACCACCCTGGAAGAGTATGTGAACTTCCGCATGATTGATACTGGAGCACCGTGAGTCTTCTCTCTGCTATCAAACAAGCGAGGTGCGTGTGTTAATTGACATGGTTAGGTTTGTGGAAGCTATGTTACTATTCGGCATGGGTATGACGCTCACCGAAGAAGAGGACATTCAGCTCGAGCCAATTCGCAAACCATGTTATGCGGCTCTTGGCCTAGCCAACGATTTCTTCTCTTTCGATCGCGAATATGCTGAGTTTAAGAATTCAGCAAACTCGCAGACGCTGACAAATGCCGTCTGGCTTCATATGCAATGGTACAATGTCGACGTAGATATGGCAAAAAAGATGACCTTGGAAGCGACGAGCAGATATGAAAAGCAATTTTTGGAGAGCTGCGCGGTATTTCGGCAGCACAATGGGCCTTTACCAGAGAAGCTAGACAGGTATTTGGATGCGCTAGCTTACCAGGTTAGCGGGAATGTTGTTTGGAGCCTGAATTGTCCGAGGTACCATCCAGAGTACAGATATGACCCAAATACCGGTATCGAGGACGAAATGACAGCGGAGTCACTTCCAAAGACTCTTGGTCTTGAATATGATGCTACTAACATGCTCATAATGGAAGACAAGCGGGATGAAAGCTCTAGGCGTTCATCCACCGACACATCCCCTCGAGTCTTCGAAGATGATGCTTCCACAACGAGAGATGACATCTCGATCTCTTCTTGTACAACAGCGTCTTCTTCAATCTCCAACACCAATGAGATGACCGGAAAGGATCTGCTAGGCCCTGAACATATCCAGGAACCTTTCAACTACATCACTTCGCTCCCTTCCAAAGGCGTACGAGACACCTTCATCGATGCACTCAACATATGGCTTGACGTACCCGAGCCCATTTCATCTCGCATCAAATCGCTAGGCAACCGTCTACACGCCGCGTCTCTCATGCTCGATGACATCGAAGATGGATCCAATCTCCGACGAGGTCAGCCAGCGACACACACCGTCTTCGGTACTGCACAAACGATCAACTCCGGATGTTATGAAATACTCCAGGCTGTGAATGAAGCTCAGCAGTTGGGCGCCGCGGAGGTGAAGATCATCCTCGAAGAACTCGCCGAATTGCACATCGGCCAATCTTACGACCTGTTTTGGACACATCACGGCCATTGTCCATCCGAGGATGAGTATCTGGAGATGGTCAACAAGAAGACTGGAGGTCTGTTCAGACTATTAGCGCGCCTTTTGCTTGTGTCCGCAGACCGTACATCATCAATCCTTGCGATAGATACAGATATCGAAGATCTTGTAGGCCTTATCGGAATGCAATACCAGATCCGGGATGATTACCAGAACCTCCAGTCGTCGGAATACAAAGCTCAGAAGGGGTTCTGTGAGGACTTGGACGAGGGAAAAATGTCTTTCCCACTTGTTCACGCTTTAAACAGTCACGAGGATAGTGCTACACTGTGTGAACTTCTTCGACAGAGACGAGATGTTGGATGTCTATCTGATGAACAGAAATGGCTTGTGCTGGAGCAGCTTGATCGATTGGGAAGCATGGTGTATACGCAAGATACCTTGAAGCGGATGCAGGGTCAAGTTTACGACCGTGTGAAGAGAATTGAAAGCCGTACAGGGAGGGAAAATTGGATCTTGAGGGCCTTGTTGCAGAGGCTGGAAGTGTAGAACGCAACGAGATTACAGAGATACCTTTTTGGCACATCTTTTGCAGCCTTTATTGATTTCGATCAACCCAATAGTCCACAACATGCGTAAATCTATCCTATGTCATCTTGAATTCTCTTAGCCTTGAGAAGAGCGTCACAAGCGTAAGAGTGAGGGTCGCATCGCACGCGCCAAGGCTAGGCATTGCTTGCATGGGATATTACATACTCACTCTCACTTGGTCCGTCACGCTCGTCTGGCAAGAGGTTCTTAAGTTCCGACGGCTTAGGACCACACACCCATCCCCCTCCCATCCACTCAGACCACTGCGACGACGACCTAAACTTTCTGAATCGTTGTCACTTCTCTCCTCGAGCGCTGATTCACGTTGCGACGTCACCCATGGACACCGTCATGTCTGAAGACTCCAAAAGACTGGAGCAAGAAGTAGGACGTCCGGTTCAGCTATTCTGCCAGGGCGTAGGAGAACCCAAGCCCGATACCCTACCTCCGCGACGACCGCGCTACGTGACATACGACAAGACAGTCGACCTAAGGCCAGTAAACTCAATACTCACTTTGCAAGCGTACGAGCCGGCCGCTATCTATCGTTCAAAGCAGTATCTCGCTCGCAATGGTAGTAACAAGAAGCTTCGACTTGCACAAGTGGACATAGAGGACAGGCTCAACAAAGTGGACAGCAATCTGCGCATGTTGAAGGCAAAGCTAAAGACCAAGGAAGAGCAACTGAGAGCAAGTCGGAAGACATCAAAGAGTATTATGACTGTAGAAAAAGAGCTGAGGATCAAGATTGAGAAGGCGAAGGAGGAATTGAGCGCTAAGGAGAAGCAAGCTGCGGCACGACGTACTAAGAAGAATAACATACGCGACAACTGGGCCAAGAAGCAAATGGCAGACTATGAGCAGCGCGAGGCAAAGCAACGGGCGCAAGCAAAGACGGACAGTGGTGTGGAGACAGCGAGCGCCGGAGCTGCGATGGCGGCCTCCTATGAGGACTTCGATATTGATGTATACGGCGACTAAGAGACGCGCAAGAAGCGTGGATTTCTTCTATACGTATTGGCCGTCAATTCAAGGCACTACGGTCGATGAGACTTTGAGACTGCTGCATACTTGCAGCTTTTGTTCCATGATGGGAATGTAGTGCGTCGTTCTGACCGTTACCGAAAATGCATAGCGTAGTTGCGACAAAACTTCAATGAACTAGAAGTGTGCAAGTTTTCTACGCATACATGGCGACCTCATATAGATTTGTGTCGTCTCAAGAATGTGAGATACGTGAGGAGAAGATGCCCAGAGTGAAGCGATGCCAGCTGGAGGTTTGTGGAGAATGCGCTAGCTCAGATCACACTAGCCGGCCGATCGACAGGGCAAGTATGTCATCATCGATCGCGTTCCGACCACTTTTCGCGAAGCTTGTGAAGCTTCACAAGATTGTCGCGAGCATGGTATCTCTTGCTGCCCCTCAATTGCTCCTATCACGATGCCACCGTGGTCGCTGATCTCACCGGCCTCTCGGGGCATAGGCTTCGCGCTCGCAAGACGTGTGTTGCAAACTACGAACGCGCCCGTTGTTACAACGGCCCGAAAGGATCTTGACAAGACCAAGGAGGAGTTACTCGATGGCTTGGGTGTTGACGAGAAGCGGCTGACGGTGTTGAAGTTGGATGTTCTGGGTACGCAATCAGCATACGCAACGACGCGCACAACGGTGCTTGAGTACTGACTTCGCTCTAGACGAGACGACTATTGCAGATGCAGCAGCAGCCTGCAAGAAGCAGTTCGGTGATGGCCCTCATCAACTTCAACTAGCCTTGATGGTACCTGGGATCCTTTTCCCGGAGAAGTCGCCTGCCCAGATTGATGCTGACGACGCGTTGTTAACCTTGTGAGTAAGGCTCTTATCCAAAATTGGTGTGAGACGTGTACTGACTACATGCACCAATATGTAGTCGCACCAATACACTAGGTCCAATGCTAATGCTCAAGCACTTTTCCCCCTTCCTTCCAAGGAAGAGTGCAGTTGTCGACAAAGATGAAGAGGGCATGACAGGCTTACCAGATGTAGCTACAATGGCTATCATGTCAGCTCGGGTTGGTAGCATCAGCGACAACCGTCTAGGAGGATGGTACAGCTACCGCGCATCAAAAGCTGGTGTCAATCAGGTGGTCAAAACCTTTGATAACCACCTAAGGACTGCATCTGGCGATAACGCGATGGCGGTTGCCTTACATCCGGGAACCGTCAAAACGGGTCTGAGCAAGGACTTCTGGAGCAACGTCAAGAAGGAAAAGCTATTCGAGCGCGATTGGGTTGCAGAGAGGTTAATTGATGTGATTAGGCAAGTGGCGCCTGAAGGACGAGGGAAGTGCTGGGACTGGAATGGGAAGGAAGTGCCACCTTGAGGTATGCAGAACGCAAGCGCAATTGAGGCTCGCCTGCTATAAGCGCTCGAGTCAACAAAAGCCACCACTTCTTCTCTTCCTTGCAACATTTTCGATATTAGCTTCTTCTTTATCACCACCACCACCGCTTGTCTTATTAGCAGTACTCTTTTTCGCTATCGTTACTCGACTATCACTCGTCGACTTATCGCTACTATGGCAGCTCCTGCTCACTTGCAAGGCGTCAACAACAGGTCAGACGTCACTTCCACACCTTCTCCTGTGCATACGCATGGACCAGAGCTACAAATTCTACTCGCTATCGAGCCCAAGTCGTCCATGGGTACATCTAGGAAGGCGGATACACCGACACATTCGAAGACACTTCACCAACGCTCTACATCTCAGTCTACCGCGGACGGAACCAGTAAAATTATGGGCGAAGTCAACAGCAAAGATACCAGTGCTGCATTCCCTCCTCTTCCATCACAGACTCCAGAGTGCATGACGGCCGCCGACACACGAGAAGAACCAACCACAACGACTGCGGCCTCACCATCTGTCGCGACGGAGACGTATACAAGGAGCATCTCAAGGTAAGATGGCTGCACCTAATACTTTCAGTAATTGCCACTGACAGGCAAACCAGGCCTTCGAAGCCTGACTAGGAGTCATTCGAATCGGAACCACAACCCGCATGTTCGACTTCTGAACAGGCTATACCCGCATCAGGATCCAACCGACGACGACAGTCAGAGGGTACAGTGGATCTCCCGGGCTTTACCCAACCGGCAATCAACCCACTTAGCATCGTCACTTCGTCTATCAATAATGCGGACACAAATGAGAGTCCCGAGGCTGGCATCACCGAAGATCATACTCGTCCAATTCGCCACTCACCACCCATAAGTCCGGGTGCAGGTGCAGATGCAATTACATGGTGGGAGAGTGGGAGAAATGCATCCTATGACAGTATAACTTCCGATACTCTCTTGGCTAGTTCCAGATCTGTGAGTGGCAATGCCTTCAGTCAAAGATCTCTATCGCCCACTGAATCGCCAACGCTCGGTCCTGCGTTACCACCAGCTGCGTCCGACGATCCAGATGGAGGCCAGGACAACGTACCATCCGGTTCACTGGTCACTTCGGAGGAGTCTTCTCGTTCAGAGATCGTTTACGTCATGGCTCCCAAGACATGTACGTGAACTCCCACCTTATAGCTCAGTGAAGCTGATGAGGGCTCTCGCTTACTCGTGGAAATCACACACTAATAGGTTGCAGTTGAACCCTTCCCGCGGTCAGTTTACTTCCGTCCATATCGTCGTCCGATTCCCCTGGACCGGATAGAAAAGTCCAAGGAAGTTCCCATCATGAACAAAGAATCAAGGCTTCCTATCCTGAATAGACACTGGCATTCCAGTGCGGTCACTCGACGAACACTGAAGACTTTCTGGATATCGGCGAGGCAGTGGACACCTGCAGCCAATGCGCAGGCCCAAGCTGAAGCCACAGCCAGAGTCACGACCAGAGCTACAGCCACAGCAACTGATGGTGTTCATGATGCTCCTGCTCTAAGGAAGTGGCCGCCACCAGAGAAGTCATGCATAGAAGGGTTCAAGCGCGGATTCTCGCAATATCACATTCGAAAGAACCATATCGATCCGCCGCCAGGGTTATGCCAACAGGTCCTGGACGCCGCTTTTGAAACTTGGTTACATTCCTCGAACAACGACGATAGATGGGTAAGGGAATACAAGGCTTGGGAGACTTCGCAAGGAGATAGCGGGCAACCTGTACAGCCGCTTCGAGTACCAAACAGGAGTGACCAACAACCTCCAGCTTCATGGGAAGACGATATGCAACGTCTGCCGCCACGACGAACAGCTCGACAAATTTTACTGTCAGCGATAACCTGTTCAATCGGAAAATCTATAACCGTAAATCTTCGAGGCGGCGCTGGGACATCTGACCCAATGGATAGTGAGCCTCTGGAAGAAGACGAACCAGCGAACGCACTAGGAGGTAGCCCTATCCACAGCCCTGAAAACAACCCTCTAGCGGAAGACATACCCAACGAATCCGGAGACCACACCAGGAACGACGCCCTTTTAGGATCCACACCACCCTCCATATCCGATTCCTGGATACCCGATAATGACTATGGGACCTTTGTATACAGGCCGGGTCCCCCTCGGTCGCACCACTCAGCATTATCTGGATATACGACTGACCTGTCACGCGCTGCCTCTTCGGCTTTCCGCGAGCAAAATGAAAGAGCAGAAGAAGGAGAAGAAGCCACGGCTGCAACGTTACAGGGGGCGGCGACGGCATTAGGGCAGCCGTCCAATGGAAGCGGGATCCCTACTCCAGGTAATGAGGGTGATGTTCCTTCTCGCAGGAGGTTTTCCTTCGAGACTCAGCCGTCTTCCGGATCACGCAGTGGACGCGTGAGCTCAAATACCGATAATGTCATAGCTTGGATACCGCCCTCTCCTTCACCACGCAGTAGACGCACAAGTTCAAACCTAGATGATGCCACTGGATCATCTGGCAAACGCACAAACTCGGACGTGGATGAGATCATGGGTGAAGACGACCCCCTCATCAACCCACGTCCAGCCTCCGTACCTTCTACCAATAACGTTCCAACCGGAGTTCCGCCTCTTAGTATCGCCTACAACGAGATTGCGAACATACAACCTGCCATACCCTCTACAAGACTACGCAGACGGGACGTGCTTCGTCATGCTGCCAGACGGGAACAGCTTCGAGAGCGGATTCGGGGACACCTCCTCCGAGCATTCAGGAACATGCTTGTTATGGGTTCAAACGAGAGGAAACTCATACGCAAGAAGAAGAAGGAATGATAAGTTAGTGGCGTTGATATTTGTACTAGGAATTCTCATTGTTACGGGACACATACAGATAGTTGGTCAAATTGACTAATGCGTACACTTTGCTGGGTACACCTAATTCTGTTCGAGAGTGTGAAGTACATGTACACGGCAGAAATGAACCCATCAAGCTCAGAACAACATAGCTGATACAGTACTGTCATGGCTTCAACGTCGAACGAGTAAGTCAGAATCTCACATTTAGCCGCCCTATGTGGACTTGAAAATAGCGAGAACCTGAGTGAAAAGATATCTGCAATCGTCTAACCCTATGGCGAAAAGAACCCCGCATTCCCTAGGTTGACGATAATAGCTTTCCTTCGTGGTTTCGACATATTCCAAGGAAAGTATTATCAGCATCGCGCTCAAATGCAGAAGCATGAAGAATGGCACAGGACCGCTACCTATGAGACATAACGACAAGCATGAGGATGCAGCCATAAAGATGTTCACCCCGGGTAGCGGGTCTCCACTCTGAGAACCTAGATTCCATTCACACAGCACCAGAAACAGCTTATTCAAAGAAGAATCGAATACTGGAAAGTCATTGCCCACAACAACAACGCGCAACAGGAATGTTATGATGTTGATAGATAACTGATAAGCCTGCATTACTATTGAGTTTCCCATGTCCTTTCAAATTGTGCTGTTGTCAATTGCAGGTAGGTAGAAGATCTGTTATCTTGGCATCTATTTGGTTTTTCTCTTGTATAGGATAGAAGCTCTTTGAACCCTAGGTTTCCCAAAGCTTATAATGATGTTGCAACAATATGCAAGCGAAAGCCTCACATCGCTTACAGCTAAGGGTTCTCGGGAGATAAGAGCAACCGGATATAGCTATTCGATAGGCAGGCTGACGTTTTCGCATACTTGCCGTTGACATGTATAGCGCGCCTGGTATCCCGAAACGACCTGGTAATGAGCAAGTTAGCACCCTCTATTTTACTGTGCCTGTAATTGCCGCAAATTGATTGGAAGCGGAAGACTCCTGTGCCGTTTCCTTTGAGTCAGGAGCTTTGTAGCGTGTGTACCAGATGATTACGAAGTTACCTGGACAAATTACCGTCATACATACCTTGCGCCCTTTTTCTCATTCCACCCACATACACACATACACACATATCAATCCATCATCTCCACCACCAGTTCATCTAAGCAATCCCCTCCAACCTCCCCCCTTCTCCCTCCTAGACACCCACCCCGCGTCATCAACCAGAAACCGGTCAAACCGCCGCTCCCATCTCATCTCCACTTTAACTTGACATATCGCGGTCCGGCGCATGAACCCAGATCCCTACCGCACGCACATGGCCCCCCAGCGAGGCCCAGCCAAACTAACCCCTTTTCCGCTGCAAGAAACACGGTACGCTAAATCCTTGGGGCCGATGCTAAAGGGCACTAAGGAGGGAGGCAATGGTGTGGGCAGTGGGCACGGAGAGGGTCAAGCACAGGGTAGGTCAGGGCTTCTTCCCGCTGCTCACCGCTGGTTTCGTTGGATTTGCGATGGATGGGGAAGGGAGGGGGGTGTGCATATAGTGTTTTTAAGCGCTGAGAGCTTGTCAATAGTTGAGTTGGTGGTGGAAAGTAGTGTAGTCATGTATAGGACGATATGGCGTGGTGTGGGATCATGATCATGGCTTTTGCGGTTACGCACGGCAGGGGTGAACACGGCTCGATCAGTGCATGTGGCGTAGTTCATTAGAAGAGGAAGGCGAGGCTACTTGCTTCCTGCCGTTCTTGTGATGGAATGTGTGATGGGAACGCAGATTTCGACACGCGAGCACACGCGGCTCGGGCGGCGGAACTGATGGGGTCGTCGCAGGCGTACGTGGCATCTTTGACATATCGGTTACAGCACGACAAGTGTGTTGGTGCATCGCAAGGGATGGCACGGAGGAAATGGGTCCAGGGTGAGAATCCTTTTGCCGGACGGACAGCGGCAACAGCACAACACCTCTGATCTGGCCAACAAGGAAAACTTGTGGAGTTTGGCGTCGTGTGCTTGTTCCCGCAAGCACGCAAAAAGAAAAGAAAAAATACGACCGTGTGTTGTTGCCAAGCGGATGTGACAGCCAGCCAGCCACGACAGACGGTGCGATGCAGAGATAGCAGAAAACTGCCTTGGAGGCGCTTAGAAATCTCGCTTTCGTACCTTATTTTCCATTGAAACTGATATGATCAGCACTACCTAAACACGCGCTACAGCTATACTATGAAATCTCGACTTATCCTTTCCGGAGCTGCAATTGCGAAGCCAGAAGAGGGAGAGACAACGAGTGGTACACTAACAAGAGTGAACAAGGAAGGGACAAGGTCAGGGCCCGCAGTTGCTCGACTCAGCTTAGTCAAGCTTGCGACATCGAGCATCCCGGCTCGAAACTTCTGCTCGCACCGTCCCGTGACGGGCAACGACTATTTAGCTCGTACAGTCCGAATTCGGAGTTAAGGGGACTGACCGGGCACGTTCGTTTTCGTCCAGCAGCCATGTATCCCCGGGATGTGTGAGGGATTACTATTAGGATCGGCTGAAAGCGAGTCGCAACCACGAAGGCCCCTTCCTCCCCTGTTCCTGGCTCCTTAATGTAAGCAAGATAGTTCTTACTCGACTGAAACGCTGACAGGCTAATGTTGATTCGTGACGATGTCGTTTGTTAGCGACGACATACTTTCCCAGATCCGATCGCATTGCCGGAACCCTGAACCATGAAAAAAGACTCATTTGTCTGCCAACAAGAAAATTAAATAGTGCGAACAAAATAACTCAGCTGAATAGTTGCCGTGCCGGCACAGCCAAGGGGAAGCATCGGGTCGAGGCAGCAAAAGAGCGGTACGCTAATTCACTTTAGAACCACATGTCCTTTTTTTCCCTCTCAATCGCTACCCTGCATTTTCTGGCAGTTCTCATGACAGAGTTGCCTCCCAGCGTAGCAACGAATCACACCACCGTTCCGTTGGCGAGTCGAGGGTTGAACGGTACACTATAGCGGCGAAGCCATGCAACGGCGAACGTGTCAATAGCTAGTAGACGTGAGACAGACCTGTAGCCAAGCCCATCGTTCAATGGGTCAACATCGGCGAACTGCGATCCAGAACCCGGTCTTTGGTACGATGCTGCACTGCACGGCAGCTTGAAGGGACTGAAAAGTAATAGAGTTTTTGAGGGTTCATCACATGCTCAAAAGCAATCGTGGCTGACTAGAAATCTAGAGCCTCAACTGGTGTCTGGTGTGACATTTTGCTGCAAGTCAGTCAGTGCTTCAGTTCATCAAACCTTTATCGGATTCGCGATTGATGTCTTCCCTGCATCTGAGCGAGCCGCAGCAAATATTTCAGGGAATTGGTACTGATGAGATCATCTTGATTACATTGTGCATACCAGGACGCGCCGTACCGAGGGATGACAGACGGCGACCTTCTAGTCCGACGGGCTGAGATGATCCCATTTGACCTTCTACCATGGAACCCATCACGTTCCGTGCCGATGTAGTTCGAGACTGACGGATCAAGACTTGCCAGGTGGCAGCGCTCCGGCACGCCGAGACCCCGAATCTGTACCGTGGTAGATGTACTTGTTCTGTACTGTACCTTTGAGTGTATGCGTAATTGAGTCATGCACGTACACCTGTCAGGCAAATGTCAGTGAAGCCATGGTACGGTAACGGTACGATCGAAGCCACAACAAAGTTGGCACCCCATGGGAACAAAAATGAATAAAGCGTGGATGGCCGAGTCTGGCTGCCTTTTTCTTTTCTGCGCGGACGTGCTTCCCTGAAATGGAAAGTACAACACGTGCGTACCCGCCATCGTGTACCTGCCATGTAGGCTTGCCCTGCGCGGGCTTGTCCTGCCTAACGTACCATGTGATGTCAAGAGCCATCATGCACGTGTCTTGGCATTGTGGTTGGACGAGGCCAGGCTGGTCGGAATCGCAGGGAAGAGCAATGGGTGAGCAGGTGTAATTGATGTGGTAGGAAGTGGTTCGACAGGTGAACCCAGCTCGGAATTCCGGCTTCCAACATCGAACATCAGCACCGCCAAATGGACATGCGCCAGATGCGGTACTCTGTTCACCAAGTAGTGCAAATGGTAGAGTGAGCATTACACCAGCAAACATCTCCAATTTAGATAGCTAGTAATGAAAAAAGAAGCCACTACGTACAGGATGATGCGAGAGAAACCTGGGCTTTCCCAAGGTGCTTTGCGAGCTTAAAATCAGATTGCCACCCACCAGTAATAGTTCCCATGTAGATTTTCGAATGCGGTAGAGACAGGCTAAGAAGGGGAATACCGCGGAAAATGACCCAAAGACGTACAATAGGAAAGGAGTACCAAAAAGCACAAGCGACCACTACCCCAGACAATATGCAGCGAAGCACATTGATGCTGGACTCGACCCACGCTGCGATGATGCAAATATCAACGAAGCCTCCATGTGATGATGCAACCCCAGTTCTAGATGTTTGCGGGAAAAGACAGAATAACCACCCAATATAGTAGTTTAGGTCACACTCGAGACAAGATCCGGGAGGGACAGTGGAATGGATCCGTAAGTATTAAAAATGGAAAACGTTGGAAGTTCTTTGTCGCTCTTGAAAGTTTCAGATAGCCGCCCAGAAATCACGCTGTTGCCAGCCAAAACTCCTTGCAATAGCAAACGTCGATTGGACGAAAATACAGATTGTACATGGAAAGCCGTAAACAACGGCTGACAGATTCGACGCGGAAATTTTGCTCTTTGATCTTCGCTTAATGCCATGTGTGTAGCGCTCTCATAAGACCAGCTCCAGAGCGTCTCCACTTGCGCGAGGCAAGTTTTTACATGGGCCGGCGGTTGAGCATGTTGAGCATGGACGAATCGGTCGAGCTGCGGGCGGGGCCATTGTCGCTTACGAGGTCATTGATGCGCATGCTGGGTCTAGCCGAGGCTTGCGATGTAGGCGGCGGTGGGGTTCTGCCATCACTGCGCGCAGGCG